TTACGGCTCTTCCATTATTTTTCAGGATGCTTGACCCTAAGTATGTTTCGAATTGGTGATTATACTGTAATCTCATAAGGAGTTCTCTCATATTTCAATACAGGTCGTCGAATGCTTAATAAAACTGATCCAGCCCGATGGTCAGAGAGCTGAAGAAGATCGAAGCATATTTTTGGCTTGTGATACAGTCATGAATATTCTTTTGAAGGTACCCTCTTCTCCCCACGATAAGGCCTGATTACATTTTTCCGAATCCCTTATTCTAATGTCAAGTAAAATTGTAAATGTTGGAAACAGAGGAAGCAAATCAGATTTTCGCCGGAATTGTCTACATTTTCCAGTCTATTGAAGGCCTTGGCGTGTTGGGCAGGTGGTGTAATCTTAAGATCAAAATGCTTCATTGTTTCTTTTTCGCCTCAGAAAGTTGATATGAGTTCTTCTAAATATGGATTTCAAACTTGTCAATCTCTTTCTTCCTTTTGTTATAGATGGTAGTAATGACCCATCGGTAGTGATGATGGCTGCAAGCATCTGCTCTTTGATATTTGATTTCACATCAGAAGATGCTCTTCTCAAGCAACCTAATTTCAACGGTAGCTCCATGGATAGTTTGGCGCGGCTTATTGCAAAAAGCTTGTCCTCATCGGGCCAGGTATAATAATCCTGCAACTTGTATGAAGTGTCTTGTCCTCAATTTAGTCTCTTGTTATTCAGATTTCGAATTGCTTTAGATGACTGTCGCGTAACCGATATCATTGCAGGGTATGTCGGATGCCGCGGATCTTCATGAAATCATAACATCAGGTTTGGTTTCAACATCTCTACCCATTTCAGATCACTTCTTTCTTCTTTCTTCTTAAGCTTCTTTATGTTCTAAATCGAAATATATAACTTTTCCCTTTCCTCTGATTGTGAAACAGGATATTCTCAATGGGCAGATCGATTCCCCACCATAATGAAACAGAACCGTTGAGCAAGCAATAACTCGGAGTAATCTCTCTATCTACAAGGTTTCTATTTTCCTCAAGTCCATCCATGATTGAAGAAAGTTTGAAACATTTTCTCAGGCTGCTTTCTAGTGGACATAGAATAGTAGTTTTTGTTCTTTTATCAGTTTGACGTTCTTGTATTATATACACTGTAGTTGCATATTATAAATCATGTTTCGTCTCGCAAAGAATTGAATATCTGCTTCATCTCTATATCAGGTTATCCATTTTCACTAATAATTTCACATTCATTTTCAATTTCGAGAGACAAGATTGGACGTTATTATGTTTATATACGCAAACGCAAACCCTTCCAGCCTTTTCAGTTTTTATTTATGGTTCGCCTAAAATTTAACTTGTTTCATAAAGGCAAAAATCTAAAAAAATAAAGAGATCCGAATTTAGAGGATTTACAAATCTATAATACGACGTCGGTTTTTTCATACCAGACCCACCCAATCTTGAAACAAACGCGTTTTCAGGTGTTTGGATTTCCTTTTAAATAGCCTTTATGGAAGGTAAGTTTGCGAAATCCGTTTCGGTGAATCTGCAAAACTAACGAAGAAAGAAGAGAGAAGGATAATTATGCCCGCCTTATCTCACTACAAAGCACTATCATCTCTACCGTCCGTTGACCGATCTTTCCCTCTCATTCTCATCCAACGACTCAGGATCCACGGGATCTCATCTTCCTTCCCGGAATCTTCTCCCTCCTCGGCTCTTCTTCCCGCCGCCGATCCTTCCAATCGAACAGTCCCTGGCGGCTCCCTTGCTAAATGGATCTCCGGGATAACAGCTGGCTCCGGCTTGGGGTTTCTGTACTGGTTCTCCGATTCTGACTCGACTTCTGGAATTAATCTATTATCATTCGCTGATTGTTCATCGCCCTCTGTCTGTGACACAGCAGCCGGCGATTCGAAACCGAGATCGAGATCCTTTGTTCCGAAATTGGCATTGCCTGGTTACAACTCTCGATTCATCTTCGGAGGTCGGCGATCCTTTGGTGTTTCTACTTCATTGATTTTCTTCTATGTTCATTTGATTTCTCAGTGGACTAATTCGGTGACGCTTTACTTTTGATTGGATTTAAAAACAAAAAACAAAAACAGATGCGTATAGAAGGAAGATTTTCTTCAATTACGAGAAGCGTTTGAGATTACAAAGTCCGCCGGAAAAGGTGCGTTTGATAATCTAACGATTTTGCTTTTCTTACGCTTTTTCTATTTCGAGGATCACCTTCTTTGTCTCTTGTTTAGGCATAGAAACAAACATGATTTGAATTATTACTGCTCGTCGTTTATCTAAACATGATTTTTGTTAGTATTAATAATCGGTGAAAGCATATGGATAATCTTTTGGATGATGTGAAATTAACTTAGCATTTCAAGTAATTGATTCAGGTTGTTCTTAATGGTATCTTTAGGTTTTCGAGTACTTTGCATCTGTTCGAACAGCGAAAGGAGAATTGCTGATGAAACCGGCAGATTTGATGAGGGCAATCGTCCCGGTGTTTCCTCCATCGGAGTCTCATCTAGTAAGAGAAGGATATTTGACTGGGGAGAGGAATCCCGGTGAACTTAGATGCTCTCCTTCCGAGTTCTTCATGCTCTTTGACGTCGATAACGATGGCCTTATATCCTTCAAAGAGTGAGTTGCTGAACCAAACCACTACTTGTTGTAGTAATACTCTCTGTCTTTCCTTCTTTTTGAAATTGAAGAGATTTGTTTTCTCTATCTCTTTTTTTGGGAACACAGGTATATATTCTTTGTGACATTACTCAGCATCCCTGAATCAAGCTTCGCCGTGGCTTTCAAAATGTTTGATACTGACAACAACGGGTGAGTAGTCGTTCAAACATGTAAATAGATAAATCCTGCTTTTGGTAACTTTCATTTTTTCTGGTCCGTTATTCCCATATTGCGATCCTCCAAACGGACGGTTGTGGGAATCAGTGGAGTCTCTTTTGAGTCTACGCTGAGCCATGTAAAATCTGGTCAGTTCTTCTCTCCTTTGTAGCTTATACTTGTTTGAGATGGCTCTGATCAAAGATTATTTGCTTTTAGGGAGATTGACAAGGAAGAGTTCAAGACAGTGATGAGTCTGATGCGATCTCAGCATAGACAAGGAATTGGCCACAGAGATGGCCTTCGGTTTGGGTTACATATGACCGGCTCTGTCGCGGATGGAGGCTTGGTGGAATACTTCTTTGGAAAAGATGGTAGTGAAAAACTTAAACACGATAAATTCACTCAATTTATGAAAGATCTAAGTGAAGAAGTAAGTAACTCTCTCTGTAACTATATAGGTCTGTAGCATCCGGTCTTCCCCCATTTGAATACTTTGAAGTCTTTGTAGAGATACGCAGCTTAAGATAGTAGACTCTAGTTCCTGAATCAGGTTCTTTCGTGTTACTGAAAGAGAATCACTTGTCTGTATATAGATGCTGAGGTTGGAGTTTGCACATTACGACTATAAACGAAGAGGAACTATAGCAGCCAAAGATTTCGCATTGTCAATGGTGGCAGCGGCTGATGCAAGCCACTTGGGCAAGCTGCTTGATCGAGTGGATGATCTGAGCGAACAACCGCATCTTCGAGACATCCGCATCTCGTTAAAAGAATTCAAACAGTTTGATGAGCTACGCAGTAAACTTGGGCCGTTTTCTCTAGCGCTTTTTGCTTATGGCAAGGCTAATGGTTTACTTACAATGAAAGATTTCAAACGAGCCGCTTCTCAGGTGACTCCTCAAAACGATTCTCTATACAGTTTAGTTTGTGCCTGCACATCTTTGTATTGAACGTTTGCAACAAAATTGAACAGGTATGTGGAGTATCATTGTCAGACAATGTGATAGAGATTGCGTTTCATGTGTTTGATTCGAACCGAGATGGGAATCTGAGTGTGGACGAGTTTCTGCGAGTTCTGCATAGAAGAGAGCGGGACGTGTCACGGCCAATTGCGAAGGGGCTGTGTCGGTATTTTTCAGATGGATGGAACGGTGGTTCTAAGAAGTGCTCCTCGCCGTAAAGAAAAGACAGCTTTCTCTTTGGGGCTTACCGATGAAACTCGAAGACTATTTTTTGGGCTCTTGGGTTCATACGAGTGAGCCCAGAGAGTGACTACTCCACCGGTTGCATTGTAAGAAAGAAATCTGAATAAATCTTTGTACAGTTGATGGACCTATTAGCTTCTTTTTTTGTCATCTATCTAATGAGAATTGGTCATTTGCATTACGATCACGTCTCTGAGGTATGAGGAACGTCGTACAGATTTGCTCTAAAAAACAAGTATGTATGATATATACGAGAAATATTTTATTCTTCACTGAGAATGAAAATAAACAATCCGAATATTATCATTCAGGGTACAATCGACGCAGACAGTCATACAACAATCACAATATTAACTGAAACTAATCCAAATGAACAACAAACAAGAAGATTACAGAGCAATTGGTACATAAAACATACAAAACAACGACAAACAATAAAATAACCAACATTTTGTATCTATCTGAAGAGAAGAGAATTAGCCATCTAACCTTCTTCTCTGGACTGAATTCCAATCCCAATCCCAATCAGTCTCAGCCACCACATGAATACCGCAGAGGCCAAGTGTATATATCCCGTGGAAATCGATTTCCACCAAAAAATATTGCTTTCGAAAAATGAGAAAACCCAACCAAAAGGGAGGAGAGAAAAATGAACACCACTCCCAAACAAAAAGTGCCTGCAACACAGAACAGATCAAAAGATTATAAAAAAACTGAGTAAATACAACTTGTAAAGGTAAATAAATGCGATTATAGGTAAATATTTGGGACGGAGGTAAAGCAATCTCATCATATGGATCAAAGGCATTAAATCTAACTACTATTTTCCTTACTTTATGCTCCACTACAAGAATGTTTTGTAGGATGGCATATGACCCGTGAACAACCTAAGATTATTGTAGAGAGGCTGCCATATTTCAGGATTACATGGTAAGTAGTTACGAGTTACTTACTTACCTAGTGATACATATGAGAAGAATGTTTCGTCATCCAGACCCTGAAAACACATTCTCTAAGATATCATGCAGTTTTGGGGCTCGTCTCCGGAACATTGGTTCTAGCCGGAAAGATGGGACACCCATCTGCCATCTCTTGGCGTCATACATCTCATTCCACGCCTGTACTATCTCATCAATCTTGAACCCCATTCCTGCGCTTTTTACAAGTTTGTTATTTCACACACCCAAATATCGGCAGAATGATAACACAAAGCCATTGGACTGTAAACTACTCCAAAAGTTTCGTATTCCTGTCAAGAATTGATTACCTTCAAGTGCATTCTCGCTTGAACAATGATTCTTTACCATCACAGCGATATCAGTTGCAGAAGCTCCAGCTAGTTCAAATTTCTCGACTGCAACCTCTAAACATTCATCCCAAGTTGGTAGCCCGAGCTTATACTCCACAATAGACCGCTCATATAGCAGCGAACCCCACAAGAGATTGATCTGGGAACTCAAATTAGCTGTCTGCTCCACAGTTTCTTCATCTGAAGCTTCGCTAAACAATCCATCCAAGTCCATTTTACGCAACACTGTTTTCTGTTTATCGAACTTGGAGATTCCGTTTAGACGGCGTTCTTCCATCTCTTCCCAAATCTGCATTCCCCTCTCCATGCTATCCTCAGCTTTGTTATAGAGCTTAAGCACCTCTTGGGAAACCTCACTTTCTGCGTCTACCTTGCTTTTGAGTGCATGATACCAGCAAAGCTTCGCCTGCTCAAACTGCTCTTGTCCAAGCGCAAGAAGAGCTTCGTAAAAGTCAGGTTTCACCTTGATCGCTTCTTCATATTTCTCTGCAGCTTTATTGTACTCATTCCTTGTCCACACAAACGCAGTCTCAACCGCTTCTATTATAGCTTTTCTCGAGGCATCCTCGGGAAAACAGACCTGCTTCCTTGCCTTAGACATGTGAACGTTACCCCAGTTAAACATAGCTAGTGCAGCCATTTCTTGGAATCTATCAGCTGCGATATCAAAGAGTTGTTGCGCATCTTCACCAGTTACAGCATCCTCCATTGCTTCTGTATACAGCTTCATCCCAAGGTCATGGAGGTCCAAGTAAGAATCAGAGTCAAACCCGACGTGATTCTTGAACAGCTGCGCAAACTGGAAAACCCAGTTCTCAAAGCACGTAGATGCTTTATCAGATTCAACATACTCTCCAACACTTCCATTATCCGCAACACTGCTCAATCTCTTGACAGCCTTTTCAGTTGTTGCAGCATCGTTCATGCCATCATAGGTTGGTTCTTGGTCGGGGTTAACTTCTGCTATATATAATCTGAGGGAGCCAAGTTTCTCACGATTAGAAGCAGCAAGCCTAAGCTCATCCGTCGTGGTAATGGTAACCAAATCACCCTCTGGATCCTTATACTTAATGAGGAAACCCCTTAGAGCAGGAAAGCGATCCCTGATTACGTCTCTTAAAAGTCCAACACTTGAATCCAGCGGCAACTGTGCCGACCTTATATCATCTCCATGTACCAATTTAACCGTCCTAGCAGCAACTGTTGCCTCTTCTTTTGTGCTCTTTCCTCCTTCAACAATCTCAGAGGCAATGACCTCTTTGTCCATGACAACAACCTTATCCTCCAGCTTCCTCTCTTCTCCTGCCGCCTTGTTACCACTCTTCTTCTTCTGTCCTTTATCATTCTTGAAACTGGCTTTCTTTACTTCTCTATTCCCACCCATCTTTCCATCAATCTCAGACTTATCGCTCTTTACCTCCTTTGGCTTATTTCTGATTTCTGCGTCGTCTCCCTTCGCAACCTTTGGACTCTCAGCCACGGCTCTGTTGCTCTTCACTTCCTCGTCCTTCACACCACTCTTCTTCTTCTTAGTCTTCCTCAACCTCTCCTTCACAATCTTCTTTAAACGAGCAGCTCCAACAGGCTGCACATTCACAAAGCTCTTCTCCATTTCGTCCACATCAACACCTTTATCCATTAACATCTTCTTCACCCTGTCAAAGATTTCATTCGCAGACGCGTTTTCGGGCTCCATGTTCAAAACGATACGAGCATCCCTAAACGCGTAATCCAACTTGTTCAAGGCCTCGTAACACCGAGAACGCCTAAGCAGAGCCTTGCTGTACCTAGGAGAAGCCTCCAAGGCCAGATTGCATTCGCTAATCGCGTTCGGGTACTCACCTAATCCCATTTGCATATAGCAAGAAGCCATGCTCGTTCTCAGATAAGCAACGTCGATATGATCCTTGGGTAAGAGCTTCACGGCTTTGTCGTACCTCAGCATCGCTCCTTCGTTGTCGCGTTTCTGGAACAGCTTGTTCCCTTCTTCTTTGAGCTCAATTGCACGGCTAATGAAAATCTCCATATCCTCATCGAATGCTCTCGAAGCAGGACGGTGGTGGGATTTCCCAGACTTATTGCCTCCGCCGCCGCCGGAGGAAGCATCCTTTGGCGTCTCCGGGTTTTTCTTCTTCGCCGTGGGCTTTCCCATTTAAAGTGAGATTGAGACAGCAGAAACGAAATCTAAGCTAGAGGATGAAGCAGGGGAATCAAAACAGAGGATTCGAAAGTTTTCAGCAAGCTATTGACCGATCTTGGGAAGGAGAATGTTTGAGGAAATATATGATGATTAGAGATGGAAATTTCGAAGGAACACGACACGACTCCTTCTCTGTAGGTGGAGTGAACCCTAATCCACCAATAAAATAGTGTTTCACGAAATTAATACAGTATTAAACATATTGTTTGTTCTAATTAACAACGATTTTGTATTGGGGACAGCCAGAAAGTCTTCGTTTTGTTTTGCTGGAAAGATGGAAAAAATTTCAACTTTCATCAATAAAAGAGTTTTATTGGGGCTTAGCTTTCTTGTAATGTATGTATATAATATTTGAGGTTTTTTTTATAATATAAATAATACTTCTAAATACGAAATAAAAATTTCAAAGTAAAAACACACACGTTAACAGTTTAACTAACACACACAAAGATGAAAGAAAAGAACACACATACACAGAGTCACAAATTAATACTTATTTCTGTTTGCTTAAAATGGCGACTTTTTTTTTTACATCGGAATCGTTATTTAATTCAGATGCACACCAAAAACGCTTCCAATTTAAAGCTGTAGTCTAAAACCGGATGAAATTACATTTGTAATTTGACAACTTGTATACGTCTCAATTTCAACTTTCAACGTTTTAATAAAAGATTACCGGCTAATATTAGATTACAAAACCAATTGCCAATTAGTATAATATATGGGCTTAATCCTAAATAGTAGCAGGCCCATTAAGTATTTGCATCAAATTCTCTGTAGATCTTTCTACTGATTTCAATTAGTATGTTTTAAGTGTATGTCTACTGCTGCTCTGTTTTCATCTCATCATGGCTTTTTGGATTATTCATTTATAAACGGCTTCCCCACAGAACTTTACACAAACAGACGGTTATGCGTCCTGCTGGGTCACTGAAGAATGATAAAACATAGTCTTGCTTGAGATGAAAGTAACCTAATATCTTTGTCCACAATTTTAAGCTATAATAAGCAAAAGACATCAATGGTTGCTCCTTGAGCCGACCGTGGAGCCTACGGGTCTGAAGATGTAAGGCTCGCCGGCGTATGTGAACTGAGCGGAACCGCCAGCTGGCAAAGCTTTTCCTTGGATCAGAAGACACGTGTTTCCTTGTGGGAGCAGCAGCTGTGGCTGGACAGGGTGCAGAGGAGCAAACCCTCTGCAAGAGAGAGTCACGTCCTTTTGAGGACCGTTACACGTGTTTATCACCGTCACTCTCCACTCCGGTTGTCCGGAGAATTCTCTCCCAGTCCTCACCGTCCCGATCTGGATGTCACCGAAAGAGCAGCCGCACAGTCCTGCGGGAATGTGGATTATTGTTTTATTATGTTCTCTTTTTATTGGTTTTGTAACTTTATACTTATACGGAAATCTAAGAAATTAATATTATATATATATATATGCAATATATAAAGGCATAAAACTTCTGGAATATACATGCAAAAAGCTTTTAGAGATTCGACTACATTACCTTGAGTGAACATAGAGAGGAGAAGAAAAACAACAAAATACTTAAGAGCGAACGCCATTGGTATTGTGATTTGTGTTTTAAGAGTTGGAGAATGAGAAAAGAATCGGTCAAATTTATATAGTCATTGCATATATTTAACTCTATTGCTGCCTTAATTAATAGAGATACAGTTAATTATTGAGTTCATAAGAATATAGAAACACAATAGACGACAATCTAGTAGTAATTAAAACGTTTAAGTAGGACTTGATTTGCTTCCTTTTTTAACTTGTTTGTATAGACCTTTTGGCAATATCTTTACTTAATTACTTATTTTGGCTGGTCAACGAATCTTAAGAATTCAAACTACATTTCAAATGAGCAAGATTTATAGCATTGGCAAGTGTTATTAATTTTAATGATTATGATTTTTGTAAATAAATTTTACATTAGGACTTGTGTTTAACTATCAGAATTTGTGTGTTTGTAAACTATAATTACGAAAATTCGAAATTGATCGTGAGGAAATGTTTGTAAACAAATGTAGCGATAAAGAATGTCTTTGACGGAAGAAAGCTGGCGGTAACAATTAGAATGTCGCATCATATAAACACGTTTTGCACCCAATTCTTAAGTATTTCCCGTAATTTTACGGCTTTTCGAGGTTTGCATTTTAATTTCTGTTAAGAGAATTAATAACCCCCCCAAAAAAAGCGACTGTCGACTTTATTAATATCAAGCTAATGATTTTGGCAGAACTTAAGTAATAAACATTAGTTTCATATGCGAACCAAAACTGAAACCATCCAAGTAGAGAATTAATTAAGAGCAAACGATCACGCCGTCGACAACCTTGAGGTCGAAGCTCGTGTCCCACACGTATTTGAAAACGAAGTCTACATGAGGGAAGATGAGTTTACCGGCGTCGAGGAGACACTGGTCACCAGATTTCGACAACGCCGAGGTAGGGACGGGAGTGACCGATTGAAAACCGGCACATGACAACTTTACGTACTGGAATTTGCATTTACATGGGTTCGTCACTCTCACTTCCCACTCCGGTTTGTTCTGAACCAATTTTCCGGTCTTCGATTGTTTCACAGATAGATAATTAAGACCACAGTCCCCATACCCTTCCAAATTTCCAAAGGAAAACAAAAACAAATTAGTATTTTCCTTCATAGAATAAAATGTTCATTATTACATACGGATATCGAGTTATGGTGATCATATAGACCGATGACTAACTGTAATATATTTTGTCAAAAGTTAATAATACATTTCAATTCAATAATAAGATAAGAGTCTCTGTATGTTGTTATACCTTGGATGACAAAGGCGAACAAGAGAACGAGGCAAAGGACTTTGCAAGCGTCTGGTGATGCCATTGTTTGATTTTGGTGGAGTTTTCTTATATTAATTTATGAGTAATATCGCTGCTCATATAAGTATTTTTATAGGGAGGCATTGGGGTTAATATGTAGTATATCTAAAAAGTCTTGGGATTTTTTATGCCAAGATTTTTATTTCCTTTTGTTAAAAGGTCACAGCTAATTGTTTGACAGCAATTTGGTCACGGAATTATTGCTTTGAGTACAATTTTAATTAGTTTGGTAAGATATATAATCCGAAATTGATAACAAATATATAGAACCATTTTGAAAATGAGAACACAATGGTTTTTTTAAGATAATTTTTCTTTCTTTCAAATAATGTGTATTATTATGGAAACAAATCTGGTTTATATCCATACTATTAAAAGAAGATCATTTCAATGTTTAAACACATTTCATGTGTTATATTACATGAAATGCCATTGCATTTTAACTTTTTCCTTAAAATTTCATTAATGGTAGTTTAGTCATTTGTTAATACAACCAATTAATATTCATTTTATTTTTCTTTATTTAATTCTTATATTCCTATTACCAAACACATTAATTTTCAAATATTATTTGAATTAGTTTAACTCTAATTACCAAACACATTTAAATAATTTTAATATTTCTATAAATAGTTATTTCGAAAATTTTAATTAATATTAAAATTAATTACATCCAAGTTTACATAAAACAGAATTATAATTATTATATATGTATAAGATTAAATTATAAACATTTATACAATTTAAACCTTTTGCGAAAAAATAACAAATAATATTTTTTTCAAATATTTATTATTATGTAACAATATAAGAAAATAAAAATTATAATTAATATAATTAAATTATATACATTTACACAATATAAAAGAAATCGCAAAAAAGTTATTTGAAAAACAAAAATAAAATTCTTATTATTATGCAATAATATAACCAAACACATATGTTTATAGGAAAATAAACTAAAACCTAATTTTTATGAATAATTATATATTATTTGTTATATGTTTAGTTCAATCTAATACTAAATTAATTTTTGATTAAATTAATTTCAAATTTAAAAGCATCATGATCAAATTTTTTTAAAAACATGATTAATTAACAGTAAATGATAATAACCATATATTTTTATTTAAATTATATTTAGTTCTATAAAATATCTAATGAATCGATTTTGTAATATTTTATTAATATTCGATTACTAAAATTATGGAGCAAGTTCCAAATAAAAATCAAAATATTTTTTAATTAAAAAACAATAACTGCATAAACTTAAAGCATATTCTAAAAATACAGATTTTGGCATATTTTCAAAAATATTAAAACAATATTGATAATTGTTTTATTGTAGATGTAATAACATATTAATAATAGGAAAAGTCAGTAAATTAATAAAAGATTTTTATAATTTACAAGAATAAAATAAAACTATTTATGATAATAGTGTTTCAATAAACTATAAGAAAAATAAAAACAATAACTCACATTATCTCATTTTTCTAATTTGTTTGGCTAATTTTTTTCCCTATTTAGATTTTTAAAAACAAAAATATCTTTGCAAACATAAATATTTTTTAGTCGAAATTAATTTCTTATATGTTAAATATTTTGTTTTAGTTTGTTTACCGTGTATATGGTTGTTATTTTTAATTTTTTTAGTTTTAAATTTATCATTTTTTGTTTGACAAAGAAGAAAAAGAACAAATAAGAAAAAAAAAAAAAAGAAGAAGAAGAAGAAGAAGAAGAAGAAGAAGAAGAAGAAGAATAAAGAGAAATGATGGATGAGAAAAAGAGTAGATGAAAAAAAAAACAACAGAGAAGAACAAAGAGAAGAACATGAGAAGGAGAATAAGTGATAAAGTAGAAGAAGGAAAAGAAGAAAAACGAATGAGAAGAAGGAGAAGTGATGGCAAATGAGACTAATAGAGAAGATGAAAAAAAACGAAAAAAGAGAATGGAGAAGAAAGAGAATGGATGAAAATGAAGAAGGCATGAAGGAGGAAGAGAAGAAGAAGACGAAAGATAATAAGGAGAAGAAGGGATGAAGAAGAATATAGATACATATAAGAATTATAAACTTATGTTCAAAACTGCATCTTCTTTTCAACATTGTTTTATTAGGCATTACAAACTAGAGAATGCCAAGCTATTTGAAGTATTTATGTGAGGACTCCCGCGCAAGTGCGCAGGTCCAAAATATAGATTTTGGTAATTTTTGAAATTTGGTCGTAAATAACGATTTTACAGATTTTACGGGATTTACGAGAAAACACGGGTTTGCGAAATGCGAATAACACAATTTTGTGAATTTTATGGGTTTTACAGGTTTTAGCGAGAAAATGTAGTCATACAGGAAAATGCGGATTTGTGAGTTTGACATGAGTTTAGAAATTTGGTCGTAAAACATAATTTTATGAATTTTACAATATTACGGAAAAACACGGGTTTTTGTGGATTTGACGGAAAACCTGATTTTACGGATTTTACGAGGTTTACATGTTTTTGTGGATTTTATAGGTTTTGATGGAAAATATGGTATTATGAATATTACTGAAAATGCAGATTTGCGGGTTTGACGATAAAATGCAAATTTGCAGGTTTGACAAAAACTACTTAATTTTAGAAATTTAGCAATAGAATACGTTTTTATAGTTTTGGAGGAAAACATAATTTTTGATTTTGTTAAAAAATGTGGGTTTACAGTTTTGGCAGAAAAATACGGTTTGATGGAAAATGCTATTTTTACAGTTTCTACCGGAATTTTCGGTTTTGGTACAACAACGTGATTTTACGATTTTGTAGTTTTTTATTTTGATAGAAAAAAATGGTTTTGACAAAAAAAAACTTAATTTTGTGGTTTAAATTAAAAAATGTTTTTATCTGTTAATTTTTGAGATTCAAATGCTGCATCAAATCTCTATTTTTAGCATTTTAAATATCCAAATTTTGAAATATTATAGAATTTGTATTCAGATAAAATATCTATATACTGATTTAAAAATATTTAAAAGAACAATATTTGAGAGCATTTGCATCCAAATAAGTATCTAGAAGCAAAAACAAACAAATCTAAGAATCTTAATTACAGACAAATAAAATCTCTCTTACATTATAAAACATAATATTTTAAAATATTTTCTACAAAACTTAACAAAAAATCTGCTAATCAAAATATTTTGTTTTTTATAAAATCAAGCCTGAATAATTTTAAGAACATAAAATCATAATGTTAAAATAGTTTATATAATTTAATAAAAAAAATTCTATTTGGACCACAATTTTAGATTTAATTATATAAGCTAATTTTTTTTGAACAAAAGTTTACTATAAAATTATTTTTGCTATGATCCAAAAATATTTTATATAAACGGACTATCAATTCTCTCGAAATAAAACTATGATACATATGTATCAGAAAACAAACTATCTTATAACATAATATATAAATCTCCTTATACTACAAAATTTAAACATTTATAAATTTATTTCAATAATCATATACCTGCGCGGACGCGCAGGTCCAACATTTAGTATTATTATTAGTCAAACTTATAATTAACATTAATTGATTAGTTATAAATTTATTTTTCAGAATTAATTTAATGAAATTTTTATTACCATCTTAGAAAAATGATTGGTCTATAAATACTAGGAAATAACTTTCCTACTGATATAGTTGAAAATTTCCTTTCAATTTCCTAGTACTATTTTATCAATAGTTTTGACAAACTTTTTGAAAGAAAAAAATGATAGGAATTGGATTGTATAGTAATGAAATTTTTATTACCATCTTAGAAAAATGATAGGAATTGGATTGTATAAAATTGGTCGATAAACAGTAGGAAATAACTTCCTACTGATATTTTGTGGCATTATGATATCGGTTGAAAATTTCGTTCCATTTTCCTAGTACTATTCAATCAATATTTTTGACAACTTTTAGAAGAAAAAAAATTACCTATGATTTTTTTTAGCATTGTTGATTTCTAATGAACTATAAAACAAAATATTTTTGCAGAAAAATGGTAGAAAAAAACCACTTTATACTATTTTCCTACGATTTTTTTTTTTATAGGAAATGTCATTTTTTAGTGAAAAGTGTGGTTTAGAGCGAATGTAAAATTTTATGTCCTGTCTTGGTTTTTTGATCAACAAAATGTGAACTGTAATAAATAACAGAAAAAAATAACAATATGAAAAACGAATATCTTTGTTAATCCTCAAGATAACGATTGGGACAATAGTAAAGTAAATATATTCATGAGTTTCATGTGCTCAAGCTATTAACTAGACGAGCATGAACCAAAACTGAATTTAAGGGCAATAATCGGCATCGAGGACCTTGAAGTCGAAGCTGGTGTCCCATACGTAGTTGAATACGACGTCTAAGTGAGGCATGACCATGCCAGCGCCTCCGAGGTAACAATTGTCATTGACATGAATCAACACCGAGGAGCTGATGGGTGTGACCGAACTGAAACCGGCACATGACAGCTTTACGTGTAAGAATTGGCACTTACAAGGGTTCGTCACTTTCACTTCCCACTCTGGTTTGTTCTGAACCAATTTTCCGGTCTTCGATTGTGTCACAATTAGATCGTTTGGTTTGCAGTCCCTCCATATAAATGCATATCCTTCCCAATTTCCCAAAGACAAACAAATTATTATCTTCCGCAATGTTTAATAAATAAAAAAACAGATCAGAACGAATAGTTTTTGATTATAATAACATGCTACGTGTTAATATGTTCTAAGAAGAACGTTAACCTTTATATTAGATGGACTATATATATGTATTGGATATAGAGTTATAGCGATCACTGATCAAATAGATTATCAATCAGGACTACGTAACTCTTTTTGTTTTGTCAAAAAATAATTACTATATTACAATATTGATAACAAGAAAAATTAAGTCTTTAGCAAAAAAAAAAAAGACAAATCAAGAACATATGAAGACTGAACCATAGTAAAGTGGTTCTATATAAAAAAAATTACCTTGGGTGACGAAGGCGAGTGAGAGAACGAGGCAAAGGAGTTTGCAAGCGTTTGATGCCATTGTTTGATCTTTGGAGTTTTATAACTATGAGTATATGTGGCTCTACTCAAATGAAATTTCGAGTTTATATCTATAGGGAGGTATAAGGGTTCATTTTATGATAGAAAAATTTTGGGATAGTTTTGAGATTTATTTTCACTAGTGATGAGAAGAAGCCAATTAAAAGTGAGATAATCTGCTGACTTTATTTCTGACAATTTGGTCAAAATTTGAGTTTGGCAAGTTCTTTGAGTACCGCAAGGTTCTTAATATGCATTATTTATATTTACCATAGAATTGTTGATCTGAGTCAAAATTCTATTGTTAGGATAAATTCAAAATGAGAACAAAATGAATTTAAAAGTGTAAAAGTAATATACAAATTATAAAGATACTTTAATAAGTGTGACATATCTCAAAAATTCTTATCGAATGAAATTGACTGTGTTACGTTCTTTCTGTAAGACATTTTTTAATAGCTTGTAAAATATATCAAAAACCCTTTTTTGTTAGCTATATCAAAAACTCCATACTTATTCAATTCAACTAGTTGGACCATGTTAATCTATTTTCTCATTTTCCTGAGTTCTCTCAACACACGACTAATACTTTTATCAAAACTGAAGGACAGTAGAAAATGTGAAATACTCAATCTTGGAGAAAATAGTATTAGGCCATATAAAGTTTGCTGTTTTGAGTATCTAGCTAACGTGCATGCTCTAAAGCTTTACTATTTCGTCGCGCGTTTCCCTGAACGCACGCATTTACAAGTCAGTTTCTTCTTTTTACACGCAGCCCCACATGTGTAACAGAACTCGTGTTTGCAATGCGTGCAGGTCATCTGTTGGCACCCGCCACCATGTTGAACGATGGTCTCACACTTGGAACACTTCCTCCATCCTTCTGTCTTCACTAAAGACTCGAAAAGCGCCGCCTCAGATTTCAGGTACGACTCCGAGTTCTTGAACTCATCGCACGTCTTCTTGTGGTGCCATGGAACATGGCAGTTTTTGCAGAAACTCAATCCGCACTCCGTGCACTTCCGTGCTGCTGACTGCCGAGGATCAATGGAGCTGCCTGGTGCGTGTCTAATGAGTTCTCGGTCCGACATCAAAAGGGAACAAGAAGGGTTGGGACAATAGACTCTCTCTGAAACTGGGATCTCCCTCTCCTTCTTGCTATGGATCATAAGAGTGATAACATCATCATCAGCAATACCTCTACAATCCTCTGGCACAAGTTCTTCCTCGCAATCCGCATACGGGCAGGTTAATGTGTTCTCTCGTATTAGTTTGGGTGAGACACGCTCCCTCATGCAAGTAACGCAGATGCGGTGGAAGCAACCGCGCACCTCAAACTTGTCATGAGGTGAAACGTATGCGTAGCAGACTGGACAACTCTCAAGCTCGGTGTTGGTGTCGCCTTCGCACCATCTGGTTTGGGAAGCTATAGCATCTTTTGCAAGCTTATAGACTGAAATGATGTCTTTGCTCACAGCAAGTGCTTGGCAAGAGGTGAATCTTGTCTGAAGAAGAGCCACTTGCTCCAAAAGTGTTGCTACAATGGACTCGCTCGGTGCAGCTTTACGTGTTACCTGTCACACATAGAAAGAAAAACATGAGGCGTGAACTTGTGAATAACACAAGATACACACAGGATATTGTATGTCAGATTCATGATAACAGAAGAGAGAACTTACGTAACCCAAGATATTGTCGTCACAGAAGAATTGGATACTTTGCACACCAAGTTCCAACGCCCATTTCAACCCGTGAATGATGGCAGCCAACGCCGCAGCTTCAGGGTGTGACAGCTCTTCGTTTCTCAGAGCTTTATTAATCTCCAGTTTCGTGTTATCGTGCGAGTCACAGAGGGACAAACCTAAACCACCGACCAGCATCGTATCATCCTTAACAAGCTCTTCACTCACCAAGCCCTTGCAGTATAACCGATAGGTATGAGTTGTGGTTGAGGATTCTCCCAGGATTCTCCGAGGTTGTGGTTGAGTATTCTCCAAGGAATCAAGATCAAGCTTGGTCTTATCCATCTCCTCTTGAGCTAACAAACGGTTAAGATCATTGTCCATGGCGGGGAAGTTTGAATTGCGAATAGTGGTTGGAATTATAAATTTTATATTCAAACAAACGCTCGGATGAAACAAAATCTGAAATTTTTCAACCAAATAAATCCTCGTAAGAGAAACTTAAACCCAGAAATCAAAACTTGAAGCGAAGGTTGAATCAAAGCTCAGACCGAAGATTGAGCTTGAGAAGGACGTTGATCGAATCAAGCAAGAAACTCGCAGTAAAGCAGAGATCTTCGAGTACACGATGAGGCGAGATTGGAGGAAATTGTTTTGCTCGACAATAGGGTTTCGGTCATTCGAGGGAATCTATATACTGGAGTATATGATTAAGTTAAAAGACATAAACTAGTTAAATTAGGCAAAATCAGCATTTTAATGAAAACGGAAATAAACATTTAAAAAGTTGAATTAACAAAAAAAAAGTCATATAAAAGGAAATTAACTTATATCTTCAAGAAAAAAATAGAATTTTAGGACGTCGACTTCACAGGGACAAGTGATGATGAAGTTGAGGGAGAGAATCACTTTGTAATTGAAAATACAAGACTATGGTCGATTTGAAGCCACCAGATGTGAGAGCGTTAGGACGTCGACTTCACAGGGACAAGTGATCCTCACTCTCACTTGGAATCGTATAATATGCAAAGTATTTGAAATTTTTGCAAGAGATTTAGGTACGAAAACTATGTAATAGACGGACAAATGATGCATAAGGACAAAGTATATACTTAATTCACAGCTATACCATTTCCCCATTTTCTTACTCCAAAGCTCAAGGGATAGGCCCTAATCACAAACTGTAATGAATGGCCTTAATATTCTACACAAAATGAATTCTAAAATTCGGTATCAGGTCCAAGAATTTGCCTCAAAGCGCCATGGATGTGATGAGAAACCGCTGTGTATTCATGCCATGGAACACACTTTCTCTGAGAAAATGAACATATTTACATCGGTTATCGAGCAGCTCTACTAAGACGAAATGGTTTAGAGTTTCCTCATATTGTAAAGCCTAAGCATCCTTCAGTTAACCATGAGAACAAATTTCTATTGTGAGAGATTAGTATTCAGACCTTGTTTTGTGCTGCTGCAGCAAAGGCGGTTGTCGTCTATATATGTTGCCTGGACACCAATCATCCAAGATCCGATGGTGGTATCATCAAACGCATATGTCTTCAACAATCCACTGCACACCAGTTAAGAGAAGAAGCAATGATTGTGAACCGAGCTCTGTTCTTATATATATATATACTCCTCAGGTGACTGAAATCTTCGGCCAGATTGTGGAAAACTAACCTGTTTATATTGATATACTGAGCTAGATTCTTGGAGAGTATTACAAGCGAGCCAGTTGCATGACGGAAGTACCTAAATAAAACGAACAAAGAAACTGAATTCACACAAGTAGAAACAGAAACCACAAGACCTCTGAGTGTTATGAGACTTACGATTTGTCATCTCCAAATTTCCACCACTCAGGCTCGTACCACTGACTTCCCCTGAACACCAAGAAACAACCAATGGAAATGAAAATTAAAATGTACAAGCTTGTAATGCTCGGTTATTATGCAAACTGAAGAAAGTTGAGTATATACGAACTCTTCAGTAATCACATCTCCAGACTTCATGCAGCCAATGTAAGCACCATCTTGACCACGACGGCTTTCAAGAAGCCCAATCAACCCCTCTGTTTAGATCCAAAACATTTGTCACACAAAGACATTGTTGATGCCCTGCTTGGACTAAACATAGCTTTGCAAGACAAAGGACATGGACATGAAATAGGAAGTATTACCAAGATCTAGGTCAACGCCGTCATCAACCTTGACATAAAACTCTGCATCCCAATTCTGAACAGCAGCACTGTAGAAGAACTTCACTTTCTTGGGTAGCTCTTCTTGGGCTTCCTCGTGGTTCTCCTAATAATCCATCATATTTTCATCAGCGAGCAGAAATTCAAAAAATGCAGGCAACAAAAAGAAGCATAAAGAGTTATTCTTACTTACAAGAATCAAAAAATCTCTAGTTGCACGATCTTCTTCGTCAATTTTCCGATCTAAGCTATCACCTCGGTTAGCACTGGAGATTTACAAAGCATTAACATTAGTATCATCACCCATATGATGAGAAGCGAGTAGGAAATGAAGACTTAAAGTGAGTAGGAAAACCTCCGACCAATCACAAAGCGTATGACAACTCCTCTTTCCTCAAGTTTTTTCAAAGCATCATCTAAAGAGAAGAATTTTTCATTAGAGAAGACTTAGTAGTCGTACCTAATCTTATAAAAAGACATTGTTGGATGACAAAAAAAAAGAAAGCATGTGATATAGTTCTACCTCGTGGCATCCAAGAGCCTCTAAATTTATTGCGCTTCAAGTGACTCCCGAAGCCAGTGTAAACTCCAATTACAGCAAGCATCTTCTTCCCTGAAGACGAAACACTTTTCTGGTTCTTGAGATAGCCTTGACTCTTTGCCTGTGCCAGCTCCATTTCAGTTTCAACAATTCTCCTCTCGAGATCTCTATCAAAAGCAGTTGCATTGTGTGTTAGTACAAGGAGAAGAGAAAAAAAAAACATCCAATCAGAAAAAGGAACAAATCAGCTTACTTGCATCCAAGGACCATCAGCTTGTCATCCACCGTAAGAACCTTAGGCCTCTGTAGTCCACAAAAAGATGATCAACATAGAAGACAAAAACATTGCAATTACTGAGAGTGAAGATTCAATCTTTCAAGAGAAGCACAAGAAAGACCAACCTGATCATAATTCTTCTTAAGCACGGTATTGAGTGCTACTCTGTGCTGCGCATCTTGCCATAAGCTGACCGTAACAAAACCAACACAACACCAATTGAAAAAAAATTGAGCTTGTGATTGGTAAGTTGTAAGAGACATACTGTAATGCAATTCAATTCCGATAAACACATTGCAATACAGTAAAATCTTACATTATATAAATCTAGATCGGTAAGCAATCGGCAAAAAGCAAATGGAGAGAAAAACGCAAGTATCTAACATTTGCGAGATTTATGGACAACTATGAATTGAAAACAATGTTCAATCACGAAGAGCAAATCTAGATAAGAGAAAAAAAGGTGACGTACCGGCCAGCGACGTAAAGCCAAGCTAGACAAGAGAAGAAGGCCATGATTATAGAAGGCTTGGAGGTATTCTGAGACTTGGAAGACCTACCTCGCCGGTCCGTTTTCGCCGACACCGTTGTCGGTAAGCTCTCCATCTCAATCCACAGAGAGGCAGAGAGAGCGAGGGAGATCGGAGGCAGGAGAGACGAAACCAGATTCAAAATCGAGAAAGTGAAGAAGGAAATCAAGTTAAGATTTGAATATGTTTCCTTGTTCGAATTAGATTTTCTTCTTTTGTAGTACTTGGGCTGTGAGAAGGGAACCGTTTCTTTGTGCTCGTCGGAGATCGGTTATCCCGACATGATTCCGATTTCAGGCGACAAGAAAAATTCTGTTTCTTAAACACTCTGTTCCGGTCAGAGGTTAAGATGCATGCGGACCACTGTGCTCAATATCTCATATTTTTTGTTTTCATTTTTATTTTCGCTAGTTTAAAAAAAATAAAGTTTTAGTTTTAACTTTAATTAGAAGCAACAAGTAATAATTGACTTTATCGACTCTTCCATCATAATTCGGTACGACAAACGGTTCTACTTATTTATATACTAGATCTTTCCAAATTTACATTCACAATTGACCCCAAATTTTTAGAGTGATAATTTCTAAAAATTGAATCATATCTGTAATTGTGATCTGAATAATCAAATTTGTGTATTTTCTTCAAGATATTAATCATAGTTCCCAAACTATATCAAGTGGATGAATATGCCAAAGACCCACTTGAAAACATTCCAAACCAAAAAGTAAAAGAAAGCAAAACATGTAAAAAGAAAGATGAAGACAAAAAAAGAAACAACACACTTAAGGTCAGCTTGAGAGCCTCTGCACGTATAACAACAGCCCAACCCAAAGCTAGTTAGGTCGCTTACGCTAACTTCTTCAAAGGCTAGTCAGGAAAAGTTTTAAGTCGGAGAGTTGTGTGTCTTTGGACTCTTAGTCAACCGCCAAGGAACTCTCAGCGGCTCGCAGGCAACAAGCTAGAGAGTGAAGGCACTCCTTGGTTTCTCAACTCCTCTTGTGTTCTCTTCATTTCCTCTGGATCTGTTTACCACACAATACCAACAAAACTCTCAGCAAACCCCATAAAATCTAATTTGCTGGGTGGTTTCAGTTCAGCAATAGTTTTGAGAGCTCTACGAGATTGTAAAAATGGTGAAAACAGATTATAGTGTACCTATGTTTTCCATCAACTTAGGCATCAAGAACACAACAACCACCATGAATCCCACCATAAGTCCCATTGGACTTTTTACAATTGCCATTGGAGAGAAAGGTTCTCGCATCTACAAATTATACATGATCGATCAGAAGCACATAGCTAGAAACTAAACATATACAATATCAAAGAAAGAAGATAGAGAATGAAGTATTCACCTCATAGTAATACTCTGGTCGAAGTGGATCCAAAACGAGCTCAGTAAGACTCCTCCTGATTTCTGTTAGCGTTGCTTGAACCTTGCCACGATGCCGGGCACTAACATCAACTCGCACCTAATTTAAAAATCATTGATCAACGAATGCTAAGTTAGAGAGAAAGCTGAAGTTTCAAAAAATCATAGACTGTAGCAACTCATAAAATCTTACTGGAGAGAAGAAGTAGCCCAGCGCATGTACTTCAATCAGATGAGTCCCAGCTGGCACTTTGTGGCTTCGAAATTAGACAAGTAAAGGAAACGAACGATCAACAATGCCGATACTTCCAACAAAAAAGAAAACAGTACTAATACTCTTGTTTCCAAAGCAATGTTAAGTTTTATCGATTCATTTCTCGCAATGTTTACATCGAAAGAAACAAACATATATGAACGCCGTGTAAGAAACCAACTATAATGTATAAAAATATTAAACGAAAAAATATAATTTGAAGAAGGAACAGTAGGGTACAATGTAAAGTATCCATCCGGCCTGAGGAAAGTAATGTGCTGTCCACCATTGAGTACAACTTTGATATTTGAGAACTTTGCTGCGTAACCAATCGCACTGCCTGCCAAAATAATTTTTTAGATTAGTTCGCACAAAAAGGGAAGTGAAGCTGTAACATAATGGAAACAAGATTAATGAGTATAAAATATCAGAGTAGCTAGATCAATATGAAGCAGTCGAAGCCGATGATGAAAGAAAGCACACATTGTCCAAAAGAAATACTCAAACTATCAAAGCATATTCCTTATAATTCTGAAGCACTCAAAGACAATGACGATAGAAACCACAAAATTTTCCAAAAAAAACGTTATTGAAAAAAAATCGGAACTTTTTTTTTTGAGCAAAGAAATCGAAACTTAAATGTGTTCATATTCTCAAGGAAACACTAGTTTTAGCCAGTCTAGTTATAGAGCTGACATACTACATAGCAAAGTTAAACTCGCCAATGGGATTGAAAGATATATACATAGAATGTACATCAACTAACGATCATAAGACATACAAATCAGGAAAAGCAAACACAATGACAACAGGTAGGCCAATTAACAGCTATATTAATCTCAAGATACATCTGCTATTGACAATGCTCTTATTACGGTCCAACGAAAGAAAAAGGTGAAAAGGCTGAAACCTACTTGCTGGGATCCTTACTCTACCCGTGATTGTGTAACTTTCCTCATACCTGCAAAAAACTCAAACAAAAAAGAAAAGGAGAGAATGAATTACACAGTTGAATTCAAAGAAGCACGCAGTTACATTTGGTTTACGAAAATCGTCGGATGGATCAGCTGAAGTACTAAATTCGACAAGCAAGTACATCAAATTGAAATCAACGTTGCACAAATTATCAACCTCGAAACTCGAAGATAACGACATGAGGATCACCAAAACACGATAACAGCCTTACGTGTGTAATGCTGATAGGATATAGAAACTAAGAAAAGCTACGATTGAATGAAACTAAAGCTCTAAATCAACAGCTGAGATCGGAAGATTTGTGGAGATCGAGGATAAACGATTGAATTACCCAGATGAGATCGGCAGAGTGGAAGCGAAGAATAAGAGAGAAATCAAAGCGAGAAGGGAAGTGGATCTGAGAATCGGCGCCATGGTCGTCGTTCGCAGATTGCCGAAAGCCAAAAGCCAAACGACGAGATTTCTAATGCTCCGATTCAGGTAGAGAAGAAAACCGAATAATATCGAAATATTACGAAAACACCAAAGACGGTTTAGCTGAACCAAACATGAAATCAGAAAAAATGTGTCGGGAATTTAAAATACGGAGGTTTTTAAAAAAAATTTAACCCTTTTTCTCGATAACTTTTAACAATTATTGTGTTTATAAACCAACACTTGATTCCCACCCAAAAAAACAAAAAAACCTACACTTGAAAGACACGGCGGAGAAGGACACAGCTGATATTAGGGTCCGTGAAGGAGACGTTGAGGGAAGCGGAGAAGAAGAAGATGGCCGAGAAAGAGAGTGTGAAGAAGCCAACGGAGGAAAGCTTGCCGGAGGCAATGTGTGGCGAGTTTAGACGCGTCGTTGTGGTAAGTCCTGTTTTCAGGGCTGAGGATTCCATTACTCACAGACACCTGTGTGAACTCACTGGTCCTGATGTGGAGGTGGAGATTCAAAAGAACGTTTCTGAGCATGTAAGGTTGTTCTTTAAAAATACTACGTCCATTCTCGTGAGGCTTTTTGAGAGTTTTGAGATTTTTACTTGGTTGTGTCCTAATCATTGTCCGTTGGTGTAAATAAATCTTGATCTAGTTACTAAAGCCTTTTTCTTTCGGATGAATCATACTTGGTTGTGTTCCATGTCTCTCACTCTGTTTGAAAGTGCCAACAAATTTGGGAATCAAAAACGTTGGTAATCACATTCATTTAAACAGGGGAACCCAAAAAACTATAAACTTTTCATTCCAACCATGAATCTAGGATACAATTTCTACCCACAAACACCACAAAAGAATCATCGACAAGACTTGAAGCCACTGTTACAAACCAAGCTTCTTTGAGAACAAGTCCGAGATGTTAGCTATTACGAATCCAGCAAACACCTGAAAACAAAAAAAACGCAAATTCTTGAGCACCAAGAAATTCTTCATTCTCCCTGTTTGATTTGATAGAAAATACGAGTTTTTAGTTACCTGAGTAGAGCCAAGAATGTAAATGGCGGAATAATGACGACCATGAATCATCATGTCAGCAACCATCGCCAGTGGAATGGTGAGAGACATGCCCAGTGTCGCTACTAGCGGAGTCGTCCACACCACAGAAAGTGCCCTTTCGTTGAGAAAACAAAAAAAGCCAATTCATTTTCTAAACATATAAACACTTTCTTTCTAGGAGCTAGCCAATCAATCAACTCTATTAAGGATTCCAGGGACTTGTAAGTAAAAGCTGACAACTAGAACCATTTGAAACATACCAAAAGTAGTCAGAGAGGACACTTCCAACGAAACCGTTTGCCAATACAACTTCATCAACTCTGACAGAGTGCGGTATGGTAAACTTGGGTTCGATCCCTAATGCTGTCAATGGCCACACTGAAATCCAAATAAAAACCACACAAACAGTTGAGTAAAGGAGACAGTTCCCTGTTTCATATGTTACGGATGATACACTTGAAAAGATCTTATTATACCAAGCCACCAGAGAGCAACAAGTGTGAACAGTCCTATGTATCCAAACAGCTTTTGTACATCAACTCCTTCTCCTTCTTCACCGGCAAACTTCTTTAGAAGCACTGTGATGTCAATAACATAAGGGTACAGTACAGGCCACGAGGTTATCCTCCTCAACACACAAAAAAACTCTAAACCATTGGAAAATCAAATAAAATAAATCATCTCTAACCTGTAAATAGTCCATACGAGACTGCAGAGAGAAGCCCAAAGAGATCTCCAACAAGGGACCGTTGCCCGTTGCTAAACACAAATATCAACTGTACGTTAAAAGAATATGGTTGATGAAACTGGAAAACTCATGTAATCAAGAATTCTATAAGATTCATTAGACCCTTCCCACATACAAATTCAAAAGAACAAAAAAATCTTAAGAAACAGAATCTTCCAGATGATACAAACTTGAGCTATCAATTTAGAACGCAGTTCAGGTTTAGCTTTTGAATCTAAATGCATACAGATATCTTTCACATTCCAGGAAAAGATGCACAGTGAAACAGGTTAGGATGAGCAACGCAAAAAACTTACAGTGAAGAATTTAATTGCGAGTCATCAGCAGCCCAAGTTTTCCCGAGCGTTGTCATGACCACACCAGCCATACTGACAAATACAGCAACTACTTTGGACAGGTTCAAAGTATCTTGGCCCAAAAAAGCACCAATGAAAAGAGTAAACAGCCCTGAGGTTGAAGACAATACAGTAGTGCTTGCCACACTTGTACGCGCAAGGGCAGCATTGGACAGATACTGTATCACCCAAAAATAGCAAACAAAATATCATTCCCCAAAAGTTCTGTTGAAAGAAAAAAGCCGAGCAAGGCAACAAAAACATCATCTCAAAAGACAACACACCTCTGTCACAAACCAAATCGGTGCGAGGTAAAGCCCGTACATTGCAATCTGCTTTGTGGTGATCTCTTTCCCGTGTTTCGGAGTCTGCGCTTCTTCTTTCCCTTTACCGATCAAAGGTCTCGCGTCTTCCTCATGTGATGAAAAGTCTTCCTCGCTATCTTTCTTAGTGATGGTCCCTTGAAGTCCCATTTCAATGATTTTGTGTCTGATCTCAACGGAGGACTCATCGGTCAATGCCGGAACCCTACTGCTTTTGGAGGATCGCCGTCGCTCTAAATACCGACAAAGCCAGTCTTTGAGGAATGCTACGGGAAGGTAAATGATCATAAGAGAAGCTCCAAGGTATGTGACTGCAAATGGCTGCTTATATGCTGTAAAGATATCCTGGTCAATGTAAAGTCAAATCATTCAATAAATTATCCAAATTTCTACCATAAACATTGACCCCAATTGAACAGAGATCTGAATTGTATAATTTCCTTTTCGTTCCTCGATTCTAATATAGCATCAAAACTCGACGAAGCTTATAATGGAGCTCGAAGGCCAGATGTTGATCAAACATTCACAACCTCAATAGAATCAAAAATTTAAACGGAAAAAGGCGAATTTGAAGGTCGATACCTGAGTAACTTCTGCAGATGTGACCCATATGACAACAACGGTGCCTATCAAGAACAGACCAGCTTTGTATCTCCAACCCATCATCACAAACACACACACACACAAAAAAAACTCTAAACTAAAACCCAGAAATCAAGACCCAGGTGTGTGATTGGATCAATCCTCCAGAGATCTGCTCTTGAAGAATTGACTTGGACAAAATTGATCCTTGCGCTAAGGAAACGACGGAGGGAGATGAAATTAGATGAGCACGAGGGCGTTGGTTCGAGGAAAGAGGTGGAGTGAAGAAGAGAGAAAGGGAAATCCAGAAACGACCAGAGAATTGACCAGCTGAGAACGGGAGAGTAACCGCGAGGGAAGGAAGGGGGACGTGAAGGAAAGCGTTAGACAAGGGATTAAATAAAAAAACACTTTATTTATTGGTTTTATTTTTTTGTGTGTAAGAACATAATTCACGTTTTTATAGAAAGTTATTTAGTAGTGATGATGTCTTTAGGAGTTTTAATTCGGATGGTAAAATATTTGGAGGGTGATCTAACCGTTTTTCTTTTTGCAATGATATTTTTTATTCAAAACCTTAATATCTACGTCTGTATAGGTAGGCTTTTTAGCTTCGGTTTAACGAGGAAGGGAAATTGTAGAAAATTACATACATTTTCGGGAAAACCAAAGAGTGAGAGGAAAATATTTTGATTATTAGTAAAAATGGATTGTCTTTGCATCATTACCGTCACGAGAATTTTCTGCCATTTGGAACGTTCTTGTACATTAAAGTTCAATAATTTTGCAGGGATGCAATTCAATTTCAGACCCTTTTACCAAACTATTTTCTCTATTTTGCAGGGATACCATTTTTTCATCTCTTTATTTTACCAATCTTTTTCATCTGTCCTTTGATTCCAAACAAATAAAAGGGACAAAATGACTGACTGACAGATAATGAACGTAAAAACAAAGAATGTTAAAAATTTGGTGCAGAAGAAAAAGACGCCAGTCTTTAAGGTTTATCTATAGTTGCTTGTCATCTCTAAAGTTTAAATTCTGTTGACATGTTTGTTCACCATATTCTTCTGATTTATTATATCACTGTTTTTTTTTTCTTAAAGAAACTAACCTTTCAGAATCAGATTTTTCGTATTAAATTTTAAAATAAAATCACATAAATAAAAAGTTATAAACATTTCGAGTAATACTAGCATTTATTATAATTTATTTAGTAGGTGGCATGAGAAAATGCCAAGTTGTTGAGTCTGGTGCCTGTGGCCTTAATTAGTGACAATGACACCTGTATTTTCAATTCATTTTTGGACAACAGTTAAAATGACACCTATATTCTCCTTTCTTTACTTCTCTACTATATATGTACATTCAAATCATGAATTTGTGAACTATGGTAATGTCTTAAACTTTTTGTTCAAAATTATGAAACTATTTTGCTTACCAAATATATAATCACAAAAAAAATCATTCGGGTCAACTGAAAAAATAAAAATAATTTAAAGGCATGTACAAATCAAGTAGTCATGGTCTTCAGTTCTTCACATCCAACCCGATTCAGACCCATCATACTCTAACTTGACCTATGAGAAAGAGAGACTTGTCCAATCTAAAATTTGATATTCGCGGTTGGTTTATTTTTCATTCGAAAGGGCTTTTGATTCGCCCCAATTGATTTTAGACCTTTTTTGTTTTCCAAATGACAAACAAATCACTTAGGAAGACTCTTAAAAGTTGGTGTGGATATACGAAAGAGAGGAAGTCACATGCACAAAGAACACAATGATTCCAAAACTTGTATGAACAAATCAGACAAAGTAAAGCCTGCTCATGTCTCACTATGTGTATATATAATTATAGAACATAATGACAACACAAATTCGCACAGCATGCTAAACAATGAGCTTTCACATTGCTCTGTAAATAAGCATACTTGATATAAACGAGTTGAAAACATAAGCTTTTTGAACAAAAGCCCGAGGAAAACAGAAGGTTTGAAATCAGAAGAGCACAAAAAAATAACCACGGCAAACATAGAGCCCAGATTCCCTTGAGGGACCAGATGCACTTACTTAAATGCAAGATGGTAGAGTAGGTCCGTGGCAGATAAAGGCCACTGCAACGTATATGATCACCAGTAGTAATAGTATTAAGAGGACCCTGCAAGACAACAAAATACAGTTATGAACCATGTCGGATTCATGAAAAATTCTCACTTGTGCTGTTGTTCATAAAGATATACGTTACTGAACGCCAAAATCCCAATTTTCGTTTCAGATTAGTACTTTACGCACAGAACAACTTTCTTGGGGGAGTTGTCCTCCGTGTATTCATTACTTGACATTACTAAAGCGTAGTTTTGGACACACACTTTTGCAATAACAACACTGAAATTTTGTTCAATCATGTAAAGGTTTTAGGAAACATACGTGAGCTTGCAATTTCTCCACCAGACGTTGCTTCTGAAACGGCGAGCTTGCTTTCTGAAGCGGAATGTATTCCCCTGCATATTTGCGGTTTTATCGACAAGAAGCTCCAAGCGTTCACCTCTGTCTAGAACTTTGTCAATGTTCTCTATCATCACGTCCCGCACCTATACAGAGCCCAGAAGAATAAAACCCGACATGTATGTCAGCGTAAAGCCAAAAGATTCAGACCCAAAGTCTTTGACATCAGGAATAAGGGAAACTCATCAGACCTGACTCATTTCACCCTTAATCCGATTAATCCTGTCGGCGTTTGGATCATTAGAGTAATACTCAATCTGCTGACTGAGAACTCTCGAGAATTCCTCGTTCATTGCATAAGCTAGTGCTGTATGAACTGCCCGGCCATAAGTCCTTACGAACCTCTGGTGAATATCCTCCAGAAACGCAAAAGGAATCCTCCCTGAGAGATTACATACAAAACAAAAAAGTTTATAAAAAAAAGTTTAAAAGTAACAAGAGATTCCCCATATAATATATAAACAGAGTCCATGCCACACCTATCGGCGACAGGTCTCGAAATCGAAATCAGAATTATGATTTTACAGAATGCCCACATACAAAAATGTTTCAGAATTTCGAATTCCGGTTTCTAGAAATTAGCCATACAATAATCGAATGATAAGGGGAGATGAAGGACGTACTTCCGGCGGTTTCCTCGGCCATACAGAGAACGGTGAGCCCATCGGTGCGCTTAACGTGGAAGACGTAGCGATCCTGAGAGTAGGAGACGTTGCTGTCGTTGTTCCCAGGGACCTTCTCCAGGATCTGTTTGGCGATCGTGCTCGCGTTCGTAGACGTCGCTGTGAACTCCGCAAGCACCACCGTCCCACGAGCCACGAGTGCGTACAGAATCGCCATATCCTCCGATCAACAAAAAAAACTCGACGGGAGGGAGGAAAGGTCAACGGAAGAAGGTTTCCCGCGGGAACCGAGCCAGGCAGACGAATCGCCAGATCAATCAGATGACCAATAGCTTTTCACCTGTCTGCATATAATTGAATCTCTCTCTCTCCTTCTTCTCTTTCCTCTTGGAGTTTAGCTGGAGCTGGAGATCTTTTCGCCTCTGCCAGATTTAAATATCATTTTTTGGATAGCTACGGAGATAATATAATTTTATTAATATAAAGAGTCTTTAAGACCATCAGATGTTTAAAATATATATACTATAAGGGTCAATATTTAGAAAACAATTTGTTTTATTAAAGTAAAAATTTATAAATGAAAACAAAAATTTATTTCATTTTAAAAAAGTAAATTTCTTATATAGCAAATTGTTTGGAATGTATATTTTGTTAGAGTAAAAACTTATTAGTGTGAAAGAAAAAGGTATGTTATCTAGAAATGTTGAGTTATATATACCAACAATATTTTTCTTACTAAATTATCATCTAAATTAAGTTTTGAATAATTTTATTTTTCATAAAATTATTTAAATGGTAAAATATAAATACAAAATAATCTTGTTATCTATTTTTTTGGTTACATATACCAAATCCATGAAATCAATTTTTGTGGATTTTGTATATCATTTTGTTACACACTATTGAGTCTTGAGTTCTGAATTTTTGTTTTCATTAATTAGTAGTTATTTTATTCTATATTTCAATTAGCCAAGATACGGATTACAGAACCGGTAATATACAAAGCTAGTTCGACACCTTAGCCAAAAGCCAATGGATACAACATCATTGAAGACACAACACACAAGCTCCAACATCATTGAAGTGGGGTATTATTCAGTTCGATGCATTTAAGTTGTTTTCTTGGATTTTTTTTGTTATTTAGAAATATGTATACCAAATCAAAAGTAACAAACACACACACAAAGTCAGTTCGGTTTAGAAAAAAATCGGCCCAAATTTGATTCAGTTTGAATAAATATGAATGAATGAATATGCTTTGTGAAATGGATAAAAAAATTTGAAAAAAATGTTAATGCCAGGAAAATGAACAATAGAGAGCTCAGATCAACCCAATGAGCTGAGCCCAACCAAACACAGCCTTACAAAATCAGTTAATTAACAATAGAGAGAGCTCAGATAAACCCAACTCAAAACCAAAACGTGGTTCACGAGTCAGACGACCCAAACCGAATCTCACGGGAAGAAGGTGGGACAAATTGACATATATACAGTACACGGTAACGGTAGGCTTCGCGCCTCCGTCAAGTGACGTGTTATCCTCTCGGCTTTTCCGTTAAAGTAGACGACACCGCCGTTTATCGCCGTGGTCCGTGGAATTCAACCAGAGGAAGAGAAGACCCCTGATCTGGTCCTTCTCTCAATCCCACCTCGATCTGACGATCTTCATAAACCCTACACTTGGATCTCCTGCCCAGATTTCTGCTCGGAGTTGCGTAATTTTGTGGTTTCTCGAACGGGGATATCAGTGCTCTGTTGCGTCTCCGATTGGATTTGATCGGAATAATTATATCCGGGCTCGGAAATCTGGAGAGAGAGAGAGGTAGGTAGATTTTGGGTGGAGATGATGCAGAGACGGAGTCCGCCGAAGCATAGGCATGATGGAACGTCGCCGCTTCCATTGGGGATGGATTGGAGTCCTCCGCCGCGCAAGTGGGTGAGTTCTTAGAATTCGAATTCTATTGAGCTCGATATATATACATATATATACTCTTCGTTGTTCTCTTGCTATATCTGCTGAATTCCTTCTGGGGACTTGAGAGAATTGTGGATACTTTTGCTACTGAGTCCCAAGCTATTAGGATAGCTACAGTTGGATAGCTTAAGGCATTGAAACTCTTATGCTCTTTTGTGCAGAATGGTAGAGATACTGTCTGGCCTCATGACCCTCGAACCGGATGGAGTTATTGTGTTACAATACCCTCATGGGTTGTCCTTCCAAAATCAAGAAATTCAGATCCTGTAGTGGTAATTTAACTATTTAAATCTATAGTGTTTATCTCTTGCAAGAGGAAATGTTTTTTTCAGTGTTCATCTTCTCGTAGCAAATTTTGTTGAACTCATTATCTCGAGTTCAACTTACATATATAACATTTTAGAGGAACAGTTTTACAGGGTTCAGATAAGTGTGCAATCTCCTGAAGGTGTTACCACAATGCGAGGAGTGTTGAGAAGATTTAATGATTTTCTAAAGCTATTAACGGATGTAAGTATTTGTTCTCCCTTGAGCATTGCCCAATCCAACTTTCCACTTTTTCACTTCTCAACGATATTATTTGACTGCATATGCACATTCATGTTTTTCCTTTCAGCTTAAAAGAGCGTTTCCCAGAAAAAGTTTTCCATCAGCTCCCCCCAAAGGGCTGTTGCGTATGAAAAGCAGAGCAGTGTTAGAAGAGGTATGCATTTTTTATCCTGTGGCTAATTGAATTAGGTCACTTATGTAACTGCTGTTACTCCCTTTTTCTAAACCTCGCCCGCCGAAGATTAAGTACGAGTAATGCATGTTGTACTCAACAATAATGTTACAACTGTTCATAAAAACAATCAGTTTCACAAGTGATAGCTGTGACCTTGTTGCAGAGAAGATGCTCTCTTGAGGAGTGGATAACGAAGCTATTATCTGATATAGAATTGGCAAGAAGTGTAGTAGTTGCATCCTTTCTTGAACTCGAAGCTGCTGCTAGGTCTGGTATGAGCTATTACATTACGCACTTTAGCCGTGCATTCGTAAATGCTGTTATGTGTCATTAGTGTCTAATGTGATCTTGCTTTTCAGCATGCCAAGATGTAGATCAGAATGCTTCCGATGCCAATAGCACAAGTTCGTCGTCGCCTATGGTTCACCCAAGTTTGAGCTTGTTTCCGGCTGGCGGCAGTTCTTCTCTCACATCTGACTATGGCAGTGATACTGCTTATGAAACATCTGAGCTTGGATCTCCAAGTTTAGGACAGGATGATATTTCTGAAATTGGTACCGAAGATCTAACACTGGATGAAGAAGTAACAAATCCAATAGAGAAGCTCGTCAGCTTTAGCATGTCCAACATTGACGAGGGACTTTCAATGAGCGAAACTATTCTAGGGCAACTTGAAGACTTTCCCAAACACAAAGTCCGCTCAAGATATGTGAATAATATTATAGGCAAGGATATGTATAATGGAAATGCTTCCAAAGGTGTGATTCTTGCTGTCAATGGCTCACGACTTCTCTCTGAACCAGAATCATCAACTCACTCGGTAAGGCATGATAGAAAGCTTTCTGTTGAGAGTGCTGAAGGGTTTTCTTTACACGCCGGTGAGACGTCAACATCTGGTCTCCTAAGTTCAAGCAGTGATAGTCACCTGGATCTACGCCGAGGTACTGGTGGATCGCTTGGAACTGGGCTTGTTTGTAACCCGGAGAGGCAGGGTAGTGCACAAATTGTTCTTCCACTGGACCTGCGTAATAAATTGAACAGGATTCTGTTAGCCACGAATGAGAGACTTGTCAATGCAAAAACAGATATGGAGGATCTTATAGCAAGACTAAATCAAGAGATAGCGGTGAAGGATTACCTGAACAAAAAGGTATAATAAGAAAAGCAACCATGAATTCCGTTTTTCTGTATCCATCTTTTTGGTTCTAAACATCCTTGTCTTACGAATGGTAGTGTTGTAATCTTGTTTTTACTGCTCAGGTTAATGATCTAGAAGGGGAACTCGAAACTACTAAGCAGAGAAGCAAAGAGAATTTGGAGCAAGCTATTATGACCGAGAGGGAAAGAGTCACTCAGATGCAGTGGGATATGGAAGAACTTAGACAAAAATCTTACGAAATGGAAATGAAGTTAAAATCGAGAGAGGTACAGGTTGAGATAGTTCCATGTCTATAATATTATTTTCGCAACCAAACTGGTTCGCGTAGATCATACATAATTTCTCTCTACTAGAGAAGCACGCTGATGCAAATGATTACAACAGGGTGGGAGCTCACATGCAGAACCTACTGAACAGTCAATTATTTCTGAGAGGCAAATTTTTTCAAAAGAACTGGATGCCAGAAAACAACAACTGGAGGATCTTTCCAGGAGATATGATGAATTAGAGGCAAAATCAAAAGCAGATATAAAAGTTCTTGTCAAAGAGGTCAAATCTCTGAGGCGTTCTCACGTGGAACTTGAAAAGGAGCTGACTCAATCTTTGACAGATAAAACTGAAGCGGAGGTAAATTTCTGGCTCGTATAGTAGTATTATATATATATATATTCATATTTGGCAGAACCATGGGTTTGTGGATTCTTACTATGCATATACCAAAACAAGAGAGACAACACAACTGAGACTGAAACATGTCGCACTTTTCAGAAACTACTCCAACAGGAAAGACAACTACTTGAGAACACGGTAGCGGCTAGGAAAAAGCTTCTTAGTGACTGCAGAATTCTCCACGACCGGCTTAAAGAGTACAACCTGAATTTATCGATAGACGGAAACAGTAACTTCGTAGAGGACTCAACTTCAGTATCAGACGCTTTGCGTTTGCTGTCAATATCTGATGATCAAATCGAAGAGGTATTGATGCATCTCTGCTTTATTTCCATTTAAAATCACAAATTTCCCCAACTTAGTTACTGCATCAGGATAAAGTTATTTGTTAGTGGAGGATAGTTAGGTATTCGCTGCACTAGTGAAGCATAACCCTGACTTGTAACAACACTGTGACGGTGTGGATTTTACAAGTTTTTTTAACAATGGTGGCCATTTTCAGGCTCAGCTGCTTGCCGGGTTCGATGAACATGCTGCAGCTCAAGACATGGATAAATCTCTCAGCGTGGACACTGAAACAAGAATCATGGAGGACGAGCTGAGGAAGATATTGGCAGATATCTTTGTTGAGAATGCCAAATTGAGGAAACAGGTGAACTCTGCAATGCTTCGTGCTCTCCAGAGAGACGTAAAGACAACCGAAGATGTGAATGAGGAAAACGGTGATGAGCAAAAGGAGGAGGCCTCAACAGAAACATTGAACATATAGGTAAAATAATAATAGTTGCTTTTGACCTGAGAATAGAGAGAGTTCACTATGAAAACTGCCACTTTTTATTTCTTTTATCGAAGGACTGGTCGGTTTAAAACAAAACGGTTGGTCTCTTGGAGAAGCAAATTAGTTGAAGCTGTGTAATCATATCTACATGTGAGCACTCCTTTTGACGAGTACATAAGGAAAAACATGTGTATTTGCTTATGTTTGTTGTATAATTGTATTGCATTATTATCCATTGCATATATATATATCTACTCTTTCTTGTGTACGAAAACTCAGCTTTTGACAGCAAACGCAAAGAAAAAGTTTTTTGAACTATGAATGTGTAGTGTATACCAGTTTGTAACATGCAGTTGTCATAAACGTAACTCATCATCTAGTAGAACGAAACATTGAAATTAGACTCGGACCAATACTTGGGTAATCCGAATTTTCGGTTCGGTATTTAGTTGGCGATTTTTAGTTTGTTTTGGTTTCCGGCTTTAAAAGACAACCCAGAATGAACCCAAATCAATACTCTGTTGATTGGTTTGGTGTGGTTTTGATATAGATATCGGTTCGATTCAATCTAATTTTCCGGTTCGATTCAATTTAATTTTCCGGTTCGAATTCGAGCCAGAGAGTGCAGTGTTTCGGAGCTCCCAGCTTCCCAATACCCATCGTTACCTTGAACAGGGTTTAATACGGTGTTAGGGTTTTATCTCCAGTCCAAGTTCCCGTCTCAGAGCTCGCGAATTTAGGTTTTCTGGCTTCGGGGAAACTTAATTAAGTATTAGCCAAGGATTGAAGATGGATGCCAAAGTTTCTGTGTCGCCCACAAGCCTCATCGATCAGATTGTGGTTCGTATTTTTTTTTTCCCCAATAACTCCAACACCTATAAAAATCGTTTCGATTCGATTCGATTTGGTCACTTATGAAAGATGATGAGTTGTTGTGCCGTGGGTTTGAACTTTTTCAGGTTCCAGGTGATGTTGTTCTTGATTTGTCAAACATGACTAACCAAACTATCAAGCTCGGCAGTGGCCTCCGTCAGGTTTCATCTTCCCCGATTTTTTGTTCTATTTATTTTTGTGTGTGTTTGAATCCAAGGCATTTGATTTGACATAGATATACAATTGCTTCCACGAGATGCTAGCCAAAGTTAAGTACAGAGATTGACATGTGTTTTGCCTTCTTTCAGGATAATGATGTTATCTGTGCCATGAGAGCTGGGAAACTAAGTTACTCGAAGCCAAATACGTATTGGGTCGAAAGTTCTCATAAACGGGTGAGAGCTCAATGGTTTAGTACCGTATTTAAACATGATTTACTATGGGCTGAATCAATCTTGCCTTGCTGGTTCATTGTTCTTGGATTATCCCTTGTGTCAATCATGAGTGACAACTCTCAAATAAGCCTGCATCAGGAAGATTGTCTTTTAGCAGTGTGTTGATCGTTCTTGTGGAGAAATTCTTGCTTGTTCAAATATATACTGTTAATAAAGTTAGTAGCAGAATGTTGATAGTTTTTTTGTGTAGTATTGGATTCACTTTGTTGGCTATTTATGTAAGTCTCATTCTCTTTGTTGTTGACTCATTTTATTATGATTTCTTTTGCAGTACGTACCTCGCCCTGAGGATCTTGTTCTTGGAATTGTGGTAGATCATAAAGCAGAGGTAACTCCTTTGAGATCATTGCTTGTATAGAGTATTGTATCCCTATCAAGCATTTTATTAGTAGTCGTCAAGTACCTTACAAAGATTTGTTTGTCAAATTTTGTGACTGCAATCCTCATGTCTCTGTGAATTGAAGTTAGGGTCTAAAATCAGAAGAAAACTGATTCCGTAATTGGACAAGCAAATGTTGAATGGTTTTTAAATCTCAGCTTGTAGTTTAAGCTTGCTTCACACATGAACTAAGGTCATGCTAATATTGAATTGTTTCTTTTACTCATCTCAGAATTACTGGGTGGACATAAAAGGACCTCAGTTAGGGCTTTTGCCAAATCTTGCATTCGAAGGAGCTACACCAAGAAATTATCCCAAGCTTGAGGTATGCAGATTCTTATAAATAATGAAGCTCTTTCAAATTCCCTTTTGGAATATGACATTACCTATGAATTGCTTGTTTCCTGAATGTGTAAATCTCTAACAGGTAGGCACTCTGCTTTTTCTTCGGGTTGTGAAGACCACCATAGGAAGGAATCCCGAGCTGTCTAGTATTGACGGTAAGTCAAAAGCGTAGGAGACTAAAACCATGCTGTTTTTTTTTTTTTTCCATTTGTACTGTAAATGCCTTTGTAAAACTAATTATTGTTTCGTGTTTCTTGTTTCTATGTAATTAGAATGTGGGAAAGCTGCAGAGTTCGGAACCTTAAAAGATGGTTTCATGTTTGAAACTTCAACTGGTCTTTCAAGAATGTAAGACATACTTCCACTTAGTAACAGTCTCTGTTAAGCTTCATGTGCATCTCTTCACTCAAAAAGATTTGACTTTCTAATCTCTTATAGGTTGTTGACACCAACGTGCCCAGTCCTCGAAGCTCTTAAACAGAAACTCGCATACGAGATCGCCTCTGGCTGCAACGGCAGAGTGTGGGTAAAAGCAGCTGCTCCACGTTCAGTTATTATCCTGGCGAACGCGATAATGAACTCGGAATCCTTAAGTGGGACTCAGCAGAAAATCATGGTTGAGAAATTGCTTACAAAAATTTCAGACTAAAATGTTGACATTAAGAAAAAGTTTACTGTTCCGTGAGATGTAATTTGACCATTGATGCTCTTTTTAGCAAGTCATTTTTATTTATTCAAATGCAATTTATACAGTCAAAGTTTAGGCGAAGCGTACATATTGATATTCCAATTGAAGAATGTCTAAATATGTTACAACAATGAGCCAATAAACTATAGAGGCAAGCACTCTTATAGGTTATATTACATTTGAGAGAGAGAGGGAGGCTCGTATCTGCAAACACAGTCATATATGTTTCCCTTTATCAACTTCTCTGCCAATCTCTGATTCTTAACCATTGCTAGCTGCGAAAAAAGGAAGAGAAAGGTTTCAAATCAAAAGTTTCAATAGCAATTTTAGAGTTTCACCATCCTGTTAAGTGAGGTTTCAAACCTTGAGAGCCTCGCATTTGAATTGAGCGTTGAAGTTGGTGTGAAGTGATCTTCCCATACCTTCCAAGACAACCTGCAAAATCATTTAAACATCAAACGATGAACAAAAGCTGCTTCTGTTGTTTCGAAGTTTTTGTCAGGTAAAAAAAAAACACAGAAGGTTTTGTAGATACAAGATCGGCATCTTTGGCAGCGGCTGCAAGCTCGGAGCTGACTTGTCTGAGGTCGATGCAAGGACTTCCACATCCATTTTCAACAACCATCAATGGTGCTGAAGTTGAGTCCTTCTTTGACCCATCCCCTGGAGTTACCATCGCATCCACAAGTAAGCCTCCCATTTCTGCCGCTCTCCTCAGGATGTCACAGTGCTTCAACAGTAAAAACAGAACAAAAAGAGTTAGTTCAGTTACATGAAAAATCATTATAAGTTTATAACCATTGCATTGAATCGAAAGTTAAACCGAGAATACCTTAGCAGCACCGGCGACTATATCAGGGAGTTCCATAGCGGTTACATCGTTAAGAGCAGGAAGAGAGTTTGCCACTAGCACAACCTGGAGTATCATAATAACGATTTGTTTAGTGTTAACAAACCATTTGGCCTTTACATGATTCGGTTTTGAGAAGTGCTAGAGAGATTTATCTATACGTACTTCAGTCCCACGACGTAGAAACTCTCGAGCAAGAGGAAGCATCCCAAGAATGACGTCTGCTCCTGAGTTATCAACAAAGAGTAACGCTCTTTTATGTCGATGAGGCTGCTTATCTCCAGATCCAAGCATCCTTTCTTTGAAAGCATCGAAATCATCTACCTGATTTTACGAATAACACAAGAGTTTGAGTTAACAGTTAACAGTAACCTCAGGGTAAAATAAATAGGTGTTCTTGTCTCTCACCCTCCAGGGTCTCTGCATCTTGTTGCGGCTCATTCTGTATATTTCGATAATGGTTCCTTTATGATATAGATCCACACATGCTCGAGATCCCCAGTCGAATATGTTTGCAGCAAGAACACCTTCTATTAGTGTAAGCAACCTCGCCTCCTGAAAATCCAAGATAAGTTGTCTCATGTATAGCACACTAAAACGTTTACTAGCAAACCATGAACATAGAGAGAGAGAGAGGAAGGTTAAAGATCACAGACCTCGCTCATGGAATCAAGCTCCTCTAGTAAATCAGGTAAAACAGTAAGTGATGCCTCGTTCTCCCTATCAATTTCGAAGAAAGAGAGGGGATAAGAGAAAACTCCCTTAGCTTATAGGAGAGGGGATAAGAGAAAACTCCCTTTACCTTAGCTTGATGCTTCTATAGGCATCAACAAACTGGAATTCCCTTAAGCACTCTTCCCTAAGTTCCAAGAGATTTGCTAGCCCCAGCTTTCCATATGCAGCTGGCTCTTCCATTAATCTACAACCAAATTAAAATTATCAGCAAAAGGTAAAACAGAACTGAACTATAGGCTTGACAGGAAAGATTTGAACTTTGTTGTGATGAACCGAACCTTGACAAATGAGCAGAAAAGGCACGAGCAAAAGCATCACCACGCCTTTTTGCATCCTCTGTTCCTCCTTCACTTGCCACAGCCTATAATCATGTCCACAGAATAATAATGAAACAAAGAGTTACTGAAGGTGGAGTAGAATTCGTATGGGTTTTAAACAGTTACCGTATCAACGAGGTCTGGCAAATGCTCGGACAAAACTTTGAGCCAGTACCTACACACCAGAACACAAATAAGCAATCTAAGAAACAGGGATGTCATCAAAGAAAACCAATGTTTTGGAATCAGCATCGAGACGTATTACTCACTCTCGTTCGCCTTGATCTGATAGGTCAATCGTGTTAGGCTCATACCTGAAGTGAAAAAAAACGGTTTAACACACAAGAACATAAACCCTCCACAAAAGTGTAGATGGGGACAAGTCACTTACATTTTCGGGTCGGCCAGCAACGGGAAGACCTCAAGTGTGGGCACAAGATGGAGAACGCCAACGTTTAGAGCACTGGCATCAGATCTTAGAGCACTGCCTCTGGATGAGGGAACATCAAAGCCTCCAAGCCCAGTCGTTTTCGATGGAGTCATCGGCACAGGAGCTGTTATTTCAGTTCCTCTACGTACAAACTTTTCCATCCACGAAATCTGAAAGCAACCAGTAAATCCCTTTTAATCTCCAAAACTCACAAGTCAAGATACAGAACGCTTATTACTAGTTGAAGTGATAATAACTCTTTATGATTAGCGAAAGAAAATATTTAAATGGGGAAGAGCACCTGATTCCATCTCGTAATCAAAATTCAATGGACAATACTCTTATGATTCTCATTTCAGCCTTAGATATATATAACAAATAAAGAAAAGAATATGTAACTGTTACAAAGACAGTCTTGAAAACAAGGTTTTGCTTTTTTAAAGAAATTTCCAAGAACGTATCCAACAATACTCTGTATGCTATATATGATCAGAGTTCAGTAGAACAAAGAATCTCTCTAAATAATAGAATATCAGCAAAGTTGGTTAATATAGGAGAGAATTTATGATTCTTTATCTTGTTATTATTATACTTTATGTCACATACAAAAATTATATTTTGTATAAAAAAGAAAGAATCAGCATACTTCACAGCGAATAATATCCATGCAAGCACTATCATATGTTTATTCCAGAGAGCACACAAACCATGGAAAGGAACAAGTAACAGTGTACTTTTATAGTCTCAACATATTCGACAGTCCCATTCGGCCATAAATCAGTAAATCCATGGAAGATCAAACATTTGCCACCAAACAAAAAAAAAAACTATTTTGCAGTATCAAGCATATTCTATAATGGTATTGTCTAAAGAATACTATTTTTTGCGTGTACCACTTAATAAAGGAATATTTGGTTGTCAACAACTTGAGACTTTGGTAGAAGAAGTAAGCTAAATCGATTACCTTCTCGTTCAAATCACCGAGTGGTGGTCCGTGGATATTTCCTCCGGTGTAGGGTGCACCCATTGGGAACCTCTCAACCAACTGATGGGACATTAGATCATCCAATCCGTGCTTCTCATAGCTCATGAACGCACCCAGAGCACCAAGAAAACCTTCATGCCTCAAGAACATTGCTTGCATCTCTCCTTTCGACCTTTTGGCATCAAACAATTACTTTAAAGAGTTGAGTGATGGAAGGTGGAGTACGCATATCACGCCTTAAGGTACAAGTTTTACAAGTAGTTACCAGAAATGTACAGCAAACGAGATTGTGTCCATGGTATATGCATGGCCCCTTATGAAAAATCCTCCAAAAAATATTCGCTTCAACCCAAAGCGAAGGGCGTTCAAATACGATATCTACATAGCAGTAACATACAAATCAGAAACGCAAGATACATCTCTAGTGCTCAACATACAAAACCTTTGGACTTCATACCTGCCCAATGTTGTATGAAATCATCCGCAATAGAGACAAGGAAATATCTTCAGGTCTGTAATCTTCCAGTTCCTTGTTTTCAGAGATCGCCTTACCAAAACTAGAGGCTATTGTTGAAGCAGAGAGGCCAATCTGTAAAATTGATTAATGGGAATTCTTACAACAGCTGTGGAAAAGCAGTCACATGCTTCAACGAATGAGATCAGATGTAGTGTGATGCAAAGTAGCCCTTACCTTGGAGTAATCCATGCCACCATAAATATCACCAACAAGCATGTCGATGGTGCTATTATCTCCCTTTTGGCTGAGTTCTAGCAATTCATCAAAACTAAAAACCAGAAGAAAATCATCGTGAAGTATAGGAAACGAGAGTATAAACAAGTACACTGCAAAATTAGGTCTATTTACCTCTTGCACTTGGTTAGAAGTCTTCCTAAGCCCCAATAGGTACCACCACCAACATTAGTCCCACTCACACGTTCAAACTTTCCTTCCCCATCAACCTATACTTCGAAAAGACATTGCTTGAAAATCTATAGGTCCATGCAATTTTCAAGCCTCCAAACTCAAAAGTTCAAGAAGCCACAACACACAAGAGTTTGTGGAAGAAGTAGCAAAGAGTAAACAAATACCTTGATTATGCTAACACCAGATCCAACGTTAACAAGAAGATATGGATACAAGTCATTTGAATCTATCTGTACAAATTCTTTCTCACCCTCCATGTGCGTGAAGGCTTCATGTCGAATAGCCTGCAGAAAAAAAAAGGATGTAGACACAAGGTAAATCTATGATGAGAGCCCGTCTTTACGTTTCTGTTTTGCAAGTGCTAAGTAATAAAAGGCTCAACTACATATGCAGACACAAAGGTAAATGGAATGTTGCATGAAAAAAGGCCTTACCTTGAGCAAGAAATTAGCTCCAGAAACAAGGCAATGCATCTCATCTTCTTTTTCAATACTCACACCAAGCCGTTCCTTGAACAAGTCTGCAAATTTAAAGGCTCCGCCACCTGTCACCTGCAAGGTACACGTACCCCTGACTCAAATCTTTAAACAAGCAACCATGAAGATGTTTTCTGCAATCTCAAATGACAGAAAGAGCTAAAACAACCAAGTCATGAAAATGTCGTTACCTTGATAACACCAGTCCCCAGAGGCAGTGTCTTCGAACTCCAAGGATAAGGATCTATTCATTGATTCAAACGAGAAATTGGTTGAGAACAAAATGGTAAAGAAGGCGAAGTAAACAGTCAATCACCAGAAATCCATCATATAACAGTGAAAACAAAACAAAACCACATCAACTTAGAAATAGCCAATAAACCTCGGCGATGAAGCTGCTTGGAGTGGATAAAATCCAAGCACTCGTTTATTTTGTGAGTCTCAAACTTGACGAAATGGAGCCTCCCACCAAGAACAGGGTAGCTTCTCAAGTTGCCATTGGTTATACCCAACCTCTCCTTGATCGTCCTCTTCCGCTTATCACCATCATTTGAGTAGTCCTCGTGCCGTGAGAAATACAGCAACTTTATCAAAGACCCTGCAAATCAAGCTTGACCGGTTTAGAACACGGCATTTGAAAAAAAAAGCGTCGAAAGTTTCCGAAACTGTTGATAATATACCTCCAATATCAAGTGCCAAATGAGAGATATCATCAGATTGATTAGGCAAGAGAATGGTGGGGTCTCTCTCCTCGAAATTGCCCTGAATCTCAGCTTTGCTCAGATCAAGCTGCGGCCTAGAGCCCGATCTGTGGATTGATGTCCCTGGAGCCGATGGAGCCATTTCTTTCTGAGTTTTTGCATCAAGAATTGGATCATGCTCATCTCCTGGACCCGCCATTCTTTTTTTTTTTATAAAATAAAAGCAAAACACACACACGCCCAGAAATCTCGGATCACCAACAACAACACCACAAAACCCTACCTGCAAAATTTCTCCAATTAGAAAAAAAAAAATCCAAAACAGGCAAAAACCCAGAAAACAGCTCTCGGCAATTTAGTCAGCAAATAGCAGAAGGACACGAACTGACAAGAGTTTCAAAGTCGTAGACTTTAGACAACTAACCTGTTGTTGTTCGAGCTTTTGTTGTTCGAGTACACAGAAGCTAGAATCGGGTATTAAACACGGACAAAGGAAGAATACTCAAAGGATGAAGCGAGAACCTAACTCAGCAAAATCGTCACTTGAATTGTCTCTCATATTATCGTGTATATAAATGTAATTTGTGATTATTTATATATTTGATTAACTAATAACTACAACACAATTATTTTTTTCTTATTTAATCAAAAAATAAAAGTGGATCAATGCATGCTAAAGTTATGGATTAGGTTTGGTGTTTCATCATGTTATAGACCGAACTCGAACTTCATTTGGTGGTTAGGCTTATGAGTACCAATGTCACAGAAGAGTGGTTTCGTGTAAGAGGGTAAGATGTGGATTAAAGCCTACTCACAAGAGTTCCTTTTGGGCATCTTACTTACTCAATTTTGTTTCAAGTTTACATTTGAAGTTTAGAACTACGACGTGACTTAATTTTGTTTGTTTTTAATAAATAGTGTACAGAGTCATAAGAGTAAACTTTAGAACAAAGGAGTTTAGGAAATTGACCTTCAACATAAGATCAAGTAAAGAAACTAATCGAGTCTCAGTCTCTGAGCCATCATCCATTCTTTGAATGTTTTTTTATTCCAGACTGAACGATGCTTGATAGTGCGATGATGGATCCTATAAAACTAATTGGGCTTACTGATGTTAAAGAAATGACCCAAAAAATAAAAACAATTTTCAATATTAAACTAAAAAGAAATACAGAATTAGGCTTTTCTACTGGTGCAAAACCTATAATCAAATAATTGGGCTTTTTATGTTTGTGATAGAATTATAGATTCACTTAAAAATTGTGACCCAAATAAAGATTATAATTGTCTCAGAAATGATAATCGAACTCTTTATAAGCCCATTAAGGAACTATGGCCATGTCATATAAAAAGACAAATAGATGCCGTGGCGGCCCATTGGACACGTGGACATGCCGACATGAATCTTGCGAATAAGGGCAAAGTAGACTTTTGGATTTAACGGCGATCGCAACTCGCAAGCCAACGGGAGCCTCTATTTTTATTTTGTTTCCCATATTCTATGATCCTTAAAAAAGTAGTAAATAATTTCGATTTTATCCAATTCAGTCCTTTTCAAGGATCCATCCTCCACACCATTTCCCTTTACATTAAACTTGCCCGTATTGCATTTGCATTTCTCTCTCTCTCCCTTCCTAGATTCTTCTCTTCTTCGTCTTCCTTCGATCTGGGTTTGCTCTCGTAAGCCCTCTCCAAACGCCACTTCTTAATTTGATCCTGTAATTGAAACTGGGACTCGGGGTTTTTTCTCTGTATTGGAGCTCGAATGGCGATTTTCTAATATGCTCTTCTGGGGAAGAAACAGATGGGTTTCTCTGAGGCTATTCGCCTAAATCTTGCTTCCTACTCGTCTCTCTCTCCCTGCCAGGTTTCACGTTATGACTTACCCCTTTCCTCTTATCATATTCGTATATGTATCGCTGCTGATTCAGAAGACTGTTGTTCTCATATCATTAATGGAACTTTTCTTTTATTCTTTCAAATCTCTGGTTTTCGTATTCTTTGCTTCAGTCAGATGATGATGATGAAAATGAATATTCTGTAGATTAGAATTTTCCAGACCCTTTATAGGTTTTACTATACTTAGTCTGGTAGCAATAGCGAGAGTATTACCTGAGTTGCTAAGTGTCTGGCCAAAATCATCGAAGTTATTTTTTTTCCATTTTAAGAAAAATCAAGACTTTGACATTGAATGTGACTTTTGATGTCTGTGATGCAGTATTGTTCGACGAGAGTAAACCAGAAGCAGAAGAGTCTTGTTGCATTCCCGAGCAGTAGAAGAGGAAAGAGACGCTCTTTACTGACTGTTAAATCAGTGTTGAACATCAACGATAATGGAACAGCTGAGCCATCAAAGGTTCTTCTGGAGAAATTGTTCGCTCAGACACAGAAATTGGAGAGACAGACGAATCAGAACTCGGTTTATCCTGATGAGGATATGCCCTATTCAAACCTTGGGGTGCTCGAGTCTGACCTGCAGGCTGCGCTAATGGCCCTGTTGAAAAGAGAGGAGGACTTGCAGGATGCAGAGAGGAAGGTTCTCTCTGAGAAGAAGAAACTGAACCGGGCAAAGGAGGGGTTAGAAAAACGAGAGAGAATAATCGTTGAAGCTTCTTTGAAGCATGAAAGTCTACAAGAGGAGCTGAAGCGGGCAAATGTGGAGCTAGCTTCACAGGCCAGAGAGATTGAAGAATTAAAGCAGAAGCTTAGGGAAAGAGACGAGGAACTTGTCGCTATGCAATCGTCCTTGACTTTGAAAGAGCGAGAGCTAGATCAATTGCGTGATGAGATTGCAAACAAAACCAAGGAGGTTTCCGTGGCTATTTCTGAATTTGAAAACAAGTCACAACTCTTAAGCAAAGCCAACGAAGTTGTCAAGAGACAAGAAGGTGAAATACATGCACTTCAGAGAGCCCTCAAGGTGAAGGAAGAAGAACTAGAAATTTCTATGGCTACGAAGAAACTTGAACAGGAAAAGCTCAGAGAAACAGAGGCCAGTTTGAAGAAACAGACGGAAGAGTGGCTGATAGCACAGGATGAAGTGAATAAGCTTCAGAAGGAAACTGTGAAACGCTTAGGAGAAGCCAACGAAACCATGGAGGATTTCAGTAGAGTGAAAAGGCTTCTGAGTGATGTGAGATTCGAGCTTGTTTCTTCTCGGAAAGCTTTGGTGTTTTCGAGGGAGCAAATGAAAGAAAAGGAGCTACTATTAGAACAGCAATTGGAGGAACTCGAGGAACAGAGGAAAAGCGTGTTGTCATATATGCAAAGCTTGAGAGATGCTCACACGGAAGTAGAAAGTGAGAGAGTAAAACTCAGAGTTGCTGAGGCTAAGAACTTTGCACTTGAGCGGGAAATTTTGGTCCAAAGAGAACTGTTGGAAGGGTTACGAGAGGAGTTGCAGAACGAGAAATCTTTGTTGGAGCAAGCTACGCATAATGTATCTGTTATTCAAAATGAGCTTGACAAAACAACCAACGCATTTCAGGTGTCACAGAATCTACTTCAGGAGAAAGAGTCAAGCTTGGTGGAGGCCAAACTAGAGATTCAGCATCTGAAGTCTGAAAAGGCTTCTCTAGAAGTATTACTGCAAGAAAAGGATGAAGAACTCACAGAAGCTCGGAATAAATTGGAAGAAGTGAACCGGGAGGTAACAGAGCTAAAGATGCTTATGAGCAGGAGAGAAGATCAGCTTACGCAGGCAAATGCAATGCTGAAGGAAAAAGATGTCCACCTTCACAGAATCGAAGGTGAGTTGGGAAGCTCCAAGCTGAAAGTCACCGAAGCTGAAATGGTGGTGGAAAGAATTGCAGAGCTGACGAGCAGATTGGTTATGTCAACCACCACCAACGGTCAAGATCAGAAGGCAATGAGGATTAACAATGAGATAAGCTTTGACTCGATGCAGCAACCAGTAGAAAAACCTCGCGATGATTACGGAATGGAGAACAAACGGCTAGTGATGGAGCTAAACTTCACCAGAGAAAATCTACGGATAAAAGAAATGGAAGTTCTGGCAGTGCAGAGGGCTTTGACGTTTAAAGACGAAGAGATCAACGTGGTCATGGGAAAATTAAAAGCCAAGGAGCAGGAGCTCAAGAGATTTAAAGAAGAAACGGTGAATGACAGTGAAGATTTGAAATTGCTATATGCCTTGGCACAGGAGAGTATCGAGGGGAAAACAATGGGTGATCTAGCCATAGAGAAGCTTCAGCTTGAGGCAGCACAACTCGAAGTTGAAGCTGCAACGAGCGCATTACAGAAGCTTGCAGAAATGAGCACGGAACTTCTAACTCAAGCTGACATGAGCATCGAGGCCGATCCTAGTTTTACTGGAATGCCAGGAAACGGGTTTCATCAGGTAAACAATTCAGGCGGAAGTAACGATTGTATTGCTGAGGTAAAATCAGAAGTTGGCAGGCTCTGGTCGCTGACAGAGAAATTACTAGAGAATGCAGGAATCGTTGCTGGTACATCCACAGGCAACAAAGGTGTGACTTTATGAACATTAGATTATGCAGATTAACTTTATATGCATCATCTGTATGATTTTTTCTGTGGATATGTAGAATTACCGGATGTTAAATATGTTGTCACTGGTCTGCATACAAAGCCTGTAAGGTTGCCTGATTTGATCAGTTAGAGATGTAACAAGAGATCCGTACCCTCTTTGTTCTCCTTATGAAAATAAAACATCGGTAATCTCAATGAAATGTTGGTTATGGCAATGGTAACGTTATATGAAGTCGATTCTAATCGAGGCTTGACCAGCAATTTGCAAGGAAAAACTAGTAAGACGAGGCTTTGGTTAAAAGCTGATTGTATATACGATTTGATTAATCCCATCAAATAATACTACGAGAAAGTCATTTACCAAGTTCAAAGAGGGGAAAAAAAAAGAAGTTATTATGTACTATCATGAAACCATGAATCCATTACTAGAACAGCTTAATATAAAGACCACACCATACCTAATCACAGCCTTAAACACTGAACACGAGCCATTTAGACTTGCCAGAGTCCTGACCATCCAGAATCTGACAATCTCCTTGTCCACTCGAGCCATCGCGTTGTTTCCCATCCTTTGATCTTCCTATCTTCTTCCCAACGAAGAACCCTAACTTCATTGCTGTAAATACACCCATGGCAATCAGCAGAGGTCTCACAGCCCAGTGAAAATCCTCCAGATGCTGGTATTTTTTCACAACTCCTTCACAAGTATTGAAACTCACAAACTCTACTTCAGCTGGATCTGCAAGACAACTTCCATGTTCCTCTCCAAAAGGTAACACTCCAGGGAAATCCACTTCAAGGCAACCGTTTGGTAAAACCCGAGTGATCCTGCCTGTTGCCCAGATCCCTCTACTTTTACGCATCCATTTGAATCTCGGGATGACAACATTGCCTTTGAGCTTCACAAATTGACCCACACTGTATGCTTTAGCCATCTGGAGCTGCGACGAAGTTCCTCTCCAGAGTGTTGGCAGTCCTATAAACCCAACAGCTACATTTCCATCACGGTCGATTGAATGGAGAATACCAACCGGAGAGTGCCTCTTGTCTTCTCCGTCCTTCAGACGTACCCAATCTCCAGAAGCTAAGCCGTTAGTTACCCGTTCAAGAACAGATACGTGAACCCTTAACGGATCATGAACACCATGGACTTTAACCAGAGCAAATTCATCTGGGTCGGTGTCACGTTCCAAACCAACCACCAGTCCTTCTGGGACGTCCATGCTCTCATGCTTACAAGAATTGGCAGGCTTTCTTGAACGCACCGTGTCGCCCACTTGCAGATGATCCTTTGAAAGAAACCATTCTGTATAACCGAGAGTAGCCGAGCTCTTCCTGATTTCTCTACTATCAATGCCTCTCCAGACCTCTTCCTCCTCTGAGTTCTGCAATCTGCTAAACCGGCTCCAGTTAACATCTTATGTCAAGGTGGCCAAAAGTACCAGTTAATATGTACATCAAGACAATATATGATTTACCTCTTCAAGACATGTAAGATGTCAGTCATCGATGGCCGGCTTCGAAGATCATACATAAAGCAACCCCGAAGTAGGTTCTCGAGAGGAGGTGGTATGCCATTGGGGATGTTAACCTTCTCTTGCTTTCTCACCACTAAGTCGTATATTTCATCAACGGATCTCCCACACCAAGGCTGTACACCAGTCAGCATTTCCACAATGCTGCATCCAAATCCCCAAGAATCAGTCTCAAAGGACATGGGACCTCTTACTTCCGGTTGCCATTGTTCTGGAGCCATATAGTTTGGAGTTCCAAGTCTCATTGTCATATCAGAACTCGGCAAAGGGATACTAAGCAGGAGATACGGGATCCCAACATCCCCGAGGATGGCTTTGTCGTTATCACTGAGAAGAAAGTTAGAGGGCTTAAGATTGAGAATCAGAAACCCTTTTGAGTGCAACTCCAGGATCCCTGTAACCAGATCGACCCCGTATCTGTAAAGCGTGGTTCAACATAGACGAGAGGACATTAGTACTCAATCTAAGAATGAAGACGACACTACTACCGTGAGCTGCTTACTTGTGTAATGCAAAATTACCTCAATACATCAGGCAGTGAAAGTTTTCCTCCTTTAAGCCGAGCCATCTTGTCACCAACACAGCCCTCATAGAATTTCATGATGATGCATATCTACAGTACAGAACACAAGTGAACTTCTCAAGAAATCTGCAATCGAACAGCAACTGAAAATATATGGAAACTATAGAAGAAACACATGCTATTTTTTACTTACCTTTCCACTGATACTAGAGACACCTCGGAGAAGACATACATTCTCTACCCCTTGACACTTGGAGAACAAATCCTCAAACTTATCTACCACGACCCTCCTTTGATCCTCCTTGATAGGATGAAGCATTTTGATCGCCACTTCATGATGCTCATCATAGTCCTCAGTTGACTGGTGATGAGTAGCCAGCCAAACATCACCGAAGGGACCTCTTCCAATTCGATGCCGAAGCTTCAAGGTTGCAGAGTTCATCCAAGGGCTTCTCCCGGCTGCTAAAGCGCTCTCAGGCTCGCCTTCGATGATTTCGTATTCAGAATCATCCGGCTTTCCATCAGTAATCTTTGAAGCCATTTCTGAACCAGAAAATATATAACTTCACAGGTTACACTACCACATAAATGCAACACACACAAACAAAAAAAAATTTAAGCAAGAACTCAATCAAATAAGTCGAAAGTAGATCACAAAGAGAAGATAATCAAATACTAAATGGAACAATGTTAACTATTCTTACGAGCAGATCAAGGTAGCAGAAATGTAGAACAGAATTCCTCAGGGGAGCTCGTTCCGAAACTATATACTATCACCGTAAAATCGCAATATAATGCAATTGAAGAGAAAAGTCAGAAAGCAGATACGTGTATGTATTCTCCACTGTGAAATAAGTTAGCGAAACAAACAAGGGACAAAGACAGCATCGTGGAGAAGTAGAAGAAGAAGAAGCAACACTAATCCATCACAATGAAAACTCAATTACCGCGAGATAGAGTAATCATGACTCAATCAAAGCAATGACCAACATTAAGCAGGAGCCAGATCTCACGGATCAAAAATCGTAAGCGAAGAAATCAAACTGAAAGTTAACTTCGATTTCCAACGAAAATCTCAACTTCGGAAACCAGGAAAAATCAAAGACTGAAGAAAAAGCGCAAAGGTAGAGGGAAAGAGAGCAACCAGCAATGAGGGTGAGAATTTGGGTATAAAAGTGAAATTTCGACGGATTAAAAAGCTTTATGAAACCCTAACACCAGTAATGACGGCGAAGACGAGGGAAAGTGATAACTCCAAGTCCCTGGTGAAAGAGAAACGAAGAAAACAAACAAAAGTAAGAGATGATCATCGGAAACTGAAACAAGTAACTTGAGGAGCTATTAAAAAACGGAGAAAAGAGAACCTGTGCTGTGCTGTGAGTGAGAGAGAGAGAGAGAGAGAGAGAGAGAAGAGGAAGAAGGCGTGGAGGCCCCGTAAGCTGCTTGATGAAACACCGTTGCGTTTATTTCACACCACAACCGCAGGCCCATTTTATTTTGGCTGACTTTTTTTTCAATTTTTTAAAAAAAAAATTAAGAAAATTTAGATTAATGCAAAGTATGTATAAAATGTTCAGCCGCGTAGTAGTGGTGTTGGCCGGGAAATTCGTGGTTGCTTGCTAGATTAATGTGATTTTCTCGTTTTGGGATGATACTTGATCATTTGTGAGGGAGGATGACCAAGTCCTTTGTGCAACATCAATAGTAGTTGCTTGATGAGTAAATAAGTAAAAAAAAATTAAAATTGTCCCACCAAACGAGAGCAATCCTGACCACAGCCTCTAAATCTAGGATGTCTTTGAGGATCAAAGGCAATAAGAAGTGTTTCAATGGTGGTGTTAGTGGAATAAGACTGTTTAATGTATCATCAAATCCAGGTTACTGAGAGATTACGCCACCATACGATGGTCCATGATAGTTGTTTCTTTACCAAAACCATGTAACACACCAAAAATCTTCATGTTTTCCGTAACTTTTGTCGCAATTTAGTCTTTACTCAAACCATGTAAGTTGTATTGTTGTAACACACACCAAATAGCAGCATATTGACAAATAAATTTGAGCTTCGTCGTTGGACCTGAGCCCATTTCCGAAGAGTCCATTTCGTTGTTTGTAAATCCTTTAGGACCTTTTTAGTTAAGTGTCTCGGTCCTTCTCTTTTTACTTCCCAAAGAACTCTGTCATGTACTACTCTTTTGTTCAATCGATAATGATCTATCCGCAACAAATGAAATTGATATTTAATCGACAAAATACGATAAAGAGTTACTTATAACCTTAAAATAAAATTGTTCTTCTTGAACGACGAACAATCCAAGAGACAGAGAGAAGAGAGATTTACAGTAATTTTCTTGTAAATGAGTTTTAGAGACAGAGAATTGCAGGTTAACCAAAATAGGGGGCTAAAAATACTTCTCCATTTAAGAAGGAAGAACCTTCTTTACAATGTCTTCACTGAGAGCAGAGATCTGAGAATCCAGAGCTTTAATGGTTTCTTCCTTCTGCTTCTCCAAACTCAACAGAGCTTCCTGTAGCTCCGCCTCCACCTTCTTCCTTCCTTCCGCTAGCTTCTCTTCAACCTCCACCTGAAAACAAACAATTTCCAATTTTCACACTACCACTCCCGATTTCTTCTTAAAGATCTGAGATGAATGTCCGCTTTTGTTTCTGTACCTGAGTCTCCTTCTTCATCTTGTTAAGCGCGGCGGCGATCTCAGCCCTAGCCGCCCTCATCACAGCGGCGGCTTGTTCGTCGAGCGCCTTCACCTCCGAGGAAGTGTCCTTCACGCTCGCAAGCTTCTCCTTGATGGCACTGTCTCTCTGGTCCATGAAGTTCCCAAGCGGCGAGTAATAGACCTTGTCGAGGGCGAACATCAGGAAGAGGAACTCCACGACGATGATCGGCAGCGTCAGGTTGAAATCGAAGAGCTGCGCCTTCTCCATCGCTTCCGCCATCGACGGGGGAGCGAATGCGGCGATTAGGGCTAGGGATTTCGCGGTGGCGGAAGAGAGTGATAGAGCCTTGCTGCGGAGGTCGGAGGAAGAGACGGATTTGGGAATCTGGGGGAGCTTGGCGAATTTGGGAATCTGGACGCGGCTTGGTTGGTTGGAGGAGAGGGAGATTAAGGGTTTGGAGGAAGCCATAATGGAGTTAGCCATGGCCGCACACAGCTTCGAGAGACGAGAATGCTCAAACTGATCTCTGTAATCTCTTGAGTCTTGAGTGACAGAGAGAGATGAGAGATTTTTCTTTAGGAATGTTATCTCCTCCCTTTACCACACAAATAAGCAAGAGGCTGTGGTGATGAGCTAAAAATGAAAGGAGCGGAAAAAAGATTATAAAAGCCCAAATAAAAATTTAAGAAATGCTTGCGTTTACGACCAAACGCAAACGATGTGCCAGACGAGTTTTAGGCTTTTATTGTTTCAAACGCAATTTTTGTAAAATGTTTAGTTATTCATAAATGAAAAATACACACACATTCAATAAGAAAATTTTCATTGCGTTCAAATGCTTACAGATGGTTAAGAAAAACAGAAACGGCGAAAAGAATGTAGGGGTCAGTCATTTGGAGAAAATACAAACGCAAACAATCATTATTCGTTTTGCACGCACACACACGAGCGTAGTTTACATATGAACATGAAGATTAGGAAATCAAAATCTCTACAAGAACCCAATGAGAATGTTTCGCAGACGATATTTTTTTCATGCTTCAGAGATGAGTTTTTTTCTGTTCCAGACATCTTTCTCTGAATAACACTTGAAACGAAACCTTGCCATGAGTTTGTCAAAGAGTCTGCGGTGGCTCGAAGTGGAAGCAGTCACGTTTCTGTGATTAGTCCCTCGATGACTTGGCGTTGAATTGTAAGAGAGCCAACCTCCTAATACAGTCGCTAGAAAGCCTGGTTGTGTCTGAGGGATTGAGTCAACGCCGTCTTCTTGACCTTCTCTTCCCTTCTTTTTCCAGGTTCCGTTTTTGATCGAGAACCTAGATGGTCTAAAACATGTATCTGTCTCATGACTTGGGGAGATTCCGAGTGATAGAAATCTAACAACATTAGCAGAGAAAGAGAAAAGATTCTTACAGTTTCAGTTGTTTCAAAGAAGAAACACGTGGTTCCTTGCTCTTCTTCTTCATCAGCAAGATGCCGTAGTTTGATATATGACGAATGAATCGAAGCTGAGTTGATGTTATTTTTCAAAAGACACTCAAAAACCATTAGCCAGAATGTAGCTGAAATCGAATATCAAATCTAGCTACCTAGAAAAACTCTACTCTATCAAAGAAGCATATACTAATCGATGCATTTCAACATGACTTTCCTTCAGAACATTTGTTTATCACAGAAAAGAGTCTGAGTAACGAACCTGATCTCCGTCTTTAATGCCCAGTTCAATGAGGTACTCAGCCTCGTTAATCAATTTTTTATCTTCATAGGATAAGCAGAATTGTCCCCATACATGCGGCCTTCATAAGAGTAGTAGTATCATCAAGAAACTTTTAGCAATTATATAGACACAATTCATAAATAAAACAAAAACGAATCAAGAATCAAATGGTACCATGAGATTTTGCCAGGGCCTGTGATCGTTAAATGAGAGAAGGCAGCTTCTACAGCCATCTTGAGCTCCCCTACTGTGGCTGTCTTCAACACTTCAAGACCTACGAAACCATAAAGAAATCACAGTAAACCGAAACCAATCAAAATTCTCTCGGAAACAGTTAATCGCAAATTCGTAGTGAAATTATTCATCACCAATAGTTTAAACTCAAAAATTCACAAGCAAGCAGATGATTATCGTGTTCGTACCAAAGGAAGATCCATCAAGCTTGAGAACAGTGAGTTTGATTGGCTCCTCGGGCATCTGGTTATAATTAAAGCTCCTCCGACGCGGGATTCCGTCGATCAGCCGGAGAGGAGAGAGAGACGCAGCCAAAGACCGGCGTGGAACTTCCATCGAAAAATCAAGAATAAGAAAATTTGATTTTTTCTATCTCCGAGCTAAAACATCTAATTCCAGGTCGTCGGCGCCGGAGAAGGCGAGATGAGAAGTGTAGTTGAGTCAGAGTGGGAGATTGACGCCATGGGAGAGGAAGAGGAAGAGGAAGAGGAAGAGGAAGAGGAGAGAGATAGTGAGAGATAGTGAGAGATACTTTGAAGGGAATCAGGGTTAAGGGATCTCTCTCTGCTTTTTCCCGGTTAGATGTTTTGCTTTTAGAGAGAGCAATAATATATAAATAACTTTTGTTAAATATAATCAAGAAAGTGGTTGAGGTAAACAACAAGCACCCATGGCCTAATGGATAAGGCGCTTGACTTCTAATCAAGCGATTGTGGGTTCGAGTCCCACTGGGTGTGCTTTGATTTACAATCAAGCATTAGTGTGGATATATCCCACTGGGTGTGCTTCTCTTTTTTCACTTTTGGCTTTACAACTGTTAACATTACTTTCACTTTGCATAATTTGAGTATTTTCTTGTCAAGTCTCTGGTCGTTTACCTTTTGTTGAGATAAACAACAGGCACCCATGGCCTAATGGATAAGGCGCTTGACTTCTAATCAAGCGATTGTGGGTTCGAGTCCCACTGGGTGTGCTTTGATTTAAAATCAAGCATTAGTATGGGTTAGTTCCACTGGATGTGCTTTTCTTTTTTTCACTTTTGGCTTTAACCTGTAATTTGTGTATTTTTCTTGTCAAGTCTTCTGCTCGCTTACCTTTTGTTTGGAGCTAAAACAAAAATCTAACATCACCATGAAAACCAATAATTTTTTTTTAGTATCATATGAATGTTAATAGCACCTTCCATTTAGAAAATTTTGAACGCATCTATATTAGCTTCCAACGAAAACTGAATCATCCTTCTCTATAATTTACATACAAAAGGAAGAAACGAGAAAAAGATAAACAAAGGTAAATAAATACCCAAAAAAAAAATCAGTTTCTCCATAATCGAATTATGTTTCGCCTTCTTGAAAATACTAGTTTGAAAAAATGAGGCCTGGTATTATTAATACTACTCTAATTAACCTGCAAAACCGAAGTTGAACATCTACTTGAAAATTACTAAACAGCTTCTCTTTGCATTAAGGCTTTCCTTTGGTTTCTTATCACTAGGCCACTCATGTTTTTGAATGGCTCTTCTTTGTTTAGAGTATTTACCTCCCGATGATCTTATAATATGCATATAAACCAGAGCCGAAGAAACCAAAACACTGTCCAATAATATTCATCTGCGTGAACGAACAAACAAAACCGAAGTAGTGAGATGAAGCAAATGTAGTTGGGCGATTTTTAGGTACGATAGTGTGAATGGGATGGTGAAGAAAAATACCAAGTCGAATGGGAGTCCGCCAAAGAGCATCCAGCCTAGTCCAACGGTGAATAGATCCTGCAACGATGATATAATGTTCAAAGTTTCTGCTTTCGGTTATCAAATCATTAAGACACAAAAACACCTTTCTTCACAAGTCTCATCATTCACAGGATGCACGAGGTTCCTTCTCCTTGATAGATTAGTTTCACATTTTCTTTTGTACAGGAGATATTATAAAGTGAGACCAACCTTCATATTGCCACAAATTGTCTGCGTGAGGGCCGAGTTGAGAGTGGTGTTAAGAAAAATGCTGTAGTTTAAGAAGAAAGCCAACACGCACGAGCAGAACAACACAGCCTGGATGAGAACATAAACAGGAAAAAACATCATCAGTCTTACAAACAAAATGTGGACGGATATGAATACAAGGCAAGAGAGCGAATTAAGGTACCATGAAACCGGGAGATAAGATGTGAGGAAAGTTCATCGTCTTCTCCAAGTCACCGCAAATAAAAGTCCAAATCATCAATATCGGTCCGCATATAATTCCTATCATTGAAAAGAAAAAATTAAAGGAAGTTCAAAGGAAGGAAGTCTAGGGAGATTATGTCAATTTTGATTTCTGTTTAGATTACCATTGCACCACATAAGGCCAAAGCTATTCAAACCACTTGATTTCCCTGGAGAACCAGACGTTAGACTTGAGTAAGAGAGATTTCGAACTAGCAAGAGGGAAATTAGAAAAAGAAAAAAAAAATACAATTTCTGCAGAAAGCGGGTGACTAGTGTACCAGTTCGGGCAATGATTGCTAGATATACTGCTGTTGTTATGTTAGCTAAGAAAACAACAGCATATCCATAAAAGTCAAACGACAAGTCCCTAGCTCCAGCAAACAATGCGCCAAGCAAAATAACGCCAACACTGACATCAAACGTACAAGAGTTTAGTTGTGCATATAAGAACCAAATGAGCATGATTCTCGCTTTAGAGGACTTTTGTTGATGAAGGGAACAGAACAAACATGGAGCTACCATTATCTCTCACATACTCCTAAATCCTGATTCTTTTTTTATTTATATCAAACGCTACAGTACACAGGGAGTTATTTCTTCCTACTGTTACACTCAGTATCTGAATAGTTCCGGAAATTATATAAATTTCAATAGTGGATAGATATCATATATGTACCAACAGAGAAACTAAAATGAGAAAAGTGTGATTCACCTTCCAATGATAGACCGCGTATATCTCTGACCTGTGAGCATGTACTCAATCACCATAGTAAATGCCACCGTGGTACGCCTAAGTGTGGTATACATGGGAACATTTACCCCTCTGATAGATGCCATAGAGGCTAGCTTTCAGGAGATACACATTGAACAAATTTGTGATCAGTTACTATTTGCAGGATCAAACAACAATTGACAGGCTTGTTCAATAAAAAAAATGGTTACCATGTACGTAAGATAGGCCATTGATAGAGGAAGGGTGTGAAACAATGACTTCAATGAAACAAAACTTGAGGCGTTATCAGAATCAGAAGCTGCGAAAGAGATGATCTTTTTGCGCCGCAACGCGTATAGAAACAAGCTAGAGGAAATCATCTGCGGAAACAAAAAAAAGTGTCAAGATACTTAAACGGAGATATGAGTCTTGTGGAGCACAAGAGAGTCTCTGTACAGACCTGAAATAGTGTGATAACGTTCACACAAGGGAACTCATAGGAAGAGAGAGCTGCTTTATTGAACAGCACAAGCATAACTGCGAATCAACGATAAAAAAAACACAAATGTTGAACGAATGTCTGATTAAACATACAATCAATTGCGGATGCATCTTCTGCTTTGCAAATTTGATTTAACCATAAAAACAGTGAACCACAATTACATAAGCATCCTATATGCGATTCCCTTTATACTACTCAACAACGCCATTGTGTATGCAAAATCACTGAGTTACAAAGATTTGTGATCAGAACGGATGTACATATCATGAAACATTAATAACCCAAACACATCAATAAATGTTCGTCATGATTAGCATTTATATCAAACGAATTCCGAAAATGGATTAAGCTATGAACTAAAGATTCCAGCGACGGATATAGAATCGAATCGGAAGAAGAAAAAAACATCAAAATGGACCCAACTACGAAACACGTGTCTGATTAGATGGAACAAGTGAAATCGAGGAGATTACCAGCACAGGCCATGTAAGAAAGAGCAGCGTAAGCGCCACGTTTGGTCATGGCGGATCCTTTGAAAAGCCGGTCGTCGACACCTTTACCGTCGCTATCGTCCTCTACGGCGAGAGGAGGATCGGAAACCGGAAGAACAGGATTCCTTATCGAATTCATGGTCGAGAGAAGTAGACTCTCTCCACGCTCTTCGTCTTCCTCGTTCGCCGTCTCTCTGGCTCCTTGGTTCTCCCCTCAACCTCCAGGACGAAACTCGAGTCAGCGAAAGGAATGATACTGACCGTAGAGGGCACGGGAAATTTGAGCACACCTCTGTTTTTGCAATTGTTATGAAAAAGGAAGGGAATCTTCACGTGTTTCTGGGTCAGAGGCCCAATTTAATTGATAATCTCTGTATATTAAACCCATTAAAGTTTATGGGCTAGATTGGATCCCAACTTTGTTATGACTTAATCCTAACGTGATCGTTTGATAAGTGAATCTCCAGATACTTTCTTTCAATATCTCTCATCTATATAATATTAATATTTTTATTATAATTTTGTGATATAATAAAATTTTAATAGGTATGTAAAAGCATCTTAAAGTTTCTTCAATAAGATACTTTGATGAGATATTCTTCTTTTTTCTTTCTTACTTTTAATTTTTTTTATTGATAAAATACCTTGATTGGTATGGCATCTTAGGTTGTTTAATCTGTTAATCCGAATAAATTTTTCTGATTCATACTGAAGCAGGATAATCAAATCATATTTTTAATATGACTGAAATGGATTCATTATTCCGATATCTGATTCCGATGATAACGAAAAACCGAATAAAGAATACAGTGTAAATAGATTTGTTTTTTCTATATTTGAAAAACCGTACACGCAAGAGAAAGTGGACTTAAGGCCTAGTTTTCGTTTCATGTAAGATCTTTGAATGTCAAATTACTTTAGATGTTTTGTAATAAATCTACGTTGTATTTAGACAGCATCTTGTAAAAGAATCTTTGAATTCTGATTTTGCTATAGTGTTGTCTTCTTATTGTGAAAAAAAAAAAAAAAAAAAAAAAAAAAAAATTCACGAATTTCCAGACCTCACTAAAATATCACCTAAGATTAGTTGATCTCTTACCGATTTAGATCAAGAAAGATTGTATAGCGATGAATGAATGGGGTAGGTTTGTGGTACGAAATCGTAAAATAGTAGTTGAGGAGACAGAGAAGAAACATGATAAGACTTTGGTATTTACAACTTTGATGGAGACAGGACATAAAGCCAAAGCTGTCCAAAACAGCACCCAAACTCTTTTGTAAGTGGTTTTGAGTTAAAAGAGAGATTCATTCACTTCCTCTTTCCTAACACTTTGTTTGTCTCCCTCCGCTCACTCAAACAAACACTTCCTATCCTTTCCCGTTTCCTCCCACGTGCGCCCTCACCACTGTTTTCTTTATATTCTAGACCTTCAATTTTCTAGTGGATTAGGTTTCTTGTCGGTTAATTATGTGACTATTATTAGATTTGGGCACATATCTATAACTTTATCCCTTTTGTACCTGCTGCTGCATAATCCGTTTCCGATCCTAAGATAGGGGAGGGTATCCACAAGTTTTCTTGTAGTGCTCTTAAAATTAATAATCGATAGGCTATGTTAGATGGTATTATACTATTTTGTTTTTATTCTTGTTAGCAAAATTTGATGGTGTTTATAATTGTTGTTGGGTTATGAGTGTGAACGTCGCACATTTGATGGTGTTTATAATTGATTTTTGATTGTTTTTGAAGTTTTGCTACGTTTCTTAATAAAATAATAACAAAACCAGATCGATCCCACGAGCTAGAGTATAAGTGTGAAAGTGGTTCCCACACAAGAGTCGTATATGGTCCTTCAAACTTTTAAAGCCCATTACTTCGGTGGTCGACCCGACACTACTGCACGAGTAGTCACGCACGCACGACTCTGTTCACGTGACATTCACGTTGATATTTCCCCCTTTTCTCTCATCTGTTTGGTTGATCAAAAAAACATGTAGAGACCAACCAAATTTCATATTAATATATGAGATAGACTTCATATTCAAGTGTCACTTTCGCAATCTAAATTCACATATTGCAAAATTATTTCTTAATCGGATTAAGTTTTTAATATCGTGTTAAGCACACCATATATGATATACCTTTATGCCAACATTCTTTTTTCTTAAACTGAAACAAACATATGTCAATGTCAGCCACTCAACTGAAAAATTATATAATATTAGAGTAAAACAGACAGAATTCATTTTAAAATTGTAAAAAAACAGTGTGTTTTGAGTCTATATGGTATTTTGTTGCTTTTGTTATAAACTATATGGGTTTGACCAAATATTCTAATCCAGTTTTATTCAGTAAATCATTTGGGAGAGAGGTGACTAAGTTATGAGTCCGATGCTGTCATGGTATTCAAGCTATATACTAGAAGCTATAAATTCCACAATTTCTTATTGTTACAACTTACAAAAGTAAGACACTTGTTAAAATAAATGTTTTATAAATCTAAAAAGGAACATGTTCCTTCCCAAACAAGGCAGTGTACAGTGTACTCAAGCTCAGGATAGGCAGACAGTTAATAGCCCATAATCATAAGTTGATCCAACTCTTCCCCCAAATATTTGCAACTAAAGTCAAATTCTGAATAGTGAATCAAGCTAGAAATGTATCTAGTGATGGTTGTCTCTTAAAAGGTTAACAAAATTGTGACAAGCTGAAAAAAAATCAGAGTTTGTTATTGGATAACATACTTCTTAAATTCCATTGTTTTCCGTGTGAAACAAATTTTCTAAGAAACATAGAATGTAAACAAAAATATGGGACGTTGTCCGTTCCAACACTAACCAAACTTGTCTATTAATATCCATGTTAGTTGGATGTTGCATGCCTAAATACGTTGAATTATGTGTCCCTTGACGATGCATCTTCTTGTTTCTTAGCAGTAGTTAGTAGTATAAAATATAATTGCACTTTGTTTTCTTAGTACTTGCTTTTGTTTTCTTAATAAGTACGCTGATTGGATATATATATATATATATATATATATATATATATATATGTGAATCAGTGACGCAAACATAGGAAAGTAGATATGTCAACCACATAAAACCAAATCGATTACACATTTTATATGATTAAATATAATTAGTCATTTATCATACAAGGAAGGTTATTTACAAAGTCCATAGATAATATCGATTGTAGTTTTTTTTTCTTCATTTTTCAATATCGTTTGTAGTTCTATTTCGAAATTATATGTACGGTATCGCATTCGCATGCATGCATAAATTGCAAAGAAAAAAAAGGAGTAGTGATAAATCTTTGACCCAAGAAACCATTCTAAGATATTAGTATTTTATATTTGAAAAGCATAACAATTTAGATAAATTAATGCAAAAATGCGTTAGCATCAATGTTGGGATATTGGCCGACCTGAACTTAATCAATGTCGGAAGTCATTTAATTCTCCCAAAAGACAAAGGTCCTTGTTTCTTTTTTCCCCTTCGGAGAACTAGGAACTTTATCACTACATTTCGCTTAATTTGAAAGTCTTAAATTTATAGTACTATGTTAGAAACATAAAACAATACTAACATTCTTTTCCGAGCAAAATTAATCTATTGTTCATTAATAGTTGTATATTTCTTTTCGCGGCTGCTAATCTGCAAAGCTACATAAATAGTATAATCAAACGAATCACTATAATTATTTTCACCCAAAAAATATTCTATTTGGTGAAACGTTATTACAATGACGCTGAGTTTGAATTTTAAATACGATGTTAATATGTATTTGTATGTGTGAGTACATATATATAATAATATAAACATGTTACTGTATATATGTATATTTATGAAAAAGCCATATATCCATCCTTGACTTTTGTACCCTTTCCTTTAACTATAAATAGGGAATACTCACGATCCCCTAATTAAGCACTCATCCAGATAACCTTTTTCCAACGCCAAACCAAAAAAATAAACTTTTATTTTTATCAAAGACGAAGCTGCATTAGAAATGGAGTTGGATCTTGATCTCACTCTTTCACCTCATACTTATTCATCAAAGTTCGGGTTTGACTTTGACCTCAACAAGCATTGTGCGATTGAGGGTGTTGCCTCTTGTTTGGATTCCGAAAAACTGCGTTTTAGGGAGATGTTTGGATCGGAGAATATCGAAGAAGATTGTCATATGTTGCCAAAACCGCGTTTGTTTTCTCTGAATGGCCAGCCAAACGAAGAAGATGGAGATCCTTTGGAATCCGACTCTTCCATTGTTTACGAGTGAGTAACTAACTATATATTTGACAATAATTAGATTAAACTAATATATTTTGCTTTTATACATAAAAAAAAATGACTTATTAGTTACACTAGATGGAGAGGCAAGTGAATTATTTTAACAAAACAAATAATTTTGATATAGTGAGGAGGAAAATAGCGAAGTCGTGGGATGGCCACCGATAAAGTCATGTATGACAAAGTATCATAATTATCGTCATTATAGTCGTAATCACCCATATCACCATCATGGTAGGAGGACCAACATATCTAATCCAACGGCAACAATTGAAAGAGTTAGACCATCATCGCCGTCATCATCGCCGTCATCATCATCGTCAACATCATCGAGACCATCAGTGTATGTGAAGGTGAAGATGGACGGTGTGGCAATAGCAAGAAAGGTGGACATCAAGCTTTTTGACTCTTACGAGTCCCTCACTAACTCCTTGATCACCATGTTTGCCCAATGTGAGTACTAATCAAGTATATATAATAATGTATTATAACGTAAACCTATAAGCAATTGAAAAAATTGCATAACCATTCAGGAAGAGTCTTCTAAATATTGAATCTACTTTTGGTTTATCAGGCCAAGATTGTGATAGAGAAGATACAAACTACACATTCACCTTCCATGGGAAAGAGGGTGACTGGCTATTACCAGGAGATGTTCCATGGAAGTATGTTTACTTCTCTATATCTAATGCTTCAAATTTCAACCTATTTTTCAAAAGAAATATAGCTCAAGCAAAATGAAGTTTTTAGTACTTGACTCTCTTTTTTTCAGGATATTGAAATACTTGATTTGGTTTTGCAGGATCTTTGCTGAATCTGTTCATCGAATATCAATAACTAGAGATTGTCGGTGTGCCTATACAAAACTTTTGTTTTAAGGATGAAAGTTCAAAGCGGACTATTATTTTGTAATTAAAATGTCTATCAGATAAGAAATTTCCCCTTTATATGAAATTCAATGACTGTTAGCGGATCAGTTTCGAAGAAACCTTGAAGACTTGCCTAAAATTTCAGGTGGAATATGGGAAAAATTCTTTAGTCGGCAGAAAAGTAATAATATCTCCGGAGATACACTCATGCAAAATAACTAAGTAAGAGAATACGAGTATATTATTAAGCCCAAAAGAGGAGAAACTGTGAGAAACGTTCTCCTCGATATTTCTAAAACATAAAAACTCTTCTTTTGTTACATCTACAAACTTGCCGGATTAAACGATTATATGAGAATTAACTATGATTTTTTTTTCATATTTGATTGTATTGTGAAATATTGAATGATTGTATTTTTAAAAAGTGGCTATAATAAAAATCTGGAAGACGAAACTGAATATATTTCTGTTTCTAAATCATTTACCAATCAAATTAAAATATTTACGAGTTTAAAGCTTAAATAATAAATCTTTTGTGTTTTTACAAATAAGTGAGAAAAATATGAGACATTCTTTTGAAAGTCTATTGGAGTAAAATTAATTTAATTGTTAAATTAGTACAACTAAAACCAATAAAAATAAATAATATTATTATTTTTGCTGACACAATTTTTTTTAAAAAATAACATTTTTCATATTGAATATTATTAATCTTATCTTCAAAAATGTAAACTAGGTAGAAAGATTATTAATCTAATTTTATAGTAGATGAAATAATGACAAACAACACAGATAAAAAGAGATGGGAAAAAAAGACATTTACAGTGTGTTTGTTCAGTTTCGGACACACGGCTCCGTCAATTCCGTTTACAAAGTTTCGCATCTTATTTAGATAAACGGCTATCATCGTTCCACGTCATCCTTGACTCGAACACTCCTCTTAAATCATCTCTCTCTCTTAAGCCACTTTCATTTTGACTCGTTCGGTGAATCTGTCACCGCCAATAGTCGTATTGGAGATCTTCACCTTCTTCATAGATCTCAGATCCCTACTCCGTCTCCTACGCCGGAAAACACACCTTCAACATATCCATCGCCGTAGAATACATCGTTTCTATCTTCTACCTTCCCACCAATCTCTCTCCCCGCAGATCTAGTCAAATAAACTCTCGCATCGGTATTTTTTTTAAGAATATTTCCACCAAAATTGAAAACTAAAAATCTATTTCAATTTCAAATTGATTCTTCCCGAAATTCCATCAATTTCTCAACCAATTTGCTCTGTTTTCTTTGTTGGTGTTTGGGGGTTTTTGAAGAATTTGCATTATCCGAGAAATTCGAATCCCTACTAGTAGTGAGTGAATCGAATCAATGGCGCTGAGCATACGGAAAGCGATCGGGGTGGTCAAGGACCAGACGAGTATCAGCATAGCGAAGGTAGCGAGCAACGTGGCCCCAGATCTGGAAGTCGCGATCGTGAAGGCGACGAGCCACGACGACGATCAATCGACCGAGAAGTACATCCGCGAGATCCTTAGCTTAACCTCACTCTCCCGCGGCTATGTCCACGCCTGCGTCACCTCCGTCTCACGCCGTCTCGGGAAGACGCGCGACTGGATCGTCGCTCTCAAGGCCCTGATGCTCGTCCACCGTCTCCTCAACGAAGGCGACCCACTCTTCCAGGAAGAGATCCTCTACGCCACTAGACGAGGTACGAGGATTCTGAACATGTCTGATTTTCGCGATGAGGCTCATTCTAGCTCCTGGGATCACTCTGCTTTCGTTAGGACATACGCTAGTTACTTGGATCAGAGGCTTGAATTGGCTCTTTTCGAGAGAAAAGGGAAAAATGGTGGTGGTAGTAGCAGTAGCCATCAGAGCAATGGGGACGATGGATATGGTCGGTCCAGGGATGATTTTCGGTCTCCGCCTCCAAGAACTTATGATTATGAGAATGGGAATGGTTATGGTATGCCTAAGAGGTCTCGTTCTTTTGGAGACATGAGTGAGATTGGTGGAGGAAGAGACGAGAACAAAACGGTTACTCCTCTAAGAGATATGCCTCCCGAGAAGATTTTCGGGAAGATGGGTCACTTGCAGAGGCTGCTTGATCGGTTTTTATCCTCTCGACCTACCGGTTTAGCCAGGAGCAGCCGGATGATCCTGATCGCGATGTACCCGATTGTGAAAGAGAGCTTTGGGCTTTATGCTGACATCTGCGAGGTCTTGGCTGTTCTTCTCGACAAGTTTTTCGATATGGAGTATACGGATTGCGTCAAGGCCTTTGATGCTTATGCTAGCGCGGCTAAACAGATTGATGAGCTCATTGCGTTTTACCATTGGTGTAAAGACACAGGTGTGGCGAGATCCTCTGAGTATCCCGAGGTTCAGAGGATCACGAGCAAGTTGTTGGAGACACTAGAAGAGTTTGTGAGAGATAGAGCCAAGAGAGCCAAAAGTCCCGAGCGGAAAGAGATTGAAGCTCCTCCTCCTCCTCCTACGGTTGAGGAGCCAGCGGTTGATATGAACGAGATCAAAGCGCTTCCTCCTCCAGAGAACTACACTCCTCCACCTCCACCTCCACCCAAACCAGAGCCGGCTAAACCGCAGCAACCGCAAGTAACTGATGATCTGGTTAACCTGAGGGATGATGCCGTCACTGCTGATGACCAAGGGAACAAGTTTGCTCTCGCTCTTTTCGCGGCTCCTGCCAGTAGCAACGGGAAATGGGAAGATTTCTCATCCGACAACGGCGTGACGTCGGCTTGGCAGAATCCAGCAGCAGAGCTCGGGAAGGCGGATTGGGAACTGGCATTGGTCGAGACAGCTAGTAATCTAGAGAATCAGAAATCAGCAATGGGAGGTGGTCTAGACCCATTGTTGCTAAACGGGATGTATGACCAAGGAGCTGTGAGACAGCATGTGAGCACCTCGGAGTTAACCGGTGGAAGCTCAAGCAGCGTAGCGCTCCCTTTACCGAGTAAAACCAACAGCCAGATACTGGCACTCCCTGCACCTGATGGAACGGTTCAGAGAGTGAACCAAGACCCTTTTGCGGCTTCCCTAACCATCCCGCCTCCTTCGTATGTGCAAATGGCTGAGATGGACAAAAAGCAACATCTACTGACTCAGGAGCAGCAGTTATGGCAGCAATACCAGCAAGAAGGAATGAGAGGTCAAGCTAGCTTGGCTAAGATGAGTCCAGCCCCAGCCTCAATGCCTTATGGGATGCCGCCGGTTAACGGAATGGGACCGCCGCCGATGGGGTATTACTACAACAACCCTTACTGATTTCATTTTATTTTTGTTCCTTTCCTTACATATATATATATATATTATTTTTCGACCAATATACAGATGATATCTCATATTTCTCGTGTTATAATCCGGTTTGTTCTTGTTATTCATTCCGGTCTTAATCCCGCTTGAGCTTGTGAGACTTTGCCCCTTTTGAGTTTGATTAATAAAATCATTAATATTTTTTTTTCTCGAATTTATTTACTTGTTGTAAAACATTGGATTCTTATGAGATCGTCTTTGTTGTTTCCTTGTTTATTCTTTCTACAACTTAGCTTGGTTAGGTTTGCCCGTTTGGTACAAATAATTATTACTATTTGTTGTTTTGCTTTAAACGTATTTGTCGATTTCTGATCCTCTCTTGTATTCAAACTGGCTATGGAACAGAATTCATCTTCTCTTGTCTATCAGTTTTCTAAATAAATCATTCTTTTTCGATGGTGAAAGCAAGAAAAGTAAATATTACCTGAACATTAAAACGAAGTAGCAACTAAACCTACTAACGAACAAAATGGCATCATCTTTTTCAAGGTTTTTATATACTAATTGGTATGATCAAACGTTTTCGTTTCCATACCGATATGTTCCAAACATAGAAGACTTTATTTAGTAAACTGTTGAATCTCCATTCGAGGATCTCGTACACCGACGTGCATATCTATATGCTCATTTTCTTTCTGTTACATTTGGGAGTGATAATGAGGTGAATCAAAGTATACTAATCGATTATGCAAGTTTAAGCGATTTCTCAACAAAATCATAATCATACATCGCAAACTAATAAAAAAGCCACCGACATAAATTATATGACAAAAAGAGAGTTACCAATATATGTATACAACTTTCACTAAACAAGATTTCTTTAATCGGCTATCACGCTTGTAGGTGTGAACTTTTTGTGATTTTCAAGTAAATGTTACATATATATTTTCTGGAAAAGTAAAAGAAAGAAAGCACGGGCAAGACGATGATTGTGGGTGGGTGTTCTTTAAGCGACAGCCAAACTCAAGTGTTGACGAATCTAAACCCCATCTTCCGCAAACTTAGACCCCATTTTTTTGGACTTTGATTTAATCTTATATTAGTATAAGGAAGATGGCATAGTTTAGATAACAAAGTTGATAATCAAATACATTATCCATTTCAATTATCTAGGATCTAGCTACTCTCTATCTGCAGTTATAAAATAATCATATTTAAATATAGTCTACAAGTCAAAACACTGGAAAAATCTGTGCATGGCATCCGTTTCGTTGTCCATTAAATATCTTGATTCGCCATTTAATTTTCTTAAATACAATATAACAAGTATTCAAGGTTTTGGGTGTGGCCGATTAATTCTATCTTTATGAGGATGATATTCGAATTGCACACGTCTGACTCACTTTGAAGGATAATGATAGACTGGGTTTTTGTTTTTCCCAGCTACTCATTTTAGATTACAATTATTTGTTCAACTTTAAAAAAAAAAAACACACACACAAAAAATCTAAAACTAAATTTACAACAATGCCATTACAGAACTATTCACGCACCACAGGCCGAGTCATTAAACAACACGCTCTTAGCCATACCCAACAACGGCTCGAGAGACTCGGGAGAAAACTTCCTCGCGAACAGAAACGGATCATTCCGCTTGATCGCGGACCAATCTGAACCGTTGATTCCATCCTCACCGTATCTCGGTTGAGTATTCCTCAGCCGCACGATCAGCTCAGGCACCACTTCCTCTGCCTCGTACATCCGCGGGTGACCTCCGTCGTTGATGGTCCAGTCCACGTGAGTGAGCGTGGCGGGTACACACCCGCGTGGGTCCCTCATATTAAGAAGGGTAGGAAAGTAATTTTCTTCGGGATAGCACGTGTCTTCCCGCACGCACGTCTTGTTGAACTTCGCCCAGATTCTCCGGTCACGCGCCACCACACGCGCGTGCCTCCGTTTCAAAACCCAGAACTGAGACCCGATCCGAAACTCCTCGAGCCTCACTTCAGGCAGCATCGCGATTGGCCCACGCGCCGCCCATCTGTCGAACTGCCACGGCTCGTCCTTGAGTATCTCGATGAAGCTCTTGCGAGACGAGACCAATGTCTTGTAGGTGAAGTCAAAGGAGCGAATGGGCACGCAGGAAGGTGAGATCAGGGCAAACATGTAATTTTGTGGATCATCGAGAAGGGCGTATGCGATTAGCCGACGCGCCGCCGCTGCGAGAGTGGGTGTGTATCGTTCCGAGTGTTTCGAGTGAATTACCCGGTTCGCGAACACGCCGGAGAACGGCGGGTCGTAATCTCGGATCGGATCCGCGTGAACATATACATTGAAAAGTTCCTTGGAGCTTCCATCGAAGAACATCTCCCACAGAGGCGCAAAAGGAAGAGGCGCCGTCGTTAGATACATAAAAGCCAATTTTCGGGTCGATCCGGGAGGCTGATTCGGGTTAACCCGAGAAGCGAGTCGGAGAAGCGGTTCGTCGTCTTTGGGAATCGGTTGTCGAATGGGAATAGCCGGAGAAGAAGCGTCGGGGACATTTCGAGTGTAGAGGGAGAAGACTGAGAGAGAGCGGAAACCAAATTCCGGTGAGACTACGCCGGTTACTTCTCTTTGGACTGTGAAGATGATGGCAACCGGAAGACAGAGAAATAAAGCGCAGAAGAGAGGAAACAACGTCGGAGATATCATCTCTCTCTCACCGGAGGATTAAAACCTGTCACTGCTTTTACTTTTTAGAGAGAGAAACATTTGGTGATAATTTTTATTTTATTTTCAGAGTGAGAGAGTGGGATTTGGTGCAACTTGTATGTTCAATATCTTTCTTCTTTTTATTTTACATCAGATATATATATACTCCGTATTCGTTGGCTTACATTACATTAGGAAATGGTGTTTAATTTTCAGCACTAACTATTGCAATATTCAATTCTATGGCATTTCGTGTTTGTAATTTACAACTCTATAAAGAAAGAATATTGTTTTGGAGTTGTAACGTTCTCAAATTTTCTGCCCTATAACCCCCACATATAGTATATGTATTCTTTTTGGTCAACGTTCATATTTATCCTTTTCTTGTGCTTGTCAGTTTGTCATATATATATATATAAATCGACTAAATCATAGGGTGGGGGTGATTGTATACGAATTTATTCGTTTATTATAGTGTAAAAGCAACAATTAAAGGAGTCATAAATATTCGATTGTGGACAGGTCCTAAGTCTTACACGTGGTATGATGGAAACCGTTGGATAGTATACTCTCTATGACATCACGTGGCTGCGTGAATTTTCGTAATCGATCCGTTTTAGGAAACATTTTCATCTCGAATGCAACAGCTTTGCTGGATACGAGTTACCGTACCGTGTGTCCACGTGGCCAACATGCATAAGATTGGGCCTCAAATTTTTGATCTTTTGGGCCTTGAGGAGGGACTTACGAGTTCCAGTTTAAGTTAGCGATTTAGAAAGTGTCTTAAAATGCTGCCATTTTCAGAGCTTTATTTATTTTTATTTTTATTTTTATTTTGACATCAGAGCTTTATTTATTTAGTTCGTCAGATCATGTCAATTCAGAAATTTTACTTTGTCGTCATCGTGACTGTTTCAGTGTCAGATGAAATTAATGGTAAAAGGTTAGAAGTGGTACGAAAGAAATTCTCAAGCTTCTTCTTTTTGTTTCTTTTATTTTTTACTTCAACCAAACAAGTAAACTTAAATCTTTCATTGGATTCGATAGATATTTATCTGGTAAAATAAATATTGTTTTAATATCACAAAATAAGAGTGTACCATCGCTATTTTTTATACTGTTATTTTTTACCATTTTTTAGGTAGAATATTCTAGTGCTATACCATTTATTGTTCTTTTCTAACACTAAAAAGTCTTCACCATAAAAATAAAAATAAAGTCTTTACCATTTTGTGCTGTTAATTAGAGTCTTAGGCCCATGTTGATTAGTAAGTTTGTAGGCAGCAAAGTCATTCTTTTTAGAAATGTAATTACAGCGAATGTACGAATACGACCGCCAATATCTTAACTAACAAATAAATATCTGAGATGAGCCCGTTTGGACTTGGATAACTTTAGGTTTAAGTCTAGTCGAGCTCGGTCAAGTTTCAAAATTATAAATTATTAATTAAACTAATCAGTAATCACTCAATATTGCATTTGCATAAATTACAAATTCCACACGGATGAAAATTATAACACCATTATTTAAAGAGGAAACACGAGTTTGACTTTACACAAAACTTTTATATGAAAACGTAAATAACAATTGGTGTGAATCTCAAACGCAACGCTATAGCGAATGAAATAGTTTGGCATCTAACGTGGTAATCTTACCGATAACATTGTGGCAATGAAGTTTAACATTAAGATCAAGTAGAAAAAGGTCAAAACAACAAAAATTAAAAGATGTCGATTTACTCTAAGTTCCACCACACTTTGGAGGTGGTATACATATAATTTAGGGGAATGCTCTGTCTTTTTAATACTATAATATTATAGTATAAAATTATTGGACTGTAACCCTATAGAGAGTAGGCCGGACCATATAAATCATAGAGCAGAGAAAATGAAGGGTACAAAACCGGAGAGAACCGGGCCGGACCGGACCGGACCGGACCAACTGACAAGACTATCTCTCTCCCCCACACTGAAATTATTGAGTAAGTGAGAGGAGGGGAAGAAAAACAATCTCTCACTTTGTCTTTTCTCTCTCATAGAAAACATAGAAAGTGGTGGAAGATGCCGAGGCCAGGGCCAAGACCGTACGACTGTATCAGAAGAGCTTGGCATAGTGACAGACACCAACCCATGAGGGGTTTGCTCATCCAAGAGATTTTCAGGTCATCTTCTCTCTCTCTCTCTCTCTCTCTCTCTCTCTCTCCCTCCCTTGCTCTGTATCTATATGTGTGTGTGTGCATGTGTCCACTCTATGTTTTCTTCAGCTCAATTATTCTTTTGCAACTTTTTGTAGGATTGTTTGTGAGATTCACAGCCAGTCCACCAAGAAGAACACAGAATGGCAAGAGAAGCTCCCTGTGGTTGTCTTGAGAGCTGAGGAAATCATGTACTCCAAAGCCAATTCTGAGGTTCCCTTCTGTTACATTTTAAATTTCTCAATTTGGGGTTTTGTTTGAATCCTCCAAATCTCTCTTCTTTCTTTTCTGCAAAGGCTTGTTTCTCAAATAGTATTTCGATTTTTGTTGTTGCGGAACAAAGAACCAAGTCACTATTTAAGTCAGCGACCCTTTTTCATGTATTGTCCTCTTTGAACAGTGAGACTGATAGTCTTACTGGTGGTTTGCTCACATCTCGTAATCAACATTGAGATTTAATGTCATTGTTTATGGAGTTGAAGGAGAGAATCTAGATTTGTAGCAGACTAATGTTTTCATTTGGAAGATTAATCAAAGTACTTGTTCTTGGATTGATGTTAGGCCGAGTATATGGACATGAAGACCCTTTTAGACCGTACAAACGACGCCATTAACACCATAATCCGACTCGATGAAACCACGGAAACAGGGGAATTTCTTCAGCCTTGTATTGAAGGTACACTCTACATTCGAATTCTCCGGGACTATTATAGTCTCAGACAGATATTAGTGAGAAAACTCCTGTTTTCTTTCTTTCTTTGTAGCTGCATTGCATTTGGGCTGCACGCCAAGGAGAGCCACAAGGAGCCAACGGAACATAAACGCAAGATGTTATCTTAGCCAAGACTCAACTAACCTGGACGCCATTCTCTCACCGCAATACCAAGTTTTCATGAAACCAGACAACTTTGCTGCAAAGAATCTTCCTGTCATGACTTTTCAGAAGGAAGAGAAGCGGGTCGACAAATGCCCTGTCTCCAAGTACTCAAGCTACCCTTTATGCTATTCCATCAGGGTTCCTTCTTCGCCGACCTCTAACGATGTCACTGACTCGTGCAAGTCCAAGAACAGACCGGCGAGTACTGTCGTAGATGCAAGAAACGGCATCACCTTTGGTGGGTGTGATCTATCTTTGCGCTTAGGTCCTCTCGGAGATGTCAGATCTCCTACTCAAAAACGGAGTAAGATCAGCAGCAGCAACAACAATAACAGCTGAATAAGGAGAGCAGCATGATTAGGTCTTTTTTTTTGGTTCCTCTGTAGTTTCTTAGGTGTTTTGTGTAGATGTAAATAGGGAGATGAGAACATGCAAATGAAGCAAAATGGGTCTGAAGTCTTCTTCTCGTGCATTAATCTCGAATCATCAGACTTCAATCTACTTTTTAGTTGCACAATTCTACATCTGTAATTGGATTCTCCACCGTAATTGTCGAAAGACGTTAGTTAAACTCTCTTCCGATTAATGGGTCCAATGCCGCGCGCGCGGTTCTCTTTTGTGATCGGAGCTTCAGTTCCCGTCGCTGGTCAACAGATCCTCCGGCGACCGATTATGACTCTGGCTGGCTCTTCCAATATGGGCTTCTCTGGGCCAACGGATCATATTGAAATCATAGGCCCATTTAGTAGCCAACCCACTCTATATGGGCCTACATTCTAATTACATCGTGCATAAATAATAAGACCAACACTCAAAGAAAAAACAATATCTCTCACCGCAAATCTATGGGCTTCTCTGGGCCAACTGATCATATTGAATTCAGCTTAGGCCTATTTAGTAGCCGAACTACTCTATATGGGCCTACATTCAAATTACATCGTGCATAAATAATAAGACCAACACTTCGAGAAAAAACAATATTTCTCACCGCAAATCTATTATGTCATTGTTCTAGTGAAACGCAGTATAAAAACTACCATTCCACGATCTCACCGCAGTATAAATCTATTTCAAAACTCCAAGGAAATCTACTTTAGGTGATTTGTATTTGCAAGTTGTGATGCTGTACAGAAAGAATGTTTATGAGACACGATTAAAGAAAGCTATGTGGTATATATATAAACGAATTAAGCTTAAAAATGTTTTAATTGTCCGTTATTTCGTTTGCGTTTTCCGTAAAGATAGTTTTATTTTTTTGTTTCTGACACAAACGTAACAAATTTGTGAGAGATTTATGGTTCTATAATTATTTTAACAGGAAATTCGAGTGACCTTAATCCTCATATTGCAAAAAAAACATTACACAATATTATAAATTAAAAGTACTATAATTAATCCAGCTGTACTACATTAGACTCGAATTTGAATCTAAGAAGAAAAATCTTAGATGCAAAAACTATCTCAACAACCAAATCTCTTGTACAAATATGACTTTCTTGAGTTATAGAAATGCACTAGCACATATTATAACTTTTAACAATATATATTTTTGTTATTATAAAACCATTTAAACGATTTCAGTTTTAGATGTATATATATTTCAACTAATTCCTTCATAGCTTGGAATACCTTGTCATTTAAGATTTCACCCAACACGATTCTTTGATCTCGAGACTTTTTTTTGTCATCAGCATTTTTCCAATGAGTCCATTGTTGAAAATGGAAAAGTAGGATTATAAAAAGAGGTAAGCTTTTTGTAATTTACTAATTTCCTCACAAAAGTAACTTCTCATTGGATTTTGAGTAAGGCTTTTCTCTACCTTGCCCATTATTTTATACTTGAGTACAAGAAACAAAGTAATATAAATAATGTCTTACCTAAAAGTTGAGCCAAGTAGTTTAAATTTAATTAAATCGGTGACCAATTGACTCTCTACGTATTGGTTTGACACGAAAAGGACTGGTTCTACTCGATTTAAATTATTAGTTTTGTTGGAATTAAGCGATCCATTATGGGCATTATTGATCAATTAGGTAACAATTTATAATTAAAGATGGAGAGATATCCCAGTTATACGTTGACGGCTTCCACGTTCATGATGATATCAAAAGAGATCATTCGTACGATTGTAGTGGAAGAGACATGACAAAACTATACCGATATGTTAAGATAAGATTTTTATTTTTTTTCTATAATTAACATGTTAAGATAAGATATGCTGATTCTTGTAAACACACATGCCTGCATTAGTAATAATGTATGCATTCATAAAACCATGATTTAGTTGATACATGTATGATGTATGTATGTGAATACATGTAATAATGTATGCAACGGAATAAATTACACAGTATTAACAATATGCAGACAATAAATTATTTTTATTCACCTAATGCAATTCGTTTGGTAGATGCATTAATTCGTTTGTCTTGTCGTATACAAAGTGTAAATTTATGGCTTGGAAAATGCAAATATAGATAGTATTGTTTCGTTATTCTTATATTTTTCATATGTAGACTTATATGGTAAAGGTCGATATATCGACAATAAGCACAAACTGAATAAGAATATGGTGTCCTTTTTAGAAAAAAAAGAAAGTTTAATCAAACATGTTTAAAATGTTTTATACTACCTGCGATGTGAATCATGTGATGAGACAGCTCATTATGGGTTGCTTACTAGTTTATACATAATAGAGTTTTCTCTACGCATTTTAAGAGAATATTAACAAGGGTAACGATTTGATGAGATAACAGTAAATAGATTAATTATGGCAACAAAAATGAGACTAGCGATTTGTCATGGTGACGTACCACGAACATGAATTAATAATATCTAACAAAGAACCTAAATGCGTAATTATACAAATAGTGATAAAATAAAGGACCATATTCAAATGTTACTTTAAAAAGTTAATTATTCTTCTTATAAGAAAATTAGTATTCATTTTCCATTAACTGCTTTGTAGATCTTTAGGTAGCTCTTTCTTTTTTGTGGAAAGGAAAACAATGTGTGTGAGTGTGAACTCAAACTCTCTATCTCCTTATTAGTTTTGTAATAGAGACAATATAAACTTCCTTTCGCAAATTAAGAAAATTGAGTTCACATTTTTATATGTATTTCAAGAATCCAAAATACACCAGTGTCTCGTTTTCCCGTACCTAAACCTTCTACGAGCAGTTACATACTATTTTGCTTTGAGAATTAAAATTTGCATTTTGACGTTTAAAATCTACATGGTTAGGTTTACTTCAGTATTTCATTGAATACGTAAATAATTAAAACTAGCCATACGTTAACTAATACAGACACCATTAAAATAAAATATAATGTCTGTACATTAAACAAGCTCTAGAATGCTTATAAATCAACAAGTCATTTACAATCCATATATATATATATATATATATATATTACAGAGACAAAAAAAAACATTTAAGATCATAGAGTTTTATAAGTAAAATGACTTATAAAATTGGAAAGAAAAAGACTTCTATAAGAAGATGAGAACATAGTTATAACATATATTTATATATAAATGCATATAACAACATATAAATCTGTAAATTATAATACTAATATATAATGGAAGATGCATGTTTGAGGAAGTTGCATTTAAGGTATAGGGAGCGTACTTAAAGACCTCTTGTGCTGTCACTGTTTAGGCCACGTCGAATCGAATCACTCTGATCCGTTACTCTTGCGTTGCTGCATACTATTATTTGATTGATTTATGGGTTTTATAATTTAGCGCTTCCATATTTTGTTTCTAATATTGTAATGAGGAGTACACTTGGCAATCTACCAACTAACTTCAGAATAATTTATATAATTGATATGATTTGAATGGGCGTAGATGATTCCGGGTCATTAAAACGCAGTTAACCCCCAACTGTATTTGCATTTGAGCAATTAATTAAGATCTTTTTAGATAAAAAGATAAAAGCATTATTATATTGGCCCCTCCGGAGGATCTGTGGATGCAAGAGTTGAATATTTCTCTACCCCTCGTATATCAATAACATTAAATACACGATCAGATGTTTGAATTGGTTGAGAGAAAGAACAAAACTTAGTAATTGTTTTCTTCTAGTTGCAATTTTAAATGGTGGACAAGTTAAAACATACTTCAGGTTTTGCAAAATTGTTATTTTAATATTTTATTTTTGTTTCACAAAACAAATACATCTTTTTAAGGTTTTAGTTTTTTTTCCCCACAAATAGTATCGTATTGTTTACTGGCATTCGATTACGTTAGGCCGTTGAAAAAAAGTTTGATCTTCCTGTAAAGAGATTTTACGATTAAGTCAAACCAAACACACGTCGGTCGGTCGTTAGAAAGGAGTAGTACTTTGGTCCATTTCCTCGACTAGGGGTAAATTGGGGATTTCGACATTAACCCCTTTGGTTGGAAAGTACACGGGAAGCGTCTGTCTAACTGCCAGCTGGCTTCCGTACTTCCGTCTTCCCAAAAAAACCTTAACCTCTCTCTGACTCCCAAATACAAGTTTTCACACTTCCCCACACGTTCCTCTATTTTCTTTTCCAACCAAATTCTTACTTATTTTCTAAGTTTTGTGATTTATCTTTTCGGATCTTTTACATTTAACCATGGAAAGTGTAGGTTAGGTATCATCTGTTGACAAAAAAAGTGGTTTGTGTACTGATTCATCCGTCAAACTAGACACAAAAACCCACGTTTTGACGTTGGCTGATCCATTCCCTATGACTACATAAACAAAAATAAAATTATCTGAATTACAGTATGTCATATGATAAGATAAACAAAAATAAGAAGAAGATAAACAAAAAGGAGAAATTCGCCGGTTGGTATTCGTTTAAGGGCCCTTCATTTAAAGCAGAGTAATGGTTTTCCACAGTTTTTTCATTTATTATTGATATTTTAATACCAATATAATTTATATTTTCAGGTGAAAATAAATCCACTAGTTCTACCAAAGTTGAGACTTTTCAACTAATGAGAGGCAAAACTTACTTAATTTTAACCGAAATTCAAGTTATTTGAAAAACATAATTGTAGCAAGTGATGATCTATCTAATCCGTCATATGAATGCAATTATGCAAACGCAGCAATTTAATTTAGCCACACAACTAAACACGGTACAATTTTAAGCAATCAAAAATTCTGTTTATGTTTCAAACATCCCACATATTTAATACTACTAAAAAAATAATCGTCATTACATAATGTTTAACTAATGTTTGCCTTTCTAATTCTGCATTTACTTATGATCAACAAATTTCTGCAATCCTTATAATGTTTAACTAATGTTTGCCTTTCTAATTCTGCATTTACTTATGATCAACAAATTTCTGCGATCCTTATGCGACCAATAATTAGATCGGTCTTCTTCTTCTTCTTCTGCTTCTTCTTTGAAAAGTCAAAAGTCACAAGGGTTCGGAAAATTTAGAACATGTTTGGTTGAAAAGAAGAAATAGACCACAAGTGGTCGGATCTGTCCAAAAATAATTGTGACGGTCACAAGAGGGAAAAGATAAAAAGGAAACGGATTTGAAGGAAATGGGCTCAGAGAGATTTAAGACAGTCGCATCTCTCTGCTTCTACTCCTCTCTCTCTCTCTCTCTCTCTCTGTTTTAACCCCACTTGTCGTCTTCCTCTCTATCAAGGATCGAAATCTTACATCATTGAATGTTAGACAGAGGGGCAAAAACAAACCCGACTTTTCCAACCCCTAAAATAATCCAACTTCCTTTTTCTTCCCATTTTCTGTTTTAATTTCTGGGTTTTAATCGATTTCGCTCCTTTCTCCTTCTGCCGTCTGAAATTCGAAGGAAAGTTTTGAGCTTTGTAACAACGCGAAGGCGAGTTCTTCTTTCTCTGTTTCATTCTACTCGACTTCTCTCCCTCACAGAATCTTCTTCTATGGTTTTTGTGATGAATCTCGGAGGAATCAGTTTCCATTTACAGATACATACTCTTCACCTGTCAGGGCTCTGAGATTTGTCTTTTTGCATCTTTCTGGGAGTATTATTGTTTTTTTTTTTTTGTTTCTCAGATCCATTGACCTGATCCACATACACAAAGTTTAGGTCTTTTTTAAGATTTATTTCTTGTCCGGTTGTGTAAAAAATTCTGGGTTGAAGCAAAAGCCATGAGTGGCGGCTTCTTCATCGTCTTCTTAACATGTCTGGCTTTCTTCCCGGATACTCTGCTTGCCGGTGTAGCGTCCATTGGGAGCATCCCTCCAGGGTTTGGAGGATCTCAGATGAATTACATCAACAACAACGGTCTCTTCCTCGAATCCAAAAACTCAGCCTTTGGTTTCGGTTTCGTCACCACACCAGCTTCCGTTACTCTGTTCACACTCAGCATCGTCCACAAAAGCAGCTTGAAACTCATCTGGTCGGCGAACAGAGCTTCCCCTGTTTCGAATTCCGATAAGTTCCAGTTCGAAGACAACGGAAATGTGGTGCTGCGCAGAGAAGAAGGAGGATCCGCCGAGGTTTGGAGATTGGATAATTCGGGCAAAAATGCTTCAAGAATCGAGCTCCGTGACTCGGGGAATCTCGTTGTTGTTTCCGGTGACGGAACTTCGATCTGGGAGAGTTTTGATCATCCCACGGATACTCTGATCACGAATCAGACCTTTAGAGAAGGCATGAAGCTCACTAGCAATCCTTCTTCGAGCAACATGACTTATGCTCTTGAGATCAGATCAGGAGATATGTTTTTATCTGTCAACAGCTCCACTCCTCAAGTGTATTGGTCCATGGGAAACGACAAAGATAGGATCATTAACAAATATGGCCTAGTGACTTCATCGTCTCTCGTCGGGAATTCGTGGCGGTTCTTTGATCAGAAACAGGCTTTCTTATGGCAGTATATATTTTCAGAGAATAAAGATGATAACGCGACTTGGATCGCGGTTTTGGGAAGCAACGGTGTGATCTCCTTTTCAAATCTTGGGAGTGGTTCGTCTGCGGCTGATTCTTCGACTAAAATCCCGACCGATCAGTGTTCGACACCCGAGCCTTGCGGGCCTTACTACGTCTGCTCGGGCAGTAAAGTCTGCGGATGTGTGCCCGGCTTGTCACGTGCTCGGTCTGATTGCAAATCCGGGATCGCTTCTCCTTGTAAGAAAACCGGAAATAACGCAACATCGTCTGTACAACTTGTGAATGCTGGAGACGGGGTCGACTATTTCGCTCTCGGTTTTGCTCCAACTCCCTTCTCCAAGAGAACCAGTCTTGGTAGCTGTAAAGAGTTCTGCAACAACAACTGCTCCTGTCTCGGTCTTTTCTTCCAGAACAGTTCTGGTAACTGCTTCTTGTTTGATTGGATCGGAAGCTTTAAAAACTCTGGAGATGGAGGCTCTGGTTTCGTGTCTTACATCAAGGTGGCCACTAATGGTGCGGGAGGTGGAGATGACGGGGAAGATGGCGGGAAACATTTTCCGTATGTAGTGATTATTGTCGTGGTGACGGTTTTCATCATCGGTGTTTTGATCTTTGTGGCGTTTCGGATTCATAGGAGGAAGAAAACGATTTTGGATGCGTATGAAGATCATAGTTCAGAGGAGGATAATTTCTTGGAGAATCTATCCGGGATGCCTATCCGGTTCGCTTACAAAGATCTTCAGTCAGCGACAAATAACTTCTCGGTGAAGTTAGGGCAAGGAGGGTTTGGATCGGTCTATGAAGGGACTTTACCTGATGGTTCTCGTTTAGCCGTGAAGAAACTTGAAGGAATCGGTCAGGGCAAGAAAGAGTTCAGAGCCGAGGTTAGTATAATCGGAAGCATTCATCATCTGCATTTGGTGAGGCTCAGGGGATTTTGCGCGGAAGGGGCTCATAGGCTTCTCGTTTATGAGTTCTTGTCGAAAGGTTCGTTAGAGAGATGGATATTTAGGAGAAGAGACGGAGAGGTTCTTTTAGATTGGGACACAAGATTCAACATCGCGCTCGGAACAGCTAAAGGTTTAGCGTATCTACACGAAGACTGCGACGCAAGAATTATCCATTGCGATATTAAGCCAGAGAACATCCTCTTAGACGATAACTTCAATGCCAAGGTATCCGATTTCGGACTCGCTAAGCTCATGACCCGCGAACAAAGCCATGTCTTCACGACGATGCGAGGGACGAGAGGCTATTTGGCTCCTGAATGGATCACAAACTACGCAATCTCTGAGAAGAGCGATGTTTACAGCTACGGAATGGTATTGCTAGAGCTAATAGGAGGAAGAAAGAACTATGATCCATCAGAGTCCTCTGAGAAATGCCATTTCCCTTCCTATGCTTTCAAGATGATGGAAGAAGGAAAGCTTTTGGAGATTGTTGATGGGAAGATGAAGAATGTTGATGTGACTGACGAGAGAGTTCAGAGGGCTATGAAAACTGCGCTTTGGTGTATACAAGAAGATATGCATCTGAGACCGTCGATGAGCAAAGTTGTTCAAATGCTTGAAGGAGTTTTCCCGGTGGTTCAGCCTCCGTCTTGTTCCACTTTGGGCTCAAGGCTTTACTCGAGTTTCTTTAAGTCGATTAGCGAGGAAGGCGGTGGTACGTCATCTGGACCATCGGATTGTAACAGTGAGAATTATCTCTCCGCCGTGAGACTCTCCGGTCCTAGATAGCACTCTTGTCTTTAGCCAAATTTTTAGTATCTTAAATAGGTTTTTGGTTCACCATATTTTGTTGTATATTATTATTGTGCTGTTCTTAAAATAAAATAAAAAGATTAGTATCTCCAGTTTTGTAATGTTCCGAGTTTTTATTACATAGTTTAATTGCAACACATGTCGTTTTTCTGTACTGTCGTAGAACTCCTTGTCGTGTTTCATTCTTTTGTATCGTCACGCACTCCGAATGCGTGCCGTGTTCTCTTTGATAGACGGATTCCTGCGTTTCTATTGGCTATAACATTTTGCTTACTGTACGCTTGCGGGTAGACAATAGAAACTCACGTGGTACATAAAAATAAGCTGGCGCTCGGTGATTCTCGTCCCACCGTTATAGATGACGACGACGACTGCGTCTCTGTTTGAAACTTCTCCTTCTCGGTGCTATTCGTCTTCTTCTTCTTTCAAATTCAAATGCGGAAATGAGTCTCCCGCGAAAACGAAAACGCGACTGTTCTCTCCGGCAACTGGGAATCATGTAATGAGATCGGTATCAGCATGTCGTATTCGTTGCGTCTCCGATGATTCTGGTGAGAGCGGATTCTAGTATCGTTGGCCCCTTCTGTTCTCTGCTTTTCGTATCTGTAAATCTCGGATGCTAATTTCACCTAATTGGGATTCTTCTTCCGAGTACCCGAACAGCTTCGTTATGCTGTTTGAATTTCTTAGTCTGATTCTGTCGTCGATTGTTTACTGCTTAGTAATTTCGTGCTGATATGCTCTGTTTCTGCCCAATTTCCAGGTTCGGGTCCTGTTGTGCTTACCAGTAGAAGAAAAATGGCTATCATGTTGTCCACTGTGCAGCTTCTGTCTCAACTGCTTCCGCCAAATGGAGAAGCAGCTGAGTGAGTTTTTATAATTGACGGTTGAATTTGGATTTACTATTCTTCATCTTAATTCTTGTGCTAATATTTCCAAATCGTCTGTTGGAGTTTCAGCATTTATCCAGTGATGCAAAACGAAATAAGGAAAGTCGTGACAAAGGGTAAGGCTGCTGGTGTGCTTCGTTTAGTGTTTCATGATGCGGGAACCTTTGAAATCGACGATAATACAGGTAATTTCCATATGACTCAGTGATGCTGATCAGACTCAGTTCTCTGAATTATAGTATTTGTTTGTCAAGTTCACTTTAGGTGAGATCAGCTATGTATTAATTGTTCTTGGTAATGGATTGAACTGCAGGTGGCATCAACGGGTCTATTGCCTATGAACTCGAGAGGCCTGAAAACGCAGGTTTGAAGAAATCCCTAAAGGCACTTACTCCCTCTCTCTCTCTCTCTCTCTCTCTCTCTCTTTCTGTTAGCGTGAGCAAGTAAATATGTAACTTTCACATCTGTTTTTTGCTACTTTCAATTTACGGGTAGATGGATTCTTTGTTAGGTTGTAGCGAAAGCAAAGATTAATGTTGATGCTATACAACCAGGTAATGTACTATTTGAACTGCATAAACTAAAGAAATGTGTACTGTTATGCGCCTTGGTTGGTGCTAATGTTTTCAATCTGTGTAATCTTTAGTGTCCTGGGCGGATATGATCTCTGTCGCTGGGTCCGAAGCAGTTTCAATATGTGGCGGCCCAACAATCCCTGTAGTTTTGGGAAGACTTGATTCAACGTAAGCACGTCATGAATGGTACTTTGTCCTCATTCGTTTAGCTCTCTGGTCCTCGTTCGGTTATAACGTGTATGTCCAACATGATGATTGTTGCAAATGTTCACAGGCAACCTGATCCGGAAGACAAGCTACCTCCAGAATCCCTGAGTGCCTCTGGTTTGAAAGAATGTTTCAGAAGAAAAGGATTTTCGTGAGTCCTCCTTACTCAAAAGCAGCTACAAATTGTTTCGACATGTTTTTATAACAACATGTTGTAACCTGAGTGACATCACTGGGGTTTGTGATGCCATTGCAGGACCCAAGAACTTGTTGCGTTATCTGGTGCACATACGCTTGGGAGTAAAGGATTTGGAGATCCATTTACTTTTGACAATGCATACTACAAAATCCTTCTTCAAAAACCATGGACATCGGCATGTAAGTATCATGACAAGGGTTCTATACTATCTGCCATGTTCTGAGGATTGATTGTAAGACTCTGTGATTATTTTCTTATAATATTTTTCTTTTTGTGACTCCACTTCGGATGCAGCCAAAATGACTAGCATGGTCGGGCTGCCTTCAGATCATGCCCTCGTGGATGATGACGAGTGCTTAAGGTTTCTCATCTACAGATATTTCTTACCCTTTCAGTTATCTATTGCACTTTATCAAGTGACATTATAAGTATTATTTGAGAGTATAGTAATGTGCTGAAAAGCTCAAGAGTATAGAGCTCATTGACAAAACTGGAAAATATTCAACTGATGTGTAAGATTCGCGGTTTGATGCACAGGTGGGTGAAACGATATGCGGAAGACCAAGACAAGTTCTTCAAAGACTTCAGCAATGCTTATATCAAACTAGTTAATTCTGGGGCCAGATGGAAAATTTTATCATTTGTTAGTTCGTAAGTGTGCGCCTGAATAATTTGGGTAATGATGCGTATTTGCTAGTATGTCCCAAAAAGTTTCCCTGCCTGTACATGTTCGTCTACGTGTGCGATGATGATTCGTATGAATTAACTAAAGGAAATAAACAGTGATAGTCAAAATTTACACAAGCCTTTTCATTCTTTCTCCGGTGGACCACTAGGGAGAGAGCAACCAGGTTTCAAACTTGAATTTATGTGAAAAATGATAATAGAGATAGAGACCACACTTAACTTTCTAAAATACTTAAAAACAATATAAGCTGAAATGTTCGGAGTTTTATTTGAATTACATAAGTCGTCCTCTGTTTTTTTTTTTAATCATGATAGTTTTATAATTCAGTACGTTTTAACGGAGACATCAAAACCATTTTGATATATGTTGCTTTAAGCATTTGTTAAGTTAATTTCGTGTAAAATTTTGACTATTTATTTTCCTACGTGTAGTACTAAGCAATAAGGCACATAGTACACGTACGAATCGTCCAAAGAAGGTCAAGTTTTTCTATAGACATGTCGTTTTTTCAGTTGAAAGAATTGACATATGACATTTGTTTATGAATATAACTAATCAAAACAAAACTTTAAATTCATCTGTTAAAACTTAAAACTGTTTTTCAACATATCTCACCAAAAGGCAAAAGTATAAAGATTTATTCGATTTTATTGTCTCACTATTATACTACAACAACCACTAATACTACATTTTTTTCCACGGTTTTAGTCCTAAAGTATTTATGCAAAATTATCTGTGGATATATAAATATTGATCAACAAGTTTTTATTTAATTGTTAATCCCAATAAGAAATCATTGGAAAACAAATTGGGATTAGATAGAAATGATGGGTTGAGAAAGTTTTGAGAAAACATCAAGAAAGGAAGGGTGTCACAGTTGTACCTGTATCTTACCCTAATCGCTGGACCAACTTGTCTCTTAGGTCTTAATAAAAGTGGGTTTTGTGTCTAATCACTTTGCTTACTCTTTAATCACAATCTCTCAGTGCTAATCAGGATAATCATACTTCTTTGTTAGTTGTTACCACTTTTCTACTAAAGAAAATAGTTTCTTCAATTATTATTAACTCGATAAGAAAGGCACCAAACTTCACTTGTTGAGAAACATGAGAGGATCCTTGTGTTTTTCCAAGTGCTTTGTAATTTACCCTTAATATACGGCCAACAAAATATTGATACAGTAATATGCTTCATCTTTCAGGTCATAACTACAAAATATGGATACAGTCATTTGTTTCATCTTTCAAGTCATAAATACAAAATATGGAGACAGTAATTTGTTTCATCTTTTTAAAGCAAATCTTATAAGTTTATGAGTCTCTTAGAGAACATTAGACGGAATCAATTCTCTATGCTTGCGTTATTGATCTCAAGAAGCAAAACTTATTTGGTATTCTCTAGGCATGACTCACTTTCCCCGCTTCCGAATCTCTGGCAAGCGTCGAGTCCAAAATTTATATGTTGGAAAGTCAAGAATGGGAAACGATATTCAAAACTAACGAGGCTAGAATGCATAAAAAATGTTTGGAGTGACACATTTAGTATGAATGCCACCCATAATCGATTTGAATGTTTGTCAAGCATGTATTTGGAGTTTATAAAATTATAAATTTATATTCTCCCTGTTTCATAATAAGTGTCATTTGGAGAAAATGTATCTGTAATGTATCTGGATGTATTAAACTCAAAACATATTTATATATATCCAGTTACAATTCAGATACATTTTTTTCCAAATGACACTTATTATGAAAGAAATGATAGTAGTTTTTTAAGGGGTTAATTAGCTTTACTATAAATTTATTGATTTAAATGATTTTGAAAATGTGACGATTAATCAAGTTTTATGTACAGTTTCTAAAAAACTAACTTTGTTTTGAATGCCTTTAACTTTTTAGACTAGTTTTCAAAGCTAGTTGTGATCATATCCATACACAAACTACATATTAAATATGGATCATGGATCATGGTATATACTATGATCCATATTACTTACTTTAATCATTTATAACACTATCAAACGACCCTGCTTTAAGAGCTCTACTGATTCTTTACATCTAATGATAAGTCGGGCAAAGCAGATAGATGAGTTTTTTTAACAATGTATACTGTTATAATATTTGCGCCATTCATTAAACGTATATCTTTTATATAAAAGTAAATGGATGCGAACTGCTCTACAAAAGCCCTGAAATGAAATCAACCATAGGAGTACGAACACTTGATGGCCAAAATCATTTTCATACATGATGAATGTTGGAAAGAAAAGAGATTTGGAGCAACACCTTCTAAGCTTGTTAACTGGTTTTCTAATTGTTAATTATTGTAACTAATAAACTATTAGTTCACTCTGTAGTCAACGAAATAAGTATTGTTAACTTTCATTTGGTTTCTTAAAAAGTAACGTCATTTGAATTAATTATTTTGGCCTACCACAAGCTTTTGGGTGTGTACATGTGGGTGCATGTATTTAAATATGGAACACTTGTGTTCTTTATTTTGATAAAATGGGAAATGATGTACTTTGTTAACTTCTCATCATAATCCAAAATCTGAATATTATTGATTGGTCAAAAAAAGAAGTAAGTAAATATTAATCTAATTATATCATCATACTGGTCTATATAAGTCAAAACAATTTGTATAAGATATATTTCTCTCTGTATTAATTAAGTAGTCTGCAGGAAATTACTTATTGTTACTATGAAAAGTATGTCTTTATTTAAAATTATATTTAAATAAAAACAGTGTAGATTCCATGAGCTGGCTTTACTATTTTTTGGTTAAATGTGTTAATTACTAGGTGAATAAAGTTCCCATTTAAGAGTAAAGTATGTTTATAATAATAGTGTGTGGGGGAGAATGTGGTTCACCTTAATAAAGCGACCTGTATAATTTGCAATATAGCTAACGGAAAGTTTATTAAGATTGATTAAGAAAATGAGAAGGTCATATCTTTCTCCTTTGTATTTAAACCAAAATATAAAAGCAATCTAACCATATCCAAAACCCCTAAAATCCGGGTTTCTTTTTTTTATAACATATATTAATTTGGACTTGCCCACTTATGTTTCTGCCTTTTTTGCCCAACCACTTATGTCTTTTTTTTAATCCCAAGCTTTTCATATATTTTTTGAAACGTCCCATCTAATTTCAGTTAGTGGATTTTACTCCAATTGTGTAATATGTGAGTCTATTTAGATTCATTATCTATATACTGTATAAAGGTTTTACTATGCGTAATACAAAGATGTGAGAAAGAGTTAACAAAATAATTTAACATCTTGAGGACTATGTGATTTTACCCTTCTTTATTCTAAAGTCTAAACTCATTCTATGGATTTTCTTTGAAACTGCAGAATTTATATTAGCTAGTCATTGCACCCATTTATAAGTCATAACCTAAAACCATCCAATTCAATTTAAAACAATTACAGCATGAATCTCCAAAGTTTCAAGAGTAGAGAGGATTCTATTTTTTTTTCTGTACACATTTATTTTAACAATATTGTTTGCAACAGTCAGTAAATTAATATGTAAAATTGAACAATTTACATTGATTGATTTACCCAAAAAGTCGACTATCTTGTATTTATCAACAGTCACCAAAACTGAAGTCAATTGAACAAAAAAAAAAAATCAGTTGCATGTGTTTTTTCCCCCAAGTTGCATATGTTTAAAGGTCAAAACATATTTGTAATAATGTTAAAAAAAGAGAGCATATTAAAAAGATTAATAATGTAGTGTTGTTCCATGAAACTCCCCATCACTCCCACGATTAATATAATAAACCGTCGATTAACCGTAATTTCCTCGATGACGTGGCACTTATATTTCGAATAGCCGCTGTAATAAATATTAATCGTTTTTGTCATTTTTATCTCTTCGCAAATAAAGAAAAAAATCTCTCTCTCTCTCTCTCTCTCTATCCTTTTTTTTTTTTTTATTCACAGACAGAATCAAACTTGTGTAGACCGAGAATCCATCCCTCAGAAACCCAAAACCAAAAAAAAAAAAAAAACCACTCAAGAACAAATCGAAATCTCAACTCTATGAAACCTCATCCTTCTCCTTCTTCTTCTTCCATTCCTTCGATTTTTACTTCAATGGACGTTTAATTTGCTCTGGTACTGCGTTTGGTGAGGAAGATGTGCGTCTTATTTTTCTCGTATTTTTTTTAATTTTTGGCCTGGTTTTCTTGTTTCTTCATTGTTTGTCTGCTTTGAAAAATGGCGGAAGTACTTATGAATCTGAGAAACTTATCTGCTTGTCTGTTTTCATTGCTTGGTTTGGTGTCGGTAGATCGAAAACAGAACTGCCACTTACCGATTTGCTTCACTCCCATCACTAGTGAGCTCAGTACCACGAGATTTAGGTTTTTCTGATTTAGATTTGCATCTATTTTCAGATTAGATTTGCGTTTCTGGGATTTGTTTACTTAGATCGATTCAGGAGTCGTAAGTTAGTTGTCGATGTGTAAAGCCTAGTGAGTAGGGTTTTCTGGGTTCTGTAGGAAAATTTTCTCTTGTTGATCGGACAATTTTTTTGGCGAATGTATGTATTGTCTACGGATCCATCTTCGTATATGTTCTACGAGTGGCATAAGTCTGGGTATTAAATCTTTGGTCACTGACACAATGTTGATTCATTGATATGTAATTCACTTATAAACCCTAGCAAAACGCTCTGGTTTTGTGGGATAAGGTTTGTTGTCTATTGATTGATAGTGTGTAAATCTAAGTGAATGCTTATTTAGGTAAAATCTACTAAATTAGTATTTCAGTTTCTAAACTTCTCTGCTCAGGAACTTGTTAATATGTGGTGGTGCTGTTACCGTTTTTGTCTCTTCACTTATATCATTTATTGTTTTGTAGTTTACTATGGATCCTGAGAGTATCATGGTTGGTGTTGGTGATGGGACTGACTCTGCTGTTGCAAATGGTGGCTTGACAATGGAAAATGTCGCTGTTAAAGGAAATGGTGTTGCTTCTGGCGAAACCTTGGATACTACTTCGGAAAGTCAGAATGAGAATTCGGGTGACAGTTCCACTTTGGATGCAGTTGACCACTCTAAAGAGGCAGCTGAGGTTTGTAACTCTCTTCAAGGTCAATCTACTCGTCCGTCAGATAAACAGTTGTGATTAACATTTGTGTTTTCCTCTTATTTTTTTTTCATAGGTCACACAAGTTGAAAATGCAGATGACCCGAAGTGTAGTAAGGGCCAAAAGGCTCAACGGAAGCTAAAGAATGAGAAACTCTCTGGCGGTAAGAATGTTCCATCGGTTCATATCAAAAAGAAGAAAGAGAACAAAGGTGCAGATGCTAAAGTGGCAGCATCTAATGGTTCTGTTGCTCCCAGTGCACACACAACAAAGTCTATTAAGAGCACATCGTTCAATGGTAGAGAGACTCAAGTCACGGAGGTATTCATCCCTCACAATCTGTTTCTAAGGCTTATTTGCTTTGCCTTATGCATATAAGTTTTTTTTTTTTTTTTACTGGCTTGTGATTAATTCTGATCTCTTCTTTTTCATATCAGCATGAAAAGCAAGACTCTGCACCATCTGAAACGGCCGCTGGGTATTGAGTCCCTCATTTTTGAAATCAGGGTTTCTTTCCATATTGTCTTGAAGACTTAAGTTTTCGCAAATGCTAAAACCCAAACCTTTTGCGGATAAATGCCAGCTAGAGACTAGACAATGGCGATAAGTCTTCTCATTTATCATTTAGTCTCTTAACAATTGTTGAAACTGGAGATTTCTTTCTCTCTTTGATACAGGGACAAGGTGAAACCAAAGCCTCAAAAGAAACAAGTCCATGAGACATCTGAAGATGATACTCAGTCATCTAAGTATTTGTTTCACCTTTATATTTACCAGTTCTTCTTTCTTGTGGCAAGCTGGGGCCTTTCTGCATTTGGCTCTCGTTTTTACCATTTATGTTGATTATGACTTTCTGATTTCTTAGTAGCCCGAAAGCAGACGATGGCAAACCTCGTAAAGTTGGTGCACTGCCAAATTATGGATTCAGTTTCAAATGTGACCAACGGGCTGAGAAGAGAAGAGAGGTTTGCGTTTTGATTCACTATACTTGGTCCTATCTACACAAACATGTTTTTATATAAACATATTTCTGATTTCATTTGGTGCAGTTCTATGTTAAGCTTGAGGAAAAGACTCATGCGAAAGAAGAGGAAATCAATAACATGCAAGCCAAGTCCAAGGTTGTGTTCTAAACCCACTTCTTTGTCACATTGTTCTCGACCTACCATTTGTAGAAAAATAAAGAAAAAACTATTGTTCTCTCGCAGGAAACACAAGAAGCTGAGCTTAGGAAGCTAAGGAAAAGCTTGAACTTCAAAGCCACACCCATGCCTAGCTTTTACCAAGAACCTCAGCCGCCTAAAACCGAGTTAAAGAAGGTACATCTGCTCTCTGCTCTCTGCTAAACCATGATCTCATTTTTTAGCGAAGTACTAATTCTCACGTTTGATGTAAAATTGTTATTTGGTTCCAAGTAGATACCACCAACAAGACCCAAATCTCCAAAACTCGGCCGGAAGAAGACTGATCCTGAAGAAACTCCCACCCCTCGCATCGCTAGGCTCAGCCTGGATGAGAGAGCTTCTAAAGATAACCCAGCTGCTAAGGGAATTGTGCCAACAGTTGAGCTCAAGAAGCAACCGGTGCGCAAGTCACTTCCAAGATTGCCATCTCAGAAAACAGTTCTCCCCGATGGAAAACTCGCCCCAGCAAAAGCTGCCACAACCTCAGCAAAGGTGAAACCTGAAAGAAAGAAACTTGAAAAAGATGCAGAAACTCTAAACCAGTCTTCGCATCCCATAGAAGAGGAAGCACAAGTGGCTCTATCATCCAGTGCTGATGCAGAAGATTCACATGAGATCGTATCTCCAAGGATGGATGAAGACAGAGCCGAGTCCATTGAGGTATCTGAAGTGGTTGCTGTTGAGCATTAAAAACTCTGCGGTACGATCGTTACTCTCAGGACTCATATCTTGCATTTAATTAAGGAGGAGGACAAGAGAAAAGAAACCGTATAATATTTATAAAATATCTTCGACCGAAACTTATCTGAGAAGAAATGGTTAAAAGAGTGAAAAGAATCATATGGGTTTGGTTCTAAAGGTTGCTGCTTTTAAATATTTCTATGTTTGATGGTAATGTTTTTTAATCTTTAAGCTGTTTTTTTGATGTCAAGATCTTGTTTCCTTTTTCCTTTTTGATGCTTTGATTCCTAAAAGGTGAATATTCAGGAGATTATGCGTTCGTTCTGTGTATTCTTTCGTTTTTCCTTCTTATTTTTCTCAAATGTGAAATTTCTTTTGTTATAATTGATTGTCTTCTCCCCATCCGAGTAAACAAGATGTTGTAGGAGATGGAGTTTGAGAATTCGACAAAAATCTAATATACAGAGTACGTGACGATATAAAAACTAAAGTTTCACAAAACAGTTTTGTAGCTAGGAGCAGTTTTTACATATAATTTCTTGATACTCTCTATTTTGCATACATATAAGCACAAAAAGGTTTTAATTTTTATTTGCAAATTGGAAAGGTCAAAGTTTATTTCTCATGCATGCATCGACACAAAACAAATGTATTAACGAGAGTTGAGCGTGACATCTCTCGCAACCAATGATCAATAATTGATTCTTTAGTTTTTGTTGACAACCAATAATTGATTCTATCCAAAGCGCAGGACCAAACTCGATTCACACTTTTTAGCTCTAAGCCTAAAGGACACAAACCACTTTATTCTTCTTTGGAATATCACAATAATGCAGCTTTAGACTTTTGATACTTGGTTCGACCTTTCCCACACATTAGCCGTAATCAATCAACCTCAATGTGCAAAAGATATTATTTTGATTAAACCGGATTTTTGAGTTTTTGTTATATTACACCGGTCTAAGATGAGCACAAAGAGTCAAGACACAACTGATACAGATGGGTTATAGGTAGATAAACCATTCTCATATTTAATTTCTTCCTCTTCTTCTTCTTCAGTATCCCATAGAAATCGAGCATATGAGGCAAGAACATGACTGCAATAAACACATTCATCAAGCATCAGATTTACATTTACCATGATGGTGTATTGTATCATCTACTACCACACACCACATAAACGTTGCAGATGCAGAGAGAAAAAAAAAAACATGAACGATGTCTCTATCATATTCGACGTGTAACAGTGTAAGGCTATGGTTCTGAGACAAATTGACCAATCACTACTTCAAAGGTTGAATATAGAGCAAATCACATTTGATCCACAAAATCATTTACGTAAAATGCTATCTTATTATTCGCTTTCGACCAACCTTTTCCCATGTAACAAATCTAAAGCTGGCCATAACAAATACCCAACTCCCCCTTAAACATATCAATAATTTTCAAAAAAAAAGGGTTAAAATGTTATGAACTAAAATCGTAATCCAAAGTCAAGAGTTTATAGATTAGGTTCTAAACAGATTCTGGAGAAGAACAATTCTTGTAACGTGTACACTCACCAGTCATGAGGAGAAGATTCAACAGCTTGATCGAAGTAAGACTGAGCACGAACACCGTCTCCATGATTTTTCCATATCAAATCTCCATACATAGACAACATCTCTCCATCTCTCCCATCTTCAGTCAGCATCGCTCTCTCACAGTACTCCTCTGCTTTTCTCTCATCACCTTTCACCTACAATACCAGTACACGAATTAAAATCCAAAAAACCGAGAACAAAGATCGATTTCAATATAGCAATAATGCGTATCTGGTCTCTATATACAGCCTCATGCGGGATTCAAGGCTCGTCAAATTACAGTAGAATAAAAAATTCCCAAATATGCATATTAATTGCAATAAACCTACTGAACTACAGAGGTTTCTATTCCAGATTAGGACGAGTATGGTGTATGTTATGTATATACCTCTCTGAGGAAACGAGCGTAGTTAGCGAGAAGAAGAGCGTCTCCGGGATAACGTTGGATCATCTCTTCGTAATAACCATCGACGCTTCCTCCTCCACCTCCACCTCCACCTCCGGTACCGTCTCCGCCTTTACCGCCAAATCCACCGTTCGAACCTCCCTGGTGTAGCCCGGATCTCTCCAAGACCCGAGACGACGCCGTTTCGTCGTAGTAGACGCTTGACGTTTTGGTTCTGCTCTCCGGCGCCTGAATCGCTCGCATCTCGTAGAGATTTCCGTCTGAAGAAGCTCTGGGAATCGATTGACAGCCCCGAGGAGAAGCAGAGACGGATCGAGCCGTCGTTACAACACGAGCTCCGTTCGAACATCGTGGAGCCGACGATTTCTGAGCGGCGCGTAGATTAAGGTCCAGAGATGACGCGCTTCTCAGTATCATTTTTAGTAGTCTTCTGGGGAGGAATTTTTTTTTAGTGGAGACTGAGTGAGAAGATGAAAGATATTTATTACTTAAAATATCTTGGGGGTGTACAATTTTTTTTAGTCCCCACTATTAGATATTACTATCAAATTGACCCCAAAGTTTTAGTATTTACAATCACATCCTTGCATTACCACACAGTAGGTGTAGACATTAACCGCGCCAAATCGAAATCGAACGTAACCAAAACTGAATCATTCTTATTAGATATTTTATTTTAGTGTCTTATATCGAGGTAGTGAGTGTTACATCTGATAGATTTTTTCATTCGTAATGTTTCTACTTTCTACATTTAGAGCACTTTGTGAGTAAACTTAACGTTGAATCAAATATGTATGTATAAGAAAGGCATAACTAACAGGACCAAACCAAATTCTAGCCGTAACAACATCTTGTAGATTGCAAAATTATTACGCTACAAGAACTGAATTGAAGTATTTTAGAAAATAGAATATTTGTAAGCATTTTTTCTCATCAGACCAAAAAAGAAACATTTTCCTATCTTTAAGATTGAGGGACTTGGACAAAAGAATACACCCAATTATATATAATATCGATTTATCGAAAATAAGAATCGTTGTCAGATTATCCAAGACCCTAAAGAAAATATTAATAATTTGATTGGACACAGAAATACGTAAGTAAGTGGATCAAGGAATTTGATTCTGCCCCCACAAATAGGCTAAAGGCGAGAGATCTTTCGCATCTTGAGCCGATTTCCACGGTCATCATGAAACCAAGAACATGGACAAAGAGATCTCTTTCAAAAATTGATGCCAAAATAATTAACAGAGGTTTTAATTTAAAGACTAATCGAAGAATTTCAATAATGGATATACATAGTCTATATCTTTTTTTCCCAATCATATACATGTGTAACTTTTTCTTAAGTTCCATGTGATTCTTTAATCACAATCATATGTACAAGCCTTCTTCCTCCCAAACATCAACAAGAAAATGCACCATGTCCTGTAACATTATTGCATCATCATCAATTTAAATAAGTTTTCTTATCAACAGTGACACCAGGTATCCAAATCTATCTTCTATTACAATGAATAGTGTCCTAACTCTTGAGCAGGAAACATGAATAATATAATCAATCACCTGAAGAGGTATAGGTCGAGAAAAAGGCTTGTTTGTGCTCAACAAGCTATCATATGTCTCGTTCCAGCTGAAAAGTTATCATGAAATATGAATTAGAAGTACCGAATTTCATCTTAACATTGAAGAATTTCAAGAAACAAATCATATATATATTCAACATAGAAACAAATACTTACATTTTTGGGTTTTTTCGGGTCTGAATATTTATATACAAACTATAGTTACTAATTTTCAGCAAGAAGATTGTTCACTGGTAATGTCACCTTATTGCAGGTTCTGGAACTCGGCATTGTTGGATGGTTCTGCATTCGCGCCATTGTTGTCTCGTTTGGTTCCATAGAGCAAGCCCTTAAACGAAAATAAGTTAAGAAGTAATATATGTATATATATATATATATATATTTCTTGACATAATTACTAAGTACTTACCATGGTTTACAAATTCGGTAGAGTTGCTTGTGCTGCATCGGGGATCAAAAGGCGGGTTTAAAGATTGTGATCGAATCGTGATATTGTGGTCCATATCACATGCACCTGTGCTCCAGAAACCGTCTGATGAACCACAACCTTTATTCACAACCTTCCCTTGGATTTTGAGTCCCTTTGATGGCTCATCGACTTCCACAACCAAAGACGAGCTTCCACTTTTGCGGTATCCGAAACAATTTATGCTCTGTACATAAAACCATCATGAACATTTCGTCACCTCTTGGTACGTTCTAATATGTTTGATCTATGCGGAAAGAAATCAACTTGGTTCTTATACGGATGGCACACATTGATTAAAGTTTTGCATTTTGATCTTAGAGATTCCATGAGCCAAATAGGGAGAGCTTGGAAGTACGCTGCCAGGAACTGGAAGAATGAGCAACAACTCGTTTTACTAAATTGTGTTTGTATTTTTATCAAGAATGAAGAACAAGAACACATAGCTAAGGAAGAAAACACAATGAACATAAAAAGAGAAACTAAAATTGGGAGAAAGAATTAAGAAAAACTCAAAAAAGATTAGCATAGAAGTATATTATGCCGCATGAGACAAGCAAACACACTTACGCACAAAAAGATTCCGTAGTTTAAAATCTAGAAGCAAGTAAGGCATCATATTACATATTTTAAGTTGATTTACTAAAAAGCTTGTATGTGGCCTTAAGGGCAAAAGTCTCTACTTTTAAACCCTCATAATTCAACAGAATATAGAGAGAAAGAAAAACAATTTTTTTAAAAAAAAAAAAAAATCTCATTCATTATTATTTTATATTTTATAATTCTTTTATTCTTCAGGTTATTCATAATTTTACTGATGAAAAAAACTCATGTTATATAATAATTTATTCATTTCCTAATGTAGTTGTAATTTAATAAAATCAGCAGTGACATATTTTAAAGATGAGGGTAATTGAGTTGATGTAAATGATTAAATTCAATGATACACCGTGATGGATTTGGTAATTATTTTTTTGGTGGAGCAAGTAATAACAGTACCATTGACACCCACGTTATTCTTTGGATAAATTGAAAAATGCTTAATCGAAGGATAGATATTGTCATATTGATTTGCTATCTTTTAAAAAGGTCAATCAAATAAGAAGGATAACAAAAAATTATGATGAAGCAAATAGTATAATAAGGAAAAACACGGGTTTATCTGTATAAAAGAAAAAGCGTTGATTAAACCCGTCGGTGAGTAAATTTCACATTAATTGGTGCAGGTCTACACAATCCATGCAATGGGGGTGGACCCGGCAGTACCAGAACATTTCCACCCAATTCCACTAATCAACAACAACTTGTAGAGGGTATTGATTTGATTCCTCAACTCCTCTTAAAAGTCTAAAAAGGAAACAATTACTATATTTCCTAAAACACCCTTTATAACGTTAACATTAAAAGGTCAAAACGAAGTCGTATCGAAGAAAGGACTGAGGTCGTCACCATGTTCTCCACAGCTTGAGATGCGGTCGCTTCAATTTTGAAACCAAAAGAAACAACACAGAAAACGCTTTTCTCTCTCTCTCTCTCTTTCATCGTCGAGCTTCATCTTCCGGCGGATCACACTCACCATCGTTTTGCGGAATCCAGAAGCGATATGTTTGATGGTCTCTTAGGCCGCGGGTTTGCTCCCAAGGGGTTTGTCTTCTTCTTCTTCTTCTTCTTCTCTATCTATCTCTCTCCCTTGCTTTGCTCATGCCATTCTCTCTCTCTCTCTCTGATTCCATCATGTTATTTTGGGCGAATCGATCTAATTGTGTGATTTGGTTCGGCAGAAAACCACTGATAAAACTGACCAAGAATAAGATCGATGTTCTTCGGAGGAAGAGGACTGCCACGATCAAGTTTCTGAAGAGAGATTTGGCTGATCTCGTCTCTAATGGCCTTGACGTTAATGCTTATAGCAGGGTACGCTATGTTTCAACGCTTAGTTTGGTTTTGTTTAAGATAATTTTTTTCAATTGAGAATCAATAAAATTCGGATTTAATTAATCGCTTGTGTCAGGCTGGAGGTCTTCTTGATGAATTGAGGCATCTCTGGAAACTTGACTTTGTTGACAAGACCTGTGATTTCGTATATAAGCAACTCTCTACGATGCAAAAGATGGAGTAAGTGTCAATGGTTTTTGGTTTGAGATTCCCAATCTTTCAATGTGTAACTGTTTATGCCATTCTTCCTGGATATATAGGATTTCTTAATTGATCTTGAATTTTTTTTTATGATTCATAAGTAGTTGTAACATACTCTGAGTAGATGAGAAATTTCTTTGCACATTCTCTGCCACATCAACTTGTTAGGTTTTATGTTGAAGATCCGGTTCTCTAGTTTATTATATTTAATAATATTGAATACCTATTTGCGCTGTTCCTGTTTCCTTGGCGATGTGAATCGTGTTCTGTGGCTTAGTGAAACGTTCTCAAAGATAATTGAAGTAATATGTTCTAGGTGGAAACATTGTTAGGTTCATTGGTTGATTTTGCGCTTCCTTTTTCCAGGGAATGTCCAGAAGATTGTCGTGAAGCTGTGTCGTCGTTGATGTTTGCAGCCTCTGGATTTTCTGAGCTGCCTGAGCTGCGTGAACTGAGGCAAATGTTTCACGAAAAATACGCAGATTCACTTGGATTGTTTGTCAACCAAGAGGTAAAGAGTTTTTCTACTGGATTTTCTGGTAATCTTACACAGCATACATGTTTTAAGCACCTACTGGTTTCTCTTGTAGCTTGTTGAGAGTATGTCATCAAAGCCATTTTCTTTGGAGAAGAAAGTTAAGCTAATGGAAGATGTTGCATTGGAGTTCTCTATTCGTTGGGATTCTAAAGCTTTTGAGAAGAGGATTTTGAGTAGTAGTTCATTAAAGGTATGAGAAGGCTCATTTGTTTTTTAAGGGACAATAAGCTGAAATATTTGAAAAGACACTGAATTATGATTTCTCTCTTGTATATGAACAGGAGATCCCAAAAAGCACTCATGACAAGTACAAGCCTGTAGACGGAAGCATGTCCTTGCACGGAAGCCTGTCCTTGCCACCAGAAAGAAAAAAGGCTGATGCATCAGAAAGAAGAGATCCTTTGTTTCAGCCTGATAATTATCAGAATGGTCTCAGAGAACATCAGCATAGGCTAACAGCTAAAGAAAAGTCAGATAATGTTCGTCACGCCTCGAGATCAGAGAGCAAGGACAATAAGGCAGAAAGGAAAGAGATTTATATGCAACCTAAACGAGAACCTTCTAGAGAAAGACATCAACCATTTTTTACCGAAGGTGACACTATAGTAATGAAGGTCAAGCGAGAGAATCAGCATGGACTAATAACATCTAAAGAAAAGTCAGATGATGGTCGTCACGCCTCCAGATCTGAAAGACCTGAACCTATATTTAACGAAGGTGATACTATAGTAATGAAGATCAAGCGTGAGAATCTCGTTCAAGGGAATGTACATCGAAATGGTGAAGCTGATGCGCCTAAGAAAACAGAGGTGACAGAGAATCCTAAGCCTAGCAGCACGAAAAAAGCTGACAAGTTAGTTCTCGGCTTTAAACAGGAGAGTTTCTTTCAAGGATACAAACATGAGAATTATGAAGAGCATGCACCACAGAAAGTGGAAGATAACACCCCAAAACCTCCAAAGCCAAGTAGCAAGTCGAAAAGAACAGAGTCTATTGATTCAGGTCGTAGACATCGCAATGATCAGGAGAGTAGAGAAAATGCAGCTCTTGTTGGAGAGAGCACAGGAAAAAATCAAGCTGGTGGTAACGTCAAGGTTGGTGAATACGAGTATGATCGTGCAAATGCAGCAAGGAAAGCTGAGGAGCGAGAAGCAGAGAGAATGAAATCATCCTTCTATAAATCCCTTCCACCTCCGTATGTTAAACCTAACGGTAAAGCCAAGAATGAAAAAGCTGAAGCTTCAGTTGATCCAAAGGCTCGGTTTGATGGTGAAGATGGAAACTATCCAGAGACTGATAAGAAGAAGGTTGCCTGTGTAGAGAGAGGAAAAGAAGCAGACCCTCATCAAGTGAATGACGTAGATAATCAGTCTCAGAAACGAAGGTCTAGTAGAAGAAAACACATTCTACAATCTGGTGGTGGTGATGATGATGATACAAGAGGCCGAAGAAGGGAGAGCTCGAGAAAAGGCCTTCAGGTCTTAATTGATGAGGATGAGAAGGACAGCGAGGAAAAGATGATGGATAAACTTCTCATGCATTACAGTAAAAAGCCTTCAAGCTACGAAAAGAACAATGTGCATCATAAAAACGCCGAAGGAGGTGAAGAGATGATGGTTCATCAGCCCGCCCGGTCACGTTCTCTACCCAATGACCAATTTTCCGGGCCATCTGAACCGGTAAAAACGTTTGCCCGCGCTTCCACGTTTCAGCCTGAACGTTCCAGTGAAGCTAAGCACGTTCATCCCAAGTTACCCAACTATGACGATTTGGCCGCCAGATTTGCAGAGCTAAAAGGAAGGTGAATATATATTGGAACAGTTTTATGCCTAGAAACATCGTTTGAGATTAAATATTCTATTACACATATCTCACTTCACTTCTTCATAGTTCTTGTCCCATGTTGCATTGTTATGGTTATGGATCCCAAAGAGTTGTTGATGATCATCTGTTTGCTCTTTTTTGGATCTGATTTAACAGTTTATAAACAAAATTTGTTACCACACTATTTAATAAAGAGTTCTTTGATAATTAAAATAATTTCCATTGAGGTTTTAAAGCCAGCACCAATATATACTGTTTAACCAGAACACAGAGGAGGGGTTAAAAAGCTTACAAACAACATTGAATTTTTGAATTATCCTGGAAGATATCACAAAAAGTTTACTTCCGTTAATTTGTTGAAACCCGTGTATGTTTGCCGTTAACAGATCAAACCAAACAATTCAATTGAACCAAACCGTATCTAAACCGAGAATTAAATAAAGTAAAGTGGAAATGATTACAACCCTAAATCGGAGAGAGAACGAAGAAGAAGAAAGAAAGCGCCAACGCCGGAGACGAGAAGGAAAAAGCGCCGGAGGTGGTGACGCCACCAGAAAAGTAAAATAAGGGCAAATCCTACGCAGCTGCACAGTCTTAAAAACTGGCCCTGGTGCATAAGAATTTGAAGTTTGCTGAAAATGGCTAGATATCTAGCACGACATTTGGTATCCAGATACTTCTCCTCCTCCTCAGTTTCTTCCCGTCCTCTGCACGTCTGCGTCGTTGGGAGTGGACCTGCTGGTTTCTATACTGCCGAAAAGGTTCTTTGATTTTTCGTACATTTGCATTTGCAACTTACTTGAAAACAGATTCAAGGTTTGCGTGTTGATAATCAAGTCAGACTCTTGACCTTGTGATACGATCAGTTGCTGAAGGCGCATGAAGGAGCGCGTGTTGATATAATCGATCGATTACCCACACCTTTTGGGCTTGTTCGGTCTGGTGTTGCGCCTGATCATCCTGAAACTAAGGTACCAACTCAATTTCTTTTTCCATCCGCATAGCTTAATCTCTTGTGTACAGAGATTTAGAAGATTCTCCCCTTGAGAGCTTAATTTGAACCACCAATGCTTTCTACAGATCGTCACTAATCAGTTCTCGCGTGTGGCACAACACGAGCGCTGCTCTTTCTATGGCAATGTAAAGCTTGGTTCCGACTTCTCACTTTCTGAGCTGCGGGATTTGTATCATGTGGTAAGACCTCATTCACTATGCTCTTACATGATCTTGATGGACAACTAAATAATCTCTACTCGTGAGTTGTGCCAAAGGTTGTTTTGCTTCTTTCTTCAACTTATTACCGTGTGTTCAGGTTGTACTTGCATATGGTGCTGAAAGTGACAAAGATCTTGGCATTGCAGGTGAGGTATGCCCATTAGAGTTAGATTTTGGTTGCTTCTACTTGTTGGGTTCGCAGCATACCGTATGCTGATGTATAAATTTGGCTTGCTTTGGTAGAATTTGAGTGGTATACACTCCGCAAGAGAATTCGTCTGGTGGTATAATGGGCATCCCGACTACAGCAGCATGAAACCTGACTTGAAAAGGTCTGACAAAGCTGTTATTCTTGGCCAGGTACTGTGATATATATTGTTAAAAGACGCCTTAAATTCTAAGAATCAGATAAATCTACCTTTTGAACAATATAATGCTCTTTTGCAGTTTGCGTATTTCTTTAACTGTATAATACAGCCTGTATTGTATGTTAAAATTGATGTGGAGAGTCTCAAATTATAGATTTTCAGCTGCATTTGTTGTATAGAGAACCATATTATGTATTGCGTTTACATATTAGTTAGTATTAGTGACTTTGCCTAGGGCATATCTGTTGCTTGTTAGCTATCATTACCATGTAATAACAGTTTATAATATTACAGTAAATGCATTTCTCAAGACCTCTCTGACATATGAATCCTTCAATTTTAGGGTAATGTAGCTCTGGACGTTGCTCGGATTCTCTTAAGACCGACAACAGAGTTGGCATCCACTGATATTGCTACACATGCTTTAACTGCGCTGGAAGAAAGTACTATAAGGTTCCATTGAACTAGTTAGATCTTTTTCCATCCTATCTCTCGTAAAGTTGACTTGACCACCAACTGTAGTTCCTGATACAAAGTTGTAACGCGTACAGGAAAGTGTATCTCATTGGAAGACGAGGACCAGTTCAAGCAGCACTGACTGCTAAAGAGCTCCGAGAAGTTCTCGGTATCTTGCATATTTAAATCATATATTGAGCTTTTAATATTTACATTTTTCCGATTGATCACATATATAACTTATTATGCAGGGATTAAGAACTTGCACATTCAAATAAAGGAGACCGACTTGAGTTTAACACCTGCTGATGAGGTACTTGTGTTACCGATTTTTCAAATTTGTCTTTGCTTCTCATGAATAACAAATCCCTTTGTGCTACGTTTATCTTCCCGTATGATATTCTTTTTTTTTCTTTTTTCCAAAGGAAAAAATGAAAAGCAGTAGAGCCAGAAAGAGGATCTATGAATTACTGTCAAAGGCAGCAGCAGCAGCAGCAGGAACATCCGGAGCAAACCGTGATCAACGAGAGCTCCACTTTGTTTTCTTCCGCCAACCTGACCGGTTCTTAGAGTCGGATGAAAGCAAGGGCCATGTTTCCGGTGTAAACTTGGAGAAAACCATTCTTGAAAGTAAGTGCACGTCAAGGTGAAAGTATTTTGTTGTATGCTGGTTTCTTTACTACAAAGTTGTGTAGATTTCCTAGTTCTGCTGTTTGAGACACTAAAAAGTGGATTAGTAAAAGTTCATCCATATCTCTTGCTACTTGTAGGTGTTGGAAGCGGAAAGCAAATTGCAGTTGGTAAAGGAGAGTTTGAGGAACTTAATTGCAGGTAATATGCACTTTAATGAAAGTTTCTCAGTGAACAACATTGAATGAAAGCATGTTGGATTTTTGCAGTATGGTGCTGAAAGCCATTGGTTACAAGTCGGTTCCAATCAACGGTTTACCCTTTGATCACAAGAAAGGTGGTCTAATATGAAATTTTTGTGTGTGATTAAAATGTTTATGAGTAAGAAAACTTCTGACTTTTGTGTACGCCTCAATCTCGTGGTTGAAGGTATTGTCCCGAATGTAAGAGGCCGAGTGGTTAGTGACACGACAGGAGGCATATCAGAGACAGAGCCAGGCTTATACGTATGTGGATGGCTCAAAAGAGGACCAGTAGGCATAATTGCCACAAACCTTTACTGTGCCGAAGAAACGGTAAGCACACCAAACTAAACTTGTCCAGCTAAACACAAAACTGATGTTCTTTAGCTATGAACTGGTGATGAAATTGGGAGATAAAAAAAACGTGTTGCAGGTTGGTAGCATAAGCGAAGACATTGAAGAAAAAGGTGTTTGTAAGAGAGAGAAAACAGGAAGCAAAGGACTGATGCAGTTGCTGGAGCAGAGAAAGGTGAAGACGGTAGACTTTAGTGGGTGGGAGAAAATTGATGCCAAGGAAAAACAAATGGGGAGTGAGAGAAATAAACCCAGAGAAAAATTAGTCACTTGGGAGGATCTTTTTGCAGCAGCCAACTAGGGACTGGGCGCCAAAATATCTTAAACTTAGCATTGATCTGGCTAATATATTATTGATTGAATTATCTCTTTAAATTAGGAAAACTCAGCAGCATTATGTTTGTTGTCTCGCAATATGCATAAGATTAAATCTCGTTTTCTTAAATATCAAATAAAGTTTACAGGTATATAAAAATGTTGCTAAAACAATATAAGAATACTTGTATTGTTGTTTTTGTTTATTTTTTCTTAAATAAAAACATGGATTGTGTGGGTATGAATATGAGAAAAAATTACAATACTGTTCGATAAAAAAACTGAGGATATTATGTGATTAGTTTAGTTGGTATTCAAAATTAAAGTAAATAAGTCAAAAAAGGGGAAATTATCATATTGTCCCAAGTTAATTGAATCCAAAAACCATAAATTTAATTTTTTGCTGTATACTTGTAGAAGCTCTTTTTTTTTGTAATGATAATGTGAACCTTCAACTTCTGCTTTTTGTTTAATTTTAAGGAATGAATTTGCAGTAACAAGAAAAAGTTTACAGAACCTTTAAAAGGGCCTAAAGATCAGTCGTCAATTTTAAGTCTGTGAGAAAATGATGGGCTGAAAAGGGTCTAAGGACCATTTTAGTATAAAACCCATATAATCAGGACTGTGTCACTCGTCAGAGTCGACCAAAGATATAAAACCTATATATAGGGATGATGTCTTTGCACATCCTCTTCTTCTTCATATTGAGCAGATTTTCAATGTTTTTTTTCAGTTCCGATGAAGGGGTCGGTCTTCATATGATCCCCGGCTGTGAAAAACGGTTGCGTTTGCAGGCGATGCGTTCACAGGTGATCCCTAGCTGTGAAAAACGGTTACGTTTGCAGGTGATCCTTGGCTATGAAAAATGGTTGCGTTTGCAGGTGATCCCTGGCTGTGAAAAACGGTTGCGTTTGCAGGTGATGCGTCCACAGGTGATCTCTGGCTGTGAAAAACGGTTGCGTTTGCAGGTGATGCGTCCACAGCTGATCCCAAAAACTGTTTATAAGGATATCAAGCGAAGTCTACTCGAAAAAGTCAACATTGGTCAATTGCAAAACTAACCTCTAAGAAGTCTACATTCAAAGTAGACTTCTCCGAAGAAGTCTACTTTTGTGAGTAGACTTCTTACGAAAAAGTCAAACCTTGGTCAATTGCAAAACTAACCCCTTTTTACGTAGACTTCTTTTGAAGTTTACACTATTTTTTTTGTTGTCAAAGGAAATGGCGCAAACTTCAACTGAAGTCTATTGTCAGAAATTGGTACACTCGGTCAATTACAAAACTAACTTGTGTGTTGACCAGCAGACTTCTTTTGAAGTCTACTACCGACATTAGACTTCTTAAGAAGTCTACTTTCACGGCACAGATCTGAAAACTCACGAAAATTGACTGAAAAATCACCTACCAGTGGTATTTAACTTATTCAACAACCGATTTCTTTGATTCCAGCCACCACCAAACAAGCCCAAACGATTTGCCAGACCAAATCACCAAATATGGCAATATATTGAAACATCAAGTTTCAAAAATTTAGATTAGAGAGTTTTTGTGCTGAAAATGGTGAAAAAATAGAAAAGTAGAAGGTTAAGAGAAGAGGAAATGAGGTTAAAAAGCTAAAAAAAGAGTCTTTGAAGCAATAAAAACTTCAAATTGGTTGAAAATGGTGGTTGAATGAATTGATGGTGATGACATTTTCGTAAAGAAGTGAGGAAGATGAGGATTGTTTGGTAAAATAGATTTTCGAAATAATAATAATAAAATAATAATCTAATGGTATTTTCGTAAATAAATAGAACTGATAATGATATAAATGAGATAAAATGGTTAATTTCAAAAGTGGTAAAATGGGAGGTTAGTTTAGCAATTGACTTAAATTTATGAGTCATTTTTACAAGATTCCCTTAACTAAATGGAACCTAATAACAATTATTTTATTTTATTTGAAAAATCATCTCACTCAAGACTTCAATCTAAGTGTTGCAAAACTAACCACGAAAGAAGTTGCAGAGGAAGAGATTGAGAAGAGTAGAGGAATTAATAAGATCCCTTGTTATATAATCGATGAACTTTAGTTTGGGATATTGATGCTTCTTTTTTTTTGTTATCGTACGTCAAAATTGCTTAATATAAAAAATCAACTTAGCAATTTAATATAAAATCAATAAAATCATCTACAACTTACTATTTTTGAAAGATTTATTTGTACAACTTCAAAGCCACCCATAAGAAGGACAATCTTTCAAAATCATCTTCGGTTGCAATTTTATTTTGAAGGTTTTATTATCATCTTCTGTTATCATAAACAATTTGTCAATCTTTCAGAATCTAATATGCAAAATACAATATGATCTGTTGTTATTTCATACTTTAAATTTTACCATAAAAAAAAGCTTTTCTAGTATCTGAAAAATAAAATAACTCGTGCACGGATTATGAAGGACCTAACTAGATTTTGTATTATTATTCACGGGACCTATATTATTTAAAATAATAATATTATATAATAAGATGCTTTATAGGATAAGTAGGACCTATTTTATTAAGGGACGATTTACTTCTTGTAGCTTCTGACGCCGAATCCTTCTCCTAGGGTTTTCACTCGTCAAGATGTCAGAAGCCAAAATTGAAGAGACAGTTTGCGAAGACAGGATCAGTGCTTTACCCGAAGATTTGCTTGCGGTGATACTTTTGCTTCTTCCGATTAAAGATGCAGTAGTCACCATGATTTTGTCTAAACGATGGCGCTTTATCTGGACGATGTTGCCTAGACTTGAGTACAAAGAAAACAGAGATGGTGATGATTGTTTTCTTGACAAGTATAATGAAAGTGATGATGTTGATGAGAGCAAGAAGAGCATTTGGTGGTTTTTTGAGAAGTCAATGGAACTCCACAAAGCACCTGTCTTAGCAGCCTTGCTTCTCAAGCTTGGTCCAGGATGTCCTAGTGATGCTGATGTCGGAAAGTGGCTTGCAAAGGCTGTTGATCGTCGCGTGGCTGTTCTAAAATTTAAGCTTTGCTGGTCCGCATCTCCAATCAGATTGCCTAAGAGCCTTTACACCTGCGAAACACTCGAGGAACTAACTCTCTCTCACAAGATTCTTGTGCATCTCCCTTCTTCTTGTTGTCTCCCCTCGCTCTTAGTTCTTCATCTTTTACATGTGGTGTATAAAGACGAGGCTTCTCTTGTTAGCTTCTTATCGAGCTGTCCCGTTCTTGAGGTGTTGAGCGTGACACGAAACAAGGATGACAATGTGACAAACTTTAGTGTGAAAGTGCCTTCTTTACTGTACTTATGGTATGACAATTATGGTAGTATTACGCCACTGTCACTTTCATATGACAAGGATGTAGTAGATACCGGTAGGTGTCTGGCTATCGATACTCCGGCATTAGTAGACTTTCGAATCATTGATTATTCAGGAGACTCTTGCTCGACCGAGATGATGCCTTGTTTGGAGTATGCAAATATCGATGTTAGGTCTTTCCCTGATATCGACAATCCCAAAACAACTCTTTCCGCGGTCTTGTCTCTTGAGTTGTTTATGAGCAATCAAGTGGTATAGCTCTCTAACTCTTTATCTATCTAACAAAGCCTGTTCGTTGTGATTACATTGTTGCATCTAATTATGATGTTTTTTTTTTCCTTGCAGCTTGTGCGTTGTACCACCATAAACTTCTCTCGGCTTATAAAGTTAATTATATTTCCACATAGATTAGACTGGTTGAAACCACTCTTACTTTTACTTGAGAATGCTCCAAAACTTAAAGATTTTTTGGTAAATTATGTAAGTGTATATATATATATATCCTCCTCTTCTTTTAGCTTCAATGGACTGAGATACTAGTCCAAATTTGCCTAATATATAGCCATCATTGCTTCTCAGGAATATACCTTTATCCCCCGGGAACGGATCCCACTTTCATGGAACCAACCGAGTTCTGTTCCTGGATGCTTGTCGTCACAACTCGAAAGATTTGAGTTTAGAGAATATGGAAACAGGAAAGAAGAGAAAGAATTCTTCAAATATATCCTAGCTACCTCTAAGTGTCTAAAGACCGCAACACTCTCTCTGAGACCCAGCTGGTTCGATCGTGAAGAGCAAGAGTTGATCATGGAGGAGTTGAAAGGCATTCCTAGGGTTTCAACGACATCTCAGCTTTTGATCCAATGAAATTTTTACTTTGCAATGCTTGGCCTTATAAGGAAGCTGAGTTACGTACTGTGCAAGCTTAGCCTCATATCATATCATGTTTAATTAGTGCAAGTTTAGCCTTCGGAAATAGGAATGTTTCTCAACCCCTAAAAAGCTGCTATTACTATCACATACAAAATGTATGCTTTTTTAACCACTTAAAACGTAATTAAGAAAGCTAGACAAGGTTAATTTAAATCTATTCTCGCTGTATTCCCTCAGTCTCTGCATAACATTGTTTGAAATGAGAATCTTCGGTTGAGTACGGTGGATCAACTTAAATCTTTACAAGTAATCAAAATTATCGTAAGACTTTCGAGTTTAGACTCTCAATCAACATTTATACACATACTCTCAACTCAACAAAATATATAACTGATATAACACACAAAACATATACAGCCTTATAATCTTGTTACAGAATACATGATGTAAGTTTTGATTTACCAGATAAAAAATCTAGCTCAATTTGAACAAAAGTTTCGCTATAGCACACAAGATAAACCATCATTCTTGTTGAAATATAGTTCCGTGGTTCGAACCCCGGCAGCGGATAATATTTTTCGCGCTGAAAATATTTACTTCTGTACGGTTGCAATATACATACAATTGATTTTGTATTTTTGCAGTATATTAAATACATAACATATACATGCATTAAATGCGTTGACTACACACTCGCTAAGTTACAAAGTATGAAGTATGGTCAACCCATTCCAATTATAAGCATATAGTAACTTTATAGATTTTGTTCGAATTTATTTACTTGACAAAAAAAATGCTCATAATTGTTTTGCAAAGGTTTAAAATAATTAAAATTATCTTTTACGCTACAATGACCATGACTCTCAACTTTACGTATATATATATATATATATATATATATATATATACAGCTGACAACACATCTTAATATAAATTTTCTAAGAAAGACAAAATAACTATTTTATTATCATATATGAAGATAAAAATGGTGAGAGAAAAACTTTCGCCTTTAAAATTTCAGTCATGTATTTCATCATTTCACATTCGTTTACGCACATATATATGATTACTATTTTAACTGTTTTTAGGCTTTCGAGTTACTGTTTTGGGTGGTTTTAATAGCATCGTTCTGTTTGCAATACGGAGATGGCCGGATGACTCTAAGCATTACAGATTTTCTATCCGATTCTGACAATACGAACGCTGATCATTCTCAAGTAACTTTTTTTTATATATATAAACTCATTTATTTTCAGCCAAAACCGTGGAAAACAAATAAAATATTATCAACTAAAACATTAATCTTATCGTTTGGTAATAAATAGGCATTTCAAGATGCATGGAAAGCGTTATGCAAAGCAAAAGGGGGAAAGGAGGCACCATCTCTAATAATCCATGCCAATGAAACATATACTGTACGACCACAATTGTTTCAAGGTCCTTGTGTATCTCGTAATCTTCACATTCGGGTATCTGCTAGAAATTAATGTTATAAATCAACTAATTTTTATTTGCAAATTAAATCATCTTGTTGCCTACATATTGTTCACATTTATCATTCATGAATCTCGTGATCCACATGTATTTTTTCTTTTGGGGGCAAGATCGATGGAACAATTGAAGCGCCGAAAACGGTTAGAGAGTGGGGAAGCCAAAGAAGTGAGTATTGGTTATGTTTCGAGAGGGTGACAGGTCTTGTTCTCGATGGATCTGGTCTCCTCAATCCCCATGGTGCAGCTTGGTGGTCTTCTGTTGCAGCCAACTCCCGACCAGAGGTATGTTACGTTACGTTGATTTTAAGATATGCAATCATTAAAACATTTGTTTCGCTTAGTTAATTAAGGGTTGCGATTTATCTTTGCGTATGCAGGCAATGAGATTTTCTGGATGCAAAGATATTATATATAATGGGTTAACTCAACTGGATAGTCCAAAAATTCACATTGCAATTAGTGGTTGCATCAATGCAACTTTATCAAATCTTCATCTAATCGCACCAGCAAACAGTCCAAATACAGATGGCATTGATATCTCTTTTTCACACAATATCCGTATTCTCAGCTCGTCGATCAAAACCGGTATATTATAATCAGTAATTGGAATATGCCGTATATATATACGCATATTGATCACGAGAAAATTTGCGAATTTTCTTATCGTGCCCATATTTATGGATTTCTTCAATCTTTTTAGGTGATGATTGTGTTGCCATTCGAGGTGGCTCGTACGATATCAACGTAACTCGTGTGACATGTGGTCCGGGTCATGGCATAAGGTTCGCATATTTAATAAATTCATATATATGTAAGCTCATTAATTAGGATACGATGTTGTCCTACTATACATGGGATCGAGTGCAAAAGAGAACATCATTGTAAGCTCGCTAATTAGGATAAATAGAGCAATGAATTGAACTGATGGGTTACAAATAATTTAAATATTATTTTCGGCAAAAATAAATAAATTAGTAGTTATTACATTGTGTATTTTGCTTTTACAAAAAAAAAACAGTATAGGAAGTTTGGGGAGAGAAGGAGCCACTGACACGGTACAAAACGTGAATGTAAGACACTGCACTTTCACTGGAACTCAGAATGGTGCAAGAATCAAGACTTGGGATGTAAGTTTTTTTATATATATATATTTTGTGTTTGAAGAATTAGCATAATAGAATTTATAATTTGGTGGATGTTACATGATTTTTTAGGGAGGACGAGGTTTTGCCAAAAATATATTGTACGAGGATATTACGCTGATAAATGCCCAATTCCCAATCATCATCGATCAACATTACTGTAATGGTGGTCACTGTACAACGGTAAAACTTTTAACTTTCCAATCATGTTTTTTTCGATATATTGCCTTAATGCCTTTAGTTATTAAAATCTCATATTCATAAGAAGTATATATATATATACTACGTAGATTAGAAATACAGGTTCTAGTGAGAATTCACATTTGCTTATTTTAGATCAATTTGAGCTTTAAGCCTCGAAATTTGTTAAAAGTAAATAAGATATATCTGTTGTGATATTCTTCAGGCCACTGCTGTGAAAGTGAGCGACGTGACATTTAGATACTTCAAAGGGACATGCGCAGATGCTATTGCAATAAAATTAGACTGTGACCAAAAAGTAGGTTGTGATAACATCGTGATGGAACACATCAATATCACTTCATCAGCTCCAAAAACACCTCTCAGCGCATATTGCCAATTCGCTAATGTAATTAGACGCTTTGTCAACATTCCTATCAGATGTGGTTCTCATAAACTTCTTCAACCTCTTGCACCGTATTCTGATCAGCCTCCATCACCGTATCCTCAACCTCAACCTCCTGCACCGCATGCTCAATCTTCAATGTTCTCTTCTTTTCTATATTTTATGTAAGCCCTTCTTGTAATTAAGTTGGGTCATATATATTACTATGTTGATTGTCGAAATGTGATTTAACAAGTTATTGGAATTGGGTTTCGGTTACGCTCATTTATCCACAGTTTTAGGGGTTTAATTCTAATAATGAACACATTCAAACTGTGAAAATCGAAGAAAAGAAAACTAAATAATGTCAACTGAATATCCAATATATAAATATATAGGATCCACAAGTGTACGTAGCCCATAAAAAAAGAATTACATACACACACAAGAATCATAGATAAGAAGAAGTTTGTTTGGAATAAAGTCTGTTTCGAGAGCCTTTGACTGCATATTTGAAAATATGGCAATAATAAAAATAGGGAACCCAAAAATATATAGATATTATGGCACTACATCAAAAGTACTAAAACTATTGTCATACGTACTATACATAAAAAGTCTATTGCCACATTCTGACTTTTATACTGCGGCAGCTTTGTAAATATCACTTGTGTTGTTGGTCAGCTGTATTATTCATAACCTTCACAGGTTTTGTTTTAAAAAAAAACGAACATTTAAAGGTGTGAATTAATAACGTAAAAAAAAACTTTATGCTAGTCAATGACGTAGTAGTTAAAAAAAAACGAACATTTTATGTAAGCCCTTCTTGTAATTAAGTTGGGTCATATTACTACAACGTCATTGACTAGCAATAACTTTATTTTGATCATATTATTGATAGAGACCACATCACATCCAGTGAGCCACAAAAAAAGGTTACATCTAAATTGAAAATTATTGACATCAACAAATAATGTACTAAACAGGAAATTTTACTAATTTTGATAGGTTGGTTCAGTATGCAAACATATTTAGTCTGAACTCAAAAATCAAAATTCATTAAATTTGGTTACTTGTGCAAGCAAATTTTTTAAATAATAGAATGCTAACAAGAATCATCAATCGAAACAACCATGCATGGTTACAAAAAGAGAAAACACACGTAATGATCATCATGAATACACATATAGCTTAGAAATCAACCACTACAAAATTCTTAGTGGCAATTGTAGATTTCGAAACTAGTCTGATTTTGATCTTAAATTTCCGGTTATTTATGGTCAGACTCCGGTTATATTACTATCAATGGTAAGAGTGAATAAACATTTTTCATACATTGGAAAATTAATAATAGCGAGGAAATATGTAGTGGGCCATAACGTAAGCCCAATAATCAATTAATAAAGCCCCTATAAGCCACGTAGCATAGCACAGTCACGCCAAACCCTCTCGCTAGACACACCAAAAGACTCTCTCAAAATTAAAAACACCACAATACACTGCGCTTTTATCCTGCGCCCCTCCCCCGACGCTATCCTGCGCACCTCCTCCGTCCTCCTCCTCCGCCGAAGCCACCATGGGAAAAGGCGGCGCTCTTAGCGATGGAGTCATCAAGAAGATCGTCCTCTCCTACACCTACGTGGCGATCTGGATCTTCCTGAGCTTCACGGTCATCGTCTACAACAAGTACATCCTCGACAAGAAGATGTACAATTGGCCTTTCCCGATCACACTCACCATGATCCACATGGCCTTCTGCTCCTCCCTCGCCGTCCTCCTCATCAAGGTCTTCAAGGTCGTCGAGCCGGTTTCAATGTCCCGAGAGACGTACATCAGATCTGTGGTCCCGATCGGCGCGCTGTACTCGCTCTCCCTCTGGCTCTCCAATTCCGCCTACATCTACCTCTCCGTCTCCTTCATCCAGATGCTCAAAGCCCTAATGCCGGTCGCCGTTTACTCGATCGGAGTCCTCCTCAAGAAGGAATCGTTCAAATCGGAGACAATGACGAACATGCTCTCGATCTCTTTCGGTGTCGCGATCGCTGCCTACGGCGAGGCCAAGTTCGACACTTGGGGGGTGATGCTCCAGCTCGGCGCCGTCGCTTTCGAGGCAACGAGGTTGGTTTTGATCCAGATCTTGCTCACTTCTAAAGGAATCAACCTTAACCCCATCACTTCCCTGTATTACGTTGCTCCCTGCTGTTTGGCTTTCCTCTTCTTCCCCTGGATCTTTGTAGAGCTCCCGATCCTCAGGGAAACCTCGAGTTTCCATTTCGATTTCATGGTTTTCGGGACAAACTCTGTATGTGCATTCGCTCTGAACCTCGCCGTGTTCCTCCTCGTTGGGAAAACCTCGGCGTTAACCATGAATGTGGCTGGTGTGGTGAAGGACTGGCTCTTGATTGCATTCTCCTGGTCCGTGATCAAAGACACAGTCACTCCGCTCAATCTCTTTGGCTACGGGCTTGCGTTTCTGGGCGTTGCCTATTACAATCACTGCAAGCTGCAGGCGTTGAAGGCCAAGGATACTCAGAAGAAGGTTCAGCAAAGTGATGAGGAAGCTGCTGGGAAGCTTTTGGAAGAGAGGGAAAGTGAAAGTGCTGGAAAACGGGATGAAGCCGAAGACTGATTTGATGATTGTAGTAAAGGTTTGTGAATCTGATGAGTGTGTGAAACTTCAGAGGAGTAATAAGAGCTGAAGGGGTTAGGATGATTTTGGTAGCTTTGGAGGGGGTTTTCAGCAGGATTTTGCGCATCTTCGGATTCACTACTTTGCTTCATCCTTTAATTTTTTTAGGTATGATCGTCTTCGTCTTATCATTCTCTGTTTTTTTTTTTGAGTTTTAGTTTGCTAAATTACTTAAGTTATGGTTAATTAGTATTTACATAGTGATTTGATGGTACAATGTCGTGGTGATGCTATACCACACGAACCTTGTGTTGTTCTATGGAGTTTATTTTTCTTGTCCTATTTATTTTCTTCCTTATGAATCTACTATGTCGGTGACAGTTGTTTAAGCAGTTTACTTTGTAATGCCAGTGAGATCATGTTTTGGTTCTTAGTTATTGTGCAAGATAAAGATGTTAAAAGCTTGGTCGTATCAAATATGCTCTTCGTGTTGCTGTCTACATGAACTCGTACTGTTTTGCACCCATATCGTATCAAGTCGTCTTTTGTACTAGCAAGTACGAAAGAGTTTTGAAGCTGTTAGTAAAACAAAAAAAATATATACGAAAGATTTTGAGTCGACTCCGACAAATATTAAAAAAGACGATTTTTGTCAAACGAGAATTTGTCTATTTGATGATATATATATTGAAAGTGTGGTAACTTGAGGGGTTAATTTGGGAGAGATCAATAATAACGCATTAATGATAAAATAATTTAGTTCATCTCTCTATAATGCTTCACATGATAATTGATCAACACAAGTAAAGCAAACAAATGATGCTTTAATAAAGCGTCTCGTTGCTTAACATTACACAGACAACAGTAACATGCTCTTTACTTCAATGATATTTAAAACATAAAGCCTCCACTGACCATATTGTATCACCAATACGTAGGAGCGACACAACTGCATAAAGGCTTTCGTCTAATATTATTTGCTTGAACATAAGAAACAAAGCATAACAAAGAAGCAAACGGTAGATGTGGATCTAATTAACTGTTAACTGTTTCCACGCAACATTTTGTGTTAGTTGATTGAAATGTGTCTTACCGGCTCTTCTTTTGAGAGTATAGAACAAATTCTAAGTGACCATAAACTTCTCAGTATTTTCTTCAAAAATGTTTGATATTTAATAACAAAAGGGCCTATAAATTGTAGTATTTTTTTTCAGAATAAAACCTGAGTCTAGTTTAGCTTTTAAAAAATTCCTTCATAGTTTGTAGAATTTCAATTAGATTACAAATTTGATGGATTCTTTTTATTTTAATTCAGGTCGATTGAGTTTCGGTTAAGTTTGTTCATATCAGAACAAATACAAAACCGAGACACTTCTTCTATGGCTTTACGCCTCTACATTGTAATGTCGGCAATTATTTCGTGGGGTTGCATTCCAAATTTCCAATTCCAGATATCAATATTTTATCATATAAAATAAAATTCGAAAATTTAATTAAAAAGAAAAAAGGCAAAATTATCTGCCAAAAGAAAACCTAATCGCAGTCTAAGTCCCACCCACTGAGTCCACCCACCTACCCACCCAAAAAGGGCAAAAACCAGCAGCTATACTTGTTACTGGTTAAAGCCCTAAGCTCAACGAAGGAGACGACCCATTGACTGTGAGAGAGAGACACACAGCAGATTCTCTCTCTCTCTCTCTCTCTCTCTCTCTCTCTCTCTCTCTCTCTCTCTCTCCCCCTCGTCACACCCATCTTCGGAAATTTCATTCCTTCCATTTTGTGGGTCCTTCCATCAGCATCAGAAATGGGGAAAACCGGAATCCAGCTGTTCGACGATTCGAGGAATGGGTTTTTCTCCGTTTCCGATTTAGGATGCGATTGGAGCCTAAACAGCGCCAATTACCACCCAGTTGGTGGGTTATTCGCGAGCGTTAATCAAACTAATCCACTGGGATCCCTCTCGTCTCCGAACAGAGTCGACGACAGCTTCTCTTCCCAGCTCAGTGACAAAGAAGTTACTGGTGAGAAGAAGAAGAAAGGTGGGCTGAAACTGAAGATAAAGATCGCTAATCCTACTTTGCGGCGTCTATTCAGCGGAGCCATGGCCGGAGCCGTCTCGAGAACGGTGGTTGCGCCGCTGGAGACGATCAGGACGCATCTAATGGTGGGAAGTGGAGGGAGCTCCTCAACCGAAGTGTTCGGTGATATCATGAAGCATGAAGGTTGGACTGGTCTCTTCAGGGGCAATTTGGTCAATGTCATTCGCGTCGCACCTGCTCGAGCCGTCGAGGTACTTACCAGTTACCACAATCATGATGAATCAAACCAATAATGTCTTTGTTGGAAATCGAAATGCAAGTTTTTGAGTTTGTGAGATTTTGGTGAAGATGTTTGTGACCATTTGCTCCTTTGTACTAATAAAATGTTGTTGACATTTATCTGTGAAAAGTCTAATGTTGGTTGAAAGTTGGCACTTGGAACTGTCTTGTGCCAAAGATGATGAGCCTTTGGTTCTCTTTTCTTTTATAGAAAAATGTTGACTTTTTCTGCTTTTCAATTCTTGAATGTGCAGCTTTTTGTGTTCGAGACAGTAAACAAGAAATTATCACCAGAAAATGGAGAGCAGTCAAAAATCCCAATCCCAGCGTCACTACTCGCCGGTGCTTGTGCTGGAGTTAGCCAAACCCTCTTGACATACCCTCTCGAACTAATCAAGACTCGTCTTACAATTCAGGTTTGGCTCCTCTCCCTTCTACAAAAATAGCAAACTGTTATTCTATTTATATCACACTCTGTGAGGTATAAATAGGTCTGAAGGATTCGAGGTCTTAGAACATGTAAAGCGTTGTTTTGACAAGAATTCAGTCAGCTATTGTCAAAATGGGGTTTGGACTGGTACAGTTTTTGAATATGTCTTTGAAACTAATTGCAGAGGGGTGTTTACAAGGGGATTTTCGATGCGTTTGTCAAAATTATACGCGAGGAAGGACCCACAGAACTCTACAGGGGTCTTGCTCCTAGTCTCATTGGAGTTGTTCCGTACGCAGCTACAAACTATTTTGCGTACGATTCCTTAAGAAAAGCATACAGGAGTGTTTCAAAGCAAGAGAAGATTGGAAACATTGAGACTCTTCTGATCGGTTCTTTAGCTGGTGCACTATCGAGCACCGCCACTTTCCCTCTTGAAGTGGCGCGGAAGCACATGCAGGTGGGAGCGGTTAGCGGGAGAGTTGTGTACAAGAACATGCTGGACGCTCTGGTGAGCATACTTGAGCACGAAGGTATTCTCGGTTGGTACAAAGGGCTTGGACCTAGCTGCCTGAAGTTGGTTCCTGCTGCTGGAATCTCCTTCATGTGTTATGAAGCTTGCAAGAAGATACTCGTTGAGAACAATCACCAAGAAGCCTGATTTTGGGACTGTAATGGCCGTTTTCGGGGTTTGATCAGAGAAACACGAATACACGATATTAGGATTCATAGTTCTAAATTTATGCACCACTTGAGAGATTTCACAAATTAATGTTGAGGGGATTCCAAAAGATTCATTCTTTGTTTATTTTTCCGTTTATGTTGTTGGATTCATGGTTTGGTCTGATTCTAGACAGATAAGCTATAAGAGATTACACAATTTTCAAAAAAAGTTGTGATTTTTAACTTCCACACTGTGAGACAATTGATGTGTCATTCTATTTCTACTAATTGGTGGCAAAACAAGAGGGTAAATTCACTGCAAGACATATCAGCAACTAAAGACATGAGAAAAGCTGAAGCAAAACACAAACAGAGTCCTCAAGAATTCTTCAACTCTAGCTCTAGTTTTCGGTGTCAATAGCTTCTTCCCGTGTAGCAGCAATCAATTCATCGAATTTCGCAGACTTCTCCAGTACAATCTCGATCTGGTCAAAAAGAGGAGAATGACTTAAAGGTATAATTGTTGCCAAGTGTGAATCAAATGCAAATGCATACTCTAGTTCATGTGGCCAAATACACACGCAAATACCTTAGATTTCTGAACAGGTCGTCCAATCTCCTCAGTCAAGTCCACCATTGAAGTCATAATGCCTGACCATTGGACCAATGTAGAAAAGTTAAGCTCTCAACGATTTGGGGATCAAAGACAGCTATTTATAGAAACATGCGAGGAGAACTGTAAACTGCCTTACTCTTCTCAACTGCAAGTCCATTGCTCTTGAGAATTTCAGCAATGGTGACAACTGTAGCAATTGCTGAAGATAAGAAGAAAAAAAACCAAAAGTATGTTAAAGCAGCTATTCAATATCAATGGATTTGTTTTTTTCATTGTGAGAGAGTGTAGGAATGGAATACCCATCCCAAGAGCTGAAAGTTCGACTTCGCTTTGCTGCTGCATAAATCTCTGTTGAAACACATAACCATAGAACAAAGAGAAAAAGACAAATTGTTATACATTTTGTCACTATATATCGTTACTTGATTATCGTATATTTAGATAAGAAACGAACCAGCTCCCAGAAACCAAGTAAAAATCACACTTTCTTTCTTTCCCTCTGATAAAATTAAGAGCATCTCAAATAACATTTGCAACTTCCAAGTGCTAAGCATTACTTTCAAAACTTAAAGAAAAAATTATAGTTTATCCCAAAATGTAAGAATCCTTGAGAAACAGACCCACTAAGCTTAACACCATATGTTTTGAAACAACCATTGAATCGGTGAAACCAGCAAACAGAACTCAGAAGTTTCAGAGATCCACGCTACACTCTAACAAAATGCACAAAACAGAAGACGAACAACTTCTCTCCATGTAACGTGTAGTTTCTAGTATCATCTACATTCTACAAGCCCAAACACATTTGTTCATAAACCCTAATTATTTGACCCATCAAGTCCAATCTAGAGAGAGAGAGAGAGAGAGAAACCCCAAAAATAACAGAGTAGTACTACCTTGGCGAGATTAACGTAGAAGAAAATGGGTTTCTTAGTGTTGGAGACTTGAATTCGATTCTTCTTTGAAACATCATCAGCAATGCTAAGCTTCTGCATTCCATCGACCATAGCCGCCATTGTTACAGCTTCTGAAGCAAACAGATTAAAAGAGGAACCCTAGAGCTTTGTATGTCTTCAAAAGGTTTTAGCTTTTATAGATATGATAGAAGAAAGTCGCTTTAATTTCAGGAAAATTTGATACTTTTACGTAAAACATTGTTTTGTTTTGTTCTACTTTTAATTATTTAGTTTCTGAAATAATTGTAGTAATCAAATTCAAGGGGACTTTTTAACCAAATCTCACTGAACATTATCTATGACATTCATCAGATCATAAAATTTTGAACAAAGCGTTTGTATTAACGTGAAAAGCTTTAGCATATATATAAACTCCAATAACCTTAGGACAACAACAAACATTACAAAAGTGTGAGTCTAACAAGGTGAAGCAAAATAAATATGTAAAAAAAGAATAAGAAATACGTTTTGTAGACATCCCTCTATGTATCACCATTTGGTCTTCCCCACTGGAAAAGCTATAATATATCAAAAGAGATAAAACATCACAACAGTGACACCTACCAACAATTTCACAACTCTCCGGCTACTCGGAGAAAGCTAATCTTGGACATTGAATCACCATAACCGCCCGGTTCACTGGGTTTTGGGGTTTAGAGGATTTGGAATGTCTCATTGCGCGTTTTCGATATATGCACACACATGTATATAATAAAGTAGTGTCTAAAAGACGCCTCCTTTGCCATTGAAATTGTTGGCATTGGGAGTGATGGAGACAAAGGGATTGATCCTGACCCAAAGCAACGAAAAGATGGAGGCGAGAAGAACAGACCAGACAATGACGATGGTTGGCGTTCGGTTCTGTCTTCCCAACAGACCTTTCAAGAAAGGGTAGAGATGGGCAATGACCCACAAGGCGAAGAAAAGCTTCCCGAAGAGCGGTCCCCACGATTGGTACCCACTGTTTACAGCATAAGAGACACCAGCGACAATGCCGATGAGGTTCACAAGTAGGACGGTGGTTGGTGGGATGAGAAGAGCTGTCCATTTGAAGATGTAAAGCTCTGCGAAATCCCCATCTTCGTCCGAGGCTTTGGATGTGACAGTGAAGTTAGTGTCGATACCCGCAAGAACCTTGAGTAGACCTTGGAAGACTGCAAAAAGATGAGCGGATGTGCCACCGATGACCCAGAACTGCTCGTTCCTCCACCAGTCCTCAATGCTCACACCGCTCCATCTCAGCTCCAGGATTCCAGTCACAGCAATCGAGATGAAGAGTAGAATGAACCAAATACTCGCGTAGTTGCTTATCTGCAACAATGTTATTATACCTTTCAGAAACGAGATGATGAAGATTGAAAGAAACGCTTTCACAGGATAGGATTGAAAAAAGTAACTAGGGAGCGTGCTCGGTGTAACGAACCTCAGGAATGATGAACCTATCGGTGATGAGGCAAAAAGCGGGAAGGATACAATAGGCGATGAGAGGGATGGCTGTGATAGGGTAGACAATGGTGTTGATGTAAGCGAGTCTCTCCAAAAGCTTCAACCTTCCGGTGTAGCCATACCAGATAGGGCAATGTCTGCTCAGAAGAATCTCGATAGATCCCAATGCCCATCGAAGAACTTGGTTCAAACGATCAGAAAGATTGATTGGTGCAGATCCCTTGAACGCAGGGCGTGGAGGATTGCAGTAGATTGACATCCAACCCCGGGCATGCATCTTGAACCCAGTAAGAATATCTTCTGTCACGGAACCGTAGATCCAACCAATCTAACAAAAATGCCAAATAAGATGCCATCAGAGAGGTGAAAAAGAGAACAGAAGAAGAGCCTGTGGCTGCATTTGAAAACTGACCTCTTTTCCCCACTCAGTCTTGTCCTCATAACCACAGCTTATAACATGAATAGCCTCCTTGAGAAGAGTAGCGGGATTGGTTGTTGGTGGAATACCACCTTGTTCCATGAAGGTGGCCGCAATAAATACTGGTGATTGACCAAAACGCTTCTCTACACTCTTTTGGGACATCAGAATAGACCTCTCATCATCATATCCTGCATAAACAAGACTTGTCAGATTATACCGTCCTACGAAGAATAGTTGTTATTACACTACAAGCTCAATCGAACCTTCAAAACCCTCCTCGATATCTTCCATATTGAAAAGTGGAGCATTGGAGTCACTTCTGTTGATGCCTCTTCTTTTCTGATCATAATTATATTTCTTGCTATTCTTTCCTTTCTTCCTTGAGCCGCAACAGCTCTTCACAATAATATTTGGTTCTAAGTCTTCCTCCGTCAAAACAGGATCATACCCATATAGAGCTTGCCTATTGAAACAACAACCAGTACCCACATATACTGGACCTTGGATACCATCCAACCCCTTCAAGTTAATCTGCCCAAGATAACAAATATAAGAGTCAGCACAATCAGACACGAGTAAATCCAACATAAATATGAACGTTGGTGGTGTGAATAAGGGAGTGAAACTCACATCAAAGAAGACAATATTCCTGTTGGCGTATCGATCGTGCAAGTCAATACCGTCAAAACGTTGTGGGAACTGGACATAGCAGCACTTCTTTCCATAAGCAGGGTCCATCATGAAACACATGGCTTCTTTAATAGCCTTGCTGTTGTTGAAGTAATGATCACAATCGACGTTTAAAAGATATGCTCCATTGGTAAGAACAGCGGAAACACGGATCTGTCAATGTAAAGAGAAGCTAAATCAGGAGATATCACATTTTACTAGACGAAAGAATATGTAGCGACGGCTGTACAAGTAGAAAGTTTCCTAGGTACTGAACAAGAGAAGAAAATAGAGGACACAGTAGATTTTAGAGAGCTAACAAACCAAGGCATTCATAGCTCCAGCTTTTTTGTGATGTTGAAATCCAGGCCGCTTCTCACGAGAAACATAGATGAGCCTAGGCAGCTCATTTCCATCGGTATCCAGACCCCCACTATGGCCTAAGAACACCTGAAATTGAAACAAAACGATGTAGCATTTACAAAATGTCCTGAAATTGTAGCCTTTTCGTTACTCTCTCTATTAAAATCAAAGGGATTGCCTCACGTACCTGAATCATTCCAGGGTGATCTCTAGTGTTGTTACCAGGCCAGGGAGTACCATCCTGCATTGTCCAGCCTTCTTCAGGGATTTTCTGTGCTTTAGCAACAAGTGCATTGATCCTCACCTTAAACTCCTCATACTCCCTCTGTCATTACAAGCCAAGGAAAAATTCTGAGTCAGTCTCTAGTTTTCCTAATGGATAATAAGCAGATGGACTTTTCAAATAACCTTCATAGCACGTCGCTCTTTAACAAAAGAAGGCTGGATCTTGTCCTTCAAGTAATCGATCTTCTGAGCAAAGTAAAATTCAGGGGCCCTGGGTTCAATGTTGAACTTCTTGCAAAATGGTACCCATTTCTTTGCAAACTCAGCAGTTTCAGAAAGGGACTCGAACGTAAGCATAGCTGAACCATCATCTGAAACGTAACAGGCTACTTTATCTACCGGGTAGTCCACAGCAAGAATTGAGAGAACAGTGTTTGCTGTTACAAGAGGAGGCTCTTTCAGTGGGTCCACCGTACTAACAAACACATCAACAGGAGTTAGCTGTGATGGTTCACCGTCTCGATCAAATCTACAATAAGAAAACCAAAATATAATCAGTATACAAGCTAAGCTCTATTCTCAACAAGCACTACATTACGAATGATTTTCATAAAATAGTCTGAAGCTTCACATATAATGTAAATCAGAGAAGGTATCTTAATACTAAATTTTAAGATTAACTGTTAATCACAACTTTCTTAAACGATATTGGCATGCACCATTGTCTAGTATAGCATTAAATTTACAAGGGAACGTCAACTATCCAGTATTAATTTAGTACCCCCAAAAAATGATATAAGAGTAAAATGATATTAAAGACCAACCTTATAGCGAGACGGTCAAGATAAGTCTCCCTGTTAATGGGGTACCATTTGGGAAACTGATCAAGAAGCCAGGAAAATGCAAACCAGATCTCACAAATAACCGAGGTCAGCCACAATGGATATGCGTTTTTCACTGGGTGAGTTGTCCGATATTGCAAGAAGAATCCCAAAATGATAAGCCGGAGAATAATCACAACCCGATAAGGTGTCAGATGAGAAGACGGGATAGGCACAATACGACTCATAGGAAGCCGCGTATCATCAGCCCTGTAGTACGAGATCCATAATTGAGTGGAAGGAAACAAAAATGAAACTCAAAGATGAATAACGTCTATAAGAACCTTACAAAGCACATTGCAAAAATGAACGAAACTAGAGCATATAAAAGCAAGAAAGGTACTGTGTCTAGTATTACAACTTACATTTGGAGTTCTTCGCCATTGGAACCAGTCCCTTCGATTTCTCCTCCTTTCCCTTCATGGTATTTACCAGTCATCTGTAGCATGTTCTTCTCCTGCTTCAGCTTCCAGCCTTCAACCCTTTCTTTCCAGTCCACATTTCCAAGTCCATAAGAGTTCAAGTCTTTTGACGGGTCCACGATTCTTACAGGAACTGCAATTTTCAGCTGGAGCTATCAGTTACGGAACATGAAAAAAGTTGTAAAAATGAATATGAATTACATATAACAAAGGACTGGTGCACAAAGCAAAAATATATGAATACCAGGTTGTCGTGGGTCAATATATGGTGAAGAAATAGCATTCCTGTCAGTAGGCCCTAAAGGACCTGATGTAGTTCGCACAGACTGTGTATCAGGCGTGCGAATTTCCCCAGAAACCTGTGTATGGAAAAAGGTCAAGTATCTACTGATAACAGACACAACTAATAACAGAAATTATTATTTCTGAATTTGGAAGATCATGTATTATCAGAAAAAATTTGCTGTTAAGATTGTTCACATAAAGCATTGACGTGAAAAGCAAACAAAAAAAAAGAGTCGAATCTACAGATTCTTGAGTAATAGCGACAATGTAGGTCCCTACCGTATGGCCATGTGTGAGAAGAGGAATTGGTTGAGATTCATGTCTAGAGGAAGACGAAAACTCTTCACCATGGCGTTGGTGTCTCCCCTTGTTAGCTCCCTGAGTGTAATTGAACTCATTCTCGATATCATCAACATCATCCTCATCTTCATCTCCTTCAACACGAGGAGTCCCTGCAACATTCAAAAAGTTAATACAACACATCAGCAATGAAGACTAAACAGAAAAATCCATACACAAAAAAAGAAAAGAAAAAGACTACTGTACTGACCTCTGTGCCGTCTGTATCTAGTCTTGCATTGCGGGCAGCACTGAGTTCCATCTTTCCTCTCGTACTCATAGCAAGGCCGACACACCGGGAAGGCACATTCATTGCAAGCCACAAAGACATCGCTGGTTTCAGCGAGCCCGACATCATCACCACAGATCTGGCATATCTGCCCATTCGTATTCTTCAAAGGTTTTGTCTGCAGTTACACCAACGTTGCATCATCGTTAGTCATCGAGTATTTAGACACTACTGGAACAGAACAGTATGGATCTAAATCAAAACAATTAACAAGAAATGAAGCAGTAGGAAAACCCTAGAAATAACATAATTGAAGAAAACAAATTACTATTAAATAACTCCTAAACGTCTCCGGCATCAAGAACCATCTCCAAATCGATACCGATCTGGATCAAGGCGGAGTCACAGTCATGGCATAGTAACAATACAGGAAATGTGGCCCAAGCGGGATCTAACGAGATCTAGATGAGCTAGAATTGATAAGTAAAGTACTGAACTTTTGAGAGCCAATGATTTATCTAAGAAGCTGACGAATTAAATACTCAGATCAAGAACCTAAACTGAAATCCCACTGACACTTTCCTTATATGAAGAAAAACAGAAAAGATGCGGCATGACATTAATTTCACAGATCCGGAAAATGATCAGTAATCACAACAACTGAAGTCTGGGAGCAGAAAAGTTTCCATTTTTAGCCACTTGAGACTAACCAACTACACACTATCATGAGTGAAATCTCCGTGGGAGATCGGAATCTGAGTTTCTATGATCCCATCTTGGATCCACAAGACATTAAATTAGGAAAATGGAGAATTCATGATGAGATCTACACATCCAAAATCAATCAGAAACAACAAATGAACCAAAGAAGAAAAACTAAAAAGGCAAAAGATGAAACGAACCCCGCCGTCAGATTCGTGTCGGATCCGAACGAGCTCATTTCTCCGGTAGGATCCGGCAACCAAGCCGGAACTGGGCTCCATCGCTGATGAGTGAGGTCAACGAGCCACCGACACAGAGAGGGAGAGAGATTTACAAATTCGGTTTGGAAATCCTTCGCCGATTCAATACGGCATCTCCAAAACCCTCTCCACCAAAAGATGTTCACACTGACACTCTCTCTCTCTCTCTTTAAGCTCTTTCTCTGATCTCAAACAATCTGCTTTGCCTATTTTATCGCAGTGTCTTTCTTCTTTTTCCTTATTTTTAAAATGACAAGTAGATATTTCACCGACGGAGACGGTAGCCTCTTCTTCTTCTCCCACTGTTTGGCTCGGCTCGACTCAACTCGGCTAACGTCGTCTCCTTGCTTTCAAAGCCGACCCGTTAGCTTCCCCACTAGACGCGCCAGCTAGTATCATACGTGACGTGGCCAAATCTCATTGTAAGAAAGAGACAGGACAAAACAAACAAATTATCATTGTTGATTTATTATAATATTAAAATATAGAAGCCACGTTGTTCGCTGGTAACAGCCTGTTTCTCTTATTTGCTATCAGCTTGTCGGTGGACACAATTGCTCTCTTTAGAAGTTCCGGGGGGAATTTGCAACCTTCTAAAAATAATATTTTGTGACTAGAACCAGTTTTATAAAGAGATGATATAATCCAAGAAAAATATGAACCAAAACCAACTCCACAACGAATAATGGAAGTTAACATTTGTCGGCAAGTTTGCCAAAAAAGAAAAATAGGATTTGTCGGCAAACATCAACAGAAAGTTATAACAATGATGGAGCAACAAACATATCTAGATGACACCTGCAAGACAATGCAGATGTTCTACAGAAGTAACTATTTAAGTCTCTTTACCATCTCTTCTTCAGTAAAAGAACCAAGACTTGGGGGTTGTCAATCATAAGCTACTAATCGGTTTTTCCCACTTGAGCTATTATCTGAGGATGACGAACTTGATTTCGATGGAGACCTTGCCTTGGATGGTGATCTTGACACCGATCTTGCTTTCCCTGTCCCAACGGGAGATTTTGAATTTGACATTGATCTTGATCTCGACCTCGACCTCGACCTCGACGGACTCAGGCTGCGGCTAGCAGCGGATGGTGACCTTCTTCTCTTTGTATATGGTGAACGGCTTCGGATAGGGCTGCGGCTGTAACGCCGGCGATTACGGGGACCAGGCGATACAGAGGGGCTTCTTCTTCTTCTATACCTGAGAGTACTTTTCGAATTGTGAAATCAACAACTTATTTTATTTGAACCGCCAAATTTGGTTCTCTCTATTCATGAGACTTTTTAACGTCAAGGACACGTAGTAACGAATGCACAAAAGAGAAAAAAGTAAAGTACCTTGGAGGCGTTCTTGCTCTGAATGGGCTTCTAAAACGTCTTGGCGAGTACCTTCTGTGACTTCGAAATCTACAGAAAAGACCGTTGTGAAAAAAGGTCAGCATGAGAGTGGAGGAGTGTGTGTAACAGAAAAGGGAGTTCGATTGAGTGCGGGCTATTCACCTGTCACGGTCAATTCTATCACTAAAGCGGTAAGGAGATCGATCAGGAGATGGAGAGGTTCTGTATCTACGAGCGTAAGAGTATCTCTGGCTAAATCCTCTCCCTCTCCTGATGCGCCCATCAGGAGAAGCACTTCTTGACAAACTTCTTCTACGTTCATAAGGAGGAGATCTAGGCCGGGGACTCCTTCTCCTCACATGAATTGGACTTCTACTAATTCTTCTTCTTCCTCTAACAGGGCTCCTGCTGATACTTCTCCTGGATGATCGAATTGGACTCCTGCTGATACTTCTCCTGGATGATCGAATCGGACTCCTGCTCACACTCTTCCTAGATGATCGGACTGGGCTCCTGCTCACTGATCTCCTAGGTGATATAATGGGACTCCTGCTCAGGCGTCTTCTAGATAATCGAATGGGACTACGGCTCACGCTTCTTTTAGATAATCGAATGGGACTACGGCTCACGCTTCTTCTAGAAGACCGAGCTGGAGTTCTGCGAGGTGATCTTCTTGATGATCTTCTAAGTGGGCCCTTCCCAAGACTGCCGCGAGATGCAGATCTTACAGGGCTCCTGCTAGGGCTCCTGCTAGGGCTTTTGGCATTTCTACTTCTCACTGGACTTCTGCTAATACCTTTTTTGGGGCTCCTCAATGGACTTCTGCTTATACTCCTTGAAGATCTTACAGGGCTCCTGCTAATACCTTTTTTAGGGCTCCTCAATGGACTTCTGCTTATACTCCTTGAAGATCTTACAGGGCTCCTGCTAGGGCTTTTGGCATTTCTACTTCTCACTGGACTTCTGCTAATAGCTCTTTCAGGGCTCGTCAATGGACTTTTGCTTATACTCCTTGAATATCTTACAGGGCTCCTGCTAGGGCTTTTGGCATTTCTTATTCTCACTGGACTTCTGCTAATACCTCTTTTAGGGATCCTCAACGGACTTCTGCTTATACTCCTTGAAGGACTTCTACTAATATCTCTTCTCCTTTTTACTCGCACAGGACTTCTACTAACACTTTCCGAAGGGCTCCTCCTAATATGCCTGCCTTTCTCCTCACTCCCTGGGCTATCGCTTCTACTGTTTGTCATGTTCTTCACTTGGCGGCTACCTTTAGCAGGACTTCTGCCCACATTCCGTCTAGGACTTAAACTCGGGCTTTTACTCTGACTCCTCCAGGGACTAATACTTGTGCTCTTACTTGCCTTCCTCTTAGGACTCAAGCTCCAGCTCCTGCACATCAATTTTTTTAATAAAGATTCCTTGTGGGAGAAGAGAAAGATAACCTATTATCTGAGGTGTTGAGATATTGGAAACTAGACCTAGATTTGCCAGGATGATCATCGACAATATCAGGTTGCCTATCAGAAATGTGTCCTGATGCACCATCATCCTTGTCAAGCAAATCCGGCCCATCCCTTTTGTCCTGGTGAAGTGATTCAGCTTCTTTTTCTACCTCTGGTGGAGAATGACCTGATGGAATATTGCAGTTAAAAACAGAATGTGTTCGAAAGTATTATTAGGAGGAAAAAAATTAATCAACTCCATACTTAAAAGGAAAGGCATATTGATACTGAAATATGTTAATGATCAAATGGCACCCAAAGCATCCTATCACATCCATTGGACAGGCCGGAGAAATTGATGTTTGCGGAAACAGAAGTCAAAAGTCTTGAGTTTTAGAGATTACCTGTTCTATTCGAGACTCTGGGTTTCCTCTTTTTTGCCCCGGTGTCACCATTGGCATCACTAAAATTTGCTTCACTTTCACTGTTGCCTTCTTCACCTGTAAGGCTGTCTGGGGACCTGAAAGGTTGCAGAACACAAATGAATAATTCTGACACACAAAAGACATAGTGAAGCACAAACGATTGTCAGAATGTCTATCCAATCATAACACTACTTCTTTCCTTTTTTGGTCAAAACCCCACTACTTAGAACTGTAATTCTATTAAATAACATGGTATTCTCTTAAGCAGCAACCGCATTGACACGGAAACGATAGTTCTAAACAAGTGAAGTGTACAAGAGTTGCAAACCTTCTTGATTTGCGTTTTGATCTCTTATCGCGCATCCTTCGCTTTTTCTCATGGCGCTTATCTCTTTGTTTCGACCGCCTGTGCTTATCTTTCTTTGAACTTCTTTTTCTTTTCTTCCGCCGTTCATGGCTCGAGGAACTAAGGTCCGAAGATGAAGACGAATCTGAATCTGACTCACTATCAGAATCTGAAGAATCCGTCTCAGAATCTGAAGAGCTTTCAGACTCAGATGAGTGTCTTCGCCTCTTCTTTCTTCGCTCTCTTGAAGGTTTCTTGTGCCTTCCCCTTTTTCGACCATCAACGGTATTCTTCTTCTTGTCTGCATCGAAAAACCATGCAATGATGAGGATTAGTTATGATTACAAAATCGCGACTTATGAAGCAGTAACCAGTAGTAGAGTATCCATACCTCCAGAATATTCTCCACAGCGAATTATCTTCACGCTGACAGTAGGTTTACCTTCCTCGTCACCCACACGTTCAATTTTTTTAAGTACCTCTTTCCCTTGAATAAGCTTTCCGAAAACAACATTTTTCCTGATGCAAAAAACATAACAGTCAGAGATGACACAATGCCCAAAGAAAAATTCCACAATTACTGAAAAGATGGATTATATATATAATTTATTCCAGGAACTCAAAAATATAAGTAATGTAACATTAAGAAGGAAACCTATCAAGCTGATGATTTGGCCTGAAGGTAATATGAAAGTGTGATCCCAACTTGTCACGTTCAGCAACAGCCATCGACAAAAGACCAGGTTCCTCATGCCTTAGTTTCGGTGACTCATCTGGTAACATAAGAAATTGCTCTTGCCACTCAATAACATATTTCAAAGAAATAAGAAGAGCATATCATCTTCACAAAAAGAAATAAGCACCAATATAAAGCAATGTTTTTCAAATGTACTAATGTCTGTTCATACAATTTTAAGCAACGAACAATAAAGAAAACAGACATCAGTATCTCATATGTTGATGGGGTAAATTAAAAGAGATAGCTGATAAAGAAACGCAATGGTGAAACCGACCTGGAAATTTTCCAGCATATATGCTTTCCCCAGCAGTACCTGGAAAGTAAGTGAAATATACAAAGTTGTTTAGAGGATAAGAATCTTTTAATGTTGACTGCATAACTTATTGGACGCTATCTTATGAACCTCCACAGTAATCTAATGAACGTAGTTCTATGCACCCAGTATGCCATCACACTTTAAAGTTTATATCAGATAATTATCGACTAAACAAACAAAATATTCTAAACCACACTATCACAGTAAATACTCCCAGAAAACTGTGTGCCACCGATGTAAGATCAGAAAGACAGGTATAAATGTAATTGATAGCTCTACTTGAAAACTTTAGACCAGCAGCTAAACTTTATAATTAATGTACATACCATCTCGATTCACAAAGTCGCCAGCCTGAAAAAGTCAATAGAGATTGTTAGACCAGTAGCAACCATGGGTTTGTTCGCACGTAAAGTGTAGTCTTTGCATGAGAAGACCTAAGTTTGAGCATAAACAACTAGTAGTACAACCTTAAAACTATATCACATGATAAGCAGGTGTGGCGATCAGACCTGTATCCTACAGCATAAAGAACAGCAACGTACTAAAAGACGAACATCCAACCAATGTTGAGAAAGAAACCAAAAATATAAGACTGAAACATCATATCAAATCATTTATAACTGAAAGGTGAAGAAAGAAACCTGTGCTGAGGAACCTTTCAGTATCCTGTGGAAGAAGGATCCTTTGTAATGCAAAGGTTTTCCACTCCTGGGTCCGACGCCTTTCTCTCCTGTACAGATGTTATAAGGGGGAAGAAATGTTATAGGAGAGGGAAAGCCAACAGTTATATATATGTACAAACACTAAGGTAACAACAAGCTTAGCACAAACCTGTGCATAGTGCACGGAAATTCTCTGATGTCTTGGGAGCGACTTCAGGGAAAAGCTAAAGAAACAAAGTTCACACTGTCAGCACTTTTGCTTTTATCAGGAAAAATACAAGCAAGAGGACATTAACATAGCCAAACACAATGGTACCTCAAAAACCATAGTCTCAGCTGGATCTCCATCAATAGATATATCCATATAAACCTGCGGATTCTTCTTTTTTGCCATGTTTTTGGTATAGCTCAAGGCCTCAAGCTATCCGAAGTTATGCCCTGTAACAGAAAAGATAAAAGAGACTGTGAATATCAAATGGTCATGAAGAGTACCACTAAACCAAACCCGCAGACGAAAGATAATTTGGCGAATAGTCACTTTTCTTCAAAGACACAGATGATAATAGCACTCAGAAAATAAAACCAACACTACAAGATGCTTCACACTGGCCACAAACTAGTAAACCAGCTCTACAGTCAGCGACAAATTGGAGACTAATGACAATGTGTTTTGTAGATATTTTCATGAGCTGAACTAAGTAAATGATCAACTAAACAATCCATACAAATTTATAATTTCCATACACACACACTCAGAAGTAACACGGACATTGACGTTCCAAGACAAAGAAACTCCCGCAAAATTTTAGGCCACCAAATATACTAATCCGCGACCATATCAGTGAAGAATTGTGCAAATTATGAAGAAATCATCGCACATATCAGAGAAACGGATGCTTCAATATCAAACTCCAGCTAGAGACTGCGAATCGGAGAAATATGAAGAGCAAAGAAGAAGATTCATGGCCAAAATCGCTAGGGTTTTACCTGAGATTATACGCCGAGCCACAGGATAGAACGAATGAGCAGGAGGAAAACCTAGCGGACACTTTAAAAAGAACAAACACCAGCTTGTCCGTATTGCCCTCATGACACATTCGTAAATTACAACTTTACCCTCAAAAACTCTATTTTGGCTCTGGAGTTTCTCTCTGTCATCAACAGTTCGTCACCATTTCCACTAAAACCTCTCTTCTCCATCGATAATTCATTCGTAGGTAAATTTGAATCCGACTAGTTTGCTTCTCATGACCCTTCTGAGTTATCTACACAGTAATCCCTCAAAGTCGTCATCTTTTCAAAGATTTTTCTCGCCTTTTAGAATTGCTCACAAGCTGTTCGATGGAAGTTCCCAAAGACATTCGACAACCTCCATTAACCATTCAATCAGTGAATCCTTACGTAGAAACTCTCCGGCACAAGCCCTTGCGATCTTCACGGGAAATCTCCAGCTGGGTTTTAGTGGTCGTAATATGAACGAGGTCACTCTTTGTCTCGCGCTTAAAGCATGCCGTGGAGACCCGCAACGCGGTTGCCAAATCCACGGGTTTTCGATTACGTCGGGGTTTACTTCCTTCGTCTGTGTTTCGAACGCTGTAATGGGTATGTACCGTAATGCTGGTCGATTCGAGAATGCTTTGTGCATATTTGAGAATCTGGTTGACCCTGATGTTGTTTCTTGGAACACTATACTCTCTGGATGTGATGACAATCAAGTTGCTCTGAATTTTGTTGTTAGGATGAAATCCGCGGGAGTGGTTTTCGACGCATTCACTTATTCCACTGCTCTTTCCTTCTGTGTGGGCTCTGAAGGGTTTCGTTTAGGATTGCAGTTGCAGTCTACTGTGGTGAAATCCGGGTTGGAGTCTGATGTTGTCGTTGGAAATTCGTTTATAACAATGTATTCGCGTGATGGAAGTTTCAGAGATGCAAAGAGAGTTTTTGATGAAAAGCCGGTTAAAGATATGATTTCATGGAACTCTTTACTGTCAGGTCTTTCTCAAGGAGGCAATCTCGGGTTTGAAGCAGTGGTTGTCTTTAGGGAGATGATGCGAGAAGGCGTGGAGCTTGATCACGTGTCTTTTACTAGCGTGATTTCAACTTGTTGTCACGAAAACGACCTGAAGCTGGCCAGGCAGATCCATGGTTTGTGCATAAAAAGAGGTTATGAAACACTTGTTTCTGTTGGTAATATGTTGATGTCAAGTTACTGGAAGTGTGGGGTTATAGAAGATGCGAAAGCAGTGTTTTGCCAAATGAGCGAGCGGAATGTTATCTCCTGGACAACAATGATTTCCGCGAATAAAGATGATGCTGTGTCCATCTTTCATAAGATGCGGCTAGATGGAGTCTACCCAAACGAGGTCACATTTGTTGGGTTAATCAACGCTGTTAAGTGCAATGAGCAAATCAAAGAAGGGCTTAAAATTCACGGGATATGCATCAAGACTGGTTTTGTTACGAAACTGTCTATTGGCAACAGTTTCATCACCATGTATGCCAAGTTTGAGGCTATGGAAGATGCCAAGAAGGCTTTCGATGAGATAAATGTCCGGGAGATTATTTCCTGGAATGCTATGATCTCTGGATTTGCTCAAAACGGATTCTCGCACGAAGCTCTCAAGATGTTCTTATCAGCTGTGGCAGAAGCAATTCCAAATGAATACACTTTTGGAAGTGTCTTAAACGCAATAGCTTCTGCAGAGGATATATCTCTAAAGCATGGTCAGCGTTGCCATGCCCATATCCTGAAATCGGGTTTAAAAAGTTGTCCTGTTGTTTCAAGCGCGCTTCTTGACATGTACGCCAAGCGTGGGAGCATCAATGAATCTGAGAAAGTCTTTAACGAGATGTCTGAAAAGAGCCAGGTTGTTTGGACATCGATTATATCGGCCTATTCAAGCCACGGGGATTTTGAATCCGTGATGAACTCGTTCCAAGAGATGGTTAGAGAAAACATTGCACCAGATCTGATCACTTTTCTGTCTGTGTTAACAGCCTGTAATAGGAAAGGTATGGTAGATAAAGGCTATGAGATTTTCAACTCGATGACCAGAGACTACAATCTTGAGCCGTCTCATGAGCACTACTCGTGTATGGTCGATATGCTGGGCCGAGCTGGAAGATTAGAAGAAGCAGATGAGCTTATGAGTGAGGTCCCCGGAGGACCAGGAGTGTCGATGTTGCAGAGCATGCTCGGGTCTTGTAGGCTGCACGGGAATGTGAAAATGGGAGCAAAAGTGGCTGATCTCGCGATGGAGATGAAACCGGATTTGTCGGGTTCTTATGTACAGATGTATAACATATATGCAGAGAAAGGACAGTGGGAAAAAGCTGCAGAGGTAAGGAAAGAGATGAGGAAGAAAGAGGTGAGGAAAGAAGTAGGATGCAGTTGGATCGATGTTAGTGACAGTGAAGGCTCTTTAACGATGCAAGGTTTCTCTTCAGGGGATAAGTCTCACCCGAAATCTGATGAGATTTATAAAATGGTGGATATTCTGGGAATGGAGATGAATTTGGAGAGAGAGGTTGCAGTTTAGGGCTCTTTTTCGGAGTTTGGAAACAAGATTGAATGAAGTCAAATCAAAATTTAGAAACGTTAGTTGTAGTTAGTGTAGTATATGATTATGATAGTGTTCTTTTTCTCCTATACTTGCATTGACTTTGTAAGGACCATGGTAAACCGGTTTAGCATGGTTCTCAGATTTTGACCTCATTGACCGGTTCGATTGATTGATTGATGATGCAACACTGTATGATATTATTTCATAACTGAACAAATAAAAAACTTGTGTTTGGGCTTAACACTGCCATTTCTCTCGTTCTCTGTACTCTGAACCTTCGCTAGAGACCTTGTCTATTTCAATACCGGTTGTCGGTTGAGGATTAGTTAAGAGTACAATTTGAGTTACTTGTTTGGTTAATTATTAAACCGAATGTGAGTTCTTACTTGATTTAATATAAGCTCATATAGCTGCTCGAAATTACTCAAGTCCAAACCCATTTACATGTCCCATGCTATACCCATAAATAGCCAACCGTTAAATGGACAATCCTAAAGTCCATCTCCCCTCTGATAGATACATTTTTTTGGTCAACCGTTAAATTAAATGGAATTATTAACAAGATCTTTAGGATATTGGAGAAGTGGACAACTCATGTTTAGTTGAAATACTTATAAAAAAAAAGGAATATAAACAGGTGAAGTAAAAAAAACTGAATTAGATTCGGATGATGTTATTTCCAACTAGATTAATTACGAATTGCTTGTTTATGGGGCCATTTGAAGTTTTGCTTTTGTTTCTGATAAGTTAACGAAGACAGCAGAATATGATGGCTTTAAGGTATGAGTTTGGTGTTGGACTCTTACTCACGTCTCTTTACATTTATCGTTGTTGTTTAGTTTATTGTTAAAATAAATAAAAATAATAACTTTGAAATTATTCTTAAGCAACAACTTAATAAAAGAGGGATCGGGAGGAGGAGAATGTTTACGTCGTCGATAACCTCCTACTACGGACATTCCTAACACGTTAACCTAACCCACTTGAGAAGCCTCTTTACACTTTCCCTTCCTAAATTTACATTTTCTAATACAATACACTGTTATTTTCATCCACTGTTAAAACAAAATTTGTATGGCTTTGACTCTCTCTATCAAAACTTTTCATCGTGGAAAATCATATTTACTAGTATAGAAGAAGACGCGGATGAACAATATCGCGTAAGCAAAACGAGATAGACTGGAGTGGAATTATATGTGTAAGTTGATTTTGTTAAACCAAATATGCAAAGTACATATTAAAAACGCATAAAACCAATTCATGATCTGTTGAAGCTTTATAAATTAACTCCTTCAGAAACAATTAAACGCGCGTGGGCACGCTCTAAACAGGCGAGTGAAACACATTAAACTTACTAATCAAACCGTCATTAATATATATGGGTTGTCTCCTATTTCTGGTTTTAAAGATTTTAACTTAAATCCCACGTCACGAAAATAAATAAATAAAAATATATATAAATTTCTTAACGCCCAAATTGATTCCCCATATTTCCATTACCCGAAACCCTAAATCCCAATTTCTCTCTTCCGAAATTTCGATCACCATCTTTGAGAAATTAAGAAGAAAAAAAAATTTCAAAAACTTCCGGCGATCAAGTCTCGTTTGGTCATTCCAGAAGGTGATCTCTTGTTCGATTTTTCTCGTTTTTAATTGTCGTTTCAATGTTGTTGGTGTTCATCCATTGATTTCGAAAAAAAAGGAAATTGGATCGATATTCTTTGCTGGCTTATTGATTTCACGCTTCCTTTTTTATCGTTTGGAAGTTATTTTTGGTTTTTCCATCGATGGATTATATTGCTGTCTGAATAATTAAACTGAGTTTGGATTATCTTGCTTGGTTTGTTTTTCCTGTGAATGATCGCGATTATGTTGGTTCGTCTCTTACTGATCTGAATTTGTTCCGGCTTCTTACGATCCGCGTTTCTGGATTTCTGATTGATTACATCCAGCAATAGGTTTATTTTGGAATTCATTTGTTAAGACTTAGATCTGTTTTATTGAGCTTTCATCTGGATAATACTCTCTGTTAAAGAATGTATGATTTCCTCTTCTTTTTTTCTGCATATTTCTTTTGGAAATAGTTCTTAATATAAAAAGAACGTTTTTTTATTTTGCAGGTATTGAGTCGACTAAGTGAAGTATCATGAGATTCAGAAAAGGAAGCAGAGTTGAGGTATTTAGCAACAAAGAGGCACCTTATGGTGCGTGGCGATGTGCTGAGATTCTCTCGGGTAATGGACATACCTACAATGTTAGATATTACTCTGCCCAACTTGCACACGAGGAGACAGTAAGGGAGAGAGTTCCAAGGAAGATACTTAGGCCGTGTCCTCCCCAAGTGGGTGTAGTGAGATGGGAGACTGGTGAGTTGGTGGAAGTTCTTGATAATTTCTCCTGGAAAGCTGCCACTGTTCGAGAAGAGATACGCGGAAAGTACTACGTGGTTCGGTTACTTGGGACTCCAGAGGAACTTACATTTCACAGACGAAACCTCAGGGTCCGACAGTCGTGGCAAGACGAGAGATGGGTTGCAATCGGAAAGGTAATTTCATTGATCTTATGTTATCTTTTCACCTTTCAAAGCTAATGTACTCTCTTGTCATTGTCTTTTTTTTTCTTCGTTTCTCCATTGAGATTTCCTGCTTGGTCATGTGATACTACGCATATGTTCCATCTTCCATGTCTATGAACTTCTGGATCTGGTTGGAGGTGGCAATTTGCATTGTCTCTTAACGATATTAATTGTTTAAAATAGTCTTTACTTCTGAGCTTATACGTTGACTACCTGTCTTGTTATCATTTTTTTCTCAGATGTCAGGTTCTCTCAAGTCGTCCACACTGACTGGATCAGACGTACATCAGAAGCTACAGCCCCAAATGAACAGCATACTTCCCCACGAGCCTAGTGTTGTCTCCGTTAGAGTATTAAAGAGGCCTTCACCTCACAACTGGTCTGAATGTGCCGAATCATGCACAGGAAACCCCAAGAAGATACGATCACTGGAAGCTTCCTCTAAGAATCACAAAAATGGTTGCTGTCAGATGGTCAGGGTAAGATCAAAAGGCTCTGGTGAGAGTGTTCGTGCAGGAAGCCGAGTCGCTGATGATTGTTATGATAGCGATGCATGCTCAGTTGGTAGTTGTAGCGCTCTTAGCTATGATGAGAGTAACATGCCACCACCCATGCTAGATGGCTCTAGTCAACAGGCAGACTCATTTGACAGCGATGCTGAATCATCTTGTGGCCTTGGGGAAGAAGCAAGGCCGAAACATTCATTAGGAGGTGATGGAGCAAGAAGGTCTTGTAGGTCTGAACTCTATACTTACCGCAGTACTTTGGGGGACTTGTTTGCTTCTGGTCCGTTAAGTTGGGAACAGGAAACATCGTTAACCGATCTTCGTCTTTCTCTCAATATATCAGATGATGAACATTTGATGGAGGTAAGAAATTTGATATCTGCTGGTACCCGCAGTCAATTTTGCTAGTATCAATCAGAATTCATTCTTTCTTTTCTTTTTGAATCTTATGGTCAAGTCTGATCCACCTGTCCTGGCCATATTTCCCTGCAAATGTGGAGTCAACTGTCATATATTGTTCTTTTTCCAGTGGAGTTTATATTGAGTGTATAGACAGCAGAATATAAGTATTATGTACGGATTCTCTGATTAGAATGAAAATATCCGAGGTTCATTATGGTGTTCTTTTTCTACTGCTTTGTCTCAGATTTCACTTAGTTACCTCTATTGTAATCCCTGGAGGAAGTTGAAGCAAAATTCATGTATACATACTCTGAGATATGATATTTTTTTAAGGGCTGTTCGTATGGTATATATAAGCTGTGATATCAATTTTGTAGAGTATATGACTTTATGTTCCTCGTTTCGTGGCACGCTTGTGTGTTGATTAATCGTAATTTCCTTGTGAGTAAGAGTTATATGTGGATGTTTAATTCAGTGCAAATATTGGCATGTGAAACCTTGTCATCCCTCTGGACATTATTGATTTCCCCCCCTCCGTTTTTCAGGAACAGTGTGGCCTTGTCAGGGGCATGCTTTTAGAGGTCTAACTCTGATGCTCTGGGGTTTACGACTTGTCCCCTTAGCCATCTGAATGGTGCAATACTTCAAAACATAGCCTGACTCTGTTTTCTTTTTGTCGCTATCTTGATATTGCGGCTTGGTGCAGGTGTCTTGGAGTCGGCTTTGTCCACGGGGCTTGAAAGCTGTGCTTTGATCAGGTTCCCTTAGATATATATACTTGATGGCATTCTCGAGACACTTATCAAAAGATGGCATCCATCAATAACATAAACTTGCTTCCAGATGGACATATCATCAAACAACTTTGATATACCATAAGAAAGTAACATGGACAAGTCATCATCATGAACTGGATTGAAAACAAAACAAACAAAAAAATCATGAACTTGTAATTTAAATTTATGTCAAAACAATTCCCTCACTGGATAATTAAAATTGTATAATCATGTTGGTAATTGACCCTATAAAGTTAAAGAATTTGTGAATGGTGTAATGAAGTTAATTAATAAAAGTTTATCTTTATTTCAAGTGTAGCTGCTAAAAACCTTAATACATGTATGTACCTAAATCTCTCTTCCGATTAGAATTTAACCACTGCGAAAAATATATCGACCTGTCGATGCAAATATGGCATGCGGATCATTGGTAAATCATCACCCTTTGGTCGCAATATTCCTTTATTCCTTTTTCTTCCAAAAATCGAAGTTTTTCTTTACTATAATTTCATTTCATTAGCCAAACGAGCTCGTCCCTGAGTTTCAAAAGACACAAAAAGTCCCTTTCCTGAAACCGGACATAGCTTTTGTGATGAATTGTCGGAGCTGAGTTTTTTAAGGGTCTGGTCTTGTAGAATTGTGAAACTCTCCGATTCGTAATTCGTTTTGTCGTATTTCTCTGAAAGTTTACTTATTTGACTATTTGAAGTTTCTTTTACAGGTTGATTATAGAGTTGGTCTTTCTCTCTGCTCAACCGGGATGGGATTCCATTTCCGGTAAACCGGTTTTGCGCCGCCAATGATTTACACGGCGAGAGCTTCGCTTCTCGGCTCTACCTGCAAGCTACGCTATTCTTTCTGCGTTTCATGTGATTCCCTCGCTCCCCTGTTGAGAAATCTGAGCACAGCTGCGGAGAGATTGGGTTTCGCAAACCCTAGTTATGGATATCCGACGGGTAGTTCCTCTTCAGATCACACTGGCTATATAAATAGAGATCAATGCCTTGGTGGGTTTCAGCAGGATTCATATGGGCGGAGCTTAAACCCAGAGCATCGCACTGTTTCTGGGCAGAATCTGAATGGGTTTAATCAGAACGGATACAATCAGTATCAAAGTGGGAGTTATGGGGAAAGTAGTGAAATCATTAAAGCTAGTGATGGTTATGATAATGGCAATGTAATTCCACAGGAGACTGCCGGTTTTGCTCACTCTCAGTCTTTTTGGAACGCACCAAGTCGGAGTTGGGACTCTTACGATGGTGGACAGAGACAGGCGTGGACGAGTCCTGACGCGAATGACTCGCGAGTCCAGTCTCTTGACAAGGGAAGTGCACGTTTTCAGCAAGATCATAATAGTGGCCATGGCTCGTTGGACGAATTGGATGCGATTTGCAGAGAAGGGAAGGTGAAAACAGCAGTTGATATCATCAAAACATGGAGGAACGAGGGTTATATTGTGGATATACCAAGACTTTTGTGGCTTGCACAGCTATGCGGGGATGCACAGGCTTTACAAGAAGCCAGAGTTGTTCATGAGTTTATTAGTTCTTCGGTTTCCCTTTCAGATATCAGCGTTTTCAACTCGATGATAGATATGTACTCTGGTTGCGAGTCAGTGGAAGACGCGTTAACCGTTTTCAACGCTATGCCCTGGAAGAACTCGGAGACTTGGTGCGCTATGATAAGGTGTTTAGCCAAGAATGGGCAAGGGGAAGACGCCATTGATATGTTCTGTCGTTTTAAGGAAGAAGGAAACAGACCCGGTGGCGAAATGTTCAAAGAGGTCTTCTTTGCTTGCGGTGTTCTTGGTGACATTAACGAGGGGATATTGCACTTTGAGTCGATGATCAAAGACTACGGGATCATCCCTTGTGTGGAACATTACGTGAGCCTCGTTAAAATGTTGGCGGAGCCTGGTTATTTAGATGAAGCATTGGGATTTGTTGAATCCATGGAACCAAATGTTGAACTGTGGGAAACAATGATGAATCTTTCACGGGTTCACGGGGATTTAGAGCTCGGTGACCGGTGTCAAGGTATGGTCGAGCAGCTTGATGCAAGTAGACTGAAGAAAGAGTCAAAGGCGGGTCTTGTACCGGTCAAGTCATCAGACTTAGCGAAAGAGAAATTACAGAAAATGGCGAGAGGGGAGAAGCGTGTGGCTAGATGTATGGCTGGAGATCCTTGTCGTCCGGAGAACAGAGAGCTATATATTGCACTGAAGAGTTTAAAGGAGCATATGGTGGAGATGGGTTATGTGCCCGAGTCTAAACTTGCGTTGCACGATGTGGACCAAGAGAGTAAAGACGAAAACCTTCTGAATCACAGCGAGAAATTCGCTTTGCTCCTTACGTTTCTGGACACTCCTGCGCGTTCTCAGGTACGGTTGCTGAAAAATCTGCGTGTCTGCGTTGATTGCCATAACGCATTGAAGCTGATGTCGAAGATTGTTGGGAGAAAGCTGATTGCGCGAGATATCAAGAGATTTCACCATATGGAAGATGGTGTTTGCACTTGTGGAGACTATTGGTGATCAATTAGCGTTTTGTCTTTCTTTTATTTTTTTTGTTTATTTGCCTGGTTGGAGCAAAACATGGCTTCTTTTGTGGTCTTTGATATTCTTGCAAGATCATTTCAGTTTTGCACTAGGAGGATAACATTAGTATATATATAATAAAATAATGAACCAAACTTAAAATTTATAAATCTGTTCTGCTTCGCCGAACCCTCCTGCTCAACTAGAGTGACCAGATAGTTTCGTTTTAACTTTAAAAACTTAAACCCGTAGAGGCCAAGAAAGCCCAGTTCCTCACGATACGCGAGAAAAAAAAAACACCGTGTCGTCAATTTCCCGTGAATAACTCGCCGCCGCCAGCTCACGGCCTCCGAGCACTGAGAAGTTTAACGTCGTCGATCACTGGCCCACACAAGCTCGAGAAATCGTCGTTTCTCATCGCGTAAAACGTGCTGTAAAACATCACCCTGGTTCGACCCGAGACGGCGACGAATCTCAGAGACGCCCGCTTGAATCCTCCTTTCCCTTTCGATTGGTAAGGCACCTTGATCGTGTCTTTTCCGGCGAAAGCTTCGACGATCATAGATCCGGCGCAGGCGTTGTTCGCGTCTCCGACGGCGAAGGAGAGGACGTAGGTTTTCCCCGGGATCGTGCGGACGACTTGTGCGACGGCGCTCTCTTTCCCGGCGACGAGTTCGACTGCGCGACGGCCTTGAGGAACATAGAAATGATCGGAATCGATGTACTTGACGGCTTTAAGAGATTCGACCATCCATCCCGGTAACGGAGAGTGGTCGTCGATGGAGTTGGGTGGGATCAGAACTCCCGATGACGTGTTGGGTAAAACCCATGGGCCTTCCTCGAATCCTCCGTTCTTCAGAATGTTCTCTGCAATACAAACCCCACAAGTTTTAGATATTCTCGTATTTGACCCACCAAGTATATTTTGCTCTGAAACAGAACCAAAATTAAATCGAACCACTAAAAAAGCACACTCACTGTTGGTGGGACGAGGAGGATAGAGAGCTCTCATAGCAACACCATCGATAAGTGGTCCACAAGCAGGATCTTCCTCAACACCTGGATTATGTATCAGAATCTCTGCATAATCGCTCTGAGCTTTAAACGCCCACGAATACAGATCCCAGCCTGAACTACTGTACACTGTTTGGATCGGCATCACTCCGTGGTGAGGAGCCACAGAGACGTTTAGCTGCTCGTCCTGTGCGCAGGTTCGAGCCGCACTGAAGGTGATGGAATAGTAAGAGCCTCTTTTAACATTGACCTTTTGTTTGATTGATGCTTCGTTGCCTAGACGCACTGCGAAAGCGCCTTTAGGCACGACAAGGATCATGTCGCCTTGTTTGTGTCCTGAAGGAATGTACTCGACGAAGCCTGAGAGTTCCCAGTTTGGGATTGCTGTTTTGTTCATCACTTGTGTTCCTTTCATGTCCGAATGTCTTGGACCTAGTTCGAACCCGCCGTTTGGTAATAGTCCTGTTTTTTTTTTTTTGTTTTTTTTTTCGTAAAGATAAGATAGGAAAAAAGGTTAGATTCAAGGTCTCTCTACATGCATATTTGTGTAATTTGTGTTTAAAAAAAAAAACAGAATAACGTACATTTTCAACTTTTTTTAACATGGGAATGTTTGAGTACTTTAGTCTTTTAGTTAATAAATGGTTTTTCTATTTTAGATCTATTATAAAATAATATAATTGAAGAAAAACATGAAGTGTGAAATATTCATATTATAAAATGTTGCAGGTGGGAAGGTGAGAGTAATTTATTGATGCAGTTATTGTGAACCAATGACAAACACCATGTGCATTTACAGAGATCTGCCTCACTGTAACAGGTCATACCTCTATCCATTATTCTCTCTGAGTATTTTATTTCATACTAAATTCACAAAGTTATTCTGTTTTGGTGATTGGTTAAACTAACCATCTATATATGGGACTCAAACAAAGAAAGTTAACATCCTATTGCCATATCTATGCTAATAATCCACCGGTTCTCAAGTAGTGAAGCAGTGATTGCTCAACATGTTCTTCATATATGTCATTTTTTTCACGATTTGTGGTGCAATACGAATGACTTATTTTGACGAAAATCAAATTGTGGGCATACACGTTGTTTTTTTCGAATTTTTCGAACGGAATTCTTAAATACTGACTTGTTTTTTAATTTTTGGTAGTTAACGACTGTAAGTTTTTTTTTGGATTTGGCTTATATATAAATACGAAAATGCGAGATTTGTATACAACAGATAAAGAATGAGAAACTTACCATCTTTGAAGCAAAAGGCAACGTGGAAGATCGAGTGAAGTAGAAGAAGCACTATCACTCCCATCTCTTTCATTTCTTTCGATTTATTTATTAATATGTTTTTTTTTTGTAACTAAAACTTTCGAAAAGTAAAATAAAACGGAAGAAGAGCGAGAGAGGGGGAGAGAGAGAGAAGGAATGTTCAGTGAGAGTGGAAGAGAACGAGGAGCAGGGGAGCTCTTATATGCAAAGTTACACAAGAAACTGCCCCTTGCCTTTAGTATAAATTACGGCGTCACCAATAGAGACTTGTGTCGGAACATTATTGGTCCCTTTTTAAATTCATCGTTCCTTGGAAATGGGTCATTTTGTCTTCGAAGGTTTGACTACATAACATTGTCGAGATTTATTTTATTTGGTTTATAACGAAAATAATTATTGATGTTTTGGTTAAGATGTCAAAATGGCTCGATCAATTTCTTTCATATATCATTCAAAGTTTCATCTTATTTTGATGTGGAATATTACTAACAAATATTGATGCTTTGAATTAAGGTTTCTTCGTTCTTTAATTTTTGGTAGATAACCCAAAGATAGATTATATATATAGAAGAACAGCGATGATCTATAAATTTAACTGCGATATGCAAAACGATAAATGTGAGTAATGGACCAATGGTAATATAATTGAGGAGAGGAAAGAGGACAAAAGCTGTGGGTCTCTCACATGGCTTTATCACATTGGCTCCCGCATTGCCAAAGTTTTATTTGTTCTGCATTATCCTACAACTTAGGCAGGCCTGCACATAGGCGCACATACATATAAGTATAAGAATGATAGAATATTTATATAAAGAAAAACAAAATTAAATCCAAAGGTGCAGCTGCATCAAAAGCTTGATCTGTGTGCCAAATACACAGCAAGGCATATGGCTCAGGTTCTTTCACTTTATTGTTGACTTGTACGATTGGAATTCAACTGTTTTAATAGGTATTAATGAAACCGACGGTTTGTTTAGTGGTGGTTTAGTAGAACAAACAAGACAATTACAAAATACTTTAAACGGTTTATAAGGCGATTACAGACCAACAGAAAATAATTAATTGCGAAATTCGGGAAAAGATGGCAAATATTACAGTCACTCGATATTTTTGTCGTTTGTTTGATGCGTTTAACAATACTACTAGAAGTTGATGAAATGGTTATTCTTTTAATCATCATCCTTTCAAAAGGTTAAATCATATATATATTTTCATGTAAACCACGCGGGTTTTTTTTTTTGTTACTAATTTTTGTTTGTTTACAAAAAAGCTCTGAGTCCGATCTGACTTAAAGTCGGTAATTCATGTCATGTGCTTCCATAGATTTAGTCTGCACATCTGTCGGGTCAATAATCATCGACATACGATATTCTTGAGCCAAACTTAAAACATATTATGATATAATTCATTCACATGAACATGATCAGCATAACGACAAATATCTAAGCATTTATTAGCAAGATACTAAAAACTAACTAAGCAACAATGGCCAAAAAATTATAAGATAAACCAAAATCAGTTTTAACATTTTTTATTTTTTCGGTAAATTAACGATTTCAAACCCTGGTTTACGTTTCTTTTGCAAGCGCATATTTTCGTTGTTATAGATCTAGATATAAACGTGGTCAGACTTGTAGCATAAGGTGGAATATATAATAAATGGTTATATCATTTGCAGAAAATTTCGAATGTTATTTTTTACTATACCCATAATTGATATGAGAAAAAAATGTTTGTCAAAAGATATGAGAAAATAAATCATTTTTATATAATGGATTTAATCCTTCGCTCGAGTAGCCAGTCGCAAATCTGATACATGAACATATAGAAACTATACAGAGAGTGATATGATATTAAAAGAAAGAAGAATAATCGAATTTTGTCTCTGCGCCGGCGTCAGAAGTAATGGATCACTGCTAGCCAGAATGGCCACCGACTCTCTAAGCGGTGCTTTTATTGCACAAATTATTGTACTAAAAAACATAGTGCGTGCGCGTTTATAAATACAGACACATGCATTGTATAACTAATTAGTTGTACAGTATCGTTAGATATAGTATAAATGTGTGCTAACATGTTTCGTAAGCAGCATCCCATCTGGAGGTCGTATTACACAAAGGTGTATTATATATGTATTGCAACAATAAAGTTATGAGAAAGTATCATCACAGCTCTTAATTAGTTTCAATCAATAATATATTTGTAGATGTTTTCATCAATGTGTTTGGTAATATGATATATATGTGGACTTAAAAATTCACATATATATGTATAATAAACAACCGATAGCTTCAGTTGATTTTTTTTTTTTTTGTTTTCTGTCATTAGTCGTCCGATGTCTCTGGTGGTGTCAGCAACACTTTTTTTACTCCTCAGTCCTCGCGTACGAGTTCGAAAGGTTCTTGGTGACTTTACGAAGGATGAGCTATAGCCAAAGTTATCATTCTATCAACTTCAGTCAATTGAAAAAATTGGGGTTAAGTATACTTTGTATGTGTTTGTGGCTAAACCTAAATTATGATATTTCGGCATAAAGTCGGGGTCACATTTTCATCTAACTTTGGCTTGATGTTACGCCAATTTATAAGAAGATATACTATAAAAAGAAATAGACATGCATGCATGGGAAAGTGGGCCAACTTTTACTACACGACATTTTGACTAGTGTTTTTCACTCTTTCTTGGTTTGTATAGTTAAATATTTAGCCTCGTATAACTAAAAGCTCCACCAAACTATTTAATGTGACATGTTAAATCTACAACTTTTTAGTGCCAACGACAGTCTCATATACACCTTAATTAGTTGTTTTAGATTTTGTTTTTATATACTACATCACATAACTATTAATTTATTATATACATCAATATAAATTATTTTAGAATGAATTCACTTGCATGTGAAACTTATTTAGTATTGACTAAGTATTTATCCGCGTTATGCTGCGGGATATTTTTTTAAATTTTGTATATATTTTTAATATAATAAAATTATTTTTATAATATAAATAAGTATTATATTTAATTTTTTATTAGCTTAAGTTATGTATTTATATGTTTTAAATCTGAATAAATATTATATATTTTTATTTTTCAAAATTATAATTTGCTATTAAATTTAGTTAGCTAACTAATTATAAATGTATATACAGAAATAAAATATATAAAAATAAAGCAATACATTTTTAGTATCTCCGTACTAATGGCAAATGTAATCTTTTTTTCTCCAATAAATTACCACTTGATCTTCTTTTGTAATTATATAAAACAAAATACCATTTTAAAAAGATTTATTAATTAATATGATTATATTGAATTATAAAATTTATTTATTTATCAAATATATTATTATAAACATATGTTTCTAAAACTACCAAACTATAATCAATAACATTCATATCAAAAACATTGCTATTGCTTTAGAACTAAATAGAAAATTATGTTTGAACTCTTAAAATATCGTTTTTAGTTAAAGTTAAATAATTAAATTTTGGTTATTGTAAACATCTTTTAACTTGAAAATTTAGCACAAAGAAATTTCATTTTCTTACAAAAATTGAGAAATCGCATTTCCCATTAAACTGAGAAATCGCATATTCCCGCTAAAACCAAAAAATTCATTTTCTCGTCAAACCTAAAACCTAAAATTTTATTTTCTCACGAGAACCTGTGTTTTTCCATCAAAGACAAGAAATTACGTTTTTTCACAAAAACAAAAAAAAAATCATTTTTTCGCAAAAACCAAAAAAAAATTGTATTTTCATGCCAAAATCAAAAAATTTATTTTACCTGCGAAAATTGAGAAATCGTCTATTCCTGCAAAAAAAAAAACATTTTCTCGTCAATCACAGAATCACACTTTCCTACAAAAATAAATAAACTACAATTTCACGCGAAAACCAAAAATTGCATTATCTCCCGTAAAATTATATTTTCCCGGGAAAAATAAGAAATTGTTATGTTTTTATCAGTTCAAATTTTTGCTGATGTGTGAGCTTCTTATAATATAAGGCTTTTTGCGTTGTTGTCATAGAAACATAATTGATGCTGAGCCTATATTTTTTTAATCATATACGTCTATGTTAAATAAACAGATAGTTAAAATATTATTATTATTTATTTGTTGTTATTTATTATTTGGATTTGGTTTTGGAAAAAAAAATAATGATTTAATTTTTTATTTTTTTATTTATTATTTGGATTTGGATTTGGCAAAAAATAAAATAATGATTTTTTATTTACTGTTATTAATTATTTGGACTTAGGTTTGGTAAAAAATAAAACAAAAATTGTTAGAAAAAATATTTGGGGTTTTAATGGGTTTAAGTTTAACAATTATAATATGTAGATGAGATGTATTAATAAAATATTTTGATTGGTGATTATTTTTGTTGTGATGCTATATTTATAAAACTTTAAAAAGCTGATGTGTCAAGCTATGAAGAGATTTTTGTGTTATTGTTGTGTTGATTAACTAAAATAAAAATCTGTATACTCAAAAATCAGAATAGCCAAATAATGCAATTGTTCTAAACAGTAGAGTAGAGAGATGTTGTGTGACTAGAGAAGGAGAAAGAAAACGTGAAACGAACATAAGATAAAAAGGACAAGACAGCCGTCAAAAGGATTTATCTTCTTAATTTATATAATTCTGTAAGAACATTTGATCAAAAACTGGACTATACCCACGTGGAACAGTGGAAGTACCCTGTCTCACGATAAATCTGTTGTCGTAAGAAAAACAACATATTGTTTCATCGACGAGAGTGTTGTCTAGTAAGTCTTGAATTTATGTTATAAGATAAATACTTATAGCGCAAGATTTTGAAGTGAACAAAATATTGCTAAATAGTGATGAAATGTTAGTAGATTAATGATTTTTAAGGTTTTTTCATACTTTAATGAATCACATGCAACCGACTTTAATGGTCCACCCTCCACAGGCAAGTACAACGTAATGCATCGTTTTTATGTCTTAAAAGAATCATCCTTGTGTACTATACCTTAATTTTCACTTCATTGGACCAGTCGCATGCTCTGTCTATTATCAACATCTCTATGTTTTAATAAACTTTATCAATTAATATATTCCTACTAAATTCTATGTTGAATCCCAAACTAAATTTGGGATCTGCAAAATGTCGAATTTTCTTAAATCTTGCGTGGATCATACAATATATGTTATCTAAACCAACATGGCGAACATCATGATCGGGTAAGTTTATAAAGATTGTGTTCTCACTCAATTTTATACATTAGGGCTCTAGAAATATGATGGTTGTAATCCGTCGAATTAGCCTAAATTTCAAACGAAAAAACGTCATCATGGAACAAAATATAATAATTACGGGATCAATTTCGCATTATGGTTACCCTTTAGTAAAAAAAAAAATCGCATAATGGTTGAGTCTTAACTCATCCAGTCTTCTTGTTAATTAGTATCCCACCAATTGAAAATCTATAATTATATAAATGAAAGAGAGCAAAAGAAAAAGATCGAGGAGATAAGGATAAAGAAAGGGGGGACAGAGAGGGGGATGGGTAACTAAAGAAGAGATCTGACCTGAATCTATTAAAGACTTGTGTCCCAGTCTACACACTCACATGCAAATGTTCTTTTTAGGGATATATTTAATGGAATGAATCCTCCCAAACAGTAGTAATATAGTATATACAGAACATGGGCCTCTATCATATAAATGATCTTGTGATAATATATATTGTTTTTGAAATCCCAAGTTTCATCTCCCAATTCCGATGTGCTCATGTGGATAACTTTCACTCTTCTTTCACTCGCCGGCTATATATATATATATTTTTTTTTTCTTTTTTTGCCGGCTATATTTTCAATCAAGCAGATCTTTGTGTGTGTGTGTGTTTGAAGTATCCGAATCAACATAATGTGTATTTTTTTCGTTCATGTTCATAACTTGATAGCCAGAGACCGGTCAACATACATGCATGATGCAACAATCTACGGATAACGGATGTTTGCATTAGAAATATGTTAATCATTTTTATAAAAAAAAGAAATATGTTAATCAAAAGTTGAAAGTAGTTGATTTTTGTGAAACCAAAATTAGAAATGAACTAATAATCACTTCACTAAGCTTGAAACCAAAAAGAACAAGAACTAATAATCATTAGAAATGAATTACCTAGGGCGTATCCCAAGAACTAATAATTTTTGGGATCATCAATTAAGGTGGGATCATCAGTAATAACCCATGTGTCAAAATGATCTAATAATCATTAGAAATGAATCATATAAACCAACATGGTTTGAGGAGTATTAGCAGGTTTGCCCGAGTGGTTAAGGGGGCAGACTTAAGTTCTGCTGCACATAAGTGCGCGTGGGTTCGAACCCCACAGCCTGCATCTACGCATATTTGTTTGGAATTTTTTATAATTTTTTCTGGGACAATTATACTGTACTGACTTTTTCTTTTGATACAGTTTTGCTCCCGGTTTTAACCGGTTCTTTTTATCCAAATTCATTTTTGTAAACCGCATCCAAAATCTCGATTCGGGTTGGTTACTTAATATAATATCAAAAAAGTATGGGAAATTATACCAATTTTGTAAGAAACTAAAATACTCTCTAAAGCTAGAATTGACTATTAGAGAATAAAAAACTCAATTCCACGTCTTCTTTATTTCAAATTGATTTTGTAAGAAAAGCAGATGCATTAGAGCAACATGGCTCGCTCATCCAAATTACTAATCATGGCACTTACATTTCATTACATATAAAAAAGAATACCGAAGCAGACTGAGAAAATGCGAATCATTGACTCAGACTCAGAGTTGCGTTGTTGATTTTATTCAATCCAAGCAAACGTGAAAATGTAACAAGCACAACATATCAATTTGGAAATATTATCAAAAGACTTAAGATTTTCAAGAAGTAAATAGCTCTCTATTCAGAAATTGATTTCCAAAATATCAATGTAATCTATTTGGAGAGGTGATTTATGCAGAGAAAGAGAACAAAAGATGCTTATGGGAGCGTGCGCTGGTATAGTGGCAGAGCTCCCAAGGCTTCTCGTTCCTTTCTTTCCCTTTCAACCTGCAAAATACAACATAAAGAAAGTGGTGATGATGATTGATGATTGATGACTGATGAAAGTGATATTAATTATGATCCACCTTTAAAACAAAAAGTTACACTCGACACCATTAAACATTTCAAACAGTGTTCTTTCAAATGTAAGACTTCAGGAAACAGGAAAATAGAAGATCTGAGCAACATCTTACTTCAATTAACAAAGGAAAATCCATGCATCTCAAAGTTGTAATCATTATTTCAGGTGGTAATGTAACAAATGAAGACAAACAAGCATGTCATCGCAAGAAAGCAGACATGCAAACAAATAGGAAACTTTACTGCAAAGAGGAACACTAAATTTCTTCCTACTCCCAAGAGGCAGATAGGGAGATAAAGACAATAATCATAAAAAGGGACTTACGAGAGCCAGCATCTCCTGAAGATAGCCACGGAATGGGGTCTGTACCGCCTGTATATAATGTAACAACCTCAAGTAAGAAATTAAAAAAATTCGAACGAATGACTAACATTAACATTATATGATAGCTTAGCATCAAAACAAATTCACTGTGGACACATCAGTAACACAATCGAAAGTATACATGCAACCACCACTTTACTTTCTAGAAAGAAAAAACTATGTAACAAGTAAACACCTGTTTTTTCAATCAAAATTTCTAACAAGCTCTAGCAAGAGCAGAGTTAATACTAACGCAGGAGAGAATCATATAATATGAACAGACTAGATTATAATCATCTAAATATTTAAAATGCAATCTTAGATGTTCCACTATCATAAGAACATCCAAGACAAATATTTAAAATGTAAAGTAATTTCTACGGATGAACCAGAACCTTTTGTTTCAATATAAATTCGAAAACTTGACAAAACGTCTGAGACTAAAATTCATTGCGGGGCTTGTAGCCTTCAAATAGAATCTAACATTCGATACATAGTTTTACTCAAATTCATCGGTCACTTAACATTCTCAATATCCTAACAACATCAATTTCAACATGACCCAAGCAAATAAATAAAACAAGTGGCAAATAAAGGAGTACCTGAAGATCCTTGGGGAGGTACTCGTGCTTCATGGAGAGGTCCATGGCACGCTTGAGACGCTGGTTACGAGCATCGACGACCTCCCTAGGCAATCTGTTCATGGCCTCTTTGATGTCCATACTGTAATATTGATCGTACAGATCATCGTACCTGAGACCTGATCATTCGAAACCAAAATAAACACAAGTTTTACTCACGAACAGATACAGAGCTTTATCGACAAATGACAACAAATCCAGATTCAGAGACTAGGGTATTAGAGAGAGGATCTGACCGTATCTTCGAAGGCGAGTCGATATGGCTTTCATATGCATCCGAGCGAGGAAGTTCTTCTTCGGATCGATGAAGGATTGCAGAAACGTTGACATTTTCTCTCAGTCTCTCTAACCGATTGCGCAATTGTGCCGATGAAAAACAAAGCTGGCTCTCGTTCGTATCTCTGGGAGAGGAACAGGAGGGCGAATTTACAACGATGTTAAACGACGTCGTTTAACTAACGTTTTATTGGGCCTTTGGTGGGCCATCCAAAATGCTCATTTGTGTGATTGCATATTTTATTTATATATTGGGCCATGTCACTTACTTGTTCTTTCCCAAAAGGAGGTGAAACCCAAAGTTTTAACATTTCTTTCGGTAACAAAAAAATTAAATAGTATCTACTTAAGGTATTTCTTAATCTCGACGTCTAAACTGATTTATAATTAATGTTTGACGCGTACAATTAAATAAGGTTTGTCCGAGAGTCAGGAGATGATAAATACTCCATGCGTTTAATTTCTAGTCAAATGATATTAGTTTCTTTTTCTTTGTATTTTTGTCAACACGAATCTTGTTTTATATGGTAAGAAATCAAAAGATATAATGGAATTTTTTGTTTTCATCTTATCCAGGTTGCACAAAAAATTAAAAATGGAAATTCGTCCGACGAGATAATGAGACGACAAATAATTAAAAAGAAAAAAATCCGGAGGGAAAACAGTTAGGGAAAGGACAAAAGGGTAAAAAAACACAGGAACAGAGAAGGTCACACACTAAGTTTAGAGCAACGGAATCGGGAGGAGACCAACCCATGTGAGCGTTTCTCCTCTCGACAACGGAACATGAACGTATCTTTTTTCAGTTAAAATCCTTCGAGTTCTGTTTCAATCGCCGGGAGAGAGAGAGTGTAGGATCGATCGGAAATGGATAGGAAGAAGAAGAAAGTGTGGTTTTGGCCGGAGAAACACGCCGGTGGTGGAGGCGGCGGGGGAACAATCAAGGAGGCGGAGGATATGGCGGCGGAGCATGTATCGGTAGAAGGTACAATGAGTCACTACAGCTTTAGCAAAGGCCTTCTTCCGCCGCTCGGAGTCAATTCTCGCTCTACCCGCCACGTCAAGCTCCGCAGCTTCATCGTCTCTCCCTTCGATCCTCGCTACAGGTACACGAACGACGATAATCTGCTAACTGATTCTGTGTGTTTTCCTTCTCACATTAATATACATCGCCTGGTTTGAGATTTTGCGATAGATAAATCGTTCATATCATATGTGTGGTGTGGAGCTATATTTGTTGGTTCTATCTGCATGCTTGCTTCTCCCTTATCCTTTCTTCTGACAATTTGGAAAATGCAATATGCCCTTCTCTTTTTTATACTCCAATGTAGCTAATCCTCTCCAAAACTGTGAAATTATCACAACATTTCGATGAATCCCAACAGTGTTCGATGGAATTCTCGCCCTTGAGGGGGACATGCAATTCCTTAATCTCTTAGTTTTAACTTTTTATTACTCAATAGAATCGTCTTAGGCTTTTCTTATGCATTAAACTATATTGTAAATTCTGCAAAGAGTTTTTTTGTGTCTTTTCTCTACATTTTCCTCTATTTCATCAGTTATGTTCTCTCTCATTCTGTCTACTGATGATGAAAAGGTGCTATAATGTTGAAACTGCAGAGCGTGGGATTGGTTTCTAGTGTTGTTGGTGCTATACACAGCATGGGCATCGCCTTTTGAGTTTGGTTACCTACAAACGCCAAAAGCACCTCTCAGCATTCTAGACAACATCGTCAACGGATTCTTCGCTGTGGATATCATTCTGACTTTCTTTGTTGCCTTCTTGGACAAGTCAACTTATCTACTAGTCGATGATCCCAAGAGAATAGCTTGGAGATATACATTTACTTGGCTGTTATTTGATGTTGTATCCACAGTTCCTTATGAACTTATTGCTAGCTTATTGCATAAGACGATGCAAGGATACGGGATTTTCAGTATGCTGCGTCTATGGCGTCTGCGCAGGGTCAGTAAATGTTTTTCAAGGTGAGATTAATTGAACTGTGTATCAATATCATGATCTATGATTTGAATCATCTCCTTACCTTTTAATAATCTTTCTTGTTTTGCATTGCGTTAAAACTATCAGATTGGAGAAAGATCGGAACTACAACTACTTTTGGGTCAGATGCACGAAGCTTCTCCTCGTTAGTAACTTATCTCTCTCTACACGATCTTACATTACACAAATTTTTGCTGTTAGTTTAAGACATTGATGATGGAAATATATATATAATGTACAGGTTGCTCTCTTTGTGGTTCATTGTGGCGCATGCTTCTTGTATTCTATTGCTTCACATTATTATGACCCTGACCGGACATTTATGGCACTTGCGGAGCCAAATTGGACACATACTACTCTTCTAGTCCGGTATGTTACTGCAATGTATTGGTCCATAACCACCTTCTCAACAACGGGTTATGGTGATATACATGGTAATAATTCAAGAGAGAGGGCCTTCATTCTCTTCTACATGATCTTTAATCTTGGATTGTTGGCTTATATCATTGGTAATATGACCAACTTGGTGGTTCATGTGACCAGTCGCACCAGACAATTTGTAAGTTCTCTTTATGGTCTGATTAAGTTGCTTTCATATGTACATTTCAGACATATTATTCCAAGAATTCACAAAATGCATTTTTCATTGTTACAGAGAGACACCATCCAAGGCGCCTCAGCATTTGCTCACAGAAACAAACTTCCAGTTAGATTGCAAGAACAGATGGTAGCACATTTGTCTTTGAGGTACAGAACCGATTCAGAAGGCCTGCAGCAGCAAGAAATTATCGATTCCCTCCCTAAAGCTATTCGTTCCAGCATATCGCATCATCTCTTCTATGAAGTTGTTGACAAGATTTACTTGTTCAATGGAATATCCAATGATCTTCTGTTTCAGTTGGTATGTTTCTCATGTATAAAATTTCACAGTTCTCTACTTACACAGTTTGCACGTTTAACCTTTTCAGATACTATGTAGGTCTCTGAGATGAAGGCCGAGTATTTTCCTCCCAAAGAAGATGTGCTTTTGAGGAATGAGGCGCCGACTGACTTTTACATAATGGTTACAGGAGCTGTTGTAAGTTTACTTGGTGTTATATCAGATGAGCAGTTCTACTTATCCATGTACGTTTTTATAGTTAGATGACATTTCTTACTATTTGACAGGACATCATTGCATGTGTAAATGGAGTGGATCAGGTAAAAGCCGCATTGTTAATTTCCTTGTAAGATTGTTTTAAGATGTGATTTGTGTTAGTTTTATGATTGTGATTTGTGTAAGCATTGTAGGTAGTTGGTGAAGCACAAACAGGTCATATATTTGGTGAGGTTGGGGTGCTCTGTTACAGGCCACAGATGTTCACAGTTCGTACCAAGCGATTGAGTCAGTTGCTTCGTCTGAACCGTACGTCATTCTTAAATCTTGTTCAGGCAAACGTTGGTGATGGGGCAATAATCATGAATAACCTTCTTCAGGTTGGTCTGAAGCTATTTACTTATAAACCCATAGTGGCTTCAAAATTATAGCCGGTCTACTGTTTTGGCTCATATGAGAAACATTATGGTCTAATGCAGCATTTGAAAGACTCAGAAGATCCGGTGATGAAAGGCATTTTGGCTGATACAGAACAGATGTTGGCTCAAGGTAAGATGGATTTAGATTTACCTCTCAGCTTATGTTTTGCAGCAGCAAGAGGAGACGATTTGCTGCTGCATCAGTTACTGAAACGAGGCTCAAACCCTAATGAGACCGATAAGAATGGCCGAACCGCCCTGGTCAGCCTTCGAAATCCTCTGTATAAGCAAACTATTATATTCGAAAATGCTGACTCTCTAACTGTGGGTTTTGTTTGCGTGTGTTTCAGCATATAGCAGCATCAAAAGGAAGCCAATATTGTGTTGTATTACTTCTCGAGCATGGCGCAAATCCTAATATTAGAGGTATAGTCTAACAAAGCTTTCATGAGTACCATTTTAGCATATATAATTTTTGTTAGTCGTGTAGTAATTGCTATAATTCCTGCTGCAGATTCAGAAGGCAATGTACCTTTATGGGAGTCAATCACTGGGAGACATGAAGAAATTTCTAAACTCTTATCAGACAATGGCGCAACGCTAAGCTTGGACACAGTTGGTCATTTCTCTTGCCTAGCTGTTGAACAAAACAGCTTAGATGCACTCAAAGACATTGTGAAATACGGCGGAGACATCTCACTACCGGATAGCAACGGAACCACAGCTTTGCACAGAGCAGTATCAGAAGGAAACCTGGAGATTGTGGAGTTCTTGTTAGAGCAGGGAGTTGATATGGACATGCCAGATGTTTACGGCTGGACGGCTCGTGGTCTTGCTGAGCATCAAGGGCATGTAGACATTAAAGCTTTGTTTCACAGTCAGAGACCAGTGGAGAAGAAACCGAAATCTGTTCCAAGTACACCAGAGGTCAAACCATTGATGAAGCATAGTAGCGAGCCTGTAATGACTCACCACCGTTCAAGGGAATCGATGCCTTTCGTTAAAGCTGTTTCTCAAAGACCGAAGATCAATAATTTCAAGAACTCGCTGTTTGGTATCATGTCGGCTGCAAACACTGGTAAAACATTTAGAGATATATTACTATATAATGAGGCATTTATAAATGAAATAAAACAGTAAACGATATATGTTCTCTTAATTTTCTCAGGCGATGAAGGAGCACCATGCGCAAGAAGTGAAGGAGTTGGTTTGGTTTATCCGGCGAGAGTAACGATCAGTGGTGAGGCATCCTCCTCTGGTAAAGTGGTAAAGCTACCAAATTCTCTGGAGGAGTTGTTTGAAATTGGTGAGAAGAAGCTTGGATTTGTAGCCACAAAGATTTTGACGAGAGAAGGAGCCCACATTGACGACATTAGGCTTATAAGAGACGGTGATTTTCTTCTTCTTCTAAAGGTTTCTTGATGAAGACGCTATCAAGCTTAAATTGTCCTACTTTCCAATTTCCAATGGACTTGTTATAAGGTTTAATCGATTAATTGATCCAAAAAAGATATTGAACTTCATTGCAGAAGTAGACAGTTAATACCACAAATCAATTAATCTCATTAAGAGTTTCTTTCAATCATCCTCCTATTATTTCTAGCAAACAAAAAAGAAGTAAACAAAACTTTCTCTTTTTAGCCCTAAAGGCAGAAATGAGAGAATTGTCTGGTCATCTGTACTTTTTTGTTGTATTGTACATAATTGTAGAAAGCAAAATGTAACAAAAGCGAGGAAACCCAAAACGTTTCATAGACGAAACAATCAGGGAGTTTTTTAGTCGTCCTCTCTTTCCCCATCTTTTTTCTGCTTACTTCTTCTGCCTCTGAACATCTTCGTGCTTTTACTCTGCGGTTTCCTTGAGGGTGAAGCAACATCTTATAAAATGTTTGTTTTCTTAAACCAAGACTTAGGAGTGTCCACTGTTTTCCGGATATACCTGAGAGTATTTAATTCAGACAAAGTGTCAAGGGTGCAAACCAAGTAAGACTTACAATAAAAAAAAAAGTTATTATATATATACCATTTGGGATCTGTCTTCCTTGACACTTACGGTTCTAAGCTTGAGTTCACCTCTGCTAGTAGTAATCTCATCCAGAATCTCTGCATCATAAAACTCGTCTTCACTTATCTCAACAGAACTCATAGGAGTATTATGCGTCTCTCTTAGCTCCCCCTGCTCCACAGAAAAAATACAGTTTAGACATTTTTGTACCCATGGATTTGGATTTGACCCAAGAAAAATCGAATCAAGAATATGTTTACATTAAAACCGAAGCTGGGGTTTCGTTGTGGTGCACCAGCCATCTCCTCATACTCCGAGGAATCTAAAACTTGGAGATGAGATGGATCAAATAGCTTCGGGAGGATGTATTGTCTTATAGCAATGAGGATGAAGAATGGCAATGGGAACAATATTCCTCCTACAGGTATCCATGTCACTCCATAACATATCAGAAAATATAGAAGCTGGAAGAGTGTAAACATAACAATCGACTTGTATGGCACGATCTCCATGAACGATGCATGTACGCCTTCAAGAACTCTGTTTCACAAAAAAAAAGAAGAAGCAACTATCAGAACATTTTACTAGACATAGATTTGATGTATAAGAAGAGGTTCAAACTCTTGGTATACTTGAATCGACGACCAGGAGTGATGAATAGTAGCAGAAGTCTTTCCCAGAATTGATTCCCGGGGAGACTATCAACAGCCATGTAAGTGAAGTAACCCCATAGAACTGAAGTTGGTATCATTCTGAGAACAGGCACTGCTAATATCAACAGTCCAACAAGGATCGATTGCAAGAGATTGCTCACTCTTTGCTCGTTTACTCTAACGGGCAAATGGTCTTCGATATGTACTTCTGGATCGAATTTCTTCCCCTTTGTGTCTCCTCCTCCATCGCCTGCTTTCATCACAGCTTCTTTCAAGTTTTCTAGCTCTTTCACCACTGAACTAGCCTGAACCAGTTTCAGATCCATATGTTAGTTGAGAAATTAAGTTCTTGGTAGCGAAAGAGTAGGAGGTGAACTAATGGAGACGGATTGGTTTATATGCCTTGGGTGATGTTTCCATTTCTATAAAGACATCTTGCATCTTCCCGTAGATCTCTGAGTTGCTTGCTTTTGCCTTCATGCATTCTTTTGCTTTTTGCACCATTTTCTTTCGCATTTGCTGCAATAAAAATCTCGAACGTTTCAGATTTCGAACCAAGTGAAGAGCGAAACTAAAAATCATTCGGTCTGTTCATTTTCTGACCTGTCTCTTAAGAACTGCAAGACTCTTTGTGTGCATAGGGGATTGTGGAATGACCCCATTTGAAGGAGGAAGTCCAAGTAAGCCACAGATTAATGTCTACACACAGCTTAGAAACGAATCAGTATTCACTTTCATTCATGTAAAACTAAGCCAATATGTAAGAAGTTGCAAGGCATCATCATAGTCATACCATGATTCCTAGAATAAAGATGTCATAGTGATAAGCCGGTGGATTTTTCAGATTAAACTCCTTCTGCTGAGCCATTTGTGCAGATACACAGTGATCAAAGAAGTATAAACCTGCTATCATGATTGCTGGTATTAATGCAGCAAGGATGTAAAGAGGAGGGACCTTTCCCATATCCTGCAAAATTTTACAAAAGCATTGATTCTACAACACAAATTATACAAACTCTTTCTCTATTCTAGACTGTAATAGTTACCTTGACTACAGTCCAGTGATACAAGGACTCGGAATCCCAAGGAAGAGGTAATTCCAACCTCCTTGGAACTCCTTGAGGAAGATCTTTGGGGACTGTGAATGAGAATGCGCTCCACAACACAAGCATGAGGAGAGTTCCATAATCCCCGATGAAACCTCGCATCCACCCTGCAATGACAAAGCTAGTTATTGTTCGAGTAATGATTCTGTCAATGATCTTATCTATATAGACAACAAAGAATTTCACATACTAAAGCCGTATCTCCATGATCTTGCCCTCCTGCTTTTCAGAGCAGTGTAAAGAAGACCGAATGAGAAGATAACTGCAAGAAGCCCATTAGTATACCGCCATTGAAACTGATACATCTCTAATCTTGGATCTTCAGATTTTGGGACAAGAAACTCTCCGAGAAGTCCCTGCATAAGGAAACAAACAACCTCTTAAGTTTTAAAAATGCTGAAGTGACTTTTGTATGCCTTTCTTAACATGGATTTAGTTACCCATCAGAACCTTAACAGCCTCTTGGATGAAAAGAACTGTTATCAGCATCCCAAAGAGCTCTCCTGCAATTCTGGTAAACCTAGAAATGATGTTGCATGCGTTTAACATTGCAAGAAGGATAAGCAAAACTGATGTCCAGACACAGACCCTGTTCAAAGCAAAAAAACAAAAACAAAAAGAGTTCCATATGTAAATGAAAGAGGAATCGGCAAGAAAACAGAAAGATCTACTTGTTGACACATACCATCCTGCCCAAGCTAAGTAGAGTTTCTGACCCAGTTCAGGCCTGCCTTTGCTGAAGCTATGAAGATACGTATACATTATAATTGTGGGTTCTGCAACCCCTACTATTAACAGAGGTTGTCCACCAAAAACTGAATGGATAATTCCACAAATAGCTGTGGAAGCTAATGATTCCGCTATGCCAAGACTTCGATCTGAAAAGTAAGAGAGTGACGAACCTTCAGACAAATTCTCAGGCAAGCATCAAAGCTAATGGCTAGCTGCTCACCTGTCTCTCTGCTTAACTGCTCGCCGAATGCAATCACAGGTAGTGCAGAGGCAATGAAAATATACAAAGTTGGAGCCAATATCCTGAAATTGACAGTTAAACAAAAGTTGAACTCAGGAGCAAGAGTTTGCATGTATATGGAGGAGAAACAAGTTACATATCAGATAAGCATGAAGATACCTAACACCGGAGTGGAACGCAGCAAGCCAGTCTTGTTTGTAGCACTTTCTTCTTCCTTTGAAATCGTTAATAATTCCCGCAAATGGGGTTTTTACTCCCTCCATGGCTGACCTTTAGGAATCAGCAATGCCTGTTGATCGATGAACAACAATACTAAAAAAATCAACAAATCATTTTCTTTACTACTTGCGCTTCCCTCAAATCTTTCTATACATATCTATCAATAACCATACAAACAGCATGTGGATGATAACGGAGGAGAGGTATCTCTAAATCAAAGCTTCGCTACCCTCACGATGACAAGGCTCACCCAAAACATAGAAAATATGATCCCGCCTTCAATTGCAAAACGCAAGGTAATGCCTAATAATCAAATTCGATCAGAAAAGCAAAGAGAAGCGTTCATCACTCGAACTTTCGCCCCAATGCTGATTTCTCATCAAACAAACGAGAATACGAATTGAAATCAAACTTTTCCCCAAATCTAATAAGAATGCATAAACATCTCTGCACTAATATGTACGTACACACATATATGAGCGACGAAAACACAATCGCACCTGGAGGCGAAGAAGAAAGCGAAAGACGGTCCTGGCCGCCGTAATAGGCACGCCAGAGGAAGAATCCACCAACGTGAGAGATACGGTGGTAGGGAGAAGGAAGGAAGATAAACTCTGTAAACCGATCTCTCTCTTTCTGTTTAGAGAGAGAGAGAGAGAGAGAGTGCCTGAGGCAGAGGAGAATATTTGAGAATGGAAGAATTAAACGCATGAGAGAGAGAGAGCGAACGAAAGATTGGGTGAGATAAATTCGCCACCTCCCGCAAAATAGCTGCTCTTGAGGTTAAAACAAAATTTTAGATCATTATTCTTCAATTGTTTTATGATAATGTCATTAGTAAGAGAAGTAAATCTTTGATAATCATCTTTTATTATCGAAGTTGAATTTTTATAACGAAAATATTCAGATTTAACTTTGTTTTAAAAGAAGAAAACATCGCTATTTTAGATTTGCAAAAGCTTCAGATGACAGCTTATGAAACGTGCGATACAGGCCAGCAACGAAGGTGATCAAACCCTAAAATGATAAAAATGTCATATAGTAAAAAGGTACAACAAGAGCGGGAATGTGTTTGTTTTTGAGTAATAACTTCAAACGCCTGGAATCGGAAAACGAGAGGTGAAGGATTCGACTCTGTCCTTGAGACTCTGCACTCTCTCCCTCAAAGGAAAATCAGGAGAAGTCACAAACTTGGTGAATTCTTGAAGCTTTGTTCCAGTAACCAACTTCTTGGCTTCGATCGTTATCTCCACACCTTCATTGATGAAGTCAGCAACCGCCGCAAAGTCCTTCTCTGAGAGTCCTCTTGTCGTCATCGCAGGGGATCCTATCCTTATTCCCCCTGGAACCAAGGCACTTTTATCACCAGGGACTGAGTTCTTGTTGAGAGTAATAGATGCCATGTCTAAGATCTTCTCAACCCGAGCACCATCCATGCCCTAACCATAGCAAACATACTCATTGATACCGCATCATATGGTAAGTGATTCTCTGGGAGGCAATTAATAAGAAACTTACCATCGGTCTAAGATCGACGAGAACCAGGTGATTGTCGCTGCCACCAGAAACCAGCTTAAACCCGAGTTCAACCAATCGGTTAGCTAGAGCCTTACAGTTTGACACAACCTAAACAAAGCAACAAAAAATTTGTTATAAGTTATATATCTACAGAGTCAATCATGTGCAGAAGAACTTAATGATCAAGTAAGAAGGGTGAGTACTCTTTTCTGGTAAGCCTTGAATTCCGGCGACTGTGCATGTTTCAGGCAGACTGCTAATCCTCCGATTGTGTGGTTATGAGGGCCTCCCTATAAATATACAACACCAAACAAATTTTAATCACATCGAAAGAATTTTTTTATCTAAGAGAGCTAGAAGGGAATGGTGAATATTTCAACCTGCAAACCAGGGAAGACAGCATTGTTAATGGCAGTTTCAAGTTCAACCCCGTTAACTGGATCCTTCCTAAAGAAGATCATGCCACCTCTCGGACCTCTCAAGGACTGATAAGGAAAAGTATAATAAACTAATCAGATCTTGGGTTACTCTGAGTGCTCTTTTTTATTTTATTATGTTTCAGATTACAAAATACACATACCTTGTGAGTGGTTGTTGTAACAACATCACAGTACTCGAACGGATCGGCTACCACAGAAGCAGCCACAAGCCCACTGATATGAGCCATATCCATCATCAGAAAAGCACCAACTGAGTCTGCGATCTTCAAAAAGACAATACAAGCTGTGAGGAATGTGAAATATCCCAAAAGCCGAAACTAGACAGAAACTATAGAGCAAATACTCCAGGATCTGGTTGGTTTTTACCTTCCTCATGCGAGGATAGTCAAAATCTCGGCTGTAAGCACTAGCTCCTGCAATGATAAGCTTTGGTCGGAACAGTGCAGCAGTTTTCTCGAGCATATCGTAGTCCACAATGCCTGCTCAAATATACAGATATCAGGAAACAGCCTCTCATAAAAGTAAATGCAGAGAAGTAACAATAAGAAATGCACCACCTGTTGATTCATCAAGTCGATAAGGCATGGACTCAAAGTACACTGAAGTTGCAGATATACGCCTTTTGGGAGTCATGAACCCATGTGACAGATGACCTCCATGAGGTAAATCCAAACCCTATAAAGCTCAAACAAACCACTAATAGTCAATATCTCAAACAGTCACACAAGAAATGATGAGGTGAAGATGAGTGCAAAGAGGTCTTAACCATGATACGATCATGAGGACTAAGTAGGGCGGTGTACACAGCAAAGTTTGCAGGTGAGCCAGATAACGGCTGAACATTAACTCCCCATTTCGTAGAATCTAAGCGGAAGGCTGCTAAAGCTCGCTTCTGGCAAAGTGTCTCCAGCTGATCGATGTACTCATTGCCACCATAATACCTGTGAGACATGGACAACAACAGAAAGACTGTAAAAATCTAGCAGATGAGTAACGAAAAAGAACAAAAGAAGGTCACAAAACAAAACTCATTCTTACATATTTCATTACCTTTTACCAGGCAGTCCCTCAGAGTATTTGTTGGTAAGGCATGATCCAACAGCCTCCATCACTGCTCGGGACGTGAAATTCTCCGAGGCAATAAGCTCCAAGCTTCTAAATTGTCTGTCTTTCTCCTTTGTGACAATCTTTTGGACCTCTGGATCAACTTCTCCAAGACTGTAGTCCGCAAAAGGTATTTCATCGCCTAAATATCAGTCACAGTTAAACGAAAACAAAAAATCAAAACTAGGCCTGGAATAAATAACCATTTGCTTCACATTATCAAAAATGAAATTAAAAACTCTCTTACTGCTCATCTCGGTATTAAGTACCGAGACTGAAGACGCTCTCCTTTCAACGACCAAGCTTCTTTCACCAAAAGAAGAACGGCAAGGTCTCGGAAAATTGAACTTGAGTTGCTGAGAAAATTTGGTCACCGGAGACATAATTGGGGAAAAGACAGGTCCTTGAACCCGTCCAGGTTTCTGAAGAGACCCCATTGAAGTACCTCCACAGCAAGCTTGCATTTTTCTCAACTCCTGCACTCAAATATTTAATATGTTACAGGAATACAATATACAGAGTCACTGTACTAGCAAGAGGTTATGCAAATATATAACCGAAACAATCGACCCAAATATATAAGCCCCAAAATGAGTGCAGATATAAAACTGCAGTGTCACAGAAGAACGAACTCTAAAGAAAAGTAATTGGCCAGAGAAGTAAAAAGAAAAACTAAAACTTTATCAGCAAACTGAACGAAATCATACACAACCATCGTGTACTATCTGAGACAGAGAAGAAGTGGCACATATTATCAGCTCCTAAACTCCCAAAACAATACCCCCAAATTACCAAATGTTAGACAGGGAGCTGGAATTCCTAAACGGATTTTCAACTAAAACCCAGAACAGGAAATAGGCAACACTCACCGGTACAGTAGAAAAATTTTTGAGGTTATGAGACGAGGTCTGGGATGGAGAAACGGAAACGGAATCGGGAAATGAGAAGGAAGACAGAGCTTGAAGGATACGGTGTAGATGAAACAACGTAGATATATCTTTAGGGTTTACACAGACACTACAAAAAAACTCCAGGTTCCAGGAACGGGACAGCCACCGAAAAACAATACCGAACCGACGCCGTCTACTTCGATGTTTGGTTTAGATAAACCGGTAATGCTTTTTCTTTCGACTAACCGGTTCTTCTTCTGCTTTAGTATGGCAAGTTTGTATGGACTGAATTAGTTCATTGGTTTAGTTTGGGTAGGTTTTTCATTTGTGTGCAGAGATCAGCAGCACATTGATTTTTCAAATAAGGATGGCAACAAAAAAAGCTTGTTAAACTCGTTAACTCGTTAATGTAAATTACAAACATAAACATATTATTAATTGGATGAAATTCCCAATTTCAATAGTGAACCAACAACAAATCATATACAAACTCTTGTCTTTGATTACAAGAGAATGAAGATGTTCTCCAAAGTGACTTATTCCAAAGTATTAAACAAATACAAAAAAATTAGGGATCCAAAAGAGGTTCTCAGTTCGCTCACAGGGTTTTCTTCTAGACATCAGTATCCATATCACAATGAAGATAATCAAGAAGCCATGTTCTTTCCAGATTTGCAAATAACAACACCACAGCAGTTTCAGACCGTTTCTATCTATTTGGTCGGCCATGTCGCTTGTGCGGACATAATGATACCCACGATAACTCCAAACAACCCGAGAGCACTACCAAAGATCTCAATCACAAGAATCTTCACAAAGAGTGTGGAGTTCTGAGCATCAGACAATGCGCAACTGCTTCCAATGATTCCTACACATAACCTGCAGGAGAAATGCGACCTCGGTTGCATATATGACAATGGAAATCCAGAAACCAAAACTGTAAGGAAGGAGGAAGAGAATGAAGATACAGACCCGCATACAAGGTTGGCGAATCCAACTATGATTCCAGATGCGAAGATTGCATATCCAGCTCTAAGAGACTCAGCGTCATACATCTTTGAAGATGGGACACTCTCCAACTTCGTTTGCAGTATGATTGCAACTATAACCCCATATATAGCTACAGCTTCGCAAAAGATTACACTGGGACAAGAAAAAATATGAATAAGCGCTTCGTCATTGCATACTTCTAGTATCTAAGTCCCAGCCTAAAGCTCTGTAGCAACAAATCAAACTACAAACACAACAATCCTAGTTAAGCATTCCCTAATATTACCCTTCTGCTCAATATGGTTCAGAGATGTGGCATTATAACATCCATAAACAAATAGGACTTCGCTGCTCTCAGCGATGGATTCTCATTAGCGTTCAGAACAGGACATGGAATCTACACCGTTCTCTAAATATTGGTTTTTCAGAAAGATGAAATCAGAGAATGCTTCAATGGGCCTTCAATTCAAACTCAGTTGATCCACAAAAGGAAATAATTTAACACCAATGACCACAAAACTATGATTAAAACCTTGGAACCTTCAACATACCTGATGAGATTCTTCGAAGTGATACGAGGAGCTTCAATGGCCGCACCGATCAAACTACTTCCCGTAATGTAAATTCCCCTTAAATCAGACAAGCCAAAAAAAAAATCAGGAACTAATTGACGAATATAGGATTACACAACCATTAGACATGTCAATGCTTGTATCTACGGGAGGAAGAAGAAGAAGAAGAAGATTGGATATACCAGGCGGCACCGAGGACTGAGACGCCGATCGAGATGGCGATTCCGATAGCGGAGAAAGTGTACGGCGAGATCCTTACCAACGCTGCACCCCACGAGCTCGCATAAACGATTCCAGACATTTTATCTCTCTCTGTCTATAGCTTTCCCCTTTATTGCAATGGTCGTGATGATACGATCTGCTTCTCTCTCTCTCTCTCTCTCTCTCTCGGAGCAGAGAAATTATCAGGGCCTGTGATCTGAAGATATTCAGGAGTTGAAAATTACGCGCAATTGGATGCGCGTGGGTTCTATTATAACTAAGAACGACGACGTTTGATCTGGTGATCGTTTGTTTGGGGCCTTGGGCCCTTATGAGGTTTCATATACTAATAGCCGAGAAAGAATATTTTTTTTTGGGCTTTGTTTTCCACGAAACTAATAAAAATGAAGCAAAGAAAACAATTTTCTGGTCTTCGTTTGTTTGGGCCTCCTAAGAGATTTCATATACTGATAGCCTTTATTTTCCAGGAAACTAATAAAAAGAAGCAAAGAAAACAACATATTCAACAATTTTCTTTTTTTCCAATTTGGAATTTTGAACTGAAGTCTTTTCGTAATATAGCTGGAACATTTTTGAGTGTAGCCAAAAACAATAGATAAAAAAAAATATATATATATATATATAGATCTCGTATTCTCATACATATTATATAGCCGTTTAGGCTACCTAAAATATTCTGGTGTATGGTCTTAAACGTTTAAAACATTAGATATTGGGTTACCATTTACCAATACCATCCATCGATCGTCCAATTAACGACTAATTTTTTCTTGAATAAAGACGCTCAATTAACAAAAACATAGAAAGGAAAAAGCTTACAAACTCTCACAATTATGTAATATCAATATGGTATGTAAGAAAATATTTTACCACCTGATGTTCTAAACGTTATTTTACGTACACATATACAAAACGAGCGGAACATAAACATATTTTACGGGACCATGAGAACTTTACGTCCCTTTAGGTAAGGGCTGTTTTGTTCACGGGAAAAGTATGTGTTCAAACATGAAAATATATGTAAACACACTAACAAACGCACATATAAATGCATGGACAAATGTGAAAACGCATAAAAATCAAATTATAATAGATAAAAAAAAATGTTTGCCAAAGAAAAGACAATAATGGAGGAGGACCGCGTGAGATTCATATGCAAAAGAACAGTGGTGAGCACCAAATCGGTTGAGCCAGGGCAATTATACCGCTTATCAGTATTCGACCACGTCATGGAACCGAACCACATCCGTTTAGTATACTACTACCGGTCTTCCAAGACTAGAGAACCGGGAGAAATCACCAAAAAACTAAGGGAATCATTAGCATACACCCTCAATTGTTATCCGATAATAACCGGGAGATTGGTTAAGGACATTGATGGTACGGATGATCTAAACAAGCGGTGGAAGGTGAAAAGCAACGACGCTGGTGTGAGGATGGTGGAGGCGAGAGCGACCGGGACGGTTGAGGATTGGCTTAGGAGTGTAAATAGAGAGGAAGAGCTTAAGCTTGTTCATTGGGAGGACATATATCATCTTCCATATTATTGGTCTACCTTTTATGTTCAGGTATAATTTATTTTTGTTAGAGTTTCAACTTGGTCTACTTTAATTTGATTTGGCTTTTTCAAAAAAAATTATATTTGGATTTTTTTTTTTTATCTACAGGTGACTGAGTTTGAAAGTGGTGGGTTGGCTATTGGATTAAGCTGTAGCCATCTCTTAGCCGACTCAGTTTGTGCAATGATGTTTATTCGAGCTTGGGCAGATTTAACCCTGGCTCGAAACATGATGGCTCCACCACTCTTCCACTCGTTGCCGCCTCGCCGGTTCACTAACCATAGACTGATCTCTAACAACCAACTGCTTAGCCATTACATCAAATCTTGTGCCCTAATGGCTACACCGTCGTCAAACGTGGCCGAGGACCGAATGGTCACCATTACTCTTCTGTTCCCAAATCCGATGGTCCTAGCCGGGGACAACGAGCCAGGGGTTTCAGCCTTTGAGATTTTGTCTGGACTCTTTTGGGTCTGTGTGAGTCGAGCCAAAGGGGCGAGGAACGGGTTCATGGACATGTCATTGTGCTTAGACGTTAGGAAACTATTGCGTTTAGACCAAAGTTATTTTGGTAACTGCATGGTTTATCACAAGGTTCACTATTCCAAACCGGTTAAAATCAAAGATAGATTATTACTATCTCACGCTGTTGGAGAGATTAATAACATAACCAAGAGACTAGACTACGACACGGTCATGGACTTGGTCGAGTGGCTCAGTAGCAATAACAATACGATATCCAACGGTTCGGATCTCGTGTGTACTAATCTAGAGAACATGGCGAATTCGCGTCCGATGATGTTCGAGAAAGATTTGATTTTGAGCCACGTGTCTTGCTATGTGGAAGGGCCAGTGGCTGGAGGTGGACAGGTCATAGTGCTTCCGTCACCGTCCTGTGAGGGACCAACGAGCCGAGTGGTTATGGTCAGTCTTCCTCAAAGAGAGATGGTTAAGGTTGTAGAGGATGAGCTTCTTCTAAGCTTTTCTCCGATTTTACTTATGGATTATACAAAACAGACAAATTTATAGAATTTTAACACAACCAAAAGATAGATTTATAGAATTTTAAAAAGAAAATCAATAGACTTTTACTCTTTCAGTTACCATTTTTTAAAATAAGCTTTTGTTTAATGTTCTTTCTTGGTTAGATAACGTAACTATAGATGGTTAGGCGAGGGAAAATGTAGCAATACGGAAGAAGAAGAAGAGATCAATATTTGATCAAACTCTGTTGACTTGTTCGTCCCATAACGACTTGGCTGTTTGTCTATCAATTTGTCTGTTTTGTACAAATCTGCGACTGTATGTATATAATAAATATAATCTATCTTCGTCCTTAAAATTCATAGGATTTCTTTGGAAATTTTGTGATGTTTGTTCGTTATAGTAGTTGTTGTTTTGTATGTCTTACGAAATGCGGCAAAATTGATAGACTGGCAAATTTCGTAAAGTTTCGTCGTTTAATGCATTATCGCTTTGATCCGTATTTATGATTGGGCTTATCGGGCCTGTAATGTGGACATGTTGCTTATCCATTGTGTAATGACAGATTCATTCCATAAACGTAGATGTAAGTTGATAAACGCTTTACTCTGTATTTCTTTTGTTAATGAATCTAAACAGTGCCTTCATTTCGTCCCCTATATATATATAACACAGCTCACACCTCTCATGAACATCAGCTCGGCTACAATCTCTGAGCTCGTTTCGCTTCAGACTCTTTTCTTTTCTCCTGCAACATCAAATATGAATTACCTTTGTAAAGCTTTCGCAAAAGATACTCTCATGAGCTCGTGTTGCAGTTGCACTAAACTTACCTTTGACTCTGTTTCTTCCAGAAATTCTTGCATCGCATCATCTCCTTTAAGAATCTTTGCGCCACATCCTGGTGTTCCTACTGAACCAACAGCCTCTTCATCCACCAAAACCGCCTTTATACCTTGAGATCCTTCTGTCTTGCTATCAGGCACCTGCTTAGGACTCAAATTTATCATTTTCAAGTGTGATCGATTTCCAAATATGTTCAATGGAATATCTACGTTTTGAGTATCAAGGACTACACGGGTGCGTTCCTCATACCTCGAACATTGCTTCGGTGAGGATACTTTCCAGTATAGACCGTAAGCCACGTGCACCAGTGTTCTTTGACATTGCCTTTCTCGCGATTAGCCTTGTTGCTCCTTCAGTAAAATGCAGTTCGACCTAACAACATCATCCGGACAGCAAAAGAGGGTTATAGCAGAGTCTAAGAAGCATATATAAGTAACTTGCAGTGATAAAATGAGTTTACATTGTTCATGCGAAATAACTTCTTGTACTGTTTACCCAATGCACTCTTAGGCTCTGTGAGAACCTACATAAGGAATGAGAAAAAGTTAGAACTCGTATAAAGAGATCTGAAGGAAATTCCATGATGCAATCTCGTACAGCTTGAGTGAGACAAAGATAAACAATAATCAGCTACCTGTACAAGCTGGTCTTCGTTTAATGCAGATAAGCTCACTAAGATGGGTAACCTTCCAACGAACTCAGGAATGAGACCATAAGCAACAAGATCTTCACTTTGTAACTACAACCAATTAAGAATAATTCTGAAGTGCTCTTTTTATCGGACAATGAACCAAGTTGCATTGATTCGACAATAAAATATATTACACAAAAGACTAGCATACAGGTTAATGAGGCATATAAGAATGTATTCCTTACAGATTCTAACAAGGAGGATGTTACCGAAGCACTACTGAACCCAGAAGTACTCATGTTTGTACGAACAGAAGCACCAAAACCAATAGATGCATCGTGTTGCCTGGTCAAGAGAAATATATAAATACGCCATTCAAGCCCTTCTAGTACACAGAAACGGATAAGACTGAAGACTTTTTCGAATCTATAAGAGTAGAGAAATTTACCTTTCGGAAACAGTTTTCTCCAGATCGATAAATGCTCCACCACAAATAAAAAGGATGTCTTTTGTATCCATCTGCAAATTGGTTTTTCGCCAAAAAGATTCAGCATTCTTATCATGAAATGGAGTATTCTGACTGACTATGTCACAAAAGTACTTTCTGAAATGCTCGAAACAAAAGCAAAACTCAAAGCATGAGATATTGCACGCTACCTGAATGCTATCTCCTCGAGGATCTCTCCGCAACCCTTTCTCCGGAATCGGGACACTGACCACCTGCACATTCATTGTTTAATAGAAGCTGGAATTTCAGTTTTCTGATAACCTGGAATGGCAAATGTTATCATGAGATTCTCACACTAAATTTATTTTCCATAGTGTTTGCTGATTTTATATATACTATTAAGGCATAGAGTATCCGATATATATTGATCTCTTGACTACGGCATCAAGTATAGATTACATACAATATCTGTATTTTGTTTCCGAAGATGAAGTCTAATTTAAAACGAGAATACGCATATGCACATGCAAAACATGGGAATTCCTAATTGTTTCTGTCAACAGTCCACATCTATACGACGTTGAGAAAAATAAAAGAGTTAAAGTAGAATAAGCTTACAGTTCCTTCCAGCAATTTTAGCAATGACTGTTGCACACCTTCTCCAGAGACATCTCTACCTCCATTTGAGCTATGAGACTAAAAGAGAAAAATATGTTGCTAAGTATTGTGTATCAATCAATCCAGGATAAAGGTAAGGAGTGAAGAAAACTTATACCTTCATACTCATCTTATCAACTTCATCAATGTACACAATACCCCTTTGAGCTTCATCTACATTGCACCCCGCTTCCTGCAGTAATAAAACATCCAGCTCACATAAGCATCTACTGAAAAATATTAGAAACATGTGTGCACAGTACTACAAACAGCAAGCATGTGCAACAAGGTTTTCCGGATTCAAAAAAAGCCAATAGACGAAAGTGTTGAGAAGATACAAAGTTTCTGAACTGTTGTGAACTATTTTGTATCAGTAATGAAGACAAGAAAAGAAACATTTGTAGTCTCTGAAGTAATATGCCAAATACTATCCAGTAAGCAGTTGCTTAGATGATATTCCAAAAGATGGAATAAACTATAAAACTATAAAGGTATGCTAAAACCAGAGACATAATATGAGGTAATAGGAGTCATACCACATATAACTTGTACAAAATCGATTCCACATCTTCACCAACATAACCTGCCTGGACAAGAAGAGTAGTTTAGTTATGCTAAGAGCAAGACTTGTGTAAGGATTCCTCTACTAAGTATTTTTCAAAATGGTAGCCAGATGAGGGATTTTAACTTCAGTTCTGAATAAAGGGATTAGTGAAACAACTTGCCTGAGTTAAAGAAGTCGCATCAGCAATGGTGAATGGCACATTGACAATACGCGCTAAAGTTTTTGCCAATAAGGTCTTTCCTGTACTTATAATCAACGCCAGAGAACATAAAAGCGAATATCGTAAGCATCCTAAACAACAGCTCTTAATACTTTCAAAGAACATTATAGCTACAGCACACAGACCTGAACCAGTAGGGCCAAGCAACAACACATTGCTCTTATCCAACTCCACGTGATCAATGCCATCATCCTCCGTATCAAGGTTATCTGACGCTGAAGCAGACCTGGGAATGAGAATGAGTAAAAGAGTGAGCTTTCTGTTGTGAAACATATGGTGTGTAAGAATGAGAATGGCATGGAAGAGAAAGACATACCCTTTTGCCCGAGAAGCATGATAGATTCTTTTGTAATGATTGTAAACAGCCACAGAGAGCACCTGCGCGAGGAAAGATGTGTAAATGAAACAAGACTCCAGTTGGAATAGGATAAGTTTGTGGAAGCAGGGAGCAGGAAGCTAGGAGCGGACCTTCTTTGCCTTTTCCTGACCAATGACAAACTCGTCGAGCCCCTGACAGATTTCCTTGGGTGTCGGAAGCTTCAACACGGGTTGCTTCTCCTTATCACCGCCATTACTTTCCTCCTCCGCCTCCTGATCATCATCATCATCTTCGTTTCTAAGGCCCTGGATTTTCCAATTCCTAGGAAAAGAGCTCTGGCGGATTTCATCGTGGTCATCATCATCATGGTCACCATCACGGTCCCATGTCCCTTTGACCTTACCGAGTTCGATAAAGCTTCCTTGAAGCGGAGAGAGCTTGAATGGCCGGAAGTAGAAAGCTGTTTTGCACTGGGGACAGAAATTGACGGCCTGGTAGATCCCAGGTTCTCTGGCGGTGAGTGACAGTGGGCGATTGGAGAAGACGACGAGCATCTGGGCAGAGCAACGAGGGCAATTGACGTCGCTTCTGATGTGATCATAATCGTCGCCGCCGCCGCTGGAGTCCCAAATACGGCGGGAGAAGAAAGGGATAAAGGTATTAGAAGAGGGGCGTAGAAGCGGGATGCGAGGAGGGAAAGAATCGGCGGAGACAAGGAATCTGAAATTGCGGGAGAGAAGAGACGATGTCGTCTTCCTCGAAAGGAATCTGGAAATGGATAAGCTACACAACATTTTGACAAATCTTACTTTCTTTGTTGTTGATCACAGCTTAACACTACTCGCCGAATCGCGACGAGAGCGATACGATTCAACGGAAAGCGATTTGGTACCAAAATGAACATTTGTTGTATTTTTATTTTTTTTTGGTAATTGTAATTGTAATTGTAACACCACCTGAATAACATAGAAAAAAAAACATTATATTTTTTGAAAAGAATGATCGACAAAAACAAAAAAAAAACAAAGTATATGCATCTGAATTCTGAATCATGGAAACAGAAAGAAGAATCAAAACGTTATATGCATATCCATATTAGCTCATAGTAAATGAAATCATTTGGATGAGTAAAATAAATGGCAAGAGTCTGTAGCAAATGTATTCATTCGGTTTGATGAGAATCACAATGCTTTCCTCAAGGCAATGATTCTTGATATAAAATTATACATATTGTGTTTATAAAACTGACAATGTTGACTATCAAATTCGAAAATGTCATGTTCATTCTTAGTGACTTCATATAGTGAAGAGGGTTCAAGCTACTGATCATCATTTCTTATTCATCAACAGAAGTTGATTTCGTTAAACCAGTGTTCAAGTTTGACCTTACTGTGGATTTTTATCTCTAACTGTGGCATCTATATTTAGTTGAAACCTCTTCAAACATTATCTGAAATTATTTAAAAATCGTTCAATGTTAAATTCTATTTTCATACGTTAGCAAATTAACCTTCAAAATCTCCGATATCAGATCAAGTGTTAACTATTTACTGTCGATAAACTGTAACTTATGACATAAAAGGCACATACCTGAGTGAGGATCCACTCATTCACGCTTTGCTCCTCCATGGCCATTATACCTTTTTCCTACTGCAAAGTGTAAACCTTCGTTTTCACTTCCTCGGCTTCATTTTTTTCTGAATCAGCCATCGAATTTTGCTTTAATCAATTTTTTATGAACATGTATAGTTTTATATTAGTACGGAAAAGTTGAAAAACAACATCGGTCACTTTTCTCTACTTAGTTTTTGTGTAAAACTCATTATGGTTTAACATCGTGATTAAAGTTCATTTACTTAGCTTTTACACTAGTTTTTTTTTTTATAGCCGACCCTTTTGGCGATACCTCTAAAGTTGTACTATGAAATAGTTAAAATCGTTTTCTCCAGTATCAAATACTTAAATCTAAAAGGATGCATGCGCAAACTTAGGTGCATCATATAAAAATACTAATAACAAAAGAAGAAGAAAAAGACGAGAAACAGCTGCATCTAATTAAACCTATCCACGATGTTCTCATATCATTAATCTAAAATCTTAACCAAACCCCATTAGATTCTCATTACTCAGTTTACGCAATAATGACAGTTGATTGTATACAATTATATCTTGCTTTTTCGAATTGTATATTTTTTATATAATATTAGTTGGAAAAAAACTACAGTTGAATGTTAACAAAGAACACCATAAATATGTTACTACTAACATTTTTATTGGATTAAATTATTTGAGTAAACACGTATTTGGAAGTTGTAAATATCCCGAAATTTAACCAAGACTTCGTTAACAAACCATGCATGGTATTATCGAATACGTACACATCATTAATCAAATTATGTACTCCGCAAATGACAATTCAGTGAGAAGATAGGTTTACAACATATATATGCATGGCGCTCCTTGTGCAGCTATATAACGAAAGTTCAAAGAAAATGGGAGATTTATATATACCAATGATTATAATTGGCAGTTCTAATTATTTTCTTATACCCAACTTTCATCATTACAACCTACCAACAAGCTTTCTTTTCCCATATCACCAGTTAATTAGTCAATAATAGCTATCCTTTAATCATTTCATTTAGTTTCGACCCTAGATTCCCCTAGAAAGTTTGGATGCAAGGTTTTAGATTCATATAATCAAGGATGCTGTATGATTTTATTTTTGTTATTTTGAAGGCTTATCCAGTTTATCATCCTATACATAATTTGATCTTAAATTCTCAACTCTTAAAGCTATAAAGTTTGTGGAGGAAGCATGTGAATGAATTATGCTTGCTTTATTGTACGAACTTTAGCTAATTTCGGCGCACGTTCATATATTTGTGTTTTTTTGTGGAAACAAAATTACATAAGAAAAACAATTTTATAGGTGGAAACACCATATGTTGCTTTTTTGTTCTACTATATAATTTGCATAAATGTTTCTTACTAAAACCGTAAATGATGTTGTTTTGGATTAGAGGGTTATTGGAAAAGACTGGGCACAAGTTACCCTTCAATATACTGGGTTGATATCAGAGAGATATAAAGTCACTGTAGTATTATATTATCGATTCAATAGTGGAAATCGGTTCGAATATGATCCCACAAAAAATCATCTTTGCGAGAAACATATTAGGGAATATACATTTTGAACTAAGATGAAATACTAATATACAAGAAAGATGACATAATCTATTCAATCATAATTATTTATTTAGTTGGAAGCGTATGAAATTTGTCATGCATGTGTTGATTTTGAGTATTACATCTGTTGCAAACAAAAGTGACTTTACCATTTATCATGTGTTAAAAAATAACTTTCCGCCAAATACTACTCGTTTAGTTTTGTTGTTTGATGTAAAATAAAATAAAAAAACTAAATATAAACGAGTATTGGCTAACATATCTAATGATTTCAAAATTAAACTCAGGACATTAATATCTGATGATTTCAAAATTTCCAGCCAATTTAATCGGTGGATTGTCTTATTTTTTCCATTTTAATATGTTTGGCGATTCGTTCCCCAAAATCAAATGGGAAGAAGAGCAAATAATTTACTTAACATTCACGCTTTCCATTTATTACACTGTCATTTTGGACTGCCATTTTACTATTCCAATGCCTTTTTCACCACTCTTTCTATTATCCATTCAATCTCTTTGTTTTGTTGCATTTTCCAAGTTTTATATAATAATTAATAACACCACTTCTTGGCTTCCTGCATCAATCATCAATCATACACGAACTTGAGATAAGTAAATTTTCTTTTAGAAAAAAAAAAGAAGATATTGCTTCGATAAACACTGATGATTGGATTAATTATTTATGATTTCATGGTGTTATGAAAAACTAATAAATTTGTTAACTTTCAGCATTCATCGTTCTTTTTCCAACATCATTCATTGACTCGTTGTGTTCTATATATATCAGAATTTATATATATATATATAGATACTTTCAGTATTTGTATACATTATAAGATACTGTATGGCAGGACACACATGTTTATGATATTTTATCATCACACCACATTCTAGTTCCAATATTGAACTCTTATTTAAAAATGCGATTCTGGTGTGTGACATCTGTACATATGTAGCAAAAACAAAAATGTTAAACGCCTGAACAATTAAGAATAGTTTAAGTCTCTATCTCTACCATTTATTAATTAATAACTAGTATATAAAAACATCTAATTATGCTTCATATGGTCGAACAATGATGGTTGCGGGTGGAATCGTAAGATAATTGAATAGAAGCCTCGTCTAATCCTATAGCTCTCTGATAATTCCGCTTGATTAAACCGCCGTCACTATTCATAATGCCGAAGAAAGCAAGAAGTACTAAGAATATTACTTTTAGTTTTACAGTTTAAATACTTTCTCCGTTACAGAATGTATGATGTTTTAGATGTTTCACAGATATTAAAAAAACAATGATTATTTATTTTTTTAAAGTATTTTTTGTTTGTTTATTAATTTAATACTAATTTTTTATACTTTTTTATCCAAAAAATTATTTTAGAAACAAAAATATAAATATAATGTAGAAAATCAATCTTTGTAAAACAAAATAAAAAAACCCAAAACATCATACAGTATAGAAGAGAGGGAGTATAACAAGAAAAAAATGTAGTACTATGTTTGCGAGAAAACGTCATAGAGAGATTAGAGAATCTTACAAGGTCCCACAAAAACCCCAAACCTCTATAAATTCCAATTCTTTCCCTCTCCCAAAAGAACATTTCTCCAAAAGTAAAACATTTCTCTCACTCTTTTAAGTCTCCCAACTTCTTCCATTCATCCTCTTCTCTCCTCCATCGATAATGGAGTCGCATCCTCACCACCAAACCGACCACCAGACTAAACAGATCATCCTCGTACACGGTCCCATAATCATCGGAGCCGGTCCTTCCGGTCTTGCCACGTCAGCGTGTCTCTCGAGTCGTGGAGTCCCTTCTTCGATTCTAGAACGTTCCGATTCCATAGCCTCTTTATGGAAATCCAAAACCTACGACCGACTCAAACTCCATCTCCCAAAACACTTTTGCAGATTACCTCTCTTAGACTTCCCTGATAATTTCCCTAAATACCCTTCTAAAAACGAGTTCCTGGACTACCTTGAGTCCTACGCTTCACATTTTCGCATCGTCCCGAGGTTCAACGAGAATGTCCGACACGCGGCTTTCGATTCCTCCTCCGGGTTATGGAGAGTAAAGACTCTAAATAAAACGGAGTATCTCTCGAAATGGCTTATAGTGGCGACCGGTGAGAACGCAGATGCTTACGTCCCGGAGATTCCTGGGATAGTGAAGTTTTCCGGCGGGAAAATCGTACACGCGAGTGAATATAAAAGCGGTGAAGAGTTCCGGCAACAGAAGGTTTTAGTCGTCGGATGTGGAAATTCCGGCATGGAAATTAGCTTGGATCTTGTTCGACATAATGCCTCTCCTCATCTAGTTGTCCGAAATACCGTAAGTCAAAACATATTTAATTATTTCAAAAACAAATATCTATCGTTTTTAAATTGCATATGATTTAAAAAGAATGTTTTTTATTATTTCACGTAGGTTCATGTGTTGCCAAGGGAGATACTTGGGCTATCAACATTTGGAGTTGGGATGACACTTCTCAAATGTTTACCGTTGAGGCTTGTTGACAAGTTCTTGTTACTGATGGCTAATCTTTCGTTTGGAAATACCGACCGGTTAGGTCTACGCCGACCCAAAACCGGCCCGCTTGAGCTAAAGAATGTCACCGGAAAAAGTCCGGTTCTTGACGTCGGAGCTATGTCGCTCATCAGATCTGGCAAGATTCAGGTAGGTTTAACCAATAATCATATCTCCTTTATTCAATTTCCTGATGATATACAAGACTCTCTTCTCAATTTCTTTTTGTCTTGCATTAATTCAGCGACAGTTTTTGCGTGGCCTGAGAACCTGAGCAGTCTCTTTTTAGTTATTTATTTATTCTTAATACGCAATTCCCACGAAATAATATTGTACTATTAGCCAACTTTCTAAAAGAACCGTGTTAATGTGGAAACTACAAAATAATAGTCGCTGAAAAAAACTTTCTTCTTCTTCTTTTTTTTTTAATGATGGAAAAGTTATTTTTTGTTTTTCTTTTTGGTACTATTTTCTATATATGCTTCCGTGAATTTTTTATGTCGTCATGCTTCCATAAACCTTTTTTCCGAGTCCGAGCTAATCATTTTTTCTGTTTTTTAATATTCCATCAGTTTTTTACTAAATATCTGACATGTTAATATACCTAATATTTGTGTTTATTATTATTGTAAAAACATGAAGATAATGGAAGGTGTAAAGGAAATCACAGAAAAGGGAGCAAAGTTTATGGATGGTCAAGAAAAGGACTTCGACTCTATCATATTTGCCACTGGTTACAAAAGCAACGTGCCTTCTTGGCTTCAGGTAACTTAATCATCTAATAATTAAGTAAGAAACAAAAATAACATCCACTGATTAATTCCTCGTTTTAAAAAATAATTAGGGAAGTGATTTTTTCACCAAGGAAGGGATGCCGAGAACGCCGTTTCCTAACGGCTGGAGAGGAGGGAAAGGATTGTACACGGTTGGGTTTACGAGGAGAGGACTCCTTGGAACGGCGTCTGACGCCGTTAAGATCGCTGGCGAAATAGCTGAGCAGTGGAGAGACGAAATCAAGGGGCCCACCAAGAATATGTGCAGTTCTCTTTTTGTCCTCATCTCTAAATCCTAATTTGTATTTTTTTTACAAACGAAAACTATTAATTTTGCATGCTGTAAATTGAAGAAATAAAGTTGTATAGATGATTAGATGTGGTTTGCCAGGTTAGTTAATAAGGTCTGTTTTTGTCCTTATGGTTCATACGCACTCTTAATTAAAACTTAAATAGATCTATCCAGAGCCGTGCCTAAAGATTTTCAGTCCGTAGGTAAAAGAAAAAAAAATTCATATATCACAATTTATAAAAAAAATATAAATACTCAAATAAAAAAAATAAACAGAACATTAAAATAAAATGGCAACAGTTTTTTTTCAACCACTTTAATTATCTAAAATAATTCAGTAAGCTAAATCAATAGAGTGAATTTAAATGACAACTATCCATACTGTAGAAAAATCAATTTACTATTAAGAACACAAATTTAATATGTTTTCTTAGAACTCATTATAATTTAGCAAGTTAAGATATGGATTTAAATACTTACCTTTAAAAGTTATATATTTATAGATTGTGTTTTGAATTTATATAAGAGATATTAAAAGAAATACAACATAAGCATAATTACAAATATGGCTTCTTAAACTTTGTATAAAATTATTTGACATAAACATAATTACAAATATAGTTTCTTAAGTTTTATACAAAATTATTTGACGTAAACAAATGCTTCTTTTAGCTCTACATAGGCACGGCCCTGGATCTACCACATGTCACAAAGTACAAAAAGAAAGAAAATTGTATAGTCACATCCCAATATATCTAGCTACACCAACACAATATGAACAATTTCTATCATATATATACAAAAATATTTACGTTGCTTGACTTAACAAAAATAATTATATACATATTTATCCCATATCTCTATATCCAAGAAAACATATTAATGTCAAAAATTCGTAGTGGGTTATGTCTGTGCACCCAATATGAAAAAACGGTAAATGTGGATTTGTAATGGGACAAAAACTTGTATAATAAAATGTGTCACACTTAAGCAAGAGAGACAAATAGATATGTAATTAAGAGTGTATATAGAGAGATGCGGACGTAAGGAAGAGGGAAGGAGGAAGGTGGGCACTGATTTGTCACTGAAATGAGAATCGAGAGAGAGCTGACACACTCTTCTGCTACCACCGCATGGACGATCTCTTTCTACGAAAATGATCAATCGCTCTCTCTCTCTCTCTCTCTCTCTCTGCCGCCATGAAAGACTCATACATACATACACACGCGCTTTTGTAATAAGTGATAACTCTCTTTATATATAGCGTTTTATTTTAGCAAATTTACCCAAAATACAACTTCGTTCACTCACGTGACTCAAGCAAATCGTCATTGCATTCACATGTGAATGGATAATTGTAGCAATGACTTTCGTTTAGTTTACGTGTATAAAAATTATATACTCGGGGGTTTCAAATACATGTATCTTTTATTCGAGTTTGCGCAAACTATTTGCTAAGAATAGTAGAACCACGTATGGAAAGAGGAGAAATCAATTATATTTGGAAAAAAAAGTTTGATAGAATATATCTATTCGGAAAATTATAACGAAATTAGTTACTACTATAATTCAACAATAAATCATATCGACATGTATAGATATAATTGATTTCGATATAATTGGTATGGGAAAAAAATAACTCCGATATCAAATTATTTCGTTTATTTGATATCGAAGTTGTTTTTTCCCATACCAATTATTTTGTTTCAATAAATAAATTACAAGGAAACCAATCATGTGATTATCCAAATGAGTTCTATAACTTCTTTGTTTAAATACTAGACATAAGGAACATCAAACTTTTTGTTGTTGTCAACGACACTGGTCTTATATTACTAAATTTGGTTATATTTCAAATTCTTGTTAGAACCTTTTTAATTTAAGTGAGTACTATCCTTTACCACGTTTACCTAACTACTAATTTAAAAATAAAAATGTATGAAGCGAATATATATGAGTCAAATCCTTTACCAACAAGAAAAAATATTAGAGATTTGAGTCAATAAGAAAAATTCAACGCTATTTTAGGGCATTGAATTCGAGAAACGTTATGACACGCATCCATGCACACCTTACGTTAACTATGCTCAGACACTTACGTCACTCTTTTATTTTATTATTATATTTTTCTTGCAATTACATTATTAAAAAAAATATATGGTTAGGGGCTTTTATCTACTGACCATTTTGCAGGCACTGTCAATTTTCATGATGGATTTGACATTTCTCTTTGCATGTTAAGTGTGTCACCGCTCTTTTAATCCCCTCGCTGCTTCCTTCGGTTTTATGCTCCAATCGTCCAAGAAGTATTTAAGGGGGAAAAAAATACTCCAAACGTTTAATATTACAAGACATGTTTTTTTTTAAAAAAAAAAAATATATATATATATAGTGCAAGACATTTGGTTTAATATTGTAGCTAGTAAGTTAACTTTCCTGGGTTTTGTATGACCAAATGATGTTAATTTATTTCATTCGGTTTCGATCTTTATTGCTAGATACGTTTATTATTATTCATCCAATCATATTCTTACATCATGTTTAATATAAAAATATCAAAACTGTCTTTGTTGCACGTGTGAGAGAATTTTTGTTGTTGTTAGTAATAAATAAGGTGAATTGAGCGAATATAAATAAATTATAGGAAATTCAGGGAACAAGAATTAATCTTGTAACTAAATAGTTATTTGCATATTAATTAACAAAATTCAGTTATAAGCATCAATAAGAAATACTAGTGTATATGACATTTAATTATTTAGATCCTTCATTCCTGTTGCAGTTGATTTCGTGTCAATGATAAACTTACCCATTTCATTTGAAATTCGTACCAGTGATCACATAATTAAGTACACTTTGTTTCCCACCTATATATATACTTTGTTTCGCGTTTTTCAAAACCCTCATACATCTCCATCGACTAATTACTGAATTTTTATTGGTAACAAGAAGGGGGTATTGACAAAGAAATAAGAGAAGGGAGGTGTTAAATTCCAAATTTTGTGTTAGCAATATTATATAAATGGATATATACGTATACAATTGTCTGATGCTATGTAATTTATGAGGATATACAATAGTGATGTAAGAATAAGGTATGGACCACGAAGGGAATTAGAATCGAGATAAATTCTCATGATCCGATGAACCGTACCATCCTCATTGCACTCTTAAGTTGGCATGCACTTGTACTAATCAATCCGCTGGACACATAAGATGCATCGTATAAATCCAAAATCAAAAACAACAAAAAGAAAATGCATGGGGATTGCCATGCAAAGAAACAAATGAACTTCTCTTACCCACGTATCATATGTAGCCATATATGTGAAACTTGAGGAAACGTGCGAGTCAAAATTTGAAATTTGTATTTATATGTACATATGATGACAAAAGCAGAGCTTTCATTAGAATAGACATGTCGTGTCCTTCTGCATCCTGCGTCCAAAATTTACTCTTAAATATATATATATATATGCCCATTTTTATTTTGTAGCATCTTCCACCATACTGATCCATAGTCCATATATCCATTCTAATGGTCCAGCTGTGTTTTGCCAAAACAACTGTGAAATTGCATGTGTGTTTGGCAGTAGTTATTATATTTAAGCGGTTATCAAATTAAATCTCTTGTGTTTAAGCGAAATAACTAATTGCAGTTATGGTATTCAACCACAAAACTTTAATCATCAAATACCATTTTAAAATTAATTAATTGGAATATTGGGAATATAAAGCTATATATATACAAAGTGAATAAGACGTAATTATATACAAGGTATCAAAATTCTTTTATTTTCATTAGAGTTTTAAACTCAAACAGAAAACTGAGATAATTTTTTGCGCAAACACATTCATGAGGTTTTGCTTAACATACAAAGACCAATAAATATTTTTCAAGACTCTTAAGTAAAACTCATGATCTAGTTTATCCATTACCAAAAGAGAGCTATTTTAATGTCAAAATTGTGACACCCACAAGTTTCCATAAAAAGATCAATTCACATTTTGATAATTTATTCCAATAGTTAGAAAATTGCTCTACACAAATGAGATAAAACATTGTTATCTATTGGGCTTTGTACGTTACGCAAAAACTAACGAAATTAAAGACCAAAAACATTCTGTATTATCTTAGTAAAAAATTGTTATCTATTGGGCTTAAATTTTTTGACGGCCCAAATGATTTGTCTTCTACATATCCTTGTTTGAGTTTCTTCCTCATTAATAATCCTTTCACAAGTATTGAACTACATCTCCTCTCTCCCAGAATTTGCCCTGTAAGACCTTTTCTTTGTTTGTATCTCATCTCTTGTAATCATAGTTGACTTATTGAACTCTTGATTTCTTCTAGGTGTCTTAATAGTTTCAAACTTTTTGATGCAACCTCCAAAAACCATGCGCTGCTTGAATTTGCTTTATGCAATCCCTTGGTCTTACAACTTACAACTAACTAACAACAGAATAAGAAAAAAAATGCCTTGGGCCTAAAATCAAAGTACTTTGAAAATGGGTTTATATTGTTCTCAGGAAAGCTTATTTCGAACTTAGTCAATATAATTTTAAAAAATTTAATATATTGATGTCTTTGACCACACAAAACAATGTCGAGAAAATTTTGTCAATATGTTGATCAAACATATTTTAATCCACTTTCTCTTTCTTCTTTCTTCAACACGAAACAATCTAAAAAAAGTAGGATTAGTCGCTGTAGTGATATGAGTTTTTTTGTTCATAAAAATAATTAAGAATTGAATTTTTCCAGTAATGAATTCCACGGTAAAGAAAGTGTTAATACTCGGACCTATATTTTTGTAGGCTATATTTTAAGTCATGGATTAGTAAAAGCATCCTCACGTTAATTATAGCGAAACAGTTAAATTTTGTTACTACGAACTTATATTGCAAGGTTAAAAAAAGAACTCATTTTGCAATTTTAGAATTTTATTATTCTGGGTTTTCTATACAACTTTAGAAAGCCACAATTGTTTTTTCAAAAGTAGCATAAAAGGCCTCTATACTCAAGAATTTAGTTACACAAGTTTTCTTTTTCCTTACGAAGTTCGTTTGTAAGAAAATGTTTGGGAGAGATTGAAATCAAATGAAATTACGAACCGAAAATAGATAAAGGCCAGGAACTAATTTTAACCAAATTCATGGGCAATTATCATGAAGCCATGATTGTACACAAACAAAGATTAGAAGATATCGTAATTATTATGACGACTTGTATTTAAGGAAACGTAGTTTGATTCTATATTGGTAAAAGTTATACAATAATATAGTTTAATTTATAGGAGTCGATAAAATCAGTAAAAGAATTTGGGTCTGTTGATTTTCAGAAATAGTTGAGTCGCAAGTGTTTAGAAGACAAACGTATTATATGTTTCTACTCGATTTAGTTTGACAATTACATGAATTTGAGTTACAATTCCATAAGATCTACACCGAATAAGGACAAACTGAAAAGGAAAAAAAAATCGTAAAATGAAAAAGATATTTGCGTCAAATTGATTGATTATAAAAAGGTTATTTTTGTCATTAAAAGCAAAAGTACTTTGCCAAAGGCGTGCTACGTCACGTAAAATTTACAACTTGAGGAGGGCATTCTTGGAATTTCACGCCAATAAAGCTACCTTCGTTTATATCTTCTGCAATTCCGTCCACCCAAAACAACTGACATGGAAACTACTTTTTGTTCACTGAAAATTCAAGACTTTATTTTTTCGGTCAAGATTTTTCTTTTTCAAGATGTCAATAAAATAATTAAAATATTACCAAAAACACGTTTTCTCCGAAAGAAAAACAAACGAATTTTACACAAATTGGTCTATGGACATATATATATATCTCTCATGTGCATCTATATACAGTATTGAGATAATCTCTCCTTTTCCTCAAATAAAAAAAAATCTGTCCTTTAAAAAAAAATCATCCATTAACTACAGTATTATATAATATAATTAATTATATTTCGCTAGTTGCTACAATCAGAGCTGAGCTACTTCTAAATGCTTTTTTACAGAGATGCTTTCGTCTTTCTCTTGAACTTTCTCTCTCTAAAATTTGTATCCTCTCTCTCTCTCTTCCTCTCTCCTTCTTCCCTTATTTCTCTGTTTTGATTTTGCTAGGCTTTATTTCAAGTACTAATCTCGTCAGTCTCTGGAGAAAATTAGGTGGGGAGGTGAAAAAGGGGAAAATCATTGAATTTTAATTTTTTTTTTAGTTTCTGCTATGCAATAATTTTCTCAGAGGGATGCGAAGCGCTCTTATGTAAGATATCATTATTAGCTATTACATGGGAATCTGACATTCTAAACAACTGTCTGTGGGGTTTAGTTTTGTCGAAAGAACAACAGAGATGTCTCAGACCAACTGGGAAGCTGATAAAATGTGAGTTTTCAATTTGATGGCTTTTGATTTTCCTCACTATTGTTGCGCTGCTTCCTTCTGGGAGTCGTTAATTTCGCCGCTGGGTTTTAGATTCTGGGTGTTCTAAAGCGATTTCTAGGTTTTGCTTGTTTGTTTCTAGGGTTCGGGTAATATAATGCATTGTTTTTTTTTCGTCCCCAGCCAGTTTAATTTTAGGGTTTGTGTTCTTAAGTTTCAGCAACTTATGGCTTATACTTGATCTGGATTCTTTCTGGGTTAGCTTATTGCAACTTTACAACTTGTCACACTTGTTCATGACATTCTTGCTTTTTTGCCTCTAGGGGTTGTGTTACTTTGCGGATTTTCTAGTGTCTATTCTCAGAAATCATTTTTGCTAGATTTTGTGGCTGTGGGGACTTTTAGGTTGGTAAGATTTGCGTGTTTTGGCCAAAGATTAGTTCTTTGTGCTGTCAGTCACTTTCAAGGGGCTTTAGAATCTTCTGGATATTTTAGTTTATCCGATTCTAGCTGACTTGTGTCATCAGGTTTTACGTGTTACTGTCCCAAATTTACTCTTCTCTTTTGGTATACAAGTGTGACTTTAAACGATCCATCAGGAAAGTTTCCTGTTTGTAGCACAACAATTTTTTTTTGCGTTTCTGCTATGAACTTGGATGGTTTGTTTCTGGGACATTGTTAAGGTTAATGTTATGCTCCTCTTTGGAGAGTGACTTCTGTTGAGAAATTCTTAGATTGTGGGTGTTGTTAACATTGCTGCTCTAAATAAGTTTTGTGTGAATGTAACAGGTTGGATGTCTATATCCATGATTATCTGGTTAAAAGAGATTTAAAAGCTACAGCTCAGGCTTTCCAAGCTGAAGGAAAAGTGTCATCGGATCCAGTCGGTAAGAAATCACAATCTTGTTGAAATAAAGTTCTTTTGTTCTGCACTTTTTTTCCTTCCCTAATGAACTCCAACATTCCTCTTGCGTTGTCTTTGTAGCTATTGACGCACCTGGCGGATTTCTGTTTGAGTGGTGGTCTGTCTTCTGGGATATATTTATTGCTAGGACCAATGAGAAGCACTCCGAGGTTGCTGCATCTTACATCGAGGTCTCTTTCTTTGTTTACCCTCGCCACTAGTGATTCTATATCTGTGAATATTCTCTTTAGTTAGTTATATGGAGTCACTTAGCAGCATGATTTCTTACATTTGAACTGTGTTCTCTCTAATACTTTTGTATTTGAAGATAAAATTTTGTAAGTTGTATATGTAAAATCGGAAGTGTTCTCTAATTAGTATGCTTTGGATGATTTGACTAGGATGACGGGCTTTTCTCTTTTTGGTTTTGGGTAAGCATCTAAGATTTTAACTTGTGTGTGTGTGTGGTTTCAGACACAGATGATTAAAGCGCGCGAACAGCAATTGCAGCAATCTCAACACCCACAGGTTTCACAGCAGCAGCAGCAACAACAACAACAGCAAATACAAATGCAACAACTCTTGTTGCAACGTGCACAGCAGCAGCAGCAGCAACAACAACAACAACATCATCATCAGCAACAACAACAACAGCAGCAGCAGCAACAACAGCAGCAGCAACATCAAAACCAGCCACCTTCTCAACAGCAACAGCAACAGCAGCAGCCAGCGCCTCAACACCAACAGCAGTCAACACCACAGCAGCAGACACAGAGGAGGGATGGATCCCACCTTGCTAATGGGTCCGCAAATGGACTTGCTGGTAGTAACAGCGACCCGGTTATGAGGCAAAATCCTGGGTCTGGGAGTGCCTTAGCAAATAAGGCATACGAAGAGAGGGTCAAAATGCCTACTCAGAGGGATTCCTTGGATGAGGCTGCGATGAAGGTTAGTTTAGACAAGGCATGTGTTTTAATTTCCATCTCTTCTATTTGTCACACCTCAGTTTCATCAAATGTTATAACTCGAATTTCCGTTGGCTGCAGCGTTTTGGGGACAATGTTGGGCAACTGTTGGATCCAAATCATGCATCGATGTTGAAATCTGCTGCAGCTTCGGGACAGCCTGCAGGGTGCTGTTCTCATACTTTTTACCTTCATTCTTTCCACTTATATATTACCTCGCCCCGTATAAAATTAAATCGTGCAAGGAAATATCATTCAATATCTCTCTCTCTTTTGCTAATGTCATTTGCTGGTGAATCTCAGGCAAGTGTTACATGGCGCAAGTGGTGGTATGTCTCCACAAGTGCAAGCTCGAAATCAGCAACTTCCTGGGTCTGCAGTGGTATGCAATATTAAACATGTGTTGTGTCTAGTCCCTTGTAGAACTTTACTGTTAGTTAACACTTGCTGTGCTTATTTGTGTTTAGGATATAAAAAGTGAGATCAATCCCGTGCTTACTCCCAGAACTGCTGTTCCAGAAGGGTCGTTGATTGGAATTCCTGGTAGGTTTGCTAATTTTTATTGATCATGAGGTATCATTTCAGTAGGTTAAGCTTGTCAAATGTAGTAAAAGTACTTCAGCTCGCAAAAACTTGATTATGACTAATGCTTGTTTTCTGTTTCAGGTTCAAATCAAGGCAACAACCTTACACTTAAAGGGTGGCCACTCACCGTAAGTTTTATCCATTCGTTTTTTTCTTTCTTTTGTGGTTTGTCTCTCTCTTTTGTCTCAAAGGAATTACCTTTTTGACTGCTGCTTTCTTTCCTAATTTAGGGATTTGATCAGCTTCGTTCTGGTCTTCTTCAGCAGCAAAAACCATTTATGCAGTCTCCGCAGTCTTTTCACCAACTCAACATGCTGACTCCGCAACATCAACAACAGCTCATGCTGGCACAACAGAATCTAAATTCACAATCAGTTAGTGAAGAGAACAGAAGACTGAAAATGCTATTGAACAACCGTAGCATGAGCCTCGGAAAGGATGGCCTTGGCAGTTCTGTCGGGGATGTGTTACCTAATGTTGGGTCGTCTTTACAACCTGGTGGCCCTCTTTTGGCTCGTGGAGACACGGACATGCTACTAAAGGTTTGCCTCGTCTTCTATTTACTGATCTTAAGTGGGTGACTTCAATGTCTTGCAAAAGTTTGAAACTTTGAATAAATAATTTATGGTATTGTTTGATAAAACTGAAAGAAGATGTAGTAGTCATTTTCAAAGGCTGGATGTTTGCGTTAGTAACTGCTTATGCTTTGTAGTTAAAGATGGCTCTGATGCAGCAGCAGCATCAACAGCAGGGTGGTGGAAATCTACCACAGCCACAGCCACTTAGTCAGCTTGCCCTTTCAAATCAGCAATCACAGAGTTCAAATCATAATATTCATCAACAAGATAAATTGGGAGGTGGGGGTAGTATGACGATGGATGGTAGCATGTCAAATTCTTTTAGAGGAAACGAACAGGTCTGTTCTTAATTTCCTGTCTCTTTTCCTAGTTCATGTTTCATTGATATATGTTACACGAGCTTTTAGTTTCTGGTGAGTCTGAGGTTGATTCCTAAAATGTTTTTGCATTTAATTGAAGGTACTGAAGAATCAGAGTGGGAGGAAAAGAAAGCAACCAGTTTCGTCTTCTGGGCCAGCTAATAGCACAGGAACGGCTAACACCGCGGGACCATCGCCAAGCTCAGCACCTTCTACACCTTCAACTCATACTCCTGGAGATGTAATTTCTATGCCCAATCTGCCTCATAGTGGTGGTTCCTCCAAAGCAATGATTTTGTATGGCACTGAAGGAGCTGGGACTCTTACATCTCCGTCAAATCAGTTGGTGGGTTTCTTTAAAATATTAATGGGAGTGCGCAGATGTTTTCGTAATCAACATTAGCCTAAATTATTTGGCTATTTTGCAGGCTGATATTGATCGATTTGTGGAAGATGGGTCACTTGACGACAACGTTGAGTCTTTTTTATCCCATGAGGATGGTGATCAACGGGACGCTGTTGGGCGGTGTATGGATGTTAGTAAAGGTGTGTGTTTTCGCTCAATTAACGTTATTCACGGTGCACTTAATTTTTGTAATCCGACTGTATTTCTCAATCACTACAATGATGCATCTGCACCAGGTTTCACGTTTACTGAAATGAATTCAGTACGTGCGAGCACAAGCAAAGTTACCTGTTGCCACTTCTCATCGGATGGAAAAATGCTTGCTAGTGCTGGGCATGACAAAAAGGTAAGCCAGAAATAATCATTAGGTCTTGTGGCGTTGCGAAACTTAAGTGCCTCTTGGCTTGCAAAACTTAAGGGCCTCTCCGTTTTGCAGGCTGTACTATGGTACACAGACACAATGAAGCCAAAGACCACCCTTGAAGAGCATACGGCTATGATAACAGATGTCCGTTTTAGTCCGACCCTGCCTCGCCTTGCAACTTCTTCATTCGACAAAACTGTCAGGGTTTGGGATGCTGATAATGTAAAGTGAAGGCTGATCGATTTCACTATGTTGTGTTATGAATATGTTGGTTTATGTCGATGTTGTGATCTCTTTAAGAGTTTGTGAATCTACTTTGCAGAAAGGTTATTCCCTTCGTACTTTCATGGGACATTCTTCTATGGTAACGTCACTTGACTTCCATCCCAACAAGGACGATCTCATATGCTCCTGTGACAATGATGGCGAAATAAGGTACTGGAGCATCAACAATGGAAGTTGCACAAGAGTGTACAAGGTACATCTTTTTGTCTCTTCAAAGCCGATAGTTCAAACATTACTTAGTTGCTTTACTTAGCAGATCGATACATTTCATTTCACTTTTGTCTACTTCACAGGGTGGTAGCACCCAGATGAGATTCCAACCACGTGTAGGAAAGTATCTCGCTGCTTCATCAGCAAATGTTGTATCTGTACTAGATGTTGAAACACAAGCTTGTCGACACTCTCTCCAGGTATGGTGTTTTGAAACTTTTCTTACTCTGACAAGATAAATGCTTGTTTTATAAATAAGTGAGCAACTAAAAAAACAAGGTTCACTAAAATACAGGGCCATGCTAATCCGATAAACTCGGTTTGCTGGGATCCTTCGGGCGACTTCTTGGCAACGGTTAGTGAAGAAATGGTAAAAGTTTGGACGCTTGGGACAGGCAGTGAAGGAGAGTGTGTTCATGAGCTGAGCTGTAATGGCAACAAGTTCCAGTCTTGTGTTTTCCACCCGACTTACCCTTCGCTACTCGTAATTGGTTGTTACCAGGTAAAGTTGATATCACTACAAATGTATCTTCTCTAAAAAAGTTTTTTCATATTTGATCCACAAAATCCCAATTTTTACAATCTGGTCTTGTCTTCCTAAACTTTGTGAATCTTGGTGTGTGTGCAGTCTTTAGAACTATGGAACATGTCAGAAAACAAGACCATGACATTGCCGGCTCACGAGGGGCTGATTGCGTCACTGGCGGTTTCAACCGCAACTGGATTGGTTGCATCAGCTAGTCACGACAAGCTAGTGAAGCTGTGGAAGTGAAAGATCAAAAAAAGACAAGGTTGTGTGTTTAGGTATTATTATTCACGGGGAGGGCTTCTTTTAACTTGTGTTTCTCTTTGTAGTTTCTTTCTCGGCCAATCATCTCCGATCTCTCAAGATAGTTTTTCAGATGTTGGACTACGTTGTTGTACGATCTGACGTAATCGGGATCTCGAGGGATTGTGAAAAAACTGTTGTTGTAATCCTAGTTTTTATTTTCGCTCAGCTTAATTAATTACTGACACTCTTTTACTTGGGTTTGGTTTTATTACGGTTAAGCTGCTTGAGAATGTGTTAATTCATATCTATACTGGAAACGCTTGAAAAAAAGGCATTTCACCAAACGCTCGAAAATTAAGAACCATCAAAGTTTAAATTTTGTAAGACCATATAATTGTTCGAAAATTAAAAGTAAAAAAAAAGTTGTAAACGCCACTTATGAATTATAAACGCAAACGCAAACTCCCCTTTAGTTTGGTTTACGCCGGTGAAAGTCTCAATCGTGATGGCTCTTCATCGTCTCTGAGATCGTTCTTATGAGTCTCTAAAATCAGAGTCTCCGGCGGGAACTGACATTTAACAGCTGCGTGAAGATTGACGGATCTTAAAAGGATACTTCATCGAACGTTTTTTTTCTTGATTTGAGATTCTCCGGCGCGGACTGAACGTTTTTTTCTCCGGAGGTGAGTGATGGAGAAAGAAGATAGCAGTGAAGAGGTTAGCACGAGCTTCATCGAACGTTATTTTTCTTAATTTGCCTACATTTGTTAGTTTCTTGTGCATAATTTGATTCCTACTCGAAGAATGAAGTTCCCATGTGCTTGATTTATACTAAGGCAACTTATATATATATACCGTAAAACCACAGGTTCGTACTTCTGGGAAGGAGAAATGTAGTTCAGGTCAGCCTGGGGAAATGGTGACAAATCTGAAGGCGTCCATAAGAGGATTGAGTGCGAAAGTGAACGAACAGGTGATTTGTTTTGAGCAAATCAAAGTCTTTTGTTTCCTAGTCTTGTGTGTTCGTTGATCTGATATAGTTTTACTTTGTTGCCATTTGTAACTTTAGAATCAGAGAAAATGTGATGTTAAGGATAAGCTGCAGCAGTTGCGTGAAAGAATAAGCGCTGAAGGTGTTGATGTTTCAGTCCAGGAGCTGATACCTCTTTTGAAATCACTCAAGGTTAATAAATTGTTGTTGGTTTCCGGATCCGGTAGTCCATGTTTCTATCACTAGATTGTGAGTGGTGAAACTCAGTAGCTGTAGGTTTTTCCAGGAACTGGAGAAACAGGAATCTGAAGTCCGGTCTTATTGCAATGCTAAGCGTTCTGCTTTAGAAGGTGCGGTTTTTGATTTGGAGGAGAGAGTCGCAAAAGGATATGATGGTGAGATTCCTGAGGAAGATTTAGATGTATTGTTGGTTGAATCTCTGGATCATCTGACTTCAGCAAAGAAGGTGACTCTTTCTATGCTATAGACCAGTCTCTATGCATCTTAAGATCATTTATTATTTATATCTCCTTTTTAGTTATTGGTTTGGAGCATCATGGAGTTGTTGAGATTCAGGTTTTGTTTGCTTTCCTCTCGTTTTACTGTAGGAGCTTGCAGCAAAGCTAAGAGAAATAGTATCTTTGAAGCGACAGATTGATGATGTCCCTTGCCAATCTGAACTCCTCCAGTATGCCCTTCTTTTCTTCACTTAATTTGTTTGCCCTGCATTTGGCACTTCGCATTAGTGTTTACTACTTCGCCTTGAAACTCTTCCATCTCAACAATGGATCTGATTTAACCCCACTCCCTCTACTAGTCTACTTTGATGAGCAATTAGCTTTAATTATGTTGTAAAGATATGGAATCATCGTGTTAGGAGTCAGATTGCTTTGCCTTTAGGAATTTTCATGTTTTACTATGGCTAATTCACCTTTGCTGTAATTGTCGCAAGCTATAAAGTCCAGTATTTCATTCCGTGCAGATATGAAAGAAGATTCTCAGAGCTGAATGTCTGTATTCAGGTTCGATTTGGTCAAATTTTCGATTTGCCTTGTTGCTTTGCAAGCCTTTTTAATGGTTTAAAATGAACTTACTAGCTTGTTTATTGACGAATGTTCAATTTCTGACTATAAACAGGAGAAACTTCAACAAACCAGGAAGCTCTATGGGACATACAATGCCCTTTTAGAAATAAAAGATCTGATGCTAAAGGAGACATCATTATTGAATTCAATAGGTTCACAGGTAAACACTTGCATTATTGTTTAGTTGTATTTTCTGTGTCTACCATCATCTCCTTTGTACTGCTCTCTACGCTATACCTTTAGATATCATCGTTAGGCTAGGTTCATACTTAGTTGATTATTTCTGGTGAGTCAAAGCGTTCATATTAACTATTCTAATTTGTTAACCATTGACTTGAGTAGTTTCAAGACGTGATTGGTACTTCGGCTGGCCGTGTGAAGCTAATTGATTCAATGGAAGGAGTCATGAAAGGAATCCAACAGGTATTCTGAGATGTATTCATTTAGGTATCTGAGGCACAAAGCATGAATCTTTTCCAGCGTACTTAACTTTACTTGTATGAGTTGTCATAACAAAATCTTTAAAAGTGCAGAAGTTAGGAAAGGTACAACTTGGGCTTCAAGAAGAGCAGAAGCTCTGTGACACTTCAAAAGAAAAGTATACTGCTGCAGCTGCAGAGCAAAGGAAATGCTTCACTGTACTAAGAGCCTTCCAGGTTAGCACAAAAGAGGAATTAAGTGATACTGATAAGCGTTTCGATTCTTCAGAGTCATCTACTTATATAGTGCTAACTCTCTCAATGGCAGGATGAATGTACTAAGAGTGACAAGCTGAGGAGTCAAATATCTGCTGTAAACACCTCTGACTCGAAAGAAGTGATTGAATAAGGTGATATAAAGCGACTCTCCTTTCTTAGTTACAGCTAAAAGAGTAGAGCCACAGTTTATTTAGACACGATTCTCTTGTGATATGCCCACATGAGCATAGAAGCAGCAGGTTTGGTTGACCAATCGGTTATATATTAGCTATGGGAAACTATTATACTCTAATCATTTGAGGAGGAGAAGTTTGAAATACAAACCTAGAAAAGGCACAGAACACTGCAAAATGGCTATTAAGTCGAACAAATAACAACTTAGAAGAAAAGCCACACTCAGCATCTCTCATATTCAGACTTAATCATGTGGCTTCTTTTCAGGATCTGATACGTGAACCGGATCTCTGCTATCCCGTCCCCTTATGATGAGACTTCCTTGATGTTCTCTACCTGCAAATCATATGCGCACATGAGCAAAAAAGATTCAAAGCTGACAAAACGACAACTCTTAATTTCCGTATCCTTAATTTTGTTAAGTCACAATAAGACTTGTTTACTCTACTCCACCATGTATTTGTAAAAAAGTAGCTAAAATTAATGTATGCTGAAATCTGATTTTGTTTTTTAAAAGAAGTCACCTCACCTGGCTGTGTGAAGATCCTGTGACAAGCACCGGAGGTGGCTTGATGACCACCTGGCCTTGCACGAAACTCTGGGGCTAAAAACGGTGTTTCTCTAGAGCTGCCTCCTTCATACATTTGGCCTAGTTTGTATGGACCGTCGCTTGTGTTGTTCTTTGTCTTCGGGTTATGAGGCAAACCGGTGGACCAGGAGCCCCCGCTTGATCCTGCCAAAGCCATTATCACATCCGCCTGGGAAAAAAAAATAAACATCAACTTCCCCCAATTTCTCTTGTGTTTTTTTGTTATCAAAATGTCAAGTGAGAGAGAGAATGACCTTGTTTGGGTGAACATCATCAAAGACATGAGCTTGACCGCCGTAGAAGATAGTCATTTGCTTAGTATTCGACGTCAAGTCTTTCCGATTTCCGGTACTGTAAGTACAAACAAAGGTGTGTTGAAATGACTTGAAGACAAAGGCATCAAAAGACTATAGACATTAACACTAGAAGCAAACTCTACCTTGAAGGTGCAAAACATTCGAGCTTGCTCGCGTTTGGTACAGTAAAAGAACTCAGGATACTGGGACCTTTCATCCCTGTTCGTGAACCTTCATCTGCAGCTGTCTGAGCGATAGCTGATGGTCCCACGTTTTCATCCTTGAACCTGCTTGAAGACAGCTGATGAAGCAAGTGACTGATCTGTCCTCCTCCGCGTGGAGGCTGGTTTGCCAATGGATTCACATTCATGGAGAGGCTTCCAGGTCCGTTTCTTAGCAACTAGTTTTTTTTTGACAATTGACAGATTACAGAAACTGAGTTCGACGAAGCTGTGAACATGGTGAAGTTGTGTAGGTTGTAGTAAGTTTATCTTACCTTGGACCAATGCAGAGTCTCTGGGTGCTCTTGAGTCGTGAAGTGTGAATCCGAGTTACTTCTCTTGTTTCCAGAAAACCGATTGCTCATGATTGAGCCAGAAACCTCACTTCTTGGTCCAAACAGTTGTATCCCATCAGGATGATTCCCGCCGCCGCCGTGTCTTTCAACTAATCGAAAAATAAAATCTGGATAAGCAACATCACACTCGAGGGGAGAGAGAGAGAGAGAGAGAGAGAGAGAGAGAGAGAGAGAGAGCTAATAAAGGAGACCAATTCATATAAAAAGAAGCATCAGTGTCAAATGGCTATGACCCACCAAACTCATCAGTCAAATTCACTCCCAATGTCCCAACTAATCCACCAGAGAAATTATGGTTGGACAGAGAGTGTGTGTGTGTGTGTGTCTTCACTGCTAGAACTCAATCAACCACATGCTCACACAAAATCCATGTTCATGTTTATAATTTTTCTCAAACTAAAAGTAAGGCAAGAAAAGGAACAAGACAATGTACGCTCACATCTTGTTTTAACTTCAATCCAAAGATGTTGCATTTTCTACTTAGGAGATCTAAGGATATGAATTGACTAAAAGTTTCCAGCTTTAGAAACTATCCCACATGATCTTACACACTTTTCAAACCAAAGTGAATTATAAATCTCGATTATTAAATTCAGACCAGGAAAAATTAAAGAGACCAACTCCAAATCGAATCTATGTAAAAAAAGTTGAGCTTTCTGTAGAGAGAAACCCTAAATGCACAGTAGGAAACAGCTGAAACCACATCAGTAGAAGCACACTTCAACAAAAAAGCATCGATAGAGAGAGAAAGAGAAGAACCGAGATCGGAGGTTGAGGAGAGACCGCCGCGTCCGCCAGCTGAGGAAACGGAAGCAGTCGAGGGAGTCATCGCCGGTTTAGCCGCCTTATCCAGTGGTATCCTGTGGTGGTCGGGCATGGAAGTGGAGGCTAAAGTTGCAGCCTTGGAGCCTAGAAAGTCGTGGAACAAGAGCTTATCTTGCTCTTTCTGCCGGAGACGAGAATCAACATCAGTGGGGCGCTCGCCATTGTTGTGGTTCACCATCATCAACCAGTGTATCAGTGTGGCCACTTCGCCACCACTTCCTCCATTACAGTTTCTCTGTGTATTATTTCATGGACACACTCAACGAGACACAGACAGAGAGAGAGAGAGATCAGAGTGTTTTTTCTGGGTAAGTGTAAAAGAAACGGCAAAAAAGGGTTGTCTTTTTGTTCTTGAAGCTCCTTTATTGGGTTTCTCTTACATGATTTAATAATGAATCAGATCTTTTCAAACAAAATATAATTAAAAAATTCACCAAAAAGAAGCATAAGTAAGATTGTAAAATCATGGCATTATAGACTTCTTTTGTTATTAAGGTATTATTATCATAGATTCATGATGTTAAAAGTTTAAAGATGCACACACTTCATTGATTTGGAGAAGGTCAATCTAACCAACACACTACTAACCAATCCGCAACAAAGTAAAGAGAAAAATTAGTTCGTAGTTAAGTTAGGTAAAGTTGCCATTTATAAAAGTTTTGTTGTAGTGCTATTTAACTCAAACATATCTTAGAGGTATTATTGAATTTAAAATGTTTGATTTCATATTCTAGTATGAGTAGGAGAGAGAGAACTCAAGTCAAATGGTTAATCTGCTGTATAACCACAATAACAAAAAAATATAAGAATATAGTTATATTATTTGAATAATTTGTAAACTAATTATACCCTATAATTAATTATCGAATATAACCTTATATTATATTATATTTTGTATTATACTATATATTAATTTTATAGAATAATAATCATTTGATATAATATTAATAGAAAAAGTTGGTTGTAAAGAGAAAAAGAGAAAGAAGAAGACGGAAGAGAAAAGGAAATGAGAGGAAGAGAGAAGAAGGAAAAATGAGGAGAAAGAAAATGAGAAATGGAAAGGAAGACAGTGAAAGGAATGAACGGATGAGAAAAAGAGAGGGAAAAATGATAAAAAAAAAATAGTATTTTTGTATATATTGTAAAATATACAGAGAATATCATAACATCTGTATATTATGGTTATTTGATGAATTTATGTTGTTTATATAGTCATAAAACATAATTTCTCATACATTAACTCATAGTCACAAAAGAGTAACACACAACACTAAAAAACCAAACAAATGTACAATACTATGGATGGCCTCTCCCCATATGGTTGATGAAGTTGTGCTACAAGATGATAGCTAATGTTGATTAAATGTGACTTTAAAGTGGCAAAGAAAGTACTATATGATTGATTATTTGTAATTATGGTCATCTACTCATCTCTTTCTCTTCTGCTTTCTTGTTTCCCACTTGATTTATTGACACACAAATTCCAAAATTCGATTTTCGGGGCTTTTTTGTAATTCCAGGGCCCAAAAACAATGCATACTTACTTCGGACATGAAATCAATTTCATAAGGTAGAAATGAAATATTCCAAAACTCGAAGGGTTTGCAAATAAAAAGATTAATGGGTTTGTTAATGGGTTAACAACAGATAAAAGCCTCATAACATCTAGAAGATGATGAAGTCCACATAATTCGCGCTTTGCTGTTTCTCTCCACTCCTCTCTACTTTCGGGAATCTTCTTCATTCGAAAAAAAAATTCGTTGCCGGAGATCGGAAAGGGATGGCTTCGCTCGGTTTCAATCTCGGCTTCTCCTTCTCAAATGTACAAATTCAGCAGAATCGAAAAGTTCCCGGAAGTGGAAGGGCTCGCGTTTTCTTCTGTAGCTCCTCTTCCTCTCAAGCATCTCCGCAGGGGATTTCTGCCGCGACGCCTCCTGAGATCGAGCTCGAGTTCTTCGGTGTAACTATCGGTGCGATTTTCTTGTTGAGTTATGATACAATTCGTTTCAAAACTCAAAAAGGAGTTTTTTTTTTTTCGTCTTTTGTTGGTTGTGTATTGCAGCCGAAGCCTGGGAGCGACGGGTCGTATCCGAGGGATAAAGCGAAAGCTGTGAGCGGCGAGAAGCTTCTGAGAAACATTATGCAGGATAACAAAATCGAGCTGTACGCTACTTACGTGAGTTATTTATCTCTCTCTCTCTCTTTAGTTTACTTGTCAACACTCTTACTTTCAAATCTTGATTCATCGATGCTTTTGATTTGATGTCTGAATTCATATCTGGAACAATTTGCCACGGAATCGAATTTTTCATGCTCGGGTTTTGCTTAAGGTTGTTTGTTAATCCTGAGGCAAGTTTTGGAAATTTGCTCAATTTGTGATGATTAGGGAAAAGTGATGAACTGTGGAGGTGGAGGAAGCTGCGGAACATGCATTGTGGAGGCAAGTGACTTCATATCTTTCAACCTTTCATAACATATACTCTTGATTTTGATTCCATAGGATGTTTTGGGCGATCCAACACATCTGAATGTATAGATTTAAGTGATCTGTTTCTTTTGGTTTGATGTTGTAGAGAAATGAAATCGCCGGTAACTGTTGATCTTTGAGTTTGTTTGTGTGTTGGTCTGTTATGATGAGCAATACTTAAAGCGAAAAAAGCACATCTTGGTCTTCTTTGTGTGCAGATACTAGACGGTAGAGACCTTCTGAACGAGAGAACAGATACAGAAAACAAGTATCTGAAAAAGGTTAGTTATTTCATCACTCTTGTAAATTGCGAATTGGAACCTGGACTGTTTAGATCTAATGAAGGCCTTGTTGGTATTGTGCAGAAGCCGGAATCTTGGAGACTCGCATGTCAAACTATAGTAGGGAACAAAGAAAACTCAGGAAAGGTACCTACTTTATGTCCCCATATTTTGGATCATCTTTGTCATGTTCATAGGTTTGGGATCAAACGAGTTTTTAAAATCTTGTTGTGAATCTTTCTCATTGAGATCTCTCTCGCCATTGGTTTCAGGTTGTCGTTCAGCGGATTCCGCAGTGGAAGAAGTGAATATTCCCATGTAAGGTTCTACTCGTTCAGCGGATTCAGCAGCTCGTATTAAAGAGCTGTCCCCTCCAAAGCCATATTAGTTTTTATGTTTGTATTTATCCCAAAAGCTCGACTCAACAAGAAACTGGCAAAGCTCTTTGAATGGGACCAGTTTGGGATATCGAGTTTAAATCGATGACTGTATAGATCGACTAGCAATATAACCCATTGAATTCAAAGTTATGAAACGGTGACAATCAGAGCAGATACGGATTACAAATCTTGGTCGGTTTTTAAGAGTTTGAGTGCTTTTTAAACTAAACATATTAATGGAGAACAGAAAAAAAGATTGGCATCATGCCAAATTGGGAAGAATATACATCATATCAATGTTTTCACAAAAATATATAAAAAAAAAACCCTCTCAACTCTCTTTCTCTCTCACCAAAATCGTCAAGCTAACCGCAAATATAAACAAACAAAGAAAACATAAAGCTTAGCTGGTGCATCTAGAGACAAACCAAAAAAAGAGTTTTTCGATATTACGAATTCGAATATCAGAGTCATCGAGAGAGAACCAATTTTCCAGCCCGGAAAGACAGGGGTGAAGTCAAAACGCACTTTTTTTTTTTTTTTTTTACCTTTTGCTACTTTTTTACAATTTCTTGCTGATAAAGAAAAAAAGAGAGAGAGAGGAAGCATCACTATCTGGGGAAAATGAAATCATCATCATTCCGTAATTATATATATAAATAAATATTTCTTTTCCTTTTTGTTTTGTGTGATTGCTGTTTGGCTCCGAATTTTATATCCAGATTTCATTTTTATCTCCTTTGTTGATCGGTGAGCACACAAAAAAAAAAAAAAAAAAATCTAAAATAATCGCAAAAGAAAGAACATAGTAGGAGGAGGATCATCAACAGCGGATTTCGATAGCTTGAGAAAGTTGACTCTTCTTAATTGGATTCCTTGTCTTCATTCCTGGGTTTTCTCTTCTTCTGGGTGCTCCCCAATTTCACCTTGCGACCCCAGGAAGGAAGACAAAAAACGGAAAATCACCCATTTGAATGAGGTTTGTTCCCTAATTGCTTAGAGGTGCGAACTAGGTTTTCTTAAATCTGCTGATGTCGAACTTTACCGAATTCGTCAATAGCAAAGTCTTGCCCATGTAGGTTTTGCTATTCACGATCTTGCTTTTGATTTTTTTGTTGTTGTTTTTGCCCTAATTTTATCATTTGATGTATATAATTAGGGAAAAAAACTGGGTAATTGATGATGAAATCTTAGGGTTTAAGCTTACTTCTTCTCTCTCTCTCGATTTCATCAAATAAAGACCGATTTGTGGATTTGCAGGACGTCTAATTATGCACGAATTGGACCTAGATGGGCGTTTCTCTTCTGAAACAACAACACCGTATTACGAATCAAGCTCATACTTTTTCTAGACTCATGGAACGATCATCAGATAACCTAAGCCGAAATGAGCACATCATTGACATTCCAAGAAACGCCGCCACTGCATCATCTTCTTCTCATGATAGAATCTCAAACGTTTTGGAGCCTTTACACCATGATGAGGAGAGACCTTCGAATTCAGTTGCTCCTCCGGTGCCTGTCTCTCAGCCAGCTACAGCGTCTTCTTCGTCTTCTATGCGCTCAAATCCTAGAAGCGTCCGCCGCAGAAGAAGTCCTTTGAATTCTGGCCTATGGATTTCGATCGAACTAGTCCTCACCGTTGGTCAGATCATTGCAGCCATTGTCGTCTTGTCTTTGTCAAAACATGAGCATCCTCGTGCACCTTTGTTCGCTTGGATCGTGGGTTACGCCTGTGGTTGCGTCGCCACACTCCCGCTTCTGTACTGGAGATACTATCATTCGAACCAGGCCTCTGAACAGGATTCTGGTCAGCATCGTCCTAACCTTAACGTTGCAGCAGGACCGTTCGCTTTCTCGATTTCCAGGACATCTGAAGGAGATGGTCGGCAGACCAACACCACGTCTTCTCGTAGTAGATATCCTGGGTTCATAAGTGCTGCTAGGTACGTATGTATATTCTTAATGCGTCGTCCATGCTCTTACATGATCTGTTTCCATCTGACTGATTTGAGTCTTTGAATTTGGATTTCAGGCTTAAAGTGATTGTGGAATATTTCAAAATGGCTCTGGATTGCTTCTTTGCGGTGTGGTTTGTGGTAGGTAATGTATGGATATTTGGAGGGCATTCATCTGCATCCGAGGCTCCAAACTTGTACAGGTATTACTCCTAAATGACACTCAAACCTCTGGCTGCAATTTGTCAAAGACTGATGCACGTTTGCTCTCTTTATATGTTATAGGTTGTGTTTAGTGTTTCTTACCTTTAGCTGTATCGGCTACGCGATGCCCTTCATCCTCTGCACAACAATATGCTGCTGCTTGCCGTGCATAATCTCAATCCTCGGATACAGAGAAGATTTAACTCAACCCCGAGGCGCCACACCTGAGTCGATAAATGCATTGCCGACTCATAAGTTTAAGTTGAGGAAAAGCAGAAGTAGTGGCGATGACAATGGTTCAACTACTAGCGAAGGTGGAGTTGTGGCGGCTGGAACAGATAACGAACGTGCGATTTCAGGAGAAGACGCGGTGAGTTTGCTTACACTCTGACTGTACATGCATACACATATACAATCAAGCATCTGAATGTTTACAATGTTTGCAGGCCTGTTGCATCTGCTTAGCGAAATATGCGAATAACGAAGAGTTAAGAGAGCTTCCTTGCTCACATTTCTTCCACAAAGAGTGCGTTGACAAATGGCTCAAGATCAATGCCAGTTGCCCTCTCTGCAAGAGTGAAGTTGGGGAGAAGAACTCTGATTTGACAAGCCAGGGGATCTTAAGCTCGCTCTCTTCTGGGGAAAACGATAACCAGCAACAACAGCAGCAGCAGCGGAACGAACATAGAGTTGAAAACGGTTTGGCCAGCAGCGTTATGTAGATGTCTGACATGTGCTCAATTTCGGAGAAAACGGTACGCGAAGGGCGTTTTTCGTTGTTCCTACACAAAATGGGGTTTGCTTCCGAGAAACTTAAGAAGGTGGAGAAAGAAACCGGTGAGGAAGCTCGTGCGGTGAAAACGGCTTTTGCTTTTCTGTAAATTGAAATCCTCTTAGTGCGTAGGAGAGTTGGAAAATCGGTCACTGAGTTTGAGTGTGTTCCAAATACTTTTGTTTTTCTTTGTTAATGTATTCTCTGAATTTATCTCGAACGGAACCTTCATACAAGAGCCAGGCTTGTTTCGATGCGCTGTGCAGCTGAATTGCCTTTTATCAATGGACCCTCGGCTTATAATATTATCACAATATTCTACTACAAACTCTTAATTAACAAGAAATCGACGATTGAATTATGTTACAATTATTCTTAAAACACTTTGTTTGTTTCGTCAAATCAGTGTTAGAACCGGAAGTCTGGTACAAGATGCATAACTGTGAAAACCCCAAGTGAAGGGAAGAAGCAAGAACCAAAAGTCTGGCTTAACCAAAGATAATTAAGGCTTTGTAGTTTTTAAAATGGGAAAAAAATACAGCTCGGTTTAAAAAGGCCGGTAAATATGGACCCGACTGGGCTCGATAAGGTGAAACGTAATTGGGCCTGTAGGAAAAATGAATGGCGAGGGTTTGGGTAAACGTTGTATTGTTGAGAGGAAGGAGGAGTAAAATCTTTTATTTTCAATTTTTTCCCGTCGGCATAGCAAATAGAGCGATGATGCGGGGTGGATCCATGTTTGCTAAGGTATGTGTGGATTGTTGATCTGAATCTTTCCCCGAGTGTTGATCGGTTTTGCCAAAATCAATTTGCAGTATCGCGGAAGAGGGATACCACGTGGCTCTGGTTCTCGACAGTACTACACGACGCCTGAGGGAGGTCGATCCTCGCTTTCCTCGCCCTATTCTCTTGCTAGGGTAAATTGCTTCTTCTCATGTTTTGATTTTGTTTGGTCTCTTAGCTCGTCAAGTCGAAACCGTGGAGGAGGCGTGTAAGATAGTGGGAGAAATCCTTCAGAATCTTTCTTTCAAGGCGATCACTGCATACGTTGGATACAAAACAGGTATTTATGTATTGCATGCTTTCTTATTCTTATTGATTGATTGAGTATATACATATATATTCAGTCTTTGTGCTTTCTTATCCTCATTCCCAGCTTTGGGTCACTCCCCATTCGATCGACAAAAGTACGTCGCCGAGCTAGAGGTAAATACAAAAAGCAAGACCGGTTTGGTTTTGTTTTGTTTTGTTTTTAACCGAGACGTAAATGGATGTTTCAAAACTCTCTCATGTTCCAGGACTTGGTGGAAAAGTTCAAACTTCTTGATGCCCAGATGAAAGACGTGGAGGCATTGCAGACGAAAGACGTGGAAGCACAACAACAGGAATATTGTCGTTACTGTAATAAAAGAGAGGAGCAAAAAAAAAAAATATGGATGAAGATTGGCTGCATTTATCCTAGTCATCCCCACTTAAATCTCAACCATCAAAAGGTGTGGGCAAAGCTCTGATCAAAAAGGGGTTTTTTTCTTTGAGAATATACGTGCCGTGACCAATACTCTTCTTAAAACAATATTTACCTCACGATCTACGAACTTGCAATACTCAATAACGTATCAACTTTGAGAGAGTAGACTCATTTGGTAATGTGGACGTTTGATTCCTTGTGAGCTTATATTATATATGCCAAGAGAAAAAAAAAACACTCTTAAAAGAACAAGAAAAGGTTTCGCAGGTTAAAGATTTTGTCTTTGCCCTTCTTCTTGTCTGAATTCAAAACAAGAATTAAGAAGAAAGAAAAAAAAAACAAGAATACGGTAGTAAAGCAGCAACTCCATCTTCTTTAACTAAATAGGATCAGCTTCGCAAAATCCCCACCTGAAACACAAAGACGAGCAATAATTCATTCTAGGAAAAAAAGAGCTATAAACTAGGCACGACTCATGTAAATCTCTCTAATCAAAATAGTTTTCAAAAATCACTACAACATTTGGTTAGCATAAAACCCTAGCACTATGCGATCAAATCAAAATTCAATTACACTACCTCTCTGGCTTTGGCTTCATACTTGGTCTTCTTTCTTTCGTACACTGCCCAGAATAGGTCCACAGTCTCTCGGGCCTGCCAGTCCTTAATTCGCCCACCCTTAATGTCGGCGTACAGATATCCAGCGCAAAACGTAGCGACGGTTATGAACGGTTTACAGTGGACTTCGTCGTTGATCATGTCAAAAACCTTTGCAAAAATTCGGCCAGCAAAACTCTGAAAAGTTTTGCAATCGAAACAAAATCGTTAGCGAAGACAAAGAAAGAAGGAGGAGGATTTCAGATGGGTTACCTGCCGGCTTCCCATCTATTTCTTATCCCTACTTCTTCTCGGTTTCGGTCGAGAGAAGAAAGAAACATTACCGGAGCTAAACCTGATAGTACATTATAGCTCACGAACAAAATCAAGGCCCAAAGCCCAATTTCAAATTCAGAATTCAGAAATTCCGAATATGGTGATGTGTGCCATATTCAACATGAATATCAACTTCACTGAAGCTTTCTCTTACCTCAAGGCAGCCATCAGCAATTTGGAATTTGATGAGTCAAGCTGCCTCAGTTGCGTGAAAGAATAGGCGCTCAGTTGCGTGAAAGAATAGGCGCTGAAGGTGTTGGTGTTTCAGTCCAGGAGTTGATACCTCTCTTGAAATCACTCAAGGCTATTCAAGTGTTGTAGGTTTTCAGATCGGGAAGCTCATGTTTCTATTACTAAATTGTGTCAGCTGTAGCTATTTCAAGGAACTGGAGAAACAGGAATCTGAAGTCCGGTCTTATTGCAATGCTAAGCGTTCTGCTTCAGAAGATACGGTTTATGATTTCGAGGAGAGAGTCGCAAAGGGGTCTGTCTGGTGATGAGATTCCTGAGGGAGAATTAGATGTTTTGCTGGTTGAATCTCTGGATCACCTGACTTCAGCAAAGAAGGCACTCTTTCTATGTTCATCTTGAGATTTCTTATCTATATTTCCTTTCAAGTTATTGGTTTGGAGCATCATGGAGTTGTTTGCTTTCCTCTCGTTTCACTGTAGCGACAAATTGTGAAATACTTCAAAATGGTGTCTTTGATTTGGATTTCAGGGCTTAAAATGATTGTGGAATACTTCAAAATGGCTGAGTTGATGATGAATCTTCGTGGTAGGCTTTTGGGTGATTTAGGGTTTAATCTTACTTCTCTCTCTGTTTCTCGATTTCATCAATAAAGACCCCTTTCAAACTCTCAGGCCAAGTATATAGTAAGACAACTCACACAATCAATAAAAGTGAACTTTTCTTAACTTGGCATCACATATGTTTTTGAAAGAAGCAAAAGTGATTCAGTTCCTGAGACATATTGAGGAGCTGTATCATTTAAGAGAGCCGTACAGTGCCCTGCCAAAACGACTAACTAGAGCAACCTACCAAGAGACTGAAAAGATTCGTAGTTCTTGACTGAGCCCTAGGCGGCGGCGTCTTCTGCAGATGGGTTTTCATGAACATAAGTGCCAACTGATTTGAACCATCGCAGCAAGTTACGGTGATCCTTCACATAGAGCCATGCCTGAAGAAAAGGGAAGAGACCCTCGTTCACACCACGCTCCTCTAGGAACCCATGGAATACATCTCTCATCTTCTCATCGAGCTCCCTGTCAAAACAAACACCATTAGTTGATTTTTGCCAGTGGGAAACAAACAGAGTGCTGAATTGCATGCACAAAGCCTTGTTGAAGTTCTTATTAGCTTAAAAACCATTCTACCACTAGTCACGATCTCCAGTGGAAACTTAAATCAAAAGTTGAAAGCTATAAGTAAGAGAAGTAAGAAGGGAAAAAGCTTACTCAAAAGAAGGGCCTGTGTATCGACTAGAATCATCAGACATCTCCAAAGCCTCAAGCTTTGGCCTCATGGAAACAGAGTGAATACCCAATGCATCGGGGTAAAGGCCGCAAAGGAAATGCAGGGAATCAGCCTGGTTTTGCTTTGACACAGCAACATGGAGGAACAACTGGTTGATCCTATCATCGTCTTCGTCATCACCACCGTGAGCCAACCGCATCACGAACAGACTGATTTCTTCATTTCCAACAGATTTCTTCAGAACAGCCCCAGTTCCTTCGAGTGATCCTTTCACTATCTCAAATGGCGAAGGGGGACTCACTTTCTGCAGATTAAGAAAAAAAAAACCCTGGCTTTTAGCTATCGAGTAAAAAACGCACGCGGATGGATGCATATATCTCTTATGGACTGTAAATCCCAATCTCACCACCAGAAACCCTAAGTGAAGGAAGGAAGGAGAAGCTAGGGCTGGAATTTCAGTTATACCTAAGAAGAAGCGAGGAAGAGACGAATATAGAGAGAAGAGGGACGAACCGGAGGAGGCGTCATCTTGGAGACTTCTAGGTAATGTTCCTTGAGGGAACGAAGAAGCATCGAATCCACGGCAGCCGAAACGTCGCCGCCCTTTCCACTTCCACCGGCTTTACTGGACAGCGCTCGCTGAAACTGACGCCGGACGGCGACATTACCGATCACTCTTCTCCACATTTTCTTACTTGTCCGTCTCAAACAACGCGGCGTTGGAGTAAATGATAAATACGTCGATAGCCCTATAGACCAAAAGCTTCGCTAAACGTTTTACATTAAAGCCCAAAAGCAAAATTAGGGCCCAACCCAAAGATATAAGTAAGACTTCATTTGTGACTGACTTTAAATGAAAAAACGAAAATGAATGCTTTGTTCCTCAAGTTATATCAATTCACATAAATTATTTGTCAAATTTTTGATACGTGATACCACAATATTCCTATATGTTCCTCATGAATTGAGGATCAATAATCAAATATTTTCTTCTAAAATTTGATGAGGAAAAAAAAAGAAATTCTAAAACTATGAATTTCTTCATATAACCAACTGGTTTTTTTTCTCTCTATTCTATTTATTTAGAAGGATATGATGATCAGCAATCAAAGCAAGGATCACCACAATCAATGGAAGAAGCCATGTGATTGTTAACTTTTTTCTTTAACAATGATGAATATTACTAAATTTTATGTGAAATATTTTACATTTTCGGCAAAAATGTTGAGCACCAGTGATTCATTACCGAAGAACATTGTGACGATTTATACAGTTTTCATCAAAGAAGAAGTCCAGCTGATCTTCAACAATCATCAATCCACCCTCAACCATCATATCAATCATTCAGCACTCAAGAAATCGGCTTCTTCTATAACTTATCAACTTCAAAAAATCTATACACATCTTAAAGAGTTATTGAAGAAATTTGATGATGCACTTCAAACTCCTAATAGAAAAATTAGAACGAAAACTTTAGCAGAGGCTATGTCTGATGCTACCAGATTTCTAATTAACCTAATGGTCAAATCTAAACCCCATTGAAAAACATAAAAAACATTAAATTTTAAAGGTGATCTAACGAAAAGAGCTCACCAAATATACGCAAATTCATGAAATTAAGAGGATTGAAATTGTCACAACTATTTTAGATATTCATATCTTGTGCAAATAATTAAATTTTTTGAATTAATTACACTATAAATATTCTATACATCCTGAAAAAAATATTGAAAACATTCGATAATACTCTTTGAAGCTGCACTTTTATTAATTGTTACATAGTTTTTGAGAACAGTTATCAGCTGATTCCAAGAAAAGTCATTAGGAAAGACAATTGCTAGTCTTTTCTTAAATAACAAATTACTGATTTTATGAAGAATTTAAATAACATATTGATGATTTTATGAAGAGTTTAAATAATAAATTGCTGATTTTATGAAGAATTTGTCGTCAAGGACATGGTTAACAAGCATCAGCAATTGAGGCGGATGAGCTGGTTCACGCTCAACATGATGGCCATTTTTTTTTCCATAAAATCAGAATGGTTTGGTTACTGATCCTAATCAGATCTTGAAAGCTAAAGACTTTTTTTTTTTTTTATAAGATATACAAAAGAAATAAAAAGAAAATCAAAGAGAAAGCTTTTCTAGTTATGTCCCATTGTAACATAATTAAAAGATAAAAGTCATCATATCTCTAAAAGTAGGACCCAACCACATTCCCTTGAAAAGATTTGATAACAAGGCAAAGTCTCATATGAACAAAAACAGCGAGACACATGTTCATATCAAAACGGGTGGGGCTGATTGACTGATTTCACCTCACCGGCTGCTGGTTGTAGTTACTCTTCTCTTTCTTCTTTTTCGCGGCGGCCAGCTTTGCCCGCCTCGCAGCTGCTTCTTGTGCAGCAATTTTTGCAGCAGCATCCATCTCTTTGCTTGATTTCTTCTTCTTCATCGATGCAATCTTCTTTAGCCGTTCTTTGACATCCATGGAAGAAGAAGCCTCCTCCTGCTCAGCGGACTCACCTGCAGCATCTGAGTTGCTCTTTACCTCATCCTGAGATTCTTTTACCTCCTTCTGTTTATCCTTCTTTTTCTTCTTCTTTGATGCCTTCGATTCTCCCGTTGTGTTCTCCTTCTTCTCTCCATCTCCATTGACTTCTTTCTTTTCTTGCTTCCCTGTTAGGTATTTGCACAAGAAACATTTGTCAGCATTATCCACTGATGAACGATGGGGATCAAGGGAATACTGTGAAAAATCAAAGTGATGTAGGAAACCTTGAGCGTTTTCTTGACCATTAGGTGTAACGCCAAAATCTGCTAACAAAGCCTCAAGCTCAGCAAGTTCCTTCTGCTTCCTCTCTTTCTTCGAAAGCTGCCTCTCTGCCTCCTTGGGTGGTGCAGGAACCTCAGGAGCCTTTTTCACCTCAGGCTCTGCTTCTGGATGAACTTGCATCTCTGTTCCCTGTTCCTGCTCTTCCTCCAAATCATCATCATCGCCTTCATCAAGAATATCTTCTTCGCTTTCACTTTCCTGCGATGTTGAAAGCAAACACATTTCCATCACAACCAATGAACGACAGAACAAAACTTATATTGCCTAGAACAACAAATCATATAACAACAAAGGTTTACAATTAGACAATACGATAACACTCAGGAGACAAAGCGGCGTACTTTTCAAAGCCTTATGAGACAAGAAGAACAGAGCCTTATGAGAGAAATCAACAGCAGAAAAAAGCCAAAAACCCATTGAATGGCCGTAGTTCCAAGCCGTAGCACTGAAAGCATATCAAATCTAAAGAGGCTTATTGCTACTAAACCATTTAAACAGTTTCACCAGAAGGACGAAAGGGGAAACTCCAGATTGAACATACACACACACACGAGAAAGCAAACGAAAGAAGTTTTTGACTTGTTACCTCAACGTGAACCTCTTTAGCATCCGAACGGGACGCTTGGGAAGTACTCCACATGGCCTGAGGCGGAGCAGTGGTTGCGTAGTAGTCATCATCTTCGTCGTCGCTGCCGACATCAGCCCAAGCCTTTGCTTTGAGAGGCGTAGGTGCCCAGAAGACCTGAGGCTCAGGCTCCTTTTTCGATGACGACGTTGAGGAGCCTTTGGCCTTATCCGACTTCTTCTTCTTCTTCCTCAGAGTATCCAAAGCGGCAAACAAGTTGGTGTTCTGAATCGGCATCGACCCTTCGTCTCTCCTGTTTCCACCACCAACCATCTTTTTCTTCTCTTTCTCAAAACAAACAGCCCCGAGATTCAGGTCACAAGAGCTAAAAACGAAGATGGGATCAGCCAAAAAGTGTTTCCTTTTATCTATTTGATAAACACACAGAAACGGAATTTCCCGATTTCAGCTGAAAGTCTCGACGATTGGAATTGGAAAAAAAAAAGCCCTGACGCAACGGAAGATGAATCGAGCAAAGTAAAAGGATGATGAATAAGAAAAAGTCGACAATCGTCGCTGATTTCAATGAGAGAAGAAGAAAAAAAATGATATTTTCAAAGCAAATTCATTGAAACGGTATCAACCACAATAAGATTACGGTAAAAGCTTCTGATGGACGGCGATTCGGGAAAGCGATAGATTGTTTAGGGTTCCAGGCCAGGAAACGACAAAATCAAAATATAAATGGGCGACTCAATAAAAAAAATGGAAATCGAAGGGAGGACGAATAAACAAGAGAATCGAGGAAGCTTCGGGAAGCAAAATTCTTCTTAATAGAAAGCGAGAGATAATTAGATTTTTGAAATTTGGTGTGTGTGTGGCAGTCGTACAAGCTAGGGCTACTGTCTGTCTGTCTACACGACAAGGAGGAGGTAGCGCAAGGAACTATGGGCCAAACCGAATCATTAGATTATTAAATCGGACCGAATACGCGAATCATATTTTTATAATTTGTTTCTAAATATACATACTAAAAAATACATAGTTTTCTCAAATCAATAATTACAAGAAATTCTATATAACTCTATACTAAAAACAATTGTGAATTTTTTTTTCTGAACAACATTGGTTTTTGAAACTTATTATATCTGATTATATTCAGCAAATAGGATATATGTATTTATGAAAAAGTGTATAAATTTACACTTTAAATCACTAGTATATGATTTACACTCTAAATTATCCCACAGCATATGATAGTTGTTAAGTTGAATGATGTCTCTAACACAGGATTGCGGTAGGTTAGCAACACACGTGAGAAAAATAAATAATTTTCTCTTTTCTCCGAGGAGAGCTTTTTAATCCTGACCGTCTAAAAATATTTCGCAGCTGAAGATCCGAAACGTCCATTGTATCTTTTCTGTTGCACATTTTTTTTAATTCGAATACAATATCTGGACCGTATAATTTGTAACGCGTCGAGATCGGACGGTAATCGTCATCCAATTTTTATTTGGAATATGTTTTCTTTATATGTGTCTTAACTGAAAAAACCTTACTCTCGCCAAGCCAGACGAAACCCTAGCTCTCCCGTTTCTCACGGTTAAAAAAGAAAAGAACCCAGCAATTTTGCTTTTTTATTTTCCGCTAAATTGAACAAATAATTTTGGGGACGAAGGAATTTTTGATTTTGGGATCCGATTCGCAGTCCGATTTACCGAAACCCTAATTTCGATTTTGGGATTGTGGCGACTATAAAGGTCCTTAGGAGCCGATGTCGTCAAATAAAGTGATGCAGGTAGGCATGCAAATTGCTCTTTTTTTTCTTTGCATTGAAATTTTGCTTGATTGTGGAATAAATTGCATGGATTTGTTCGCATAAGTTTTTCCTGGAGTGGGATTTGATCGTTTTTTTTTGTTTTTTTTTGCTTTTTGTTTGGCAACTTGTATGATCTTCTTTTACTATTTTGGGGTACTTTTGTGATTCTGGGTTTCGTGTTGATGTCACAGATCTGAAAATGTGTCTATGCGTATGTGATGGAATTTGAGACCTGGGGGCTTTTGATTCTGGATTTTCGTTCGAGGTTTCTTTCATGGAAAATAGACTAGGGAACTCTAATGGAGTGGGAATTTCGAAGAAATCAAGGTCGTTGGATCTTAAGACGCTGTATAAGTCTAGCATCTCGAAAGATTCAGTGAATAAGAGCTTTAAAAGGAAAAATAGGCCTGGGAATGATGGTGATCGGTTGAAGCAGGATAAGAAGAGCAGAAAAGTTGTTTCTTTAAGTACCTTTAAGAAAGTCGATAGCGAGAACGAGAAAATTCTCGACAAGGCATGCAATGGCACCACAGTATTGCACAACTTGGAGGACTCCAAGGTGGGTTTGGATGAGAAACGGTGTGATAGTAGTGGACTTCAAGGGATTTCAGTTGGTTTGGCAGGTAGTATGATTTATGTTCCTAGACGCAGGAGAGATTTTGTTGGGAGGAGTAGGTTCGAGAACGGCATAGTACAGAAGTCTGCAGGGGAATCTGATAGTCAGGAGGACCTGGTTGATAAGCCACCTACTGAAACTGGCGAAGAATCTAGTGCTCAGGAACAGCTCTGTAAAGCCGAAGAGAAGGACTCTGACAAAGAGATCAAAGATTCTAATTCAGCAGTTCAGCTGCAGTTGGAAAATGGCCATTCTAATCAGTCTCCGGTGAAAGATGACCAGCTGGTTGTTAAACAAACGCACTTGAATAGTAGAAAAAGGAAGTCCTCAGCATCAAATAGACGCGTGGGAAAAGAGGCCAAGTCATCAGGCGATACATCTGGTAGAATATCCAAGGCATCACGAGAAGATGATGAGGAGAATCTTGAAGCTAATGCAGCAAGAATGCTGTCTTCGCGGTTTGATCCAAACTGCACCACCCAGTTTCCTTCAGATCCTGTTACTCCTGGTTCGCCATCTGCGAGTAGATTGCACCCATTATCTTCTGGTAAGGACTCAGTTAATCCTCGGTCTGAGTTGTTTAGTTCCAAATGTGGCTCAGACGACACTGATGATAGATCGTTGCGACCAAGGAGAAAGCGTGACGGAAAGGGCAAAGTTCGGAAAAGGCGCCACTTTTATGAAATATTGTTTTCAGATGTGGACTCACAGTGGTTGTTGAACAAAAAAATAAAAGTTTTCTGGCCTTTGGATGAGATTTGGTATGATGGGTTTGTGGATGGTTACGATGGAGACAAGAACCTGCATCATGTAAAATATGATGATCGTGATGAAGAGTGGATCAACTTACAGGGTGAAAGATTCAAAATTCTGTTGTTCCCTACGGAAGTTCCTGGAAAAAATCGACGGAAAAGGCGCAGTTCAGGGTCCAAGACTACTCTGAAAGTAAAAGTGAATGATACATCCAGTAAAGACGAGGAGAAGCAGAAGCAAAAGCTAGAAGACGATAGCTGCATGGGCGACATGGACTCGGAACCAATCATCAAATGGTTGGCTCGGTCTATGCATCGGGACAAATCTTCCACTCTTAAGGCTGTACAAAAACGTAAAAAATCAGAAATGAGGACATCTAGTGAAACTGTGAAAATGAATGGGGATGTTGTTGGAGATACTGCGGGACAGTACACAGATAGTTCTGCTAGTTCTCTTCCATCATGTGGATTACCAGGACCGAGCGGGAATGAGTCCTTGTTGGAATGCTCTGGTTTTCGGAAGGATGGTATATATCCTATTGTCTATTATAGGAGACGACTTCATACAGCAAAAAAAGGAATCTACAAGGGGTTAGAGGACAATAGTGTTGAGCAGCTTCATGTATCGAAAATTCCGGATCCTGATGTTGAGTTTTTGCCTTTTGAAGATTCTGGGCTTCTGGAGCTTTATTGTCCGTGGAATGACACAAAGCAGTTTGAGTTGTCCCTCAACCTACAGGTTGTTTCTTTGATGGGCTACTTTCTTATGGCAGATGTTGGCTGGCTTTCACATGTGGCTCTTTTGCTTCATCATGGTACATTGGTTACTTTGTGGCCAAGCGTTTGTTTGGAAATGATTTTCCTGAGTAACCAAGATGGGTTAAGGTATCTTATTTTTGAAGGCTGCTTAATGGAAGTTGTTCAGTTGATTTTCCGTATCTTGACGGCAGTAGATCATTCTAATAAGCAAGGAGCACAAGGAGCGGATGCTGACTTGCAGTTGCCAGTTTTCTCAATTGGTCTCCAAGTTTCTTGCATCCCAGGTTTCCAGAGACAGTGTGCATTTCAGTTCTATAGTTTCCATGAAGTAAAACATTCAAAGTGGTCATACTTGGAACATAATGTCAGGAGGCATTCTGTGCTGGTTAAGCAAGTATCAACTTCAGAGTGTACACATGATAACATGAAGGCCCTGCAGAAGGTACAGTGATTCTTTAATGCATTATTTTGGTTTATTCCTTGGTGGATTTTTAATTTTAGTTTGTATCTCTGTGCCAACGTGTTTTTGTTTTTTTAATTCGAACAACAGGTTATGCAGAAGAGATCTAGGCATGGAATTAGCTCAGGCCTTGTTTCTAAAGAATCGTCATCCGTTAAAGCCTGGCCCACATCTGCTGGCTACAAGAAGCAAAGTGCGTCCCCTTTTGCACTTCCTTTTGCTGCACGACCACCTACACTATTACTCAATATGGTGAGAGAGCTGGGTCTTGATTCAGCAAAATACCTGGGAACTGAACGCGATTTGGTAACAGATGGAGGTTGTGATATGGGTCATATGGCAGGTTGCACAAATGGGCATTCTGAACCTTCTCTCAAGAGTAAGGGCCAAAGTAATGGACCAACTATCACTTCTTCCGGAGGGCAGGTAGCGCAAGAGTCAGAAGACCTTCATACACCTTCTCAAAGGCAGCAGCTGAGGTCTAATTCTGAAAACTGGATGTCATGCAGTTCGTCTGTTGTCAGACAGAAGCACGAAACCAGGTCTAACGTTTCCGTGGATGGCATGAGTATTCAAGTTCCAATATCTGATCATTGTGATGATGGTGCTACGCAGTCAAGTAATCTAGCCTTGACTATTCAAGGTAGCACCTCAAGTCCCAAGGCCACTGCCCCAAGAAGTATGTGGGCTCGAAGTAAAAATTCTTTAATTGGCCATCTCTCACATGGTTGGTCGGATTCAAAGGGAGATTTTCTGCCCACTAATTTGGGAAATGGGCCTAAGAAGCGACGCACCCAGGTGTCGTATTCATTGCCTTCTGGGGGTTCTGATTCTAGAAACAAAGGTTCCCTGCACAAGGGGCTTCCGAACAAAAGAATTAGAAGGTCTGCTGCTGATGTTACCAGAGGTCCTCAGAAAGATTTGGAGTCTAGTTTCTGTGATGGCAATGTGTTAGTCACTCTTGGTGACAGAGGCTGGAGAGAATATGGAGCTCAGATTTTCCTGGAACCTTTTGATAATAATAATGAATGGAGACTTGTGGTGAAAATCTCAGGGACAACAAAATACTCACACAGGGCACATCAGTTTCTGCAGCCTGGGTCGACAAATAGGTTTACACATGCTATGATGTGGAAAGGTGGAAAAGATTGGACCTTAGAGTTCCCTGATAGGGGCCAGTGGTCTCTTTTCAAAGAGATGCATGAAGAGTGCTACAATAGAAATACTCGCGCTGCTTTAGTTAGAAATATTCCTATTCCTGGCATCCGCATGATAGAAAAAGACAATTTTGATGGAACAGAAAGTGAGTTTATCCGCAGTTCTTCTAAATATTTCCGGCAGACTGAAACTGATGTTGAGATGGCATTGGATCCTACACGTGTTTTGTATGACATGGACAGTGATGATGAGCAGTGCCTTAGGAGAATTCGTGAGTGTTCGGATGCTGAGAATAGTGGTTCTTGTGAGATCACTGAGGACATGTTTGAGAAGGCAATGGACATGTTTGAGAAAGCTTCATATGTAAAACAGCGTGATCACTTTACCTTAATCGAAATTCAAGAACTGATGGCCGGAGTTGGATCCTTGGAAGCAATGGAAACAATATATGAGCTTTGGAGAACAAAAAGGCAGAGGAAGGGAATGCCATTAATCAGACATCTTCAGGTACGATCTCTGATGCCTTTCCGTCTCTTATTTTATTTGATTATCTCTGTCTTTCAAAATCTGCATGGTTAGACTCTACATAGATCTTTATATACTTGGGGTGAAACGCAGATTTGTGGACAGTAGTCAATGTTTTAGCATCCTCGTCTACCAATTTTACTGCTTGTCGATTACTCTTAATGGCTGGTTCAACAGTAATGTAGTTATTATCCTGTTGCAATATGTGTGAACAACAATACTGGTCATTTCATTTTAGTTTGTCTGCTGCAATATTTTTATATTTGTGCGTAACATAACACATGTTTTTCTACCTCTGCCATTCAGCCACCTCTGTGGGAAAAATATCAACGAGAGCTCAAAAACTGGGAGTTGGTTATGAGCAAAGCAAACACTCCAATCTCCTATCGGTCACAAAACAAAGAGTCACCTATTGAGAAGCCAGCGATGTTTGCTTTCTGTTTTAAGCCTCGAGGTTTGGAAGTGAAGCACAGGGGAACAAAGCACAGGTCACAGAAGAAACTATCGGTTTATTCTCCACATAGTGCCGCTTTGGGAGACTATGATGTCTATAACTCATCTGGTAACTCACTTTTACCTGCTTTGTTTTCTAAATCCTCTATTGACATCTGGTTCTTCTATATGAGTTTTGTCTTTAATCCAAAATTTCCATTTATCTAGCAGGAAGAAGATCTGTTGGTTTCTCCTCTGGAGAAGAGAGGTTTTTATATTCAAACCACAACTATGAGCACTCGGACGAATTTCCTGGAACCTATTCGCCCCGTGACCTAGGCGTGGGATATTTTTCGACCGGTGGAAACGGATATCATAGGAATCACCAAAACAAGTTTCAAAGAATCAACGGGAAGAAGAATATGAGTGAACGATGGAATGCAGGGTATTCTGAGTCCCCTAGTTCCAACCTTCTTTGTTACTCTAACGGATCACAGCGTCTTGATCTGGAAGAATTACATAATAGTGCAGATATTGATGAGCACAAATTACGAGATGCAGCTGGTGCTGCAAGGCGTGCATGCGCTCTGGCCAAGCTCAAGCGAGAAAGAGCAGAGAGATTGAGATACAAAGCAGATCTAGCGATCCAGAAAGCTGCAGCTGCTCTCATGTGTGCAGAGGCAGTCAAAGCTTCTTCTGCTGACCAAAACAGCCACGGCTCAGAAAGCTCAAGCGAAGGATGAAACTTCTTTTGCGCACCTCTTGAGGAAAAGAAGAGATTCGACATGTTTTGTTCTTCACACAAGACCCGGTCATGACACGAACCCAAAGAACCTCCACTGTACAGCAATTTGCCACCCTCCCGCTTTAAGTAAGCTATATTTTGATGCAGCAATAACACCGAATTGGTTTTAAACTCTTATCTCTCATGTACCCATCGGCTGAAACATCGTTAGTAGTAGTTAAGAAGAGACAAGGGACAAAAACAAAAAAAGAGAGATGGTACAAAGAAAAGAAAAAGAGAAGAAAAGAAAGAGGAGATTGTAAGTAATTTGGTTTATTAGCTTATCTTGGTAGAGTGATTCAGTTTGAGCAAAGATTCTTGTGCTGCAAGTATTTTGCAGTGCTCTTCTTCACCACCTTTCTCTTGTCTGCCTTCTTTTTCTTTTATTTATAGATCAATCTTAAAACGAAGCCAAGATGCATGTGTTCGGTTAAAACAAGTGAGTAGGAGCTTTTAACCGATAAATATTATCAGGTTACAATTATGAAATGGATGGTTCAACCATACATATGATGCTTTTGAGTTGTGAGGTTATAGAATGATGTTTAAGGAGGGGATCGATATACGACGCAAAAGTGACCTCTACAAGTTTATTATATATACAATTTTTACAAGTAAAATCATCTTCTATAATCTCATACAGTAAATCCATGTGAGTAGTCAGAAATCATTCTCTTAGAACATAAGAAACAAACACAAAAACAAAAGAAATTAATAATATAAGGTAGATAACCAGAACAGTTTTTTCTACATCTTTCTTTGCTATATATTCTTGTTCTTAGTATCTGATCAGTGGAATTTCAACGGCGGGAAACCTTTTAAGTCAGCAATTTTGTCGGACAATGTCTCTCCTTCCTTTGCTGGCTTTTTCTCTATTTTTGTCATCTCTCTGCACAACCTGAGACACCTTCTTTCTCTTCCTTTCACCTCCATTCTCTTTTTTTTTTCTTCTGCTGTTTCCTCTTCTTCTTCTTTGTTGTAAGGCTTTTCTCTTCTCTCTCTCTCTCTCTTTTTTTGCATTTCTTTTTAAGGTTTTCAACATTTTAGAGCACAAGGGTTTCAAACTTGAAAATTTCTTGAAGAGGGTTTTTGAGACAATGTACATGATGAGTTCTACTCGGCGGATGAAAGAAATTAGATTATTGTTATGTGTAACGTAATGAGTTTCCAGAAACAATCTTGCAACCCCTTATCTTAAAGATTGAAATATGCACGAGATAATAACCTCATCAATGCTTCTGGCTCAAGATTGTATTTTCTTTTTTTTTGTCTCAGGTGATTTGGTAATAATGGCATTGCTCATTGATAGGTATTTTCATTTGAGATAATTGAATTTCTTGATGAGAGGGCTATTTTTAATTTTCCAAACAATGGGGAGCAGGATTAAGGAAGACGAGCGAATTGAAAAGGCTATCCGGAGTTTATTGAAGCTTCCCGGGAACCGAAGATGCATCAATTGCAACAGTCTGGTACACATTATACATTTTGATTATATGTCTCAATGTAGTTGTCTCCTTTAAGTTTGTAACATCTCTGTCTTGCAGGGTCCACAATATGTCTGCTCAACTTTCAGGACTTTTGTCTGCATCAACTGCAGCGGAATCCAGTAATGAAGTCTTTTTTTTTTTGTTTCTGAAGTTTCCTTCTTTTCCTTTGATTTCTTCTCTATTAAAAGCGTCTCTTCCAATTCTATTATACATATACATGTGTGTGTGCGTAAGACTCCTCTTCTTTTTGTGTATATCCAGTCGAGAATTCACACATCGTGTGAAATCTATATCAATGGCCACGTTCACGGCAGAAGAAGTTAGTGCACTTCGCGCAGGAGGAAACGAGGTTTGTGGTGATATTGAACATCTGTTGTCTTAGATCTTGATCTTATCTTTTGCTTTGTTCTTTTGCAGCGAGCCAGACAAATTTATTTTAAAGAATGGGACTCTCAGCGTGATGCTTACCCCGATGGCAGGTTCTTGGCCATTTTATTAATTCTCAGCCACGTTAACACTAAGGAGTAGCAAAACTATATGTTAAAAACCTCAAATTTCTTTGTTCTTTTTCATCAGTAATATCGTGAAGCTCCGAGTTTTTATCAGAAGTGTGTATGTGGACAAAAAATACAGTAGTGGGAGCAATGACAAGACCTCAGAGCTGAAACCAGTAAACTCTTATATCCTTTCTTTGTTTACAACATGGCTGTATACATTTTTGGAGTTTCCTTTTTAACCAAACTCAGTGATGTTGTTTCCATTCAGGCTGTCATAGAAGATTACAGGGAAAGTAAGAAGGGAAGTTCAAGTTTCTTCGGATCTAGAAGCTTACACTCTCTGGATAAACCTGAAATTGACAGAGCTAGTTCTGGTGGGAGGAGTGGAAATGAATCTCTCAAGTTTTATTTTGATGATAAGAAACATAAACAACAACAACATGTCGCACATAATCCAAAGTCTAGAGGTTTACCAAAGAGTCCTATCCGGTTTGAGATTGTTGATGACAGGTTTAGAGACGACGGAGGTGTTAAGAGATATGAGACGCGTAGAGAGTTAAGAGGAAGCTCCAAATCACTTGACCTCTCTAGTAACAAAGACACGCCGAGTTTCCCCATTGTACGCCACGCCAGTGAACTAGGGAATGTTGTCAAAGCTGAGAAAAAGAAGGATCCGGTGAATACTCAGGCAAGCAATAAATATCTTGTGTTGTGTTGTACACATTGATGATCTATAGTTAAGATGTGAAACAAGTTGCATTTCTTTTTTGCAGATGACTGCATCGTCTGATAAAATGGAGAACATTGGAAGTTTGATTGATGATGTGCCAGTTGTTGACAAGGTCAGCCAGAACTCGAATGAACTTCCTGCATCTCTGAAAAAGACTGAGGATCCAGCTCCTAATTCTTTGGAAGCTTTGTTGTTTGGATTCTCTGTTCCTTCTGTTGTTGATGACCCCGGAACAAACAACTCTCTAGAAAATTATCTTGGGACCCAGGAGATGCCAAGAACACCAGACAGTGCTACAACTTTTGTCACATCACCTACAGTTGCACAACCCGGTTCTTCAGTGCCAGCGTTTTCTGTTTCTGATGATACCCTATATACAGAAGATATGGCAAATAACCAGGTTGGTGTCTGAGGGAGTTTTCTAAACACACATTTATACAAAGAAAGAAATAAGATAATATGAGTATCCAGGATTCAAGAGTTTAAAATGCATCAACTGTCAGTGATTTTTAGAAAAGCAGACCAGATCATTAGCAGATTTTGAAAAAGAATCAAAAGTTTAAAGTTTATACCTTTCTTTCCATGGAATTTGCTAGTGGGAGTCATCTACATCACCTATGGAACAGTCAACTCTGGATATCTCAAATGCTGCTAATGGAGATGGATCTGAGCATCATCAAGATGAGACAACATCTAGCGTAAGAACGGCGCTTCCCGAGGTAACAAACCTTTTCTTTTTAGCTTAATATCGGATTCTCTTTTGGGCATCGCCAGTCACAAGAATCTAACCATGCCAAGAACCAGATTTGAACTGGTGACACGAGGATTTTCAGTCCTCTGCTCTACCAACTGAGCTATCCCGACCATTAGTCAAGTATCATCCTCATTTTACTATATGACTTAGGTCTATGTCAATTAAAAGAAACACAAAAGTAGTAAATGAAAAAGTTTTGGACCGGAAATTTCTTGGATCTTCGAAAAGAAAACTTTCTAAGTTTTAGAAATGAATAATGATATAGATTCTAAATAATTGGCAGGACCTTTTCACTGGAGGCTTCTCATTTGCCTCCCCGCAAGTTCATAGTCAACATCATGGCATGGGATATGGCATGCAGTATTACCAGTATCCAATGGTATATTTTCATTTGTCATTGGTTGAATGTTGCAGGATTTGATCGATAGGTTCTGAGCTTTTCTTACCTGATATATCCTTTTCTTGGCAGAGTACGGGTGCCTTCACATACACGGCAAAACCATCAAATCCATTTGATCTTAGCTGTGATGATACAGTTCCAAACCAAACATCACAAGTATGAAACCTACATCCAGATCATAAGCTTGCCTCTCTGTTTCCTGTTAATTTATTTGATATCTCTCAGATGCCACTATTGCTCACCTATTATAATAAGATGAAAATGCAAATCCTAAGTTCGAAATTGCTCTTCTTTATTTGTCTTTTGCAGTTTCCTTCTATGGGATACGTGCAAGGAGGAGGCTTGCCCCACGTGTCAGCTCCAACAGGGTTTTCAGATTCTTCAAGTCCGGTTGCAGATTCCTCCATTGTACTGATGGCCTCACAGTCACCTTTTTACGCAACCGCTTTATCTCCAACCTCTCCATCTCTTGCATCCAATATTTCCCCTGGTGAGACGAAGTTTCTGTATTAATAATTACGACATTTTTTCAAGTCTTGAGACTATTTCTAAGAGTTGTTTCATGGAGAATCAGGTGCATACATGGGTCAGCAATCACATGTGAATATGTCCCCATCTTTCAGGTAATGTCACTGACTCTTCTCTTTGAATCAGTTTACACATATATGGTTCTTGAAACATTGATTTTTGTGTGGAGAAGGCAAGAGATGAATGGCCTAGGCACTGCGGAAAACACTTTCAACGCATATCATCATCAGGCAAACAGTGGATATCCTTCTGCAAACCCAAATGCTTATATTTCTAGAGGAAATCCCTTTGAATGAGAGAGAGCTTTAACGTCAAACTGCAGAAGATTTGATTGGAAGCATTTTCATTGGAAATGGAATGAAGATTTCGACTCTTAAAAGCATGACTGCTTCAAGATGAAACAGAGGTTTCCTTATTCAGTTGCTTCTTGATCAAAATGTGTATTAATGTGGGAGGATTTTACTTGTAACCAAAAAGATTATAAATCTATGTAATTTTATCGGTACAACTTGCTCATGGATTGTGTGTATACTAACAAACCAAATCTTTCAACAAAATCATAAGTTGTTATTACTAAATTACAAGACTAAATATCACAAATTCATACGAACACATAATTATTATATGGAAATTTTGATGGTTTCGTATATGTTGAATATTTGTCTTCTTAGTAAGAAAAATGAAGTTTGTATATTTCCCACATTCGATAGAATTAAACTTGTGTACCAAGTGGTGTGTACAGAGAGGGGTGTGTGTGTGTTATAAAAAAAAAAAAGAGGAGAAAAAACAGTGACAAATCCGGAAATTTCCAACTCTCCAACAACTCTCTTACGTTTTTATTCTTGTACCCTCAGATTTTGTTGAGATTTCGCTAAAAGATACTGTAAATTTTCTGTCACAGACTTCTCTTCTGCGGACAAACTTTTTTTTTAATTGTCGTCTGAATCTGTGACACACACCGACGCCGTTAACCGTCGTCTCTCTTTCTCGCTCTCTGGGCGTAGATCTGAGTTTGTCAAATTGTTTTCGGATCGTTATCCTCCAAATCTGAAGAACTCCGTCGTTCTGCTCAAATCGGGTACGTATTTGGAATTGCCGATCAAATTGGAGCAAAAGTTTTCCGCTCTTAAGAGTTTCTTCTTCCAGTTTTCCTCTTTGGGATCATCGGTATCATCTAAACCTGAAGAATTCCCACCAGCGTTGTTTCTATAATTGTTTACAGTTGCTGATTTTTGTTGATCATTCGGATTTGTAGATTGTTGAGGAGAGTTTAGGATTTGATCTCCCCATCTGGTAATCAAAGCAGCATGGTTGCTCCTGTGCCTCCAGGGGCACCTAGACCCAACAACCAGCATAATCCCGGCCCACCAAGTTTCTTCCCGGGCTCACAAGGCAACTCCAATGCTCTAGCTGACAATATGCAGAACTTGAGCATGAATCGACCACCTCCTCCGTTTGGTCAGTCACCACAACCTTTCCCTCAGCAATCCCCTTCTTATGGAGCTCCGCAACGTGGGCCTTCACCGGTGTCCCGGCCTGGACCTCCTGCTGGGATGGGGAGACCAGGTGGTCCCCCTCCGGTATCACAACCAGCTGGGTTTCCCTTGAACAGACCCACCGGTCCACCTTCTAGTCAGCCACCCTTTGGCTCTAGACCTTCAATGCCCGGAGGACCAGTGCCGCAGCCTGCAGCCTCTTCTAGTGGTTTTCCAGCTTTTGGTCCTCCATCAGGTAGTGTACCTGCAGGTCCTCCTCCAGGAGCACGCCCTATGGGATATGGCTCACCTCCGCCTCCTGGATCTGGCATGCCTGGTGGTCCAGTCAGTAACGGGCATCAAATGGTCGGCTCTGGGGGATTTCCGAGGGGATCCCAGTTCCCTGGTGCTGCTGTTTCGGCTCAACAGGCACTGTATGCACAGCCTCCTGCAGCACCTTTCGCTCGGGCGCCTCCACAGCCACTTGGTGCACATTCTCTCCCGTCTACTCCTCCTTTAATGTCCCCACCAGCAACCTTTCCTGGTGCCCCTCATGGTAGGCCAGCGGTATCAGGCTTGCCTTACGGTCCACCATCTGCGCAGGTATGTCCAGATAAGGATATGTTCTTGTTATGTGACTTTTTTTTTAATCTGATGTACGGATTGATGTAAACATGTGATGCCGTGAGGTAATCACACAGTCATGTAGATGCGTATTTAAGATCTTTGGGAACCATACTAATTGACTGATCTTCGTGAAAAAGTTGAACTGGCATTGGCAGAACAGCTTATGAAGTGCTTTAGCTTGTGGCTTTCTATTTTCTTCATAAGCAAATCTTTCCACTTGGATGTATTTCCTCTGTGTGGCAGATTCTGATGGTCTTTAAATTTGAATGTTGGTAGGTCCCTCCACCTCTAGGCTTTCCTGGCTCAATGCAACCACCAAGATATGGCATGCGTCCTTTGCCAAACCAGTCGATGACCACCATACCCTCTGCCATGGGTCAACCTGGTGCCTCTGTTCCTGGGCCCTCAAGGATTGATCCTAATCAGATCCCAAGGCCAGGCTCAAGCTCCAGCCCAATTGTGTTTGAAACTCGCCATAGTAATCAGGCTAATCCTCCCCCGGTGTGTATGCCTTATCAAATTTCAGTTCAGACATTAGTCTGAGATGTCATTTCTTTTGTATGTGGGTTTTGTCGAACTGCTATATCTTACCCCTGAATTTTTCTTTTATTTTTTGAAGCCTGCTACTAGTGATTATATAGTTCGAGACACCGGGAATTGTAGTCCGCGTTACATGAGGTGCACGATCAATCAGGTAAAATATCAAGCATACATTTTGTTTTATGGAAGGATGTGTATTCTTTGCTGTTCAATGTTGTTTTCATTGTGTTCCTTGATTCCTAGTAATTTGATACCCTTTTCTCCTTTTTCGTAATAGATTCCATGTACAGTTGATCTTCTATCTACATCTGGAATGCAACTGGCGTTGATGGTCCAACCGCTGGCGCTTTCTCATCCATCTGAAGAGCCTATACAAGTAAGTCTTGTCTGACCAAACAAAGCATGTGGGCATTCAGTTTCTATGTTATTCCTATTTGTATTTGCATTCCCTCTTTGGTCTTATTGATCGTGTATACCAGTATCTTTACAGTTCATTGTGAAGTCGTGTAATTTTGGGTTTTGAAACATAAATTTTCATTATACAATTGTTGAAATAATCAATTCCTGGGAGCGCTAACCTATGCTATGGTGCAGGTTGTGGACTTTGGTGAGGGTGGACCTGTTCGATGTTCACGCTGTAAGGGCTACATAAATCCTTTCATGAAGTTCATTGACCAAGGAAGGAAGTTCGTCTGTAATTTCTGTGGTAAATGTTACTATTTTTAGTTAATGCAAGCCACAAAATATGATTTTGTTTAAGAGAGACTATATATATATATTGTTGTTGTCATAATCTTTTGGGATTTTGATGATGTGGGATGCTTTGTGATCCATTTCCTCATCAACTCTCTTTTGCACAGGATACACTGATGAGACTCCCCGTGACTATCACTGTAATCTGGGTCCAGATGGTAGACGTAGGGATGCTGATGAAAGACCTGAGCTGTGTAGGGGAACCGTCGAGTTTGTTGCTACGAAAGAATACATGGTTAGTTTGTGACACTTTGTGGTTATAAATGTAAAATTCTGCTGTTTTGCTTCATAGAATGTCCTAGGTCTACCATTGTATTGATTTTGTGTGTTTTCCCGAAATGAGAACCTATTATTATGGTGGACAATGAATTTTCTCTATGTGCTGTTGATTTTGTATACCACCACCTAAGTTACATTTGTAGCTAAGATGTTGATATTAACGTCCTTGTGGGAGAAGATGAAGATCAGACAGGCTTGAATGGATGGAAATTAATATCGTTATCGTTTCTAATAGGTGCGGGATCCAATGCCAGCAGTATATTTTTTCCTCATTGATGTCTCAATGAATGCGATACAAACAGGTGCTACTGCCGCTGCTTGCAATGCAATTCAGCAAGTCCTTTCAGACCTTCCTGTAAGTTTTGTCACCATTTCCAACATTGTATAGTAGATGTATATTTGATGCAAAACAGTCAACATTATCTACCCTATTCTGAATATCTACTTGTTTACATGTGCCTGTAGACTTTACTATTTTAATGGTAGTTTTAGAAATTAAGTAATTGTTCAAACTTTTTAGAGATTTTCAGTGATAGTTTGTATTTGCTTAGTTACTTGCATCACACCCTTTTGCATACTAAGGCGTTCATGAATCATTTAAGTAGTAGCTTCTGCTGCATATCTGATAGTGTGTGCTGTGTACCTCTATTTAATGAGACTGTGAACTTTCGGTATGCTTATGTTACCAAAGATTTTAATATACTTTGCCTAGTCATCTAACAATTCACAAAAAAATCTCTGATGCGTTTGCAGGAAGGTCCTAGGACGTTTGTTGGAATTGCTACTTTCGACTCTACAATCCACTTTTATAATTTGAAACGTGCACTGCAGCAGGTGATTTGTTGCACTGGTCTATTCCTTCTTTTGTAAAAGTTGGGTGACAAAAGAGAGATCTCATAACTGGATGGTCCTTCTGGGTCACTGGGCTACATGAAATAGTTGTATTGTGTATTCGTTTATGATGCCATAGAAGTTATATCCAATCGAGAGTTGAACTCTGACTCCCTTTTATGCCATGATATGCGGAATGGTGCCGTCTCTTTTCTTCGTGGAAACTTGGAGAAGTTTAACTGATTACCGCTGCCTATGAATTTGATTTTCCCCTCTTATTTGCAGCCATTGATGCTCATTGTCCCTGATGTGCAAGATGTTTACACACCTTTAGAAACAGATGTCGTTGTTCAACTATCTGAGGTAAGTTCTGGGCCATTAAATTTACTCCCTGGTTATTTTTTCCTTGTTTGTTAATGTGTCGTATAAGCAGGCTGTTATTTTTGAGATTAATTATCCTAGTTTCTTTCCCATTCTTTTTATAATTTACTATATACTGTTGGATTTCAGTGCCGTCAACACCTTGAGCTTTTGCTGGATAGTATCCCAACGATGTTTCAGGAAAGTAAGACTCCTGAATCTGCTTTTGGTGCGGCAGTTCAGGTATGGAATTTCTGAAGATGCATATGCTTTACCTGCATGTCTAATTGGTAGTGGGAGTTAGATACATTTGATGGCCTCCTCAATTTCATGAGTTTTCCGTTTAGTAGCAATAGAGCCGTTTCAACTTGTAAAGAGGTTTCAATCATATCATTGCATGGTGTACCAAAGTATAAGCTAGTTATCTGGTTAAAAGCAATCAGTGAAGTGATAATATCTACTTGTCTCTGCATGTGTTTGACTTTCGTGTCTAACAAATTATTCTCTGCTAGGCTGCTTTCTTGGCGATGAAGAGCAAAGGAGGGAAGCTTATGGTGTTTCAATCAGGTATGCTGTTCACTCTGTTTAGGTACTTAATCTTATTAGCGTAATTGATGCATGTGCTCCAATCACTTAGAATCCATTTATGCACATTGAAAATCGTATATTAGTTAGAAGCACCAACTCTCGCTTCTTATAATATATCTTACTGTTCTGTACCTTTATAATTTAAACTGATATGTTTACCATCTTCTCCACAGTTTTGTGTTCTGTTGGTATTGGAGCACTTTCTTCTAGAGAGGCCGAAGGGAGAGCTAATACGTCTGCTGGTGAAAAGGTAAACTTGCTTTTTTGTTTCAGATGTTGGTGTTTCATTGCAAAATATTGAAGCGTCCTGTAATTTTGATTTCAGGAGGCTCATAAGTTACTACAACCAGCAGACAAAACTCTGAGGACCATGGCGATTGAATTTGCTGAATACCAGGTATGCTAATACTCAACGAGATATATGTTTAATTGGAAACGTTTCCATCTGCTTATCAATAATCTATGATGTATCAATTTCTCTTAGTTACAATATTTTGTCCCTGTCTAAGACATCCAGAAATGCCTTAGGTCTGTGTAGATATATTTATCACAAGTCAGGCTTATGTAGACATGGCTTCAATATCCGTCATTCCAAGAACTACTGGAGGACAGGTATATTTCAAAATTCCTTTCTGTCTAACAAGTTCTGATTAATTGGTAAATGACCTGCATTTCTTCGTAATATTAGTTGTAGCACAGTTGAATAGCAATTCTTGTTACCAGAGTCGTTCTTGTCTCTCTCATTCGAATGCGTTTTTCCTATGGAAGCCCATGTCCTATATATTTCCATGGCAACTTTTGTAATCGTAACTGAATTAGTCTGCGAAAGCCTTGCTTAGTTGATGCATCTCTCATGGCAATCCGTAAATATTCATGGATGTTGTGGTGCCTTGGTTTTTGCGGGACTTTAAACTTTCCATTGTAAACGATTTCCTACAGGTGTATTGTTATTACCCTTTCTCAGCTCTCTCAGATCCCCCCAAGCTGTACAACGATCTTAAATGGAATATAACTAGGCCGCAGGGTTTTGAGGCTGTCATGCGAGTCAGATGCAGCCAGGTATATTTTTGTGGCACAGAGTTCCCTTCATGCATTACTCTGTATACTCCAGCTCAAGGCACTGTAAATAAACTGTTTCCAATAATTATAGGGTATTCAAGTGCAAGAATACTCGGGGAATTTCTGCAAACGCATTCCAACCGACATTGATCTTCCAGCGGTGGGTGGACCCTCCTTAAATTTTCCTAACTAGTTTCTGGATAGCATTGTGTGCCTCCGCTAAGTTAACACAATCTTATTCAATTAAGAGAACACGTGATTCTTTTACTGCAAGTTACCAGGAGATTCACTATGGTATAAACTCCTTTTACTCTTTGAGCCTTGACAAACGTTGATTGCCAATGCAGATTGACTGTGACAAAGCTGTAATGGTGACATTAAAGCATGATGACAAACTACAAGATGGAGCTGAATGTGCTTTCCAGGTATTATTTTGTATTCATGTACTTTTGTGTAAAATGTTGGTACCGTCTCTTTCAAGATGATGTTATTCTATGTTCGTCCTGTGTTTTTCCAGTGCGCCCTTCTGTATACTACCATATATGGAGAAAGACGAATTAGGGTTACCACATTATCACTCCCCTGTACGAACATGCTCAGTAATTTGTTTCGCGCAGCTGACTTGGATTCTCAATTTGCTTGTATGCTGAAACAAGGTAGGTCACTGTTATCGGTGCTGATTCTACTGCGAACCTTGTTGTCACTATGAACCAATATCTGTGTTTGTTTACTTTTTATGCAGCGGCTAATGAAATCCCTTCAAAGGCAATTCCTTTGGTAAAGGAGCAAGCAACAAATGGTTGCACAAATGCACTCTATGCCTATCGTAAATTTTGTGCTACAGTTACATCTTCTGGACAACTTATTCTTCCCGAAGCGCTCAAGCTTTTGCCATTATATACTCTCGGTATTTCCTTGTGACTTCTGTCTACTTTAAGCTACTTTTACACAACTTCAGGTTCTCTTGTGTGCAACGCAAATTGTTTCGCTTCCCTTATCTTGTATTAGAAGACATTGGAATCTATACAGGAGTTATAGATAATAGATTTTGATTTGATGTTAAATGGGTTTTTCTTCAGCATTGACCAAAAGTGTGGGTTTAAGGACGGATGGGAGAATTGATGGTCGATCATTCTGGATCAACTATGTATCTTCCCTTTCTACTCCTTTAGCAGTCCCACTGGTGTATCCTCGGATGATTTCTATTCACGACCTTGAGGAAAAGGTATACTGGCGCTACTTTTAGTTAAACATATCTCTCTCTCTCTCAAGCCTTAATCTGTAGTTTGTGAAACTTTTGATTATTCTTACTTTTCAATCTATCAGGACATTGAAGGATCGGTCCTTCCTCCTCCAATCCCATTGTCAAGTGAACACATAAGCAATGAAGGAGTCTATTTCCTTGAGAATGGTGAAGATGGTCTACTATATGTTGGAGAATCAGTGGATTCTGATATTCTGCAGAAACTTTTTGCTGTTCCTTCAGCTGCGGAAATTCCTAACCAGGTATTCTCAACCTCTCTCTTCATTAGCACATGAAGTTGTAGGATAATTATCTTGCAACAAAATCTAGCTTTTATACTATATTATCGCATGACTGTTGTGATCGTTTCATCACATTATCGGAACTCATGAAAGATGAAACCTCTTTTCTTGTACTTTCGAGTCCTGCTAAGCAAAGACAAACCGGTGTTTTCTTTGCAGTATGTACTGCAGCAGTATGATAATCAGCTATCAAAGAAGTTCAATGATGTGGTGAATGAAATAAGGAGGCAAAGATGTTCTTACCTAAGGTATCAAGCAAAATTCTCAGTAACTGTCTTTTATTTAGCTTGACTGAGCAGTAGATAATCTTTCCTGGCTGATCCTCTTTATGTTTTCTCCACGCAGCATAAAATTGTGCAAGAAGGGAGATCAATCTGGTGAGTGATTCTGGACGGGTTTCCTATTTGCGGCATGATTTATGGAATGTTGCTTTCCTCGGTAGTGTTGATTTCAAAAAACCTTGTCCATGATGTTTTTTTGATTCTTCTGGTTTTTGGGGACTTTTCAGGAATGCTGTTTCTGTCATATATGGTAGAGGACAGAACAGCAAGCGGGCCATCGTATGTGGAGTTTCTTGTTCAAGTCCATCGCCAAATCCAGCTCAAAATGAACTGATCCTCTGTTTTATAGGGCTCTTCACAAAAGTCTCTGTTAATTTCCTCTGCGTCGTGTTGAGAATTTACAGTAGAAAAGCGTATAGCAGAAAGGAAAAGAACATTGTTTAATGGCTGCTTGAGAAGTTTTCTTCTTATTGAAAGAGAAGAGAGGCATCATGGCCTCCTTCTACATGAGAAGTTATCACTTCATTTTGAAGGTGTACTTAGATAATAGTCTCTGTTTTTTTTTTTTTTCCTTTTATAAAAGAATTACACAAAAGAGTTTTTCTTCTAATCCAGTTTGTATGGTTACTTTTTGTGTGTTATTTATGCTCAAACTATTACTTTCTTTTCGGATGAAGTTTTTTGTTATCGGATGTTGTCCAAGGGACGAAACAAACTTTAATATATACAGTGCAGTCGAAATATGAAAATAATTTGTTTTCCTGTATCATTGTTGCTTTCCGGCGTCAGTTTTAGGGAGAAACGGTTCGATCAATAATTAGTTTTTCAAAAATTCATCGCTTGCAAAGAAATATAAAGGACAAACTTTAATTTAAATGAGAAGAGAGAAAAAAAAACACGATATATATGCAAGATGCTCATAATTCTGTGAACTTTGTCATGCAAATGCAATATTCAATCTAAAATAATTTGGAGTTGAAAAGGTCAAAAGAAAAAGAAGTTCATAATATAATACATGAATATAATTGGATTGGGTATTCAGTCTTCTTCACCTTATAATTTTCACATATCTGAATTTGCTTCCTTTCATAGGAACGTTTACGATGACAAAAGTATTGTTTCTCTATTTGTATGTGGGAAGTGAGAAGATTGTAATATATATATATATATATATATATATATATATTGTTATGTATTTAGTTAAAAAATATACAAATGATCGTTTTCTCGAAGAGCATCGAGCTGTTCAACATGTGCACCATCTGCCATCACAATCGTGCTTCCTCGCTTCCCCAACTTCTTCTCTGCATCCACCAGAGTTTTCCAAAATTTAATCATCAAAATCCAACATTATTCAAACTGTAATATGTTTTATGTATTTAGAGATTTAAAAACAAATTCAATGTATCATCAAATGGATTCAAAATTACATATATTGCCACAAAGTATATAATTATAATGTGATTTTTTTAATAATCAGGCAATATATATATATATATATATATATAAAGATAAGTACCATTTATAATTAGTGAAAGAGTGAAACTGACCAGCTAAGTCGAATAGAAGTTGGATAGTATCAGGCAAAATGATAAGTCTACCGTTGGAATCACCAATATTGTTGTTATCTTCGTTAGGAGAATGTCCATGAATAATCACTCTCATGGGAACTCCCTCTCTTTGTTTCTCTTCTTCTGCATTTAACATTTTATTTTTGTTTTATATAATATATGATGATCTAACATACATAATCAGAATCAAATATTCTTTCCAAATCTAAAGGATTGTCTTCTTACTCGTTTCATTTTCATCTCTTGAGACTGGAACTATCTCATCATTGTTACTCTGTGGTGGTTCCTCTGTTTGAATTGCTTCCTAGTCACAGAATAATTGATAATAGTAACGTGAGCACTATGCATTTTTGAAAAAAACAACAAAAAAAACGTAGAGTAATCTTCATGCATGTGATTTTTAAAAAACGTACCTGAGCATCTGCATTATCTAATAAATCTCTAAGAAAAGGGATTTCTTTCTTCAACTCATCATTCAACCCTTTGAGATACTGAAAAAGAAAAACATTGATCAGTGTTATAACATAAGCAATAATTGTTGATGTAATATATTAATAGAATTTGATGAATTTTTACAGTCATGAAATTGGTCATGATGATTTTGGCGTCGTCGATATCAGACTGAACCATTTCCTTGAAATCATGGTGACCGATTCGAATAACTTGTGAAAGTCTCCGTGTCCTCACGGTGAAAGGCTGAGGAATGTTGAACACGACTCCAATCTCTCCCGCCATATCTCCGGGACCTAACTTCGCTAATACCTGTTCACTCACTCCCTTGGATGCAACTATCTCCTGTGATTCCAAATTTTTCTTTTAATAAAATGAAGCCAAATACATATATACACTGAGTATGTAGAGAGGAGAAAAAAGATCATATACCACTCCTCCTGATACAAGTATGTAGAAATCCGTTGGAATCTCATTTTGCAATATTATCTCCATTTTCGGCGGGAAATACTCTGCTTTTATTTGTGAAACCTACAAGAACAACAACAACAAAGAAGAGTCAATGGTGTCTTGTCTAACAAGGAACAAAAAGTAAAGGAAGTGTGTTGTGTATGGATCACCAGCTGGACGATAAGGCCATCGGGGAATCCTTTGAAGAGATAAGCTTTCTCTATGGTGGAGCGGAAAAGATGCTCGTTAATGCTTGATCTTATGGCCTTAGGCAAATCTTGAATAACCTCTTCTTGCTTTAGCTCCGCGGTTTTGAACTTTAGTTGCATATGCGCAAGCATTTGCTCTCTCATCATATCTGGTAACCCATTCTTGCTCGTGTACCGCAATATATCATTGATGGCACTCCTCTGTCCAACAAAGGTTTTCATCAACTCAAAATAAAAGAAAAGAAATGATGGTTGATTGATATATTACCATGGTGAATGTGCGAAGAGCGCCATGGACGACAAGATTGGTCATGTTACCGATGATATAGGCAGTGAGGCCAATGTTGAAAAGCATATAGAACATGTTGAATGTCTTCTCACGGGTATTGACCGCATGCAAATCGCCGTAACCGACGGTGGTGAGTGTGACGATGGACCAGTACATAGAATAAGTGTAGCCTAACCAGACACTTCTCTCCTTGAAATCCTCAACTTGTGATCCTATCCATGTTTCTATAGGCCTTGGATAATGGTAGGCTATCCAGAATAAAATGCAACCCGCTATGTGTGTCCAAAATATCGTTACCTGAACCAAATTCATTTCACATACTTGCAAGTATATATTTTCAGTTGTTTTGCTATAATATTGGCCAAGTTCAAGGAACTTACACAAAGAAGTTTGATGACTCTGATCACAAAGTAGTTGAAATTTGTGTCTTTCTCTAGTCTGTAACAAGAACAGTGGTGTATTTGAATACAAATAAACTTTGGAATATAGTGGCCATATGTGATATATCATGTGCTAACTATGATTCAATTGTATAATATATAGAAAGTATATAGTACCTTTTAAAGAGCTCGGCTACACGACGGAGACGCCAGAGGCGGAGCAAATTAAGGAAGCCAAAAGCTTGGCCTCGTCCGGCATTTCCGGTAATGGATTTGTAAATGAATTGAATCGGTAACGTTGATGCTACGTCCATCACAAAAGACACGCTCTTCAAGTACCTGGTTTTCATTTTATTTATTTATTTATGGTTTTTTTCAAAAAAAATGTGATTCTAATTATTGGACCCTATATTTTATAGTTAATTTTACCGTTTGGCGATGAGCTTGTGGTCGTCGATGATGAGGTACGTAGATTTATCCAAGTAGGCGACGAAGAAAGTGAGGATGATATCAACGGCGAAGAAAAAGTCAACCACGAGATCAACGGTCAAGAAAGATCCTTCAGCAGCTTTCTCGAAAGCCAGCTCGAAGAGCGATGCCCACGCCGAATAGCCCACCAAAATCACCAAAAACAGTTGCCACAACCTGCCATTTTTTTACCCATTAACTACATTATTTTTGATTAATGTTAATTAGTATATGGTTTCTCATTTCAATCGGTTCATTTTTTTATATATTGAATCCATTTTATTATTTAATTTTTTCTGTGTAATTCTCTTTTGCATGCATCTATGTTACTGTACATTTAATTGGTTTTTCCTTTACATGATAGTTAAGAATAATAATAAGTAAACTGAGGTAACTATAGTTAAGAATAATAATAAGTAAACTGAGGTAACTACGCAATAATTTTATTTATTATATTTTCCATATTTATATAAAATTGAAAATATCTAATTATAAACAATCTATGTAAATATTTTCAAAGTAGGCCATAGTGATCGATGACATATGTCAACTAAATAGAGAGAAAAAATAGTAGGACGACCAATGATCTTTTACAAAAATTGAACCTGCAGAGTTTATACAAGATAATCATAAAATACAATTAAAAAGTAGTATAAATGTATTGATGCATAACAGTATTCTTCTTACTAGTTACATTGTTAATATAAGTACACATGAATAGTTAAACATAGTAATGTATATATAGTAAAACAAAAATAGCGAGATCATGTACTTTAAACGTAAAGCATGAAAATGTGAAAAGTGACGTATTATTATTATAGAGAGAAATAATATTACAATAGAAATACAATCAGGTACGCAATAAAAATATCGATGGACTCAACATGAGATTTAATTTTTCTCACGGAGAATAATACTAGCTAAAACAGAGTTACGGAATCTGTATAAGAAAAAAATAAAAAAAAACTCATTTTGTGTTTTTTCACAAAGAAAAATCAAATATTCGTTGTTAATTAGAGATATGGAAAGAAATAGACCTGTAACGACGATCGTAGGGAAGAACGATGAAAGCTTTGGAAGAAGGATTATCGTCTTCGATGACTGTCCCAAACGCAGGCAATAGACTGCTCGAAACGGACGTTATGTTCCTCACATCTTTACTCGACTTTCTTCTGAACAGTAACGATAACGGCGATCTCTCTTCCGACGTCCCTGTTGCCGTCGAAGACCTTCCTCGTCTTAACAACAACGGTAACGGCGATCTCGCCTCTGAAGTCGTCGTCGACATTCTTTTTTCCTTCCTCTTCTTCTCTCTCTCTTTCACGCTTGTTTTTGCCTCTGCCTCTCTCTTTCTTTCATTTCTATATAATATTGTTTCTAAAACATTTAAAATTTTCAGAAGGTGGTCACCGAGTTGTGTTGACTTTAATAATTTTATTTCTCCTAATAATTACTGGAAAATTATATTTTAATCGTTTGCTACTTCTAAAAAACGCTATAACATTACTATCTAACAAACCGACGTTTCGAAAGTTGACTGATCGCTATATTAGCGTGAGTAAAAGCCTAGAGAAAAAAGAAAGAGAGAGTGAGAGATGAAAAGAAAGAGCGTAGGTGAGACCGTGAGAGACAGTATATTGAGAGAAATGGTAAGTACCTGAGGGAGAAAGAGAAAACCGATGGGGTAAAAAGAGTAATATCACAATTGTTTAATCTAATTTTTGGATAATACTACATGCTAATTAGTTTCTTTGGTTATCATAGTTATGCATAATATACAACAGTTTTGCAGAAAGGATTCATCGGCTTTTGACCTCTTTTCACCTTTCTGTGTGAATTTAATGCGACAGCCGATGCAATGAGACAATCGAGATATATACAATACAACTAGAGAGGATAAGTTTATTTTTTCGTACGAAAATATTAATTTAATAATAAGCTAGTAGTATTTAAGTATATTGGGATTGAAAATATTGAGATTCTCAAAAGTCAAGACGTGATATATCTTCCTTTTATTAAATTGATGACACCTGACAGAATAGTAATGTTGAAAACAATACGAACAAAAATAAATACGTTGATAAAACAAGATATACTATTATAGTTTGTTTGTTTGTTTTTTTTTTGTTTTTTTTGCTAGAAGGGTTTATTATAATTTGTTTTTGATATATCTATAAATACCCTTTGAAGTGTTGGATGTGCATGTTTATGTGTTGTCGATGATGTTGTCATGTTTAATAAATCTAAGATATCTTTAGTGCATGTCGTGGTAATACGTAAAGTGTCGAAATTCACATGGAATTTTTACTAACAAATGAAGAAGAATATGCAGATAATCCTCTTACGCTAATGCAATCAAACGACTCAAATATCTGATTAATGAAGTCGGACATATAAATAAATGTGGCAAATGCCTTGAGACGAACGTGAAGATTATTTCTCCATGATGGGCCCAGATTTTAAGATGTCAGGCTAATTTTTGCAGAACTCAAAATGATTTAATCTGGGCCGGGTAACTGAAATAAAGCGGGCGTGGGCATTTTTCCGGGTCATCATGTGGAATGTGTTTTCCCTGCAAATGCAATTGGTTTGATTTAGCGATTCGAGCCGAATGGATTTGGCCGATAAATTGGGAGATTCTTAAGAGAAGACGATCGTATTGCACTTTGTAGTCGAAAACCCTAGTCCTCTGTTTTCACCATTATCACCCTTCTTCTTCTTCTTCTTCTTCTCCTTGGTCGATTCGCCGCTGCCTTGTGCTATCCGTATACATCATCCTATAGAGGTTTTTCATTTAGTTGCAGATTAGCTTACCAGAGTTCGTCCTGAATGCGTCGGTGATCGATTCTCCGCGTCGGTGATGATAGCGATCGGATCGGAGAAGATGGATAAGGAACGAGTCAGAAAACGGCCTCGTATGACCTGGGACGAGGCGCCAGCTGAACAAGATGTTCGTCTTTTTTTTTCTTCTATTTCTTTTAAATTAAATCTTTGGCATTTGGAAATTAGGTATAAGACGAAGCATTTCTGTTAAATTTTCCCCCTTTTTTGTTGGTATAGGCTAAAAGGGCTATGTATAGAGGAGATGGAAGCGATGGGAGGGTTTTGTCACCACCGTTAAGAGAGGATGATCGCGACGGCCATTATGTTTTCAGCTTGAGGGAGAATCTCACTCCTAGATGTGAGTTTTCTTCTTCTTCAGTGTTTTTGATGTTTGTGAGAACTAAGAGATTTACTGATTTTGCATCCAAATTACATGATCTTATATGTGCATTGTTTACTAATACTCGTTATTGGGAGTATTGCCTTTAGGATGATACTTTCCAGTTTCGTTTCATGGACAGTAAGAACCCTTCCTCAACTCTTGTGTTCTGTGTTGACAGATAAAATACTGAGCAAGATGGGTGAAGGTTAGCTGTCAAGTGGCATGGTGTGTTCGAGATAAAAAAAAAAACTGTTTATGTGAATCAAAACCGTGCCATTTCAGTGAAATTGCTGGTGTTGTAGGCACATTTGGTCGGGTTTTGGAATGTTGGGATCGTGAAACAAGAGAATATGTGGCAGTAAAGATAATCCGAAGCATTAAGAAATACCGGGATGCAGCAATGATCGAAATCGATGTACTTCAAAAACTTGTCAAGAGTGATAAAGGCCGCAAACGGTATATACTTCTCCTCTAGATATTAGCCGATGGCAAGAGTGACATTGTTTCCTCCAGATGTATATCATATCGTTGCTCAGTTTCTTCATCTCTGCTTTGTCCTTGCAGCTGTGTGCAGATAAAGGACTGGTTTGATTACCGGAATCATATTTGCATCGTAAGTCTTCCAAATTAAGCTTGGTTGATTTCTACCGTCGTTGAAATGCATCTCTAGTGTTTTATTGATTCTACGTTCAGTGCCCTGTGAGGTTTGTTATTGTTAGAAATGAGTAAATCATAGTCTCTCGGGCTACGTTTCTTTTGTTTGGTGCTCGAATAACAGAATTCCAGTTGCATGTATAGTGTTTATGTAGTTAATCCCATGTGGATTTTGTCGATGAAGTGTGGAACTAAACAGAACCTTTCGTTGAATGAATTCTAATGGTGTTACCAGGTGTTCGAGAAGCTTGGGCCAAGTTTGTTTGACTTTCTAAAGAGAAATAAATACTCCGCGTTTCCCCTGGCCCTTGTTCGGGATTTTGGATGCCAGCTTTTGGAATCTGTAGCATGTCTGTGAATTGTTCCTTTGGCTGTTATTTTATACAACTATCTTATCTTGCATGACATTCCTTTCTGTCCTTGTTTAGCCAGCTGTTGTTCCTACCTAATGCGTCTTTTCGTTTTTTCCCCCTCTACAGATATGCACGAGTTACAGTTAGTTCACACTGACCTCAAGCCTGAGAACATTCTTTTGGTGTCTTCTGAAAATGTAAAGCTTCCTGACAATAAGGTAAATAGAAGTGAATTAGGTCAAGTTTGGGTATAGCCTCTGATAAGAGCTAGTATATCTAAAAACTAACTTTATTTCAAGAGTTTGTAATTTTGACAGTTTGGTGTTTGATTTCAATAAACAGAGGAGTGCGTCAAGTGAGACATATTTCAGGTGCTTACCGAAGTCAAGCGCCATTAAACTGATTGATTTCGGCAGCACTGTTTGTGATAACCGGATTCATCACTCCATTGTCCAAACAAGGCATTACAGGTCCCCTGAGGTTATTTTAGGTAGGTAAATCAGTTATGTGCTCATCGATACATGATTGTGACTTCCCAACGAATGATGATAATTTTTTTCCTTTTAAGTAACCAGTGGCATATCATTGCAGGTCTAGGATGGAGTTACCAGTGTGACTTATGGAGTATAGGCTGTATACTATATGAACTATGCACGGTAAAGTCTCTCTCATTCTGTTGTATCACCTCTTTATCTCTTATTTTGAGTTGTTTTGCTTACAATTATTGTCCACATTTTGACACTGTACATTAGGGTGAGGCTCTCTTTCAGACGCATGATAACCTCGAACATCTAGCTATGATGGAGAGGGCATTGGGACCTTTGCCTGAACATATGACCCGAAAAGCCAGGTTACTTCTCTATTCTAACTTTTGGGTACACAAAACTTGAGAGAGAGAGATATAAATGCTCATCGCTTGTTGCATGTGTATGGTCATAATGTTTTTGCAGCCGGGGTGCTGAGAAATATTTCAGGAGAGGGTGTAGGCTGAATTGGCCTGAAGGAGCCAACTCTAGAGAGAGCATCAGGGCTGTAAAAAGACTTGATCGTCTCAAGGTTAAACGCCCATCGATTCCTCTCTGTGTCTTATGGTACATGTTTCGGTTGATATGCCATAATCTGACGTAGAAACTTTCTTACAATTTTTACAGGATATGGTATCAAAACATTTAGACAACACAAGATCTGGATTTGCAGATCTGTTGTATGGTTTACTGGAATATAATCCGTCGGAGCGTCTCACAGCAGAAGAAGCTCTTCGCCATCCTTTCTTTAAGAGCTCAAGTTAAGAAGAAGCAAAAACAGACGAGGCAAGTTGTGCCTAAATAGCAACGAGCACCGCTAAAATGTAGAATTTTACTTAGCATCAAGTTTTTGTTAGATTTCTCTCATTAGCACCGAACAAGAGTACTCTTATTCCAGTTTCGAGTTTGGCGGAGGATAACCTCTGTTGTAATTACATTGTGTTGTCGAGGCTTCAAAAAATCAAGACCACATTTTGATACTAATCCACATTATAAATTGCATATCACAAGCAATCATTCATTATATCTACGCAACTTAAATTTGCCCAAAGACGGCAATTCATTAAAATCTCGTGAAATATGTTCCAAAATTCATTGACCTGACAAAATTAGTTTTTAACCTGATAATTGCCAAAAGATGATGATGACATTTAAACAAGATTCAAGAGAATAAAGATATAGCAAAGGAAATCTGAGAAAAGTCTAAAATCGAAAGAGTTTGTCTATGCAAAATCCGTCCACGGTGTCATAGTCCTGAGTTGATGATCCCTTACTGGAGATCTTCAGTGAAATCAGCCACTCTGTCGCCCACCATATACCGATCATTGTATTCCACTCGGTGAATATAAATGAAGAGGTCGAGGGTGAGCTTGGCTACGAACCCTAAGATGATGATGGCTAATAACACCGGCCATATGAGCCTCTGCACGGCTAAGTTGACTGCACCAGAAAATCCAAGCCATGGGAACAGATAGTACGCCACCAAGTATGGGAAGCCGAGAGTGGTTGAAAGAGTGACTATGATCGAACATATGACATCTCGAAGAAGCCACGTAGAGGGAAGCCTGTTGATTCCGATAGTTCTAATTCTCTCGAGCTTCTCCCGCCACGCCACAGTTGCGAAACAGTTGATACGCGTAAACATAGTCTGTGAGAAAGAAGAGAGGGATATTACTTGTTTCACAAGAAAGCAAGTTTTTTTTTTTATTTTAGAATAAAAAACTCGAGATGAATTTCTTACTAGACAGGTCCAGATGTGAAGGACCACTAATCCGATCAACCAATCTAGGAGCAGTGAGTAAACCGGTGATTCGCTTAGTGGCACTTGTAATGGGATGATGATCATAAGGTCAATAAGGAGACCGAGCAATGTTGGTATGAGAGAGATCTGTTCATCGGATTTTGCAGGTTATACAAACATTTCCGCAGCATATTAATTAAAAGACAAAAAGTTTCACGCGTTAATCATTAAAGTTGGAAGAAAAGGACCTCAAGTTTTGAGTTTTCTTACCCAGATGGAGAACAGTAAAGCATTCCGTATCCACAACAGAACAAAGTTGAGAAGCAAATCGGTTCTTCCAATCATGATATGGTTAGTTACGAAGCAAGTTGTGATATAGATAGCTCGCAGAATATAGCATCCAATACAGAAACCATAAAGATCTAAAATGATAAGATTTGAAATGAGACACTTTAGCAGCCTAAAACGAGAACCGTCATTTTCATGAAACCCATAAGAAGAAAAGTTATGAAGCAAGATGATGAGAGATACAAACCGTCGTTTTTGAGTCCGAACGTTATGAAAGTGATAGAGTGGAAGAACACCCTTCCCAACAGAATAGGCAAAACCATGGAGATTGTGCTAATGAGAAACAGGCTCAAAGCAGCTAGAACTAACATCAGTCCGATCCTCGCTATAAGCCTGCAACTTCAACTTATCAGAATTGTAAAATTTATACATGAATAAGTGTTTATTAAAAGCTATCTATGTATTACCTATCGTCGTCGTCAATATCCTCTTCAAAAGTGGTATCACTCTGGGATCCATAGAAACAGACTACAGAGCCTTCGGCTATGGAAGACACTAGAAACCAATCATCACGGTGCTGCAACGGTCTCACATTCTGATCTGCATGGTTTTCGAGCAAGAACTCGCTCAACTTGAGCCAAGAACTGACCGTGATAATCCACTTGTGAACTATGGGTTCTGCAGAAGCTTTAATAAGCTCGGCAAACCACTCGATAGGTGCTAGTCTCGTTAAACATGTATAAGCAGCCATTGAGCGAAACATAATCCTTTCGTCATAGATCCTGCATCATATTCACGCGTTTTTATTAGTTTTAAAAAAATGTCGCAATAGCATGAAAGTAGAAATGATACAAGGTACTACAGAGTAGCTTACCAGAGTTGGAGGGGGAGAAACGAGGGGCTGATGTGAGAGATGGTCAGTATTGGTAAGTGAGCCACAATCACCATCATCGACCCGTGGAAAGCCAACGCAAATAGAATCTGGCCAATGCGTAGTTTAGTGATCTTGTAGTTGGGATCGGCAACATCTAGGAGAAACCAAAAGGGTCGTTTCCGAAGGATCTGTCATGAGGAAGAAGAAAAACGCGACTAATGAAAATATGGTCATTTACGGATGAAAATCAAAAAAAATAAAACTAGTACCCTCTGGATAAGCTCCATGGAATTGAAAGCCCACATCAAGCAAATTTGTCCGAGCATCCAATGTATGATCATGGCTAAAGGATATTCTGAAATCATCTCAAGCCTCTGGGATACTGGCGTTCCGAGTATAGGTAGTGTGCAAAAATCGAACCAGCAGCCAATTGCCAAAGGTAAAACACCAATTTTCAAACACAAGATGACACCATCCTTAACCACCGATAGATTCTTCCATACTTTTACTGAAGTTATCCATAAATACAGTGGGAGTGCCTCTGCTACGAAGAGAAATCCCATTGATAGTCCTCTGGCTATGGCTTGAATGGAGTCTCGACTCAGAGTAGCAAAACTTCCAAGATAAGCAAAGGAAAGTAAGAGCATAGTCAAATATCCAACAATGACTGGTTCTTGGCCAAGTGAGTATCCTGAAAGAAGCTGCGTAGATACTTGTAGGAGTGCGACGACAAGTTTCCCCATAAAAAATGGAAGAAGAACGAAGAAGAATGAGACATGAAAGCTGATGGCAAGAACCTGTAGAGTTAAACAAAAAACGGAAATTGTTAACATAGTAAAACATTTATAAATCCGGATGGTACCTAAGATATAAATCAGTATGGTTCACATGCAAACGAGAATTTGGGACTTACAGCAAATGCATTGTCATCAAGAAGGAAGAGAAAACTCCTGATTACTCCAAATTCATGAAGCTGTGCGTTTCGAAGACGAACCACTTCTTCACGAGGTACATCAACCATGATGGCGTCGAAGAATCGAAGGCGTATGAGATGATCATACCACCAATCACTCAGAATCCGCATGTATTTCCACAACACAAATGCAACTCGAGCAACAACTCCATGAACTGGGCCATTCTCTACGTGAGCCCCAAAGAGATCTTGAACAATAATCCTTAGCATCACAATCAATGTGATAAAACTGGCAATCAACCAGTCGTAAATGAAGCTGGCCAAGAGAGGAGCAAGTTTCTCGGGCACTCGAAAAACTCTCTTGTTTTCAATCGCAGTTTCTCGGCCCCAAGGATGCAAGGAATAGCAATAGGCGTTGAAGAGAAGCACAAAAACCCAAGCAACCACACGCAATGCTCTCAGCAACAGTCCTCTCAGAAACTCATGGCATGGAAGCCTCTCTGGTGCGTTCTCCGAATAAACAGGGACAAAGGAGTAGCTACGCCCACATACCTGCATCGTACGGAGATTTCTAAATCAAAACATGTGTATTGAGTCACGATTCTTCTAGGAACAAGCTATAAATCGAAATCTAAGAATGAGATTAACGTCGAAACCCTATTTCGTTGCAAAGGTAAACGAGGAAGTGACATTGAACACTGAACCCAGAGCAGGATCGAAGAGAAGTTAAGAAAGAGAAACCTCGCACTGCTTGTATCCGCGGCGGTTGAGCCAGAGAAGGAGACATTGCTGGTGAACATACTTGATGGAGCCTCTACACGCACACGGATACCTCAACGGGTTGTCTGATACCTCCGGTGATCGGCAAATCCGGCACAAATCCACTCCATCGTCGTCTTTGTCAGTTTCTTCAGCCGGAAGAGCTTGGTCGCCGTAACCACCGACTTGGTTCTCCGCCGGAAACACGTCCATATTCGGAATGTTTACTCGCTTCTCTCTCTCTCTCTCTCTCTGGTCTCTTCTTCTCCTTCACTTTGCTTTGAAATGCTAAAAGCTTAAAGAGGCAAATACATTTTCAATAAAACAGATTAAAAAGAGAGCGGATGCCGTTTCTACGATTCGTACTGTTTTTTGTTTGTTTTTGACAGCCTAGAGCCTTGAGAAATAGAAAGTCACTTTCTACTTTGCTTCTTTTTTACCATTTACGGATTTACCACAGTAGATAAAGCACACTTTACCGTTCGTTTTTTGGGACCCACACTAAATTGGACTATGTGTCGACCAATTGAAATCCGCCACACCCTCAACCATCCTTACGGGTCTTTTGACTTTTGGCGTTATTCAGTCGAGTTATTTGCATTTCTATATTAGTTAATACTTTTGATTCTGATTAAACTGGATTCAAATCCAAAACCTTTCGTTAAGCTTTTCCAACGAGAGTCAATTAGTAACTCAAATAGTGTCTTACAGATGCTGCATTTCATTGATTCTGTAACATCTGAAACTGCGTATATATATACATATAATATTCAAAAACTTATATTCTCTATTGATAACCATACGTTTTCATCGTTTTGTTACTCGAGGTCTTGAGTGAAATCGACCAATCTCTCTCCCACTTTGCATCGATTATCGAATTCAAGTTGGTGAAGATAAACGATGAGATCACGAGTGAGCTTGACTCTAAACCATATAGTTGGCTGCACCGGAACAGAGACTAGTTTTCAACGTGACTTGAAAATTCGTAGTCGGACAAAAAATAAGAAAAAAATAACACCAGTAAAAAATTATCTTGTCGTGCAAGTGAAGCACTTAGCACCCAAAAAACGTAAAACGCAACTATTTTTTGGAGCTAATTATAATTTTACGAACTCGAAACCAGTAGCAATAATACAAATCTAAGCAAAGATGCTTTTTGTGAACAAGAGGCCACAGATGAGAATCACAGCGTATAAGCTGAAATCCATAGAAACAGCGTTCATTATCTTCTTCATCATCATCATTATCTCCAGCGCGTTGCCCACTTGGTCCGCTATGCCTTGTCCGTTCATTACAGCTCCCGAGTTCTCTCGTCTTGAGGCTGAGGAAGAATCTCCATGATGGCTCAGCAGAACACGTCCAAGCACAATTGTGGCATCGGTCAAGAGAAGCAAGAATACAGGTCTGAGGTTTACTATGCTGCCTAGGGAAGAGAATCCCAGATGAGACAGTATGACAAGAAGTGCAATCACAAGAGCCGAGAACATCCGTGCGTATTCTGAAGCATCAATGGCGGCTCCAATTTGATTTGGAGTGATGGTGTTCACAAAAGTAACCAGAGGAGTAAATGTCTGAGAAGCACCCAAATCTACCACTGATGGGGTTTGAGCACCTGATGTTGTAGGAGACGTTCGTAGTGTTGTTGTGTCTCTAGAATCTGAAGCGGAGGCTTCTGCCAATGTTTCAGTATACTTCCGAGGCTGAAGCGATTCTGCTCTGCTTTGATGGATGATCTGATCCACGTTATCAAGCATCGCAGCATCAGATATGTTTTCCCGCTGACTTGTGAAAGCTGCAATGTCACAACCAGGATCATCAAAAAAACAATATGTTACTCCTTATTAATGATTATAACACATACTTCTCTATGAAACTAATGACATCCATCACGATTCTTGTTCAGAATATAACATGTTAAAGCACGCAAAACAGACATTTGTAAACAACTTTTTTCTTCCAAACTTTGTGGCACAAAGCAAATATTGAAAACACAATATATGAGCTTTTTAAAACCTTGACCGTGCTTGAACCCCACCAAGAAAAAAATTCACAGAATGGTTACGAAAACGTCAAGGAGCGAGATGACTTAAGCACAAGTAGAGAACAGAAAAATCAGGTACATAATTGATACTGACTTCATTAACATCTAACTTCAGCTTACGCCAAGTAGATTCTCCCTGAGAATATGGACTTAGCTGCTTCACTGCCCATTAACTACTTCAACCAGATGACACAATATACTACAAGATATACATTTTAGATACTATGCGTCTCCTCTTTTGTTTACAAACTAAGCTATCGACCCTAAACCCTATTCCAAACGTCCAACGGTCCAAGCCGGGTTCTACCACATCGTACTTATAAACATTAATTCCACTCTATAACTAGCTAAACGCATAATATATGATCAAAGGAGCCAATTTGATTACTCCCTACTACGCTTCTACCCCATAAAAGTAACCCGAATTCGATTGACACAATCTTTCAGGACGGCGCTCAAATCAATGCCATGCCTTAGCTTCTTTCATCACCCAAGACGCTCTCGGTGCAAAAAAATAACAAATTCGAAAAGCAAGTTGCAATTCAAATACACACACAAACAATAACGGAAATCGAACTTGGGTACGAACAATTCAATGATGATCATATTCCATAGAGAGAGAAAGAGCACCGGTTTCTCGATCAGTAGGTATCTGATCAGCAGGCGGAATCGTGTCCGGTGAGGATTCGTCAGAGCGGAGAAGAGATTGGGAAAGGGAAGTGGGATCAGAAGAAGGTGGAGGAGGAACGCCGTTGATCTGACCAGTGATAAAGGCCAAACGATCAGATCCTCTTTCTAGGATCTTCCGCCTCCTAGCTTCTCTGCTGTTGGACGCCATTCCCAGGGGAAGGTTGTTTGTCTTCGGGGCGAGGATAGTAACCAGTTCTCAACGAGGACACAGATTGAAACGCCGTGGGGATCAGCTCGGTCGTATAAAAACGCGACTTTGAAATCTTCCGTTCAAACGCCAAACGTCAATAATAAAGAGTTTGTCGCGTTTCCATTAATGGGCTTAGCGGGCCAATTTAAGTGTGCGCCCAATTGGAAGAAACTCATATATATATACCCAAACAAATGTGAAAAAGTATCCTAAACAAGAGAGCGTTGCCTCCACGCGACCACTACGAGTTTCCTCTTCCTTTTAAAAATTCTGTCGCCCACTGATTTGAGAGAGAGAGAGAGAGAGAGAGATGCAATCGCTGCAGGAGAAGGCGTCGGTATGGAGCGGCGTGGATCGGGCGGACGCATTCGCCATCGACGACTCCAATCTGTTCGAGAAGCTCGGTCTTCAGAGCTTCATCAACCTATCCACCAATTTCTACACCAGGTTTTTAATTCCCACATAACCCTCAATTCCTAAGCTCGATCATTTTTCGTTTAATCCGGATTGTGTGATATAGTTTGAAACTGTGAGCTCTTTATAGTATTAATTAAGGAGTCAAAGTCCAGCGTCTGCTTGTTCGAATGAGATAAATCTGGGCACTTTTTCCTGATTCTTGCTTGGAAATGCAGATAGCTGTTATATATGTGTCCTGATTTTGGAGGTTTACTGTGTCTGCTTTGAAAAGTCTTAAACTTTCTTCCATAGATATCTTTTTTTTAGAGTTTTGGTGATATTTTCTACTTATGGAACTGTGTTTCTTAAGGGAACTCTTGTTAATTCTGTTATATGAAATGGAGAGTAGGGTGTATGATGACGAAGAAGAATGGTTTCGGTCCATCTTTTCTGATTCGAAGAAAGAAGATGCCATCCAGAATCAGTATGAGTTCTTCGTTCAGCGTATGGGAGGCCCTCCTTTGTATTCTCAAAGGAAAGGTTAGCTTTTTCTTTTTACTTTTTAATTCTTCTCCTTTAGTATGTGTGTTTAACAGCAATCTGTGAATTCCTTCATTTGCTGTTCGTGTGATTGGTGTTTTATATGCTTGGTCACTTGTAATTCTATGATTGTATAGCCATAGACATTATATTGCATATTTTGCACTACTGTGAGTTGGGTTTGACTAAATATGACTTGGGTATCTGCCAGAATCTTGCTTACTTTGTGGCTTTTGATCTTTCTGTGTAGGTCATCCTGCTTTGATCGGACGTCACCGTCCATTTCCGGTGACTCATGAAGCTGCAGAGAGATGGCTGCAGCACATGCAAAACGCTCTGGACGATTCACTTGACATTGACCACGACTCCAAAATCAAAATGATGAATTTCTTCAGGTAACACACACCATCTTCTTTATCCAAATCGAAACATAGTAAGTCAAATGGATCAAAGTTTTATAAACCTTCGAATTCTGCAGTTACTAGCGAGCGATTGTATTTAGCTTTTTGCTGCTGGTTTTGGTATGTTTCAGGCACACCGCCTTCTTCCTTGTGGCTGGAAACGAGCTGAAGAATCAGAATCAGAACCAGAACAACCAAGTTGCGTGTAAACACGCTGCCAATAAACCAGCAGAAGAATAATCAACAAGTGATTCTTGTTTTATTTGACTTTCAAAGTAAAACCAGCAGAAGAATAATTTAACAACAGATTCTTGTACTACACAAATTGTAAGAAAATTGGTCTTTCCTAGCAAAGCTATACAAGAGAAATAGATCTGGTATTGGCTCTCATTGGTCATTGCAATATCATTCCTTCTTTAGATTCAAATGTGTTGCATTACATTTTCATATTAAACCACAGATTATCTTACACCATAACTCAGACAAATACGACTCATGTTACAAATACGATCGTCAGATGTTACATCAGTTTTCTCTTTTAGAAGGCATATGAATAGAAAAGTCTCATGTTTTAAGAGACCCAAAACAATTACGACTCTCCAAGGCATAAAGATCGATTTGATATAAAACTTTAAGATTCTGAAAGTGTGGTATAGTACACTTTGCTTATGTCGAAGATTGTGGAACAACTAGAACAGTATGACACGACTGTTGAAGGCTAACGAAAATTTCACATTTTTTTTTAACAAATGGGGTGCTCTGTTGAGGCGGGGACATAAAAGGGCGCCCAACGGCACACAAGTTTTTTAAAAACCCAAAATTTAGAATACGAAAAACTTTATGGTTCAAATTGAAATAGGAGGCTAAAAACAAAAATTGAATTTTTCAGGAAGAATATAATAACAACACAAAAGAGCTCTCTCTCTCTCTCTCTATAGAAGGGAGGAAATCAAAATTCAAACGCTACTGATTCTATTTCTACATCGGCGTGCATCTCGGCGCTCCTCACTCCTTCCTTCGGCGCTGAAATCGCCGACTAGGGTTTTTTTTGTTTTCAGATCTCCGGCGGTTATTCTTCTTCCTCCGCCCATGGACTCAGATTCCTCTAGGTCGCGGATTGATCAGGTCCGTTTTTCTTATTTTCTTTAATTAATTTGTCTCCACAAACCTACAGACGCATGTCGAATTTGTAGTTCTTCTTCCTCTTCTTCTCCTTTTTATTCTGTGTGAATTCGCACTTGCTGCAACATCTTAAAGTTTCTCAAGACTTGGAGAACTTGTGTTTGAAATCTGACATATATCGATGCAAATGGATGAACTTTGTAAAGTCTTCGATTCGTTGGATTGTTCGAAAAGACCCATAACTTGAACTGAGCCACATTTTGGCTGAATCCCATAATTTGAATTTTCCACTCGGATAGTGAAAGACTCAAATACATAGAACAAGTCGACATTGCAGGCGGATTTTTGTTGCTGTTTCCATCAACAAAGTTTTTACTTTTGTTAAGGATTTTCCGTGAGTTAGGTTAAAAACTTTTTCTTTCAGTCAAATTATTAACAGTGAAATTAGCTGTGATGGATGAGAAGTAGGCGAAAAGAGGGAATTTTAGTGTTTATCGAAGCTTAAGTTTGTTTCTTTTGACTAAGTTTGCTAATGTTGCTTATCACTGTACTACCCAGTTCTATGTTTCGAAGAAGAGGAAACACCTGTCACCAAATTTGAAGTCTGGGAGAAATGAGAAAAACGTGAAGGTGACAGGAGAAAGGTCTCCTGGAGATAAATGTACTTTGGACAATTACTTGAAAGCCTCTCTGGATGACAAGAACACTGCCAATAGTGGGTTGCAGGCAAGGCAGGAAGCCTTTACAAAAAGATTGGCTTTGGAGGTTTCTGGCCCTTCTGCTACTGAAAGTATACACCCACGCCTGCCTAAACCTCCAAGTGCTGAAACTTCTAAAGGATTTGAAGGGTGTTCAAACCAGAGCGGATCTCAAGTTTTGCGTAAAGAAGGTGTTGCTACTGCTGAAACTCATGCAGCAGATGATTTGCTCTGTGCTAACCAGAAAGATAGTTCAGAACTAAGAGACTTTGCCACTGGTTTCTTGTCCTTGTATTGTAGGTAATGTGCTTTGATTGTGTTGATTTTTCCTTCTTTCCATTATCATATAGGAGCTAGTCGGTGAATATCCCATCTTTTTTTAATGCCCAGTAGTCTGTTGTTCTGAAACTTAGAGGAATTTGTAAATTGTGCTTGTGTGCTTTATGTAGGCAAGTGCGGTCTGTCGTTGGCTCACCTCCACATCAGAAAGCAAACGAACTGAAGCGTAGAAGCAGTTCATCATTACTTGCACAAGATATACAAATTTCTCACAAGAGGCGTTGTGATTTCGAAGATGTACCATCACTAGATGAATTTGCATATCCTCTCAGGAGTAAGCCTGAATCACTCGCTAGCACTGCTGATGAAAGAGCCAAATATATCCCAGACCCTACAAAGAAGGTATAACTGGAATCAAAATCATACAATAGTTATGTTTTCCCTGCTAAACTGATTCAGTTTAAACTTATTTTGTCCGTGTTGAAATGTATTCACAGATTCCAAGCAATGAATCTGTTGAAAAAATTCCATTGGGCTTGAGGAAATGTACTAAGGCACCAGAATTATCAGCTCATCTAACTGAGTGCCACACGCCTGGACCAGCTGTTAAATCATGTCCTGTTGGAACCCCTAAGTCAGGCAGTGGTAGCTCAATGTTCTCACCTGGAGAGTCTTTCTGGAATGAAGCTATTCAAGTTGCTGATGGTTTGTTAAATCCAACTGAGAAGTCTGATTCAGTAAAGAATAAAGATGGAGGTCAACATGTAACTATTCTTTCATGCAGCGATAAAACAGATAATTGCAGTGACAAGTTAATGAGAAGTTTAGATTTAGATGAAAGCAGAGTAAAGGATAAAGATGCCATTGGTTATTCAAAAGTCGCGGAGAAACATGGGAGGGGTTTTGATAAAGAAGTATCTCCATTCCCTGTCAAGAATCTGGAACTTTTGTTTCAAGATAAAAAAACAAATGGAGGTACCGGAGAGCAATGTGCTTCATTTGATCAAAATAACATTACTGGAGGAAGCAATAGGATCTCTGAATCTGCCTTTGTTGATAATAAAGGATCTGAAACTCTTGATATCGCCAATAATGCTCTGGCAAACAAAAATTTGATAGGCAGGATGTATCAAGAACCTGAAGGAAAGAAAGATTTTGTGTGCGAAGACAATGATAGTGTAAGATCTGTTTCTATGATAAGCAGCATGAGGAAGCCAACTGATTCTAGTGAATCTGAAGAAAGTCATACTCCTTTAAGCTCTCATCATAATAAAGATGGTTTAAATCTTAGCACCTGGCTTCCCTCAGAAGTTTGCAGCGTATACAATAAGAAAGGAATATCTAAACTCTATCCATGGCAGGTACATATTAAAGAGTGATTTTATTCCACATCTATTCTGTCTTTTATGCCTGTTTGTGTGTATGCTATTGCTTCCGACGTCCTTTTTGTTAGCTGAATACAAATTGTTATAATTTTTTCTAGGTCGAGTGCCTTCAGGTAGATGGTGTTTTGCAGAAGAGGAATCTGGTATATTGTGCTTCTACAAGGTATCTTCATGGTTGGCGATGAATCTACCTTTTTAAAGTTTGCTTCTTTTCATACATTTTCTTCGGATCATTATAGCGGTATTATTAATCTCACTAGAAGGCTTCCATCTGATAAGAATTTTAAGCTAATTTCGAAACCATATTGTTCGTGCAGTGCTGGTAAAAGTTTTGTCGCAGAAGTCTTGATGCTGCGCCGGGTCTTAACAACTGGGAAAATGGCATTGCTTGTGCTACCATATGTATCCATTTGCGCTGAGAAGGTTTCTTTTGTTATTCTCTCTAAGCATCCTACACAGTTTAGAATATTTCATTACCTTCTGTCAGTTTACTCGTATAATAATTGGGTGCAGGCGGAACACCTTGAGGTCCTTCTTGAACCACTTGGTAAGCATGTTCGTAGTTACTATGGAAATCAGGGTGGTGGAACACTTCCTAAAGGCACTGCTGTGGCTGTCTGCACGATTGAGAAGGCAAACTCTTTGATAAATCGCTTGCTTGAAGAGGGTCGCTTGTCTGAACTTGGGATCATTGTTATAGATGAGCTACACATGGTATGGTTTTCACATATCTCGTCTGTATGGATCTCGAATAAGCTTATAACTGTCTGACACTGTCTTTGTTTAAGTACTCCATCTTCGCATATTTAATAATGAATGCATTAAAAGGAACCTATTGCTCATGATTTACACAGGTGGGTGACCAACATAGGGGTTATCTTTTGGAACTTATGCTGACAAAACTTCGCTATGCTGCCGGTGAAGGCAGTTCAGAGTGTAGTAGTGGTGAAAGTTCAGGGAATAGCAGTGGCAAGAATGATCCTGCTCATGGCCTACAAATTGTGGGTATGAGTGCTACAATGCCGAATGTTGGAGCAGTTGCTGACTGGCTTCAAGTAAGAAACAGAATCACTATTTGAGATATATGTTTCACTTAGTTGCATAACACTTCTCTCTAGAAATATTGGTCATAGATAAATGTGCAGGCCTGCATGTCCGTGGGAATGATACGAATATGGTAGTTATGAAATTGCACAGAAATACTTTGATTGTTAGTAAACGTTACGTTTTCGATAAAATGAAGACCTGTATTTCTCCAGATTTCTAAAGTTGGTGATTATAGTTTTTCTGTAGATTTCACCTGTATTAAAACTCTGTAAATTTATTGTGGCCATGGTTTTACATGTTGAAAGGCAGCTTTATATCAGACGGAGTTTCGACCAGTTCCGCTAGAGGAGTATATTAAAGTTGGTAACACCATCTATAATAAAAACATGGAAGTTGTGAGGACTATACCAAAAGCTGCTGATATGGGAGGAAAAGACCCAGACCATATCATTGAGCTTTGTAACGAGGTAATGGCTTTTGCAAGCTAAGGTCCTAATTAAGTCCTTGCACTTTTTTTTCTGTTTCTGATTAAACATGTACTCAAATTTGGTTCAAGAAGGAAAACTCAGATGTAATATCACAATCCAGGTTGTTCAAGAAGGCAATTCAGTGCTGATATTTTGCTCGAGTCGAAAAGGATGTGAATCAACTGCTAGGCATATTTCAAAGCTCATTAAAAAAGTGCCCATAGACGTTGATGGTGAAAATAGTGAGTTTATGGATATCAGATCTGCTATTGATGCTCTGCGAAGGTCTCCATCTGGAGTAGATCCTGTACTAGAAGAAACTCTTCCCTCAGGGGTTGCCTACCATCATGCTGGTCTTACAGTATGTATACACAGTCCATTCACCATATATGTTTTCTTGACCTGGCTACTTACATGTGGGATGGTGAATTCTACAAAAAGTGAATACCTCCATTTATTAGCAGAAAATGAACAAATAAGTTTATTTGTATTACAGGTCGAAGAAAGAGAGATTGTTGAGACCTGTTACCGTAAGGGTCTTGTACGTGTCTTAACGGCTACATCCACTCTCGCGGCGGGGGTTAACCTGCCTGCAAGGAGAGTCATTTTTCGGCAACCAATGATTGGCCGTGATTTTCTTGATGGTACAAGGTACAAGCAAATGGCTGGTCGAGCTGGGCGGACTGGGATTGATACAAAAGGAGAAAGTGTATGCCTTTAATTTCTTCAGAAATAATGATGTTATAATTTCTGTTTCAGTTCATCATGGTGAAATTCCCAGAATTTTTTGTTCTTGATTGGAGTAGTCAGTAGTCGAGGCGTTTGATATTTGTTCTAAATTTTTCCAGGTGTTGATTTGCAAACCAGGAGAACTCAAGCGAATAAAGGCACTTCTAAATGAAAGCTGCCCACCTTTGCAGTCTTGTTTATCTGAGGACAAGAATGGAATGACTCATGCAATATTAGAAGTTGTGGCAGGTGGAATTGTACAGACTGCCAAAGATATACATCGCTATGTTAGGTGTACTCTTCTGAATTCTACAAAGCCCTTTCAAGATGTGGTCAAATCAGCTCAGGATTCTCTTCGGTGGCTGTGCCACAGAAAATTTCTTGAGTGGAATGAAGAGACGAAGTTATACACTACAACACCCCTTGGACGTGGATCTTTTGGCAGCTCACTCTGCCCAGAGGAGTCACTTGTAATTTAATCTAACTTTCTATAATTGAAAATGCATTTTATTTAGTGCTAAGTAAGCATGCTTGATGTGTATGTGTTTGTTGTTGCCGCAGATAGTGCTGGATGATCTTTTAAGAGCACGTGAAGGACTAGTTATGGCTTCTGATTTGCATTTGGTCTATTTAGTCACTCCAATTAATGTTGGTGTTGAACCGAACTGGGAATTGTATTATGAACGGTTTATGGAACTGTCTCCGTTAGAACAGGTAATACTACTATCTGGTAATATGTATTGATAAACAAGAAGTATGTTAGATATCTTCTTCCTGTCATCCTAGTTTAATGTCATTCTTCTTATTAAACTTCTAGTTGCACAATAGTTAGGAATCCTCTTTCTCCTTTACCTTATGTAGTGGAAAGCTGAATTTCAACCTTCAAGTGTTGTGCAGTACTTTTTGAATAGAAGTTTGCACTAGGTCTCGTTATTTGGGCATGTAATTCCAGAAAGTCTTTGTACGCTGATGCTATTACTCTTGATCTTACAATTTCAGTCTGTTGGCAATAGAGTTGGAGTGGTCGAACCGTTTCTGATGCGCATGGCCCATGGTGCAACAGTGCGCACTCTTAACAAACCACAAGATGCAAAAAAAAGTTTGCGTGGAGAATATGACAATCGGCATGGTTCAACGAGCACTAAGATGCTTTCAGATGAACAGATGCTTCGAGTGTGCAAACGATTTTTTGTTGCTCTCATCTTGTCAAAATTAGTGCAGGTGCCTCTCTTACTGCTTCTTTGTTTCTTGTATTTTTTATCATTGGTAAAGCTTCTAATTTTAGTTCATATGATCTTAACCCGAACCAGCTTGCATGATCACGTACACTTCATGATGTTCTCTTAAACTGTTTATCTAACTTAGCTGCGCTGCTTATTTTGGCTCTTGCAGATTTTGGTTTGTATTTCAAAAAATTTGGTGAGGATCGACTCTAGCATATAACTTTTTTTTTTTAACTATGGAATGCAGGAAGCTTCTGTGACTGACGTTTGTGAAGCCTTTAAAGTGGCCAGAGGAATGGTTCAAGCGCTACAAGAGAACGCTGGAAGGTTTTCTTCCATGGTTTCGGTGTTCTGTGAGAGGCTTGGATGGCATGATCTGGAAGGCTTAGTTGCCAAATTCCAGAACCGTGTTTCATTTGGTGTTAGGGCTGAAATTGTTGAACTTACTAGCATTCCATATATAAAGGTACTTGCAATTTCCAGGAACTTATAGCTAGGATATGAGGAGTGTTGTTGACAAAGATGGTTTTTGGCATTGAATAACTAGGGTTCAAGAGCTAGAGCGTTGTACAAAGCTGGCTTGCGCACATCTCAGGCGATAGCTGAAGCATCCATCCCTGAAATTGTCAAAGCTCTCTTTGAATCTTCAGCGTGGGCTGCAGAAGGTACTTCGGTTTTCTTTGACAGTTCACATTGATGTTTGTGTTGCTTATATAAGGAATGCGTTGAATGCTTGTTGGAAAAAAATACTGTGTCCTCTTTCATCTTATGTGTTCACACGTTGATATGGTGTACAAGGTACAGGACAAAGAAGGATACACTTGGGATTAGCCAAGAAAATCAAGAATGGAGCGCGCAAAATTGTTCTTGAGAAAGCAGAAGAGGCTAGAGCTGCTGCATTCTCTGCTTTTAAGTCACTTGGTTTGGATGTTCACGAGCTTTCGAATCCCTTGCAATTGGTTCCTGCTAGGAGTCCCAATGGACAAGACGCTATTGAAGGAGACATTTCTGGAGGCTCTGTTGGTCCCAATAGATTTACGGAGGGGCACATGGAATGTGAAAACTTTGGTGAGGATAATCGCAGAGAGAAGCGAAGGGAGGTATCAGGTGCTGTCTTAGGGGTTTCATCAGAAGTTAACTTGACTAGTCGACCTCTTCCTGATATTCAACCCATAGGAACTACAGTCGGCACGGATGGGCCTAATGCTGCTAGTATTCTTTCCAATGAAGACAATGTTGAACAGCATTTGACAGAAAATGCCCATATTCCTCCTAGCAATAAGGATAATGCAGGTGAAAAGGGTCCAATAACTGCAGGAAATATTAGTGGCGGATTTGATTCTTTCCTGGAACTCTGGGAATCTGCAGGAGAATTTTTCTTTGATATCCACTATAATAAACTACAAGATTTGAATTCCCGCATCTCTTATGAGATACATGGAATTGCGATCTGCTGGAATAACTCTCCTGTATACTACGTCAATCTTAACAAGGATCTTCCAAACCTGGAATGTGCAGAAAAAGCAAAGCTTTCCAAGGATGCAGTTGGCAAGAAAGAGGTTTTGGGTACCCACAACACGTTTGACGTTATAAAATCTAGGTGGAACAGAATCAGCAAAATAATGGCAAATGAAAGTACTAGAAAGTTCACGTGGAATTTGAAAGTCCAGATTCAGGTGCTCAAAAGTCCTGCCATTTCAATCCAAAGATGTGCTCGCCTGAATCTTCCAGAAGGGAACAGTGATCTTGAGTTGGTGGATGGATCTTGGTTAGTGATGCCTCCTCTTCGCATAAGCCACACCATCGACATGAGCATCCTGACGTGGATTCTTTGGCCAGATGAGGAAAGACATTCAAATCCAAACATAGATAAGGTAATTCCAGATTGACAATTAGCGGAATCAATTAATGTATATCAGTATCAATATTTTTTTGTCTTTCATCACACACAGATTTAGCTCATATGACCCTCCTCCTCATATTTTTTTTATCCAAAGTTTCTAAGACTGATGCTGTGATGTTAAAGGAAGTAAAGAAAAGACTGTCCCCAGAGGCAGCTGAAGCAGCTAATCGCAGTGGCCGGTGGAGGAATCAGATCCGAAGGGTTGCCCACAATGGTTGCTGCAGACGGGTTGCTCAAACACGAGCCCTTTGTTCTGCTCTTTGGAAGATCCTTGTTTCCGAAGAACTTCTTGAAGCACTGACAACCACTGAAATGCCGCTGGTATATCTCCTCTTATTTGCTTTATTGTTACAGCGGTTTAGCTAAATTACACCAACATCTAGCTTATGACATCCCCAAAGTTAAATATTTATGTGAAATTATTTGTTCAAACAGCCATCTGTGGTTGGTTTTCGTTCTCAGAAATTTCACGTTGTGATGCTCAGTGTTTGGTAGCCTATAGTGCCTTGACTTATATTCTATATGTGGTAGAGCTACATAATGCCCAGGGAGGCAGTCATCCCAGTGTTGATGTGTTCTCCGTCAGATATTGAATTCATAGACTTTTATATAAACTATATTCTCTACAGTCGATTCTTAGAAATTTATTACTCTGCTAAGTTATATGCATTCATTCTGCGTTTCAGGTTAATGTCCTTGCAGACATGGAGCTTTGGGGTATAGGCGTCGATATAGAAGGATGCTTTAAGGCACGCAATATACTGCGGGATAAACTGCGGTCCCTTGAGAAGAAGGCATTTGAATTGGCTGGCATGACATTTTCATTGCACAACCCAGCCGATATTGCAAATGTGCTGTTTGGCCAGTTGCAGTTGCCCATACCAGAAAACCAAAATAATGGGAAACTTCATCCAAGTACTGATAAGCATTGTTTGGATCTTTTAAGGTATTGCAAAAGGCTAATTGGTTTTCCTTACACTACGTTATATTTTTTCATCATGAAGGATACCAGTTCTTTTGAGATCTATTCGACAGAGCAAGTCTGTGGTTATGATATCAAGAGATTTTCTCCCAGCTACTGTGTTTCTATTTTCGTCTGACCGTACTTTGGAATATGACTTTACCCCAGGAATGAGCATCCTGTTGTCCCAATTATCAAAGAGCACCGCACTTTGGCAAAGCTCTTAAATTGTACACTTGGATCAATATGTTCGCTTGCTAAACTACGCTTGAGCACGCAAAGGTACACTTTGCATGGCCACTGGCTTCAAACATCAACAGCAACGGGGCGGCTTTCCATAGAGGAGCCTAATCTCCAAGTATGACTTCTGTTATATTTCCTTCTTCATTCTATCGTGTATCTGAAAATCAATGACCATGTTACTTTTTTGCAGTCTGTTGAGCATGAAGTAGAGTTCATACTGGATAAAAATGGAAACGAAGTAAATTCAGATGCTGATCGTTACAAAATCAATGCACGTGACTTCTTTGTTCCTACTCAGGTAAATATCTCTGTAATTTCTAGAAGTATTATGTCTTTAGTCGCTAAGCCAACAAGACAAAGATATTTCCCGAAAATTGTGCAACTGAAAGCATTTATTTCTTCCAAAGCATTTATTTCCGAGAGGTCCATAGTGGTTCTTCTATTGGTATAGGGGATTTAACATATGAATTGTGATGGTGTTGGAAGCGTATAGTTGCTACTTCAAGAGTGGTCTACTGTATTTGGTTAATGTGGTTCTTATAAACATCTTATGAATAAGCTCTTTCGGTGTGGAGGATTGAAGATAACAACAAAATTCCTGCACAATACTATGTAGGCTTTATAGGCAAAACCGCAAAAGTGTTCAGTATCTAACACCATCTTTGATGCTATGTATTTTCAATCATTTTAGCCATAATCTCGATTTAATTTCCTGAAGATGGATTATAATATCGATTTTTTTCAACACAGGAAAATTGGTTACTCTTGACGGCAGATTATTCACAGATAGAGTTGCGACTCATGGCACATTTTTCTAGAGATACGTCGTTGATTACAAAACTTAGTCAGCCAGAAGGTGATGTCTTTACGATGATAGCTGCAAAATGGACTGGAAAGGCTGAGGAATCTGTTAGTCCACATGATAGAGATCAGACCAAAAGATTGATCTATGGAATTCTTTATGGGATGGGTGCAAACAGGCTTGCAGAACAGCTCGAGTGCAGCTCTGATGAAGCCAAGGAGAAAATAAGAAGCTTTAAAAGTTCTTTCCCTGCAGTCAGCTCTTGGCTTAACGAAACGGTTTCATTTTGCCAGGAAAAAGGGTGAGGATCTTACACTATTTATCAATGCTTTTAACTCTTATAACAGCGTCTGTGTTTTTAGTCCTTTGCTTTGCTTTAGAGTCTTGAATGTTTTGATCGAGTGCATGTTCAGCTTCGCTGAGTCTGTTTCCCATCTATATTTCATTTGAATACAGTCCCATGTGGTCCTTTAAATTATAATCTTGCTCATTTGGTATGTGGTCAATTAGGGAGCTACATTTTTCATTATTTCTTGCTGAAGACAGAATTTTCAACATTTTGATATGCAGATACATTCAGACTCTTAAGGGAAGAAGGCGGTTCTTGTCGAAAATTAAATTTGGGAATGCCAAAGAGAAATCAAAGGCTCAAAGGCAAGCTGTAAATTCCATGTGCCAGGTCCGACCTTGTTTCTTCTTTTCCTTTTCCCTGACACTTAATGTTATGCTGTGAGGTTTAATCAGACACTATACCAGATCTATTTCTTTAGAATGTAGTGTTGTTTAGAAAGAACATATAATTATACCTGGTTGTTGTTTTATTCAGGGATCTGCTGCTGATATAATCAAGATCGCGATGATAAACATATACTCTGCAATTTCTGAGGGTGTAGATACTGCAGCATCTAGTTCTTCAGCTGAAACTAAGTTTCACCTGTTGAAGGGACGATGCCGAATTCTTCTACAGGTGAGAGTTGTCCACGCTTTCTTTCTCTTCTGTTTGTGTTTGGTTCTTTCCATATTTTCAATTTTATATATTCCTTCTGCAAGTGAAAATTATAGCTCATCAACGTGGGACATTATTATGCAGATACATGATGAACTTGTGCTGGAAGTTGATCCTTCTTACGCAAAGGAAGCAGCAGTGCTGCTACAAACCAGCATGGAAAATGCGGTTTCACTTCTCGGTATGTTCATCATATAACATGCTCTTTTTCTATGGGATGTATATATATAATAAATGTTAACTTTCTTGGTTATGTTCTGCATTTTCAGTCCCTCTGCATGTGAAACTGAAGGTTGGGAAAACATGGGGTTCTTTAGAGCCGTTTCAGGCTACTTAAGACATCCTCATAATCTCAATGTCTTTAAATCTCAATTTAAGAGACTCGGACAGCTTGCGCAACTCGCTCGTACTTGTATTTGATGCGTCAAAATGTTGCCACATCCACGGGTTGACTTAGCGGCATGCTCCTGTTTCATCTTCATGAAGTGATGAAGATAAATGATTTCAGAGGTTTATTTCTGACATCCGTTGCCTGAAAGATGAGCGGTGGAGATGGAAAGGAAAGGAGCATTCCATGAGGGACTCTTCTTATCAGCTTCAAAGAGACTCTGTAAAGTTCCAACTTCCAACCAAAAAGGAGGTGACTTCAACAGTTATTATAGGTTTACTTAGACAGTGACTTTTATTAACATGACCAAAAGATTAGGCAAGGTAATTACTCTTTTTGACTGTAAATACACTGTCAACTTCATTGTATATGTACTCATGGTTTCAAAAGAGAATTTTGTACTCTGTTCTACATATTCGGATTTGAATTTTGGGGAAAGTAGTTATTGATGGGCGACGATTCTAGAGTAAGGTCTCTCCAGAATTCTAAACTTAATTGTTATGTTGATATAATTGAAAAAAAAAAGAGTAAAAACCAATATTAGGTGACTTCATATTTTCAACGGGCACTAAACTCATCCCGTGAGCGACCACGAGTATTTTATATATACTTTTCAGAGTTGAAATTGATATCACTGAAATTCTGTAGTGGGGCCAATTGTCAAAAAGCTCCACACAAATTTGGAATCCATAATTTCTCCAATAATGAATTTTCTGATAAATGGACCAATAGATAAAGTATACCTTGGAGTATGTATGTATGTATGTATTTTCTGACAAAAAAAAAATGTATAATTTTGTATTATTGAGAACAGGAAGTGGTTGCTCACGAGCGGCGATGCAAACCAGAGTGGTTTGCTCGGCTGTCTAATGTGTTGATTAAAAACTAAGCTTCAGAAGCTGACAATGCTCTATACGACAAAACCTTAATACTTCTACTATTCTGCCAAAACCTCACCTGCTTCTTCCTCCTTCTCCTCTCTGTGGTAAAGTGAAGAACTTCACAACATCCCATTGTTTGATTCCCAAAAAAGCTGAGTCTTTTTCATGTTGCTCTCTCCTACTGCCTCGCCGGCTCCGGTGGATTCTCCGCCTGCCACGTCATCACCTCCAGCTCCTCATTTTTCTCCTCTTCCCCCGCCACTTAAATCTTCTCCGCCGCCTCTTTTAGCTCCCACCGTTTCCCCACCGCCGCCTCCTCCGGTGGAATCTCCACCGCCTCCTCCCGCCTCATCCCCTTCCGGTTCACCGCCATTGCCTTTCCTTCCCGCCAAACCGTCTCCGCCGCCTTCTTCACTTCCCTCTGAGACACTGCCGCCGCCGGAGAAAACGGTTTCTCCGCCACCTCCTTCACTTCCCTCTGAGACAGTACCGCCTGGAAAAACGATATCTCCGCCACCTTCTTCACTTCCCTCCGATCCACTCCCGCCGGTGAATATGGCTTCACCTCCACCGCCGTCTCCTCCTCGCCGCCGTGGCCCAAAGCTTTCGCTTCCTCCTCCCATAATTTCCTCTCCACCAAAGACTTCTCCAACTCCAACCACTCCGTCTCTCCCGGAAACTTCTCCTCCACCTAAACCACCGCTCTCGACGTCGCCATTTCCCTCTTCATCCAACTCTCCGCCGAAGAACTCGCCGGCAGCAATCCTTCCTTTCTTTGGGCCTGTGAGCCCACTACCGGATATGCCCGATGGGACAGTAGCGCCACCTATTGGGCCCGTTATAGAGCCCAAAACGAGTCCGGGCGGATCAATCTCCCCGGGAACGCCACAGCCACTTGTACCGAAGAGCCTGCCTGAGACGACGTCGTATCACCGTTCTTCCGCCGGATTCTTATTCGGCGGTGTGATCGTTGGGGCTCTTCTGCTTGTTCTGCTAGGTCTTCTCTTTGTCTTTTACAGAGCTACCAGAAATAGAAATAACAGCTCTCGTCATCACCAATCAAAAGCTCCATCAAAAGGTATTAATTCCAAATCTTTTTTGCTACAATATATTTCATAAGTCTAGTATCTTAAACCATGATGAGCATATACACAAAGGTTGAACCTTTTTGTTTCAGATTGTCAAATAAAACGAAATGTAGTAATAATTAGCCTCTTGTTGATTGTGTGATCAGTTCAACACCATCGAGGTGGTAATGTCGATCAAAACCAGGCGAATGTTATCACGATACCACCTCTAGTCCATGCTGCACCACCAAAGTATTCGTCCAGTGGTTCTAAGGAGAACAATGCCGTTGCAATGAACATTACAATGCCATCTGGAATGTTCACATACGAAGAACTATTAGAGGCAACGGGCGGATTCTCAGAGGCAAACCTATTGGGAGAAGGCGGATTCGGTTACGTTCACAAAGGAGTGCTGAAAAGCGGGAGAGAAGTGGCGGTGAAGCAGCTGAAGATTGGGAGCAATCAAGGGGAAAGAGAATTCCAAGCTGAGGTTGACACAATCAGTAGGGTTCATCACAAGCACCTTGTCTCCTTGGTCGGTTATTGCATTCACGGAGATAAAAGACTCTTGGTTTACGAGTTTGTTCCTAAAGACACCTTGGAGTTCCACTTGCATGGTAAACAAAGACATATAGTATTTGAAACTTTTGATTTTGTTTTTTTTTTTATATTCTTTTTGTTGAATATTGTGAGAATGTGTTGTAGGAAACAGAGTAAGTGTGTTGAAGTGGGAAATGAGGCTCAGGATAGCTGTAGGAGCAGCGAAAGGATTAGCGTATCTTCATGAGGATTGTGAGTTTTTTTTTTCTCTTTTGGTTTTGTCAGACACTTGTAGTGATTTCTCGTGTTTGAAATTGCAGGCAGTCCAACTATAATTCACCGTGATATCAAAGCAGCTAATATCCTTCTAGATTCCAAATATGAGGCAAAGGTGATATGCTCGTTGCTCTGTTTAACAAAGTTGCATCATGTAGCTTATAGAGTTAATAATCTGCTAAACCTGTGTTTTTCTTGTTCTGTTTTGTTCTGCTTCTTTCAGGTCTCTGACTTTGGGCTTGCCAAATTCTTCTCAGACACCAATTCATCAGTCACTCATATCTCTACTCGCGTGGTAGGAACTTTCGGGTAAAACACCATCCATGTTTTGCTCTGTTTTTTCATCTTGTTTTAAAAGATTATTTTGCGTTTTCAAGCTTTCTTCCTTCTTGTATCGAAAAGATAGATGGATCAATCCTAACTGTATGGTATGCATTTACACAGATACATGGCTCCAGAATACGCGTCGAGTGGTAAAGTAACTGATAAATCAGATGTATATTCCTTTGGGGTCGTGCTTCTTGAACTCATCACCGGACGTCCATCGATTTTCCCTAAAGATCCCACCACAAACCTTAGTTTAGTTGACTGGGTATGTCCACAAATGTGACGATGATGATGATGAAATGATTTCCATCAGATTCTCATTTTCTTTTCCAATAGATAAATTAGAAGGGGAAGTACACTTTTAATTTTGTGAATCTTGGTTCCTCCTTCAGGCGAGGCCGTTGCTTGCAAAAGCCATCTCTGGAGAAAGTTTCGAGCTTGTTGTAGACCCGAGGCTGGAGAAGAACTACGATACAACTCAAATGGCAAACATGGCTGCTTGTGCTGCTGCTTGCATACGTCAATCTGCTTGGCTTCGTCCCCGAATGAGCCAGGTTTTGTCTTGAGAACATGTCAAAGTCACTATATCCCGAAATGAAAGAGTCCTAACTTATCTTGAAAAACTTGGAATTATATAGATAGTCCGTGCTCTTGAAGGCGAGGTGGCCCTTAGAAATGTCGAGGAGACCGGTAATAGCAGCAGGACGTATAGCTCCTCTGAAACCCCAAACGGCGTCTGTGGAACAAGCAATGGTTACACTTCAGAGTATGGAATCAATCCTTCTCAGTCGAGCAGTGAACATTAAGTCTTCACAACTCTGGGGTTAACTGTGTGATTAGCCTACTTCATTCATTTTGTAGCTATTGATTAACATCTGTGAAAGGTTTCCAAAGAACACTAGCAGTGTTCTTGGCTTTCTAGCTTTTACCGTGATTTTTTATTAATTTGGGGATATATATATTTTGTATTGTATGCTGTAATCCATGTATGGGCACAAAATATTTTATGTTATATCGAAACAGATAGTTCATTAGTAGAGTAAATATATGGCAAATTAACGAGTAGTGAATTCCTTAGAGAATTTTTTTTTCCTAAAAATAAAAATTGATCCCGTCGAAATCGTTAACTTGGCTCGTTGAATTTTACAAACTAATGTAGTTCTAAAAATAGTTTTTATCTATTTTTACTGTGTTTCAAGTATATTTATTAGCGAGTGTTATAGAGAGAGAAGTACAAATACTTGTTACGAGAGAAACAAAAAAACTATAGTTTTCTGCGGGTAATAGAGAAAAGATTGTTATCATTTTGTTAATCATGAGATCTGCTACTTTTTTTTTTTTTTTTTTTTTTTTTTTTTTTTGAACAATGAGATCTGCTACTTGGTTTATAGTTTTCTGTGTTCTCATCTTTCACGTTCTGAGCAATGGTAAAGGTAATATATATTCTTTGTTTTTATTTTTTTTTAATTTGATGTTGTTTCGTTACTTGACAAATTTGTTGTTACTTTTCTCAGAAAAAAAACAATGTTGATTGTTGTTAAACATTGATTATTATTTAGCTGTTACTATTCTCAAAAACAATGTTGTGAGAGAAAAATAAACAAAAACAAAAATAATGCTACAATTAACGGTTTTCGTTGGAATAATAGAAGTGGAAGCAAAGGAACTGTGTACAAGAATAGAAGATATCGAAGGAGACTGCAGCTTTCAGGGAGAGAAGGAGTGCATGAAGTTCATGACGAATAAATATAAGACAAGATATGTTAGTTGCACATGTAACAAAATCTTCATGTTAAAGAAGACCAAACGTTTTTGCGAATGTAAAAGTCGCTGTGAAAATTAAACTAATCACTCCATAAATTTTATCTCTTTACTTTATGCGAGTTTGTAGTGTTGAGATGACACAAACACACAAATAATTTATGTTAGGCTATTGCTTCTTCAAACAATTTTTGATAAAGTTGTCAGTTAATAATATATATCATAAGCAGTATGAGTTTCTCAATCAATCTATATTACATGTCTTGTAGTGATCCAAATCTGTATTTTTGTTGTTGTTATAACTTATAAGATGTCTATGTGGTATGCATGTTAGGAAATTTTATAGAACTATTTTAGTGGATGCATATGATATTATTCTAGGGTAATTTTTTATAATTGTAAAGCATAGTAAGGGTAAATTAGATCGTATGGTAAAATGATAGGGTATTAGAAAATATTATTTTGATATAAAGGGTCAAAAGAGAAATATAAATATATTAGCAATTAACTCCAAATTTTCAGACAAAATATGGAAGCTGTCTCTCACTAAACCCTAGTACCCTTTTCTTCTTCCCTCTCTTCTCTCCTCCTCCTCCTCCGCTCTGCCTCTCTGCTTTTCGAATCAGTGAACAAAAATGTCGATTCCTTGTCTAACCGAAGAGACGGCCAAAACGGTTCTGCGCCAGGTCTAAACCTTTCTTCTTCCTCTTTCTACTATTCGGTTTCTCGATGGCTTCACCAGTTTTTTTCCAATTGATTTAATTATGTTCTGATATTGGTATCGAAATTTCAGGTGGAGTTCTACTTCAGCGATAGCAATCTTCCAATCGATGATTTCCTTAAGAAGACGGTCACCGAGAGTGAAGACGGCTGTAAGTTTATAACTTCCGAATAAATTCAATCGCTTTGTTTTGATTTTTGTTATTGGGAAGTAATAATTTCTTCTTCTTCTTCTTCTTCCTGTGTCCGTCTTTGATTTTGGAAAACAGTGGTTAGCTTGGCGTTGATATGTTCCTTCAGTAAGATGAGAACACATTTGAAGTTGGGTGATTCGAAAGGAGATGAGATTCCTGAAGATACGATCAAAGCTGTTGCTGATACTCTTCGCACCTCTTCGGCTCTCAAGGTTTCTGAAGACGGTGAGTTTTTTTCTTTAATTCTATAAGCGCATGATAGATTCAAGTGTTAGCTCAGACCTGTCTTTTATATTCGTAAGTTTTGCTAATATGATTGTGCCCAGTTTGGAGAATTTGTTTTCTTTTACAGTTTGTTGATAACTTTTGTTTTTGGATATGTTTACACAGGGAAAAAGATTGGTAGGAGCACAGAATTGTTGAAGCTAGAAGATTTGGTTGAGCAACTTAATGCGAGAACAGTAGCTGCTTCACCATTCTCGTATGATGTTAAAAGGGAAGACGTGGAAGCGTTTTTCAGTCAGTATGGAACGGTAATAATCCACTATCGATTTGAGTTATAAGATTTCGTCATTTTTTCAAATTTGGAGAAAATATTAAAGTTATACAAGTGTGTGATATATGTATGTGTTTTTTTCCTTTCAGGTTAATAGTGTTAGGATGCCTCGTCATGTAGCAGAGACGAGAGTGTTTTGTGGCGTTGCCTTGGTTGAGTTCCCTACAGAAGAGGATGCCCAAAATGTTATGAAGCAAAATTTGGTCTTCGCTGGTCTCGAGTTGGAGATGAAACCAAAGTAAGCCTACCTGGGGATGATAACATGTCCTGCGTAGTTTTTCTCATCTCATAATGCTTTTTTTATATTGATTGTTTGGATGCGTTAACTTAAAGATAATATTTTCTTTCAGGAAAGAGTTCGATGAGGAAAGGGAGAAGGATGAAGAGAAGTTCGCTAACTACCGTCCACAAAAGGCTGCTGCAAACCAGAAGAACGGTTTTGAGCATAAGAACGGTTCTGATTATGAGGCAAAGTAGGCTGCTAATAGTTTTTTTTTTGTCTCTTGTTGCTTTGAAATTTCTTGAACTGACTATAGCTGTTTTGTAATTTTGTAGTTATCCCAAGGGTTTGATCATTTCATTCACGCTCAAGCGCGCAGCTGAAGAGGGTGCCATGGAACAAAAGAGTTCTGAGGAGCCAACCGAGAAGACAATGCAAGAAAATGTGTCAGAGCCAGCAGATAATCCTGATGCTGACAAAGAAAACACTGATCAGGTTCAGGGCCAAGGAACAGAGGGTGAAGTTGATGAGGAGTCTTCTGATTCTCCAACTAAAAATGGAGAGCGGGAAGAAAAAGGGGGTGCTCTAGCTACCCATAAAGATAACAAAGATGTTGTCTTGCGTGAAGATCTCAAGGCCGTTTTTGGAAAATTTGGTGATGTCAAGGTACTCAACCTCACATCCTGTTATAGTATTGCTGATTATATGTTCCCCCTTTGTTTTTCTGCTGGCCATGGTCATGATTTACTGGCTAATATACCTTATGTTCTCGTTGTCAGTTCCACTTTATTCTGTAATTTGATTGTTGTTACTCATTGTTTCTTTTGACTGTGAAGTTTGTGGATTTCAAAATGGGAGCCGAGACGGGATACCTTAGGTTTGATGAACCAGAAGCATCTCAGAAAGCGCGTGCAGCAGCAGTATTAGCCAAAGAAGGTGGACTAGCCGTGAAGAATTTCATCGCTGTCCTAGAACCTGTTACCGGTAAAAACACCTTTTTTAACTTCCATCTTATTTTCTTTTACTATGCCTGTGTTCTGCTTGAGTTTTAAAGGTTTGTTTTGCTGTGTCAGGCGAAGCTGAAAAGGAGTACTGGGGTCTCCTTCGCAGCAAAGATCGTTTTGACAAGGGTGGCCGTGGAGGAAGGTGAGTACTTGGTTATTGTATTTGAGAATATACTATTAGGTTTGGTTTTTGTAAAGAGTAGGTCCAAACTATAACCAGTTTGGTTAGGTTTCGGTCTGAGAAATTTGGGTTGTGGTCTGTGTGCAGGGGAGGAAAACGAGGAGGGAGGTTTGGGCGAAAGAGGGGATCTGATTCCCCGAGTGGTGGTCGCTGGAACAAAGCTCAGAAAGTCGAGGCATGATCATCACACTTTCTATCTTACTCTCTTTAGCTCGTGACTTGTTGTTTCTGCTTTTTAATATATTTCTAGTTGCTACCTTTATTTATGTATACCTCACTGTCGAAACCTTTTATTATCTACTTGCGACTTCTTGTGATGTCTTTCACTAGAAATCAGCAAAGCAAGTTATAGTATGTAGTTGCTATTTGGCAAGTTTTGGTTTAGATCATCATATATGGTTTCGTTTTTACCTCTCTGCTTATTATGCACATTTCGGTTTCCTATTTTAGATCTATCTTATGTTTTTGTTTTTTTTTGGAAAGTTTATCTAAAACTACTAATAGAGAGAGAATCTAAAACTATTAATAGTAGTGTTTTCAATACTTACTGCAAATTCTACAATCTGTATTACCTCACACTGTTAAGATGTCTGGATTAATTTTGAAAAGTTTGAATTAATTTTGAAAAGTTAATAAATAGTTTTTCGTTTATTTCATGTGGTCCTTTCGTTTGACTTTCTCCACATAGTTTTTAGGGTTTTTATGCTCATCTTTTATGCTTCTTTTCTTTTTGACATGAGAAGAGTAAGAGAATGGCCCGTCTCGTCTGTAACTTTGTTTTTGTTTAAAAAAGAAAACTTATTCTTTTATAGCAAATACCAAAAACGAAAAAAATATCATCTCACGTATATTTTCGAAACTAAAAACAAAGTACCGCTTTAATTGTATTTTGAATTGGAAAAAGTATATATACGACTAATAATAAATGCGTAATGCTATTTGAATGTTGTTAGTTGTTACCGTGGAAAAAAGGGAGGATGCAGAATCTCGAAAAAAAAAGAAAATAAGAGAACGTTTTTGTATGAAAAAGGAAGAAAAATTAATAAATAATAATATAGGCGTGGAACTTTAATGGAGACTAGATTCACACAGCTTGAAATGAACGGCTGAGATCATCTTTCCCTTTTGTTTGATCTCACTTCGAAAGTGCTACCCAATTCCGCCTCTCCATGTTTGAATACACACATCTCTCTCTCTCTCTCTCACATCTCTCTCTCTCCCCCTCTCTCTCTCTTTCGATTCGAGTTCTTCTTCTTCGTCTGGATTTATCGTCTTAATTTTCGTAGATAAGTTTTCTGGATTTTCGTGGATCTGATACTGTGAGCCTTACCGGTCCTTCGTACGTTCCCGTATCCTGGATTGATTCATATGACGGTGTCTCCGTCTTCTTAAGCTCATATTATTTTGGTTAGTTTTCACCCAGACTCCTTCCTGATTTCTGAACCAAGATCAAAATCTACTCTTTGAAACTTCTCTTACTTTTTCTCCATTTTCGATTTTAGCCAGATTTTGTTTAGAGGAAGTTCGGAGGTTTTTTGGTTTTGGGTTCTGAAACTAATTTCGCCTTCTCGTCTTAGTTTTTGGACCTAATCTCACCACCCGAAGCTAATTTCTGCTTTTTGTTCGTTTGTTGCATTTCTTCGCCGTCTTGACTTTTAGTTTCTGGAAAAATATTCAGTCTTTTACTAAAAACTAAGCTCACGCTGCTTGTTAGTGTTAGTCCGACTGTGTTTAAGTTTATGGTTTTGTTTCAGATTGTAGGCATTGTGCTAAGCTTATGATGATTTGTTAGACACACGAAAGAAACCGGCTTTGTGGCATTCTATATTGCTTCGCTTGCTAAGTATGAAGCGTGATATGAAAGCTCCGAATACTCCAGAAGAGAATCTCCAGGGCATCCAGAAAGGGAAACACGGGTATGCTTCCGTTCTCACTTTGTTTTCTTCTTTCGGTGAATTGCTTTTAGCACCAAATTTTGCATTCAACAAGACATTCTCAGGTTAATGTTGCAAGCTCTTTGTGATGTGTAATACACTTTCATAGGAGGACATGTGGCCCTGCAAGACGATCCACCAAAGGACAATGGACAGCCGAAGAGGTGTGTCCTGTGTCTTTTTTTTTTTTGTCTATCTGAGTCTTGCAAGCTTCGTTTATTGTGAATTAGGCAAGTTTTCAATCAAAAATGTATCCTGAAACAATAGCTTGAGTGTAATCAGTTGGTTGTATCACACACCCTGTCGTTGCTTTGTACAGTTAGCTATCATTTGCATTTACTGAAGATTTGTCTTTATGAAATTTTCTGTTAGATTAATTATGTTTTTTTTTCTGGATCAGGATGAAGTCTTGTGCAAAGCTGTTGAGCGTTTTCAAGGCAAGAACTGGAAGAAGATAGGTAAGTCAAGTAGCAAATTCTGATTCCTTCTTGTCATGGTTTTGTTTTCCCACGTATTTACAGATCATATCAATACTCTATTTTAGCTGCCGCACTTATTTGTAGTCTTTGATGAAAGCAATGTGTGATTTTATTTGTTTCACCTTTTCAGCTGAATGTTTTAGGGATCGGACTGATGTCCAGTGTCTTCATAGATGGCAAAAGGTCTTGAACCCAGAGCTTGTGAAAGGGCCGTGGTCAAAAGAGGTGATTTTCTGTATGTTGTGAATTGCTTTAATATGCTTTACTCAATGTTTCCCCAGCGTGGTGTTTGTTTGAGTTTCGTACATTTTAATATCTGTAATGTGTTTCATGACATCTTATCTTTCCATATTTTCGAAGGAGGATACGACAATCATTGCTCTGGTAGAAAAATATGGGCCAAAGAAATGGTCTACTATTTCTCAGCATTTACCTGGGCGCATAGGAAAGCAATGTAGGGAAAGGTATGCGCATAATCTCTACTTATTTCCATTAAAATTGCACTTTTTTAGTACACTTCTTACTTGTGCTTGGATACATATGAACAATATTGTGGCTGGTGCAGGTGGCACAACCATCTTAACCCTGGCATTAATAAAAATGCATGGACCCAGGAAGAGGAACTGACTCTTATTCGTGCACATCAAATTTATGGGAATAAATGGGCAGAGCTAATGAAATTTTTGCCAGGAAGGTAATTATGTCTTCTCCATGCGTCATAGTATGGCAGAATTTGTGTAACATGTGTCCTGAAAACTTGGTTGTCTCTTATGCTTCTTCCGATAAAAGAAAAAGTTGCGCTGATGATTATGGTCTATCCGTCCTTCTTTGGTCATTTGCTTATTTGTTCTTATGTTTCCATAGGTCAGATAATTCAATAAAAAATCACTGGAACAGCTCAGTTAAGAAGAAGTTAGATTCCTATTATGCATCAGGTCTTTTAGATCAGTTTCAAAGCTTGCCACTCATTGCCCTTCAGAACAAAACTATCGCTTCGTCTTCGTCGTGGATGCACAGCAGTGGTGATGAAGGCAATTTCAGGCCAGGGACTGATGCTGAAGAATCAGAGTGCAGCCAAGCTTCAACTGTTTTCAGTTGTTCACAGTCGAACAATGATTTACTAGATGAGGTTAAACCTGCAAATGAAGAATTCTACATTCCTGAATTGCCTTCAAGAACAGAGCAGCAAATCTCACACTCTGCGTCTCGCGCAGAATCGTACTACCCTTCCCTTGAAGATGTCAGAATTGTTGTCCCCGAAAGTTCTTGTGAAGCAGAATCCTCAAAGAAGTTTCAGAATCATAACTGTTCTCACGAGGTTGGAACTACTACAGCTACAGAGAATCAATTGCAGGGTGTATCTAAGAATACTAAACAGGACGTCGATCTAGACTCTCCTCAGTTGTTGACCCATAACATGGACGTAGATGAAGAAAGTGAAGCACCCCAAGCTTTCGAAAGTTCAGTCAGATTAAGTGATCAACCTTCTTTACCAAACTCGGAAACAGTTATTCATCAACAACCTCAAACTTTGATCACGGACGCGGAGTGCTGTAGGGTTCTTTTCCCAAATACCGTGAAAGATAGCGGTACGTCTTCTGGTGAGCAAGGTCAGAATATGGCTGACCCTCAAAAAGGCAGAGGATCTCTTTGTTCCCGGTCTGCAGAAACCCATGCTCATGAAACTGAAGACATTCCAGCTTTATCCTGGCATCCTTCAAATTCTGAGGGTCTGGCTGGTCGTAGTTGTGTTCCTTTGTTATACTCAGCTATGAAGGACTCGCTTTTACACCGTAATGATTCTAATGATTCTATTCATGGTTGTCACCTTCTTGGAGCTTTAGAACGTAAAACTGATGGACAAGTAACTTCCCGTGGCAATGATGATAATGATGGTATCCCAGAACAGCAGGAGCTGTCATATCTTCCAAAGGACTCGTTGAAGCTAATACCCTTGAATAGTTTTTCTTCTCCTTCTAGAGTGACCAAGATTTATTTCCCTATTGATGATAAGCCAGCTGAAAAAGACAAAGGGTCTCTCTGTTATGAACCTCCTCGTTATCCAAGTGCAGATATTCCTTTCTTCAGCTGTGATCTTGTACCATCAAGTAGTGACTTACGGCAAGAGTACAGTCCCTTTGGTATCCGCCAGTTGATGATTTCTTCGATGAATTGTACAACTCCATTACGGTTATGGGATTCGCCGCGTCACGACGGGAGCCCTGATGTCATGCTTAAAGATGCTTCCAAAAGTTATACTGGGGCACCATCCATCTTAAAGAAGCGGCAGCAGGACTTGCTATCACCTGTGCTTGATAGAAGAAATGAAAAAAGGCTTAAAAAAGCTGAGGCTTCCTCCTTGGCTAAAGATTTCTCACGCTTAGATGTTATGCTTGATGATGACTGCAAGTCCTCTCTTCTGTCAGAATTTCCTGACAATAAAAATAGATGTGACTCCCCTTCCGAAGCCAGAGATACTAAGGATTCTGCTTCAGGTCGGTCAGATCAAGAAATGAGTCATATAGGTGAGAACCCAAAGGAAACCACTTCCATGACAAATGACAAAGGATGTACTGACGGTGGAGCTTCAGCTAATATTGTAAGACCGTTTTTTAACTCTATATGCTTTAACGTGCACTGTATGATATACGTTTATCGAGCTACTAGTGAACTTTTCGTTGCCAAACACATGAATCTAATTTTCTGAAATCTCTTCTTGTGGGAACATGCCAATCTAGTTTTCTCAAAAACTTTGCATCTAGTTATTTGAGTTGTCTTTGTCAAGGATCTTAGTTTTATCGCTGGTGCTAATTATCCAAAAATGTAACCTTAAAAGCTTTAATCTCTAGATCTCTTTCTTTCCTTTGCACCAGGACCAAGAAACTTTTGGAAGTCTGGTTGATCATAGGGATGTTGAGATGCAACTGAGTTCTCCTGATAACACTGGAGCTAGACCAGAGAGCAAAGTGAACAGAAGTGTGAATGATCCATCAAACCAACACAAAACGTCATTAGGTACGATTCCAAGTGGAGGAATCTCATCAGAACCTCCATGCAGTGCAGACTCTATTCCTTTATCAGCAAACGCAGGAAATAAAACCAGCATTGCAGAGAGTAGTGTTGACATTGAAAACTTCAGCATGTAAGTTTTACTTTTCCTCCGTATGTGTTTGATACCTGATTTTTCTGTTGATTCATATTTTCTGGAAAGTTTTAATTCTAATTTGTCTTGGTTTCACTCGTTTTCCAGATTTGATGGAACTCCGTATAAAAAACTACTTGATACCCCATCACCCTGGAAATCCCCTTTACTCTTTGGTTCTTTCTTGCAAAGTCCAAAGTTGCCTCCAGAAATTACATTTGAGGTAATGTGAGATGAAATAACTACGAATGAGACCAGTTTTTGGATACTCTACTTCTTGTTTTAGATTGAAGCGCCAGTTGATGGACAAATATTCTTTGTTGCTATTCTTGTATTTCCAGGATATTGGGTGCTTTATGAGTCCGGGAGAGAGAAGTTATGATGCCATAGGATTGATGAAGCACTTGAGTGAACACACAGCTACGGCATATGCAGATGCTTTGGAAGTTTTGGGTAATGACACACCTGAATCGATACTCAAGAAGAGACAGCTGAACAAATCTATTCAAGGGAAAGAAAATCAGCTTTGGCCTCAGGATCAGCTAGAAAACCGTTCCCAGGTAACAGCTTCAACTGTCACATGATATATCTTGCAAAATCTTAATGAAGTATGGAACTGAGAAACGACGCCATAGAAGACTCGTCTCCAAACCCTCGACCATTCCCCAAACCAATACCCTAGGAAAAATTCAGAATCTCCTTCCCTGCTCAACCCTTACAGTAGTTACAAGAAAAGCCTATCAACTCTCTTCTTCTGTTGTTGGTCTAGCTTAATGTTAAAATTGAATCTTGAACTTTGGTTAGAAGTAAGAGGAATAAGAGTTTTTAGTTTAAAAAGTTGACTTGCTCTGTCTGAACCAATAGTGTGTGGAAATGCAGGTGGAGCGTCGGGCCTTGGACTTCAGCGATTGTGGGACACCAGGGAAAGCAAATGTATCCTCAGTTTCTCCAGGCGGCTACTCGAGCCCATCATCTTACCTGTTGAAGAGTTGCAGATAGAGAAGGCTGCTTTTGTTCATAAGAGCGTCCTCAAGGGACATTTATTCTCTCAGCCTTCAATTTTTTTGATCCCATATGTGTATGTCTTATTCATATCCCCTCTTTCTGTCTAATGTTCTTTGTTAAATGTGTAGATCTTTTCAACTCTGGACATGATACAATTGATTAAATAGCAAAAATGTTAGTTCCCAAGAAATTAACTTTTAAATTACCCATGAATGAGTTCAAATACACACAGATAAAAGGTTCATTTGTGTATAAACATGAGTAAAGAATGTTCGGCGGCCAAAAAACCTGGACCTGCAACTCCCATGAAAGTCAGCTCTTTCAGCTTGTCCAGTAAGCAAGTGATGAACAACAAGTTATACAATTTGAATTCTAGTCTGTTATTTTGGATTTATAAAACCAATTTATAGCATAACATCAACTTCTACAGTTTGACATTCTTGTTGATAATGAGTTTAATATATTAACAAAAGGATTATTGTTGTAGTACGGTCAAAGTGTACTGTTAGGCCTAGACTCCAACTTCTACTATATTCCGAAAATTACACATGTAAACGATCAAAACCAACCGTCAACTGCTCAAAAGACGGAACCAAACCCCAGTTTCGATGATCCTAATCGCTCTGGTTTATCTTCCGGGTCCCATCTTCTCACGATCCGTCCATAAAACAGCCCATCAGCAGAAAAGCAGAGACGTGAGAGAAACCCCAGAATCACCGAGCCAACAATTTGGTGAGACCCAATTTCTGAAGCAACCCATCTTTGGAGGTTTACGAAACAACTTCTTCTTTCCAAAAATCAGGATCTTTGCCTACTAGAGAGAGTATGAGTTACATTGGGCACTTCATTGTAAAACTCGGGTTCGTCTTCTTCGTCAGAGGATAACAAAGACGGACCCATCCATGCTTTAAACCCCTCGTTCACTCGTCTCTCAACATCTGGTGTGAATTCCCGAGGATTGGCTTCAAGCATCTCCAAGCCCTGATGATTTCTGTTCCCAAACTCTCCTTCGTCGATAGTTAAAGCAGCTCTTCTTCTAAGGAAGAATGCAGTTCCAGCATACAAGATTACCAAACCCCATGAAGATATCTCGTAGCACCAAAACAATGGTACAGAACAGCTGCTTCCTAGCGTCAGGAGGCTCGACCCGAGAAATATAGCCAGGAGACCATAGATGATAGCAAACACAACATTCAGAATCGATAGGCAACGAACCCCACCTGTGAATTTATTAGTCAGGATAAACAAGATCAATAACCTATTTGAGAGTCCAAGCTTAGTGATGTGAATCTCTGATGAGGCCACTATACATAAAGTTTACAAGAAAAAAGTTTTGGTACTGAAAAGGAATGTATCTATTGAAGGAACGCAAGGGAAATACAAAACATATATATGGAAAGCCCGAATACATCTTAATGACAGAGAAAAGAGTATATACCTCTTCTTGAAGCACAGTAGTTATTTTCAACGACTTTCAGAAACCCATGACGGTGAGGAGCGGAGTAAGACACAAAAATTCCTGCAGCATTGCAACAAAAATAACGAGAAAATAAGAAGAAGACATAACAGACCTTTCTGAAAAAAATTAACGAAAGACAACACAAAGGAGAAATTGTAGAGAGGTTAAGCAAGCCATTAAGCAATTAACAATGTTTCCAAGTTGTTAGGGTCGCTTCTTGAAGGACTGAATGAAAAGAGATAGTAAATGGGTCTCGATTCTATAAGTTCAATATATTTGGCAACATGTAACAATCAAATTCAGGTGATGGGCAAAAAGCTGGCTCACTTTGATGAACTATCTTAATCATTCAACTTGAAAAGTAAAAACCCTCAAAATCTAGAGAATTAAGAGTAGCCAAACACTTGTCTTAATTAGCTTTAGTAGACCTCAATCTCCAATTTCCTTACATAGAAAATCTAATCTAACAAAAATCTAGCAGAGGAATTAACCAAAGTCCAGTGCTGACCCTTAAACCCCAAAAGACCACCAACACAGAACTAGACCTGTCTTCCATATAATGGTTGATTTCTAGAACTAAAAAACGTAACAACAATCATATTCAGGTGCTCACCTGCTACAAGATAAACTGATGATACAAGGAAGATTATGGTCGACGGGACGAAAACGACCATCCAGTAGAAATCCACAGTTTCTTGATCCGTCAGGTAAAAAGCGCCCGGAAACAGATCCGAGTCACGAGCTTTGCCGTAGATAGGCAAAGGCTGTAGCTTGATCTCGCTGCAGAATGGCCTCTTCAGAACATCCGAAGGGAATACAATTCTCAAGCTTACCATCGTGCAAGTGAAGATGACAAAGCAAAGGAAAGCCACGATCGACATTAGTGTCGGCCTCTGAAGCTTAATCCACGCTCTGTCTTCCTCCCTAAGGCTCTCATACTCCTGTTTTGGCATAAACGCCTGACGCAGCGCGTCTCCTATGATCGCCATTGAAGGAGTACAAGAACAAAGCGAAGCCCTAATAGACAACCGATTATAAACCCTTTCAACAGGCTGTTTCGTTGGTTCCCGGAGAAATCAAGCTGGGATTTTTTTTTCCGAATTTGACCAGAAACACTAGATCTCAAGCTTCAACAAATTTGAAGAAGAATCAAATGGAACGGAGGTGGAGCACGACTCGAGAAATGAGGGAAGAGGAAGAAGAAGATGAAGATGGTGATGGCAGAATCAGAAACAAATAGGCGCGTGTAAAGCGATACGGCAACTGCCGTCGGGTGTGAAAATAATTACGGATAGACCCCAATCTTTTGCCAAAAGTTCCGATTTATCCAATTTTCCGCTCACAAATTGACAGATTTTTTTCTTTATTTACATTTTTATAAATACATAAAATCTTTTATAATTTTACTAAATTGATTTTTCTTTAAAACTAAAATCAAATGTATAAAATAAAAAACTGAGAATCAATAAAAAAAATAACCAGAATTGCAAAATGGAATGAAGAAGAAAGATAGTTTTGTTTTAAAATATGCTAATTTTAAATTGGAATTCTTTTGTTTTTAATTTAGTTTCCAAAAGTTAATAATAATAGTGAAAAGGAAAAAAAAAAGACAATCCTAAGAGAGAGAGAGAGAGGGCGTGAATTCCTGAGCGAGAGATTCTTCGCCGGAGTATTCTCTTGCGTGATCTTACGGCTGCTTTCCTCTTCCCCCCCGAAGAAGCTTGTTCGTAGGTTGGAAATTCGTCTTTCTCTTCTCGTCGGAGGTTTGTTTTTGGGGTCAAAGCGAAGATGGTGAACGCTATGGTGGAGAGAGCGACAAGCGAGTTGCTGATCGGACCGGATTGGGCTATGAACCTCGAGATCTGTGACATGCTCAATAGCGATCCAGCGTAGGCTGCCTCTGCTCCTTCGGATTTTGATTTTTATTTTTATTTTTATCTTCCTGCTTTTTCTACCTTTGTTTTCTTCCCTAGTGTCTTTAAGTTTTCGATCAGTCCTGAAAAATATTGAAACTGTCTATGCCGATTTAAATCTGATGGATTCAGTAAGAGACTTGACACTAAGATGGAAAGCGGATTTTATAGTTCTGGAGTAGCAGATAGGAGAATTAGATATCTTCAATGTTTCATTTGAGCAATTGGAATACTTGTGACTTACTGTTTGCCTAATTTTGGCGAAGGTTCAAGGAAACCACATAATTTTTTATAGGCTTTAAAGGTTTTTGTTGATGTACATATAGGCTTCATTGCTGAATTCTAACGTTGTTATAGTTGACATGGTTAGTGTTTGCTTTCTGTATAGTTAACAGTTGAAGAACAAGTATTTTTTTTTTCTGTTTGTGGTTGTCTCGGTCCACAGCAGATTAATATATGCAGTAGCTCATGGAACCAAATGTAGTGATCAGATATAGGGTTTTATTGTAAAAGCTGCAAAGTTGTTTCCTTTATATGCTTTATCATTGGAAGAAGCAGATCTCAGAGTTACATGATTGATTTGTACTAACCCGACGGATCCTACATGATATCTGAAACTAGTTTCTGCTTTGCAGGCAAGCAAAAGATGTCGTGAAAGGCATAAAAAAACGGATTGGTAGCAGGAATCCAAAAGCTCAACTTTTTGCCTTAACAGTGAGCTCCAAGTTCATTATCTCCTTTTTGTTTTCCTCTATAGTTACTTCATCGGAATTAGTTTTGCTTTGTTAACTGTGCATTTGGATAGCTTGTTTGTTTTAGTTACACATGTAGCTTCATCGAAATCAGTTTTGCTTTGTTGACTGTGCATTTGGATAGCTTGTTTGTTTAAGTTACACATATAGCTTCATTCCAAAGGTCCAAAGTATCCATGGGCAGTTGTCTCTTAACTAGTGCAAGTTGGCATGAGCAGAGACTACTTGTTCATGATAAATGTTGTTTAGGAAGCACATCAGACCTTACCAGAGTTAATTTTGCTCCTTTTTTTTATGATTTAGCTGCTTGAGACGATAGTGAAGAACTGTGGTGACATGGTTCATATGCATGTGGCTGAGAAGGGTGTTATTCATGAGATGGTCCGTATAGTTAAGAAGAAGGTAAAGGTTTTCCCATTTTGGTCTTGTCGGGAAAAGTTATCTCTATACCTTTCTCTCTCTAATTCCTGGTAACTGTTGATGCTTATAGCCGGACTTCCATGTCAAAGAGAAGATCCTTGTCCTTATCGATACATGGCAAGAGGCCTTTGGTGGCCCTAGGGCAAGATATCCACAATACTATGCAGGATACCAGGAATTGTTGGTAGGTCTACTAAAATTGTTGTTTGATATGTTTACTTCAGTAAAGTATTGTTTCTGATTCTGGATGTACATATGTTTCATACCAAAATTTAATATGCCTCATACTGAATTCTTCTTAAATCCTTTTGAGAGTTCTGATATTCGTCCACTATTCTTTTCTAACCACTATTGCTGACCCCTGTCTCTTTCAGCGTGCTGGGGCTGTTTTTCCTCAGAGGTCAGAGAGATCAGCTCCTGTTTTCACACCTCCACAAACACAGCCTTTGACGTCTTACCCTCCAAATCTTCGTAACGCTGGACCTACTAATGATATGCCTGAATCTTCAGGAGAGCCAGAATTTCCGACACTGAGGTAAATACATGTATCTTCTGTTGAAACTCCCCTGTTTTAAGTTAGTGAATTTTTAACAAAAACATGGAATACTTAGTTGGGCCAGTTACAAAGTTATCTGACAAATTTTCTTTATATACGTTTAGCTACTTTTTGGTCTGCGGAAATGATTTAGCAGAAAGCAACCCTAGTCGAAAGCCTAGATATAGGGTGAATCAAAGTTGAGACGTGATTAGAATCAAGGAAATAATTACAGTTAAGTAACTTCTCGTTAGTTTTTGCAAAATACATGTGTAGTAATGGAGTTTCAAATTATTTATTGTAGGACTTATTAGGAATGTACGTTAGGGTCCGCAAGTGTTAACTTTGCATCTCTTTGCTTCCTTTATTTAGGACGTAGTCGTATGCCTTTGCTTCTCAGGATCGATTGCTTATCGACTGTGTATTCTCAATATTCTTTTTCAGTTTGTCGGAGATTCAAAATGCAAAAGGTATCATGGATGTCCTTGCGGAAATGCTGAGTGCATTAGAGCCGGGAAACAAGGAGGTAACACGATTTAGTTGCAGAAAAAGATAACAACCTGTTTGCAAGTGTTTGCTATAGTGCAAAATAAAGTAGAATAAGACGAACAGTTTCGGAATATAAATGTGGAATTTCATTATTTTTGCTTTCTAGATAATTATCTCAGGATCAGCATCCTTCTTTTTTGGATTTTCGTAGGACCTTAAACAGGAGGTGATGGTCGATCTGGTGGAGCAGTGTCGTACATACAAACAAAGAGTGGTACACCTTGTCAACTCAACTTCGTAAGAGCTCTTTCTTTTCTTCTCCAGTTACATGTAGTTATCTCTTTCATGTCGCATATTAGTTATATTTCGTTGTGTGTGATGAGATCTCTCTTAAGATTCATTTCTAATATGCATTACCCTGCAAATAATCTTTTTGATGCATGCGTAAATGACACCGAACTCCTTCAGTTTGAAATTCCATGGTAATTCAATTGACTTTAGTAGAAACACGGGTGATGTGTGTTTCGAGGCCCTCCAGGTCTACTTAAGTAAATATTGCAACCATAGTTGGGTCTTCTTTTTCTTTTTAATTTTCCTAATCAGGATGTTATAGCTGGTTAGGTTCTGTGTTTATATTGAAAAGCATATAGAGACTGGGGAGCATTTATGTTTATCTTTGTTTTGGTTTACGTAAGAGAAAGGGGAGAGAGCCTTATTAAGAATATCTCAAATTCATTTAAAAACTTCACGTTTCAAATGTATTATGAGGAATAATCCACTTGATGAGAATTGCTTTTATGCACCAGAGCTCAGGTTTCTTTGTGCTCGTCCTTACCTCACAACTTTGATATCCAGGGACGAGTCTCTGTTATGTCAAGGTCTGGCGTTGAATGATGACTTGCAGCGGGTCTTAACCAGTTATGAAGCAATATCTTCTGGAACTCCTGGAACTTCTGTTCTAATCAAGAAGCCAAAGTCGGAGACAGGAACATCCCTTGTAGATGTTGATGGTCCACTTATTGATACTGGGGACAGCAGTAATCAGACAAACGGGTAAGTATTACAGTTATGCACTCAAGAATTTTGGATAAAATCCCCTGTTTTTAGAAACGGGTTTCCAATCTTAGCTGCAAGAGTGAGCCGTATATGTGGCTTACACGTATAAATTATTACAATCTTGGATGCGAAAACTATTACATAATAATGGTAGTAAAGTTACTGATGAAGATGAGAGTAACTTTACTACCATTATTATGTAAACGGTGTTGATCCGTCTCTTAAGTTTCGGACCAAGTGACCTGGTAAAAGTTTTTTTTGTCTTATTAAATGGCTTCTGATTTGAACCATGTCCATCATTTTCTCAGAGCTACATCAAGTTCTGGTGACGGGGTTCTAAATCAGTTGGCGCTCCCTGCACCACCTGTAACTAATGGATCAGCCAATTCTAAAATAGACCTCCTCAGTGGCGATGATCTTGCCCTTGTTCCGGTTGGACCTCCTCAACCAGCAAGTCCGGTCGCATCAGATCAAAACGCACTTGCCCTTATTGATATGTTTTCAGACAACACTAATAGTCCAAGTCCTGCGCCTGCACCTGCACCAACTGGCGGTTTAGCTCCCCAGAGTAGTCCTTTGAATCCTCAACCACACCAGCAACCTAACAATCTAGCTGGAGAAGCTGGATTACAACAGTCCAATGGATTTACTCCTCAAATGGGTTACTCGCAGTTTGAGCAGCCATCATACGGGCAAGGGGCCTCTTCTCCCTGGAATAGTCAGCCTGCAGAGCAGTTGCAACAACCACAGCAGCCACCTTATGGTAATCTATCTGAGTTTGAATTACAAACTTTTAACTTTTGTGACATTTCACTCTTTGGGTCCTTAGTTGTTCTGTTTGTGGTATGCGAAGAAGGTGCCCAAGACAGTATGGCATTTCCACCTCCCCCATGGGAAGCTCAGCATCAAGACTTCAGTCCCACTGCGGAGTCAGGAAGTCCGTTTTCTTCTCAAATGCATCCGACACAAGGCGCCTTCACACATGCTCAACCATATCCTCAAATGCCGCCCCAAACCGGCCAATCGGTTAACAACAGTCCTTATCCTCAAATGCCGCAAACCAGCCAACCGGTTAACAGCAGTCCATACCCTCAAATGCCACAGACCGGCAGCGGTATGTACATGCAACATCCAATGCCAAACCAACCCAATCAGGCTATAGGGCAAGGCTATCCACCCCAACAACAACAACAGCAGCAGCAGCTGATGATGGCTCAGTTCTATGCCCAACAGCAACAGCAACAACAACAACAGCAACAACAGGCGTATGGAAACCAGATGGGAGGATACGGATATGGCTATAATCAACAGCAACAAGGAAGCAGCCCGTATCTGAACCAGCAAATGTACGGTTTGTCCATCGGAGACCAGGCCCCGCATCAGGTACCATCATCATCATCATCTGCCACGTCTTATCTTCCTCCTATGAAACCTAAGAATAAACCAGAGGATAAGCTATTTGGGGATCTCGTGGACATCTCCAAATTCAAGCCTAGTACAAAACCGACTTCCGGAAGAGCTGGCACCATGTGAAAAATCCTCCATCCATACATGATTTCTGAGTATTCATCTCCTCTATTATCCACTGTTTTCTTTACTCAGCTAACTCTCTTATCTCTTTCTTTTTAAAAGCTTTGATCAATTGATTTGACCCTCTTGGGAGATACATACATCTATATGTTATCTTCTTCCTTGCTTACAATTTGCCGTTGATTATGACCGGTAAATGGGTTTGTATATTTTCTTGTAGAGAAAGAAAAACTGGAAAATCTTTTGTTGAGAGCTCAGCGATTTGCGAATCGCTTTGTCTGGAGATTCTACTTTAGGGACCTTTTTCACATCATTTGGTTTTCAGACATTTTCTTTGTTTCCATTGGCAATAAGTTTTTATAGCAATTAGAAAGCTTTGCTATTTAAGATTTACAAGGGATCTTTTATGTCTGTGTATTGGGGACATCCAAATGACAAAGTAGGTTTCCATTGTACAAACGTAGCGAGAAACGTTTTGTTTTCAATATTTTTGCGTAGAACTGTGCGACTTGTTAACGATGGAAGCCAGTCGCACACATGCTTTTTTAACGTTATTCTAATTTAGTTAAACTGAGACGAACAAACAAATAGCCGAATCCAGAGTCAAAAATAATAATGCAGCAAGACAAATAGGGGTTCTCTACCGATTGGGATTGGGTTGGACTGGGCATCAAGCTGCAATACGATAGATATAAGTTTACGAACGAGAACAACAAAATGTCAATATGTCCGAGTGGTTAAGGAGACAGACTCGAAATCTGTTGGGCTTTGCCTGCGCAGGTTCGAATCCTGCTGTTGACGGCTTAATTTTTTTCAAGAAAACTTTCTCAATCAATATTAACACAGATATTTTTCTTATTTTGTCAGGCCCACAGGAGTTTATCTTTAACACAGCTACATATTCATTCAATGGTATAAAAACTTACACATACTAGATAACAAACAAAATGAAACGAGATTTAAACATTTAATTAGCATTTTAGGAGCTTGCCAGTCACATAAGCAGTACGACGTGTCCTCTTTCTCTCTGCATGTTTCACAGATTTTGGCACGAAACTACACAATTTCGGATTGTTATCAGGAGGACTCTTGCGTATCTGGTCTTCAACGATGGAGACCCGGAGCTTGGTTGTATCGATGAGCACTAATTTCTCTTCCTTTGACCTCTCTCGGCCTCTACCTCCTCTCACTCGCTCACTCGTCCCGTTCCGATCGTCTAAACTAGGGCCTTCTAGGGTTTCGGCGTCCAACAGTGGAACTTCTTCCTCCCCCCGTGCGATTGGCACCGACAAGGATGCCGCTATCTCTGTGAAACCTGTTTACGTCCCGACGCCGCCCAATCGCGAGCTCCGGACTCCTCACAGTGGGTAAATTGATCCATTCGATCTCTTATCTAGTTTCCAATTTTTGTTTCTGGTTTAGTTTTTTCCGGCTTAATTGGAATTTTCTTTTTTGTCGATTTGCTTGCATGTTCTTGTTACCATCATTGTCACTTGAATATTGGTCCGTTCTGCTGCCATTCCAAGACCAGTTGTGAATTGAATTTATCGAAAATCTGCAATTGAGAGCTGTTCGTCAGTGAGAATTTATATGTATATTTTTTTAAAATGTTTGAACAAGTTGCTGTTTTCTTATGAAAACACAGATACCATTTCGATGGAACAGCGCGGAAGTTCTTCGAGGGATGGTATTTCAGGGTTTCGATCCCAGAGAAGAAGGAGAGTTTTTGCTTTATGTATTCCGTGGAGAATCCAGCGTTTCGCCAAAGATTGTCACCATTGGAGGTGGCTCTGTATGGACCCAGATTCACTGGTGTCGGAGCCCAGATCCTTGGAGCTAATGATAAATATATATGCCAATACACTCAAGAGTCTCACAACTTCTGGGGAGGTAACTTCATGATTCTTAATAACTAGTCAAATCCGAGTCTTGTTTCTGCTTCTACTTCTTATGTTCGGAATTTTGTTATATTTTTGGTGCTGGTTCTGGTGCTCTTTTCTTTAACATAAATTAGTTTACATGACTTTAAAGATCCCTTACTTAAACATGTTACTCATGCATAGATAGACATGAGCTAGTTTTGGGGAATACTTTCAGTGCTGTGCCTGGCGCAAGGTCTCCAAACAAGGAGGTTCCACCAGAGGTAAAAAAAAGATATCGCTGTTCTTCCTCCTCCCTCGTTTGGTCACTCTGTTGCAAGTAAAATATCTTTCTCATTATATCCGGGATGTCACTAAATACGCAGTGATTTGAATAGGCATTGGCATGATAGTGACTTTTACTTGTACGAGTTTTTGTTACTCTTATATAGTTGTATTGAATGCTGATCTGTAAAACATGGCGTTTGATTGTAGGAATTCAACAGAAGAGTGTCAGAAGGGTTCCAAGTTACCCCATTTTGGCATCAAGGTCACATTTGCGACGATGGCAGGTGATTATCTGATTCTATGCACAGTTATAGTGAACTATCTTTGAAAATTAATACTTGAAGCCTAATACAGGAGTAGAATCTTGCTTGTGAGGAGATATCTTGTTTAGTCGTGAGAAACCGTCAATGCAGCTGTTTATTTGGTATCTTAGGCATCATTCTTAGATCACACAATTCACCTATAAAGCTTACTTTAGTTGGTCATGATTCTTGTTTCCTAGTGTAACCTAAATTCTGTCAGAAGTTAATCGTGGATATGCTCAAATTTGTCATGCACAAGGATGCATGTTACCATTCTCAGATGTTTGGCTTAATACGAGTAGTAGAACTCTCTGATTTTTGTTAGAATTTCTGTGTTTAAATCTTAATTGACTCGTTTTGGCAGGACTGACTACGCGGAAACTGTGAAATCCGCTCGGTGGGAGTATAGTACCCGTCCTGTTTTTGGTTGGGGTGATGTTGGGGCCAAACAGAAGTCTACTGCAGGCTGGCCTGCTGCTTTTCCTGTATTTGAGCCTCATTGGCAGATATGCATGGCAGGCGGCCTTTCAACAGGTGTGAGCTTTGCTTAATCGACTAAATTGAGTAAAAGATACGGCTAAGTTTACTTGCCTTCTGCGAACAAAATATTAAAGAAAGAAATCATCCATTTATTCACTTATCCTCTCTTCATCGCAATTGCATTGGCAGCAGAAACAGCTAATTTAAATCTTATGTTTTATCTTTGGATGTGCAGGGTGGATAGAATGGGGTGGTGAAAGGTTTGAATTTCGGGATGCACCTTCTTATTCAGAAAAGAATTGGGGTGGAGGCTTCCCTAGAAAATGGTTTTGGGTAAACATTTTGTCATCCATGTGCTACATTTTGTTGTTGCAAACATTAGGCATCGAATTGAATACTGCATACACCTGAGTTAGCTATACATGCACATGTGTTACACTTCGGACTCCTGTTCAATAGCTTTATTAGTCGGTATCTCTTTACAGGTCCAGTGTAATGTATTTGAAGGGGCAAAAGGAGAAGTTGCTTTGACTGCAGCTGGCGGGTTGAGGCAATTACCCGGATTGACTGAGACCTTTGAAAATGCTGCACTGGTATGCACTAATTAAGATCGTCCTAAGCAATGACTGTGAAGAAAAATTGTTAGAAGGCAAGTAGTTCACGAATCCCTGATCCCTTATAAATTGTGCAGGTTTGTGTACACTATGATGGAAAATTCTACGAGTTTGTTCCGTGGAACGGTGTTATTAGCTGGGAAATGTCTCCATGGGGTTACTGGTATATGACTGCAGAGAATGAAACCCATATGGTAATAACTTCTTGTTCCTCAGATTCATTCAGTTCCACTTTGAGAACGTCGTTTGCCTTATGGGCTAGATTCCGACACCTGATGAATGTCTTGTGACAGGTGGAACTAGAGGCAAGAACAAACGAAGCGGGTACACCTCTGCGTGCTCCTACCTCAGAAGCTGGACTAGCTACGGCTTGTAGAGATAGTTGTTACGGTGAATTGAAGTTGCAGATATGGGAACGGCTATATGATGGAAGTAAAGGCAAGGTATGCGAATGCGAATACTTCCCCGTAGTTAAAAGTCTTAATAGCTAGTCCTTAGGGAGTTAAAGAAGATTAAAAACGTTGGTTTATGGTGAAATATGGATGCAGGTAATACTGGAGGCAAAGAGCTCGATGGCAGCAGTGGAGATAGGAGGAGGACCGTGGTTCGGGACATGGAAAGGAGATACGAGCAATACACCCGAGCTACTCAAGCGGTCTCTTCAGGTCCCATTGGATCTCGAAAGTGTCTTTGGTTTGGTCCCTTTCTTCAAGCCACCGGGTCTGTAACTCTGTAAGTTGATGAGTGCTTTGTTTGTTGATAGAGAGCCATGTGAATCAAACCTGAGTATGAATGTTGTTGCTAGCTTCACTAATCTGTATGGTTAGCTCGTTTGTCCCTTGTGGTAAATTATACACGTATGGGCCAACAGTGTAAAGTCTAGTTCAATGAAAGTCTTAAAAAAATATGCTGTAAATCTAAACCGGGAATCGGATTGATGGTTGGGTAACCCAAATAAAACCGGTTAAAGCTAGCTCTTTCGTTTGTGTCATTTCATGCATAGTCGATTCAGTGTTGTGCTTCTAAACATTTTATTTGGGAATAAGTTAAATTTGCTTTGAGTTGAATTTTGTATATGATTTTTTTCTAAGCCAAAAGCAAAAATAAAAGAGCCGTTAATAATCTGAGAACTATGCATGAATTGTATCAGACTCGATCGATATATCATTTTTTAATGTCCTTTGTCCATCTCTTATTCTTCATTTTTCGCAATTACTTTTTATTTTTAGTTGCGTTCTTGCTCCTCATCTTAGCGAAGGACAGGAATTGACATGTTTTATTTTCAATTGTTTATCTTTATTAGGCTTGGGATTTTTCTCTCGTTTCCCTGTATTTTTTATCGGGATTAGGTTTTGCTTATCTGCTTACTTTTGATATATCCTTCGGGATACCAATATTTCGAGGGTCTTATGGCTTTAGAGATAGGTTTTAGATTAGGTTTTAGGTTCTCTGGTATAGATCAAGATTAGGTTTCGATTCTCTGATTTTATTTTGCTATATCCGTTCTTTGATTTGTATCGGCTTTGGGCATCGATGCTTGCTCTCTTATCATGAAGGTTCTGATTTTGCTCTTCCTCGCTAAAGCTTTCCAAGAGAAAGGAAAGAGTTTGGCTTGGTTTTCTATTAATCCAATTTCTTCTGCAAAAAAACAAGTGAATATATATAAAGAGAGATGAATGTGTGCATATGTGTGGGTATTGTAATATGTGTGGTATTGTAATGGATTTCTATTTTTGTATTTAAATTTTTTTTTTATATAAAACATCAGTGACAAGATAGAGTATTTTAAGATATGTATAACATTTTATCTATCAAACATTTGTAATAAGTGTGACGCAACAAATTTTAATAGAAAAAAATGAGAGACAGAGAAATAGAGACTACTTGCAACAAAAACATAATATATATATGATGTATTTATTAAATTAATATCAGATTATTGTATTGAAATTTTGAATTCGAATTTAGAGAAAACCAACAATTACAAACAAAAATTAAATCTTGCAAAGAAAAACAATTAAATAAAATATCATAAAACAAATACAGTTATAAAATTTTTTAAAAAATGATCATAAGTTTTTTTTTTGCGTGTGCTTGTTTGAAATTTTTTTAACCTGACACAATTAAAATTTAATATCAAATTCAATTTTATTTAATATTGCTATTATTATTATTATTTTTTTTTAATAAAAAAACCGATTGATCTATATTATTAACTGTGAAAACAAATTGAACATAAGTAATCTCTAACGACCAAATGTATTCAAATGGCTAAATACCATATCCGGTTAGTTTCACATCTAATATAAATCTAATCGATTTTAAATTAATCTAAATTTTAATGCGTATGAATACTAAAAAATTATAGAAATAATAGAAAACATATCTTTTTTTTTAATTTCTTTCTCTCGGCGTTTCTTCTGAGTTTTATTTTGTAGAAATTTTTTTAATCTGAAATAATACAAAAAACAACATCAGATTCTATAATTGAATTAGAATCATGTTTTATTTAGTGTTGACATTATTATTATTATTATTTCTAATAAAAAAAACTGATTGATTTAAATTAGTTGTGGAAACAAATTAAACATAGGCAATCTCTAATGACCAAATGAATTCAAATAGTTGGATACTATGTTAGGTTAGTTTCACAACTAATGTAAATCTAATCGATTTTTAAATTAATCTATGTTTTAATATGAATGAATGAATACAAAAAAAAAATAGAAAACTTATCTTTTTTTCTGAGTGTCTTTCGCTCGGCATCTTTTGCTTCATGAGATTTATTTTATAAAAAAAACTTTTACCTAAAACAATACCAAAATTCATGTTTAAGTTAGATTCAAGTTTTATTTAATGTTATTATTATTATTATTATTTTTCCTAATAAAAATTGATTAATCTATATTAGTTGTAAAAACAGATTGAACATAGGTAATCTCTAACGACCAAATGAATTCAAATGGTTGGATACTATGTTCGGTTAGTTTTACAACTAATATATACCTAATCAATTATAAACTATTTCAGATTTTAATATGAATGAAACAAACAAAAAATAGAGAATAGATGACATATTTTCTTTTTCTTTTTCTGAGACTTCTTGCGTATAGATGAGACTGGCCAGCTGTTGGTCCATCCGTTTGAAAACGTGATAGTAAAGCCTAATGAAGATAAACAATTAAAAATAAAACATGTCAATTCCTGTCCTTCGCTAAAATGATGAGCAATAACGCAACTAAAATTTTGGTTTTATATTTTCAGTTACCTGTGTAAGTTATGCATCTTTTCCAGTTCTCTCGTAATTGATACAACATTCATATGCCTCTACTAGTTCGTGACGGTATGCCTGCATCAACAATACACTAACTTCAGTTGCTGATATTAAAAAATACATCATTACATTTGCTGAAATATATGGGAACAAGCACTATACAAAGTATTACTTCACTTGCTGCAATGATGTAGAGTACAGTTCTATGCTAGAGAGAGATGAAATCACAAATAACGCAAAGACACAGTGAAAGGCTCTAATAAGTGTAAGAAAACACTAATTTCTACCACAAGTTACAAAACCGGTATTGAAAATGGCCGCACCTCTATAAATGCTCTCTTTTGTATGGTCGTATTGTCCTTTCTTGCACCCACCTTCTTCAAGCAATTCATGTAATGGTTCAAGTTCAGCATTCCTTCAGATTGCTTATTGATTTACAAGCAACGAGAAAGAGATACATAAGTGCCTGCGACCATTTGAAAATTATGCATTCCATAGTTAGTATGACACTCAATTAAATGGTAAACAGATCAAAATGTCTCTAATACCAACCAACAGGAAGCAAGGAAAATTGCAATTAAAATGGTAGTGCAAAGCTTATTTCTATATCTTAATTCACATCATAAGTTGGTAATACCAATGAAGGTTTTTAGATTTTATATTAATCGCGAACTGCAAACCTGTGGGTGATTTTCTCCTATGCGGATGAGAAGAGACTGTATCAGTTCCCTGACTGCACGATTATTTGAATGAATCCTTTGAGGCAACACAACAAGCCATGTGTTAAAGTTGACATGACTGAATTCTCCCTTCAATGCTGCTTGGACATCAGACGCAGTATGTCTGTCCTAAGGAAATGAAACAGAAGGGAAAAATAATTCAACAAGGGCAACTTGGAACTCAATGCAAACAAAGTAAAGAAATAAAAAAAGTCTCATATGCAGACATTTTAGGAGATATAAGCCAACAGTATTCCCAGCTTTTACATTTTTGAAAGAGACGGTAGACTCTAGTCAACAAATCACTTTTGGTTCACAACATTCTACCTTTAAAATATACGTTAAAGTAGATTCAACACCAGAGTAAAGTCAATCTGAAACAAGCAAAACTTGGATCAAGCTTCCTAAAAGCAATCACCTATGCGCTTCTTATTAACATATAATATTAGATATCTCAAAGGAAGGGTACGCTCATACACAAACCATTAGTGTTTGATCATTAGTATAAAAGTAGTATAGCAAGGTAGGAGCTTAATATGCGTGACATAACAGAGTGAAGAAAAGAAAGACGCGGGTTTGGTATGTGAAACATGGAAAAGCAGTGGAAGCATGCACTCTTTACCTGTAAACTATCATCAACTCCTTTGTCATTAGCTATAGAATGAGTCATCACTGCCGTATTGAATAACGCTCATTTAGGAGCATAGATGCATCAAAAAATTTCTGGAAAAGAGCATATATTGTCACTAAATTGTTATTGTTAGACATAGTTTGACTACACTTACACAGTTAAAAGTGACTACAATACCTGCAGCTTGGTAAATGCCTCTTTGCGCTTATGTTCCTCTCCAAGCGACCACTGGTATTTCAAGTATCCAAGCATCACTTGTGGAGGTCCCAAGTGATGATATTGCATAATTTCTGGATCAAACTACAAAATAAGAAGGTCCCAAGTTAGACAAACAGAAGAAAAAGGTGCACAGAAAATCCTACAACCAAAAGGCAAATGTTCAAATACCGGCAAGAGCTTGAGTAGACTAGACTTATCTACACCAACAGCCACCAATTTAACACCAGCCGCATCAAATCTTTGGTTTCGCTTCTTTCAAAGCAGTAGCAAGATCCCAGCTTTCAAATCAAATAAATCGAATCCATCCTGAGAGATTTGAAATAAAAGGAAACTCGTATTGCAACGGTTCTTGTCGATTTTAGAAATATTCTGTTTCGATTTATTTACCAGCGAAAGAAAAAAAGATCACGATTTCAAATTCGTTATATACACGATTTGTCATAAAGATCATCACAATTCGTTATGAAGATCATGAAAACTCGTTATATACACCCTCGAATTCGTAATTAACTCAGAACATACCTCGTCCTGATCCCAGAGATCGCTGAATCGTACGCTCTGGCCGGAAGCAGTGAAGATGGAGACATCGCTCGCCGCCGACATCTTCTCTGTAATCAGTGACGGAATCAATGGTTCCGGTGGCAGGTCTCGCGAAAACCGCACGACGAACAAGAATTAGAGCCGAGAAAAATGAGAACGCGTAGTAGAGAAAGGATCGAGAAACCACAACGGCTATATAGATTTGTTCTCTTTTTTTCTTAATTGAAAAGCCAATGTCTCTTATATTTTACAAACTGATTAAAGAAATTGTTTAATTTATCTGATTTTTTGTTGATATCCTTTTACATTTACTGATTTACAACAAACGGCTATACGTAGATCAATGTCCTGACAGAATATATATATAGATCGATGACCTAAACGTTGCTAAATTTTATAAAACAATGAATTTATTTAATTTTAAATCGAATCAGTTCAAAATATATCATAAATTGATAAAATAATAAAATAATATTTTTTTTATAAAAATAATTTTATATAACTATAATAATTATGATGAAATGAATCCTAAAAACAGTTAATGAGAGAGAGGAAAGGTGGAAAACGAATTTGTCAATCACTTAACTCAAGAAGCCACATTTCATGTGCATGAATACATACATAACTTTCGGTATTTATATATCCGTGCAGATAAGCTTGCGAAATGCTCCTAATGACATTTTATTTATATATATATGTATGTATTTTTCAATTCGGTTCCACTAATTCCTCCTAGGTAGAAACCACGATCATAATGGATTAGTAATCATATAGGTTCGACTTGCTAGATATGTAATGTATAAATATGAGTGGGAGGCAAAAAGAAGAAAGAATAAGTTCCTTGATATCGGCTCGCTTTGTCTAGAGCATCATCACAGATGCACGCTCTACGGCTCCACCACTTTATTTTTTTTCTTCCACAGATACATAAACTCTTCTCTACTTTGCCTTGAGACTAACAAAAGAAGTATATAACATTATCTCATTACCAATATATATAACTTAAAAGATTGTTTTGTTTTTCCTAATGAAAACGTAAGTTAGGATAAAAATGAAAGCAGTGAATTATGTTTTAATTCCAACAAAGCTTCAATTTAGGCAATAATACAACACAAAATTGCAAACCCATCATTTTGTTTTATTTATATTTTATAACCCACAATTAAAACCCATTAGGGGGCAGTCGAAAGAATAAACTAAGCAAAGAAGATATCACAATAGTTAAGTTGTTTTTGTTTTTGTCTACTTGTGCATCTATTCTTTTTCTTTTCTTTTACTGAAATAATCTATCGTCCATTAGTCAATGGTTTGAGAAGTTGACTATATTCTAAGGTGTCGATGTTTTCAAGTCACGTGGAAAGTGATACGAATTTTTTTGGGATAAATGATGAGCATATGTGACATTTAGTGTGGAGCTAACTGACTTTTTACAGATCGAGTTCTATAATTTAAACAGTAAGGATTTGTGAAGTTCTAAGGTAGAGAGATCATTAACAATATGATGAAATGATTAAGGAGTAGTCTGAAAACAATCCATAACGTGACTTAATGTTTCCTTGTCATCAACGTGTTTATGCAATGTTAGTTCAGTTTTAGCCAATGAATTTTGAATTGTAAAACGAAGGTAAATGATAAATTTGCGAGAACAGAGTCGAAACTGTTGAAAATTGAAACATAATCTAAAAGTATACACGGCCTTAGATTATGGCTGTCAAAATGATCACTTCAGTGACGAGTTTAACAAAATGTTTTCCGTTATAGAAATCGCTTAACCAATTTTAGTTTTCAACTTTTATTAGAAAAAGAATAACTTGACTGAACTGTATTTTATAATGTTTCTTTATGTATTACTTACAAAAGGAGTTATTACTTTCCGTAAAAATGTAAGAAAAATAGGAAAGAGGAAATCAATGATATATATATAGAGCCAAAGTCACATAGTGATTCTTCTCCAATCAAATCTGAAATCTCTATCAACAATGACAAGTTTGCACAAAACCCTCTTCACACAAAATCCCACTACTTTAGATCAATGTAAGTTCTTTGTTTTTATTTCCCTTAATTAATTTCGTTTAATTAGTCAAACTAATTGTTGACATGTGTGATTTTTTCAGTGATGATGTGCCATACGGGAAGAGACCATTCATGGAAAAAACTAGAGAATATAGAAGAAGAAGGACCAGCGACGGTAGCGCGTGAAGCGAAGACGGCGTTACCACCGGAGACGCCGACGGAGACGATGGAGTTCCTGGGGAGATCATGGAGCATTTCCGCCGTCGAACTCACAAGAGCGTTCTTCAACAACTCCGCTGCCGACACTAACTCATATCTTCTCTCTACTCTTGTTAATACCAATAAAGAAGATAGAGATGATGAAGAAGATTCTACTTCCATGGCTTCTTCTCGTGACCTTGTAAGCCATCGTTCTCTTCCTGTTTTCTAAACCGGGTCAGCTGGTCTAGTTCGGTACAATTAATCTTTTTATATAAGAAATTATATACACTATGGCAATAAAAAAATAAGCATGTCAATGTGAAAGTTTTCCGCAGTAAACAAAAGCCATAAAACATAATAGACTGAAAACACATTATATACAGTTTTATCCGTGATTTAAACATTGTTGGACGTTCGATTTTCTTTTATTGTGTGTTATTTTTGATGTGAATATCCAATTTACTAAGTCGACTTTATCACACGACCTCGCAAGTTTATATTTTATTTTTTTTTTGGTAAAAAGTATCTAAACTTTCCATATGAACACTTTTATGTGAGTTTTGTGTATCTGTTGTTGTTGTGTGTTAGTAAACAAAATTAAAATCGATTTTACCTAAAGCGTTAATACAATTTTTACTCTTGTGGATCACTTTTCAGCTGCTGCCACATATAGGAGGAAACAAGACCCGCCCTCCAATTTCTCCAAGAACCGGCAGAGAAATGAAGGTATGATCTCTCATACCGGTTTATCTTTGTCTCAAATCAATCATGTCTTTATTAAAAGGAGCCGACGTAACGAAGGAAAAAAGCTGGTTGGTTTTGCAACTTTTGGTATATAAAAATTAACCGAGAGAAAAGAAAAGAAAAGAGAACGCATTATAATGGTCATAATGAATTCATGCAATTGTTAATTCAGACCGGCTTTTCTTTTCCATATAATAAAAAGGTGAATATAATGATTCGTGAGTCTAAACAAGAGTGGATGGATATTCTGATTCGGTTGCTTTTGTTTAGTTCGAAATCATTTGAATTTATAAACTTAATAGGAAATAGAAATAATATAGAATCCAATTTCTTACAATATTTGGATATTTCTAATTTCACAAACAAACACAATAAATTATAAGTAGAAAATGGATATATTAGTGATATTATGTATAGCCAAGTTTTATATGAAAACGATGCAGCATCTGTACAAGAACATGATAAGAGGAAGAACAATGGGAAGAAGATTGAAGGATCAGAAGGAGAAGAAGAAACAAGAGACCCGAACTCGCAACGCTGAGATTCACGCCGCGGTCTCTGTCGCAGGAGTAGCTGCGGTTGTAGCCGCAACTGCGGAATCTAACGCCATAAAAGCCGCAGAAAATGGTGTCGAATCAACAGAAGTTGCGATTGCAGTCGCGTCTGCAGCCGCTCTCGTCGCCACGCATTGCATTGAGATGGCGGGAGAGATAGGAGCGGGATATAACCAGATAGCGACGGCCGTTAGCTCTGCGACCAACGCTAGGACTAACGGAGACGTCATGGCTTTAACGGCAAGCGCTGCAACAGGTAACATATATCGCATATTTGACCGCTTAATTTTATCAAATGATCCGTTCAGCTGATTTTGAGGTTTGTTGAGAGATTTTAGCGTTGCGAGGAGCTGCGATTCTGAGGTCAAGAATGGAAAGGAATACAGAGAACAAAGCATTGCTATATTCAACAAATGAGCATGTGGAAAGGGAAGAGAGAAACGTATTTGGAGCGATGACTTTCGTCTCTAGAGGAGAAGAGCTTCTCAAACGCACCCGCAAAGGTAACTTGTCATCCAAGAAAACAGTTATTGTACTTGTGAAGCTATCGATGTCAAGTTTCAAAAAATGTTGGTGACAGGGGATCTTCATTGGAAGCAAGTATCTTTTAACATCAATTCTAATTGGCAAGTAAGTTCCTTTTTTTTTCCTCGGAAGATATATTTCATCAAGATCGATAATAATACTCTTTTGATGTTTTCATGTATTACATTCTTGATTTTGAAATAGGTGGTACTAAAAATGAAGAGCAAACATGTGGGTGGAACTTTCACAAAGACGAAGAAATGTAAGCTTATAAGAAACCGGTTTCTACAGTTGACTTCTTGTAGAAACCAAGAATCGTGGGTACTAATCGGTTTTTGGATGCAGGCGTTGTAAATGGAGTGTGCCGAGAGATACCTGAATGGGCGCATAGAGGAAGAGTAGAAAAAATGGTCGAGAGGAGAGCCTACTTCGGGGTAAAAACCGTCGAAAGGGTGATTGAATTCGAATGTGTAAACAAAAGAGAGAAGCAGATGTGGATCGAAGGGATTCAGCAGCTTCTTAACTCACTTGAAACCGGTTCTTTAGTGTTCACCGGAAACATAAGGGCTTGAACCAAAAGACTAATTCATTTTACAAAATTACATCATGTGGTGAAGATTGTACTTGTCTTGCTTCATGCGTGTTGAGGAAAGTATCCTTGTGTCCAGTGTGATTTTTGAAATCTGTTGTTTCTTGTGTACCAAGTTACTTGTTAAAAATGCCATATCTAAAAGAATATGACATCTAAAATCTAAAAAAATATGGACCAATTCAGTCAAATAATTAATGAATTGGTTATATTATGAACTGGTGAATATGAAACATAGATCGTGAACTGGTTTTAAGTTTTAACATTTGAACTGCTGTACTTAACGGTTTTAGTGGTTTGTGTCCGGTTGAACGGTTGAATTATAACCCGAATTTAATTGTAAAGTGGCCCCCTTAATAAACCGAACAAGAACCGTTCAGTACCCCAGCTCAAATGTTAAAATCAAATCGCAATTCGGTCGGATTGGTAAAGAGATCTGGTTCGGTTTTGAAAATATTAATTAACACGCAAATCTCGGTAGAGAACTTTTCAGAAGAAAAAAAAGGTTTTTAGGTCCTTCACACCTTCTTAATACAGAGATTAACAGCTGGATTTCTGAGTTTCCGTTTTTAATTTCTCTAGAAAGGGAAAGAAAGAAAAAGATATGATGTACAGTAATTCTTGGAAACTTTCCGGGAAAAATCTCGGAAACGATTGAGCTTATTTGCTTTGATCAGCTGCTGTGCTGATAGCTCTCTCCGGTTCTTGTGAGTTCGTCCCTGCTACAGAAATCACGGTAATACATATTTTTCCACTCGACTTCACTTTCTCTCTTGAATCAATCTAGAGGATATAATTGCTCTGAAAATCAATTTGTCTTCTACTTCACTCTCTGGTCTTACAAGTTTATGGGTCACTCCATGATCTCTCTGCTAAAAGTTTCTAAATTTACTACTGTCTTTCACTAGGGAGAACTAGAACAACAACAACAAGATTCGCATTTGTCGTTTTAAAGTTTTTCGATTCAGCTCGCTACCAATTTTCCGATCAATAAGTGATAGATTCGTTCTAGCATATGAAGGTTTATACTGTCAAAATATCCCCAGAAAATAAAAAAAACATAAACTTTTCGAATCGGTGTCTCTCAGATGTAAGATCCATTACAAAAATATTCAGTTGTCTCTGTTTTGTTCTTTCCTACAGAATTGTGGCTAAGATGGTGTGGAGTGGAGTAGATGTAGAATTTGTGGCAACTTAATATGCTTCTGCCACCAGAATCTAAGTTTACAACTCAAATCTTTCCCTAACGAGAGTCCAAAGCTTCGGTTTTTAATCCTCTGGTAGACGCAATGAGATTGTTACGATTTGCTGGTGTAGTTTTCATCTTTATCACCGCCTTCCAATTCGTGAACATGCGTTATTTCGGTGGCGCTATATTCTCTTTATCCTCTCAAGATAAGTTTCCGGTACCAATAGATGGAAGCACAGAATCCGTCCGGCCATTGTACGGCCCTGAAAAGATGGATGTCACTAGTTCGACATCCGCTAATGTAGCTGCAAGGGAAAGAACCGGTTTAGAAGAAGACCGTGTAACTGGCTCTGATAGGAATGTCACTACTATTCAATCCCATGACAGTTTCATTGAGGATGCAAAAGATAAGGATTTGCTGCTAGGGACAGGGAGCAGCTCAAACGTGAGTTACGAGAATATAGTTGAAGATGTTGACATCGTTAGTGAAAATAATAGGAACGTGGAGACTCTGGAGAGTAAATCTGATGCTTCTGTTGATAATCTTTCCCCAGATGTGAAAAGACTAATGAATGTTTCAAATTCTGGTGTGGTTTCTATCACTGAGATGATGAATTTGTTGCGTCAAAGCCGCATTTCTCATGTCTCACTGGTATGTGTTTTAGTCTCTGATTAGTCAAGCAGTGTTCTTGTCTCTACTACTACCACCGTTAGGTCTTACTATTAAATGTGTTCTTGAATTTTTTCCAGAAACCAAAACGGTCTTCTGCAGTTGATCAAGAGCTGCTGTATGCAAGAACTCAAATTGAGAATGCACCGATGATAGAGAACGACCCTTTACTGCATGGTCCTTTGTATTGGAATCTGTCCATGTTCAAAAGGTAAGTCCGTATATAGTTTTGTGCATTTTGATGGCATGTATGTTGATAGTGTTATTTTTTCCCCTGCATCTAGGAGCTATGAGCTTATGGAGAAAAAGCTTAGGGTTTATATATACAGGGAAGGCAAAAGACCCGTATTGCACAAACCGGTGCTGAAAGGAATATATGCCTCTGAGGGATGGTTCATGAAACAGCTCAAGTCCAGCAGAACATTTGTCACGAAAAACCCTCGTAAAGCTCACCTTTTCTATCTTCCTTTCAGCTCCAAAATGCTGGAGGAAACACTGTATGTCCCTGGTTCTCACAGCGATAAGAACCTCATCGAGTTTTTGAAGAACTACTTGGACATGATCTCCTCCAAGTACAGCTTCTGGAATAAAACTGGAGGATCAGATCATTTTCTGGTCGCTTGTCATGACTGGGTATTCTTTTTTTACGTTATCTACTATGTCACTTATTTCTCATCGCCATGAAACTGCCATTAAATCTGATCCAAATCTTCTTTGTTTGTGAAAATCCATGCTTTCAGGCTCCTTCCGAGACAAGGCAGTACATGGCTAACTGCATCAGAGCATTATGCAATTCCGATGTTTCAGAAGGTTTCGTGTTTGGTAAAGACGTAGCTCTCCCTGAGACAACTATTCTTGTTCCTAGGAGACCGCTTAGGGCACTCGGAGGTAAACCCTATTCACAGAGGCAGATACTTGCCTTCTTTGCAGGCGGGATGCACGGTTACCTTAGACCTCTCTTATTGCAACACTGGGGAAGTAACAGAGATCCAGACATGAAGATATTCAGCGAGATACCCAAATCTAAAGGAAAAAATAGTTACATGGAGTACATGAAGAGCAGCAAGTACTGCATTTGCCCAAAAGGGCATGAAGTCAATAGCCCTCGTGTCGTGGAGGCGTTGTTCTACGAGTGTGTCCCCGTTATCATATCCGACAACTTCGTGCCTCCCTTCTTCGAAGTCCTGAATTGGGAGTCTTTTGCTGTGTTTGTGTTGGAGAAAGATATTCCTGATCTGAAGAACATATTACTTTCGATAACTGAAGAGAGGTACAGAGAGATGCAGAGGAGGGTCAAGATGGTGCAGAAGCATTTCCTTTGGCATTCTAAACCCGAGAGATTTGACATTTTTCATATGATACTTCACTCTATTTGGTACAACAGAGTATTTCAAACTTGAAACCACAGATTAGGTTTGGGATCTTTAGAAAGTGTAAATTAACAGAGATTCATTCGTCAATAGCAAAATGCATGTCGCAAAACTCTTAATCCTGTAAATGCCAGTTACTTTCACTACAATTCACTTAAACAATCTTTATACAGATGAATGTTCATAAAAGCGGCTTTAAAATATCTTTTAGCTCTGTCATCACTTCAGATCGTTCATAATAACAAACTGTTCAAATTTAGCCAAGCGATTTGATGTATGATACCGTATTAGAACAAGAAGCCTAACACTCTTTAACATTTCTCAGAATCCTATTATATGCTTGAGAGCCTTAATTTTCTTGAGAATATCTCCTACGATGTCTTTACTTTTAATAAAGACCAAACTTACAAGACTTTAACAACAACCTTACAACCCCATCATCTGAGTGTTCCAGCTGCAATAAACACGTTTTGGTAAACGTCTGAGATTCGATTCTGTTATGCTCCACCTCCTGTAAATTTCACCTTTTTTCATAATTAGATTGTATCTTCATGAATGTTTTGAATTTATCTTCATCGTAGATGCCAAACAAACATATGATTACAACCTTCATGTTGCCGGTTGAAAGGGATCGATCTTTAGGTCCCAAAACAGCGATATAAGCAAAGGGAATCTTTCATTTTGATTCATCTTTACAGAAAGAACGTTTACATAATTGACTTGAGGATAGTCGACGACAAACACTACTTTGGATATAACATAATGGCATACTTTTCAATGGCTGAAAAAAAAGTTATGTTTGGCTACGCAGCTATTTTCTAATTGGTCAGGATTATGACTATAAGTCTATAATGGACAATCTTTTTTGTGTATACTGTGTGTGTCCTACGTTTAACATAGAGACTAGAATAAAGTTGTAGGTGTATATCAATTTCCTTTCTACTTTTTAATGGACAGAATCGAACCAAGTAGGTGTTGCTTACTTGCTTGTAACCATCATCGGCACAAATTATTCAAAAGAGGACCACATCACGTACACTGTAGATCATCAAAGCTATTATTATCTTCTTTCCTACTCTAAAAAAATTACTTACACATCCAGTTTATGATCACCAATATACACGTACAATGTGGAAATGTAGATCATGTAAGATAATACCCACACACACACACAAAAAAATGGTAAAAAAAACACAAAGATTCATGCGGCCCTTAAAATGTGCTCGTAAATCAATTTTGGGCCTATGCTTTTGCCAGTTTAGATAAGGACTGAGGCTCTCTACATAACCGGTTTGGAGTTGGCCAATGGTTTGATTGGACTTGGATTATGGGGGTTTGCAGAAGAATCAATTCATATCTTTAGGATACAAGTATTAGTATACGTAGAGCTCGGTGATGAATCTATGTATAGTTGAATTGTGAAGGAACAAAATAGTGAATTGCTGGATATAATTACAACTTTCTCAAATCCAAGAAGTCGAATCTCGTTGAATGTGTTGCTGTATCTTCTCCATTTTATTTCAATTTCGTTTACAAATTCTCTTATTTAGAACATCATACAAAACAGAAAAATGCATTAAATGTATTGATCTGTATATATAACACAAATTTAGTTGTAGACTATTTAGTTTTGAATATCACTTTGTCATTTTGCTAGGTTTTGTGTCAGGTTAACCCTATCTACTTTTTACTGATTCATTGTACTTTTTTATTTTATTTTTCTTGTGTGGACTAGTCATTTTGTACTTTCACTATGAATGAAAAATGAATATAATACCTTATAAAAATGGTGGCAGGGTGCAATAATTGAATCACGTGAGACCGCGGTTGGGACACGTGTTACGCGGAACGTAAATCGTACTCGTCAAAAGGGGTCCAAGAGCTGTCGAGACACACCAACAGTGTGTAGTAAACCCAGCAAGACAGCTGGATTCTCTTTCTTCTCCGTACGACTAATTTTTTTTTCTTCTTCTTCTTCATTTCACACATTTGTCGACTTCTTCACTCACTCTTTTTCTTTTATACTCACTTGTTCCTATTTTTTTTTAATTCATACCCTAATTTAAGTGTAGCATTCATTAAATTCATTCAATATTTTGGGCTGTTGAAAACCTGATTCCAGCTCATAAATTATTTAGTGGGTGGACAAAAGAAAAGAAAAAAAAAAAAGCTGACGCCGACAAATAAAAAATTGAGAAAAAAATCTGTGTGGATTGGATTGTGGACGACGACGATGGTAGAATAGTACACAAGGGACAAAGGTATAACACATAAATGGTTATTTCATGGTGACTACGATTTTTTTTTCAGTTCTACTAAAAACTATTTAGGGTAGATGTGTTTTACCTATTGAGATTTTAATTCTAAATTTAGACTAATCCTCACACCATATAAAATGTTGAACTATTAACAAACAAAGCAACTACTGAATCGGTATTCTATCATTTAAATTGTCTATAATAATCAATTAAAAATAAAAGTGCAGTGAAAGAATTGAAATATTTGTTTCCCAACTTTAATATAAATCTTTGGGTTGGCTGTTTATTCCCCCCTCTACAATACAGCTTCTGCCTAATTCTACCCCAACTTTGAAGTTCTTGATTTTACTACACAAACTCTAACATTTGATTATAAAACCACCTAAACTTTTTTGCTCTGTCTAATTACACCTAAGAAGCTAAAATCTTTAAATTGCGATCAAAAAGTAGAATGGCGTTTAATCAAAATAGCGTTAGTAACCCGAGATCTTAACCATCATCACAATCCAAAATCTCAGAAATTAAACCGATCCAATTATTTTTAAAACCCAACCCAAATCCAATTCATTTTGAAAACCCAAACCAAATCAAACCCAAATTGATTTGAGAATTAGGTTTGTCTCGATATTCATCGACTCAAACCAAAGAGACAAGAGAGACGAGTGAGACGAAGAACAACGTCAAAAGCACAGAAATTATAGTGTTAGAATGACGGAAAGTATCTAATCACAGGTATATCTCTTTCCCTCTATCTGAAATGGTTATTTGGCATTCACGGTTTTTAATTGACTTAAGTTTTTCCATAGGTATACCTTGTGAACATGTCTATGGAGCTATGATAAATGCAGGTTTGGATGTTAATGACTATGTATCTTCCTGGTTTTCGAAAGAGACATGGCAACGGAACTATGAGATGAATATGGAACCAGTTAGAGGACCAAGGTTTTGGATTAGAAGAGGTTGTCGCCTAATAGTGTCTCCTCCAGAACCTGATCTACCCGGAAGAAAAAAGAAATCTAAGAAGATTAAAAAGAGAATCAAAGGCAAGCATGAGTCACCAAAGAAGAAGAAAAAGAAACAGATTCAGAAATTGCCTAAGATTGGGCGCATCATTCATTGCTCAAATTGTGGTGAAGAAGGGCACAACTATACGGGTTGTAAGATACATCCAAAGAAAAAGCCAAGGAAGGCACAAGTAGAAGAGACATTAGAGGTATATATTGATTACTCTCTTTGATAGTTTTGATTATTTTAGTTGTCTTTCACGTGTTGTTTATTTTGTTGTCTTTGCTTCTGTTATGTGTTCAGAGTTTTGCTTGTCTTGGTTCTGATTTTAGTTTTTGTTCTGATTATTTTTGTCTCACGTCATGTCTTGGTTCCGATTATTTTGTTGTCTTTGCTTCTGTTATGTGTACAGAGTTTTGCTTGTATTGGTTCTGATTTTAGTTTTTGTTCTGATTATTTTTGTCTCACGTCGTGTCTTGGTTCTGATTATTTTGTTGTCTTTGCTTCTGTTATATGTTATCTGATCACTTTGCTTCTCACGTCTTGCTTATCTAGGTTATGGTTTTATTTTTTTGTTCGGCTTTAGTGTTATCTGATCACTTGCTTATCTGAACACTTGCTTCTGTTTTTCAGGATAATGCTTCATCTGAAGCTCAAATTCAGGTTTCAAGTTCATCTCAAGGATTTGATATGATTTATCTCACTCAACCCTCTCAAACAACAGAGTGAAAGTACTATATGTTGCAGCAACGAATGCTCTTTGTGTTTTCTTTAATGTATGGAATGCTTTACATTCATCTCTGAACCTGTATGCGATCTCTTCCCTTTATGACCCATGTTATTTCAGTTGGTTTTTGTTGTATGTGATGTCTTAAAACTCTATGATCCATTATGAATTAATGCTATCAGATTTCGGATCAAACACATTGGTTTCTATCAGGTTTCAGATCAAACAGAAAACTATTGTTCATTCAAAGATAGGTACATATCAAAGAACATTAAGTTTTCAAACAAGGTTTCAAACAAGGTTTCAAACAACACTAATCACCAAAGACAATTACATATCAAAGACAAATACATAACATCAATCCCAGTTTTCAAATAAGGTTTTAGAAGTTAGTTTAGAACAAACTTTCCACAGATCCATCCTATGCCTCCTACAACCAACACGGTGATGCCAACTCTTTCCAAACTCTTCTTAGCAAGCTCTCCAGCCATCTCTTGAATAGCTTTATTCGCCATCATCATCTCTCCCTTTATCTTCTTTTTCATCTCTTCCTTCATCTTCTCTTTCAACTCTTCCATCATCTTCTCTTTCAGCTCTTCTTCCATTTTAAGAACCTGTATTTTCTGAAACTCAAAATTCTCCACCATCTCCTTTCTCAATTCTTTCACTTCATCTACAAGCTTTAGGAGTTTTGCATCAACCATTCTTGTCTCGTCGACCAAAGCTTCATCAACCCATTTGAAGAGATGCTGTTCAGTTTTCCTCTACACAATGAAATGACGGAGATTCACGACAGAGTAACAGAAAAAATTGAATTTTTCAAAAAAGCATTTCAATGTACAAACCTGTAATGCGATTTCGCATCTGTAGAATCGCCTAAAAGGATTCTCATATGTCTGCGAACAATATGTCCTAAGCTTTCTCCCACACCAACAAGCCGTTGGAACCCCAAATACTTGTCTCTGATGAGTGAAATGAGATGAAACAGAAGAAGAACTACTCATGGTTCTAATCAGTCGCTGCTCTATATTCTCTCTCGATTGGCTCTGAATCACTCTCTCTCTCTCTGAAGCTCTCTCTCTCTCTGAAGTACCGAAATCTCTGTTTCGTTGTTTGTCGGGATGAAGAAGAACAGAAACCTAATCCCCAAATTATAATTTTGACTTTAAGTCAATATGTTGGGTCGGGTTTTGCATCTGGGCTTAAACAAATTGGTATTAGGTCAGATTTTAATAACCAACAAATTTAGTTTAATCGGTTAACAAGTAATCGCAAATTTTTAAACGCAATTTTGTTTAATTGATCGCAAGTTTCAATTATTAAGTCGCAGGTGGAATTAAGCAGACAAAAATAGTTTGGGGGAGAATATAATTACATGTACGAGTATGGGAGGAATCGCAAGAGCTTCAAAGTTGGGGTGGAATTAGGCAGAAGCTGTATTGTAGGAGGGGGAATAAGCAGTCAACCCTAAATCTTTCAACCACTAAAACTTTCATTAGTTCATTGCCTCAATACGTATTTGCTCTAATGTTTTTGTACATTAGATTGAGTTTCCATACAAATTTGAAGTATTGGTCGGTCAATTTAGGCTGAGTTGTAATGTACCATACAAAAGCTATTTTTTTATAGAATACTCTTACTGTCTTTCATTCGTGTTTACACAAGTAGAACAGTGTTAAGAGTCTAATAATAGGACATTCCTGTCAAATATGTAACACCGGCAGTAATTAATGATGTGATAACATAAATTCCCATAAATAAATAGAAAATTTAACAATTTCTAGTTTTATTTTATAAATATTTTTATGTCCTTAGAAGACTTTTAATCACAAGAACAAAAAAAAGATGAGAAGATCTAATGTATTTGCTAATTTAATTTATATATCGAAATATGGACTAAACAGTTCTATTTAGAATGTAAATTTTGATTGAAACAAATTATTGACTTCTGTAAATAAACGAAACTTTTTCACTTGCTTTAACACATTGTAAAGAAACTAACCGTGGATAACATGGTTCTTGATTTCATAATTCTTTATCTACGAAAGAATAAAAAGATTAAAAAAAGATTCTGAAACCTAGCTTAGTTGGTAGCAAAAACTCATAATAAGAACAAATAATCTTTGGCTGCAAGTTCGTAACATCCACAAACAAAAACAAAAACAGAAAAATGGATCCATATTGGCTGAGAGCTTTAAGAACTAAGTGAAGCTCATAGCCGTCTAACATTTATAAGCTATCGTGCATATTGATTCATAGTACATACAAACTTTGCTCAGAAATGTTTATTGATTTGATAAGCAACAGTGCATATTCATGGATATATACGGCTACAGCCTTTTATAAATTCTTCTGAGTTCTTTACATTCTGAAAAAAAAAGCTATCATATATATAAACATTCGTGCAAATATAGCTGGATAGGCGAAATACAAATCTTTTCTCAGCAATAGAAGCAAAATACTTGAAATGTCCGCGTTATCACTATTTGATATTGTCGACACTATTGATGATGTAATAATGGAGCAACTTTTTAAATATGAACTGGCTTTTTTAGAACCCCACCACCAAAGGAAATATAGAAAACGACAACTTCATTACATAGTCTTTGAATAGATTCACTGCAATGATGGTATGTATATATATTGCCTGATAAATTCACCTTTGGTGCTTTTAGATTAACATAATAAAAATAGAAACATTCGTCTCTAACCGACACAGAGTATGTAATTCAGTGCTTCTGAGACATGGTTATAAAAACAAAATGTGATTTAACATCCAAAACGTTCGATCTGATCTTTTCCTTTTGCACTTCGTAAAATTTGATATAAGTGGTAACTTTTTGAGAGAGTAACTTCGAATTTCAATTAAAAGAATCGTGAAGGTGTTCTCAAGAGATAACTTGATCAGTGTAAATGAAGTTTTCGAAAGTTTAGTTTCTCCATTATTTTAGTTTTTAGGAACGAATCTAGCGGTCAAGGAAGACGTGATTTAATGCATAGTAAACTGTAGGTAGAAAGTTAATACGTCCTAGGGTTGCCGACTTAACCAATTCATTTAAATATATTGAAAAATACATTTTGCAAAGTAATGACGCAAATATTAAAAACAAATTCTTTCTAGTTATGACATCTGAGTGTAATAAATGATAAATCTAACAGAACTGGTGAGACTATACGTACTCTGCCGTAGATTCGAATCCTTGCACGCTACAAGAAGTCTTACACATATGAAAATATTGAAGATGATGACTGATGAGAGAGTTCTGTCGACTTACTAATTTATTTATATGAAAAACAAATATAGGAAGTTCTAACTCGTCACATCACGAAAAAGCAAAAGATTAGAAAACATCATCTCGTGTTTCGCGTTATAAATGAACAAAGATAAATACTTTTTAGATAAATCATATAGAGTTACATGTATGTACGTACCACTACCAACCTTTCGTAGGTAAGCAGCTACACAAAGCTCTCAGGGTCCCTCTCTTTGGAGAGTATGTATAAATGTATGCAAAGTTTAATACCAAATATTTGAAAAAAATCATTGAGAGATTTGGAAACATCCAAAAAAACGAGAGACTAGAAATTTCACCAAACAGTAATGATACAAACAAGAACTATCTTTTCTAACTCTTACACCCCAAACAATGTCTCTCTCCTTTTGCCTTAAATATCTCTAATTTATATTCTTTCTTTCTTTTTTTTTATAACAACAACCCAAATCTAAAATCCCATTTCAATAAAAGAAAAACAAGAATCAGCGTCGTCTTTGTGACATTTCGTCGAACGAGTGGACGGCATAAAGCTTAATCATCATAACAATGGTGGTGGATTCGTCACTTGGTTCGGAGAAGGAGACGAAGGGAAGTAAGCAGCCTGTGTATCGCGGTGTTCGAATGAGGAGTTGGGGGAAATGGGTATCGGAGATTCGCGAGCCACGGAAGAAATCGAGGATCTGGCTCGGGACTTTCCCGACGGCGGAGATGGCGATGCGTGCTCACGACGTGGCGGCTCTGAGCATCAAAGGAACTTCCGCCATTCTCAATTTCCCTGAGCTCTCCGATTTTCTGCCCCGACCCGTTTCTCTCAGCCCTCGTGACGTCAGAGCCGCGGCGACCAAAGCTGCTCTCATGGACTTTGGCACGGCGTCGTTTCGTCACGCAGTGTCAGAGAGCGAGACCAGCGAAACAACGGCGTCGGATAAAAGGTCCGAGAGCGAGACCAGCGAAACGGCGTCGGATAAAAGGTCAGAGAGCGAGACCAGCGAAACGGCGTCGTTCTCCTCGTCTTGTTTCTCTGTGACGAGCATTGATGAGGAAAGTACAGTCTCTGACGACCTGGAAAAAATCGTAGAGTTGCCGAGTCTAGGCACGAGTTTAGACGAGTCAAACGAGTTCGTGTTTTTTGACTCGCTGGAGGATTTGGTGTTCATGCCGTCATGGCTACGCAGTGGTACGGATGAAGATTTTACGTATAACAATGATTCTCCGTTGAACTCAGCTTTCGAAGAAACCTTTTCTTGGAAACACTTTCCCTGAAAAGGAAAATCTAATTTTTGTTTCTACTTTTTTTTTTTTGGTTGGTTTGTTTAATTTTCATGGGATTCTCTCTGTTCTTTTTTTTTCTTTGCGTGAGATATCTCCAAGAATTGTGCCTGTGGAACTGATAACTTTTTGCTGTTCTTCTTATTACTAAGTCGGTGAAATGAAATATGGTTAAGTGTAAGTGTGTATAATTAGTTATAATATTACTATATTAGCCAAAATAATGAGAGTATCAGTGTTAGTGTTTTGACATTTTGTTTAAACCTCCCTATTTTTCTTCGTTTTGCAATATCAAACTAAAATCTATTTGAAAATTAGAATATGGTCCCTCAGCTTTAACACCATGTATGTATTTTGATTTTTTTACATACCCATTACACAACAATTCAAACTTTGACATTTAAATTGTCGGAGAAATAAGGATGGCATTATTTGGTAATTAATTAAAGAAAGCTATAACTATTCTTTTATTAAGAAGTTTCATAGGCTGAGATCCGTACATCTTCTTAGATCATGACTTTTTTTTTTGATCAACTAATTGATTAGAAACTTAAACCATGACTAAAACATACTTTTTTTATAATTGAATGTATTTTGAGTTTAATATATTTAGATATATTGCAGATACATTTTCTCTAAATGATACTTATTATGAAATAGAAAAAGTATTAATGTAGATATCTTCTTAAAATCATGACTAAAACATATAATTTCTTCATTTTTATGTTTATTATTAAGAAATGTTTTATTTTGAATAACTAAGGTTGTGGTTCAATTTTAATAAAAACCTCATATTTTAACATGCAATAACGTAACGAAACAAACAACCGAGACATAAAATCCTCTAATTTCCTAATCTTTCTTTTTGAAGTTTGACCATGTAAGATCGATACTATGATATTAGACTATTAGTTTAGTACACGTTTAATAAATGTCATGAAAACATTATTAGTGATTTTATTACTATATGATGTGTTACGTCACTGTCAAATTCCAACATAGCAAACGATTAGTAGGATGTTACCAATATTATACTAACAATACTGCGATTTCCCTAGGGCCAACAACTTTATCGAGTTTTAGAGCACACCAAAATACAGAGATGCTTCGCGTATGTATACCAAAAATTGAAGACGTTCATGATAATGTTTAAAACACTTCACTTTTAATATCTTTTTTTGCTAAAAGCGACTTCTTCTTTTTCTTTTAATCGTAGAAAAAGCATACGAGTTAAGAATAAAGCTAATGAAGTCGCATGAAGCCAAGAACATTAATGGGATCAATGTCTTTGATTGCTATATAAATTTTGTATTGAGGGAGATTTGATCAATAAAATTGGTTTTGAATATGCTTTGGAGAAAATAAATAATCGGGTAAACTGAGAGTGAATTTATAAATGAAACAGACGTTTTAGAGTTTTTGATGCGTGAGTTTGTGAAGGGAAAGAAGGTCCACGTGTATGTTTGCTTTGTCGGAAGGCAAATAAAGTCTGCATTTTTTTTGTATATGTCCCCATGACAAAATAAAATTTATACATTATGGAAAACAAAAAGAAGATAAGGACAGAAATGAATTCAATTTTTGATTGGTCCAATAATTACTTCTCATTTTTTATTTTATTTCGTTTTCTGTCCTTTTAGAAGCAAGGACGAATCATTGGCCGATGATAGTACTGATGATCATTATGATCAAGATAGGAGTTTAAATACCCACCGTCTATGTTGATCGAGCATTATATGTGTGCGTTTAAGATTTTACCGTATCCCGACATAATTACAAATGTTTTGATCAAAATATTAGTCGGATGGTATGCTAACAAAAGAAAAGAAAAGAATTATTTGCATTGATTTCAAAATTAGCACCCAAAAACATGGTTACTATAGGATTTAACAAGTCAAATTTGGAATAAGAACTGGTAACATCGATGCTATTTCTCAAAATAGAATACAACAGAGCCATTATTATGTATAAACTAACTTCGGGTTTTAAATGACAACGATGAATCAAAACAGCAAAACAGTGTGAGTTTTGTTCATATAATTGGAGGTCTTTATACTTTTGCTAAATACTCAATATCTGATATAGCCGAAAAGCTATAAGATCCTTCTTTAAAAAAAGAGAGAGCATTAAAGCAGATTTTTACCTATTTAACCTAATCGAATTAAATATGACATCAGACAATTTTAATTTGTAATGGACCATTCTCTTGTGCTAAACAGCTTTTCTTATGTTACATAATAATTATGCTAATTTACCATTATATGAAGAAACTTGAGTGCACCGTCCAAACAAACTGAAATGCATGCAAGTCATGGCTATTGACAAATGGGCGATATATGTGAAAGTTTTAAAGAAGAAGGAGGTCACTTGCTACAAGTCTACATCACAATTCACAAGTGGTGAAATCAAGTGCTGGAATACACATTTCTAAGTTTAGAATCCATATAATTCACAAGTGGGTTTTCTAATTGGGTTATGATCTTCGCATAATTATTGCATTTCGCCTTTCCACCTACACTTTTTAGTAAATTCCATCTACATTATGATTCTATTCATTGACAGCGACATCCTAACAAGAGTTTTCCATATTTCAACAGTCGTGTCGGTGTTATATTTTTTTATATAATTTTTGGTATCATATCATTCATATTGTTATTTCTACATGTAGTAGAGCAGCTTCATGAATTTCCATCTATATAGCAAAATGGCTAGTGTCCCAGTAATTATCAGAAGAGTTTATAACTATCCGTTTGTTTTTTTGTTTCCTCACGGCAGGCGATTTTTTTTTTAGGTTGATTGAACATATGTTTAAACATTACGTTATTTTTTTAAGTTTTTAAGTTTGTTCTTTTTTTTCTAACGTTGATTGAACATGACGTTAAACGTATTTGTTGTAATACCAGAAAAAGGCCTTACTTGTACACGACCTCATATCTTCGATTGGAGCCCAAGCCCAAGTAGTAACATAGTGTTGTCTAGACATTGATACCAATCTGGGCCTTAATTTATAGCCCAAGTCTACATGTGCCATGGATAAGGAAATATCAAAGACAAAGATCAGCTGCCTTGATAATGATTTGCCAACGCATGAACATTCAAGTTGCAAATTCAGAAGCTTTTTTTTTACAAATAAGTTCGGATCTGCATCTTTCACATCATGATTCTCTTTTACATTTGGTATGAGGATACACAAGATATATAACATATTTGATCAGATTGAGAAATAACAAAATATATAAGTTTGGCGAGAAGTTGTTCTTCCGTTTCAGGTCGAAATAGTCACATCTAAAAAGAATGATATGTTTAAACAGGTTTTGGGACATTCAGCTAAATTAAACAAGTTTGACAAAACTATCTATCTCATCTCTTGTAAGGCTCAAAAGGATATCTCTGAAACTCAGATCCGAAGGTAATAGATTCCTCGTCGAGTTTCTTCTTCAACCTCCTCCAAGTCCTCAACTTATTAGACTGTATTAATCCTTTATAGAGCGTCTCAAAAGTTAGCTTCTGCGGCAAGAAACCCTTCTCTATCATCTCAACAAAGTACCCACAAGCCTCCTTCCACTTCTCCTTGCTACACAACCCATGAACCAATGATGTATACGAGTCCAAATCCGGACCCGTTTCACTTTCTTTAAGATCATCCCATACTTCTTTCACAGTCTCCATCTTCCCCAAATTGATAAACGTACCCAAGAGAACATTGTACGTCTGCGTGTTCGGCTTGCACAACCCGTTCCTCATTTTCCTGTACAGGTTCATTGCCCCGTTAGCATCTTTTCTACCTCTGTATTCTTTGAAGAAGCAATTGTAAGTCGCAGATGAAGGGCTTATCCCAGTCTCCACCATTGTTTCAAGCAACGCTTCTGCTTCCTCCAGCTTACCACAAGAACAGAGACATTTCACAACTGATGTGTATGTTTCCAATGTAGGACTGATCCCTTTCGCCTTCATCAGTTTCAGCTTATCAAGAGTCAGCTCAGATTTGTGAGCTCGACTGTACATGTGTAGCACGATCGAGAAACTCGTGACGTCAGGTTCTATACCTCTTTGACGCATTTCGTCGAACACCTTCTCCGCGTTTCTCACGTTCCTCTCAAACCTCTCCTCCGGGTGCAAACTCGCCGTCCGACAAATCCCATTGAGCAGAACGTTATAGGTGACGACGTTTGGCTCGATCCCTGATTCAATCATCTCCGCCATGAATCTCTCCGCCATGTCGATCCTCCTGAGCTTACACCACCCAGCAATCAAAATCGTATAGGTCTTGTCGTTGAACCCAAGCTCGGCTTTCCGTTGATTGAAAACCCCAACCGCCATTTTCGTGTATCCGTATTTACAGAGCGTGTCAAGGAGAAATCCGAATTCGTCTACACCGAGGCGATTCTGATTCTCGAGGAAACAAGGCGCATCGTCGAAAGCGCGCAGAGCTTGCCGAGTGAGCCCGGCGGCGATTAAACGCTTGACGAGGATGAGAAATGTCTCCGGAGAAGGTTTAACGCTGTTTTGCTGCTGCTCCATCTCGACGATTAGCTGCCTAACGACGTCGAACTGACGAACTTTTCCGAGAATGTCGATGATGAGGTTGAAGGAAATAAGGGTTGTAGTGGAAGGAGAGGGTAAGGATCGTAGATACTGGAAGAAGGAAAGGGCGATTTTGGAATTGTGACGGAGACGAAGGAGGGTTTGGTGGATGAGGTCGGGAGAGAGAGTGACGCCATGGAGTTGCAGAGATGATTCCATAAAGTGGAAAGGGTTGTGATTAGTGACGAGGATTTGTGATATTAGTTCGGCGTCGCTTGAAGGCTCGAGTTTCGGGAGATTGAGAGTGAATCCGCCGCCGGAAATGGTGCAGAGACGGCGGAGTAGTCGGGGAAGAGGGACGGTTTGTGAGATTTGTAGCTTCAGCATCTTCTTTCTCGACTCAAAAGATAGAGATATAACCCAGGGGGGAAAAGATTCAGATCTTCTCAATCGATTGTTCTATGGATCATCTTCTTCTTAATCTTCAGTGTCTTCTCTAGTTCTCTTCTCATCACGCGAAGAAGGAAGGAAGAAGCTATAGGGCTGGACCTTACTCGTAAGGTTTAAACTGGGCTTTTATTTCAGGCGATGCTTCGATTGAACTCCAAGTGTTGGGCCTTATGTAAATAGATGGTTGGGCCTAATGTAAATTAGAGCTATATTTTAGTTCCATATTACCGTTTTCTTCTTATTGTATAAATACAGATGTTAGTAAGGTATTTAACATCTTGGTACTACTAAGCACAAACAGACAAACTTATGCGTCAATACTCAATAACCAATCTTCCTGCGACATTCACCTAACACCAATTAATAAACTTAATTTGTAGAAGTATAATTAACCTGCTTATGGTCATAAATAAAGAGAAGCTCTAGCTGATAGAGTTAGTGCTTTCCTCTGGTTCTTTTTTACTCTTTACTGTTTTAGTTTCACATGCCGACAAATTTGGTAAAAGTTATAACTAACAGAAACAATTTTGCCCACTAATAAAGGCATCTTCGTTATGTTAAACAATACTATGATACGTGGAAATGAGTGTGTTAACTGTGTACAACAAAACTCTCAGATCATTTCTTTTTTTACTTTTATAAAAGTTTATGACATAACAAAAAAAAGTTACGTATAACTGTGTACAACAAAACTGTTATGTCACAGATTTTATTTAAAAATACAGTTTTTGAGAGTTTTTAGTCTTCCACCTTATAAATATATCCAAAAAATTATTATCAGAATGACCAACAAATTATGTACCTGATGAAAAATTTGTATATTCTTTTTCCCAACTAAACAAATCTGTATATATATATATATATATATATATATATTATTATACAAGCATTCGTTGACCCTACAATATATTCACTAATAGAATCACTTTAAAAAGAAAATTAAATATGAAGCTTTCTTCGTGGGGAAACCCTGCTTTTGTCCGCCACACAACTGACCAAAATGGATAAAATAATGTTATTTAATTTAATACATTGTAGGAATCAATTGAGGCATGAAGGGACATTGAGCAATTAAAAAAGGGCGTTGAATACAAATAACTAGTTCTAAAATGCAACTCATCTCATGCACCATGACGCTTTAGTGATGGCATATTTAGGGTTCAGTGGCTCATCGACAAATTTTGAAATTCTCGAAATTCCACTAAAGAAAATGCATCAAGAATATCTAATAAGGTGGAAAATTAATTCGATATTTGATTGTGCCAAATTAATTAGCATACTTTTAATCTTTGATGTTCGGTGTTGTATTGGAACTTTGTATTGTATTCTTTCGTTCTCATTTGCGAAATGCAAACTACATACTATAGTATCTTTAAATGTTTTTTTAAAGCGCTAGACAATAAATTCTTAAGTATCTTCAGTTCAATCTTTTTTTTCTTAACAAACTTCAGTTCAACCTTTACGTAATATATTTATATTTTTAGTAAAATAAAGTTAATTAATAGCAACACCGTTTAAGGTGCTGAGTTGACATCTCATATGAACATATTTTAACCTAGAAAATCAATTTAATTTTGAATAATGGAATTCACTAGCATGTTAATGAAGAAGGAAGATAACCGATAATGATTAAAAGAAGTGATTATTCTTAAGACTAGAGACACATAACAGATGAGGCAAACAAATGTGGCAAACATATGGACCCAAATCGTAGTTTAATTTTATAAGGAATCTCTTATTAGTTGTCATGGTGTTGTATGTACTATATAATTTAAAATTTCGAATATGGTTTATATATATAATATGAAACTGGATACTTTCCATTTTCCCAATTGGGTATATGGACTAGGAATAATAGAGGGCCATGTACTCAAACCAGTAATATAAAAGCAGAATTATATATATTATAGCGACCAAGAGAAATAAATGTTTATATGTATCTTTTGTTTTTCTTTTGATGTCAAACAAATATCCCGACACTCTGAACATTAATCATGATAATACCATTAATAATATATTAATTGATTTATTTTTGTTCATTGCATATATTGAAAAACACTTTCTTATAACTGTATTAGATTTTTTTAATAATTAATCAATTTTTTTTTAAAAAAAAAATATATGATCGAAGATTTGAAAAAAAAAGAAGGTATCATTAACTAAAGAGAAATTTTAATTTCTACAAAAATGGAGGAACGGGATTATAAAAAGAATTTCTTTATGAGAAATTCTTTTTGTTAATAAAATTGTACAGAATTTAATGATCAGCTATGTTATTAGAATAATCGTAACTTCAAATAGATTAATCAAACGTGCTTCTTTCGTCCAAACTTGTAAACCCACAGAAACATAAAAACAAGGTCAAATAATTCGGTCTCTATCATTACTTGTTTCTTCCCGAAAAAAGAAGGAAAGATGTCTGTCTGACCATTAGAAACCAACTTGAACCAGACTCTTGACACAAACTGGCCTATGGTGGTTCTTTTTCTTAAACCATTTACCGCCTTCAATGGTCGTATTATATATGTTCATTTGTAAGCATTTCCTGGCAAACACTATAATCCACCAATCGTATCAGTCTCTCTCTTGCCCAAAAACTTAACGAGGTTAAAATATATATACACTTCTTTTTCTATTTTGTGACGCTTCGACCACTTCCATCCGTGGATCTACATTTTTTGGCATTTATATAGAAATGTGAAATATGCATTACTACAAATGAAATAGAAATGTTCTACTAGCTGGTTTCACCTATAAATCTTTAATTAACAAAAAAGGCTTCACATATAATTCTACAGATATTAAACAAAGTACTAAACCTATATATACTTTTTTATCGTTTATAATTTTTACACAATATGAAACAAAAAAAAAGTAGATTATGATACGGTGATAACATTAATATAAAATATTTCGATACATGTTACCAAACCTAGAAACTTAAATGATTGAAATAACGAGTAAAACATAATATATAGTTAATGGTTTGTGTTAGTGGTGTTTTTTGTCATCAAAAGATTCAAATTCACATATTGATGCATGTTGTTGATCAATTTTGTCATTATATTCATGGTATAATAAACATAGGATTTCCTTAGTGTCTTGTTGATTATCTTTATGCGTTAATTCAGAATACGAATTTCCCAAAACATTTGAATACACCCACTTTGCATGGCCCATATAGCCATATAAACAGAGGAAAACGTACAGTATAACTATCATCACACATGTTGATTTACCTTAAAACTCACATTTATCAATGCATCTGACGGAAAGAACAGTAAATATAAAATACACCAATATATATCAAGGGCTACATGTATCATAAATCGGTATTTACACGCACGTTGACAATAAAGAAATTCATATTCACACGTTTATTTAATTTTGAAAGTGCTAGAGTATTTTCACTCATACATATAATGTTTTCAACGTTAGTGATAATTACTTAACTTACGTATACTCATCGCTAATCAAACTATTACCTACCAAAATTAACGGAACCTATCTGTATTAGTCGAACATTTGGAGGAAAGCTTCACGTATCGCTGAAACCTGTTGTTGAATTAACGACTACAAAGTAAACAAGATTTAGTTTCTGGTCTCTAACACCATGTAACAACTTGAAACAAATAGAAGGATGAGAGAAACTATAATCTAAAAGTATATATCCTACAAGCCGTATCGAAACTACCCGCTACACTCCTAATTAAACGATTATCAGTTACGCATATTCATAAATATTAATTAATATATTATATAAAGTTGAATAAACATGCATCATTTGTAACAGCATCCCTTAAGCGAGGCCCTATAAATACATCATATGTGTTGCACCAAACATTCACCAACACTTCATTTCCTTTCTTGAATTTTCCTCTGCGCCCTCTATTCAATACATCGAAATCCACTTTATATTTATTTATATAAAAAAAAAACTTTCCAGGATGGCTTCTTTGATCACAACCAAAGCAATAATGAGTCATCATCATGTTTTGTCCTCAACTAGAATCACTACTCTTTGTTCCGACAAATCCATCGACGACAAACAAATAAAAACAAAACTCCAAATCTCCAATCGGTTATCTTCCCGGAGGATCTCCGGTGTAACCAGAGCTGTAATCGATTCGCCGGCATCGTCGCCGGAGAAAGAGAAGATGGAAGGTGAGAGACGGTGTCATGTTGCGTGGACAAGTGTACAACAAGAGAAGTGGGAGGGTGAGCTTACTGTCCAAGGAAAAATCCCCACTTGGCTGGTTTGTCTTTATCCTTTTTTCGATATTGCTCCAAATATCTCTTAACTATATTCGTCGAAAATTCATAAAATTATACAAATATGTATCGTGCACACAAAACACACTCACACTGCCACATGCGGACATGCATATATGTATGTATATGTATAATACAACCAAACCATTTTAAATACATAAATGCATGCTTTTTTTTAAATTCTATCTGTATATACAAATTTTCTTTTGCATGGTTTCATTACTAAAAGTATTCATGTTTTGATTTTTGCCCGATTGAGTTAATAATATATTAGTAGAACAAGATTCCATATATGTGTAAGAAACAGGATTGACCATTAATTTTTTCCCCAAAAGTAAAACAAAAGTGAGGATAAAATTAATGATATTAGTTGACATGCAGAATGGTACGTACCTAAGAAACGGTCCGGGCTTATGGAACGTCGGAGACCACGATTTCCGACATCTCTTCGACGGCTACTCCACACTCGTCAAGCTCCAATTCGACGATGGTCGTATATTATCTGGCCACCGCCTCCTCGAGTCCGACGCCTACAAAGCCGCCAAGAAACACAAGAAACTCTGTTACCGAGAATTCTCCGAGACTCCAAAACCGGCGAGAAACAGCTTCAAAAACCTTTTCTCCGGTATAGGAGAAATCGTCAAACTTTTCTCCGGCGAGTCTTTAACGGACAACGCCAACACCGGAGTGGTCCGTCTCGGTGACGGGCGAGTGATGTGTCTCACGGAGACTCAAAAAGGATCGATTTTAGTCGACCATGAGACGTTAGAGACGATAGGGAAATTCGAATACGACGACGGATTGTGCGATCATATGATCCAATCAGCGCATCCGATTGTTACGGAGACGGAGATGTGGACGTTGATACCGGATCTTGTTAAACCGGGTTACCGGGTCGTGAGGATGGAGGCCGGGTCGAATAAAAGGGAGGTTGTGGGGCGGGTGAAGTGCCGGGCCGGGTCATGGGGACCCGGGTGGGTTCACTCGTTTGCGGTGACGGAAAATTATGTTGTGATACCGGAAATGCCCCTGAGGTATTCGGTGAAGAATCTGCTTAGAGCTGAGCCGACACCGCTTTACAAGTTCGAGTGGTGTCCGGACGACGGAGCTTTTGTTCATGTCATGTCCAAACTCACCGGAGAAATCGTAAGTGAAATTTTTACTATTCAAATGATTGTACGTTTATGGCTGATTTTTCTTTAGTTTATAACCAAAAAAAAAATCATATTTTTGTTGGTCACAACACAACATAAGTATGTATATAAATACACAGTTGGTGGATGTCTTACAAATATGCGCATAAAATAGAGCGACGATTTTATAAGAAAATGGTTGATGTTGTTAAATTTCATTTATGGCTAACTAAGGTGGCGAGCGTGGAGGTCCCGGCGTACGTAACGTTTCACTTCATAAACGCATACGAAGAAGATGAAAACGGCGAGACGGTAATCATTGCAGATTGCTGCGAACACAATGCGGATACTCGAATACTCGATATGCTCCGCCTTCATACCTTACGTTCCTCCCATGGCCACGACGTACTACCCGATGCTAGGTACATTTATCTTCAACTGATCTTTTACAACCTACATTTTCACAATTCTGACTATAGCTACGTAAATTATATTAGGATCGGGAGATTCAAGATACCGTTGGACGGGAGCAAATACGGGAAACTGGAGACGGCGGTAGATGCGGAGAAGCATGGGAGAGCGATGGATATGTGCAGCATCAATCCTTTGTATTTGGGTCTCAAATACCGTTACCTTTATGCATGTGGTGCTCAACGACCTTGTAACTTCCCAAATGCTCTCTCCAAGGTAACTTATGTAATACGCTTTTTATATATATACCCAAACAAATGAACAGTCTGTGTGAATTCCAATATTCTTTAGCAAGTATTTACAATTGTATGAGACAGGTTGATCTTGTGGAGAAGGAGGTGAAGAACTGGCACGAACACGGTGTTATACCATCCGAACCATTCTTTGTGCCTCGACCTGGCGCTACCCATGAAGATGATGGTTAGTTTAAATTGCATAGATTTTTTTATTGTCTTTACATTCAATATATGAGTTTTTAACTTTTTGGTTCTGTGTTGTTAAAGGAGTGGTGATATCGATAGTAAGTGAAGAAAATGGAGGAAGCTTTGCCATCTTGCTTGATGGAAGCTCTTTTGAGGAAATAGCAAGAGCCAAGTTTCCTTATGGTCTTCCTTATGGATTACATGGTTGCTGGATTCCCAAACATTGACTACTATATATATATCTTGAACTGAGACACCTTTCGTTATACAAAACACTAAGATATGTAACATTTATTCATACACGTCTGTATAATTAAACCTGTACAGGTTTGTTTTGTAAATCGTTGTCCTTTGATTATGCTTTTTGTCTCATATACTGTAATGTGCAAAACCAAAATAAAAGGGTTGGATTGTAGTGGATGATACACTTGTTGAAATTAGAATTGCAATTCTGTTTAATTCACATCATCCTAACAATACATATTATACACTCAATGGAGAAACACTATTGGACAATTTAATCAATTTTCTTTTTCCCTTGCTGAAAACAAGTTACAACAAACATGAAAAGAAGAAATGAGAAAACTCAGCCACTTCTCTTCTCTGCAGTCTAGAACATTTGTTACAATTGAGCAGATGTGGAGCCACAACTATCCCCACCCACTGAATCGGATGCGATCACCTGCACAAGCTTCGGAGCAGCTTCCGCTTCATTGTTTCCACCACCTATCCATTATTAAATATGATCTTCAGTTTCACGGGTTGGTTTAAGAACTTCGGAGTAAGAGATAATATGAAAGCATTCTCTTTGACTATCAACAAACGTAACAAACAAATAAACTTTAGGTATATTTAGATTAAGCCTCCTCATGCCTAGAGCAATCTAAGGAAACTGGTCCAGCATGCAGCTGTTCCGAACTTGGCCTTATTTCTTGTGAGCATATAGCAAAAGACCTTTGCAGAAAGAACACAAGCACATACAAAAGGAGGTAACCATCCAGATAAATTAGAGTAACTGACCTGATTGAACCGAAGGAACCACTGATGAAGTTGAGGCTCCTCTCTTCATTTTTGGCTGCAATTTTCACAAACAAATTTTAGATGAATGACTTTTAGCAAACTTCGATATCCAGCAATAGCTCTGGAAAAAAATGTTTGTAAAAAACGATTCTTTGCGGGTAAAAGACTGATACTAAAAATAATGGCAGACTGGTTTTCCTTACCTTGGTATTTTCTTCCATATATTTCACGACTTGAGAGATGCTTCCACAATGTCCATGAAACAGCGTGTAAGCCCACATAAGAAGCTTCCTTGGGATGCTTACATCAATGACTTCAACTCCTTCGGTGCCTGGAAGAAGTTTCCCAGCTATTGCTAGCTGAGGCAGTGCAGAACAGAGGTTGATTTCAGAAGGAAGTGTAACTGAAGCAGTTTCTCGGAAGAAATTGTAACAACTTTTGAGTAGAGAATTAGCCATCTCCAGATTCTCCTCCGCGACTCTATTGTAAATCGGTACGTTCTTGATCTTGAGCAGAAGAGGGCGCCATTTTTCTTCAAGCAGCTGGGATTCTGAGGGATCCTCGAACGAAGAATTCCAGAGTTCTGACTGGAGGTCAACACAGAGCACCCGTCTGTTTTCCAGAAAACCAGATGATGGATATATTGCTTCACTTTCCGCCGAGGATTCTTGCTGCAGTGGGGTTATCGATGCCAAGCTTATTATCAGAGCTCGACACCAAGCAAGAGAAGCATGTCTCCCAACTTTAGCCGAAAAACTGTTAGACAACTTTGGATTCTTGAAACGCTTCCGAATCTTATCATTTATGGCTTCCAGGGTCTCAACTTTGTTGTCTAATTCAAGCGACACGATGTATTGGTGTAGAAATCTGCAAAACGAAATTTCGATATTGGATACTGAAAATCAAATGGCCAGGATGAAACAAATTTATGCCTCACACAAATTCGATTACCTGCATAAGCTGTTCTCTGAGGTTTCTGGACCTCTTGTTTCAGGAAAGTTGCATATGTCTGGCCATATGCTTCCTTGTTCTATAAAGAGGGAAAATATTTTCTCTAACTGACTATCACGGTTGATTTTCGCTCCTGCAGACTCAACCTGACTCATCGAGGACACCAGTGCATTTATATATCTTCCTATTGCAACTGGTACAAGGTCTTCAATGCATAGAGAGAACTGAGTTCAAAAATTGCAGAGTGCGACATTAGCATTTAGCAAACTACGTTGAGCTAATGACAAGTTGATGATGTTAGACACCACTTAAATAACTAAAATCGACCAAGTCAAGAGTTCATTATGCAACAAATCACTACACAGGCTTTGACCAGTCTTTGGATCATCACCACCGTATCATGCAGTAGAAATCTAGAGGTTGCTATATGGTATTCCCCAACACAAAGTTCTAAAAAAATGACAAAAGGAAGTCAAAGCCTGACTAAAAATGTTTCGTTCTGAATAAACAAGATCAAATTTGATGTCATGTGATGTATGAAAAAGTAGACTACTAAGGGTAAAAGGTACCAGCAAAGACTATGATAGATATGATAAAGTCCTTACCCTCTTATCTGATCGAAGAGAATTAAAGGCTCGTTCTAGTGTGTTGACATCTCCAGTTTCCTCCAATAATCTCAAATAGAACAGTAAGTATTTGCGGATGCAAGTAATGAATTTCCGTGAGCTTTCTGGCAGGTTAACTTCAAGGGCCTTCTTGTTCCCAGCCACACCTGGAGTCTTCCGCCTAAATAGAAACAGAAGAAACGTATTCATGAAGTATTCCAACAATCATAACTGTGGAGGTAAATTTACGTGATTGGTACCAAATAATCATTCATTTTTCTCAGGTTATTTCCCAGAAGTTTATTTTAATGATCAGGGGATGATGATATCGTTAGTGTTAAAGCTTCTTAGTACAAAAAAATTCTAAAATAATTTAAGAGCAAGTAAGAATGTGTCTGCACCTTCCCTTTTTAAGCATGCCATCAATCTCCCACATATTGATCGTAAAACTTGACCGGGATGATTTAAAACAAAAAGCAAGTTCTTCTTTTGCTCTTTGCAGATCACTGCTCCCACCCCTTCTATAGAGCCCTTGGGCAAGCATGTATCTCGCCTTATGAAAATGTTTAAGATCTCCTTCTACACATATTCCCAGTGCAGAAAGGCTGTCGTTGTACAGCATATGCCATATCCCTTCCATCTGAATCGATCCCTCTCTAGTTGTAGCATAGCTAGCTTCCAAGTTTCCATCCTGAGCTTCTTCCGGTGTACGGGAGGATCCAAAATTCGTTGTATTAATGATTGCCATAGCAGTATCCTTTATAGATTCATCAAAGCAATAAGAGGCGAGGACCTAAAAGGTTAACAGGAAATTATTCAGTCCATTAAGGACCTCAGAAGCAGAAAAGGAAACCAGTAGTGGACTTCTTAATCAGAGACTGGATTGAAACATGACGTTTCTTTTCAAATTAATGATGAAGTAGTAAAAAGTTGAACAAAAGTCGCCTGTTATGCTGCAAATGAGAAAGAAAGAAAAAAACAGTAGAGCGTCAACCACAAACCTTTAAGGCCTCTAAGTTCTGTTTCCCACAATCATTTAGAAGCTTTAAACGAGAAGCATGCATTCTATACACAGGATCTACGGCAGACGGATTCAACGTCATGGCTTGCTCATAATAGGATAAAGAAATTTCATACGACTGCCCAAGCTTCTCACTGAGTTTTCCCATGTAGAATGCATGTGACCAATCTTGTCTGTCATGATGGGTTAAGGAAGAGAAATAATCAGCCTCTTAAGTAATCGTCCAAAGTCAACAAACTTTGAATAACAACTACACTATACCTATGCGCAAAGGCTTTCTTGAAATGCTTCATTGAGTTCTCACAAAATCTTGTCCACGTTGCATCCTTGGAGGGTAGCACAGACCGCTGGTCATAAAACGGCACAACACTCTGAAGGCTGTCATAGTAAACAAGCGCCAACAGCTCATGTATCTCAGACTACAGTAGAAGACAATACATAAACATCATCAATAACAGCAACAGTGAATTATAATATACTACAGGAATAAAACTGACAACGCTCCAAAACCCCATTCCTCCATCGAAAGCCAATCTGTGCTAAGTAATTCTTGCTACTTATGCTTACTTTTGTAACTTAAGAGCTATCTAATCAAACTTATAACTTGTTCTCTATGTAGAAAAGTAAGATTTTTTTCGGTTTAATGCACATTCACATATCACTGAAACCTACTAAAGCTACCACCAGAAGTCTAGTAGGTAGTGAATTCAAGTTAAGACATTCTGATAATAAAAATGAGTAAAAGAATTTAGGGAAAAAAATAGGGCCAAAAGTGTCTCTCGCTCATTTGTGGCTAAAAGTCTGCTCATAACCTTAATCCTCACATCTATGGTCGACTAATTCTAACCATAACTGACATATGGAGGATCATTACATAACATATCATTCTCACCATTGGCAATATCATCAACCTAAATGCCACTTAAGTCCTTCCCTCCCAGTTTATATTTAATGTTAATTTTCGTGTCTCTATCGTATTCCCTTAAGTAGTACACCTATCTGGGGGACGTACTAAAACAGGAACATTTATTTTGTGTTATCCGGTAAGTAAGCATGAATGAAGATGGCAAATGAAACCTGTTGATCTGGTGAATTTGCCAACGCCAAACTCATTAGCAGGCAACGTCTGCTTCTTCTTCTGCTTGTTTCAACTCTTTGTGAAAGAGCGGCATTCTTCCTCCATCCTACAACATTTATGTGCTTACTCCCATCATTTAGCAACAGATCTACTTCCTGATTTAAGTGAAAAGAACCAAATGGGAAGTGCAAGCAATTATCAAAACATGAATGGAAGACTCATGAATGAAAAACACAAAGCCCCTCTCTCTTAATTCTAGGGTTAAAACTCATCCCCAAATAGTAGCTTATAACTGATATTTGGAGGTACAATTTCAGAATATTTAACAAGTTGACATAGAGTCACAATAACAACAAGAACGAATGAAAGAACTTGCCTCGTCGTAAATATTGCCAAGCTTTTCCCAACTCTCAAAGCGCAGAGGATTGTAGAGCAGATCATATTTGAACAGATTTGCATTTTGCTGTACAAACTCTTCTCCTTCCTTAGTAAGAACAAAGCCGGGCCATTTATCACTAGCACTAACTTCCTCAGACTGAGCTAAGAAATAGTACAAGTTGCGGTAGACATCCAAATAGGGGTCCGAACTGCAAGCAAGTTAATACAACATCCTTACGTATTCCAACATTAAAAATAGCTTAGAATGCAATATTTCTTCTTTGGCAGTGACCCAAAATTCTCTTTAACGGTTCACCATTATGGAGAAGAACATGAGTAAGATTAACTTATCCATTCTACTTCTGTTTGTCACTAAAAATTAAACATGTGGAAATTTCTAGACATAATGAGACTAGAGAATATACATAACATTCAGATCATCTTGCATGGTTATCTCTGCTCAACAATATACTCTTGATAATGCACAGAACCAGCTAAACAATATTAAACTATGTAAGTTATTTTCGGCAAGAGGAATTCATACCAAAAAAATGCTTGGTTATACCTGTGGAGCAGTGATACCTTGTACTCGCCGAGAGTTCTGTTGGGAATTATACATTTAGTTATGGTTTCAAGGAAACCTTCAGAACCAGCCTCGTATGAGAGTTTGTCTTCACATAATTCAGGGTCATCTAAGAATTTATCTATCACATTGGCAACTAGGAGGTCATCTGGCGGTTGTGAAAAATGCCTTTTTATTGCTCTCAAGACTCTCCGGAGTTTAACGAGTCCAGTTCTCTGCGACAAGAAGGGGAGGGATAAGATTACCAGAGACCGACAGCAACATATTATGTTCTATATGCATATGTTAAACATCAGATGCTTATGCAGATAAGGATCAATGTAGGAAATGCTATAAATTTACCAGAGAATATCAAGAACACGTTTGACTCATCTACTGAACACAACTTGCAATACATTCCAATTTCTGAGTGCCATGTGGGTTGGTGGCCATGCGTGCTTAAATCTATATGCATGGTTTGGTATACACTAGTTGGCAGTGACATGTGAGCCTAGTTACAGTAGTGGACAGCTATTTTGGAAGACTTGCAAAATGATATATATCTACTCGAACAGGAAAAACTTGAAATCCACCAACTTGTGCTGGTGCTCGTAGCTTCCAGTGCCCCCTCTAGGATTCAACTTTGAGTATATATACATATATGCACCAAGTACAAGAAAATAAACTTTGGCACACATTTATCACAAACACATGCAAATGAACCTACCAAGTTAAGGAAATATCACTCACAGAGGAAGCCTTAGCATAGGGTAGTATGTACTGGAAAACATCAACACATTGTTCCTTCGTCTGGTAATCTCCCCGGCTTGTGTTTTTGTGCACAGCAAGCTCATCTTCGTAGGAACCATCGACTCTAAGATTCAGACCATACAGACAGAAAAAGCATTGATCTAAAGCGTTATTGATTAGCAACTCAAGTTCATCTTTTTCTTCTTCGGCAACTTCTTCTGTGTGTTCCAGAATCTGTTTACTTTCTTGTTCTGACTGTTCTTTTTCTCTATAACCAACTTTTTCTCCAGCACCATCCTTCTCAGAATCAGTTTTGGTGTTTTCGTTTTCCTCAACATGCACATCCATGACATATGATTTTATTTCATCTCTGCATAACTTTCCAGGCAATACCGAATCATGTTCAAGGCCATCTGGGGGGTTGATACTGGATTTGACTTTCATGTCCACAGCCAATAAATGCTTAATTGCAAATCTAAGAAACGCTCCTTCCTCCCCGGCACAATTTTTACCAGCACAGCAAAGCCCATATTCAGCAAGCAAATCATGGAGACCTATAATCAACTCAACCTGAAAGAAACAAAATTTAGAAAGTCCAATATCACAAAGCAGCAGACCAAAATAGCTTTTAGTGCCATGGCTGATGGTAAAACACTCGCCTAGCTATGTAAAACTGGGAGTCACAGTAAGCCATGACTTACTTGGTATTTAGTAGACACGGTAGAATCAAGGTGTTGAAGTTTACAGAATCCAATAGCTGCATCGAGAAAGCAAGATTTCTGCTCTTCTTCAATCCCGTCAGCATTTTGAGAATCTGAACATCTCTTAGAAAGAAAATGCCTCACGATATATGACATGACTGTCAAAAGCAAAGATTGTATACCAGCTACACAATCTCTCGGGGCAACCATGCCATTCTGCACATCGAACGTACACATCAATAAAAAACGGCCAAAAAGTTGTTTTATTTTTAACCATACCATATGTATGCCAAAACAAACTTCAGACTTACAGAGTTTTCTGACTGGTCAAGGAAGTTCTTCACTTGGGAGATACAAAGAAGAATTGCCTTGACTTCCTCCGCCACCGAGTGATTCCAACTCTCACTCGAATTTTTATCTGAGGTTTTAGGTGACACAACAGATTCCCCCGTACTAGTTGATTCTAAGAGAACTTGCAACTTTCTTCTATGACAGTTCATATAAACCTCCACATCTATAGGCTCACTCTTCTGGCATGCTTTAATCAAAACATCAAGTGCTGATAACTCCGTAGAGGAGATCCCTTCTTCCGTTTTCACAGAGGATGCAGGCCAAATTTCTCTATTTGGAAATAAAAGTGATGCAAGTAAATTGACACACTCCGAATATAATTCTTTCTCCATCATCTCAGGTATGGTCTTTTCCAACAAGAAATCAATCTTAAGCAGATTTATCTCATGGATGATTCCGTTGATGTTCAGCTCTCGGATGCTTCTGCAATGAGGCCGCTGAATTAAGACAGGAGATTCTCCAATACCTTTCTTGTCTAACAATGACAAACACCTAAAAAATTCTTCAAGGGCTTTGGCTTTATTATCCTCCAAAATTGATAACCGTGCACTCAGCCAGAAATATCTAACCCAGAAGGATCTTTTATTATAATCTAACATCTCCATAGCTGTCTGATCACCTTGAAAACTCTTTAATGAGGAGTCAGAAAAACTTCCTTCCCAAGAAATAGGTGTAGATTCGATAGCATAATCAAGGGAAACAGATTCAATAATCTTCGAGAGATGGTACGTTACTTCTACCATGCATGATGAGCAATCAGGAATATCTGGTCGTTCCGACTCAAGATCATAGTACAGCTCCGCGAGAAAAAGACTGCAATCAGGTTTCCGATCTCGGCCCCAATGTCTAGTGAGCTTTTCTAACTCCAAAATTTTCAAGGCAGCATCACGACTCAATAGATGTTCACATTTACTAGCAATATACTCCAGAAGCAAGTGACCCATATGATAAGCACCATAATTTTCTGAAGTTTCCTTCACAAAATTAGAAACGACAGCATGTTCAGATATTGGATCGGTTTCGTCAAGGCAGAAAGAACCAGAAGAAACTCTGCTGAATCCCCTTCCAAGCACAAACGTCTCAAGATATTGAAGGATGTCACTGCTAGGATCCTTGCTATTATCAAATTCTAAGTCTTCCTTCTCAGGTTTCTGGTTCCGAAGCCGCTCAAGACGAGTACTCCGCCTCTCTTGGGGATGTTCTTCAGAGAACGCAGTCTCTTTTTCCTTAACCTCACCACCACTTTCTCTTTCGATGTTGCAATCCTTATCAGACACAATACTTGAGTCTGATTCCACACAATGATCCTTCTTTTCCGGACCCTGCATTACAGCTTCTGCACTAGGAGCTAATTCAATGGTTATTGGTATATCAGCTGATATGCCCACAGTTTCACACGAAGGATGCACTATCCCAAGTAAAGTATCTAATAGTGCCACCCATGACGCTTCAGGAAGCTTAACTTGCACTCTTTTTTTCAACTTCTTGGAAGCAACATTCTTATCCTGGTTATTGTCAGACACCTTTCTTTTGCCAAGAAATTTGAGCCGAACATGCTGAGGTTTAAGCTTATCTATACCCTTGGGCGCAAAAGGAGCTGAATCTGTTTCTTCGATAGAATGTTTAACATGCAAAGCTCGAGAATGCGATGGCCAATGCCTCAAAATCAGATTTGCAACTGAAAGACAGGAAACTTCATCACCTATGGCAATGAGAACTTCTAGAAGTTTCTCCATGCAGTTCCCTGTGGAATATAAAAGGGTATCAGGTATGTTCTATATAAATTTTGACCCACTAGGAATCCCTATAAATCTGAACATATATAAAGAGAGAGAGGAAAACGAAGAAGAAAAGGCACAGTGCGTACAATTATTGGGGCTGCAGAGAAGTCCCTGTTCAAATGCCCACCGTGAAATACTCAGTAACCCCATAGAACATGATAGGGTTCCAAGATGGTTCCACAGCACAGAATCCTTTGCATCTATGTCTATAGCTTGAAGATAGCAGTTTAGAGCATTCTCGTAATGACTTGAACCTAGCTCAAGAAATACAGTGGCCAGATTCTTCAGGGCCAAAAATCTGCAAAAAAGCTATACAGAAATTATTTTATAGACGACCACAATAGTAGTGATAAACATGACATATTTGAACTACCAAAATCAATAACTAGACAAAATAACCAAATGTAACTAGATGAAATTAAACATGGAGCTTGACCTGAGATGATGGAGATGATTGTCGTTTGCAATAGTCTTCACCTGGAAATACTGTCGATTAGAAACGGTTCATCATCATTCAAAGAAATCATCAGAATAATTGAATGAGTTTCTGTACTTCGGAGTTAGCTATTATAGGATCCTTAAGGATAGACTCTAGCAGCTCTCGAGCCTTCTCGTAGTCTTTGGCTTGCAGCTTGAGAAGACCATCGTGATATGTTTGCGAGAGATGAAACTCCTGAAGAGGGCAATACAGAAAAAAATACAGTTCAACTTCTGTGTCTACAATGAGCTGATCTTAGCTTCAGTTTATGCATCACTCCTCTTCTCTATACCAATTAAAATTTGGGGCTAAATCGATAACAAACATAAATTTCCCAGCTTTCTTTTCACCCTAATTTATATGAATTTGATTAAGATCAGCCGCAGCTTGACAAAAACTGATTCAAAACCAACACACACCCAACAACACTATTATAGAATCGAACAATTTTAAAACCCAAGACAACAAAGAAATCATATTTCCTAAGAACACGGAAAAAAGAAGCCCGAAATTAGAAAAAAAAAAAAAAACCTGAGCTTCTTTACTAGGAGCTAAAGGCTCCCACTTCTCTTTGGACTCCGTATCATTGATCGCTGCAATCGAAAACTGAAGAAAGGAAAAAAAAGCGAAACAGATCAGAAAATCAAACCCTAATCCGATCGAAGGATCACGAATCACTCTTGCCCGAAATTATCATACCATCTTGAGAGTCGAAGCTGTTCAGGAGGGTTTTCAGTTACTCCGTGTCTCAGAGTTCTTGGCGCGAAATCTTCTATCTTCTTCTCAGATAGAATCCCATTATACACATAAGGGTTTTAAATTTCATGTATGCTTTGGTTCCTAGTCTCTGTGTGTCTTCTTCAACTGTTATGCCTTATTTCGCAACTCTCCTCCCCGTTAACCGACTGCACAATGGGGGATTCCGATTATGTGCGCTCTCAATAATGGAAAATTTGCAAAAAGAGCTCTTACACTTTTCAATTTTACTTCAATGATACTTTTTTTTTTCAACTAAGAAGATTAAATATCTCTCTAATTTGTAATCTTTGGTCATAAGAATTCGGATAATTCTCTAACCTACTTATGTATTTGAATTAAGATTTTGTAAGAGTCAATAATATGCTGGAAACAACTTGAAAGCTTTACATCAAATAAATCAATTGACCACGGTGCAAAACCTTCTCTACCATTCAAATGCAGACCATACATATTTGTCATTACAAGCATGTTCTATATACATATAGTTTGGTTATAGTTTATGTATTTGTTGCACATTTACAAATTACAACTGATTTTCAATTCAATTCATTTACAGTTTAGGTAAATGTTATCATTCAACCAACCGGAAACGGTAAGAATCGAAATTGCACCGGATCGAACCAAACCAGTCCCCTTTTTTCAAAGTGTTTTTTTTTTCAACCAAAATTACAAAAATTTAAAACGAAATGGGGTCCACAGACACCCTGGCAAGTGGCAACCTCTAAAAAATTCGACCGTTGTTGATAACATTTATGCCCTTTATGCTCTCTCTCTCTCTGTATATTTTAAAGCTTGAAGCCCGCTCCTCTTATTTTTTCAATTAGATCTCTCCGCCCTGAATTTTTTTTGTCTCTCTCTCTTTTGTCGCCCCGTCGATCTCTTCCATGGCGATCGTTACGGAGACACAACAGCAGGAGAAGGTATGGAACAACTGTTTTCGGGTTCACGGGTGATGATGATTCCTTCGTATTTTATCTTCTTGACCATCTTTTGGTCTTTCAGATTCTCAATATCTGGGATAATCGTTGCTTGTTTATTTGTTTCATCTTTTTCGATTTTCTTTGTGTTTGTTAGGTTTGATTTGAAGAATCGATCTATGTTTTGATTTCAACGTTTCTGATTCTGACAATTATAATTTCTTGAGGGATCAGTGAACCCTATTGAGATTTGAACAAGGGTTTATTATGAATTGCTCAATTTCGAATCAGATTTGTTGCTAGCGATCCCTTTTCATATCTCAAAATGGGAGTTTTTCATTCTGTTTGTTGGACTTTGTTTATATAATCAGGAGGCTTCAGATGCTTCTGCAGCTGCACAAAAGAGATGGAATCTGAGTGATTTTGACATTGGAAAGCCTCTTGGAAGAGGAAAATTCGGCCACGTCTATCTCGCCAGAGAAAAGCGGGTCAGTTCTTGAATCCAAGATTTACATTTGTTTAGATCCTTACATTGTCCTTTTCACCAAACTCACACATCTGTATTACGCAATAAAAAACGAAACAGAGCAATCACATTGTGGCTCTGAAGGTTCTGTTCAAGACCCAGCTTCAACAATCTCAAGTTGAACATCAGCTCCGAAGAGAAGTAGAGATACAGTCTCATCTTCGGAACCCAAACATACTGCGGCTTTATGGTTATTTCTATGATCAAGTAAGTTTAAATGTTTCTCCTTTCTGTTGTCAGATGTAATTAATATTCACCCACTCGAGCTTAAACCCACCTGATTAGGTTCTCTTCATCTGTTGTTTTCAGAAAAGGGTTTATTTGATACTTGAGTATGCTGCTAGAGGCGAGCTTTACAAGGAACTTCAGAAATGCAAATACTTCAGCGAAAGACGAGCTGCAACAGTTAGTTCTACTGTTATTTAATAATAATGCAAGTCAGATTCTTTTGTTAGTACTAAAAACTGAGATCTTTGTATGTTTACTGTGATAGTATGTTGCATCGTTGGCGAGGGCTCTCATCTATTGCCATGGCAAGCATGTGATACACAGAGATATTAAACCAGAAAATCTGTTAATTGGTGCTCAGGTTAGATCATTTTTTACCCATTTTTGCATTGACATTGATCCATTTGATTCGAAACTAGCTGCTAATAACAACAATATTCATCCAACTTGAATATCAGGGTGAGCTCAAGATTGCAGACTTTGGTTGGTCTGTGCACACATTTAACCGCAGAAGGACGATGTGTGGCACGCTCGATTACCTTCCTCCTGAGATGGGTAAAAAGTTGAAGACTTTTCTTTCCTCCACTATGATGATGATATGAATTCATTTTAACCGTGGCCTTTGGATCTTTGTTTTTTTTTTACAGTCGAAAGCGTAGAACATGATGCTAGTGTAGATATCTGGAGCCTAGGGATTCTCTGCTACGAGTTTCTCTATGGCGTACCTCCTTTTGAAGCCATGGAGCACTCTGACACATACAGAAGGTTAATTCATACATCTGAATTACCAAATCTACAGTTACAGTCTGTCTCTTTTGGGTTTGTTTGTTGTTAACGCAAATGATCTATGACAGGATTGTGCAAGTGGACCTCAAGTTCCCTCCTAAACCAATTGTGTCTGCGTCTGCAAAGGATCTCATTAGCCAGGTTTTTATATACATTCAATCTATACATTTTGATGGAAGTAATTAGTTATTGAAGATTGAATCTGAAACCGCAACTTTACATCGTATATAGATGCTTGTCAAGGAGTCTGCACTACGTCTGCCATTGCACAGACTTCTCGAGCACCCATGGATTGTGCAGAACGCTGATCCTTCTGGAGTCTACAGAGGTTGAAACGAAGCAGCTTTACCACAATTTAAAAAACTTAAGAGGGTTCTTTGTTTGATAAACTCATATCCTTCTAAATGTTCATTTTAATTGTATGGATATTTCTGTACATGTTCAATATTTTATAAGATTCTCTTTTCATAAATCATTTGTGAAAAATATTGTTTTGAAATTAGTTGTGTTTCTGACTTGGTAACTTTTATACGCACTGCACTGCAATGGATATATCATCATCCAGGACAAAGCAAATTCTTGAATCAATCGTGCCCAAGTCAATAGAAAATTTTAAGAAAATGACAACATTAAAGACACCAATATCAATTGGTATTCGTCATATGTATGTGTAAAAAGGAAAAGCAAAGCATGAATTGTTGGTGTAGTTTCATGAAAAAGGGAAGTAAAACATACATACACTCTCGGTTTCTCTTCCCAGTCTGTAAGGTGACCAAACAAGACTTCACAAGACTTGTGTATCTTCAGCAAAAGAGTTCACGAGAACAAAGATTCTGTCTTACCTATATGATCCAATCTCGATATGGTCAAAATTACAAAATGAAGAAATAATACTTTGACAAAAGGTTTTGGAGTTAGTCCGTCGCCTCGGTGGTTCCATTAGGAGGGTTTATGAAGCTGGGCTGGTTCGTGGATGACAGCATCCGCGCCCACATTCTGTCTGTGATCACAACTTTGTTCTGTTTTTCGGTTATTCGCTGCAAGAAGAATAAAGGATGATTATTAACTTTGGGAGTAAATAATCCAATGGCATGGAAAGATATTTACGCGCAAAGAAACTTACGTTGAAGGGAATGTAGGTATGCCTTCCATTGACAAGACCAGAGATGAAGCCGGTATAGCCCGCCATTGCACCATGGACTGCGCTTTGGGCGAGGAGAGTAGAGTAGACGTTATCAGATGCATTGGCTGGAACAGCTCGGATCATGTATGTCGGATCTGAAAAATGGTTTCAACCACATTCATATTTCATGACACTAAAGTAGCTTTGAGTTGAGTTTAGGGAGGACAAAACGTACCAATGTATTTCAGAGTAATGTCCAATTTACCCTCCTTCGCAAAGTGCTCCTGTTAAAAAGTAAAACCAGAGTTAACAAACCCACCGAAATTCTGTCTACTGATGTAGTTCCCATTTGCAATAAACTACCTTGATTTTGATACTCATCCATAGTCCAACATCTTTAAGGAGCTTGTTTCCTGAAGCATCTTGCTGTTCAATGCTCTCCGCTAAAAGATCTTGTCCCGCGCCTTCAGCAGTCACTATAACCATGTGGCCATTCTCTCTGAGGCGTTTTGCGATGAACTCGTAAAGCCCTCCTTTGCCTTCAAGGTAAAAGGGAGACTCGGGAATCAGACAGCAGTCAACATCTCGGCTGGCCAAAGTCGCATACATTGCAATGAACCCTGCAAGTGTAGAATCTATAGATTAGATCAAAGCGCAGGGAGAAATGTCAAAAAGAGGATACTTCTCTCTCTCTTTTGTCTCCTTCTAGATTCTTCTATGAACTTACCACTGTAGCGACCCATTAGCTTGACAAGTCCGATGCCGTTTTCCACACTGGTTGCTTCTACATGCGCTGCATTAATAGCTCGTTGAGCCTCCTCAACCGCAGTATCGAATCCAAAGGACTTGTCAATGACCTGAATCATAGAAACTATCAAATAGAGCTACATGCAAACTAGCCACACAATGGGAGAGGAAGTTAAGGTTGAGAGTCCAGTTTACTTACTGGGATATCGTTGTCAATGGTTTTTGGTATTCCCGCGACTGCAACTTTAAGTCCACGGCGTCTAATTTCCTGTATCATCAGTCAAAAACATTTGTTTCAAACAACTTAAAGCAATTGTGGCATGACCATCACTGCTCTACCAGTCCAACAATATTTTATAGACACAAGTGGTTGATATCCATGCATTTTAATTGGACTGTTGTCTTCATAAAATGTTCTAGGTAGTACTATCAAACAATAATACACAAGGTTTCAACTCCAAAGAAGAATCCATCGCTGTTCACTTACTAACCTTATATATTGCAGATGCTCCCTTTTGGGTTCCATCACCTCCAATGATGTAAACCTGTATCACAGACACAGACAATGCAACTGGCTATTACACGCAGAACTATACTCCGCTCAACAGAAAAAAAAACTTTTCAGGGGAAAAAATACCTGATTTATTTCACGGTCCTGTATGTTGTCGACGATCTTTGATGTATCATGACCACCTCGGGAGGTTCCTAGTATGGTTCCCCCGCGCTTGTGGATGTCACTCACAACTTTAGGTGTTAGTGTAACAGTGTTTTTGGAATAGAACCCGCGAAACCCACACTGCAGTATGAGAAACCAGATGAGCCACAATAATCATAATCAACCAATAATAGCTTAAAATTGGATTTGCTATACGTATATTAAATCTGATATTGCCCTATCACAGCTCTATTACAGTATGCAAAAGTAGTTACTAAAAGTCTAATAACATCAACGGTTGGAACTGAAACTGTACTCACATCCACACCGATTACTTCGGTGACACCATACATGAAGTGAAGACCACACACGATCTCCCTGATTACTGTATTAAGGCCCGGACATAGACCACCACATGTGACAATACAAGCACGAACATCAGCTGGCTTGAAATACACCTAGAAAACCAGACATCAGCAGCTATTACATCATTAGTTGCGGAAGCTGCAGAGCATGGGAAACTCGTGGAATAGATGAAATATACCTTTTGGCGTGGTCCAGCACGTCTAAAATGTGTCCCTCTAGGACTATCCTTGTGAACAACAATCTATAAAATGATACGAAAAGACATATTAGCAAAGTTCTAACATCATCAATTAACGCAGAGAATAAGAGACAAGACACACACGGCAGTGAGTTTCACCTTTTGAGGGACTGTGTCATCCTCATCAACAAAATACTGCCTGAAAATTCCCATAGAACATGGACCCAATTAACTGGCAATCATCTACCAATCAATTCAATTTACAAGTATAATAATAATATTCTCAACTTACCTAACTACTGAATAAGCAGGATTCGACTGCAACGGGTTTGAATAAGTCTGGAAAACCCAAAGAACAGAAAAGGCATCAGCAGAAGTGAATATCAATAGAACTGAGCTATGAATATTGAAACACGATGCTGAACAAATTTACAACCACTATTACAATCCAATCATTCCATTAGCCGAGGAAGAGAGCTTCATTAGCATCAAAATTTTTTAAAAATGATCTCAGACTATGTGATTAGTGATTAAGTAGATCTGATCAAACATTCCACCACGAATACGCACCAATCTATTTTCCACGTTCACACTAAATTAACATGTGTGTGCACTGTGAGAATAAACTATTTATGTAATTCCCCGTGATAGTGACCGGATCTCATCTACAAACCCAAAATTACAAAGTTTAAAAATAAGGAATCATCATCTATATCCCGGAAAACCAGCTATATTGCACTCGCGTCTATACATACACGAACCAAATCTGGCACACACGTGTCAAAACGAGGTAAGGGGGTGTAATTATGTTTAAATCGTATAAAACCGATCCAGATAAAATGTCGATTTCAAAGAATAATCAAAGGTAATCGTATAGAGAGGAAGTAAGTACGGGGAGATCGTGAATGTAATCGCTTAAATGAGGAACATCTTCGAGTACATAACCAGCAGCTCCTTCCACCAACTTCATCTGCTCATCGACGCCATTCGAATTCATCTCTCTCTCTCTCTCTCTCTCTCTGTCGGAGACCTTGTTCTTCCGTTTTCTCCGGTCACGTAAAGCGAAAGCGAGTTTTAGCGTTTTTGTATATTGTTTTTATAAGTGCTCATAGTGGTTTGGAAGTAAGAAAGAGAGAAGAACAAGGGGAATTCGAAAAGCGACGTCGTTTTAAGTCACCGGTACATTTTGATACCGCTGGATCGGAAACGGCAGCTGGTTTTCCCTCTTGTCACTTCCCCGGTTTTCAGAATTCAGATATTTGGAAAATATTATATTATTAGTTTTCTATAAAATATCCTATTATTCTTTTGTTTGAATTTCTCTTCCAAAAAGATTAGGATTTTCTACCTTTTTATTTCTTAAGATGTTTATTTACCTTTTTTATATTAAGTGTTTAAATCTAAGTTATATATATATATATGCAAAAGTTGCATGAAAAGAGCATATCCAAACATTTTTAAATACTAAAAGACAAAAAAACATTTATTTAGTAAAAATGATTATGTATCATCAATAAATATGGTGAAGGAGATTAGTTACTTGAAGAGCAAAAATCATAAAGTAGTAGAAGACCAAAAGAAGACAAAATGTAATATGTAATAAGTGTTAGGGAAGACGATGGAGAGAGGAAAGCAATACGTCTACAGAGATTATATTCGGTTGCCAATTGTATGAAAGAGCAAGGACCCTTGCGGAAACTATGTTTACAAGTTTAAGCTTCAAAAAATGTAATTGATCATGAGCATGAAACGTTGTTATATTATTTTCTTGGAAATTAGTATTGTTCAGGACTTTATTTGTTGCTACTAAAATTAAAAATGTAAGTTTATTTTTCGCAATTTTTATTCGTTTATTTCTGACGGAGACTTCTCGGCTTTCTTCGTTAAATCATTCACATTAATTAGCGAAAAAATCCTCAAAGTAATTTAAATGATTAAATCGAAACGCCGTGTACCTAATATCTTCCCGAAACTCAGCCCTTTCCTCTCTCTCTCTCCATCTCCCTCATGCCACATTCTTCTCGATCCCTCTCTCTCTTCTCTCTGTTCCTCTAGTCCATCGGTTTAACTTCTCTCTGATTCTCCTTCGTCTTTGACTTTTTTTTTGACATCGTAGTCGCTTTCCCCTTCCATCGATTTAGGGTTTCCGCTTCCTCCTTCCAGTTTTTTCTCGCCTTTCTTTTTTCCTTTCGGTTTTTGATTTCCTTTTTTTCTTTGGCTGCCCTCCTTGCTAATTCCCGTGACGACTCGCTCTTTCCTAGCTCTGAGGTTTCGAATTTATCTTGGTCAGGGCGTCTGATCCGATCTCCCTCGAATTGGTGTGAAGCGAGCGGTTATATATGGGTTTCTGCTGCCTTTCGGCTTGGATCGCTTAGGATTGTTCAATTGCGTGATGATGGTGGGTACTCAACGTGTAGATGGCTCGTTGCCGCCGCTGAATTCCCCTAAAAGCTATGGAATTACCAAGCCGCTCTCCATTGCTGGGCCTTCCGCGGCGGATACCAAGCGTAATCTGGAGCTGGAGAAGGTAAGCTTAGTTTGTATGTTCACATAGGAATTTGTTGATATGTTTCGATGCATACGTTTTTACCTGATTTCCTTTTTTTATATATATGTTAAAGTTCGATTGTTGATATGATGCGATGCTTACGTTTTTGGCTGATTTCTTTTTTTTTTCTTAAGTACTTGGTTGACGAGGGACTCTACGAGAGCAATGAGGATACCATGCGAAGAGAGGAAGTTCTGGGGCGCATTGATCAGGTTTATTGCTTTTTGTCTGTGTTTACATAGGAACGTTTTCTTAGTTGATGGTTATGCTAATTAGGTTTTCATTTGCATCGAACAATTTTTCAACTTTTGAACGAAAACTATGTATTTTATGGTCGTTTGTCTTTCACTGTACTGGTTCTTGCTCGTGGTTGTCCTTGAACTGAATTTGCTGTTTCAAGTTTTCTTCACACTTTCACTGTGATTTTTCTTAGTTCAGGTCTCTTTGAAATGGTAACTTTTAAATCTAATATTTTTCTTCATACTTTTATTCTTTTAGATCGTAAAACACTGGGTGAAGCAGTTAACGCAGCAAAGGGGCTATACGGATCAAATGGTAGAGGATGCAAATGCTGTCATTTTCACCTTTGGATCTTACCGACTTGGAGTAAGTGCTTCATGTTTACCATTGCCTTGCCGTTATCTGCTAAAATGTATATGTTACGCTTGGACGTATGATGATGGATTACTAGGATCATTTTGTGGTATTGAGCCTTTTGAACATCCGAAAAGTATCCTTGAGAGTTTGCTCTGCTTTTTTTATCTGCAATGCAATCCTAGTCTCCGAGGCTGAATTAAATAAATACAAATTTGTTGACTTGCAGGTGCATGGGCCTGGTGCTGACATTGATACTTTGTGTGTTGGGCCATCTTACGTTAACCGGGAGGTGACTCTTTTGCTATTAACCTCTTATTGATGCAAGGTTTTGGCTTTCTTGAGTTCTGAACACTTATTTGTGCAGGAGGATTTCTTCATCACCTTACATGATATATTGGCTGAGATGGAAGAAGTGACTGAACTTCAACCTGTTCCCGACGCCCACGTTCCGGTCATGAAATTTAAGTTTCAAGGAATACCGATTGATCTTCTCTATGCTAGCATATCACTTTTAGTTGTGCCACAGGTAATTTTATCTGTGAATCTAATGCATCTTTTCTGTTTATACTGAAGCCGTAGAGGTGATATGTGATAATATGTTAGATTTGTGAGTGATTGCATGTTGATGGGGATAGATATTGTATACTACTTTTTGTATGGGATGATTTATAAAAAAAAATTGTTGTAGAAGCTTTTCATTTGAACGAGAGCTGAGAAGTTTGTTGGCTGATTTTAGTACAGAAGTCTCGAATTTATAGATGACAACTTAGACCATGTGCTATCACAATAGTTTGTAACTGCTTTTTATTCAAATCTCTGCATGGACTTGATTTTTCAACAGGATCTGGATATCTCCAACTCTACTGTGCTGTGTGATGTTGATGAACCAACCGTTCGGAGTCTTAATGGTTGTAGAGTTGCTGATCAGATTCTTAAGCTCGTTCCCAATTTTGAGGTAAACTTGCAAAATGCTATTCACTATGTTCACATATTAAAGAATTATTGCTACCTTCTCTGATCTTATGTGCAATTGTAGCACTTCCGGACAACATTAAGATGCCTGAAGTACTGGGCTAAGAGGCGTGGGGTCTATTCAAATGTAAGTTCATACCTTTCTGAGACCCATATTAACTGTAAATGTTCATATTTAAGCTCTCGTCAACTTTCTCATTTTGGGCAGGTGACTGGATTTCTGGGCGGTGTGAACTGGGCACTTTTGGTTGCTCGTGTGTGCCAGCTCTATCCAAACGCAATTCCTAGTATGCTGGTTTCTCGGTTTTTCAGAGTATATACTCAGTGGCGGTGGCCGAACCCGGTCATGCTTTGTGCAATAGAAGAGGACGACCTTGGATTTCCTGTTTGGGACCCTCGGAAAAATCATCGTGACCGCTATCACCTTATGCCAATAATAACTCCAGCTTACCCATGCATGAATTCTAGTTACAATGTCTCTCAAAGCACTCTTCGCGTTATGACCGAGCAGTTCCAGTTTGGTAACAATATCTCGCAGGTAAGAGAGTAACTTTTTTGTCTTGTTTTGTCAAGCATTTATTCAAGATCCTAATTCTTAAGCATAATTTTTAATGCAGGAGATTGAATTAAATAAACAGCACTGGAGCTCTTTATTTGAACAATATATGTTCTTCGAGGCGTATAAAAACTACCTGCAGGTTGATATAGTAGCCGCAGATGCAGAGGATTTATTGGCTTGGAAGGGTTGGGTGGAGTCACGGTTCAGGCAGCTGACCTTAAAGGTAGATACAGTCCTATATTCATTTGATTTTACAGATTGAAACCTGCTGAAATCTCCAGTGTTTTATCCATATTTATTTTGGTAGAAAAAGTTTAAATATTGATTGGCTCTCGATCTCGTTTTTTCTAATTCAATAATGCAGATAGAAAGAGACACAAATGGGATGTTAATGTGCCATCCGCAACCAAATGAGTATGTAGACACGTCTAGGCAGTTTCTGCATTGTGCCTTTTTTATGGGCTTGCAGAGGGCAGAGGGAGTTGGTGGTCAAGAATGTCAACAGTTTGATATACGTGGTACTGTCGATGAGTTCAGACAAGAGGTAAACATGTATATGTTCTGGAAACCTGGGATGGATGTGTTTGTTTCTCATGTTCGTAGACGACAGCTTCCACCTTTCGTTTTCCCAAATGGATACAGAAGGCCTCGGCCGTCCAGGCACCAAAATCAACAGGGTGGAAAATCTGGTGAAGATGGCACTGTTTCTCATTCCAGCTCTGTGGTGGAGAGGCATGCTAAGAGAAAGAATGATAATGGAATGATGGATACGAGGTCAGAGAAACCTGAGAAGCGCGCATCTCTTAGTCCACAGAGTCTGGATATTGTCTCTCCTGAAAGTAGTGCTATTACTACTGGTTGGACCCCTCCTGTTTGTAACCTTAGTTTGCCACCTGGTGAGGAAATGGAGGCCGAAATTTTGAACACTGAGAGTACTGAACTCACAAACTTTGGTCGAGGTGAGTGCAACTCTGGCAGCGAGCAAACTCTGGAAGTAGATAGTATGGCTCTTGCTCAAGAATGCTCTGATCCGGCGGAGGCTTTGGGAAACTGTGTGACACCTGATTCTAGTCATGTGGTAGCATGTGAAAGTGGGCAGGAAGAAAATTTAGATCGTGATTTGAGGTCTGTGTCGATCAGTGTTGTCAATGAAGTTAAGAGGGAAGTAAAGTCATTTAGTGGGACGAGGACAAGTGGAGAAATTGCTGATGGTGTTCAGCTGAGCAGATCTTGCAGGCAGAACCGTGATTGTGAGGTGAGTTTTTTTTTTTGGTTATGTTTGAGGAGGGTTTGGTGTGTTAGCAGAAAATTGGAAATACAATTGCTTGAACGGGCCGAGAATAGTGATGATGGGTTTTTACAGGGTTTGGGGTTTCCTGCTACAAATTCAGATCATTTTGTGGGAACGGAAAAATTGTACTCTCAAAGTGGCATGCCTGAAGACCTTCAGGTCCTTAAGCTACCTCACAGTTAGTTGCTTTTGAAAGATTTTTTACATTTTGTAGTTGGTCAAAAAATCAACTTCCAGTAGTATGTGAGCATCAAAGCTCCACACTACATGGGATTTTAAGAGGGATGTCATACTTGGTTTCATAGTCAAGAAACATAGGATGGAGCTAAGTTTGAATTCTAATGGTAGTCCATATCCAAAACAGTACTACCTCTTGCTACTTAAGAGGTCAATGTTTCTGCTGTGTTTTCACTTGCCTTGTGTTTTTCTGCATACCCGCCTAACTTAGTGCATATAATGGTTGGCAGGTCCCGCACTGCAATGCTTTTGTTGTGTGTATCAAGCAATCCGCTTGAAAATAGTTTTATTCTCTCTTTCTTTAAGTTTTGTGAGGAATGCACCTAACTAACTTTTTCTCTTGCTCGTAATCTTGTTTGTCTTAGTCAACCTCTTTGGTGAGCGGGATGGAGAAAGCAGAAGACAGAGCTAGGTCAGAATCTTTGCAGAAGTCACAGATAAGGCAAATAATGATTTCTTTATGTTACTCTGTTTTTTTTTTTTTGTTTCTTGGCGCTTTTATAGCAGTAGCAGGTTAAGCTTAAAGTCCACTGTGTGAACGTCCTCTAGGCTATTGACGTGATAACAAGACTCATCAAGAAAACAAGAAGATCTACTCAACTTGTTGCGGTGGACAGACGGTAGAGTCCAAAACCTTTGGTAAGTTTTTATATGGAAACAAAAAAAAAAAAAAAAAAAAAAAGTAAAAAATGACATTTGAAAAGTAAAAAAAAAAGTAAAGGAAAAAAAAAAAGAGAAGAGATTAGGAGGAACGTCGGAAGGATTTGTTTTGGTGGTAGTATTTCGAGTGAAGCTTGGAAAGCCCAATATTTGCGTCAGGAGGTGGGACTATGATCATCACTCATGACGACATATGGAGAAAGGAAGTGATTTATTTAAGGGTGTGTAGAATGCTGAACGTTTTATTATTTATTATTCGGCTGCTTCAGACACTTCTTATTAATACTTTCGATGTTTGGTCCTCTTGGGGGTTTGACTTGGATCGTTTTTTTTTGTTTTTTCCCTGTTTATGTATATAAGAATTTATGCCATCTTGTATCTCTGGTTTGAGGTTTTGCCGTTTATACTTGGTTTCAATATGATTAAGATGAGCATTAGTACAATGAAAGTAATAAAGGTTAAAAAAGATAAGTTTTTATGATCTACCAAATGACTATCGTGACGGAAACCTAAAGACTCGTATTATCTTCTTTTTGGTGAGAATGATGGAAAATTGGCGAGGTATTGACGAGTTGTAGCATTAATGGTTGAACAATCAAAAGGAATCTTGTCAAACATAAATGTTTCAGATGCTCAGATCTGTAAATTTCAGATAACAGGACCATCACTCTTATAAGGAGTACAAAAACCGGTTTCATGGAAACTTTCATCAGGCCAAAGATTTGAAAGGGTAAGAAAACAAACGACCTATTTAATCAGAGATAGTGAACATTCCAAATCTACCACCCGAAAAACGACCTAGGGCCATAAATATATGACAAGTTATCCCAATCCTCTACACATTCCGAAAGATATTATTATTGTGGATGTTATATGAATGCTGAATTATATGCAAAACAACATTGAACAGGACATGAGTATGAAGAACTATCATATTTTCATTGAATATTCTAAATTTACACTACTGCGGTTTTTTTCCCACACAAACGTTAAGTGATCAATTAACAAAACAACAAAGTTCATAAATTCACTCGTAGCAAAAAAAAAGTCGCATTATATATATATAGCGTCATTGTTTTGTTTGTTATTAAATGCCCTTTTTCTTTCTGTCTTCTCTTTTCTATACAGGGGATATAGAGTTCTAAGATCCACCCCTCTAGAGTTTTAGTGGGATTTGGTAAAGAGATGATATACAATTCGTCTTTGCCGAGAAATTTGGAGAAGGCTTTTACAGTAACTTTTGACTTGTTAGTTGTTAGACTACCAATCTTCTTACAGTATTGGCTTACCATATATAATAATGGTTATGTTTTGTCTTTGCTGTATTTTCAATGCAACCGAGTTACAACACGATCGATGGAATACGTGTTTTCATTTTCATCTTCATTTGGCTGACATTTTTTGTCGTTTATGTATATATAGTTCGCTATTAAACGACAAATAAATTATTATCAAAATATACAAGAAACTCAACGCATTTAGAACTATAACTCTCCAAGGACCAATAAAGAAAAATTGAGATATATATAATATAGATACATAATATGTAGAAACGCACGTATACGCCAGAAAAGGTATCCATTCAATAGTAATCAATTAGATCATGTGTTTAAGGCAGCAGTTTCTAACGTTGATAGTTTTTTTCTTTTAACGTTGACAGTCATTAGATGCAAGTTATCTTTCATATATACTTGAAATTTTTCGTGATCAGCATATATATGTAAAGATAAATAAATTCATATACACGAGACGAGATACACACAAAAGAGCTATTTAGTAGATTGATTTTCCTACAATGTCATCCAAGCGCAGATCCAAAACACGATCATGGATTACACAAAAACAAAAGGAAAACGGAAAACTAGGGAATTATACATACTACTACTATAAAGAGAAATTAGAAAGTCAAAACAAGTCTACGAAAGTTACCTATCATATATATTTATTATATTATTTTGTTGATATGATGATATTTTTGGTGTAACGAAAGTGACGCTGAAATAAATGTTTTAAACCTCCTGAGCCATCATCCACCTCTGCAACCTCAGCTGTCTATGGAACCTCTGTATAAACTCCTCCGCGGCTCTGTCCACGTGGCAGCTATCCATGGTTCCCGCGCTGCTAGCTACGTCCGGAAACACGGCCGCTGCCACGTGTCGGTCCCAGACGGAATCTCGGACCTTAGGCAGCGTGTTGTACCGGATGTACGCTTGCCGCTGGCGCTTGTTGATAAGCGGTTTGCGGGACCCGCTGCGTCGTCCGTTGCTGACGTGGCAGCCGTTGGTGGTGGAGGCGTAGGAACGTCTCGGTGGGGTGCTGCTGCAGCTGAACTCGTACTCCAGCTGGATCGGGACAGGGGATATGAAGGAGGACCGGACGTCGTTGTGGTCGGAGGGACGGCACGTGATGCGGGAGTGGGAAGTTGACACGGCGTCGTTCAGAGACTTGCGTAGGATCTTGCCACGTTTCGCTAGCAGTTGCGGATCGAGGGTTGTGAGGAGTTTGTGGCGTGAGGCGTCTGAGACTTTCTGGATGGTAAAGAGGATTAGCTTCGCCAGGCTCGAGAGCTTCCTCGTGGTGACTGTTGAACAAACCTCCATGTCGTCGTGTATTGTTTGCATATGTGAGAGAGGAAGAGAGAAGGATTTGGCTTTAGAGGTTGGAGAGATGGGATTTAAAGAAGATAAAGTGGGATTAATGAAGAAACTGATGATGGTCTTTATATAACGGAAACATTATATTTATTCCGCGGAGTAATTATCATAAATTTATGTCAAGGTAGCAAAAAAAAAGAAGTCGATGGGTCCAATAGTTATTATCTCAACCGTTAAATAACATTCTGGACTCTTTAATTGTAGGACTCTTCTAGTTTGAGTCTCCCACCATTGCATTGTAACAAAAACAAAAAAAAAAACACAAAGTCTATGTTAATATTCAGGATATTATTGCAGTTTCGAAATATCTAACAAAAATAAAAGTCCATGTAGCTAGTCCCTTGATAGGTTCATGATCATAAAATTCTTAAGTTACTACACTTTGATATCATTGATTTTACTGACAAAAGAAAATTGTTCTGAGAATATTATGATGAATCTACACATAATCCAGTGTTCAGTAGTGATTAATTTTTTTTTTACGGCTAGTAGTGATTATTTATAAGTTATCAATTATAACCCGATAAGAATTCAAAATGATGAATTTTTTTTAAGTTTTCACAATTATGAAATGATACTCCATTTTAAAATAGAAATGATTAAACTCATAAACTATAATTTATATATAGTTTAATTAATTTCTCGTAAATCTACTACTGTGTTAGGCAATTGGAACAAATATCTGACATATACAGATACTGAAGATTGATGTACCCATCAAGAAAAGCGACTCGATTACTTAGAAAATACATTTACAATTAAACTAAATCAATATTTAATTAGTGTAATGATAACAGCTGCATTATGCAAATTTTATTTGAACCGTGTCTGTCTTTATGGATTTTAATATTTGGTTTCCTTTTCTTTTTCTATGTCTTTACTTTAATTAAATTTCTTTGTCAGGTAGAAAAATAAAGAAAGAAGAGATATATTAACTTTTTTGGGGGTCATGTAATTGTATTTTTCTCTCTAAGTTGTTCGCATATGCAAAAAGTGTAATACGAGTAGGGAGCCATTGGTCATATATTGTTTATTATCTAATCAGAAAGTTGATTTTGATTGCTTTATCGAAAGAGTTAAAATCTTATCGAGAGATTGTTTAATTAATATTCTTTGTGGAAAAGAAAATCATGAACTGTTTTCTTCCAAACTTGGATCTCTCGGCCTCCCAAGTTTCGTATAGATACTTCGACGGTCGACACTGTTTTATATTAATATATAAAATTTGGGATATTGCGTTCGAGAAATTCTGAAAATTTTAATTTATAAAGTATAAGAGGATTTGTTTTTTTTTTCCTGTGGTTTGTGGATAGCTAACAGTTTAGTGATGAATACAACAAAAGTTATTCAAATTCTTAGGACTTCGAATCAAATATAATTTCGAAAATATATAATTTTCAATATTGTACTATAAAGTGTTAATCTAAAAATGCAATAACCATAATAAGTGGTGTTTAATCTAAGAGTTTATTTCCTACATAATTAGGCCAAACATGTTTTTTCGTTCTTTGGGCTGATCTACCAAAATCAATCATATGGAAATATATACATATCCCAAGAAATCAAGAATCAAGTAAAATATTGATCACGAGTCCGTCCAGGTAAGTGAATAATGATTACACTTTTACCCTGAGTGGATGTGTTAAATAGTGTAATTATGTTGACTGTTACTAATAAATCCTCACGTAAAGTTGAAAATGTAACTTTTTCGTTTTTTCACTTTCCCCAGAAGTTACTTGTTCGGATTCGAGTATTACATCATCATCAAAATACTATTTATCACCATTTTTATATAAAAACGAGATCACTGTTACGCCTAGAAGAAGTGTCAATGAGCTGGAGATAAAAGTTCCAATTATCCAACCTAAAATTAGGCCTAGATATTGTAAATATTTTGGAGCAATGAGTGCTTAATAATTTGGACAAAAAAATGTCATGATTAGTTATCACAATTTCTTCTTCTTTTTTTTTCTGGATAAAATAAGGCATTTTAAGGTTTAGGACTGATGGATATGTTTGAATGAGAAAATGGGTCCTACTGTAAGAGAAAAAAAAAAGGTTAGAGAACCCTTTTAACATTTTCCAATTTTGACACCTTCTAAGGCAAGGCTTAACAATATCTTATGTATATAATTATAATTTTAAGGGATGGATGATATTTCCCGTGTTATTTATGTATAATTTATTTGCATCTAGCTTAATGGAAGATGATGCTGTTTAAGTTTCGTAATTACGGACAAGAAACTGTGTTTATCTCATTTTTTTCGGTTCTCTATTTATCTTGATTGATTTAAAAAAAAACATTCCATAGACCGTCAAAATATTTGTGCTAAATGGACGATTATCTAACAATAGACCCTCGATCACTTTATTCTTCATGTAGAATTTTCTTATTTCATATAGTATAAGGTTTTTTTAATGAATTTATGGAGATCCAACTCTAAGCCATATATATGTGTTAATTATACTTGTGTTCTATTAAATAAGATGCTTTAGAAGTTTTATTTTATTTTATTTGAGTTTATAAAATTTTTAATGTAAAAATTAATTTAATTTGATATATTGAAGTTATTTGTATTCCAGAGTATTTTAGTTTGAATTAGATAAGATAAAAATTTCCAAAAAAACAAGATTGAATTTTCTCTTTTGTAAGCAAAGTTAGGTGTGCTGCTATTTCCGCAAGCCACTAGACGTTAAAGTTGTTTAGGAATTAAGCTCAAAGATAATCAATTTAGTAGCTTTAAAGAGTTTGGTAGATCTAGATATTTCAGATGCTATATCTATTTACTATGTTCAAAGAAATATCTCTATTTACTACTTTCAGTCTTTCACCAACATGTATAGAATAAGGAGTGTTTGGTGGTGTTTGAAAAACACCATATAGATATCTCATAGCTTAAGAGTAAGTGAAAACCCTAAGACGCGACTTTGAATTTCTTTGCTGGAACATACTTGCACATGAGAACAACGGTGTGTTGGTCTCACTTTTTTCATTTTTAGCAAAGCTTGTTAATAGTGTTCGAGATCTATGAATCGTGCTTAGCTCTAATACTGTTTTATAATGTTCACATGGACAGTTAGTTACCTGTTTTGACCCTCAGTTTCAGTTCTTGTCTACTACTGTACTCTATTGGTACTTACGCAACACGAATTCGTCGTGAAAATATTTAGGCGAAACAAAAAGTGTTAATATCAAAAGAAATATGGGAGATAAACTAAGTAACCACATAATCAGCGGTTGGTGAGTTCATATGTACACCGGATAATACGCAAATTTATTAAATTTATTCAGTGATCCAGAAGCACTTCCCGGTGGCCAACATTATCCTTTATAATTAAATTAACAAAAAGATTGGTTATAATTTCACTTTGAGTATATATATTTGTAAGGTTTCTGTAGACTTTGGGTTAGCTAATGATGGCTAAACGATATAGGATCCCCACTTTGTTACTATAATTTTAATGGCTCGTAATTTCTATATTAGTGGGAGTATCTTTGTAATGTCGGATAGTGGGACTGAAAAGTTTTGGTTTGGAAAGAAATAGAAATTACAATATAATATAAACAGTTACTTTTAATTTAGTGGTCCATAAATTTAGAATAATTTGTTTCCTGTGACTTCTATTAAAATGGCAATACACATGAATTTTATGCTATAACCTTTCATTTGTTAGGATTGTTAATTCCTCCATATGTCATACATAATGTCAATAGTACTGAACCAAATGAATACAAGAACTCATAATTGTTGGAGAATTTGATCATTTACTAATTATATAGGGTAAAACCAAATATTTGGGACCGAAGATCTGATGCATGATCCGATCCATTTCAAAAACTAGAATATCAAGATATTATATGAACTTGCATGGTACTTAAGAAAAAAATATTATTCTAAGCACATATCATCATCATACACAGAGTTTTAGGTTCGGTTTAACCAATTAACGGCGAACTTTTTAACAATTCAAATTTAATAACTTTCCCAGATTTTCGTTCGAATGAAACATCTAAATACAGTACAAAAAAGAATATCGAAGCAAAGCTGATAGTTTTATATGATTGTTTTTCGTACTGTGCCGTATTGTATTCTTTGTCTACCTCGCTGAGATGTTGGGTTTCACAAAGAGCTTTGGACCATGCGTTGTGTGATCGGGCCTTAATTTTGGGCTTGTAGTACTACTGGGCTGTACTGGCTTTGTCAGAGGAAGAGAGGGTTAAATCGTAGTTATACTCTCCATGACACGCTTTGACTTTGAGCATAAATAAGCTTCGTGCTAACCAAAACTCCTATTAACATTGCACCGAAGCAACTACCAATCATCAAACATTCAAAGTGATCGGTCAAATGGAAACAGACACGACGACGTTTAAGTGGGAGGGCAAACAAGCCGCCCAGATCAATGGCGTCACGGCGGAGCAGGTCTGGTCTGTCGTTTCCGACTTCTGCAACGTCCACGAGTGGTTCCCCACTGTAGACACGTGTCACCGAGTCCAAGGAACCGATGGTCAGCCTGGTCTGGTTCGCTACTGCGCCTCCACCAAAGCCAAGGAAGAGGAAACCAAATGGGCTAAAGAGCGTTTGGTCGAGATCGATCCAATCGAACGGTGTTTAAGCTATGAGATCCTCGATAATAACGTGGGGTTCAGATCTTACGTTGCGACGGTCAAAGTAATGCCAGTCAACGGTGGAGATGAATCGGACGGTAGAAGTGACTGTCGAATCGAGTGGTCGTTTGTGTCCGATCCTGTTGATGGTTGGAAGAAGGAAGACCTTGAGTCCTACGTGGATTTTTGTCTTAAACATTTGGCGAATAAAATGGAAACGAATCTTTAAACCTTGTCTTTGTTTTTCGTAATAAAAAATATGTGAAAGCTCCTTGTGTTTTTACCTTTTTACCTTGTGAATCTAGCTGGTAGGTTCGTGTTAAAAAGTTAAATAAAAAATAACAATATACATTTGACTTGGTGCATTCTATGACTATGAAAACTTCATTTTTTTTCTGGATTACTTGATTAGTAATCTAATAAAGTAGTCATTGTTCGTCACAGACTCACAGTTTCTGTTGATACTTGATAGCCCTGGTCCATTGCATTTTAGCTTGATTCTTACGTTCATTACAGCTAATTTTCAACAATAAAAAATATTTCAGAAATATATTCTACAGGAATATTAACCACACAAAATATTCTAAAAGTATACTGTTTCTTAAAGATTTTTTTTAACAAAAAAGATTTTTTAATATAAAAAGACAGATTTCTTAGCAAAAAAAAAAAGAAGTTTTTTACCTTTTATCACATAAAATAATTTTGTTTAGATTTTTTAGCATAAAAAGACAGATTTCTTAGCAAAAAAAAAAGAAGATTTTTTACCTTTTATCACATAAAATCATTTTGTTTAGATTTTTTACCTTTTGTCACTTAAAAAATAATTTAGTACTATAATATCTATTAGTATTATTTAGAAATATAAAGAGTATTAACCACACAAAAAATTATTGGAAACAACGACATTAAATACAAACTTTTTGTAAAGAATCAATAGCTTTAGCCTTTAAGAATTTATGAGCCTGTCTTGGGAATGGATTCCTCGTTTACGTGGTGGAAATCACCATACGTCAGTGTTCTTCCTCGTGTTGGGTTTTAATGAGTCCATGAGCTTATCTGGACTTGCTTCGGCCATTTGGACTCGTTAATACTTTTGTGAAATAAATATTAACCACCAAGGCACCAACCACGGATTGTTTTTGTTTCCTGCTAACGTGAAAGTTTCTAAAAGACATTCTAAAAACATGTCAAAGGACCTAGTGGAAAGTTACAAAAAAAAAAAAAAAGAGATTGTGGAAATTGAAATTTTCAAAAAAACTTTTTGTTAAAACTTCTGAAAACTTGCTAAAACATTTGTTATAATACTGGAAATGTATTCATTCGAACAGCTTATCTTACGGGCTAAGGCTGAAAAAAAATATATTCGGAAACGGAAGACACTATAAACAATACAGTAATTTCTTTAGCATTTCCAAAATTTATTAAATCTTTCAAAATCGTGCGAAAGTCTCCGAAAACTAGTAAAAGATTAAAAAAACTGATGAAAAAATCTAATAACTTGTGGAAGTTTTCAAAAACGTTATAAGATTTTTGATAACTTCAACTGATTATGTATATATATACTGTTCACCAACATTTTGTTAAACACTCAATTAACTAGCATTGCTAGTGCCTAGCGGCCTAGCACAAATATAAGTTTCTCTAAAATTGAACGTACGTAACCCATATGATTAAGTTTAATTATGTCAATCCAAGAGTAAGGTTTTCTATAAAAATTGAAAATGCATGCTAGTTACTACACTGTCGAATAAAAATGCTATGTGGATGAATAAGTTGATTTTAGAAATAGAAAAAATGATTTTTCTCGATACCAAAAATGAGACGTAACATTTGATAACCGAATGAGCTAACACAAACAGGAGTGTTGGAAAGATAAGAAATAAAATAAAACCTTTCGAAATTAGAAATGATAGTCATTTTCCGGACTATATATATAACTAAATACAAATTAACTAAGAGTTAAGAGTATATATATATAAATATATATCTCTGAAGAAAAAGATCTCTGTCTTTTGATAATTAATGAAAAACTTGAAGGAAAAAAAAATCAGATAAAAGACCAGTTGAGGAACATGAAGCAGATACAGTGAGGATCTTCGTCGTCGTTTAACACTTTCCATGCAACAGCTTTTTCGTACGTTACTGCTCTTCCCATGCTCGACATGCATACTCCTCCATCAATACACATGAACCCCTGAAAATTTATTAGTATTAGTTTACGACCCCATATTTATGATTTTATCAACAAGACCCACACTGCTCCGTTACATAATGTTTAAATCTTTTTTTTGGGGGTCAAAACATAATGTTTCAGTCTTGAGCTTAGTTAGATTATGCATAGCTCGATTTAACGTACCTGTTGCATGATCTGAGGGAAGTCGGAGCATAACGTCTTCTTCCCGTTGTTGTTGTCGAAGATCTTATCGAGAGTGATGTCTTGAAGTGCCACCAACGTCGTCTCCAGCATGTCTAAACCAGCCTGGTTGGAAAATGTGAATACGGGCGGTAAGGCCTGCAATGATCAAACCAGTCCACTTTCCTCGTTAGAAAATTGATCATTTTCAAAATTATGTATAAATATATTATTGATGTTCAAAACATCGCCAGGTACGAAAAACATACGTTTCAAAATTTTATAGTGCCAAGACCACCTAAACATCCATTAATTTTATCGTTTTGTGGATAGATTTTGTTTATATACATAAACATTTTTTAACCAGGACTTAGACCATTGATCAACCGCGTAAGGTGTAAATTAAATCAGGAGGCTTGAGCTGTTCAACCGTCCAGAATATAGATTTTAAGTATAGGTGCAAATGCGAACGAGAACAAAGAACAGAGAAAAAAAGTTACCTTGAGTGAACAACACATGACGGCGTCAGGATGGTGCCAAAGAGACTTGAGAAGATCGGTTCCATTAGGTTTAAGTAGTTCAACGCCAAGGTAACATCTATACGAGTGAGAAATCCAACGAGCGAGCGTGTGAGCTTCGGGTGAAATGGGTGGAGGACGCAGACCGCCACTTAGCTGATGAGAAGAAGGAGAGAGAGCAAGCGCGACCCGTTGTACCGAAGCGATCACACTTCTCACGTACTGTCTAGCCATTGAGGCTACGTTCTCTTGCATATGCATCTCAAAAGCTAGCTGAAACGCTATTGTCATCACCGACTTTGAGTTTCCTCTGCTTCCACATGAATCTCCGGCTGTTCTGCTCCCGACATCTAGAGCCGACGCTAGGTCTAGCGTTCGGTTAGGACTCAATCCCTCCTATACATATATAATTGTGTCTGAATTAATTAGTATTTGATTTGAAATTTTGAATGATGTTGATTATTGTATAACTGAAAATATGAATTGGACGTACTGATTTGGACTCTAGAGGAATGATGCGGAAGCCGGAAGGAATGATCGGGGCATCATCAGAGAAAGATGCGTCGATTGGTGCAAAGATAAGCTCTGCGCATGATTCAACTGCGTTTTCATCCACTCCACTGCACATCTATATCATCAAAACCGATAATAATTAATTAAATGCAATTAGATGAATTACTGAAAAGCTCAAATGACTGTTTAAATTAGTGTTTGCGTTTGGTTTTACGTTTATAACTAAGTGTGTCTTTTCCAAATGAGCCACATTTACATTTTGCAAAAATATTTCATGAAGTGATACTGTTCTATCCTTTATATTTTGTAGTCACAAATGGAAATGCATAAATTTTGAAACATTAAGGTCTTACTTGTAGGAGGAATATATCAGCAGGCATCATCATGTCTTCTTGGTAATGTCCCAAGCTCTCAAGCTTAATCACTTCCATAAACTGTAACAAACAAACAGATAAAGTCATATACATATATATATATATATATTGATTTAATTTTTTGAGGATATTTTCCACTTAATTACCTCTTCATTCTCTATAGTGTGAGCTAGAGGGAGAATGACTTGACCGCCGAAGCTCCCTGGGCGAGGAATTGGTACACTACAAGGCCCTGCTTTGATGGCTGCAGCCGAATACGCATCAATGCTATTGTCAGCCCATTCTTGCCTATGTTCCCTCAAGAACCGCAGAAGAATCGAGGGTGGAACATTCTACACAAACATAAACATCCTTAACGATGGATCCAAAAGAGAAAAAAAATAAGAATCTCAAATATGAGGTTTTGATGAGCTTGATTACTTGTAATAACATGGAAGCTTTGGCACATAGAACCGCGCTAGGCATAGAAGTGAATCCATTAGCAAACGGAAGACTTGAACTCATCATCATCTTTGTGGGAGAGGAGTTCACAAGAAGAGTAACATCATCGATACCATCGCTCTCTAGCATCGACCAGCCTTCATCGCTGAACCCATTCACTGCCTCGTTGAATCCTCTGAGATTTAAGAAACAATCTAGGACTTAGAAGACATGTTCTTAATTAATTCAGTCTTTTTGAGGGTGAGGGAAGAGAAAGCGTTTAATTACTTGCTGAGTCTTTGGCTGAGTGCTCTAAGAGCCGCTGGTCTTCGTCCCCAACCGGTTACGCTAGGTTGTGAAATCTCTTGAGATATTTGTCTCAAATAGCGTAGAGCCTGTAACCAGCATAAAGACTCCATAATTAAGTTCCTTGGATTTTATGTTTTTCAAGAATAAGGTTGCAATAATTTTATACGCTAAGTGTTTTATGAATCTTACGGCCATGGTGGTTCTTTGGGCGAGTAACGTTGAAGACTCATAAAGAGAACGAAGAACTTCGGGCACACTCCATGGCTACAAAAGATTTCAGCCAAGCTTATTGAGTATCATTGGAAAACCAAAACTTATATAACAAGAAGAAATGAAGATTGCAATGTGGAAAGAAGAGACAAAAAAATGAAGTGCAGAAACAGAGGAACCACTTCACTATCAGGCCCTAGAGCTGAGTTTCTTGTGTGAGAAGAAACAGATTTAATGAAATTAACGAAAAGATCAAACTTGCGAAGGCTATGTACCTCAAGATCGAAATGATCGACAATGTGAAGAATGGATCCACCTCCTTCACATGGTCTAATGAGGTAGCCACTTGGTAAAATCTCTGCTCTAACGAAATGAGGAGATGGAGGCATACTTGGCCCGTTTTGTGTGTTGTTCAACGACCGTTCACATATCTGCATCGGTTAATTCAGTATCACCAATCGATCGAAAAGAGAAACAGAATATCGATGTTGAGAAAATAATTAAGGATGATTTTATAAGTATATACCACAAGGCTTCCGTCTTCCATTACAGATGTGTAACGTAGCATCCAGAAGTCACGAGCTGGTGCCAATGTTGTCGGCGCATAAAGCTTTCATAAGAAAGAAAGAAGACAAAAAGAGGAAATTTCAGTGTTGTTCTGGTTCGATTATTTGAAGATGAAATTTTTAGGGTTCTTGATCATCATTCATCAATACCTGCATGTAGATTAGTTCGAGGGTTCCACCATTTGCAGTGGAGAGGACGTTAACGATATCGAGAGATCTGCAATCACGCAACCAACAAGGCCGATCCTTCAGGATCTCAGCGACCTGCGAAAGAAAAAGAATTTTTTTTGTAAGTTATGTTCTTGAATACATATATGAACTTGGTTGACTGATGAGGACGTAACTGTTAGAAAGAAGTGAGAATACTTACTCTTGTGGGATCAAGACCCACGAGACCGCAAGCACGGGCTGCGATTCCCGTGCATCCGTGAGAAATAGCAACGATTCCAATGGAATCCGGACCAGGCTGCAGATGAAATGAGTCAGTAAAGCAATGAAGGATGATTGAATCATGGACACGAGCGAAGTTTCAAAAGAAGGCTAGAGACTTATGTGAATTACCTTCATCCCAGGCATTTGGACCCACTCGACGGCGGTTCCAGTGGCCTTTGAAATGAACTCTGTTAAAGTTTCATCCGCAATGGACAATAGTCTGAAGTAAAACACAAGAGAGTCGTTGGTTTGTACATCACTCTTTCCCACAAATATTAGCCTGATGACACCATTTTTTAAAGCCAAAAGTTGTTGATTTTAGCTTACCCAGCAGGACTTGCATCACGAGGCTGATGTTGAGGGGTCAAGTGGTGCTGACCACTTGTCACCACTGACTCACAGCTCGTATCCGTTGTCGCCAGGTTCCCCTGCTTTTCCACAAGGAAACCGAGAGAGACAGTCAATCACATAACTTATGCGTCAAGTTTCAGGTCAAAATAAAAGCAAAAGATGATCTCAGATAGTATTTATACGTTTTGAGGATGTTGGCGAAAATAGCTGTTCTCATAAACCAAGTGAGACACTTGCTTTTGCAAGCGGTCATTCTCTTCCATCAAAAGCTTGTTCATAGCGGTTAGCTTCCGATTCACAGCTTGAAGCCGCGACGCCTCTTTCCGCTGTTTCTCTCTACATCTGTATTGACTCATAATTAATACCAAGAGTCAGCAAATCTCACGAAATAGAGAGTTTCTTGGGATTCAAGAAACTATGAAAATATAGAAGAAGAATGACCTGCGGTTCTGGAACCAGACTTTAATCTGTTTAGGCTCTATGTTGGAGAGGATAGGACATTCGCGGATTAGCTGTTGGCGGCGCATAGAGCTCGGTTTAGGACAGTCATTGTAGAGTCTCTCTAGAGCTTCCACTTGTTCAGGAGTGTACCTCACGTACTTCCCGTTGTCAATATTGTGACTATTATTGCTCCCTCCTCCCATCTTTGATCCTCCTTCGATCTCTCAATTTCTACCTTTATCACAAAAGAAGACAAAAAAAATTAACACAATCCAAAAGATCATGTATTCTTGAAAGTATGTATTTCAAAGAACTTTCTTGATATTCTCAAAAAGATCCATGTTTTTATTGTTCTTTGTGAAATTCAAAATTAATAACGTGACACTTGATGATTCTTGAAAAATCTCAAAGATCAAAGACAGATCTTGTTTGAGATTATCCTATGAAAAATTGAAAATGATGCAGATGAGGTGCTTTTTTAATTATGATCTTAAGTAATAATAAATCCTCAAAAAGCTCAACGACAGAAGAAAAAATGGTAACTTTCTTCTGCATATTCGATTGGAACCTAACAAGATCCAAACTTTTCTTCATCTTTATAGAAAAATTAAAGAGAGTGAGGGATTATTAGATACCGTAGAATTAATTTTGATCAGGCCGATCTCTGGAAGCAAAGAAAGACGTATAGATATTTCTTGTTTTTGCTGTGAATTCTCACAAACCCTTCTGAGAAGAAATATTTCTCTCTCTAAAAGTTCCAAAGCCTTTTTTTCTCTCTCGATCTCTATCTACAAGCAATGAATGTGTAACTTCCTTCGGAAAAACCGGTGAAGCATGCTTCACAATGGGAACTACAGGATCCAAACTTGAGACTCTGCTACAGTTTAACCACTTTCTTCCTCACTCGTTATCTCTCTCTATCTCTCTCTCTCTCTAGATAGATCCACAACGTGAAGAGTCAAGATTTGTGAAACTTGTATATAACAATTTGTAGTGGGAAGAGGAAGAGAGAGAGAGAGAAACAAAAAACTTTTGTTTATGGGTGAGTGTGCTTTTTCATTTTTTATAACAATTTAGGAATTAATTAAATAGAATTGGGTGTATGAAAAATAAGAGAAGACATGTGTGTCGGGCTGTGTTGAAAAAGAGAGAAGTGAGTACCCTTAATACCAGACAACCACCACTTCTCACTTTTTCCTTCTTTTTTTTTTTTTATTTTTCTATTTTGCCATTTAGTTTGGCCTATGTTTCAAATACACTATTATGAAAAAAAAACTCACAAGAATATTTTCCCAATATCGCCTAAAATACGTCACATCATCATCATATACATAGAACAGGTATTAAATTCGAAACCTTAATCTCATTATTTTCAGTATGGTCATGGCAATAACGAATTGGGTTTGCTCTGAAGACATCTTTGTGCTCTTCTATTACGATGGTATGTGCTCTTCTATTACGATGGTATGTATGTGGCAGGAGCAGGAGGCGCCGCCCCAACTTCTTTATTAACTTTTAGGTTATGTACATTGTAACATCTATAAGTCCACAATTTTTAATGTAATGTTCACTTATTTTCTAAAAACTATTTTAACGTTGTGCTTCAGATTAAATCAGTCGAAAATATTCTGCTTAAGTATCTACATGACCATCTTAACGTTGTGCCTCAGATTAAATCAGTCGAAAATAGGTTGATAAAAAGTGAAACTAATAGGCTTAGTTTTAGATATGGAGGCCTAAGCAGCAATTTATGCTGTGTAGTTCTACATGGTAGATAATTGACTTGTTCAGAATGACTATTTACCAAACTTTCATCAGATTATGATAGTTTTTTTTAATGAAAATCATTAGTTGGTATTTAACTCTTTATAATTCGACATCAATTCAAATCAACTTTAATTTGAAAGACTTGACAAGTTTTTATCATCATTAGCTGGTTTCGTCTTAAAGGATTCAAAAGTTAACTGGTGCTTGAAGTGATTGAAGTTATATGTTTTTCTTGAGTCGAAGATAGTTTTTCAATTTCAATAGTTTTTCAATTTCAACCTAAACTTATATAAAACTCATATTAGATCGTATAGATTAAGAGCTGGTCGTTTTGAGATCGTGTATATATTTAGAGGTTTCAGTCATTTGGCACGAAGAAGATTATGCATGCGTTATACAAATTTTTGATACCGATGATATATTAAAAATGACGTAAAGTATATAAAATGAAGAATTCATCTTATAAAATAATTTTTGGGACAAGTAAGAAATATACCTCATAATAAATAAAAATTCAGATGGTAGTTGAAGAAAGGACAGAATGATGAAAAAGTTGCATGCGTCCTTGATTTCTTGTAACGCAGATAAAATCCCATGTAGTCATCATCATTATCGTCAATCATCATTCCTGATACAAACTTAGAAATTTTTTTATAAGATGATCATTGTTATAAACACCATTTATAATGTCAATTTTAGAATCAGATGAGACATGCATGCAAAATTAAACTACATTGTCCCCTGTGACAAGGCACACTACATTCAAGCCCATGCACGATTTACTCACATTACTCATTATTTCACATCCCCGGTTCCAAATTTTGAGGATATAGTATATATTCTGCGTAAGGATATAAACTGTTATTTTCATAACAGTAGATACTCATAATAGAGTATATCCGATATAGACAAACTATATAAAGATCTAATATATGATAATATTTTACACGCAAACTAAAATTTTTTTACAAACTTATATACTTCATATACTAACAAAAGTTCAGGTGTTATACTCTTAGTTGAAACTTGAAAGTAAATATACTAGTTAAAGTTATATCAAATGTATACATTTTGAATATGTGTAAAAGAGTTAAAAAAAATGTTTATAACAGAGCAGAGACACTATTACTATAAGATTATTATAATTTCTAATGATCATAATAATTTTCTCGAATTATTTATCATATTACATATTAAATGACTCTCCACGAGAATTAATAAGTATATTTTGGAAAGAGATATATATTCAAGTGGGAACTATATGTGATAATTAGGGATAATAATAATCCATGTGCATTTATCTTCTATCGTTTTAGTAGGCCACTTAAATTGCAAACCTATGCCATTTCGACGATACCTAATCCGATGATGTATTTCTTGTGTTTCGCTTCCAAAAATTCTTCACGTGCAACCTCTTAGGGAAATTTCCCAAGAATTTTGTACTTACAATTTTTAGTTTAAATCTATATTGTAAATAATATATGTATTTAAAAAATTTGATGCTCGATAAAATAAAAACTAAAATAATATTTTCTTTTATGATTAGTTTGAAGCGTCTATACTTTCCAAAAATAATGATAGATTATAAGATATTATTATATGTATCACATATATAAACCCTTTTACAAAAAAAAGTATCACATATTAGAATAAAGCACCTAGTTAGTTGTCACTCATCATGATTAATTTGTCTAATGGGGACTCTTTTTCCTATTCGATTGGCATGTGATTATATGTATGTCAACGGTGCTAAAGGACCGTTAGCTTTCTATAAGGTTTTCACAACGCGCATATATGTATGTATACATATCTATGTGTATTATTTCTAAGCAATAATAATAAAGAGTAAACGTAAGTTTTTCTACATTATAAAAAAAAATTCTAATAAAGAATATTATTTAAATAAAACACACCTTTCTTATAAAGCTTGTAGAAAAAAAATAAAGGTGGACCCTAATAATAATGAAGTGTATGCATATAAGAGTATAAAGCAAGCAAAGTCCAAAGTTTCCACTAATTTAGTGGTCACATATTTTGCTTTCTGAATATAGTACTTTTACCTCTATTTCTTTATTTTAATTCTTAAACGGTTACCACAATACAGTATTTTTTCAGACATATTAAAATATTTTACCCAAAAAATTATAAATCGGAAGGTACTTGGACACTTCAAGATATTTCCCAAATAGCACTTGAATCTAAGGACATCTCACTCTTTTAGAAAGGCTGTGTCTACCAGACTCCATTTTGAACATGTATTCTAGGTGGAAATGCACTTGGTCCATAAGATTTTTAACGAAAAAAATGTAGCCGACCTAAAGAAACTGAGCTCGAGCGAAGTAAAAAAAAAAAAAAAACAGATTTATGATAGCAGCTGTAATCTTTACTAGAGACCCAATTTATGAAAAACAAAATAATATAGAAGAACGTATCCTTTGATAATGCACCGCATCTACTAATTTGATGACCTGCAAGTATTTTTGACATATTCGTTCTTAGTTAGATCCAGTGAGTCTACATGAAAACACTAAATAGTAACTACATAAGAATTAATGACTAGGTAGATATGGCGGGCGTATGAGTTTATTCGCCAACCTAACATCAACGCCAACCTCGTACAGCTTGATTTATCTAAACTCTACTCTTATTTCATTATAATATAGGTTCGATCGAGAAAACAAATTATATAATATTATTCTCCGTTTTAACTTGTATATATAATATCTTATTACAAATAAAAATATTAGTTATATTATATTCAGCGTCATATTTAATTTGATGACTGCTAAGTTTATATACCTAATTCTTGTGTTTTGCGACATGAGCTCATTTTGCCATATACATTGCATACTACGGTCCTGTCTTCGTCTATATCTTATATTCATATTTTCAAAATTAATTTTTAACAGAATTGTTTTCTAATTAATATAACATATGTTTTTGACAGAAAGAAACTTATTTTCAATTGTTGAATTACGAAACCTAGTGTTCAGTTAAATTACACTTTCCCTGTAGAAGAATACTAGGCTGAAAGTACACAAATAAACCAAGTGTAACTACCACTCTATATCAGACATCTATCATATGCATGGTCGCCAATTTAATATATAAATATAACTTGATTTTGTTTCTCTATAAATGATTCATATATAATGAGAGTAATTCTTAGTAAACAGAATAATATGTCCGAATTTTTGGAAAATTAAATCTAATAAAATATCCGAAAAATGAGTAAATTAAAAGGGTGAAACTGAGAATTATAATTGATCAGAATGTAACTTTTTTGGGTGGGGAAGATTAAAACAAAATTTATCGAGAGGATGAGTAAATTGAAAGGCTTACCCCCACACAGAAAATAAAGGAAATCAACTTTTGTTTTATGGTATCATTTTGTTTTCAACATTAAGGCAAAGAGTCAATGCCTCCCACCTGATTTGATTTTTTTTTCACAGGTCAATGCTAAGTCACCTCAAGTATCACAATTCTATCACTTTTCATTTTATTTCTTAATTTTAGTTTACGTAAGAATATTTGACTTAAAAAAAAACAAAGAAAACCATATTTTTATATATAAAAAATCATGTTGCTTTTTTTAATAAAGAAAATCATGTTATTTTTTATAGTTGACGAAAATGAGAAAGAAATTAAAATTGATAAAGACGGTAATAATGGCAGACCAGGTTTGGTGGATATGTTTCTTTAACGAATCCAAGGTTAGATAAAAGTTAATTTATTACCCAATATCAAGACTAGGCAATCGCATAATTCTCATTTGCTACTAGAAAACATTTTTGCGTGTTACATATTATTTCACACACACTAGAAATGTTATTACCATGGACCTGGTGTAAATATTATTAGGAATAGGATATGCTTAGCCTAATATATCTTTTTGTAACATATATCTTTACTAATTCAACATTGTTTCGTTGTAAATACAGAAGATACAATATTGTTAATTAACACTTTTCATTTTTGTAGCTAAACATTATTAACAAATTTCATATTTTCTCTATGCGATACATCAGATCTAAAAGACACGATACCAATTATACTTAAAAATCAAAACATTTTTTTTTAAAAAAAAAAGTAGAAACAAATTTATTATGTCACTAAACTAAAATTTACTAAAAACATTAATGGAGAGACAATCGCTAGAAGGAGGGGTTGAACCTCCGACCTTGTGGTTAACAGCCACACGCTCTAACCAACTGAGCTATTCCAGCTTTACAAGAGACGATTTCGTGAATTATAACACCAACTGAACAACTTTTTTTGACAAAAATAATACCACTTGTAATAATAAGATGAAGTTGACAACATGTAATTAAGGGAATTTAATATTTGAAAAAATAGCATGCAAGGAACCTCGTGCTGGGACAGGTGAAATGTAGAAAATTTTACGTGAATACTAATTTCACATACACTAAATAAATAAATTAATTAAAAATTATATAAATTCGGAGTAAACGGTTTAGTTTAATGATGATGACTCACAGAAACTATTAATGATAGTTCAACCGGTCATCTAAAATTGCAAAGCTTTAGCATAGACCGAAATTTGTGTCATGCAAAATCTTTGCAATCAAAATGTCACCTCGTGTTCTTTTTTTTTTCGTGTTCATAATAGTTTCCATTAGTTTATACTCTATAAATTAAGTAAATATATTCAGAGACCCAGAGTTGGTTCATTCTTCTAACCCGTAAATATATAAAAGTAGCAAATATAACTGGCCAGTGGATCTATAAAGATTACTCTTCGAAATCCCATCAATATTTTTTAAGAAACATAAATTCACTTAGAAATAAATCATACAAACCTTATTGATACTCTGAACCGTATGATTGAAGATTTATGAGCAAACTGAAAATCGCGTATTACAACTGTCTTCGAATTTATTCCAATGTGAAAATAAAACTAAAAAAGCATTTATCAAAACAAAATATAAAAACGAGGAATGAATGTTACCCTTAGGAAGAACACGAGCGCGTGAGAACAGTACACGTGTCTCATATTTCGGCGTGACGAAGGTGTTAAAGAACTGGCTGGCTCCAGACATATTCCATTCGAAAACCGTGCCGTCCGTTTGCTCCGTCACCGTAACGTATAATTTAATGATATGACGTGTTTTTAGCTCAGCTCTATTTCCATATGAGGTAAGTTGATCACAAACTCTCACGAGTATATTCAATTCCTCGGATCGCGATTATAATTTAATATTTCAATTCAATGGTTATATATTAAACATTTAATTTTATTAATTTATACTGTAGTGTCTTCCATGCATCATCATAATCTGCATACTACTATTATTGTTAGTAAAGAAATTTTTTTTCTTTGAGAAAGAGGGTGAAATCCTATAAATCAACCAAACATAAGTATATACGTATATATTTGAAAAGGTCGAGATACTAAAGCAATTTCAAAGAGTTACTGCTTAAAACAAAAAAAAAAAATCGATTTATCAATATACAGTATAAGATATCAAATTGATTGATGAATATGATATAGTACAGGTACCATAGTTATTTTACTTTTTTCTAACTTATTTACTACTTTTTTTTATTGTGATTCTTCTTCAGATTTTCAATTGTTTATCATTATAAATTAAGATACAAAATATGTATGTTCAAAAAAAAATTAAGATACTTCTAAAAATAGGGCTACCATTTAACCAAATAAAGAAGGGCTAATTCAATATATACACGTTAAGATACTTTTAAGTACTAAAATTATCCACAGTCCATAGTCCAGACAGACACAAATAGAAAAACATAATAACTCTCTTAAAAGAAAATAGAAGCCGTGAAACTAAAGTATAAGAAATAAATTATATAAAGAAAACATTAAAATAAACGTAAAGTTGGAAAAATAATAATAAATAAATAAAAAAGCCACGCCAAGGCCAAGGCGCACAAAGAAAATAAAGCGGTGCTCAGCGTGGGCCGACAACGAAGTGGTGGGACCTACTTTGAGCTGAGGTCGAGGCTAAACGGGCCACTACGGCCCAGTAGTGAATACTATAGTACTATTGTTTTTCTTTTTGTCGCTTTAAAATTAAGTTAATTAACTGTAACGCTGCAAGCCTGTAATTAGTGGGTGATTCCCTTATCCTTTAATTTCTTTATTGATTTAAGAATGTTTATGGAGAATATTCGGCGGCCGCACTTTTATGCCAAACCAAATCTTTTCTTCAACAAAGGTGGGATCTTCCGATTTAGCTAAAAAGGCAATATCTGTATTTGCACACTTCTTTAAATTTATATATAATTAATAATTTTTAGAACCTTTCATTTCATTGATAGGATATATATTTTGTTTTCAAGTTTTTTCATTCGTTTTTAATTGCCAATAAAATGAAAAATAATACTAATAATATCCTAAAATTGTCGACAAACAAGTAAAATACTAAAATTTTCTGCGATTGAAAGATATTTCGTGGACACCTAAAAATGTACCATTTGTGGGGAAAAAACTTTACTTTACTTTAAAGATGGGCTAATGTTATTTTGTTTACACTAGGCCTTGATATATAACTCGATTCTTCTTATTTGGGCTTTGGGCTTTGGGCTTTGGGCTTTGGTTATGTTTATAAATAACATTTGGGTCCAAAATGATCAAAACAGAGTGATTTGAAGCTCCAAAGCTAATAGAATGATGTAAGTTATGCTTACGTTTATTATTTTTGATAAATATGAAATTTAGGTCCATTGGCCTTTTCATTTTCCTTACACTTACAATGTACCATTTAAAATGCAGTGAATAGTAATATTCTAACTCGGTTTTGTGTTGATGTCTTACATCTCCATATGACTGGTTAACACTTTAACTACCATCTCTATGCGTTATATAATCTTAGCTAGACATAGTACCTGTACAGGGTTTATTTTTACAGTGGGATAAAAATCTAAAAGTTGGAAATTTAACTTAAGGACATGGTTACTAACTTTCTCCATTACTAACGCGGAGTTGTATATTGCTATTCTCGAGCCAGTTAGAGACTTTATATAGCATAAAAGGCAGCAAAATATTTTGGTTTTGATGAGGATTGAGGAATCTATAAGTAATGTCTGATTTGAAAAGAATCATTTGCGTATTGACGAATACTGTTTACCATAAGCGGATACGCAGTAGGGACATTGATGTGAAGTTGTATTACGTCATAGAATCATCTGGAGATGTTGTAAGTTGTGTAGAATATGTTTCTCCATTTAAGTGAAAACTAGTAGAGATATGTTTCAGCTGAAAAGTGAAAAATGTTTTATCTTCCCTCGCTTTTACTCTACTAAATTTACCTTTCATAGACTCACTTGCAAAAGTATTACATGTGAGTAAGTTTAGTACAACATTAGACTTATTTAAAAGACAAAGTTGTGATGTTGATGTCATGTAGCACTACGTTTAAGTTTTTGAGGAAGTTCTCATTCCCGATAAAGATATCAAATCTAATGTCAAGGTGGTAATCTCAAGGAGTAATTTTTTTGGATGGACGGTTAAAATCACTTTGATCGATTATTATGAACCGTAATTTACCAAGATTCAGTTCTGGTTTGATGGTTTGATACCAAAAACACTATAATGTTGCTTCACTAGATTTGGTGGACTGAAGTTGACCTGAGAGTAAGAGATCATTCCTAGTCTCGTGTGTAGTACATACAAACTCATGGGTTTTCATCATTTTTCTCGTTTGAGTTTCTTTGAAACTGAAAGCTAGAAAATTGTATTTTCTCATTCATAGAATCCGTACAAGATTAAAGTTCTGTACACCGAAAAATATGAACTCTTCATATTTTAGCTTGTAGCTCAAGCGATGACATGTAAAGAAAGATTTTTGTTGTTTCTATTATTGCACGTAAAGACATACTGAAAATAGGATATTGAAAAATAAAATTTGCGAGAGTGAAAAAAAAAGAGTAAAAACAATTGAAACGATATATCCAAAAGCGAAACGAAAATTTATTTCCATTATTGTTTTTGTAATTCAAAAATCAAATGATATATTTTTTAAAACATCAAATTCAATTTTGTATGAATCTAATGATATTATTTTAATACAACTACTACAACTACACCACCACGTTTAAAAAAAAAACAGATCGACAAAGCAACAAAGAAGAAAAATATGACAATACAAGTAATAAATAAGAACCTTGCTAGGTGAAAGCAAAATCCTGTATGAAAAAAAATACTGTATGAAATTAATAGTTAATGTTGATATTTTGTTGGGTTCAGTTATTAATAGTAAACGTTTTAAATGGGAATTGATATATATATTTTGGGTCAAATTAGAAATTAATATATGTTTTGGGATTCACCTCCCCTTGTTTTTAAGCAAATGTTTTTAAGAGATATAGATTTTCGTTGGTTGTAATTTTTTGCGATTCCCTTAAATGATAATACAAAAAAAAGGAAGAGTATTACTCAATAGTCAAAGTTCCTCTGTTTTAGCTGTCTTCTGTCTCGTTCTCATCTCACATGAACCATACCTTTCTCTAACATCACTCTCCTTTACACAACCCCAAAAATAGACCTCTCCTCTCTTTCTCTCCGTTACATTCTTTGCTCTCCCCCAAAAAGGATCTCACTTTATTTACACTAATAGCCTTCTCTGCTTTGCCCAATGGAACAACTAACCCCAGAGCTCTTCCTCGTGGCCGGTAACGCTGACTCTTTCGTCGTCGACGACCTCCTTGACTTTTCTAACGACGACGGCCAAGCTGACGACGGGTTTGACTCCTTTCCTGATTCTTCCACCGTCTCCGCCGGTAATCTCACCGACAGCTCTAACTCCTCCTCGCTGACCTCCGACGGCACTGGGTTTTCTGATGACCTCTGTGTTCCGGTAATTTTTCTAATTCACGCCAAAAAGGTCTCACCTTTACCATGTTGGTTTGTTGATTCTGGAAAAAAAATCATGATTTTGTAAATAGGTCACTCTGATTCAGCTAAATGTTATATAAATACAGAAATTTTGAGTTTTCTTTTCAGGATTAGGACTTCGTAATAACACATTTTTGTTTTTCTTTGGTTATCACTTAACTTATCAGTGTGAGCATTTAGCTGAATTAGAGTGGCTTTCGAATTTCGTGGAAGAGTCTTTCTCAAAAGAAGACCAAGACAAGCTTCACTTATTATCCGGCTTAAAAAACCCCCAATCCACCGGGTTGACCCAGACCCACGAAATTAAACCCGAACCCGAACCCGAATTGGATCAAATCTTCATTCCCACCGACACCGATGACTCGAACGTCACCGTTCCCGCCAAAGCCAGAAGCAAGAGATCACGCTCTGCAGCCTCCACGTGGGCATCTCGCCTGTTGGCAATCGCCGGCTCCGACGAATCCAACCCCAAGAGGAAACAGCTCAGAGTAAAAGAACACGAAGTCGCCGGAGATATAGACGGCGACGGCGGAGAATCAGGAGGAGGGCGAAGGTGTCTACACTGCGCGACGGATAAGACGCCGCAGTGGCGGACGGGACCGATGGGTCCGAAGACATTGTGCAACGCGTGCGGCGTACGGTACAAATCTGGACGTCTCGTGCCGGAGTATCGACCGGCGTCGAGCCCGACGTTCGTGATGGCGAGGCACTCGAACTCTCACCGGAAAGTGATGGAACTCCGGCGACAGAAGGAGATGCGAGATGAACATTTGCTGAGTCAGCTTCGGTGTGAGAATCTCCTGATGGATATCAGATCCAACGGTGACGATTTCTTAATCCATAACAATAACCACGTGGCTCCTGATTTTAGACACTTAATTTAATATGGTATTCCACATGGACAAAACTCGGAAGAACTTGTTCTTTCTGGTTTTTTTTTTTTTTTTTTTTTTTTTTTTTTTATTTCCCGTTTTTCCTTTTAACATCTTAATTATTTTCATTTCTTGCAGACTACTTACTGATATTTAAATAACGTTTTCGTTTGATTCTGGACTTCGCGAAATTCAGAATCGGAAAAAATAAATTGTAGACAGACTAGACCCCAGATAAACAACCATCTTAATAATGATATGTAAGTAAGCAATTTGATTCTGGTTATTATACATTTTAAAACAATAGCCATGAAAATAATTGAACTAGGCCGAATCCAAAATGAATGAATCCAAATAGTTGTTACTACTTTTCTCTTCCGTTGTTATTTTGTAGAAAGTATTTTCACAAAATCGATGTGGTTACGGATATATAAGAACTATTCCTTTCAATTTAAAATGAATTCTTTAGCAAGAAAAAAAACACGAAACGAATAAACTTTGAAATTACATAATCTTTCTTTAGAGGAAGAAAAATACGTAAGATTTTTCTAATCCGGTATGTGATACATGCAAGAAACTCAAAGAATAATAGTGTCTATTATATATACTGTACCTAAACTTAAACTTATTCACCCAAAACGCTGAGATCCAAGGTGGATGCTCACTCATTTTACAGATGGGTTATTATAATTTATCAAACTTAATTGTTCCCCGAACTTTAACTTCTTTCACGTTTTACATTCTGACAATATTCGAGGAAATCTGATGCTTTTATTTTTATCTGAAATAATTTTAGTAAAATAAAGGGACAAATACAAATTTGCACAGCACAAAAGTAAAATGTAAGTATTATTGCCTTAAATAAATGAAAATGGAGCATAGATTGAGGTGCTCGTCACATGCATTCTCATGCAAACCTAACCAGCAAGTGGGAGAAATTTAATGTATATATATCGTATTATATAATTATAATATATAACAGTCATCTTCTTAACCAACATTAATATTTTATCTTGATATATATAGGCAAATGTCCACGACTCCACGGACTGTACTCGAAATGTCTAATGTCCAAACATAGATTATTTGTTTGTTTATCGTATAGAAAATAAGTTAGATCACCTCTCCTTATGCATTATCCATCACATAGTAAGTTTTTTTGTTTGTTTACTTTCACGTTAAGGCGAGTAACCTTAAAATACTAATATGAATAAGTATTCGCTGTAGAAATTGATCATTTGTTTGTGTTAACGTTTATATACATGTATATAATCAACTATCTAAACCGCATAAATTGTTACTATGGTCTTAACATAACTTTTTTAAAAAATTGAGAGGGATAATAAACGCCTAATACCTTGATATTCTACAAAGGGCCATCTGATTTTTAGAACACTGAACATTAGCTAGATATTGTTACCCATGTTGTTATACATTATAAATTAAAAGGGTCGTAACGCACATATATTTATGGAGTCATGTGAGTATGTTGCGTATACTGTATGCCATGTGGTGCCTATATATGTATATAATTAATTATGAGGAAACCTAACGGTCCAACGTCGTGTTCTGAATTATAGGGAAGACTTCGACGTCACTCAAAGAAAGTACCAAAAGCAAATCCATTATAAAGTCACCAATATATACGAATAAAAAAAAGGCATAAAAGACAATTTAAAAAAAAATCTTTAAACATGACAAGGACGATATTTATGCTACACGTACACATGCAAACGAAATCTATGCAAGTAAAACCATAATCAGAATCATTTATATGAGTCTACGTAACGTACTAGTCTACTAAACATTGAGTATCGTATAGTACGACGGGAAAATAGAAATGTCACAGTACGTTTCTAGTAATGTGCGGTAGCTTTAAAATGATGAGAGTCAGAACTCAGAACATGTTGGTACTAAGAAAGTTTTAGATTCTCAGAAAAATCATTGTTTCGTACAAACATTGAGAAAAAATATTCGATGTACATTTTATAGAAAGAAATTTGAAATAATAAACTTACTTTATATATATATGTACTGAGCATGAGTTTTTCATTTTTTAAAAAATTGTTACGAAGATTTATAACAAAAAATGGTTTATTCGGTTCAATTTGATCAATCTTGATGTGTTTAATTCAGTTTTTGCTTAAGTTTAAATTTAAATTGATTTGGTTGGGTTATGTGTCTACCCGAAAAGATAGTATAGAACAAAGTTTCTCGATGATCAAAAATTTGGTAAACGCTAATCAGACGTTTGAATAAGACTTATCGTGGGTAAATCCAATTAATCGAAGTTTAGTTATAGCTTAATTAACCTTTCTCCTTTCATATTTGTATGTTCCTTTCCTAGATTTTATTTGTATGTTTCATTTCAATAATTATAAATATGATTGACCGGCCAGTTTGAGTAAAATCAAAGCGCTCGATTTGTTTTTGACCGCAACGGACAATTTTACTACATGAATAAAAATCACAAATTTTGACGAACAGCAGCTTCTCATTGTCACCTTGGATTTGGAATCCAATACAGTATGACAACGGTAAAAACTTGAAAGTGTCAGAAAGTAATCGAAAGATTTACATGAACTCGACTCCCAATAATCCAGTAGAAGAACTATTAACTAAATTAACCAACAAGAAACCTTGTTTAAATCACTACAAAACAACAACTACCTTGCCTGAAGTAACATTATCCTGGAGAAATCAAAATCCCATCGGAGCTCCGGCAAGAAAAAGCTCCGGAATTAGAGTAAAGCCAGCCTACCGGTTATGGAATCAACCAACTCCTTCGGTCCTGCGCACACAAAAAAAATGTTAACGAGCATGTTGGCAATCAACATCTTCCTTCAAAACCTGTATTTGTTCTGCTTCAGCTATAATCAGAAGCTAAAAAGAAAACTATTATCTCTACCGGGTCCAACTGCAAGAACCGTTCTTGATCCAGCCGCAACCTGTGAAAAGAAGACTTTAGTTTCCAGAAATTTTTTTTAGCTACTCACTACCAAAGAAAACCCCAAAAAAGTAACACACTCCTCATGTTTCGATAATTCAGAAGGTGTTTCTGTTTTCTGTTTGGTTTGATTAGTTGAATGAAACATGTATTTGCCTACGAATGGACCATCTTCTCAAGAATTAATCAAGCACGAAAAAGTATAAAACTAAGACTCTTGAGGTTACCTCTGTTCTTCCAGCATCAGCTACAACAAAAGTCGGGAGGCCAACGCTCTCAGCCGCCTCTGTGATCTTATTCCTGATAGCAGAAAAAAAAAAGAATGTAGCTTTCAAATTTGATTGAAGATATATGTCCTGATGTGAATTCTGTCTGTTTCTTCCCACAAGAGTTTCACCTGCTTACATTTCTTGCTGGTTTTTGCAACTGACGACTATCTTTGGTTGCCCGTATTCCTCCCATCGCCTCAGAAGGTACCGGTCGCTGAAAGAATTATGAATAAACATAAACATTAAGGAACAATAAATATCATTCTTTACCAAGTGAAACCACTCACTACAGAGGAAATCACCTCTGCATTAACTCCGCATACATGCCCGTGGCAGCATCTGCAAATATTGTAAAGAAAGCCATTTTACTTTTGGGAACTAACACGAAAAATATTAGTGTCCAATCTCCAAACACATATCATACGACACTTACGTGCACACTGTGACGCAATTTTCCCCGTTCTCATCTTTAAGTCTTGCCTAACTACTAAAACCTGTGATCAGAAGAGGATCATACTAGTTACACAAATTTCTGATTTTTCTCTTCTAATCTTGAAATCTGACAACATTTCAAATCCTATCACCATACTTTGATAGATTATGGCTGTTTGTATTTCGATGGGTAGGTTATCTATGTCTCTTTCATTAAGCTCGATTCCATCTTTCAATGGGGGTTGGAGTAGATAGCAGCTCGTATTGTCACTAGGATTTGTATATAGATATCTAAGTGATAATACTTTACTGTAAACCAACAGAAGCTAGAGCCAGAGACGAGAGACTATGGCTACACCAGAAGAAGATCAGACAAACCATTTTAAGCTCTTTGTCACTGGCATTGCTTGGTACGGAACTCTGCTTCTGGGTCTTGCTGGACAAAAGTCTGCTCTTTCTCACTGGGAGCTTCACTTGCTGTGACAAATCCAATATCATACCAATGATGAAACCTATCACAATCCCTGGTATGAGATTCTCCGTCCTAAAACTCCCAGCTATCGACTTCCTCTCTTGTTTCTGATCACATTCACCGGAAAAACAATAATTAATCCACAAATTTACAAAACCACAAGAGGATATAGTTAAGTTAGACCCAATGATACATTTTCAACTACGCATAAGAGAATCCTGACTTTCTAAATCATAATCCACAGTCTCAATTTCCCGTGCGAGAAATCTTTCAATTCTCTAGTCTCGTCTCTTCTTCTTCAGTTTCCCCAGTTCTTATACGAAATTTGCTTCTAAGATATTCTCGGAAACCAAACACTAAAAGCTAAGGAAAAAACTAAGGGCGAAATGAATACCTTAGCTTGAGGCTGCGAAGAGTTTCCAGAAGAAGGCCACATGGTGTGCTCCTAGCGATTGTCCTCTGCGAGAGAGTAACAAAGCTAAGCCTTAAAATCGAATGCCCATGACCATGAAGAAGAAAGGGAGATAAGAGAAGCTTTTGAAATCGCAAACGTCAGGGTGTCCATTTTCCTAATTAAAAAACGACGAGTTGTTTGTTTGGTATAAAATTTGCATTCGGCAAACATAATGGGGCCATTAGAAATACCTTTCAAAGTATATGGCTACTAATGTAATTACTCTAAATATCCGTCTACCACACGGTGCGTTTTGGTATCGTCTCTGTATTTTTCAGGCGACTCCAGCCTCTGAGAACAGTTCGCTCCTGAAGCTTGAAACCCCAATCAAAACCCTAACATTTCTACTACCGGAGCTCCGGAATGCCGGGTATGACTTCGGAAGCCGGCGACGGATTACGAAACGGTGGAGAACTGGTGCCGTTTTCGAAGAATACAAAAGCTCCGGTGGTGTACCCTCTTCGCTACGGCCTGAAGTCTCCGGTTCATAGGCTCTCTGTATCCTGGGGGTGCGGAAACAACCTACGTGTTACAGTATTACGGAATCCGGATTCACACGATGATGACGGAGAAGTTGGTGGTAAGGTGGTAAACGTGAGGCTTAGCGGCGAGGATGGCGAAATCGGCGATGCACAGTGGCGAAGGATCGCCTATGGATCGGTCTCCCCGTTTGCGCTTCTGCAGAGCAGGAGAAACTCAATCTCCAGTTTGTCCAGGATGGATATGAGTCCCTCTCTGTACCAGACTGCGTGGTGAGGACACTCGAATTTCTTACTCTCTTTGTAAATTTCCAGAAAATCCTGGAAACTAAAATGTGTTGCTTTGTCCATTGGAATTTTGCTCTTGTGATTAGATTTTCTAAAACGTGTTCACAATGCATATATATGGTATCAGGTGGGAATACGTGATGGAATACAGCAAGGATATAAAATCTCTCCTTGGTAATTCAATATCTTCCCCAGCTCCTTTGTTTGAGGACCCAAGATCAGTTATAAAGGTGAGTAGGCCTTTCTTGGTTCAACATTGTTTGATCAAGCTTTTCTTTCTTATAGCAATTTGAGCGTGGGGAGCTTTGTCAGATTAATTTTCCCGTTGACATACATTTGCAGACTGCTGAGGAACCGACTTCTTTAAAGGCTGCGTGGGAGTTGATGGAAATGTTTTATGCAGACAAGACATGTCTTTCTTGGTTGCCAGAACGCCTCGTTGATTGGCTATCTGTAATTAGTTTCTTCCTCCATCACTTAAGCTATCTTCATTTTGGAATATGTCACCTATTATTGATAATTTGTATGTCATGGCAGGATTACGATATCCTCCTTTCAAGCTCACATCCAACAATCTACTCAAAGCTCGAGGATTTCCAGAAGGAACTTGTTGGCCTACAGGTCTAGTCACACCCTTATATGTATTTTATCTCTCCAAAATGTCGATGGTATATACACTTATATGGTGGATATATGGTCCTCGCTAAGAAGTCGATTGAAGAATTAATAGTTACTGGGTCTATGTGCATTTGCAGGCCATCGAGGATGATCCAAGATACTGGGAAGTGATGGCATCCGCTTTATCAGTTGGTTGGCTAGAAATAGTGGTTCGTACTTTTTGGTTACTTTTAATTTGATTTTGAACGTTGAGATTTGAGGGATGAGATACCCATGCTTTTAATTTCAGGTGAAGTTGTTACACTTGCATGGTTCTTATCAACTAGACCAGCTAGGAAATCGTGAGGTTGGTAAAATTTAAGTAGTTCATGTTTGAGATTCATGGCATTTCATATGGAGGGACTATCTACATTCTAGCACCCTTGTATATGCGCAAACTCCTGACTATTGATAATGTAATACAAATTTGATTAAGTAGACAGAAAATGGTCTGGTAGAAGCTGTAGCTGTTCTCATTTCCAAAATGCCACGGATGCGTCCAAAACTAGAAGCCGGGAAGTTTGGTGAATGCTTTACAGCAAAGCCTGACTTTATGAAGGTACGGTGAAAAGATGTCTGTATCATTCTTTATCTTTTTAGTGTTGTCTAGACTCATCTTGCCCTTTATTTTCCTTTTTGCTAGACACGAGAAAGATGGCTGTCTCAGATAACTAAACTCGAGTGCAGTGCCTTCTGGATTCAGTGTGCTCACCATCAGACCCGCGATGGCTTGAGAAATATGTTGAAGATCATGATGGGAAATGTCGATTGCCTCTCAGCTGCGACCTCTAACTGGATGGAGCTTTTTGTTTCACATTTTCTCCATCTCAGGCCATTCACGAAGGTGAATTGCTTTACCTGTTGTTTGTCAATTTTACATTTGAGCCGTGAATTTTTTCACCCAATCCCTATTATACCACGTTGCATTGCAGGGACTAGATGGCATGCATAATCTTGCCCAGAAATCTGTTCAGTCAAAGCCAGTTAACACTTCCCATAAGCTTCTGAGACTGCTTATTGGAATTCTTGAAGAAAATACTGAGGTCAGAATATGGATTTTAATCCCAATCCGAGGTGTAACTGTCTCAGCTTTCTGTCACCCTAATTCGGCATGGTGTTATTGAATGATGCAGGTTGTGCTGGCAGTGTGTTCTAAAGAGTTTGGCTCCTGGTAGGCAAGAGGGTTCTTGTTACTAACTCCATTGAGAATGCTATATTGTTTATCGATACCGATCAGGACTAGAAACATCTTGTGTTTGTTGTTAGGATGGTTGCACATGCGATGGAGTTATTGACAGCTGGAAGCGATGAAGAAGAATTTCTTGTACATGAAGAGCAGCGAAACTTGGGTGGAATCAACATGGAAGAGCTCCATAGACTTGTTTATGCTCAAGTTCTTTCTTCTCATGCTTTGACTTGGCAGGTACTTTTTCTTTCATGACTTGTCCTGTACCTTTCCTGTAAAAATACCTAGCTAAGCCTGCATAGAACTTAATCGAGTTGGTACCTTTTGTGTATGTTTTATGTAAGAAGCTATGTGTTTGAATTGTTGCAGATAGCTCCTGTTTATCTGTCATCGTGCGAGAAGCAAGGATTAGGCTTATTAGAATTGCTGTTCTGTAGGCAGCCAGTTCAAGACAGTCAGTTGCTTATTAAGGTCTCATTTATTCTCTTGCACTTGTACATCTATTTCCATTCTCTGTTGTTGCTTAAAATCTTAGGATTTTGTCAGAGATTGTTCACATGGTACTTATGTTTCTCCTGATGCAGAGTCTAGAGATTTGCCGTCTATATGAACTTAGTAATGTCAGCGCTAAACTTATGAAGGTATTGATACTATACTACAGCTGTGTTTTCTTGTCTCAAAATTTGGGGGAATAAACTAGAAGAACATAGTTCATCTAAAGTAAGTTAATGGTGTTCAGATATCTGGAGTGCATCAGTGGAAACATGGGAGGAAAGGGTCTGGGATTTTTTGGCTTCAGCAAGCCCGGGACGAGCACTGTCTCAAGGTGATTTCGCAACAGCTGTTTGATTCTGTTGGCAAGTCATTGTCTGATGAAAGTCTCAAGGTATATATATGCTCTCCAAGCTATACTCGAAAGACATTTCATTATACATATTTGTCCCCTTTTTTGTTCTTTTCATTTCTTACTTTAAACATGCAGCAATGGGAAGGCCTGGTCGAGTTGCTGGGTTCCGAATCGCAGATCTCTGGTGGTCTTGATTTTCTTCACAAGTATATTAATCATTGCTCTCTCTCTTTCTGTTGCTAGTGAATTTTTTTGAGATAAAAACCTGTCCTAAAATTACTATCAATGCCATAATTTCCAGGTATAGAGATTTCAAGAGGTCACTCAAGCTAGTCCATGATGGAAAAGCCATAGATGCGGCTCACGAAGCTGTGGAGACACTTGTATCGGTATGTAAATAAATACATCAAATTTCTTAATTATACTTTTTTTTCTTCTACAGGAACATTTTTAGTCAGGTCTAATAACATTGCTTTGCCATTTTTAATATAACTGCAGCTAATGAAGAGCCCATCCACTCCTCAACGCTTCTGGCTTCCGCTTCTGCATGATTCAGTAAAGAAGCATATCTTGTTTTCCTTTTCCTTTGATTTCGCCGCAAAGAGAATGGCGTAACTAAAATGGAGTTTGTGTGTCTGTGTGTTTGCAGTTGAAGCTGTTGAATTGGCCAGAGCGTTCGCTGTTGAATGTAACGCAGACGAACCTGATGCTGAACAAGTTACAAGAAGTATCAATTGCAAGGCTTAGACCAGGATTCGTAGAATCTGATTTGTCTGCCAAAGCCGTGGGTTCCGTTAGACTTGCTCTTGCAACCAATCTCGGACGTGCTTTTCTCGAAGAATGTTAGCGCGCCGGTTTGATGCTACATTTACGAGCTCTTTATGACTTTGGTATCGTTCCAAAATTATGGGGTACTTTGTGTTCAAGAGAGAGTTTTATGTTGATAATGAACAAGAGATGGTGTTGACAAGTGTTTGGATGATATATGTCATGAATTTTTGATAAACTATAAATATTTGAGTAAAATTAATTGTTACTTTTCATCGATTTTGTTTGTTCAATTTCTTCAACATTCTAAAAAGCATTAAACAATTTTTTTTATATTATAGATTATAATTCTTTTCTTATATTCTATGTTTGAAATCTATTTTACTATATTTTAAGTTCCAAACTAGAAATTTAATCATTCTAAAATACAAAGTTAAAATAATTTTTTTTTTTTACTATATACGAAAAGAATTTTTTAATCATTTTTTTTATTTACTATATACGATTATAGTTAAAATAATTACGGTTAAATATAAATTCGATTAGTATGGTAATAGTTATTTGATAATTATAATTAATATCTTATTTACATGAATAAATAATTATATACTTTGATAAAATATAGTAAAAAAATAAAAAGTAACTATTTTAATAGTTATATTTATAACTAAATATTCATAAATATAAAACATATAAAATTTATTAATTTGGTCCAAAATATTATAACTAAATATTCATAAATATTTTAAAAGTAAATGGCTGCATCTTTACTGTTAGTTGACAATTTTGATTCAGTTATGGTTTATTAACGATTACACTTAATATTTTTTTTTTAATTTTAATTAATATATTTGTATGGTTCATGGTTACGGTTTGAAAACGGTACGGTTACGGTCCAAAAATACGGTTAGATTCGATTTTGGTCATGGCATCCTATCCAGTATCCACCATCGAGAGAGGGTGTGTTTTCAATTTAGCCATGGCGACCAGAGCTTTGCTCGCCGTTATATCTGCTTCTCCGCGCACGATCAAAATCAAAACCTCAGTTTCTTCTTGTTCGAGTCTCCGTTTGCAAAGATACAGTAGAAAAACGCACCGAATAGCTCGAAGTTTCTCATCTGACACAAACCCATCCCTTCTTCAGCCGCCCGACGTCTCCCGTCTGGCTGAGACAGCTCGAATCTCTCTCACTCCGGCCGAGGTACTCTTTCTCCTTTCTCCAATCGTTTGCCGTTCCTCTTTGGGGGTTTTGACTTCTTACACTGCTCCTCTGTTTTGAATTCAGATTGAGGAATGTGAACCTAAAATTCGTCAAGTCATCGACTGGTAATCAAAACTATCTCGTCTTTCGTGTGTTTCTTTCAAGCTTATATTGTCTTGCCCAGATTGGCCTCTGAATTGGTGGCGAATCCAGGTTTGGGCAGCTTCAACAAGTTGATGTTAACAGTGTGGAGCCAGCAATTAGAGCAGGTTTTGTCTGCGTTCATCATTTTTGCCCATACGAAACATTGATGTAACTTAGGGACTTTTCTGAAATCAACTAGTTGTAAAGTAAGATTTGTTGCATCAGTCTCTCGCGTGTATGGCGAATCATGAATTTGTTTCTGTTTCAAGTAGACTCGTCCGTATAAGCTAAAGATTAGCACTTGGCTTATAAAGTCTCTCTAGCCTAAGCAGTAAGCACACTCTGTTGGTAAAATGCATATGGTTTTTTTGCTGTAGTAACAATTCTTGATCTCAAGTTTGATCCTTTTGGCAATCAGGAAGTTAACTGCCTATTTTTAATGTCTTGTAGAATTGGAAGGTGGAAATTTGCGAGAGGATGCTCCTGAGACATTTGAGAACAGGTTTGATCTTCTTACTAGTTTTCTACATGTGGGAGGATAGAATGATTTCTGGTGTCAGAGGTTTAAGCACAACCATCTACTAAAGTTGAGACTTTTGATATATTCCTCAAAACAGGGACGGTATTAGAGCTTCCATTCCAAGCTTTGAGGATGCATATTTAAAAGTTCCCAAAGTTCTGAACAAAGAGTGACTTTATCAGGTACTCTACTCTATCCACGGAGGAGAATATAATAAGTTATCCGCTTATGATCTTTAGCTTATATATATGTTTAGAATCATAGTTGATGTTCTTTGTGCGTGTGTGTCTTTCATGTGCAGCTTCTTGGGATTTTGTGGCTCAAGAGATTCATTCTCAGCTCCGGTTCTTGTTCCAGCATATGTTTTTTTTTGTTTTTTGTTTTTTTTTCAAGTCTCAAGAAGGCTATTTCCCTACAACATTCAATTTCAGAACTCTCCACAATACTCTATATGAAACTAAACTCAATCCATTTCGAATTCGGTTCATTGTTTTACAACAATCAACTTCATTCTTTTACGACATTCAAGTTCAGAACGTTATTTTTGTCTCAGCAGTATAATGTGGATCAGTGTAGAAAGAAAAGAAACAGCAAGAGAGCATCCACACAATCACCGAACCACTAGAAAGTAGTATTTGTAGTGAACACAGACATCATTTAAAACAACAAAACAAACATCCGAGTCCGGATCATCTGAAAAGATCCCATCAAAGTAGGAAAAAAAAACACAAGATGGATCTTGGAGTGGGAATCAAATACAAGCGTGTGCTTTTTGTTCTCCCAGTCTTTCAGGATTATTGTTTCCTTTTTCCTAGTTTCCTAAAGAGTTAGCTGTATATTCACCTGAAAAATCTTTGAATCAGCTTGTGCACCAGAAGACGCCTTTTAAAAAAACCAGCTCCCTTCACCGTGTTTTTGTAGTAAATTATGGTTTTGGTTCCGTGTCTTAAGACTGCCAGAACAGCTCGGGGTCATCACTGTACAAGGAGTAATCTTGTATCTCGAGATTCGCAACGTGCCAGTTTACAAGTTGGGATTGCAGCACTTTGCACAGGAACAGAGCAACCGGGAATATCCACCATTCGTTCTCGTCCCTGCCCAAAAACAAAAATGTTACAAGTATGTCAAATGTTAGTTGATGATGCAAGCAAGAAATGTGTTGTTAGGTTTAAATTTGATGGTCCTTCTCACATGCTAATGTTCCATGGCTGGAGATACGGGATCTTTTTTCCAGCTGATGAGCCATGGTAGTGAATATATCCACACACGAACGCAACAACCTGCGAGAAAACCCACCAGGCACAAAAGGTTTTTAAATCATGTAAGAGAAGGAGACTGCAGGAACCAGAGAAGGTCCATTTCAGGCTTCAAGAAGTGAAGTAGTGTTTGCATAAAGGTAGAGTGAGAGAGAGAGAAGTACTTACGACATTCACCAGAGATGTGAGGTTCCACAAAGCATAGACGCGAGTGCGTCCAGCAGAACGCCTTGGTCCGTGGCTAAACAAAGCGCTGACTCCAGCAGGGAATGGGAAAATGATGCTGAGAGGCAAAATAAACAAAGCCACAAAAACGTCCAGCATTGATATGGAGTAGAGTTGGAGCAGCGTGAGTAACATTAGAGTTACATCTCCTAGGAGTAGCACCGAGATGACTAAACCCACCAGATCCTGTCAAAACCGCGAGAAAATTCAGTGGTAAGAAAAGAAGAAGACGAACATGTTTGAAGCAAAGACGAAAATCGCAGGGAGGCTTTTACCTGATGGCCAACAGGTTTTGTGTTATGAATCAAGAAGGCGACGAGGGAGAGGACATCTTTTTCTTCTTTGAGGAATTGTAAGCTACCGATGTCTATGATTTCTCCACAGTCTCGATGTCTCCCATGATTGATTGAGTTTCTTAGAGATTGTGTGAGATGCAAATTCTCCCTCAGATCACCAGAGGCGTTTTCAATCTGTACGCCCCACGGGTGCTGTTGTTCTGTTTCGTCAACACTTGTTGCTGATGCCACTTCATCTACAATGGTGTGAACAAGGATTCCATATTGGCAAGACGAAGAAGGCGATGCCTGAAACCTGGCTAGGTCAACACGTACGCCATGTCTTTTTAAAGCAGGGTTTCCATGAGTTTCAATCCATCTCATAACCGACCGAAACGTTGACCTCAGTTTCCCTTGCTGAACCAGACGCAGCTGCGCGTTCAGACCAGCGACAAAGCGGTACCAAGTGGTTGGTGGGACCGCCTATGAAAAAAAAGTGGAACAAATTCATTACGACACTCAATACATCTAAAACAAGAAAGACCACACGACCAAACAGAAACAAGAAACCGACCTGGCTCAAAAGACTGGTCAGAATATCGTCACTTTGGAGTGAGTAATAGGCCATGTAACTTCCATCGCCTCCAAAAACTAAAGGCATTGGAAATCTTTGGTGAACAGGAGGAGGAAGATCGTTTCTCTTTTCATCGCCACCAAGGAAGAAATCAAGATGAGCTAACATTAAATCAGGAGTAGCAGCAACCTGCACATCCCACATCAAAAATTTCTCATGATTATTCTTCAACCACTAAACTTTTTTTCTCAGTTTGTAAGTAGAGGTCCATTGGATAATAGATGAATATGTTACCTTTAGACCCTCATATAATGCCCTTGAACGACAAGAGCGTAGACAAGAATGGTCATATTCCGATCGAACAAAGTCACGGAGTTTCTGAAATTTCAGTCTCCGGCGTGATTGCTGCCATGACCACGCAAAAGGATAGACAAGAACTGAGAGCATGATGTAAATCGCACCCTCCCACCACTGATATGAAGCTACAGCATTGATCTCATCAACAAATCCATTGAACGCAGCTTCATACCTGGAAAACAAATCAAACTTAGGAGACCAAAAGCATAGGGTGTTTCACAAACAACTTTCAGGCATGAACACACTATCGCCAACAGCTAGTAACTAACTTACACAATCTCCTTGATTTCCTCTGGGGGAGTATGAGAAAGATGCCAAGGTTCGCTGAAAGTATTAGGACCTAAGAAATAGATCCTATGCATGTGGCCCTGTGACTCCTCCACTCTGCTTGTCTCCATCACCTAAATTAGATAAACACAAATATTAACTATAAAAGGATCATCTGAAAACAAATGTATGTTGAAGGGAACTTAGTTTGTCAATTGAGACACATGTTAAGGGGCTCAAGATTAAAGATTAAAGACTAAGCGAACCTCATTCAATGACTCAAGGAACGGAAAAGAGTGATCAATCTGAGAGCCATGGTGGGTTGGGCCAGCGCCGTGTACCTCCTCGCCACTAACAAATTTCATCCGGGCGACACTAAAAACAAGTGCTAGTAGAAGGAGCATAACTACTAGAAGAATGCCAAACAACCAGGGTCCACCAAATGTGTATATTAGCTCCTCAAGTGTAGTGTAACAGTGTGGCATGTGGTATCTATCCGAAACGCATTGATATGGACAAGGTGTTTCTGCAACACCACCTGTCACGAAACAAGTAAACACACAAAGAAAGCTTATGTCAGACACACTGAGGATAATAAACAACCAATAACAGGAACGATAAAATCAATATCACTCATTTCCTATGGTCATTCCATTCATTTAAAGCTGAAGACGTTGGCTTGCAGTTTTGTTATCAAAGTTTTCTGATTCAAGATCATAGACGGATAACTGTTTCTCATACAAAAGTACCTCGAACAGTGACATATAGAGCACGATGGGGAAGATCTCTAGCCGGACAAACATGACAAAGAGATTTATCAGATCCAGTAACATTCTTGTAAGTTCCAGCTGGACATTCCTGTAGAATATTGTAACATGCGGATGGTTGAAGCGTGTTAAACCAACGAAGTTAGAGTTTGGATAAAACCAAAATTGTTATGATGGACAGAAACAATAACAGATACGGAAGTTCAACACTACCTCGCAGTATAGACCATAGAGCCCTTCTGGACAAGCTTTACCAGTCAAAGTTCCTGCCTCTCCAACGTTATCTTCACTGGCACCCAACCCTCCTCTACGATTAAGTATAAAAGAAGAAAAATTAGAGTGCTTATAGCCAAGACTGAATTATGTATCAAAAAGGCTCCGAAAAACAGTTTGCTGTGTATGAACTTGTTATAACAAACCTTACATAAACTCTTCCCTTTACTTTGGCGATGTGATGATAGACATCACCAGTAGGTATGTCAGACCAATGAAAATGAATCCTTCCACCACTTCCTCCACCACCTCCCTTTAGACTACCATTTCCTCCCATACTAGAGAGAACCGCAGAACTTGCTACATCAAGTGTGCGCAAGAACAGAAGTACCGTTCCACCTGAACCACCACCAGGTCCTAAACTTGAATTACTTATGCTTTTCAGCGTCTTCCTGGGACTCTCACCATCAGTTGTTATCGAGCCCTCAAGTGACAAGCTTGAAAGTGGGTGCTCAAGTGAACCAATCACTTCACAAATTGGAAAGAAAAAAATAATTAGAAGGATATACTTTTCAGAAACAGTTAGTATAATGACAAGAAAGATACTTCTTTTTAGAAATATCTGAAATTTGAAAATATGACTTACCAATGATTCCTCCACCAGCAACTGAATCTGTTGACTCCTCATTTCCACTTCCACTGCCAAGTTCACACGGTAGATCTCTATTTCCATAAGAATCTCCACCATCGATGCAAGTATGATTGTAACAGCCGCTTCCTCCTTTACCACCATGTCCACCACCACTTCCAATACCGCTTCTCAGAAACCTACCAGTCCCAACTCCACCTTTGCAGCCTGAGTGCATGACCAAATCTCTCAAAAAAACTGGTTCACATTACAAATAAAAATCAAGAGAAGCATCTTAAATGAGAATGTGTGCTTACCCATCCCGTCTGCGGTTATTGTTCCAGAAGAGCGGACAACAACGGTTCTTGCCAGATGGAAATGGACAACAGATCCTTTGATGAGACCTTCAACAGTTATATCCTCAACTCGGCAGATCTGCAACAGAGACCAGTTAGAACATGAAAACATCTTATTTATCATCATATTTTTTTTTTTATGTAGACAAGCACCTGAAGAGTGAATGGAAGGGATGAATTGACATTGCAATCCTCCGGCGGGTGGAGTAGTTCAACAGGGCAGTCTTCGCGTTGACAGTAAAGCTTTGGAGTGCTTTAAGAATAAACCAAAGATAAATGTTCAGTACAATAAAACAAGATAATATAAAAGATAAATGACTTTTGTGGAAGGATCATCCGAACCTTCGGAACTTACAGGCCACCAGTTGATACATTCTGCAAAGGACCACGCAAAGCCGCTCCAGCTCCAACCTTCACAGATCATAGAAAATAGCTTTTAACAGAGTCCACAAGCATACAAAGATGTGATGCAGTCTATCTTTTCTTACCTGAATACTATAAAACAGAGACAAAATCAGACGCTGCGCTTCGATTGTATCTCCTGCGCCCGTTAGATTTAACAGACCCTGCCCATGTACTCCGAGGTTTCCATTGGATTGTATCACAGATGCCTCCTGTATAAAAGAAAAGAGCACATAATAGAACATCAAAGTTGTCTACTACTCAGCAGCGAGACGAAGAACAGGTTATTGCTAAACACAGATTACGATACCTTGAGCACCAACAAATTACTAATCTCGAGCATTGAAGTCCCCAAAATTGTCACTCCGCCACCATCTATAAACATTCTTGACTTCAGCATCAAGAACACCTTGACTGTCATTCGTAAAGCCCCAAACACCTGATACATAGCATAGAGATCAACATCGTACACAGAAGAAAGAAAAACTGAAGGAATTTTTTCAAAAAATCATTAGCCTTTTCAGAAATAATCGGGTACCTTGATAACAGAATTGCTCATCAAGAGTTCCTCTGCAAATAATTCAAATTCCGAAGAAGCATAACGAGGAAGACCAAAGTTCAACTCTCCACCATTTGACAAACTTATTAATCCTTGAACCTGTTAAACCAGGAAATATATATAAATCCATGTGCGACCTAAGACAATATTCTTGGAGGTTTCAAGCAAAATAAGTAACAGAATCTATCTAACTCTCAGTCACAAACCTGGACACGGCTCCAACGCAAGGGAACACCAACTTTCGCCATGTTTTGGATATACAGATTAGTGAAGAGGCGATGGTCAGGGTACTCCAGGAGAAGAGTGTCTGTAAATGTTGTCTTATTGTCGTTGTCAATAAATAGGCTCTCTGAAATAACATCATACAGAGTCCCAGCAGCTCCGGAATTATCTTGGCAACCAAAACTACTTCCTCCTACAAAAGACGAAATTAGAATTGAACTGTCACAAATACTAATCACGATGAAACTTCACAATATCAATAGAAAGCAGAGATCTTAAGGAAACGGTTAAAGACAGAAACTGAAGCGAACCATGGATAAAGATTTGAGGGTCAGAATGGCGACTGAATATATGAACCGATACTCGTCCACCACCTCCACCGGCATAACCATCACCTCCAGATGCACTTATACGACCATTTCCTGCCCTGTGGCATCAACCATTAACACACTATTCAGAGATCAAATCTAGCACCTAAGGAGCGTTTATACCTCTCCGCCTACCAAAGCCAATACAAAATCTTCAGAAAAAGGCAATAAATCAAGGATTCCTAAACAGCCTAAGACCTTTGCATTAATATACCATCAACCACCAAATGTGGAACCACAAGAGTCAAACTCTTTATTTATCATTTTCTTTACTTCACAAAACCAATGCAATAATCAAAACTCTCGGCCATTAAAGAAAGAAAGAAACCCCATTAGATGTTTAAAAGAAAGAGTAAAGAAAGAGTGAGAGAGACAAAAAGGGGAAAAGTAAAGAGTTTTTTACATTTTGTGTGCCATGACGAAGATGCTGCCGCCGGACCCACCACCACCTTTAACTCCTCCACTGGCCCCATCAGCCAAAACGCTGCCGTTTAACCCAACATACCCTAAAATCTCCATCGCCACCGTTCCGCCGCCACCTCCACCGTAATCAACCTCATTGCTCGTCGACCCACCTCGGCTTCCATATATCTCCGGCTTCTCCAGAGACGACCAGCCGTAGACATTACCACCCCACACATCCTCCGGAATCGTGGTGGTCGTATCCGACAAGCAGCAAGCACCTCTTCCGCCGTATCCCCCACCGGCTCCCTCCACTCCCTCTGGCGTACCGCTCGCATTCGGCGGCGGTTCCCCAGCCAATCCGGTGGTGTCCACGGCCGACCCAATCCCAAAATCAGCGTTATCCGCGGCGAGACGGAAAGTTCCGGCGATGACCGTCGAATTCTCAGCCAATGTGAAATTCCCGGAGATATTGACTGTAATCGAACATCCCGGAAATTGGCAAACCAATCTGACGCCAGGCAAGACGTGGAGATTTCCCTTACCGGAGATGTTAAGGTCACGTGTGAGATTCAAATCGGCGACGAGTTTACACGTGGAATCCAACGAGCCAACGCCGCCTAGGTCGTCAACACAGGAAACCGACGATTTATCATCATCCGGGCGAGGCTCCGGCGCCGGAGAAGGTGTCGGCGGATTGTAGTCTCCGTCGAATCGAATCGCACGCTCGTCCCACGACTCGATTAATTTCGGATTTGCAGATACCAAGTAGAGGATGAAGAAGGCGAAATGGAGACAGAATCTCACCATTGAATGGAATTTGAAATCATCTAAAGACGAAAACCCATGCTTAAACGAATATAACCGTTGCGTCTCTACGAAACTCGAAACCAGAAAAAGGGAAATTGAAACCCAATTCAAGGAACAGAGATTGCGAGTAGATGATACGATGAGAAAGATTAGAGCTTTGAAGCCGATGCTCTGCGTCGAAACAGAGGAGGGAGAAAGGAGATAACTTTGCTTTGTGTAGAGAGAGAGAGAAGAGCAAAGAGGTTGAAGGAAGCGAGAGGCGCGCTTTGTTTGGTAAATGCTAAGGAAATTTTTAGAAAGCTATTAGCTTTCGCGGTACACGTGAGACTTTCTTTTTATGTTAACGAATTAGTTTATGACACGTGTTCATCTAAGCTACCAAACTGAAATGATAAACCTTTGTTTGGTCTTTAAACTTTACTTTAATCGTTGTGTTAACAAATTTTTAAGGCTTTTGTTTTGTTAACGAAAATTGGAAAACTTCAGTTGAGAAAAAGCGAAAACTGCAGAAAGTCTTTAAACCATTCAAGTTTCACAAAACGAATCTCGATTTATAAAAACAAAATCAAGCAACTGTTCCTTTAATTAAAAAAATCTCGAAATTTGTGATTATAAAAATTACATATTGTTAATCGACTCTTTAGTGATTTTCATAAATCAAAATATTCAAAATTTGAATAATCTAAGATATTTGTATTTTATACGTCTTCGTTGAAAGAAAATATAAATTCTTGACGGGACAAAGAAAAAACTTCACCTTAAGTTTCAACAGAAATCTTTAAAAATACCCACTTGCCATTGACTACAGACCATAATGGGCCAAAGTTTCACTATACCATTTTCAAGGCAAAGGTTCGCAGTGTTTTTCGGTTCACGTATCATTAGTTTGTTGTGCGTTACATGCGAACATAACAAGTTAAACTTTTAGCTAAAATAAATTAAAAATTTAAAAATAAGTTAGAGAAATTAGAAATCTAGTTCAGTGTATAAAAATATAAAAGTAATGACAAGAGGTTTTTGCGAAAGTGATAGTTTAACGGTTAATCATTGTGGTTATTTATTTCTGGACTCTATATTTTATGTGTTGGAGATTAATGTAGATAGTACCTGTCACGTTTAATGATAAAATATTGATTACAAAAAATAAAAAGATAATGACGACAATAATGTGGAAGAAATGACGGATCATCACAAAGGGAAACTTTTGATTGGGGATGAAGCTACTGTGTACATAGAGGTACGTACGTGTGGGTTTGCGAAGCCGACATGAAGCCAAATGGCAAAGACAGTAGTTTGACTTTTGTTCAACGTGTTTGGTTGTTGAAGGATTCCTCAAAGAGGTTGCGTGTTGGTGCGTTCCCACTATACGCACGAGCTTTACATTCGTCTTTCTTTCTTGCTTTTGGTTTGGTGTCATTTTATTTTATGTTAAAAAAATGAACAAAGCGTAGCATTGGAGGAAAGCTTTTCTGTGTTGTTGTTTTCTACTTGTGCTTTATATACCGAACAAGAGTTTGATCATATAAGAGGGTCGGAGTTTAAAGATTTTTACTCTCCAACTTGAAAATGAATCGATCGAACATTCTTCTTTTCAAAACTTAAGTGAAGACATTCTCAAATTATTATTTGTTGGAGAAATTTCGTCTCAGACAAAATGAAAATGAAGATCAGTATGGTTTGATTTTGAAGTATTAAGAGATGATGAAAAAAATATTCTAACCAAGTGGCTTTTTGATAACCGACATGATCGTCGTTTTTTGTCGAGTGGTTTTTTTTCTTACCGGATTTAAACGGATTAAAATGGTTCGAATTGAATTTACCGGTTCGTCCGGGTTTTAGAACATTCCCAATTTTCAAGGACAAGACCGGCTAATTTCTGCCATAAACCACAATCACAAGAACAAGCAGAAGGGAGGAATCACAGTGGGAGAGAAAGAAATGGTGAACTATGTGCTTAAAATCACCGCTGATCTCGAGAATCTCACAAATCTCCAGCCCTCCGGTGGCTGCGACGACCCCAACTTTCCTTATCTCTTCAAGGTTTCCTCCACTCTCGCTGGCTTTGATTCTCTGCTTCTCTTTTGCTTTTTTGGGTTTTCTTCTCCTTGTTTCGGTTACTTGCGTATTCGATTAACGCTTCTTCTCCGTTTGCTTGGTCCCTTAAAACACTGGATTTGTTTTGGCTGCTCTCACGGTGCTTGTAGGATTAAGTAAAAAGCTTCTTAGGTTTTCCTGTTTAGGGTTTTAAATATCGCCTTGTGTATTAAATTTCTGTCTCGTCTGAAATCCCTGGAATTGAGCTTAATAAAATAGTATAAATTACTTTCAAAGGTTGTAGAAAACAATTCTCTCAAGTGTTTTTGTTGCTCTTCCCCAGTTTTTTAATTTCTGTAATGACAATAAGTGAGCAAGATCAAACACGAATAGTATGGCCATATTACTGAATACTTATTATTTTGAGCCTTTGTCAATGATGGCACAGTAGATGATACTCCTTGTTGTTCTTGCTTGTGTACATACTAATTCTTTCTTGTCTTCTCCCCTCATATTTAGCATGGAATAACTAACAGAATTATTTTTTTCTGGGGATTAGTTGAAATGTGAAAGATGCGGAGAGGTGACACAGAAAGAGACATGTGTGACTTTGAATGAGACATTTACTCCTCCAGGAGGTAGGGGTACTTGTCATCTTGTTCAGAAGGTAATGTTGTTGATCCTAACTCTTTCGTCATTTCTTTGTGCTTTTGGGTTGAGTCCATGAAAGCTAAATGTCAAAATTCCAGGAAACCCATATTTGGCTGACTGCTATGAATTTTGGCAGTAATTTATCTGTTTCTGCTGAGACAAAACCTTCTCGCTTCGCATTCTGTTAGGTTGTATAGTTTGCTTAGATTTGTTGCTACAGCTGCACAATACTCTTAGTACAGTACATTGAATTTTGATGGTTTGTCTCCATGAGTTATTCTAGTGTAAATTCTGTGGAAGGGAAGGGAATGTGACAATGATTCCAGGAAAAGGTCGACCTTTAACTCTGGAAGATTCCGAGGCAGGAGAAGATGCTCCTCTTATGGTGTTTGACTGTCGGGGCTATGAACCCATCGATTTCGGATTTGGTGGATATTGGAAAGCTGAAGCTGTAAGTTTTCTGATCTTCTAACAGCAGTTTGTCTGAACAAAGAACTCCGCTATAGTCTCTTTTGATGCTCAATACTACTTTAAGCACTCATGAGTTGGGGTTCTTTTGGGCAAAACAGGAATCTGGAACCAAATTTGATGAAATAGACTTGTCGAGCGGAGAGGAATTCACAGAGTACGATGAGAAGGGCGAGTGTCCGGTTATGATTTCAAACTTCCGTGCAAGCTTCAGCGTCACCAAGTAAAGTCGGCGTCTATTGTTCTATTTTCTGATTCTCTACGCACTTGATGTATGTAAAAACCATGACAAGATCATTACTCAAGTTCTAATAAAGTTCTTTATGCTCTGAAACTGGTTTCTTATGTTCTTAGCTGTTTCTGCTACAGAAAACCATCCAAAGTTTGAGAATTTGCAAGAAGCTTACATATTACAAACAAACCTTGAATACATCAACTTTAGTTCTACACGCTTTTGTACAGGGCAAGTGTATAATTTGGAATTACAGACTGAAGAGGGAGATGATAATAAGATATACAGAGAGAATAATGATACAATCATTACAAATCGAATAGGAATATATTTAGGAATTTGGTAGTATAAACAAATGCGAAGAGGGTTTTAGGGTTTTATGCACTGAACCCGCGGTGTAGAGAGCTCCAAGGACCAGGTGGGATTGTAGTACAAGCCTGCGAAGCTGCCTCCTCCATTTGCTCCATTTGGATCCCCGCGTTGCACATGTTTGCAAAGGACCTCATGTGCTTGATACCGTACTGAGACAGCGATCCACAATGTCTCTCAAAAGCTCTCACCTGAGCATACAATGAAGGTTATGATGTTATTAACATCAGTCAATGAGTAGAGAGAATTTGAAACTTCAGCAGCAACGCAAGTGTTTGACTTCTCAGCAGCCTGGCTAATAATAGAGTGCTGGGCTCCACAAACTGACTTTTCTACTATCTTACATTATGATCGATGTGATTCCATGGCCATTTCAATACGTTTTTCAATACTGGCCCCATATATAGAGAGGGAGACGTATAGAGTTGATGATAAGTTTTGGCAAGTAAAAAGTCTCGAGGGACAGGTGTAATATCTATTTACCAGACTTTTAAGGCAGATCCAGTCATCCACGAGTGGTTGCCCAGCAGACCGTACTTTGTTTAGCACCTCAGGACCTTCGGAAATGCCAAACAAGAGTTTCCCGACGAGTTTCACACTGTTGTCAACATGAAGTCTGTGAGACATGGCTTCAAGGACTTGCTTCTGAGCTTCTGTTTTTCTTGTGGACCCTTCTGGTGCCTTCCGGTACTTCATGAAAATAATAACATGCAAAAGAATTGTATTTTAAGTAATTCATCGGAACTACAGAAACTGCCGAGTATCTATAGATATGTAAAGAAGAATGCAAAAAAAAAGAACCTTATCCCAGAAATGGACAAGATCTGCGTCACGCTGGTTTGTAACCCTTGAAGGTGGCGTCAGTGAATTCGCACCCAGAAAGGTGAAATTGTCATTGGCAGGGTTTGTTCCCATGTAAAGGTCGAGATTATCCTTGCTAAGTCCCACATCGCCATACTGCATGACATGAGAACCGTAAGCCGACCCAACACCTGCGGTCCTCGTTTTCACCTGAAAACACAAAGACACACTTATGACGCAACACATTTGCTAACAATCTAATCTAGTGGAGAACATTTCAGCTCAATCATTCGTTTTACAGTTGAGAAAATTTCAGCTCAAACATTCGTTAAGTTTACAAGAGAAACTAGCAGCTTACAAGTTCGTATTGTTGGTGCAGAGTCTCAGTCTGTAGATTGTGCATTCCACTGTTGTATGTTAAACAAAGTATCAAAATCAATACATGGGACATTTCATAGAGATTCCTTAACATGAGAAACAGAACACTGCTACTCTTCTTCAGCTTACCTATCTTCCATCCAAGCAACACTGTATAAGTCACCTAAACAAGTTTCATACTCAGGTGGAGGGCTAGGTTCCTCTCCAGGGCAATAGGTACCCCAACTGCTTTCTTCCGCGTTTGATGCAGTTGTGGCGTAGATGTTTAAACCCTCTTCAAGAAGCCCTTCAAAGATACTTCCAGATTCACAAGCTTCGAGATAAAACACCTGCAGGTTTGCTTCGTTTGGTTTTTCACTCACAGGCAGTACCAACAACAAATAACATTTCAGAGGAACCTTGGGGATTTACCAAGCTTTTGTAGGTTCCGGAAGCATGCTTTTTCTTCAAGACATCATTCAAATCATTTGCATATAGGTAAGGAGAAGTCGGCATCCCTGCAAATAAAAGATGAAACAGAAGAACCATCAATGATGATATAACATTGGTGAACATTATCCTACTGTACTTTCTGGGTTTTTAACTAAACTCACCGAGAACTCCAGGACCACCATGGTCGCTGTAGAATATGAAGATATGATCATTTGGACCGCTATCAACAACCTTGCCACTTCCCCCTTTAATGGCAGTCTTGTTTCCAAGGATCGCAGCAAATAGATTATCAACAGTAACATCATCTCCAGTGTAATCCTGCCACACGAAAATTTCCCAACCAATTAAAACCATTTTGAGAGATCGATGGCAACAGCATATAGCTAAAAACCCAAAACCAAGAGAAAGCTTAAGACCTTGGGAACTCCTTCATAGACATCTTTTCCATGAGGGCTGTTGATAATGATCCCACGCCTTGGATTCTCTTCATTATTTGCAATATCATCATACATGAAAACCACAATATTCTCCTCTTTCACTCCACCTTTCCTCAGAAGTTGATAAGCATGGCAAACATCGGCCTGAAAAGTTAAGAACTCATCAGAATCTAAAATAAAACAAAACTCTTTCAAGAGTTTCACTCTGTGCCAATCTAAGCTCATGAATCCATAAACCTATCTAAACATCATAGGAATCCCGCAGATATTCGAAACCTGGGCAGGATAAACTAGTTGCGAGATTCACAGCAGTAATGGATTCAGCTGATGGTTAGAACCGGAGACAAATTCGAAATTCCGATGAGAGAAAAAGAGCAAGGTTTATCAATAAAAGGAGAATTCGAGACAATACTTGATGCCTGTAATTCCAATATCCGCTTGATCCGGCGACTAGAACAGCCCACCTAGTACCAGCCGAAGAATCGCCGTCGTTCTCAGCCGGACGGAAGAACCTAGAAGCTTGCGACGGAAGTTTGATGACATCATCAGGACCTTGTCTTGCGGCGGAGACGGCAACCAACGAGAGCAAGAGAACGAGAAGAGGAACGGCGAGAGATGTCATCGGTAAGGCCGGTTTTTTTGGATATCAGCCGGCAAATGGTGACGTGGATAAGAATCTTTAATCGCGTTCGCCGGGGGACTATTAAATAATGAATCTTCCCTTCTTTTTTTGTCAACCAACAACCAATCAAATAAAATAATGAATCTTTATCTGTTCGGAGAACAAACACGTCTAACTAATTTGCTTTTATAAACACGCAAGCGAAATTTGATTATTTACTTATATAGTTTTAAAAATAGATAAATTTGCACATCTAGGCACATTTTAAAAACTCCTTATAACTTAGATGTGCAAGTTTATCTAATTCTAAAATGACATATTTAACATCGGTTCGGAAATTTTTGTCATTTCTTTCAGGAGGACAAGTCTTGAGACAATGAGACACATGTCAAACTCCCAAGAGCTGCGACTTTTAACAACACGAGCTTGTATTGAAGTTATAGACACTGATAATAACTTATTCAGTGACCAAAGTTTTAGACACTCAGATCGTCTATAACATACTTATCCATTTTTAGATTACGAACATTAACATTTATGTATTGTTTTATAAGTCAGAGATGGAGTGACAAATTTTGTGGGGGCAACAAAGATATATATGAAAAGTTTGAGAATCAGGACAAAAGTATTACTATAAAAGAAGTGAAAGGAATCTTTTTTGGATATCTGCTTTTGTTTCTTTCTGCCTTCCGCTACTTATATTCCTCCACGTAACCGGTAATCTACGCAATCAAAATTCAAGGCATCCATAAATGATATTTTCTTCTTAAATCGCTATTTCGGCTTAGGAATAATTATAAAAGATAATGACAAGATCGTTTATTTTAGATAAATACTTAATAACTTTATAGTTTTAGCAATGAATACTTGAATAGTAAGAAAAGCTTTCAACATCTTTTATAATATTTGGTGTGCCAACTATTGGTCCAAAAATCAGTATCATCTTTGTTAGATGTTATTATCAAATTTATATAGCAATTACAGAAGAGTTTGGAAATAAAATTGAAGTATTCCGATTTCCGGTATCTAGCTCCAATAAATAGATTCCCATGACGTGTGTTCGTGTTATGTCCAAGTCCTTTTTGCTTTTATCCCACGACACACACCACTTCTAGTATCTAGGATCATTTATTTCCTAAATCACACGACTTAACATACAACGGTATACATAGATATATATATATATATATATATATATACAGTCACACTCGTAGGCAAAACACAGAAGTCTTGAGTAAGCTGTCGTGTCAATGTGTCATCCATCTTTGATTAGTCATTATTTGTTTTTTTTTTTCTCAACTGGTTTTGTTTAATTATATTTGTGGCTGAGGATGATTCTTCTTGTTGAGATAGAGGCACACGACAGAGATGTCATCAACCTTAGCCGTCGGATATTTCTGTCTCCATGCATTAGCCGCCGCCTCTGTCACCGCGTTGGCCGCTCCTGCCTCACTCGCCGATTTCATCACCACCGTAGCCACTTCTTCGTTACTAAGTACATCCCACACCTTTACAACACACAAGAAACAAGAGAGAGTAATTTTAAATTACTTTGAGTTTGGTGTATTTTTGGGCCCGATTTAATTAATAATTGAGGTTAGTCTTAAAAGGTTACTTGGGCCTAAAAGAAAGCAATTATGGTTTGATCAAGATTTTAGTTAGGCTGAATAATAGTAACCAAAATGTTGAAGCCATTTATAACCATAATAATAAAATCTAATTTGGTTATTTTATTTCGATTCTTGGATCGGTTTATCCGGAGTGGTTTAGGGAAATACGTACCCCATCGGAAGCAAGGAGCAGAAATTGGTCGCGAGAGGTGATTTGATGCGTAGAGACTTGAGGAATCGCAATGACACCATAGCTCTTGAGGAGGAAATCACCCAAAGCCCTAGACATGGCTAAACCGGGCCGGTTTTCATGTGGAAGCCATACTCTCAGAATGTGAGGCTCTGCCTCTAAAGCTAACACCCTTCCATTGCGTTTCCTTATTCTCTCTGCTTCACCTGCAAAACCAATCAACCAGAAAAACGCTTAAACATAATGAAACCGGCAGGGTGAATATTGGTTACAAACTTACAAACATCACTTTATCCATAGCATCACAAACGTACTTGGGACACTTGGCTTCAGGTCATTGGTCAACTGAACCACCTTGGTTTCTCCATTCTCACTTGTTCCAATCATAATAGCCCTTGAATCTCCTAGATTTGCCACCATCACTTGATTTCCCTGTTCATCAAATATGGTTGTTTTTTTATTACAAAACAAGATGATTCTGTATTTCATATAAAATGTTTGTTACACCTATGTATGATAAATTAAGTAATTTGGTTAAAACATGACTTACGGTAACAACGTCAAAGAATTTCGAGACTTACATGTTTAACGGCGAGAACAGCAGCAGTTCCGGAGGAAGAGCAGTCGAGAGTGTTTTTGAGTTTAAGAATTCTCTTGTCCATCCCCAAAAGTGCAGTTTCACAAATGAGTTTCCAGTCTCGAGTCACTGAATGATTATTCATATGACCCAACAACAAAGATGGCAATTGGTTTCTTACGATCTTGCTCACCAGTTCACCTCTCTCTCCATGCCCATCAAACACTCCACATAACCCTCCTTCTTCTGTTCCATATCCCTACAATTACAACCATTCATTTACTTTACTTTACAAATATTTACATGGGACAAACATATACTTTTCGAAAATAAATTTATTTATAAGAAAAGGGTAATGATTATAATACCAAGTGGAGAATGGCAGCATCTTGGTTAAAGCCCTTGCCTCCAGTTAAAGAAGAGACAGAACCAAAGTCTCGAGGTTCATCATGTTGTTCAGAGTATAAAACTGCATTTTCTTGTCCATAATCATTTATCTCATAAATCTGATTTCGATCTGTTGATCCTCCCGAGGATAAACACAAACAAAATCCCATTTTTCTTTTCTGCTTTTTTTTTGTTTGTTTTTGTTTCTACGTATGTGAGATGAAAGGAGGTAGAAGAAAATGAAAGAGTTTGATACACGACTTTGCTTATGCATATACTCGTTTATATAGTCTTTTCCTGAATCTTAATCAAGAATATATAAATATATAGTTATTAAACTTTATGGTTTGTATATTCATCTTGATGACTTGTATATTTTTTTCTTAACTAAGTTTTTTTGATGACTTGCATCTTTAGGCATTTAGGAAGAAGAATTCTTCAATTATGAGGCGGTCGATATTCTATAATTTTGGTATAGCGCGTGTAGCGCTGCCGTCAGTTAGAATAAAAAAAAATAGGTAAAAATGAGTCGACCATATGTGCAAATGCGATTCTCAACTCATACTCCGAATTATTTGACATAGTAAATTAAGAATTTAATATAGCTTCTGTAATTATAAGGCAATTATGTGGCTCCTGGTGTCACTTGCAACGTATTACAATTTCAATAAAGTTGAAAATATTATCTGGACTATCCCAATATTCTGTTGAAAGGGCACATGATGCGGTGGCGTGACGTGTGATTAGTATCTTGATTAAACTACTAATTGATTTATTCGAGAATATAATAAGAGTTTCAAGCTATTAGTACATATTACCTGACGGGATTCTTGTTAATTGTCATTGCCAAGTTAGACGCATCAAACAATATTTGTATTCTATTTTTGGCTGTCAAACATTTACTTAGTTAAAGGAAAAGTCATGCATCCAAATATGCCAACAAAGAAAGTTTGCCAAGAATATAAATTAAAAAGAAACTATAATCCAGAATAGAGTAATAAAAAACCAGACAGCTTATTAGTATGATTACTTATCAAACAAGATGATCTCTTCCAAAGTATTCACCAAAAAAAAATATGATCTTCCAAAGTTTTGAGTAAGCCTTGGCATTTGGCAAACTCGGAGATTGGCTTTTTCAGGATCACTTGCTTTTATTAATTCACTATTAATTTTTTTGTTCGGTTTTGGTTTAATTTGTTTTTATGCTAAAAATGTCTAAATCACTTGCAAACGTAAACTAGCTCGTTTTGATTCCTCTTTTTTACTTTTGATTTTATGCAGTTGTTCATTCTTAATAGATTATTTTTTTTTTATGAGTTATGCTCTGCTTGTGAAATTAAAGTTCGGTTAATTAACTACAGTACTATGTCTTTTGAAGTAAGATTTGTATGGATTTTTTGAAGAGTGATTGCTCTGGAAGAGAGTTGTATGGAAGAATTATTGAAAAAGAAGAAAAGAGCGATAGTATTGCAATGCATAATATATTAAATGAATTAAATCGGTATATTTAATTTTTTTTTTTTTTATAAACAGAAGGAGTATTTAAAAACAAAAATGACGTATGTAGTATAAGTATAAATTAGGCCAGCACCCTCCTGGCCTTTTGGACATATCAAACGATACAACTTCGTCAACTCTCACATCCTTTTTATTCAATAATTATATACTTTGTTTTATATATTAAAAAGTTATTTATATACTAATGAACTAGTTGGTCTCCTATTTAGAATTTATATGTACGTAAGTACACGTTATTTAGAAAAACAACAATTGATTGATGAAGTAAAAAGAACGAATATGTATTGATATATTTTTCTTGTTTTAGATTGTAGTTTTGACACCTTTTTACAGTTTATTTATCAAGATTCACGACAGTGAGATGTAAAAAGTTAGGTTAATACCGGTCTATTAATCATCATCTCCAAAAACTCAATTAGTAGACTTTCTTCTGGCACCCACACATATTTGTGAGATGTAAAACGTCAACCTAATTAACAAACCAATTTGACGTTGTGTTTAATTGTTGTTTTATTTTTCATAGACTACCCCGCTACTCAATTAGAGAGGCACATGATGTGTCATCTTGTAGGATTCCAATCTTTGATTAATTGGATTCCCAATTTAATAATTTAGTCAAACGTTAAATAAAAAAATATTCATTTTTCTCAAAAATTAAAAATACACACCGTCCGTACAATTACAAAAGGGCTCTTGTAGTATAGATATAGCGAGAGAACGAATGTTGTCCATGTTGGCATCGTCATCCTAAAAAGCCACATGCATGGCGACATTCTTTTTATTTTATGTTTTGGTAACTTTTACGTTTATCCTAAAGTCGTGAACTAAATCTTGTGTGAACCAAAATTTCCGGACGTATTGTCCACTAAGCTAATACACATGACAAGTTTACGAACAATACCGTACGTTGCTTAAGAAAAACGTCAACGGTGAAGAGTTTTCTTTTGGACAGGAGGAAATAAGCCACATGAAGTTTTGGTCAGGATTGTGAGTGATTGTTAGAGATTGTAAATCACAACTCCCAAATAAACATTATTATTCAGACTGTCCGTCAATATAACATATATACCTAGTAATTATACAGTGATTAGAATCGAAGTACAATGATATATATACATCAGTGGCGTTACACAAGCAGCCTATGGGAACTATGTCAGCATCCACTTAAATTTAGGTTAGCAAGTAGCAACCAGGTCAAGTTCAAAAAAAAAAAAAAAATGTAGCAACCAGGTCCATATCGCTCGCCTTTATTGTTTAACTGTTGATAGATACTATATGATATACATATACTATAAATTACACATTTACGGTTGTTGTCTTCTTATATTAAGTTTGTAACAATGGCATCATATTATATAATGACATGAGACGGCAGAAGATAAATATACTTTTCAAACAAATGATTCATGTGTTGACTTTGCAAAACTCAAAACGATTTATAAATAATTCGAAAGCTTATCGTTCTCAGAACCACACATTTTCCATAAACTATATCCATGTATTAGTTGCGATAAAATAAATCATATGAAGAGAAATTAACAAGGAAATGAAATAGAAATCGAGAAAGTAATTAAACAATATTTTGGCTACTTTGTGCAGAATCTATTCATATGAGAAGTTTTCTGATATGCTTATTGGGATACAGATAAGAGTATATTTATCTTCTGCCGTCTCATGTCATTAGATAAGAGTATATTTATCTTTGTGCAGAATCTATTCATATGAGAATCTAAACATCAGGTAAACATCGTGAGTTCCAAATTTGTCATCCAAAAAGCAGAAATTGAGCAACATAAACATCTAAAGAAACTCCAAAGTTAAAGACAAAGAAGAATGAGGATTGGAAACCTCAAATCACTTCTTCTTGGCCTTGAGGATCTTCATATCCTCTCGAAGGAGATGCAATGCCTCTTCATTCCCCACCTGATTCTTCTCCACAGCATCGTTTGTCCTGCTCAGTGCATGCGTCAAAGTCACAATGCCAGAGACATTTGCGTCGATGGCGTTGGAGAGCCAGAAGTTTCCTCTTGTTGATGGCAGATCCGTAGGCATCTCAAGCGAGGGTGGCTGAGGTTCCACCAGCAGTGAAGGCAGCTGCGAAGAAAAATGGGACATATGTCTCTGCAAAGTGGAGACATGCAAGTCCAGGTGCAGCAGCATCATAGTAGATGTCCGAGGTCTTCTCTTCCCATTTACCAAACTTGACCCAACGATCCTTGAAGTTTTCTGACTTGTTCATGTAGTTGGTCAACCTGATTGCACAAGCAGGCCTCTTCTCACAGTTCTTTTTGAGGAACATGTGAGTCCATCGGATCGATGCAAGCTTGGCTGCTTTGAGCCACTAAGTGCTCTCTCGGTTAGAGGATGAGGAGCAAAATGAACGACACCTGCCAAATCAAAAGACCCAATCTCAAATCTCAAATACAGCACAAGCGTTTACCATAATTCAATTTACTTTGTGCAGAATCTATTCATATGAGAAGTTTTCTAATATGCTTATCGGGATACAGATAAGAGCAGTTACATAACTCAATGATTTAGATGATCTATATAAATGGTGTTCTTGTTTTGGTTATACTATTATTCAAAAAGCTAACTGGTTCGATAGGAAGAATAAATATTTACTATTGGAGAAATAATTTTGTGGATACAACGCAGATTTGAAATAATTCTCCCTCTTCATGTGCAAGACATATGTGATTTACATTCTAGAATTAGATGGATTCACTTACTAATTCAATTTTTCCAAATTATTAACTCTTTCTCTCTATTTTTCAACAGATGACTGTTGGATAGTTGCAACTATCTCTTGTTGATGAGATGTGGTGTGAAGAATGAGGTGTAATATTGGCAACTCCAAAATTCTGGTGGTACAGAGTTAGGACAAATTTTGAAAAAGATAGATTTATAATGATGGAAAAAAATATAAACGCCCTTGTTAAAGCATTGGTTTAATTGAAGATCGAAGGTTGAGTTGATGATCAGAATTAAGAAATTGAGCTGAAGATCTGTGGTTAAATAAAAGATTCGAGGCAAAGACGTTAAGATGATGACATTTTCTTTTATATATGTTATAACATTTTTGCAAATAAACCTAACTTTTTTGTTTTGTAAGCTTTTAATATTGATATTTTAGTTTTGCAAATCTTTGATTTTGTTTTCATAATATTTTCAGTTCTATAATAACAATTTTAACCATGGCTCCAAAGTCTTTGATGCAATGCTTCTTTATTGCCGAGCTGATTCTTCACAACTCAGAGCATGCTTCAAACTAACAATGTGAGAGACATTTGTGTCGATGGCATGCATTGGAGAGTGCAAGAAGTTTCCTGCCGTTGATCGCCGATCCATATGCATCCCAACCTAGAGTGGCGGTGGTTCCACCAACAGCGAAGGCAGCTGCGAAGAAATTTGGAACATAGATCTTTGCAAACCAGAAACATACAAGTCATAGTGAAGCTGCATCCTAGTATATATGAAAGAAAGAAGAAGAGATCAGAGGTTATGTTTATGTATAGTGAGAAACAATATAGTTTTAGTCTTTGAAAAAAAAATATAGATGTCATCAAAAAGAAACTAAGATGATCTCTCTTCTATCAATTTGGAATTTGGTTTCAGGTTTGGAACAGGGTTTTGAATGTTGTATTGAAAAGTATATTTGTGAAAGAGGGCTTGGCCTTACTGTATTGCTAAATATGATTAAGTTACAAAAAAACTCACGAGGGCTTGGCTTCTGTGATTAAACTTGTGATGCAATTAGTGTTTTTTTTGTTTGTTGCGAAAGTGCAATTAATGTTTAACTAACTCGTAAAAATTATTCAAGATCATATAGTTATATTATTTTACATGGATCGGATCATACAGTTAGATTAATGCTAAATATGATTAAATTAAAAAAATTATTGTTTTTACTTGGATAGCTACAAGACTACATTAAATATTGATAAAAGTCGCCTACTATTTTGTTAAAAATAAAAAAAAGGAAGGCAATTATATTCATATGGACACTTGTGTTTCTCACATGATGGACTTCAAGTATTTCACAAACTTAAGACAAAGATACAAAAACAGTGTTCTCAATGGCTTATGGTCTGAGTATTGCTCCCACTGAAATGATCTTCCGCACTTGCTACCTCAAGCACAGGCACCTTCTTTGCAAGAGACTTGGGGAAATCGAGATCATCTTGAGCACATCTTTGCTGAGGATGCGATAACAGTATGGACATGGGCTTGAAAACAGACCGCACAAGCCCTTGACCGCTCTCAAAGATGTAACCTTCATACTCCGAAACATGTTCTACCGCATCAACAAGAGAGTCATACACATCTTGAGGACAGTTATCAGGACTCGGTTTGTCGTGAAGGTACATAACATCCAAAGTGAAGTGCTTCTGGTTCATGGGCCAATCATGGGTTGGTCTCACGGATGACCTGCAGTATATGAGAATCTGCAGGGGAATAATGTAACAAAATCAGTAAAAATAGCTTGTCTTTTTCTTTCAGGATGTTGCCTGAAGGAGATATCTTTTTTGTGTTGAAAATAAACTTACCACCCTCAAAATTCGGTTTTGTGCTCTGGAAGTTTTGGCTTGTTGAGCCGCTGCACGGAACAGAAGTGTGAGATCCGCTCGACCAGAGGATTTAGTAGCTGACAATCCTCTCAGAGAAGCAACAGCAGATTCGGCATCGCTGGTGAAATCCTTTTTCAGCTGAAACACACAAAAGGCCTCAAATTTATGGCGCGCTCAGCAGAGAGACGAGTGTAGAGAGGATATCTCAAACATTAAGTTTCTTTCCCACACGACAGTAACTAGATGGAAAAGACAATCAATTTTCAACTTAGACGGACACAGCTCAGAGGTTACAAACAATACAAGGACACCATTGTCGGGTAACAAGCTAAGAAACGTAAAATCAAATAAATAGAAGAGATTGTCTTAGTTTCTTTTTTATCCAACTATCCATATAGACTAACAAAAGCAACAAAACCACTTGCACTATAACACAAACATAACCTCCTCTATTCTTCTTACATATCTAAACTGATTCGATATAAAGTTGCAAAATTTCACTCCGATAAACATAGTGAATTCCAAATTTTTCAACCAAAAAGCAGAATTTGAGGAACATACTCAAAAATCGAAAGAACCCCAAAGTTAGGTTGAATCAGACAAAAAGAGAGAAACAGGGAGAAAGTAAAAAAAATACCCAAGCGGCTGATTTGGAGAGAGTAGCGAAAGCAAAGCGATGATCTGGATTGATGGAGAGCTTGTTGTGAATGAAGAGAATAATGGCTTGCTTGACGCACTCCATCCTTATCAAAGGCCTCCCGTTAGTCCCCGTTGTCTTCATCTCAACCGTTGATTCCGCATCAACATCGACGCATATGAGTATGTCCTCGCTGTTTATACGCGCCTGTTTCAGGGCGTACCGAGACGCTCCACCTCCGATCACGACCGCTCTGTCTTCCTCCATTCGCCGTCGATTTTCCTGAGATATATCTCCGAGTGGTTTTTCTGTTCCACTTTGTGTAGTTTTTGTTCGTATAACGAGAAACTAAAAACGCTGCGTTTTAATTAGTTGACCGAAGGCAATCAGTCAAATCGTTATACGGCGTCGTTTGAATATGTTCACGGCTAGGGGTGACCTTCTGCTTCATAGTATTTTATTTTTCATGAACTTGTTTATTTTTAGACGATGAAAATGATTCGAATACAAAACAAATATATGAAATAGTCGAATATAATAAAGAAGTTGTATATACATTTGTAAGATAAACAATCATAGAGTAGTAAATTGCTTTGGTTTGTCTGAGAAATGACAATCCTCGTAGCAATTGCGTAAACAAGCTGTAACTTGTAACACAATTATTCTCTTATATGACCCTTTTCTTGGCTCATCATAACGGACTTTGGCATCCTAAGACTTGCTCCGTTGCCTTGAAGGTGAGTATTGCTCAGCTTCCTCTTGTTCATTTCGGCGTACATGTCTTCTATCATCGGCTTCCATAGCCTAACCCGCGCATTTATAAACCAGTTTGATACCTTTTCATCACACACAACACAACAAGACACACAATCATGTCTCAAATATGTTTTGATTCTAAATAACAATGGGAACGAGATAGGGCATTGCACAACGCAAAGATGAAAGTTTAAGGTGAAAGTTTGGGTGAGACGTTACTTGACTTCTTGTCAACCCACTTCGTATAGCAAGAAGGTGTTTCTCCGAATCTTTTGGGTAACTGCAAGCAAGCGATAACAGCAATGTCACCAACAAAACTACCATGTCATCATAAAAGTTATGAGTTTAAAAAGAGTAAAGGATTGTTTACGGGTGAAGAAAGTTTTGGAACATCCAAGTCCGTAGAACCGATACTGATTTCTCGGGCAAACCTCGTTGCGGTCTCCAAATCTGATGGTTCTTACGTTTCAGCTGCTGAAGAAGGCATTGCTGGTGGAACATTGAGTTCTCTTGAGACTTGCCTTTGCCTCTCTCTAAAACCGATCCCATCGCAAGTATCTTCTTGCTGATTCTCTCTCTCAGGTTCCTGTATAAGAAGGAAATGGTCTGGAGTGCGAATCGGGTGTGTACCTGCGGATCTAGCTCCGTTGCTGCGTGGAATGCTGATACAACCGTATGAATCTCGTCTACGCAATGACTGTATCGATCATCCACCTGAAAGAAGATATCACCTCAAAAAACTTCATCAAATGAAAACCATTTTCTAATATCATGTTAAAATTTGAAAAAAATATCATTACCATTTGTAGAAGGTCCAAGAGATGAGCTTTCTTTGTTTCTAATGCTCTTCTTTGCAATGCGGATCCTGGATCCGTGCCATCAAGAAACTCGGTTAGATTCTCAAAAGAGGAGTTAGCAGCCCCTGACTCGGTTCCTCGAGATGAATAATAGCGTTGAGGAGTATTCTCCAAGCCATCGAGCGAGTATGTGGCAAAATGAGATAGTATCTCTTGAACAGATTGAAGATACTTTGAGCCAAATATAACTTGAGAGACATTAGTAGAAATGTCTTTGCTGCTGCAAGAGGCTTGCTCTGAGGCTATTCTAGTAGATTTGGTAGCAGCACAAAGGCTGATCTCCGAGCATTCATCAGAAACATCTGTGGCAAGGCTCAGTGAAAGCTCGTTTCTTTTGTTTGAAATCAGAAACGGGAAATCTTCTTCACCAAATGTAGACATTACTGGTTCACTTGGACCAACAGCACCTTCCACACATGAATATGGTTGATATTCACTGTTATCTCCAAAACTCCACATGTTGTTTGAGGAATCATCATAGGGTCTTATATGATCAAGAGGATGAAGTGGAGGAGGAGGAAGAGACATGAGCTCAAAGCTTTCGATATTGCGGGTTTCTTGAACATCTATAGATCTTGAAGTAGAAGATAAGTACTTGTTAGTGAGGAGAGAATTGAAGATATCAAAGCCACCCATTTGTAGAGGATCTGATCTGATGGGATTCCATGGAAGCATTGTTGAAAACGGAGTGGAATCTTCTCTTGAAGGTATCAAATCCATGAGTAGAGGACTTTGGTTAGTCATGACATTATCCAGAGAACTAAAAGTGTTGCTGTTGTCCATTGGGGTTTGTAATGAAACTGCATTAACAAGAAGAGAAGTATTTAATACTCAGACAAGGGATTTTCAGAAGATCTCAGAAACCAAATACTTGGAGAATAGTACTAAATTTTTAAATGCTGCAAGAGACAGGAACTTCAATGTAAGAGACTATGTCATTATGTTAACTTTTTAAAACATATGGGTAAATGTGAACTGAAGCATGAATTAATGAAGCAGTAAGAAGGCTCAATGATGCATAGACCAGTAATAATTCAAAGATATCTGAGAAAACAGTAAACTAGTTAAATAAAATAAAAATAAAGCTTTAGATTACTACAAATGTCCGGAGAGCATAAAAGTGTTGAACTTGCCTTTATCTTCCGTCTTCAGATAGAACCGTTGGGAAGATCTCAGAGAACAAAACGTTTCAAACAAAAAAATTATATTAAAATTTCCAAAATGTGTGTTAAAATTGAAGAAGAAGAAAGTGTTTGTTTCTCTTCTTTCTCCGTGAAAGAACACTGTACTTTCACTCCGCAGCTTCTCTATGTTCCTAAAGAGAGCCAAAAAGGAGAAAATTATTATTATATAAAATTAAAGAAAAAGATGATACAACAAAACTGAAAAAGAGAAAAGTGGGTCTGATTAATCTCTTTTGCATGAACGCGAACAATACAAAAAGTTTTGATTTTCTCCTTACCTTTATACAGTTTCATGAAGAAACCCAGAATCTCCATCATCTGCCTCATCACTTCAAAAGATTCAGAGCAATACACAAACAAATAGCAACATGGTTAATAATAAATAAAATAAATAATTTTCAGTGGAAAAGAAGGAGGGCCAAATTACGTACGGAGCTCCCTCTGATTATGACATGAATCCATTTTCATATATTTTTGCAGATCTTCCGACCAAAAACAAATTCTGAAAAAGATGAAAAAAACAAGAATAAAATCGAATCTTACATATTTTTCTTATTATATTTCATCTCTTTTAAAATGTTGATCATAAAGAGAGAGATGAATCTCATTTATTTATCTGAAGAAGAAATATATGGCTGAAACCAAATCCAAAACCAAATCCAAAAAAGAAAATCCAAAGACATGAAGAAGACCGATGTGTTACTGTTTACTACAGAGAAGTGCACTCATTTCTGTTGCAGGCTTTAAATTAGGGACGAGACCCTACATTTTACTATTTGCATGTCCCTATATATATGTATGTGTGTATGGACGAGTTACACAATATAAAATTCGACACAATAATAAGAAAATTGGTTTGTCTTGTTGTGCCGGTTTCAATTATCAAAAATCAGAAGGAGGGAAAAAAGTAAAGAGAGGTGAGATCTTTTTAGCCATTTAAGGAGAATTGATGAGATGTGTGATCCATTTGGGTTATTGCTTTTTCTTCTTTCTTTTCTCACCACTCGTGTCTTTGTGTTGTGCCATCAAATCTCATATCCATTTTTTACGTATATTCATTTTTATATATTTTTTAAGTTTTACGTAACCTTTACAAAATATCAATCAAGTTTGGCCTTTTCTTTGATTGTTCCTTTCTTATCAAATCTCTTTTTCTTTTGGTTCAATGTGTCGTTATATGTAACGTTTTTATTATACTGGTTAATAATGATTAACTCTATTAGTCGTAGACTGTAATAAATATGCATATCTGACATTATGCTCTTCTTATTCAAAACTTAGCTACATTTACAGGTCTAATGTAACAATTATTTTGGCTGTGACTGGTTGTAACAGTTAATAATCTGGCAGAAAAAATAACTACTTTATTATATTCCTCTTATTTTCTTCTTTAATTGCCTTAGTTAGTACTAGTAGTGATGGCTGCTTGGTTTTTCAAAGTGGGTATAAGACTGATAATGGGTAAAAGACAAACCAAGTATTTATGTCCACTCTAGTTAAGTGAGACACTGATCTGGCCATAGTTATTGTTGTTTATTAAATAAATTATTGTTTACTACTGTACCTGTTAGTTCCACTAAAATATATGGATAATCAATAATTATCGATGTACAATCGTACTGTTTTTATTGTCCGTTTCTGATAACTTTTAGTCTAAAAACTAAAGTGACACTAAAAGTAAAGAGGATTAAGAAGAACAAAAATATATATTGGTAAGAACATGAAAAAAAGAAATAATTAACGTGGTGAAACAAGAAGATAACATATGGAGGATGGACTCAAGGGAAGAAGAATATTTGGTATCACACTTATTACTTATTAGTAGAGACCACATAAACTATTTGTTAATATGATTATGGATCCCCAAATTTTATGTGAAAATGATGGGTCCGTAAGGAAATGTTTTTTCTTTCCTTCACGAAGCACGGCTCTCTAGATTATGCACTGAATATGGTTTTAACTTTTAAAAATGCCATTTGCAAGCCCGACAAAACAAATTTGCAGCAAAAGAATATGTGATAAGATAACGAAAATGTAATATTATGGGCTAAAAGCCTCAAATGTCTGGCCCGCTTGGACAAGAAAGCTCTCATACAGCTCTAGTAAGTGAAAATGTAATAAAACCCAAAAAGGGTGAAAAAAGTATTTGGTTATGAATTAATCATTTAATCTGTGTGTGATAATATTGTAATGTTGTAGTTGCTAAATCATTCAATTAGCTCTTGAATTACTGAGTTGATATGATCATCGAATAAGTTGGTCGGCCATTAGTTTCGAAGGTTTCCTAGCTGGTATAGAGATTTGACAATCCTATGAATATGTTGTAATGTCTTAGTTGCTAAATTAATCAATTAGCGTACTATCCGAATTCTCATAATTAGCTTAGCTGAATTAAGATATCAGTTTTTGACCACCCCTCAGAAAAGAATAATATTTTTTTTTTTTAATGTCAGAAGAAAAACTCAAATATCTTCTCTTCAAATTGCCACCACAATGATAAAGTTCTTTTAATTTTCTGTTGTTTTTCTTCTCAGTAATTCTTTTGCTATTGATATTAGTTGTTCAAATAAAAAAAAAACTCAAAAAGGCTCTTAACATTAGCGCCCTATCATTTCTAGAGATACTTAAAAAAATATAGAAAATATAAAGAAAACATATAGCTTAGATAAATGGAATCAACCAAATACATTTAGATAACGTCCATAACCTACAACGACCACAATTACAAGACCTAATTAGAAACAGACTATGTCTTGTTCTGAGTCTGAGATAATCTTTCTTTACATTTCATGTTTCCTCTGAAATTACTTTGCAGAATACATTACATTACAACATACCTACCGACGTCATTTGAACCAAAAAGAAAAAAAAAAAAAACTATCGACGTCAATGTCACAATGTGCCGTGCCTGTTTCTAATTCATCACAAATCACAACAAGGTCCCAAGACTCCTACTTACAAAAATAATCCATGTCTGCATTCACGGATTTGTTAGCTTCATGCATATATTATTTTACTGTATATGCAAAATCAAATTCACGCGAATTTTAGCTAATTGTACAATTTTTTTTTTTTTTAAAAAGTTGGATCATCAAAAAAAGTAATTAGAATTAATCCCTCATTTGATTTGGTTATGTTTTCTTTTAAACATCCGATAACTACGCCTAACAAAGGGTCCGATATTGATATTAAATAATTATCTTAATCAATGACTAAAATGATTCCAAGTATTCATCGCATAAATAAATAATAATCGAAAAAGAATAATCTTGTGTAAAAAAAAATTCACAGTAAAACAAATCATAATAGTGGATTAAGAAAAAATGGGCCTCACATGGGAGAGACGAGACGACGGTACATTTGATTGGATAAATATGACAGACTATTGGATCTGCGTCACTTGATCGTGTTCAAAGATTTGAAAACGTGAAGTGAGTGACGCAAAATCAAAGGGCTCTTTTGTGCTATATACCTCCTCTCGGTACGTTTTCGAAACTACAAGTGATGTGATTTCAACACCATCTTCTAAGAGCAAAGAAGGAAGACGAAGAAGAGGAAGAGGGATGGATAATCAATGAGTCATGGACTGCCCGAAAGTTTCCTCTGTAAATTTCTCGAATTGACATTACCCATTTGTTTTGATCTCTCTTTAGTCTTTTCCTCTCCCTTTGTTGGTTTCGGATTAGTAATGTTTTGGGTCTTCCTTTGGTAGAACAGAGATCAAGCTCTCTTACAGTTGGAGAGCAAATCTGCGCCGTCTTCATACCTTTCTTTGCCATTTTTGATTTCCTCTTCTCCTCCGTCGGACAATGCTTCGATTGCCGCAGCCGATCGCCTCAGATATGTCAGCACGCGGATCTGGCTCGTCTTGCTCGTGAATCTCGATGTGGGTTTTTGTTGCTTTCACCCTTTATATATCTCTATCTCTTTCGTTTCACGAATGTCCGGGTAAATCGTTTACATTTCTGGACTAGTTCTGATCAATGGGTTTTGCAATTTCACTATTTGGGAGCTCAAAAGTTTTGAACTTTGGTCTCGAATGTATTTGCAGTTTCAGTCAATGAAGTTGAAGCTTTGTATGAGCTATTCAAGAAACTGAGCTGTTCGATTATCGATGACGGCTTAATTCACAAGGTCAGTTTTTTTCTTGTGGAAATCTCTCGGATATTAGTGAAGGAGATCCGGTTGATGAATTGCCATTGGTTAACGCTTCTACGTCTTCTCAATAAATTTTCCCTCTGATGACGTGATTCTGAAAGTATCGACATTTTCATGGTTTGCAGGAAGAGCTTCGACTGGCTCTCTTCCAAGCTCCATATGGTGAGAACCTCTTTCTTGATAGGGTGAGTGAAACGTGAAGGTGTCTTCCTTCGGAGAGACAGATTAGCTTTTCATGGTTTCTTGGACTTGTTGAGATGAAAGTTATGGTTTATATATACATACTTGATGTGTTTGCAGGTTTTTGATTTGTTCGATGAAAAGAAGAATGGGGTTATTGAGTTTGAGGAATTCATCCATGCATTGAGTGTGTTTCATCCATATGCACCGATCGAGGAGAAGATCGACTGTAAGGATCGTAGAAACAAAGTCCAATGTCCTACTAGTAGTAGTATATAGCAAAGCTTTATCATATAACATATGTTGCTGTAATCTGTGGCAGTTGCGTTTAGGCTATATGATCTAAGACAAACCGGATTCATTGAGCGAGAAGAGGTAAATAATGCTGTTGGCCATGTGTGTTTTTGAGCTTAATAACAAGTTTGAAGTTGTTAACATTAGGTGCAACAAATGGTGGCTGCTATTCTGAAGGAATCTGATATGATGCTCTCCGAGGAACTTCTGACCATGATTATTGATAAAGTGAGTGTACATATTTGGTAAACATATAGTTAGCAAGCAGATGGGTTGTTTTAAATTTGTTGCCTTTGTGTTTGTTTTTGCTAGACATTTGCTGATGCAGATTCGGATAAAGACGGTAAAATAAGCAAGGAGGAATGGAAAGTGTATGTGCTTAAGCATCCCAACTTGCTGAAGAATATGACTCTTCCTTATCTAAAGTACCAAATCTTTTGTCTCTTCCATCTAAAGATAACCTTTGATTTGTATGATCATTAACATATATCTGTTTGAATTTGAAGGGATGTGACGACGGCATTCCCAAGTTTTATATTCAACACTGAGGTTGAAGACTGATGCAGAACCGTGTCCATGGAGCACCGGTTATCTTTGTCTGCTTGTTCTACGTACTAAACCCGTTTTTTTGTTTTAATGTATTTTAACCCAAATTAGTTGGTGATTATTAGATGTAAGTAAAAATGTGAGGTTTGATGCACCCATTGTAAACTTTTCCATTGAAAGTAATGAAGCCTTTTTTTTCTTTCTAATGGAGGCATAGCTTTTGGTTACTTGTAGATAAGAATGAATATTATGAAAAAAGTGTTATCTACAATCATAGAGAGAGATAGAGAGACATTTATCTGAAACTTCCGAGTTAGAGCAATCACACCAATATGGATAATCATGAGACGTCATTCCATTATTTCAAAATTCTTTGGCCAATTCGAGTTTGACTGAAACAGACTGCTTGACTCCCGTTTAATCGAGTTTCCTAGATTTGATTTCATTAGTTAATCGGTGAATTAGCAATAACACAATAAATATGTTTAGGTCATGTGTGGAATGTGTGTATTGAATTAAATTGACAAAGGAAAGGAAGGATGGAGTGGTACGCAAGCAAGCATTCCAATGTAATGCTATGGAGGAAGTAAGAGAGAGAAAGTGTATATAATGAGAGAACAACAACACACTATGGACAGAATGTGGGAGAGGAGAGAATGGAGAGAAAGGGGACAACATAACACATTAAATGTAAAATCAAGCTGATACTGCAGCTGCGACTTGTTCTTCGTCTGGGAGGAGAGTGCACACCAGCTTCCTGTCTCCATACACATTGTCCACACGCCCTGTTCCACATTTTCATTCAATCGTCACAAACCAGATCTTCAAAACCAACAAAAAAAGAACTAAATGCCCCAATCAAACTTGGATGATCATTATAATAATACCTGTGGTTGGCCAGAACTTGGAGGAGCGGAGCCACGAGGCAGGGAAAGCAGCGTACTCTCGGGAATACGGCTTCTTCCATGTGTCTGCCATTAGCAACGATGGAGGATGTGGAGCTCCCTGGGAACAACCCAAACAACCAAATCTCAACTTCCATGAATAACAACACTAAGTGGAGATAAGATTAGTGTTTCGTTATTTGCAATTACCTTGAGAACGTTGTTCTGGACATCTGCATTTCCTTTCTCAATCTGTGCAATTTCTTCCCTGATCGAAATGAGAGCATCGCAGAACCTGTCTAACTCCGCCTGCAAACGATTCTTATTACTTTAGTTCATCAAGTTGATACATTGAGAGAGTTAGTTCATCAAGTTGATACATTGAGAGACAGACTCAAGAAGAGATTTGCTTGTATACATATTATACCTTGCTTTCACTCTCGGTCGGCTCGATCATAAGCGTTCCAGGGACAGGCCAAGACATTGTGGGTCCATGGAATCCATAGTCCATTAGCCGTTTCGCCACATCCTCTGGTTCTACTCCAGCAGTGTTCTAACATTAAAAAAAAAAAAAAACAATGTTTGAATCCCCCAATGTTCATGATATACATCCCAAAGACAAAAGATTCGACATTAAATTGATTTAGGTTTCACAACATTACCTTGAAGCCTCTTAAGTCTATGATGAATTCGTGTGCTACCGTTCCGTTAACACCACGGAATAGAACTGGGTAGTGCTTCTGTAAAAACAAATCAATAGAAGGGTAATTGCTCTCTCTGTTTTACTCTTTGACTCCTCCAGCAGATTATTTAAGTGCAAAAAAAAGGGTGAAGGTACCTCTAAACGCTTTGCCATGTAATTGGCATTCAAAATTGCAATCTTTGAGGCATCAGTGAGTCCACCAGATCCCATCATGGCAATGTAAGTGTATGATATCGGCAAGATAAGCGCAGATCCCCACGGTGCAGCGGAAATAGCACCCAGCGGTACTGCCTTCTCGGGTTGCGGGATACCTCCAGTGGGTATCTTTAAACATGACAACGGAGAGATTACATCACCAATCACCAAGAAACATGAAAAGTGATGAAGGATCAAAGACTAACCACAGGGTGAGAAGGAAGAAAAGGTGCTAAATGTTGCTTCACACCAATGGGACCCATTCCAGGCCCACCACCTCCATGAGGAATACAGAAGGTCTTGTGGAGATTGAGATGGCACACATCCGCTCCAATGAAACCGGGGCTCGTCAAACCAACCTACACGAACGCAACACCATGCTCTTACAAATTCGACTAAACCTGACATCTCTGTTTGCTGTTTTGTTAAGATATTTCACCTGTGCATTCATGTTGGCACCATCCATGTACACCTGACCCCCATTTTCGTGTATTATGTTGCAAATCTCGTCAATACCCTCTTCATAGACTCCATGAGTTGAAGGGTATGTAACCATGAGGGCGGCTAAGTTGTCTTTGTTGGCTTCAGCAGCTTTTCTCACCTCCTCGATGTTGATATTTCCCTTAGCATCAGTTCCAACCGTGATAATTTTCATCCCGCACATAGCAGCGCTTGCAGGGTTTGTCCCATGTGCAGAGACAGGTATGATGCACACATTTCTGTGATGATCTCCTCTTGACTGGATGATGCATTCATTTATTCGCTTTTTAGTTTATATTCAATTGAAAAGAAATTGTGAAGGTAAAATATTTATATCAAGATTTAGGATATAAGCTTGTACCATGTGATATGCGCGGATAACCATGAGCCCGGCATACTCACCAGCAGCACCAGCATTTGGTTGCAATGAGAAAGAGTCAAACCCAGTGATTGTACACAAGAGATCACCCAAATTGTTGAACATTTCCTACACAAATGCCGACAAGAAATCAGTCTCATTCATTGTTCAATTTTCTAGATCAAACCTCAGATGAATCAAGAAAGTGGCTCACCTGATAACCTTGTGCTTGTTCAACAGGAGCAAAAGGGTGAATGTCAGTGAAACTTGGCCATGTGACTGGCATCATTTCAGTTGTTGCATTTAACTTCATCGTACAAGATCCCAATGGAATCATGCTGTGGCACAGTGAGAGATCCTTAGACTGTAATTTGTGGATGTACCTGAGCAACTCATGCTCTGTGTGGTACCTAATCACATAGTTGAAAAAGAAAAATTAAGATGAGACACTGATAACCCACAAGCAAGAAACCATTCAAGACTCAAAGAAGAGAATAATACATGTTGAAGATTGGGTGGGTAAGATAAGGGCTCTCTCTTGTTAGGCTAGAAGGAATGGAATTTTGAACCTCGGGTGCCAGAGATTCAGCTGTGAATTGAACCTGATCGTAGAGTTTGAAGATTGTCAAATTTCATGCAATGAGCCAAAGCTGATATGTAAACAACAAATAGGAGGAATGAACAACACTCACCGGCTGGCCAGAAGCAAAAACTTTGAAAAGTTTATCGACATCATCCAAGGTGGTTGTTTCGTCAAAAGAAGCAGTGATCTGAAAGAAGTTCAGTAATCATCCAAGTATTCAGATCTGTACCCAGCAATACAAATAAGAACCTTTGAAGGTCAAAGCGAAGGAGACTCACAGTGTTGGAGTCCACAACGCGCAGATTAATTTCGCTCTTGGCAGCTGCATCAGCAACTGCATGTGCATCCGAGCACTTAACTTTTACAGTGTCAAAGTAGGGAAGATCTTGGACTTCTGCAACCCCGAGCTTCTTCAACCCTAAGGAAAATATGCCAGCAAGACCATTGACGCGTTGAGCAATAGCTTTTAGACCTGCAGGTCCATGGTAAACAGCATACATGGCAGCCATGTTTGCAAGCAACGCCTGCAAGAAAGGAAAAGATAAATTTTCATCATCAGGAATGGATACGAGATTAGTATAAGATGACACCACGATAAATACCAATAAACTGTCAACTAATTATCTGCACGAGCTAACAGCTAGTGAACAGTGAAAATCAAGTGATAATCAGATTGTAAGAAGTGATTTACTTGAGCAGTACAGATGTTGCTAGTGGCTTTGTCCCTCCTAATATGCTGTTCTCTAGTCTGCATCGCCATACGCAGAGCTGGCTTTCCTGAAGAATCAACACTGACACCAATAATCCTTCCAGGCATCATTCTCTTATACTCTTGCGAAGTAGCCAAAAACGCAGCGTGAGGACCACCATAACCCATTGGAACACCGAACCTTTGAGCCGAACCAACCACAATATCAGCCCCAAATTCACCAGGAGGTTTCAACACCGTCAAAGCCAACAAATCCGTAGCCATCACAACCTTAACACCATTAGCATGAGCGTTCTTGACAAACTCAGCATAATCCAAGACTTCACCTTCAGTTCCCGGATACTGAACAAGAACCCCACAGACATCACCACAGCTATAATCTATCTCCTTAAGATCAGCAGTGACGATTTTCAGATCAAACCCATCAGCTCTAGTCTTACAAACATCAATCGTCTGAGGGTGACAGTTACTAGCAATCACAAAGGTCTTCTTTTTACCCTTTTGGATGTTGTTACACATCGCCATAGCCTCCGCAGCCGCGGTCCCTTCGTCCAGCAGCGATGCGTTAGACATGGGAAGTCCCGTGAGATCGGTGATCATCGTCTGGAAATTGAGCAGAGATTCGAGACGGCCCTGAGAGATCTCAGCTTGGTAAGGAGTGTACTGAGTGTACCAAGCCGGATTCTCCATGATGTTGCGGAGAATCACGGTGGGGACGTGCGTGTTGTAGTATCCCATCCCGATAAACGATTTGAAAACCTTGTTCTTCGAAGCTAAATCGACCATGTGCGCAATCATCTGGCTCTCGGTCAACCCTCCGTCGAATTTGGAGAACTTCATCGAATCTAATCGGATGGATTTGGGCACCGTAGCGTCGATAAGGGAGTCGATGTGATCGAAACCACAGAACTTGGCCATATGGGTTTGCTCATCTGGGGTTGCCGAGTTGTGGCGACGCGGGAAAGTATCGCCGGGTTTAACAGCCTCGACGGAGATCGAACGCGTCTGCTGCTGGTGCCTCCCTAGATTCCCGAATGCCGCCGGATTGACGGATCGACGGCTCGGGAGAAAAGGGGAAAGAGAAGAGATATACCTCGCCGGAGCGTGAGGAAGAACCGACGGGACATGAGGGGTGGTTTCGCCGTTACGGTGTCGTTTGGCGTCGGTAACGAGACGTCTCACGATTCCTCTGTAAGCAAGCCTCCTTGCGCGCTCCATGGTTTAGGAAAGAAAAAGGAAGATGGGAAATTGAAGATGGGGATGCACTCAGAAAACGCAGAGAGATGATGTCTTTCTGTTATTCCGCCATGGATGGAGGATGGTGGAGAGGTTAGAAGAAGGCAGACGGAATCTTGAGGGGAGTATATATATTCAGCAAATATGTAGCTCACTGAGCCAGTGATAAGAAAATGTATATCACGTCCCAAGAAATAGTGTGAATATATACTGCAAAATATATTTTTAAGATGTAAAAGAAAATGAAGTATTTTCTTATATTTTAAATTTTCGTGGATCTCTTGAAAATGGTGAAGGCTAGCTCTCGGATGGGGTTGGTGAAAAGCATCGGACCCTTTGTGCAGATTCCACGTGGATCGAATCTAATCAATAATGATATTTGCAATAACCATATTTTGATTTATTTTCTATTTATTTATGATTAATTTGGATCTCCGACATCTCTTAATTAGTTGTTTCTTGCGAGCATTTTCTCCAAACAATTCAATATTTTTTCCTAATCAATAATTAAGTTTTATTTGTTCTAATTAGCATTTCCATATAAAAGTGCGAAAAATAGAATTTGTTGGCATACCTAATATTTTTGAAAATAATACTAGACCTTAACATAATTTTTTTTTTCAGGAAGTATACTATACATAATTGTGGGAAATGCTGTAAATGAAAAATCTCGAGATAAAATTTGAAAGGAAGGGAACGAAGTGGAAGAGATTGGGATTCAGTGGACGAAAATGCATTATCATCACCTTTAGGCTTTATCAAACAAATCACAAAAAGAAAGCAACAAAAAAAAGAATATATATGGCAAACAAGTTACAATTGTTTTGGTTCACATGAAAAATATAAGATTAATTAGGTGGCGGAATCTGTTTCACACAGAGTTTATCTCCACAAGGAAATAACTAATAAAGGTGTTTCGTTCGTTTTATTCATCATTCAACATGGGAACCATCGTCCTCCGAATATACGACAGAAAATGAAATATTCTCATTTTGGACCCTCGAAGAGAAATCAATCTTAACAGTTCCATTCATTTTGAAAAAGTTAACTTCATTTTACAAAAAAAAAAAAAAAAATGTTGATCCTTTTTTATATTTTGGTGAAAAAATGTTGTGTTAAACACAGAGGATTATAATACGATGTTACTGCAATGGGAAATTGTTTTCTTGGCCTATGTCCAAAAATTAAAAGGAGATGAAAACACTTGCTGATAAAAAGGTCTCATGAACCTACGTACTGATCTTCGATTTCGAAGGAAAACAATGTGGTTGCGAAAGAGCCAGGTAATATAAAATTATTGGGTCTTTTACCCAAAAAAACAAAAACACAATAATTGAGATAATTTAATGCATATTAAGGATATTCGAACATTGTGTTTTTGTTTAGGATAATTTAAACACAACTCCACTTGACCACACGTGATGTAACGCGCATGCAGTTAATGAATGAATGGATGACCGAGGTAAATTTGGATATCATTTGAGATAATTTAATGCATATATATACACATCAAAGCGTTACTTAATTTTGTAAACGACTTGAGTTTGCCAGCCGCATATGATTTGGGATTTGGCACGAAGAAACTTGAACTATCGTTCATTTTGGAATGTTGACGCTAATCGAGATGCATTTGGTTAAGTTACTAGCTATCATCTATGTCGACCCATCAACAGATCCCAAAGTTAGAAGATCGGATAAGCGGTATTCATTCTCTCGTGATAGTTTTGCTATTATGCATCAATTAGTTTTTTTTTAGCTGGCCGGAATAGTCATAGCAAGAGAGTACACGACGCATATCAAGCACAAACATTGATAGGAATTTTCAGAATACTACAAAATAAGTATATTAGTTGACCAGAGTAAACTCTAATGTCGTATTACACACCAAGGTTTAAAACGTTAAGTCTTGGGATTTGCCAGATTTGAGTTGCATGTAAGAGCTAATTTAGTTAGGTTAACATGCGACCAGCTAAAAAAGTTTATGAACGATCGGACGGTGGAAAATTTCTATCCCGACATGCTACCGATTTAAACCGTATAGATCAAACAACAAACATGTTTAGTCCAATTATTACGTTCATAAATAAATCACAACACACAACAACTCATGGACAAAAATTTCAAACACACAAAGATATACTTAAAATAAACTTGATTATCTTTTAAAAAAAAAACGAAATGAAAACGCTCAAGCCCAGATAGCAAGAGCAGACATCATCCCAGCTCCAATGAACAAAAAGCAGTAAGACACAATTTGAAGTTTAAAATCAACACTCATCTTCTTGCTCAAGAAATCCGCAGCGATCAGATCCACAAGTGCCATGTACACAAGTATCCCCGCAGAGAGAGAATCGAGCACTCCTTCAGCCACCAAAGCCGCAACGCTATAGGAGTTGTAAGATGAGGCAATGGCTGTTCCCACGGCCACACCGATCGGAGTAGTGACCGCGAAGAAAAAAGCCATCATGGCAGATCCACGCGGGGTTAGTCTGGCCTCAGCGACGCAGCCACCGAGAGCGAAACCTTCGAAGAATTGGTGAAAGGAAAGAGCCACAAGGAGAGGACGTATGGTGCATGGGCTATGTGATACTCCAAGTGATATTCCTATTATTATTGAATGCGACACTATTCCCATTTCAAGTATCTGAATTATTTAAAAACAAAAAAATCACCAATTAGTTTTTCTTTGTTGGGCAACGACAATATAAAAATGATTTTATAAACGGAATCGTTTGACTAGGCACTATATATGACAATGAATAGGTGAGAATAGTTTGAGAAATCGTTTAACTAGTCTCTTGAATTTTAAGAAAACGAAAGTAATGTGGTAGTTTTTTTTAAAATGTTTCGTTATAAACTTATATACATTGTCATTTTGAGATTACTAATGTTTTTGGGTAGAATGAACATTTCCAAAAAAATTGTAATATACATTCGTTATTTTTTTTTTTGTCAGTAAATGCATGATTATAATAATAATAATAAATAATTTGGTAGTCTTATAGTAAATATACATTTGTAAAAACACTTGTTGCCCTCACATTCTAATGTAAAGAACTATATACGCTACTATTTAATTCAATGATAAAGTTCTATTAAGTGGTGTAAGTGTAACTATCATCATAGTTATTTAGCTAGATTGTGAATGAAGGAAGTCAACAATTTTTTGTTCTTTTCTATAGTTCATTAAATTTAAAACTGTATACAAAAGTCAAAAGTCAGCGCTTACTAAAACAGTAAAGTCAAAATTAAAGCAGGAAATGTCTTTCACCTGAGAAACAACAACGTGCCTGACACCACTGTCCAAGCCAACGTCCCCGTGGTCATGGCCGTGTCCATGACCGGCGCCTCCGGAAACTCCGCTCCTCTTTGCGAGAGCCTCAAAGCCTTCGGCACCCATCGAGAGGCTATGTCGGTGATGATCCGCGTGGGCCCGCATCCCCACGATATGCAACTTCCCGCCATCTTCCTGATCCCTCAGAAAACCCGATTCAAGAAGACCTGACCCGATTTCCCGACCCGTATCCGACAGAGCCGAACCGGCCTGACCTAGCGACTCGACGGACTGGTTCATCATCTTCTCCTGTTTCCTCTCGTAGTAACCCGTGATCATGAAATCCGCGAGCAGAGTGAGAAGCGCCGCGACCATGGCAAAGAACTCGGGGAAAGGGAACATCTTCCACGGAAACTCCGGGAGACACGGGTCGGACAGAGCGTCGGAGCCTCCGGAGAGCATGTGAACGAACCCTGTTGCGAGGATGACTCCCGCGGCGAACGCTTTGGCTCCCCTCATTAAGCCGCCGTTTGACGGGAGGAGGGTTCCGACGAGAGGAATCGATACGCCAGCGGCTCCGGCGATAAGTATCGACGCCATAGCTGCGAGCTTGAGGGTGAGAGCAGCCGCGTCATCTCGGCACGGGTCTGACTCGCCCGAGTCACAGCTGGTGGTGAACGACTCTGTTTTTGTTTAGGAGAAAAGCAAAAGTAGATGGCGGGGAGAAAGTATGATTAATGGCATAAGAACTTAAAAGTTATTTTTGCTAAAACCAACTATTTTTGAAGCTGGCATTTGTTTTATCTAATTAATGGAGTTAAGGAATGGGGACTAAACTGTATTTTAAGAACAGAACGAAGTCATTTTCAGAGATTTTTTCTAAGTGGGGTTTAAACGAATTCACTATTCGATGACAGATACAAGTAGATCTATCAGAAAGTAAGCAGAGGAGAGAATACCTGCAAATCCAGAAGATAATGGCCGGAGAAACTGCCAGAAATCCTGAAAACATTTGTAAGCAAAAAACAATGAGAGGGAAACGATAGCAGAAGGCAAGAACGTTACAAGTATATATGATGAAGTTTGTAGTTTCAGACCTGTAAGAGAGACATTACTAAGTTCTTTTAGATGATTAAACTTGAAGGTTTCTATTATTGTCAAGGAAACCATCAATTAGAGGGTTATTATGACGTTCTGCTTTTATGAAGAAAGAATGGGAGAATAATATTTCTACGTATGTGTTTGTTTGTGTGTGCGTGCACGTACGTGGAGAAAGTCACAAGATTCATGATAATGAGCATACAATGTCGTCATTTTTCACCCGCTTTCATAGGAAAAAGCTAAACATTTAAAAGATAAAGAATGGTGGCTATAAATCTTGAGCGTTTTATAAAATGACTGTGCAATCAAATTTAATGACCAAGAGAAAAATAAGATAATGTCATAAAAACAGATATATATATAAAGATGAGAAGCTGAAAATGTTTTGTCTTTCTGTTTAATTGAACTATTTGTTCCTGCAAATGCGAAACACCAATTTCTTTCACTTGTAAGGTTGGAGGTATAGGTTTGTGGCCACTATTACCCACCATGGATATTCAGTGGGGCACTACACTGCAGATGCTAGGCTAAGCAATGGTGAATGGCTAAAGTTTCAGAGTGACTATAACAGGGACATAAGATGTGTTGTCGTACAGAAAAGCCTATGTCCTCTTATACGAGCAAGTTTCTGAGAGTCATAGTGAAACCTCGACTCGATTTGGAATGGTGCATCTACATCTAACAACTTTGACTATGGATTTGGTACTCAGAATAATATTCAAATAATGCTTACAAATGCCAATCTTGAATATTTGCTTGAATCATACATATGCTCCCATAACACTTTCAAATGGCAATGTTAACTATCTGCTTGGCAACCTGCTGCCCAATGATGCTGATTACCTATACCCCAACAATTACGATCACATGGACATGGATGTTATATCATTATTCTGTAATTCTAATGATAATTTGGTTTGGTTGAGTTCTCTCGTTTAAGACACAAATACAATTTTCTTAGAAACCTAATGTCATCTCTTGTTCATTTGCCTTTACCTTTACATTTACCCATGGAAATGTTTCAATATATTTTGCACAATGATTGTATTTTTAGCAAATCATCAGCAAATTTAGAAATTAATTGGAAATATAACGAACTTAGTAGCTTTGACATTCATTAAGTAATAAAATATAGAGAAGATCGGACCTGTTTTTGACATTGTGTCAAATGAGATTGCAAGCAAAGTTATAAGCTTCATCTCTCAACTTCTTTTAGAATACAAATACTTTTGACATCTGCGTATTTTGGATTCAATATATATATTTTTTAGAATCGTTATGTTTCAGGAATTGTTGTCCAGCTGACAAAATATTTGAGATATAAATATTCATAATTAAATGTAAATTTTTTAGAGTGATATTTTAACTTTTAAGAGATTTTTTCTGATGTGCAGCTGCGGTAAAATTTTTTAGATGCTGGTATTAAATGCTTTGGAATTTCAGAGGATATGTATATAGAGCTTGTCTACAACCTACAACAGGCATGTGCGAGTATGAATGAGCTAAAGCTGCTTGTGGTGTCAATGCTCGTTATCCAACTAGCAGATTTATGGGAAATCGATATCCAGTTTAACATGAGCTTTTGAGATAGATTTTTAAGACTTTTGTTTTAGATTTTCATAACTATGTCATAGGATGTAATATTTTGTTGGAAATGACCTCGAATCCTAAATTGTTTCTCTTTATCAATTGTAGTGAAATCTATGCTTAGTTTTAGTAACATTTTTCTTTGGTTTGTCTTAGAGAGCTTTAGTAACATTTTTCTTTGATAAGTAAAATTAAGAGCTTTCATTTAGAAGGGTGTATTCAATTTAACATTTGAAATCATCTGAAAGGATTTGAGTTTTTATGAGTTTTTAAATGATTTGGTTGAATTATAGAAATTGTTATGATTTGATATCAAAATTCTATCAAACTCCACATAAAATCATGAGATTTGGATTCTTATATTTTTAACTAGGAAACTCCACCAAAACATCTTAAAATCACTTCAAATTTCTTAAAACCCATCACTTAAATTATTTCTAATAACAGTGAATTTGAAGGTATATTTTCAAATAACTAGTTCAATAATACTGAATTTTAAACAACTTTTTAAAATTTATGTTTCAATAACAGAGGGTTTGTGATTTTAATATAAATCACTCTAAATTCTACTTTGAATACACTCCCTTAGTGTATTGAAACTGAAATTGCATAAGACTTTGTGGTTATTTTAAAATTTCATGTTATTCAATTGATGATTTCTAAATATTTTATCAAAAACCTATGTTATTGAACAAGAAATTTGTATAAAATCAATTAAAATCCCTTAAAATTTTATGTTATTCAATCAGGAATTTATCAAAGCTAAATCAAATCCATTATTATTAAAAATATTTTAAATAGTGGATTTTTAGAAGATTTGAGTAATTTAAAATAATTTTGGTAGAATTTGTTAATTAAAAATATTAATTTTTTTTTTATTTTTAAAAAGATTTCATATAATTTTAATATCAAATCATAACAACTTTTCCAGTTTATATAAAATTATCTAAAAATTTATTAAAAATTAAATCTTTTTAAATCTTCTCAAACTACAGATTGAATACTCCATTCCCCCCACCCAAAAAGTTTGGGTTTAAATTTTGGGGATTTATTTTCGAATTGGATATGGACATCTATTTGGTTAGATCGCTTTGGTGATTTCTCAGTATTTCCGGTTAACTTAATTTGCTAAAGTATTTCATACTTTCCGGTTATAAATAAAAAATCGGGCACGGAATAAATAAGAATATGCTTACGCATTTCGGCATATCTAATTGGTTTATCTGTCTCACCTCCATCGTTTCTGGGAGAAGAGAGAACACCCAAGGAAATCCCCTCACTTGGAAAATTCTTCAACCTTCTTCTCCAACACTCTCGACTCTGAAAAGGTTTTCAGTTTCTCAATTGTAAGCAATCCTATTATCCTCATCATTCATCAATCTCATTTCTCCTTTTTGCAGCTTCAGTGATTTCGTTTTGTAGAAATTGCTGGTATTCGAAATGGAGGAAATTCATTTTTGTTTCCATCAATGTGCCTGTTTCATATATACTTATCTCGGAAATTGAATTGCTCGCAGAAGATCTGCAATCTCAGGATTGTACTGTGTTTGATCAAATATTCAGTCTTTAGGTGAACCGATTTCAGCCGATTCTTATGTTTCTATGCTTGTTGCTGATTTTGGGATGTGTGAAGATAGCTTCTAGATAATCCCAAACAGATTGATAATCTCCAAATTGTTAGTAACATCTTCTTAGATTCTGATTTGAATTTCAAGAAAGATAGTGAATTCACAGAATCCTCCATGTTCTGCTGACCAAACCGTCCTTAATCTTGGTTGCTTTTGTTTTGCAGGTGAGTGTGTTTGATAGAATCAAGAACAATCTCATAAAAATGGCGCATCTACTCTCGGCTTCATGCCCTTCAGTTATCTCACTTAGCAGCAGCAGGAGCAAGAATTCGGTTAAGCCGTTTGGTTTAAAGCAAACCTTCTTCAATCCTCAGTCTCTTTCAAGATCTTCTCTCAAAGGGCTTGTCTTCCAAGAGAAACAGGCGAGAAGAAGCTGCGCTTTCCGAGCAACTGCAGTGCCTATAAGCCAAGAAGCACCACCCGAAACATCTACCAATAGCTCTTCCTCCTCTAAACCGAAACGTGTTATGGTCATTGGTGGAGATGGCTATTGCGGCTGGGCCACTGCTCTCCACCTGTCCAAGAAGAATTACGAAGTTGCCATCGTCGACAACCTTGTAAGGCGTCTTTTCGACCACCAGCTTGGACTCGAGTCGTTGACTCCTATAGCCTCGATTCATGACAGAATCAGCCGATGGAAGGCCTTGACAGGGAAATCCATAGAGCTGTACGTAGGTGATATCTGTGACTTTGAGTTCTTGGCCGAGTCTTTCAAGTCCTTTGAGCCTGATTCGGTTGTCCACTTCGGGGAACAGCGATCCGCGCCTTACTCCATGATCGACCGCTCTAGAGCCGTGTTTACGCAGCACAACAATGTGATAGGGACTCTCAATGTCCTCTTTGCTATCAAGGAGTTTCAGGAAGAGTGTCATCTGGTTAAACTCGGGACGATGGGCGAGTACGGGACACCGAACATCGACATCGAGGAAGGTTATATAACGATAACCCACAACGGGAGGACCGACACTCTGCCGTACCCGAAACAAGCCAGCTCCTTTTACCATCTTAGCAAAGTCCACGACTCGCACAACATTGCTTTTACTTGCAAAGCTTGGGGTATTAGAGCCACTGATCTCAACCAAGGAGTGGTTTATGGAGTCAAGACTGATGAGACAGAGATGCACGAGGAGCTACGTAACCGGCTGGATTACGATGCTGTGTTCGGTACGGCTCTTAACCGGTTCTGTGTGCAAGCCGCCGTTGGTCACCCGCTTACAGTTTATGGTAAAGGCGGTCAGGTAAAATGAATCTTTTGTATGTTTTCTCACAAGAGAGCTTAAACAGAGGAGATGAGGTTTTGCGTTGTTTCTCCCTTTGCAGACAAGAGGCTACCTCGATATAAGAGACACGGTGCAATGTGTTGAGCTCGCTATAGCGAACCCGGCAAAGGCTGGCGAGTTCCGGGTGTTCAACCAGTTCACGGAGCAGTTTTCGGTCAACGAACTGGCTTCGCTCGTCACTAAAGCGGGTTCGAAGCTCGGGCTGGACGTGACAAAGATGACGGTGCCTAACCCGAGAGTTGAGGCGGAAGAACATTACTACAACGCAAAGCACACGAAGCTGATGGAACTTGGACTTGAGCCTCACTATCTCTCTGAGTCTCTCCTTGATTCGTTGCTCAACTTTGCTGTTCAGTTTAGAGATCGTGTGGACACAAAACAAATCATGCCTAGTGTTTCTTGGAAGAAGATTGGCGTCAAGACCAAGTCCATGACTGCGTAAAAGTGTAGATTATTGTTAATTACAAACCTAAGGAAAGTGATTAGATTATGCTAGAGCTGTGTGGTTTGTTTGTTATCCTTAAAACTTCATTTGTGTTTAAGTCTGCTATCTTGAGCTTTAAATAATACACAAGCTAGTTTGTATTAAAAAGATATCATATGTTACTCAGACGGAAATTTTTAAACTTTTTTTTTTAAAGTCTCACGTTCTCATCAAAATCACTTTAGAAATGTATTCAAACTGAAATTTGAAGTCATTTGTATTAAAAAAAAAATCATATGTTATTCAACATAAATTTTTAAAAGTTGTTTAAAATCTCATATTATTGAATTACTCATTTAAAAATGTAACTTTAAATCTACTGTTACTGAAAATATTTTAATTAATACATTTAAAAGGATTCTAAGTGATTTTAAATAGTTTTGGTGGAATTTGTTGATTAAAAATATAAAAATTCAAATCCCATAGTTTTAGATGAGATATTATAGAATTTTAATACAAACTATAAAAAAAAAATTAATTCATAAAAATCATGTAAAACCCAACTAAAACTTAAATCATTCTAAATTCTTTTAACATAATTTTTTTAAGTTGTTAAAAATCTCATATTATTGAATTACTCATTTGAAAATGTAATTTTAAATCCACGTTACTTACAATAATTTAAATAATAAATTTAAAAGGATTCTAAATGATTTTAAATAGTTTTGGTGGAATTTGTTGATTAAAAATATAAAAATTCAAATCCCAATGTTTTAGATGAGATATCATAGAATTTTAATACAAATCATAACAATTTTATTAATTCATAAAAATCATGTAAAAACCAACTAAAACTTAAATCATTCTAAATTCTTTGAACATAATTTTTTAAAAGTTGTTTAAAATCTCATATTATTGAATTACTCATTTGAAAATGTAACTTTAAATCCACGTTACTGACAATATTTTAAATAATAGATTTAAAAGGATTATAAATGATTTTAAATAGTTTTGGTGGAATTTGTTGATTAAAAATATAAATATTTAAATCCCAAAGTTTTAGATGAGATAACATAGAATTTTAATACAAACCATAACAATTTTCTTAATTCATAAAAATCATGTAAAAACCAACTAAAACTTAAATCATTCTAAATTCTTTTAGCATAAATTTTTAAAAGTTGTTTAAAATCTCATATTATTGAATTACTCATTTGAAAATGTAACTGTAAATCCATTGTTACTGACAATATTTTAAATAATAGATTTAAAAGGATTCTAAGTGATTTTAAATAGTTTTGGTGGAATTTATGATTAAAAATATAAAAATTCAAATCCCATAGTTTTAGATGAGATATCATAGAATTTTAATACAAATCATAACAATTTTCTTAATTCATAAAAATCATGTAAAAACCAACTAAAACTTAAATCATTCTAAATTCTTTTAACATAAATTTTTAAAAGTTGTTTAAAATTTCATATTATTGAATTACTCATTTGAAAATGCAACTGTAAATCCATTGTTACTGACAATATTTTAAATAATAGATTTAAAAGGATTCTAAGTGATTTTAAATAGTTTTGGTGGAATTTGTGATTAAAAATATAAAAATTCAAATCTCATAGTTTTAGATGAGATATCATAGAATTTTAATACAAACCATAACAATTTTCTTAATTCATAAAAATCATGTAAAAACCAACTAAAACTTAAATCATTCTAAATTATTTTAACATAAATTTTTAAAAGTTGTTTAAAATCTCATATTATTGAATTACTCATTTGAAAATGTAACTGTAAATCCACTGTTACTGACAATATTTTAAATAATAGATTTAAAAGGATTTTAAGTGATTTTAAATAGTTTTGGTGGAATTTGTGATTAAAAATATAAAAATTCAAATCTCATAGTTTTAGATGAGATATCATAAAATTTTAATACAACTCATAACAATTTTTTTAATTCTTAAAAATCATGTAAAAACTAACTAAAACTTAAATCATTCTAAATTCTTTTAAAATTATAGATTATATACACCCACTTTTGTAAATGCTTCTTTAATATATTTGATTACTGAATCAGTCAATACATAGAAAACTTTAGACCTGTCAATGCATAGAAAACTTTAGACAAAATATATCTATTGTTTGTTTGCTTCTTTCTGTAGCACATACAGAGTCAATGACGGGTCAAATACAAGAAGAAATTATAAACATCATCAATAGTTTTATTGAGTAACAAAGATTGGTAGACCTGGAAGATTATTGTCTAATATTTTATAGATAAATCCTTTATAAGAGTTTTCCTAAAGTTAACCTTGTAGTGATTGTTTTTTTTTTATTAGTTTTGTTGTGGAGGAATGTATGGTGTCAATAGAAATTGAGGTAGCAAAATTAGAGACATTGCTTGAAGAAAGATATTGTTGAAATTGTATTGTATATATAGTTTATTTAGATTCTTTTTATTTCTTCTTAATAACCTAATTTTGTCACTTGTAGTATGAAATGGCAATTTAAAGATTGCACTCACAATTTCGTTGCTGGAACTTTGGTGAATGATCACAAATGCAATATACTTATGCTTCTTTAATATAACTTTACAAACTCTATTTTTTATTCTTTTTTGTGCAAATTTTACAATATTTTTAAGGTTTCTAACCAGTTTTCTTTAAGTATATATTCTATTTTTTGTTGTGATTGCTCATGTTTAGCTTTCGCATGCTAAGCATCCAATTTTGACAGCATTTTCCGAATTTGTTATTCAAGCGCATGTTGCAAGCCGTCCAAGTTCTAGATATGTTAAGATATTTGATGAGATTCTTATTATATATCAGATTAGTGTTGGTTTACTTATTTGAGTGATTTAGTTTAGGTTTAGCTCTCTGGTTTACTCTATTCGTTTTGTATATAAGCTTCTATTGTAACAAATTTACAATTGATGAAGAATTTTCACATTCGATTCTCTTGAATCTGAATTGAATAAACCAACACAAATTCAATATATACAATCTAATAGTTCTTATAAACTTTGGTCAAGGATTACTTCTAGAGACCAATGTGAATGGCAGGAAACGGTTTGTGGCTTCTATACAAACAGTCCTGAAATATTTTGATATCTCAATGGTTATGGTGGGTCATCGTAGGCATTTTTTTAAATGTCAATGCCTTTTCCAAATACGAAGGAAACTTGTGGGGTCAAACTCGGAGGAATCGAGTGGTTTTGTATAATTACAATTTTGGCCCTGATAAGCTGGCGCTAAACTTTTACAATTTCTGAGTTATCAACTTACCATCAATATAAAATCAACGTTCAACTTTGGTCATGAAAACCCAAAAACAAAATACCATATCGTTCGATATGAGAAAAGATTTCAAACTGGAATAAGTCAAAATAAAAAGAACATTGTCACACCCTCCATCTATCTTTTTGCCAACTTTTGTACGTAGTAGATCAACTCACATTGTTTGTGAGATAATTTTATATATTTTAATCTCCAAAAGATGTTATTCTGAAGAAAAAATGTTGTCTTAATAACCACACAAATTACTTTATTAACCTCTAAAGTACAAAGTATATTCATAGACATTTTGATGTCTCTATAGCTAAGCCAAGATACCAAAATTTGTTTTTTCCATCAACTAATTGTGTCTGTATAATATATAAGTCCAACAACCGATATCCAAAATATGTGATTATTTGTGTTGAATAAGCTGAACTGTATCGCCTTTAAAGTGAGAGAGCCTGTCTAAAAAACGTACATATATATATTGAAGATGGCAATACGACAATGACAAAAATAATTGAGCAAATAATTCTCTATAGTTTCCACTATTCAATTTTAACTGAAAATAATGTATTAAAAAGCGTGGAGGCTTTTGGTGTGGAGGCACTGAGTTTTCTCTGTATATTATTCCATTATTCCAAAAACTAATATCATTAAACATTTGTTGGAGAGATTGTTGTTTATGATTGATGAGGTCATCGTCGCCATCAGTATTCATCAACTTGCAAATTAAAAATATATATATAAAAAACCATAACCTTAATTTGGAAGACATGTCACATGATCTCACACAAAACTCTTAATCCCACAACCACCAAGACCAAGTTGTATAAGTCGGCATCTTTTTCTTTTTATTTCGGATATTTGCTTACACTTCACTGCATGAGTTTGGGGGGGGGGGGGATTAAAATTTAGAGACATTTGTGGGCATCAACCCTTAGGAAATGATATTTGAGTAACGCCGCTTACAGAAAAATAAATGTATTTTTCCCTTTTACATTTATTAAAATTAATTTTCGAGAAATTCTAGATCAAAACTCATAGTACATCTTTTCATAAAAGCTTGACTTAATATTTATTTTCCTTTTCTTTCATGTAATAACTTAAAGTAGAATTATATGACATGAATAATAATTAAGGTGGTTTATCTATCATTATCATCTCTGGTCGTCCAAATCGCATGTCTAAAACAAACTTGTGTGAATAGATTTAACATGTTAAACATACCTCCATTTTCTGGATTTTTTTATTGTTTGCTTTTACTTTTACTTTTATATTCTGATATATACCCCAAATCAAAACCTCATTGTACCGACATAATATTGAAAATAATCTGTACTCGTCCTTCTAGTTCTATGCAGATCAATATATACCACCCTAACTATAACAGTTACCGCAGTGAGCACTTGCATGATTTAGGGGCTTCATATATAATAATTTTAAATTAGACACCTTAATTATGAATTTTGTGTTTTTACTATAAATGAAGCCGCGTCAAGATCGTATTAGCTTTGCACAACCAAACAAAATTACAGGAAATATAAAACAAAAATATGGAGTGTTGGATTTCATGCATTCACAACATGGAAAGCTAGCTAGAGAAAGGTTGACCACGACAAAAAAGATAAAAAAAATGTTTCATATATAGAGGCAAAGTTGTGACTGCGGAGTCAAAAAAATAGTTTCCCATTGTTTTGATCATCGTCGTTGTTCGATTGTTGTGTTATCTTATTAGATCTTCGTGTGGCTATCGTGTGTGTATATTAAAAAAATTATGACTGACTATATATGCGGAACAGTGATTTCTCAAATGGTGCTTTTGGCCGATATAAGTTAATACTCTGTCGTGTGTGCTCCCATATCTCGTGGTCGAGACAAGTGACTAGGTCATATGTTCTCACATGGCCTTTGTGGTAGAAAATGGTGCAATCGTGGATCTTAGGTTCTCATTCGTGACATATATTTTGTAATAAATAAAAGGATACGGGATACGTGCTTGCTACACCGTAATGATTTATTGGTTGATTTGATGATTTGATGTTTATATCCCTTTTTCAGTTCAGGTAATATGTAGGTATGTGACTAACTGATTGAAGTCGTCTAGACGTGAGAGACTAGTGATCTATCATGTGGTTATATAGTAGTTAGAATATTTGAGGGGAATGAATAATTGTATCTGCAAACACATACAAATATTGACCATGCATGGCATGCAGTCTAATGGTAGATATAAAAAACGATGTCTCTGGGTTTTACCTAGATTGAAACTCGTTTTTCTGTAACATATATATGCCTTGATGAGTATTAAAAAAATAAGTCGGGAAAAAAAGATTTTAACCAAATCATCCGAAGCTCTCGCCTGGTAAAATTGCAGTGTAGTGTGACATCAGTATCTATCCATTTTTATGCGGCATAGGTCAATCTTGACCCTTGAAATCTGGAACTTGGGACTTTTGACCTTACTTTCCTAATCCTACTACAAAATCGACCGGTATAAAGGAAGTACATACAGCATTCTATTCCAATTACCCAACTCCAAAGAAATGAAAAAAAAAAAAAAAAAGAGAATTCTTGGTCTTTTATGAATCTTTGAAAAAGAAAATCAATAATTGTGGGGAGGAAAAAAAAAGAGGGTTTGTTTTTGGAGATGCCACTTAAGCCCAGCGTCGCTGTCAAAAACCCCCTCAATTATTGAAAGTGGGTCTCCCATTTTCCACTTCTTATTAATTCGTTTCCCAAAATTTTCTAAAGTTATAACCAGATAATAATTTAAATGTATATACAATTCTCTACAATACACGTTTATTTTATTAAGGGAAAAATTTAGAGATAGGAAATTTCATTGAAACTTCAACAACTTAATAATGCATATAAACCTAAACCTAGCCTGGGATCAAGGCATAATCATGAAATTTATGGTTAGGATAGTGACCTCTATTACAGTTTAGAGAGATCAGGGATGTTTAGCTGGAGATTTCTTCAATTATGGAATATATCTATTTTGCAATACTGTTTTTTTTTTTTTTTTTTCAAAAAGAGAGAATATTTCCTTGAATAGGAAAATAACGTGACGCCGAGAGCTTGGAGACCTTACAAATAATTGTAGAATCTTCTCCCTTCACTTCTCTACTTTATTTATTAGAATAATAAAGAAAGAAGGAACCAAATTAGCTTTGAAATCGACAAATTTATGCATATCATCATCATAAATATGATTATAACTTAGCTAGTTTACCAAAGAAATAAATAGTTCATATATATATGATGAAGCTACTCATAAATTCATAATCGATTCAAATCACCTCTACTCGTAAGAATAACCACTAAATTAATCCTATCATACGTAAGAAAAAACAAATTAATTGCCAAGTGGAGTATAATTTTTTGAACCATCAAATGTCCAGTAATGTTAGATATCAATCCATAGAAACATCTTGCATTTTACCAATACATATATAGTTGGAATCTCTCATCCTGCTTATTATAGACAAAAAAAACTAGAGTAATCAAAATTGAATCAATACAACTAGATCATATTTTATTAGTCGTCCTAACCAATCCGACTCATAAATAAGGTTGATGGATTAGTCTATACTTTAGTAAGAGAGAGAGAGAGAACAAAACGAGGAAGCAAACTATATAAGTATAATCCACTACTTACACATAGATCTTTAATTATTCATAATTCATTTTCTACATGGGTATTAAAATTTGATCATCGGATGATAATCAGAAAAGAGAAACCCTAATTTTTTTGGTTTTGATATTACTGCAAAAGACTAATGAAAAGCAAGAAGTCGACGAAACTACAATCATACCCAAAGAGCTCCAACTTGGACAAGCTTAGGGACAAGATGACCACTTAGATGGAGCGCGACGAGGGACTCGAGACCTCCAACGCACTCACGGCCAATGAAAACCGCCGGCGGAGGAACAACGACGGAGCCGTCACCGGAATATTCTTCTTGGAGAACCGTGGGGAGAGAGGAAACCTCGTGATCATCGAGCTCTATGACGGTGGGGATGACTCCGATTGTTGCGAGGAGTCTTTTCATGACGTGGCACATGCAACAAGAAGATCTGCTGAAGATGATCACTGGATGCTCCGATATAAGCCGTCGGATCCTGGCCTCAGATGATTCCTCTTCGTCGATAGAGAGAGATGTTGATGAGCTTTGGGAAGGAGGAGTGAGGTCTAAGCGAACGACATCGTTTGAGAAGCTTTCTAAGCCTAAATCTTGCATCATAGCAACAATTAAAGAGAGAGAGAGATAGAAACGTAAGGAGCTTTTTTTAAGAGGAAGAAGAGATTTTGTATTTGTATATATAGAAAGAATCAAAAGAGGTTAAAACAAAAAAAGGAATCATAAGAGAGAAGTAATAACAATAAAAAGATTAGAGGAAATAAAATAGCCAATAAAAGAAGAAGAGAATTATTGGGGAAAGGAAAAGAAAAGGACAAATAATGGGGAGGAGAAGAAGGGAGTGGTGTATGTGGTTGCTTACATCACAAAGTACTGTCTCGTGATGTGTTTCTTTTGCTTTCTCCTTTTCTTTCTCATACTAGTAGTATTTTTTTGTATGTTTGAAAATTGTTTATTCTGATGAGTTAAATGCATGGGAGTTCCAAAACCCACGCGCTAGATTTTTATTGCAGATGTTGACCTTTTCAGTGGAAAAGTAGTATTCACAGATTTGGAGTAATATTTTCGTAGAAATGTTGGGATTAGGGAACACGACTCTCCCTTTTGTATTGGGAAAACACAAGTGTGCGTGTCATTCGTTTTGTATACCCAGATTTTCGTTTGAGGGGCTTTTTTTTTCATTCGTTTGGTTAACTCTCGAAATGAAAGTTCGACCATGAAGTTTAGGAAACAGCAGCAGAAGTGGGATCATTAGGTGTTTAGAAACAATATTTGTTAAGAACTTTAACCCCTTTAAATTAAACCTAGTGATATTTACATATGATGATTAGGTAAAAAAAAAATGATGATCAGGTAGTTTGGGCAGACCCGATTATAACGGTGGACAAATAACGGATTATCTAGACAAAACTAGTATTTTTATCTATTTTCTAGTTAAAACTCCGAATATTTTTTTCCTAATATCTGAAGATACACGATCAGCTTGTCAGATAAAAAAAACACTTCAAAGAACACAGACCATGATTTAAAAGAATATAATATGTAAATAAACTAGTGGGTATATACATGAATCACCAAGTGTATAGATATACAAATGGTGGAAAGGTTAAAAAGATGTTTATAATATTAAGACGGTGTAGCGAGCTTATTCGGTTACAATTGTTTGTTTTGCATTAGAGGAGAATTGTCGTCAATTTTTCTTTATGCCATTGAGGTAAATTAACAAGATAAAATTTATATGTATAACGAGAAATGGAAGAACTTGATTGGTTTTTTTTTTTTTTGTAAAATCAGAAACACAATAAAACTATAAATTGTAATGGAATCTCAATCAATCTTAATTAATTTTATTATAACTATGTTTGTTTTTTTCTTGCTATTTTCTTTGTGTTTTCAGTTTATATATTCTGAACCCTTGTTTGTTTTAAACTATTTGTGATTATACCTTTTTCAGTCCAATACAATTAAGGCAGTGCATATTCTTTGAGCTTACACTTTTGCTATTATGACAAAGCATTAAGCATAATGTTTTCATGTTATTTTATGGATTTTTATAAAAAAAAAAAAAATTGGACCAATCCCAGGACTTATTAGATTGAGATTTTGTTGCCGTCAATTCCGTCATCACGAAGCTGTTTGAGACTATTTTGTCTAAAGCTTGCAAACTCAATCAGGGATATCATATGTTAATCAAACTTAGGAATGCATTTAGTGATGAGTAAATACAAACTACAGTAATTAATGGAGAAGGACAAAGCATGAAATGGCGTGGAGGAAATAGATGGAAATGGAGCCCAAACTGAAACGGACTTTAGAGAGATGTGGTTGTACGAGTACCGTTGATGGTGTTGTCTTCAACTTCATGTCTGCCACATGTGCTCACGTAAGCCCATCTTTACTAGTTTATTTCAAGTTTTTCTTTTATATTTTATACTTCAGTGGATCCATTTTCTTTTGTTGTGATCGATCTCTTCTAGTGTTTTTCTTTTTTCTTTTAATATTGTGTCCACCAGGATCATGACGTATTCTTTTATATTGGTCTCACCTAAAACATTATGTCCTAAGATTCTATATGTAAGATTCCATTTCCATCCATATTCCATTCTAATAAATAAAAAAACGAATCTCTGTCATTGATTCGAAATAAAGGTTAGTGCGTTTGCGGTAGATTGTATAATTATGTTAAACACAGCTGCATTTACACCTACCCACAGAGTTCTTCTCCTTAGCTACCTGACTAAACTCATATATAAGGCGTGGCGTCTCTACAATTAAAGGAGATGCAGAAAATAATTTTATGGACGTACGTGAGAAAATTAAGATATGACGTAAGTCCAAATATGAATCGTCAAGGACTACATTTAATCTTGGTTAAAAAGATTTCAAACCATGATATATATTATGCAGAACGATTCTACGAAAGTGTTGAAAAAATGATCTTTATTCTTTTAATATCCCAGTGTTATAGATGAATTGTTCCTTTCATTACGAAAGTGAAATAGATGCTAACTGACCAAAAGCAAAAGAAAACGAGAAAGTTTATTATTTGTATTGGATAGTTTTGTTTTTCTGGAATTAATTTCTTCTTACAAAAATTCATTAATGAACCCAAATCGGCCCAAATTCGAATGTGTCATCTCTAACACCTCACAAGAGAGAATTACCCAAAGAACATTAAAAAAAAAAAAGTTGCAATTCGCGAAATATACGAAAGAACTAAAAGAACAAAGAAAGATGGAGGTTAGTTTCTCTTGACTTCTTCTAACCTCGTTATTTTCTTGGATAACACGTTAAATAAGCCTATGTGTGTCTGTCTTTTTTTAGCATTTAACAGCTCTAGGGCTTGGAATTCCCATATATGCTAACCGTGGGGAAACCCTCACTCTAGGACTCGGCCTTGGAGATGGAATGGGTCCGTAAGAATTAGCTGGCGAAACCCGAGGCGAGAGACTGACTTGCTCCAGTGCTTGTGCCTGTAGCTCCATTGGGTAATCTCTAACGCACCCAATTCTTGGACCAACTCCACTTGACCATTTACAAGACAGTCTCTTGGAAGAATCAAACACCGGCCTTGCTTCCCTCTCTTCTTGCTCTGAAGGCATCTCAACTTCTTCTGAGACTTCCTCCTTTGGCTCCTCTTCTTCGTCTGCAGTTGATTTGAACGACGAGTATTCCTCATTCACAGCACATCTCTGCAATTCAGATTTAGCCCTCATGAGTTCATTTAGATTCTCTTGATGCCAAGAAAATTGAAACGATGTGATATTGTTATATTTCCTTACCTTAACATTGGTGAGATCAACGTTGTGCTCCTCTAAGAAACTTATGAACTCCTTAAAGTTTTCTTCTGTTGGGAGATAGTGTCCACTATACGGCCATATAGCCTGATGAGGAAACAAAAGGTGAGTAAGAAAGACCCTTTTAGTTTACATAACACAAGAGATTCATCATACCCGAGGGAGAAGCAAGACAGGTTATTTAAGTACCTCAAGTATCCCATCGCGTGCGACCAATCTTCCTGCAGCGGTTGTGGCGCCTCCAGATAAGAAACTCGAGTGCTGGAAAGCGCCTTTCTTTTTGTTCCCCACATATAAGGTTCTCGTAGTGCTAAGTACAAAAATAGACTTTGCTTCCTCCGTTGAAGTGATCAGAGTCATGCTCTGTTTGTACAATAACTTCCCATCTTCCACTATCACTTCATATGCTTCTCTCTCCATCTGCAGATTTGAGTGAACCACAAACGTTGATGAGTAATCAAAAAGGGAAAGCTAGCTAACTACAGTATCGTCGATCCTGAGGGTAAAACAACTCACTGGTCCGAGATAACTGATGCATTGTTTTTGCAGAACACTTCTCGGGTGTTTTTCAAGATTCACATCTTTACCGTCTCCTATATCCAACCTTTTAGTTTCAAATGGAAGGGAAACAGAGTTTAGAACAGATTCAAACGCAGGAAGATCTATAAGATGGGTTTTTGGATGCAAGGCTAACCAGTAAAAGAATGGCTGTGAGCTCTTGCTCGCTGACCAGACGTCATAATAGAAGTGCAAGTTGTGGCCATAACGATGACGTGGGTCAATCTGTACACGCGAGATAGGGACAATCAGATCAGATTCACAAAAACAAAAAGGGGACTAATAACTTTTGATCTTGAGTTCTGTAACCAAATTCATGAATATGTTAGAACTCACAAAGAGAGGTCATGGGGACTTACCGCTTCAAGCCAATGCTGAAGAGCTAATTTCTGAGCCTTTTCATCTTTTGACAAGCCTTTCCCAACCTACAAAAGTGAGACTTACATTGGTTTTTCATTTATAAAGAGAAATAGTGAAACTAGTATAACACCTTGACAGAGAAATAAAAAAAAACTTGTTCAACCGATGTCAGACCTTAGCGGCTCGTTTTTTAGCTCGTGCCCATTTCGAAACAGCAGGCTCATGTTTCTGTTTTTCAAAGAACGAGACAGAGCTCAGGTCAAGAGCTGCACCATCCAGAGTCTTCCACCTACAACATATCATATCAATCAATACCAAGGGTTAAAATTTAAACATCTCTAAAAGACATTACAAAGAAGATGGATCAAGTAACTCACCAGAGCTCCTCAACAAGGACAGCGCAATCTGCTAAGTTCCTTCTGGTCCGGTAACTCTTGTAAACCTTTTGTAGCGTAGTTGCAGCTGCATCAAGCTCGGTGACCGGTCTAGGGGAGAAGAACACAAAAGGCACAGGGGGAGTAACTGTGGGTTTCGTTATTTGGATTCTCTCACAGTTTCTTCCATTCAAAGTGTTAGGAGTTGACTTCTTCGTCTCCACGACCTCAAAATCTGAGTCAGCCTTGGTCTCTTTGGGAATCTCCCAGCTGTTGAAACTCAACGACCGCTCCATAGTACGACTCCGACCAATCTTGGGAGGTTTCTGGGTTTTGGTATTGAAACTCTTGGTTCTTGATGTGCAGCCTCCGTCTTTGAGTTTGAAGCTGAAAGAGCCAACTTCAAGACCCATGGCCAACAATATAACGAGAGGATACTTCCAAAAAGATATTCAATATAGAAATCCCCTGCACACATCATTCCAGATCAGTATCAGCCTCTTAAATTAATCAAACAAACAAACCGTCTTCGCATTAATTATACCTACACCAACCAATTATTGGTAAAAGAAACACTCATTCAGACATTTTAACAAATACCTTGTGGACAACAAACGTTCCTTGCAATGATCAGTATCGCTCTTTGTTTTTTTTTTCTCTCTTGTTTCTACCAGTAGATAGAAGAAGAAGAAGATGCAAATAAATGGCACCAAGAAAAAAAGAGGAGCTTCAAAGAATAAAAAATTTAAAAAATTGATTTTTTTGTTCTTTGGAGAAAATGAAACGAGGGATTATAAATATGACCAAACACAGAGGTTGAGGAGAGACTTATATATATGTGGAGTAGTGTGGGCAGTTGAAGAAGACTAGTAAGAGAGTAAAAAGTCTTGATTTACAAAATCGTTGAATGTCAAATATATGACGGAAGATTCAAACTTGGTGTGTCTGAGAAAGTTGAACATTTTGAATATTATAAAAAAGAAAACAGAGGATGTGGGGATCCAATTACAGATGGAGGCTAGTGAAGGTAACTTCATGGAAGTTATTGAGAAAATGACAATACACATAATCTATAGTATATTTCGTTCTTATTTAATGTTTAGTAATTTGTTGATATCATGAGTTTGATTTTTCCAATGGGTCATAAAGAAGATGGCCTTAAATGTGTTATTATGTAGATATACCACATTAAAACATTGTTCTTATATCTTTGTCATGACTCGTGCGAGTTGTCGACGCGTGCGGGTCACACGCATGTGTTTGTTGTCTACAGTGTGCATTTGTTCAGTTTGTTTACCATTTTCCTCAAAGACTTTCCTGGATTTTTCACGTTGGAGACTTTATGAGATGACTTTCTATAATTTATTGGTCTTCCACGTAGAGTAGAGGGATAGGCATGTATTGGATCATGTGACCATGTCTAAATAGAGCATGGAGGGAATATGGGCTGGGCTTATTATGATTTGGGCGGGAATAAGTTTTCCCGTAATGGGCTGGGCTTATTATGATTTGGGCGCGCACCTATAGCCATCTGTTTTGCTTCCTAAACCCAACGAAGGAACCTGCGTCTCTCGGAGAAGCCCAGCGATTAAACGGGAAACGTGAGAGGCATCTCGGAGAAGAAGAAGAGGAGGAGTGTGGAGAGGAGGAGATGTCGACGATTTACGTGCTAGAGCCACCGACAAAGGGAAAGGTCGTTGTGAATACAACTCATGGCCCAATCGACATCGAGCTTTGGCCGAAGGAGGCGCCCAAATCCGTACGGAACTTCGTTCAACTTTGCCTCGAGGGTTACTTCAACAACACCATCTTCCACCGTGTTATTCCCGGATTTCTCGTTCAAGGCGGTGAACCCACCGGCTCCGGCACCGGTAAATTCTCCACGGCCCTCTGATTAGGACTTAGGATTAGTCTGTATGAGTCAATTTCCTTAACCTGCTCGCTTGTTTTTCTCCTATTAGCTCGCTGGATCGGGTCTATTGACTGCTTTGATTGATATGTAACAGGTGGAGAGAGTATATATGGAGGTGTCTTTGCCGATGAATTCCACTCAAGACTGAGATTCAACCACCGAGGGATTGTGGCCATGGCTAATGCAAGCTCACCCAATTCAAACGGAAGTCAGTTCTTTTTCACTTTGGATAAGTCCGATTGGCTTGATAAGAAGCACACTATCTTTGGGAAGGTAAATAAATTCTCTTTTTTTTTTTTCTTTTTGTTTGTTCTGCTTCATCATACTATTCTTTCCAAGATCGTGATCATGTTTAGCTGCAAATTGTTTCTTATTCTTTTAGGTAACGGGTGATTCAATCTTCAATCTTCTAAGACTAGGAGAAGTTGACACGGATAAGGATGATCGTCCCCTGGATCCTGCCCCAAAAATATTATCTGTTGAGGTAAGAGTTGTTACATGTTAAATCTATTGTAGTGTTACGTGTTGTCATACGAAAATGTTTATCTTTTCCTATTGAGGACTCATTCTTCAGTTTGTCAGTCTTGTGATTTTCTTGTTTTTTTTTCTTTCTCTACATTAGGTTTTGTGGAACCCTTTTGAAGATATTGTTCCTAGAGTGTTAGCAAAGGCATCACATGAACCTGTTGCTGAAGTCAAGGAACCCCAAAAGAAGCCCGTGAAGTAAGATCCATGGTCAATCGAGAATTTAGCTATATCTTTCCTTTGGCTGTTCATTGTATTTCTTTTTTTTCCTTTTGTTGTCTTTGCTGCAATCAGGAAATTGAGTTTACTGTCATTCGGAGATGAAGCTGAGGAAGAGGAGAAGGGACTGGCAGTTGTAAAGCAAAAGATTAAGAGCAGTCATGACGTGTTGAACGATCCTCGACTTTTGAAGGCAGAAGCTACAGATAAAGAACGGGTAAAGATACAATTCATCTTCCCTTATTTTACTCCCCTCTTGTGTGTAAAAGTGTAGGCCTGTCTTTATATAATTTCTGAGGCGACTTATTTTATCTACATTATTGCGAATAAGTATAGTACTTCTCCTCCTGGTTGTTATATGTAGTGTGATGCATACCGTTTGTTAACTGTGTTGCTGTGTAGTCTGCCTAGCAGTCTATCATGGTCATCAAACCAAAACTTGAAGTTTTTCTTTATTGCTGTTGCTCTTTGTCTTCACAAGAAACAATGACTTTCTGATGTATATTGGAAACCATTTTGTACATTTCAGAGTGCATCTGACTCGAAGGAGGTGCTGTCTGTGCGGGAAGCTCTGAGTTTAAAGAAAGAAGCGGCTCAAAAAGATAAAAGCTTGTCTGTATCTGATTCTGTTGGACGTGGTGATGATGACGATGATGATGATGATGAAGATGAGACTAAATTTGATGCAAAGATGAGGAATCAAGTGCTTAGCAGAAGGAAAGAGATGGGAAATACGCCTTCAAAACCAACTCAGAAAAAGAGTAATTAGTTTCTATCTCTCTACCGAAATATTAAACTTCTAATTTGCATAATAAAATTTCAAGCCAACTCATATCTGTTCTTAGGGATGTTAACTATTTATCAAACTATTTGATGCTTTTAGGTTTAACACCAAGCATTGCCAGAGAGAAATTATATACAGCTCTCTGTGTTCCTGCATATTTTTTTATTACCTCCAGTTATTTCTGTATATGTTCTAATTACATTTTATTGTGGTTGTTCTTTCAACAGAGAGCTCTAGTGTGAAAGATCCTGAAGAATCTATTCAAAGGTAATGACACTCTCAGTTAAATTCTATCGCCTCTGTATCCTTTGCCTTCCATGTTTTGTGGCCAAGTCAATATGTCTGGCTCATCTTATGTATGTCTGGTTCCGAAAACAAATAACTTCAAGTATAAAAAAATCATATCTAATGCGATATAACTGAGCATTTATTCGCATGTCTCAGTTGTAGTCACGCTTGTCAATGACCTCTCCATCAAGAAGAAACTAACTAAAGATGCCATGAATGCTCTCATCTATGCCCAATGGTTTATTATTTAGCAATGTATTAATTAGTGATAAAACATTTCGAACGAATTTGCTTTCTGTGTGGGATATATGTTTGAATCTATTTTACTATGTTTCATGTTGGCATAACCAGTAACCCAAGTCATTGACTCATTAATTTTTCCATTTACAGGCCTGATGTGTCAAGCAGTGAAGACAAGAAACCAAGGATGAAAAAGTTATCCTTGAAGAGAAGGGGAATTGGTTCAGAAGCCAAAGCCGAACGAATGGAGAAAGGAGACACTGATTTACAGCTTTACAACGCTTCTGAACGCGCCCGACAGTTACATAAGTTAAAAAAGCGCAGACAGCAAGGAAATGAGGATGCTGTGAGTTTTACAGGAGTTTCTGGCTTAATTTTTTTTTATAATTTATTCTCTTGTAGTTTCTTTATTCTACTTTACTCATTTACCAAATCCGTTTGCCTGTTCTTGTGACTTGCATACTTATTCCCGAAAAGTAAAATCGAATTTTGTCAGAGAAACATTCTTAGAAGACAGTTTATTAACTGATCATCGTTTCCCTCTTGGTCTTCAGGTGTTGGCAAAACTCGAGAAATTTAAGCAGTCCATTGCTGCAATACGAACCTCGAGTAGTGAACCAGGAGACAATGAGGAAGAAGATGTCTCTGATTGGAAGAAAGTAAAGCTCAAGTTTGCACCCGAGAGTGGCAAGGTAATCTCTAAGGTTCCATCTCACCTGAGTGAGTTTCTAATGGATGTAGCACTACACTAATTCGTTCCCTTTCTTTAGTTGACGTTAAAATCGAAAATGCCAAGTAGTTCATAGGATAGAGGTCGTCGTGCTTTTTCAGCATAAGCTTGAGCTATATGTATATGTTCTGAAAAAGTGAAACTATATTGCAGGATAAAATGTCACGCAATGATGATCCAGATGCATATGTTGTGGTTGACCCTCTTCTTGAAAAGGGAAAAGAAAAGTTCAACAAAATGCAAGCCAAGCAAAAACGGAGGGAGCGAGAATGGTCAGGAAAATCTCTTGCCTGAGTTATGAAATCTTAATAATTCGGTTTTGTTGCTTCATAAGATGCCTATTCAGTGACAAAAGCTCTCCAGTTGGATACATACAGAGAGATGAGCTTAAACGGAAGGTCATAAGCTCATATGAGACGGCTCTAGTATGTTGTTGATAGATACATGTTTTGTAGGAAATTTAGCTATGTGAAATGTTTTCAAACCCTTTTAGCTTGCATTTTATCTCTTAATGGCCGGAAAGTTTTATAAAATATCTATAGAAAGAATCTGGCATGCCTTGCTATTAAAAGTGATGTTTCATTCTTCACGCCTGGTGTCGACAATGTCTCTTTGCTAATAAACTACTAATAAATTAAACTCCTTGAGCTGGCATGTCACGTAAAATACAAAAGCACAACAGCAATTTTTTGTTTTCAACTCTCTTTTCTTTCATTGATTTTTTGCCTGTGTTCACGAGCTCATTTTGTATCCTTCTCAAAGAGCTCTCCTTATTACCTTTTCTTTGGTCATAAACCAAAAAATAATATGTATCGTCTACAACACACACTAGTTTAAAATATAAAGGTAACAAGCTCCTGTCTTATTCTTTGTACACTCTTCTTATATTCAAAAAATCTCAGTCATCCCACTATTTCTTCTATGTAAAAGACTTCAATCCTAATTATTGAATTTTATGTTACACTTTTCAAAATATCGTGACATGGATATAACTCTGATTTCTCTTTTCTTTCCTCTATTGCAGCCTAGTTGTTTATTGGTTTTCAGAGAATGAACCAAAGAGTTATTCCTGCAGATAATAATGTTACATGTTTATACATACACACACACACAAACCATATGCGTACATATGAATAGTGAATCTTCTGTACTCGCATGTGTTACATTCAATTCCGCAACAAAAGTACAAAAGCCCACTTGCCCCTTTTATCTCCTTTGATCGACCCTGAAATTTGTGATGAACTAAATTCCAAAAACTATTTGCGTTTCTAACATATCCTAGCCATTGACGTGATGCCACGTGTAAGGCTTGGGAAAAATGGACAAAACACTTTTTTTACCTTTTAGTTGTTGTGAATTTCATTGTCGCTAATTATGATTACAACGCAGCATTCTGACGGGTTGCTCCCTCTTACAGCTAGACCACCACCTTTCTCTCTCTCTCTTTACTCGTAGAGAATAGAGAAAAGAAAACATTTCTTTTTAGTTTACACAGCTTTTCTCCTCATTCATATACCCAAAAGAAGAAAATCATTTATAAAAATCGTCTCTACCTAAGTTATATTCCTAATAAATGACTCGAAATGCAATAGCTTTTCAAACGCTATAATTGGTCAAAAACCAAGAACAGCTGACATCTAACGTATATGATTTCTTGAGTGGTTTATAGGGACTGAATTTTCTCATCATGTGTATAAACTATATGTTGACAAATTGTTAAAACTATATGGAAATTTGAAGTTAGCCTGTGTTAAATGGCATTTTAGGACACACTACATTAGATGATAAAACCATATGACATACTTATAATAGTAGCATACATGTTTTCTTATAACGTTCTATAGTACATAAATTCTTATATTGCTAACTAATAAAAGAAATTATGGTCTAAGCATGGATAACCAATATGCTCGAACATAGAAAGAAGAGCAAATTCATATTCCTTCAATGATCTTAAAGTTTTGTAAATTAATAAGGTGGTGTTAAGTTCTCTTTTATTGTTATCCTTTTGAGTTTTGAGAGTATACACACAAAATTTAAAATAAACTAACAAGTCCACAACATTTGACGTAAGGGTAATTATTTGAATAATGTGTAACACTAGCTCGTCTGACAGCTAAGCTGCGAACAAGAGCAGAAATAGTAGAAAATCTAAAAAAACCATAGTAAAGATCATTTGGTGTTGTACAGTTGATACTTTTAAGAACTAAAAAGAGTAATTTTTCTGCCAAAATAATTTCCGATAAAATACTTCTCTTAAATTAAAACAGAAGGGAGAGCAGCTAGATTTTTTATTAAAAAAATAATTAAAATACTTTTATTATCACAAGATTCACAACCCATCGAATCCTATGCGCGTGTGAAAACCACGATCCAATCCCTAAGCTAAAATCTTCAGCTTCGTTGTATAAACTATATAAATAACCTCAAATTCCGATTATGACCCTGACAGCGACACACTCTCTCTCTCCAACCAAACATATCTGGAAATTATAACCACGCGCATTCCGTAGCGCGTGAGTCGTCATCTACTCTATTCTCCTGACAATAATCGTTAAAAACTTTATTTGCTAATCAAATAAAGAAAAGAAGGGACTACTTTGTATGTATATATGTATTTCTGAATCTTTCCCATATACGGAGTGCCATTTTGATATAACATCGACACGTGTCCCTTGGAGGCTCGTCTTCTGAGGTTAAAATTGTAAAATCATACTGTCTCCTTCTATCATCTCTTTAAGAATTTCCAGAGCGAGAGAGTGAGAGAGAGAGAGAGAGAGGTGCTTTCCATAGTCATCCCCGTCGAGAGACCTATTTATATACAAAAAGAAGAGAGAGGAGGAAGAAGAAGAAGAAGAAGAAGAAGAAGACTGTCGAGAGAGAGAGGAGATGGAAGATATACAGGAGGAAGAGAGCAGTACGGACGAGGAGGTGCTGGGATCGAGCTTGACCATGGAGAAAGTGGCGGCTGCGAAACAGTACATCGAGAATCACTACAGAGCTCAGACGAAGAACATTCAGGAGAGGAAAGAGAGGTGCAAATCGTCTCTAATTCTCTCTTAATCCTCTTTCCTTTTTTTTTCACTTTAGAGAGATTTGAGATTTGGAATCTCGTTTCTAAGTTTGTTTTGAATTTGGAGACATTATTTAGGGAAAAATTAGTTGTGTGAGCTTAATTAGCTCTTACCTTGGTTTATTCTTTGATGACAAGCATGCTGATTACTCTGTTGTACTGCCAACGTTTTAGTCATTGATGGCTAGCGAAGAGTTCTGTTGCCTCTTTGCTGTGTGTAGCAACCAAATATCTGAATCTATTAGTAATTCCTGATGTTAATTGTAGTTAGCGAACTTGATTAAGCCGGTTTAGTTCATCTTTTCTTCACTACCATCATTGTTCTGACTCAAAAGGAAACCAATGAAGGCTACTCGTGCTGTATAACCAACATTGTTTGATTTCTTTCAGACGGTGGATCTTGGAAAGAAAGTTAGCCTCTTCTGGAGTGCCAAAGGAGGAGCAGATCAACATGATTAAAGATCTGGAGAGAAAAGAGACGGAGTTCATGAGGCTGAAAAGGAACAAGATAAGCGTTGATGACTTTGAGCTTCTGACAATCATCGGAAGAGGTGCTTTTGGTGAGGTTTGTGCAACAGAATTCTGCCTGTGCCTTTTATTTGCTTACACATCCTTGCAGCTCGAGCATACACTATTTGTTTGGTTCATTTCTCATAACTTAATCTAACGTACAGGTTCGCTTATGTCGGGAGAAAAAGTCTGGAAATATCTATGCTATGAAGAAGTTAAAGAAATCTGAAATGGTCATGCGTGGACAGGTAGAATTCGTGTGCCACACTCTTGGCTACTATTGCTCGGTAGAGCTTAAAGCTAATCTTATTTGTGTCATTACGAGTTTGATGGTAATGATATCTGGCATCATCTTTTCGCTCCTTACCAGCTTATAGTGTAGTTTAGCTTCAATTGGTGAATGCATGTGTAATCTTCTGTGAATCTGATGACAGTATGTTGGAAAGTTAAGGATATTGGCGGTCATGTGTGAAGTTTCTCTAAGTTTAACCAAGACCTCAGATACATGGCTTAATTTTGAGATGTAGGCATATGCGAACATATCAGATAACATGCATACTGATTATACTGTATTCTCTTTTACAGTTAAAACTGACAATGTTTGTGTTTTTCTCTGCGTGTACGTGCCTGGCTCTTTCTCTTTCTAGTACCTGATTAAAGTTACGTACATTTTGAAGGTGGAACATGTCAGAGCAGAGAGAAACCTGCTGGCTGAGGTTGCAAGCCATTATATAGTGAAACTCTTCTATTCATTTCAGGATGCCGAGTATTTATATCTGATCATGGAATATCTCCCTGGTGGTGATATGATGACTTTGCTCATGAGGGAGGACACATTACGGGAAGATGTTGCCAGATTTTATATTGCTCAAAGTGTCCTGGCCATTGAATCCATACACAGATACAACTATATTCACAGGTGGCTTTTGGACATTATCTAGTTTGCAAGCTTTCGGTGAATACAGTGATTTTTACGTTCATCTTGATTGACCTGTCTTTTCACTCTCTTTGCAGGGATATCAAACCTGACAACCTTCTTTTGGACAAAGATGGACACATGAAACTTTCGGACTTTGGGCTTTGCAAGCCTCTTGATTGTAGAACTTTACCTTCAATTCAGGAGAATAGGGCCACCGATGATGAAGCTGTTACAGAACCTATGGATGTTGATAGATGTTTTCCCGACACTGATAACAAAAGAAGCTGGCGCAGTCCCCAGGAACAACTACAGCATTGGCAGATGAATCGCAGAAAACTAGTATGTTGTTCTTCTGTTGAAGTAGAAAATCCCCCTCTTCACTTATTGTAGTATTATCTATATTCTCTGATTCTGTATATACCAAATGTGACCTGGGCATGTAGATAGACAAACTGAAATTAGGAATATTGAAAACTAAACATGGGATATTCTTCATATTGGATGAGAAGACTTTTCAAACTTTCATCACCTCTACTGTCTGTTTTTAAATCTGTGTGGCAACAACTGGCGATATTGCTCTCTGATTCGTTTCTCCTTTTTTAAAGGCCTTTTCAACTGTGGGAACACCCGACTATATTGCTCCTGAAGTTTTGCTGAAGAAAGGATATGGCATGGAATGTGATTGGTTAGTTGTTTTGTTTAAAAGTTTACCATTTTCAGAATGAACTGTTACAATGGTGCATGCCTTCATCGTCTTTTGATAGTGCTTTAGCTTTTAAAATTTCTCTGCGCTAGCAATTTTTTGTACAGATTCTCTATTCTATTTGTGTGAGAGTGAGTGGTATCACATGATAAAAGTCTTTTTCATCTGTCATTCTGCAATGTTTCCATAACCTCCGGGGCTGATGTTTATGGCCTTTGGAATCTGTGTCTTCTCTCTTAGGTGGTCGTTAGGTGCAATTATGTACGAAATGCTCGTTGGGTATCCTCCTTTTTATGCAGATGACCCAATATCGACATGCAGAAAGGTATAACATTTTGCTGTTGTGTTCACTATCCCAGTGAGTTTGTTCTGTTGTCCTACTCACACTTTACGTGCTTCCGAGTTAACAATATTTTGAAATCTTTTCATATATTTTTGACAAGTATGC